TATCTTTCGACGATATCGCTAATCTTACGAATCTTGGCGTCGCGTCCTCTACCGCTCGCGACTACTAGAACTACGTAATGGAATAGGCTCGGATTGCTCTTAGAACTAAATAGGAGCTACCTTAGGAGGTTATCCTTAAATATTGCGAGCCGAAAAGACGATCCGGTCGCCCTAAGACATATAACTTAACTAAGAAGACTAGCCTTCGAAACGCGTTTCTTGCCGAATCCTTATCTAGTTTTACCGACGCTGCTTTTAACATTTATAATAAGGTCATTTCTGCACGTACGGCCTCCCGGATTGCTCGCTCGCTATCGCTAGAACACCCTTATCGTATTATGAAAATGAGGAGACATAAGAAGTTCGTTCTTAGGGTAGTAGATACAATAAATCGAAAGTAATACTGTTCCTAGCTTCTCTCTATCCTTACCTGCAATTAGAAGGGATATGTACTACAGAAAGTCATATTTATTATGTCAGATAAGACTCCTATTCATTTTAGAGGCCCTATAAGACATATAGAGTATATTACTGTCCTAGAAGGAGCCGAAAACATCCCCCCTATAATGGAAGATTAGCATCCAAAATTCACGCTTTAAACCCTAGCTGCCTACTGCTCTAACCTCTAAATCAAGAGACCTATTAAGGTCTTTCTTAAAGTAGAGGACCTAGAGGAGTCCTCTATTAAGAAGGGACTTAAATTAGCCCATAAAAGAGCTATTAAAATAGGTGAAAAGTCGATCTAGGAAGCGAAAAGGGACCCTACCTCCCTAGTAGCTATATAAGTTAAAAAAGCCAATTTAGATAGGGTACGTAAGTCTCCGACGCTAGAGGTAGAGGAGTAAGAGACTAAGGCCGAAGATAAAGTAGGAGACGAGTTAGATCTACGACTACCGGAAGGGCTAATACCGCTAGTTCCCTTAGACTTAATATAGGAGGTAGCATCAAAACTAGCCATTATTTCTCTAAAGCGTAGAGTGTAGGCGTACGGAGACTAGGCGGCAGTAGACATAGTAGTATTATTATAGTTATCTTCCTCCTCGTTCTTAATCTAGACTTTATAGGTCGTTATAGTAGCGACGCGTTAGGTAAGAGTAGGGGGGGCTCGTTAGTTAAGTCGATAGTTATAGGAAGAGAGAGCTAGCGCTTCTAAGGGGGCTTCTAGTCGGTGCAGTAGACCTAGTAAAAGGCAAAATCGAGCGTAAAGGTAATAGGTAATAGTAGGGATCGTATTCGATAGACGCGCAATTAATAGCTAATATAGTTAAAGTGCGCGTATATAGTATAAAGGGTTTTAAGGTAGGCGAGCCGAGGGAAAACAAAAGCTAATAAACATAGTAGGCTAACGAACTTAATAGCAAAGGAGGACTTACTCGCGATTAATGTTAATGTCGAAGGAAGCGTTAAAGGGCGTAGAAGTTAAGAGAAATAACTACTCTATAGCGCACGTATCGCTAAGGCTTTTAATGTAAGCTATATAGGTAACAGTACGATCGGCTTTACTATCCGCGTACGTTCTACGTACTCTCGTCTAAGCCGTAGGAGGTACTACTACTCTAAGGGAAGAAGCAAACGTAATAACGCTTAGAAGCGATAATAACTAAGAATCTAGGTATAACGTTAATCTTAGTAAAGGCCTTCTTTATAGCGGCGACCTCCTAGTTAATAACCTAAGCGAACTAGCCTTCGGAGACACTATCGTAGAAGTAGATAATAGTAGTAGGAGCCTTACCCTAACTAACCTATCTTAACTAACCGTTCTTAATAAGAGGGATAATGTGCTTCTCGATGTTCTTATTAGTAATTATCTCGACGTAGTAGCTATTAGTATTAATAGCGGCGGCGGCGCGTCGTTATAAGCGGTAATGTAAGATAGGTGTAGGATATCCGAGTCCTATTAGGTCCTCTTAGCAAGCTAAGAGTCTACTAGGCTAATCTACATAATTACCCTAATCGACATGCTGTTTATCCCTTATTATACGAGCCTCGTATAGCGTCCTAATGTTATTACTACACTAATATCGCTACTCTACCCCGTCGCTCGTTACCCTTATCGTTTTAGAACTAGTATACTACCCTAATCGCCTAAACGACGACCTATCGCTATGTCGTCTTCTTAACTTTAGCTCCGCGGCTATAGTAATAGTCGCTTCTAAGGAGTAGTAAATAGAGGTGTTTAGCGTAATAATCTAAGAGCTAGGACTAAGAGATAAGCACCTGTCGTAAAGATACCGTACTAGCACGATAAGGACTTAATATAAGAGGCCGTCGACGTATATAACCCTAATATCTATGTTACCGTTAAGACCCTCTAGCACGCCTTTAAAATACCTAATAGGCTCTATCGTAGACTCGTAGATTAACTTAAGGGTCGCCCTACTAAGGCTAACTATCCTAAGAACTCTCGTCTTAATAAGGAATAGACCTAGGCTCTTAAGTACTATATCTATCGTATAGAAGACATTAATCTACATGTTCGCGCTCGCTAGCTTAAGTACCTTACTACGAGCATCCTCCTCGATAGCGTACCGCTTAAACAACGTAACGATATTAAGCCTCTTAGTCCTTATTAGGCATATCGGTTTATGTCTAAGAACCTAGACCTTTTTAAGAGACGTCTTATAACCCCTCGAGGTACTTAGAAAGAAGGCCTATAATCCCGTATAGCTTAGGGCATAGTTTAACAAACTAAAGAAGCGTCTAGATAAGCATAGTATATACCCTAATAATCTCTAGAATATAGACGAAGTTAGGGTCCGGATTAGTGTTACTACTAGTTAAATAATTATTACTCGACTACCGAAGAAGATTAACTAGTTACCCTATCCTAATAACCGTAAATCTATGACCTTAATAGAGACTATCTCTACTACTAGTAAGACCATTACACCTTAAGTAATTTATAAGGGTAAGATAGTGCTCTCTAATATTATAGAACAACTACTAGACGATTATTATGTTACCCTAGGAGGAGATAACTACTTTAATACAGATAAGCTAGCTTATCTATATATTAAACACTTTAAGCGTAACACTCGCCCTTCGATCCGAGGTGCTAAAAGGTTCCTTATATACGACGGTTACGGTAGTTATTAGACTCGCGAGGTAGAAGACTTCTATAAAGATAATAATATCTTATATTATTACCTACCTCCTTATATAAGCTACCTCCTCTAGCTACTCGATGTCGGCATTTTCTAGTTATTAAAATTATGGCATTAGTACGTACTAGATTGCTATGTCTAGTTAGGTGCTACTACCTATTTAAAGGTAGACTTTTGTTTAGATATCGCTAAAATTAGAGGTTATACTTTTACTCCTCGAAACATTAAGGGCGCCTTCTTAAACTCTAGTATCTAGCTATAGAACCCTAATAGACCTATCTTATAAGTAGCTAGGTTTAACCCTAACGAGGTCTTCGTAATGCCGCTAGAAATCGAGCTTATTAAGAGATTAGAACTAATAGCGAAGCTATCTATTAAACGACTATCTATACCTAAGAGGGAAGAGCTTTTAAACGACAAAGAACCTCCTAAAACACTATATATACCTCGGTCATTATCTTGCTCTATATAAGCGAGTAGACTACTCTATTTTAACTTACCTTCTACTCCTATAAAAGAGAAGCTTACGCGCTAGCTCGAACACTTTAAAAAACTAACTAAGGGCGTAGCAATTTAAGCTATAGTAGGTTAAGAGTTAAATAAGCGATTATAGTTAGTTATTAAGGAGCAATATAAGCGTAAGTAGAGGAAGCGCGTGCCGACCTTTTAAATTTAAAAGAGTAGTAGTATCTATACTAGTTAAGCGAAGAAGATCGCTCGCTCTAAAGTAGAGGACAAACTAACTACTAAGTTACATCGATTACTTAGGCTAGATGCTACTACTTATTAGATCTTTAAAGTTATCTATAATAAGAGGCTTAAGTAGAGGCGTAAGCGAGCATTAAAGAAGGAAGCTTCTTAAGGCTCTTAGAACTATGCGAATTCTTAGAGTTCTTAAGGCTCTTAGAACTATACGAATTCATAGAGATTAGTGTTACTAACGCTCTCTAAGGCCTTAACTATTGCTATATTACCTATAGCTTTAGCCTTAGAGGAAGACCCCTTCCGCTAGCGAGCTAGTTACTACTTATTTAACTACTTAATATTTAACTCCTTACTAGTCCCTTCGCTAATGCCCTTACTAATGCCCTTGCTAATGCCCTCGCTAATGCCCTCGCTAATTCTAATGGCTCTAATAGCTATTAGACCCTTCGATTACTTCCCTCTAACACCCTCTTAGTCGATAGGGGAGTTCGCGATGCTAGGGCTGCTAGCTAGTTAGAGTTAACCGAGCGTGAATAGGTCATTATTTTGAGTTCCTAGATCGAGAAGATAGTTGCCCAAAATTCATGAATTTTCAGACATTATTTAGGCCGATATAGGCGATTTTTGGTGCGGGGGAGCCTTCTTGGCCCGCGGCTAAGTCGGACCGATGGGCAAAGCGCTTGTCGATTGGGGTGATCATGTAGATTGGCCTGGCAGGCCCTTAGCTTGCTAAGGGTTCAGACAGGTGCAGGATACAACGAGAGGAAAGAAGGTCAGAGGTTGGGCACACACACGCACACGACACTTTCCTTGATTCTTGATTTCTCGATATCAACAGGCTGAATTCCGCCGTCGACCGGTGGTGGCAGTATCGAACGGCACACCTCGATAGTTCGCAGCTTCACGGCTATTATCCAAGCACCAGGACAAACCGAGGCCACTTGCGGCGGATCTGTCGGCGGCCGTTGCTGGAGTGCAGCTACACTATCTACCTCATTCTATTTCGCCTATAGCACGACATCTACACCTGATTCCACAACCACGTACCCTTCTCTTCCCTCTCTCGGCTTCCATCCTTTGTGCATCGCATGAGCCGACTGAAGCAGCGGTACTCGGATCTTTGAGCGTGGAATGCGCTGTCTCTCAAGTGCTTCCCCGCAACGTGCCTGAGAGACAAACCATCGCTTCGCCATGGGGAATACCAACAGCTCCACAAGGGAACCTCGCACCACTGGTTCGCGATCGCGTTCCGGCACCGCCAACAATGCTTCCTCTTCAACCGGTGCCGCCGAGAACTCCATGTACAATGTGCGTAGTGGACGCACCAGCAGACAAAACCTCTCTTTCCTCCATCTCGGCTCCAGCAGTAGAGGAGACCAAGCACGCACCGAGGAGCCACGTCGCGAGACGAAACAGGAGAGAGAGGCACGCAAGCGTGAAAAGGAGCGTGTGATACGAGAGAATGAGCGCGAGAAGAGTATGAAGGAGGAAGGTGTCGACGGTGGCTTCCTCGTTACGCTGGGAACATACGTCGGCCCCGAAGACTTTAACAAGCCCGTCGTGCGCCAGCTCATGGTATGCAATCCACTGTCGACACGTGTCTCATTGCACTGACACATACTAGATCGAACGTCGTCTGGCGCCATTCTGGAAAGGCCTCAACGATCATTCAGACTCGTGGACCGAGAACCAGCTCGTAGCTGTGGTACGAGGGCTGCCCCTCCCTGCTCCTGATGACCCTCCACTCCCAGACCCCGAGCCTGTCACCGGCGGCGATGTCGATTCTCTCACCATTCCTATCTCCTCTCGTTCGCAATCCTATCAATCCGATCACACGTCGACTCCCCAGAGCGCCACCTTCCCTCGCCCGGGCACCTCATCTCTACCATCCGTCTCAGGCTCTCGAGGCCTCTTTCGCGACCGTGCAAAGACGCTGGCATCATTGGGAACATCGAACAAGAACAACAATGCATCATCCACCTCGATCGCCCCTCAAGAGATTCAGCTCCCACGAGACCCCCGAGTTAACGGCTCTCCCCTCGAGGCTGTTTTGTACAAAGATGCTTCAGAGTGTCCCATCTGTTTCATGTACTATCCTCCACACCTCAACAAGACCCGCTGTTGCGATCAACCCATCTGCTCAGAATGCTTCGTACAAATAAAGCGCCCTGATCCACACCCTCCGGAGCATCACGATGACGACGGAAATCCTACAACGGATGAGGAAGGCTTGCTGGTCTCAGAGCCTGCTGCGTGCCCATTCTGTGTGACACCCGAGTTTGGTGTCAGCTACCAGCCTCCGTCGTTCCGCAGAGGCCTCGTGTACTCGGGCCCAGTGAGTAGTCCAGCTCCTACGACTGTTGCATCTCCGGAATCATCATCCACCAATCTAGCAGTGCCTCATGGTAGAAGACGTACTACCTCTCTATCAGCATCTGCCCCAACTGTCATTACTACCGACAGAGTACGCCCTGACTGGGCAAAGAAGCTGGCTGATGCTAGAGCACATGCATTGAGAAGATCCGCCGCTGCCACTGCCCTTCACAACGCTGCATATATGCTCGGTAGCCAACAGCCTTCAGATTCGCGCTCGTTCGGTGGTCTTGGTCGTCGTCGTCGCACGCTTATGGCAGACACTTCTGCCAGTGCAAGTGGTGCTGGAACTCCTCGACCTGACAATGGTCAAGTGAGTAGTCTACATGATTACATCGCTGCCATCGAAGGTCAAGGACAAGGCTCAGAGACCCGTGCCTCTGGCAGGAGAAGCCGTGCTCACGATCTGGAAGACTTGATGATGATGGAAGCCATCCGAATGTCCCTCGCTTCTGAGGAGGACCGCAAGAAGAAAGAGGAGAAGGAGGTGCGAAAGGAAGCAAAGAAGCGGGAAAAGGAAGCTGCCAAAGAGGCGAAGAAGGCAGATAAGGTCGCAAAGAAGAACGGAAGTCTCTACAGCGCCAGCATGAACGGTAGTACAGCCGCCTGGTCCGACATGACCCGCTCAACGAGTAACATTCCTCGCCCTCAGACGGCTGTTTCCACAGCTTCGTCACCACCTCCGCCTGCTCCTCCGGTCATTGGTAAAGGTAAAGCACCTGCCACAGCTGCCTACGGCTTCAACCCCATGAACGAACCAACTTCTACACTGAATACCGAGGTTGCTGAACAAACAGCCGAATTCTCGAATTCTCAAAGGCACCTCGAGGAGTCACGGGCCAATCTGCCTCAAGCTACGCAACCTATCTCGTTTCCGGAAGCACTACAAAATCGCTCTCATCTTCGTCACATTTCAAACGCATCATCAGCGGCATCCTCAATGCTGGATTCTGCACCAGGAAGCTATCAGCGAACGCCGAATCACCAGATGTCTCCGAACGCTAGCGCGACTGTCTTGGACGACGGCACTGGCACGCCCGACACGCAATCTGGCACACCAGGCAACGATACGAACACAGAGTCCATGTTCAACTTCAAAAGCCTGACTGAGATGATCCGCAACGATGATAAGGACAGAGATGCCGACCATGTCGAGTTTTTCGAGCGCAAACCGGAAGAACAGCGCAATCCGAGTGTTGCGTCCTCTTCCAAAGAAGCTACTGCTGGACTTCCTCCATTGAACGAGGACGAGCGCGAGACAGCGAAACATGGTAACGCTCCACAAGTGAACAACGACACGACACCAAAGATGAGGCAGACGGAGACGAAACATGCAGGCGATGTCAATGTCTTGCACGCTTCGAGGACGTCAACCAACTAGAGTGGTCATCGTTTCCTGACTAGAGCATGAAACTGATCAAGGCTGGATGGATGGACGAGCATGGGGTAAAGGCAAAGGCAGATTCGAGTCGGGAGTTACTATCCATCGTTCTTGGCGGTGAACAAAGATCGGGCAGATGGCAGCTGACGCGGCCTCGTCTGTGGGATTGGCAAAGATAGGTCTTGTATAGGACAGGCGTTGAGCAGATGGCGGGCATTCATTTCAACTTTTGTAGTTTGGGTCACAAACATGAGCAATCTTTTGTTCATTTTTCAGATGTACTCGGTACTATCGTCATGTTATCAGTGGCCATCGAGACAATCAGGGACGGGTACATGTCAGTTTCACGGCGGCTGAAACGGTGCACAGACTATGCGGAGAAGGTATGCACATGAAACGGTGGATCAGGCAAGAAGCAGGGGTGCAGGCCAGACTAGGGTTCGATGGTCTTTGCACATCAAAGGGACTTGTTGACTTTAGTCGAGAAGCCCTGAGGGGAAAGATTGTATGGTGAAAGCAGTTGTTGTTCTCCTTGTCGGAGGCGTGAAAGTTGGTAGAGTCTTTTGGCGCAGAAACAGAAGGATCTGGCGAAGCCAAAAACACGAAAGGGGCCACTTTTAACAATCCGTCGGCACAAGAATTAATATAGGGCGGACCCCCGCGCTCCATCAATCAGCACAGTAGCGAGTAGGACAGATAGCGCACGGCAGGACAGGACAGCAATCAATACAAGGAGTCAGGTCTGCAAGAGACTCTCATCGTGCACGCACACGCAGGTCCGGACAGGATCAGACGGCCATGTCGCAGCTTTCTCAGCACAGGCAAAGGGCGCCTTCGTTGGGCATTATCTCAACATACGGACAGCCTCCGGTGTCAAACGCCAGACCGAGCCCTCTCTCCTCTCACCCACCCACACCAGTCGACCTGATTGGAGGCAGTTGCGCAGACAAGGGTATCAAGGCGCAACAGTCAGGTACCAAGCACGATAGAGAGGTATCTGCATCGTCGCTGCCGTTTAGGTCGCCTAGCAACTCCTTCCCGAGGAAGCATCCGAGCAATTTCTCCACGCCCGACCTGTCAAAGTCTGCTTCTCCCTCAACTGAGTCTCTCTTCCGACAAGACACGAATTCTTTTGCCGGCAGCTCCCTCCAATTGCATCAAATACCTTTGGCATATCAGCTGAACAACCAATCCACCGCGTCCAAGCTCGACCTCAGCAACTCCTGCACCTCGACCATGTCTTCGCACGACAACCATCGCCACGATAGCTTCGGCTCTTCGCTGCCTGTGCCCAAAGGCCCCACCAACAACGGCCGTCGCAGATCCATCAGCATGCAAAAGCTCTTCTCCCTATCGAACCTCAAGAGCAGTTTCAGCAACTCCCGCACATCTCTCGTCTCGACTCCCTCTTCACAACACCCTCCTCCATCCTCCTCGTCCGACCGTCCCGCCTCAAACAGCACTACCAGTTCTAGAGGAATCAAGCGACCTGCTGAGGAAGACTATGTCGTCGTCAAGAACGGCCAAGACAACCTCCAGCCTCCGTTGAGAAAGAGAAAGAGCAGCTCGTGGTTCCGCAGAAAGAGCGCTCTCTTCACATTCAACTCCCAAAACTCCGCCTTGGTAGACGACTACGACATGCCTCAAGGCCCTGATGCCATGATGATGGATGAGCCTGAACATGTCCGCCCGACCACCGAACACACCCAGCAGACCCACCACACCACTCAGTCTGACTCTTCCAGCGAAAGACCCATCAGCCTCTACACTACCCAGACCACACAGCAGCCTCCTGTACTGCCACCCCTATCACCAATGTCTAAGACACAAACACAATCCTCGCAGTACTCGCAACCTCAGAGACCTGCCTCTCACAGAACCTTCAGCTCTCAGAGCAGAGTCAGCCGATCATCATCTCAAAACAGAACCCCATACTCTCCTGCCAACAGAGAGCCATTCTCGCCTCCGCCCACACTCCCGGAGCTCACTAGAATTGAGACCTCCTTCGGCGATTCGGACATGGGAGATTTGTTCGCTCACTTTGGACGCTAGAAGCGCTACGATGCACCAGACCGTAGTGCTGAACGTGCGTGGCTCACGACCTTTGTTCCAAGACGCAAGACCGTTCAAAATTCACCTTGGTTCGGACGACCTTGAGATGATGAAGCGCTCTTACTTTGTTTCCATTGATTGAAACTCGGAAAGGAAAATGTTCATATGTTTATGCTTTCCTTATGTGTACAACAACCTTCATTGTTTTCTGATTTCTCGTTTGTCTTCTTTTTCCCTTTGGAGCATTGTTGATTGGCATTGGCGAAGGCGCTTCGGTGTATTGATCGGTTTTAGGTACATATTCACTCTTTCCTCGCAAGAGGGGTATAAGGCAGGTTTCCACTGTTGAGCAGTATACAAAGTTTCTTTTATCGTTTCAAAATCTTCCGTTCCAAGACATATTCCTTTTGCTGATCTGTCGTCTTGCACCGTTTTTAGTCTTTGGCTCCCGGCCTTCTCAGGCCCAAGCATCCTACAAACTACTCATCAAAATGCACAGTAGGTTTGGCAAGCAGAGTCGTGCCCAAAGAGAGCAGACCTTCACCGTACTCTCTCTGGACAATTACACTGATAGCAAAAGCATGTTGCATTTTGACGGCTATGCTCAGGGACATGCGAGGAATAGGGAGCTCCACTTTACTACATTATATTGACAACTTCGTCTGTGTTCGATTACAACCACTGCTGACCAGGTCCACCGACTTTCGGCGATGAAAGTCTTCGTCTCCCCGAACTCTTTGTGAAACATCCGCCCTATCGATGGCATGCTTGTGAGAGCGAAAACTCCTATCTGAGGTTATGAGAGCCATGGCGAGTGTTGCTGCTCGAATAGGCCCCTTGACGCTTCATTCGCTCGGTAACGTGGATCTCGAGGGCTAGGTGTATCTTCGCAATTCTGCTTTCGCTCCTTCTTTTCTTCCATCTCCTTCTACCATGCGAGAGCTGGACGGAGGTCTGTGTACTAGACCTATTCGTGTTCTCCAGCGTCCTCTAATGCTTGTTGATAGTAGTGATCATGACTTCTCCCGATGATAACCACGAGGAGGATGTCGACATGGAGGTCGACGACGACGACGACGACGACGACGACGACGAGTAGGACGGCAGCAATGTGAAGGTCATCATTGTTAGTGAGCCCAAGGCTGCTACCTCAAGCCATGCTCTCACTCACGATGTTAACTTGAAGGATCACACCAAGGACCAAAGCTTTACTTCCACCACCACCACGCACAACTAAGTCCCTTTCAACAACATCAACACACACACTCAGGTCCCTTCCAACACTACCAACATGGACCACTCTCCCGACAGCAAGCCCTCTCACTCGCAGGAGATGACGCTCTCCATCACGCAGCCCGAACTCACAGCCCTACACGACAAGATCTCCGCCCTGAAAGAAACAATCGCCGACCTCACCCTCTCCTTGTCCACCTCCCGCGCAAAGATCTCCAGCCAAGAATCCACAATCACCGCCCTCCGCCTCCCCAACCCCTCAAACCCCAACGAACAAATCGCAAAACTCACGAGCGAAAACGCAAACCTGAAGGAAGAAAACTCACACCTAGAGCAAGACTTTACATCAAAGACCGCCGTGTTCGAGGAGAAGGTGCAGAAAGTCATCGCCGATGCTGATCTTCACGTGCGTAAGAAGTTGCAGGCGGTGGAAGTGGAGTTGTCGAGAAGACATCATCTCATCATGTCTTGCCACGCCACCATCCTCTCCAAAGACGCTCGTATTTTCGGTATGCAGAAGCAATTGGATTCTGTTTACGGTACTCTGCAGCGTCAGAGCGATCAAATGGCTTCTCAGCAGCGTCAACATGCTAGGAAGTTGGTTGCGATTGAAGAGTTCTGGAAACAGGGGGTTAAAAACTCGAGAAAGAGGGCGTTGATGTGGAGCAAGAGGGATGCTAAGGATCTTGAGGAGATTATGGAGTTTGGGTATGAGAGTGAGGAGGATGAGGAGATTGAGGATGAGGAGGATGTGAGGGCTATTGAGCAGGGCGCCACTAACCAGGACGCCGTGGCCGAAGAGGAAGCTACCGACGAAGAGGTCGAGCAGGAGCAGCCTATGGGCGAGGAAGTTGAGGAGGAGAAATCCATCAAGAAGGAGATCGAGATCGTCGACTTGCTCGACGACGAGGATGAAGAGGACGTCGTCGCTGGAGCCGACAACCCCGCTCAAGACCCAGTCGTCCACAAGCAGCAGGACCTCATCGAGCAGGCCAACGTCGGCGAGAAGTCTGCCATCGACAGACCTACCTTCGAACAGCCCGATTTCATCAAGCCCTCCTTCGACCATCTCACTACCCACAAGCCCGCATTCGAGAAGCCCACTATCGCCAGACCCACCTTCAACAAACCACTCATCCACGACAACCCCATCACGGCCGGATGTTCTCCTCCCAAGAAACGTGCCAGACTCTCCATGGAAAGAGCCTAAGTAAGAGACAAGCAAGGCAAGTGCGATAGCACGTATGCTCTTCTCCTGAGCAAGCAAGCGAGTGAGCAAGATAACGTATCAATCAACACACAACACAAAGAGCATTTCAAACGAGGAAAGGAAGAAGAGAGAATTAGAAGGAAACAGCGACCAGAAAAGAGCCGAAGGAAAATGAGACAAGGGGAAATCGCGAGCGGAAGCAAAGTCAAGGAAAAATTGAGAAACGGGAGATTGACGACCAAATTGAGTCAAGGAAATAATACAGGGGCTCACCGCGACAGGGAAGAGCATTAAAAGCGAAAAGAAAACAGCCAGACCATGAAAACGAATTTTCAGTAACCAAAAGAATTCTCATTAAACAGCTCTGAAAGCTTTTATTGTTACTCGTACTGATCCCCTTTGGTGAACAACCTTCTCCCGCATTTAATCAGAAGGAGCATACTTGCTCCTCGCCCTAATTTTATGCCCATACAGATAGAATATATAAGGCACGGGTACCATAACAGCACTAATACACCCCAAAATCGTACACGTATAATGCACTCCCAAATTCTGATAGAACGGCACTCCCACAACAGTCATACCACCAGCAGCCACATATCTGATAAGTGTAATAGACGCCAATGCAGAAGCGGCGTAAATCTCATAAGCATCAATGATGTACTGATAACTGCTGATGAAGATGCAGAGGATACCGTAGCCGAAAAGGACGGAGGCGGCGAGAGGGGACCAGATGGAAATGTTGGGGTATGACGTCCAGCCCATCCAGAAAAGGGAGATTGGTACGGCGGGCGCTCCGAACATTGCGAACCATAGGCGGAACTCTGGTTGTAGTTTATCCTTTCCATTGGCAGAGGCTTTTTCCATTGCTTTTGCTGCTTTGCGGCGGATGACAAAGACTAAAGGCGTGGCGAGGAAGAGACCGATTGCGATGCCTAAGAAACACAAGCCTTGGACGCCGATGCTGACTCCATGGATTTCGCCAAAGATGAAATCGTAGCCGTCGAGGAAGGTAAAGAGGATGATGTAGATGACTGTCATGTATAAAGCGATCAAGACGATGATGGGCTCTGAGAAGGTGAGAAGGAAGGGTCGGTAGCATGCGCGTCCAAGACGAGTCAGGAATGGATCCATGCGAACTTCAACTTCGGCTCTGTAGCGTTCATCGCCTGTAATGGCGCGTAGATGGGCAGCCTTCCATTTCAAGAGAATAGGAGGAAAGGTCTCAGGAAGGGTGAAGAAGACAAGGATCAAGACGAGGCCAGACATGATGATGGTAATCCATTCAGTCCCTGCATGATTTGTTAGTCTGGAGGGAACATAAAGGCAGTATGGATGCAGTACTCACATCTCCAGGAGATCAAAGAGCTCTGTACGATATATCCACCAATGACAGGTCCTAGGATAGGGCCCAAGAAAGCAGCGTTGGCGAATATAGGAAACATCAATGTTCTCTCGCTCGCATTCCAGATGTCAGACAAGGAGCCACCAGCACACGTAAGAGGTGTGCTTCCGAAGAAACCGGCGAAGAATCTGGTAGCGAATTGCTGCGAGTACGTCTGTGATGCACCAGCTCCAGCAAGGAATGCCATGTATATTGCCAGGGTAACGATGTAAATTGGGTTTCTGCCCAATGTCTCTGAGAAAGGACCAGCGAAGAGAGCGCCTGCACCGAAGCCTATGAGGTACAGACTGATTCATGTTAGCCGGATGTCTCCTCTTGATCAAGCACAGAAATCCTTACCCTGTAGCCAAACTCTCAGCGACCTCAGAGATACCAAACTCCTGACTGGCAGGTTGAATGGCAACCGAATCGATTGACGAAGCCACACCAACAACGAAGCCAATGCTGGCAACCATGAACGTGATCCATAGTCTGATACCCCAGCCCCAGTTGTGGGGATTCATCTGATCCGTCTCGCCGTGGTAATCAACAATGAAGACATTGCCTTCACCACCTTCATGTTCCTCTCTCTTGCGTACCTTGATGCCTGTGAGGATACGACCAAGTGCTGTGCCAGATCTACTCAAACCGGAACGTCCACTTTTAGTGGTAGATAAGCGTGAGAGATCAGCACCGGATGCTTGAGATTGTTGGGCTTGCGGGTCGTGTGGAGGCAAGCATTCTCTCTCCTGTCCAGGATCTCTAGGCTCATCATCTGCGCCTATATCGTACTTCTCTTCCTCCTCTTCTGTTCTCTTTTGTCTTTGGTCTCTTGTTGTTACCCCCTCATCAACTGCTGTGTGTTGTCCGCTCGATGCGTCCGAAGCCCCTCTTTCGACGTCTTTTTCGACATCGCTCGCTCGTGAGGTATCAATGGGTGGTAGATCTTGATTTGCTCGGTCGACTGCGCGTGTGCGGTTGCGATCTGTTTCGATCTGGGCTTCCAATCCGTGGCGAAATCTGCGATATTGAAGGTACGACTGCATGATGAATCACTCCAAGCCTTGGGCTATCTCTCCGCGGGCCTCGTGATAGCAGATAAAGAGCACTTATTGCGATGCGATAGGGAAAGAAAGAAGAGTACACAGACGAAGGCAAGAAGAAAGACCTACGTCAAAGTCTGTACAGGTACCTACATAGGATTGATTTGGAAGAAGGCCCTTTTTGCGTGCCTGCCGTCACAACCTACCTTTACGATGGATTGATGGTTAAGTTGACGATTTTGGTACGAGATGACGTAGAAACTGATATTGATGATGAGCGCTTCTTGCGGCCCGCTCGGACTTGCGGCACCGTTTCACCGTTGATCGGCGACCGAACTACCTGCTGTTCTTTCCGATCGGATGTGTCCTACATATCTTCTCTGACATCCTTTGATGATTCCTCCTGAAGATCGGAATTCTTCAAGTCTGGCAGAGGAAAATTAGCTAGATGAGTGTTTGGTTGAACGAGACAAGTTCGCAATGACATTGTTGGTGCTTTAGAGTTGACAACTCCTCGTCTTGACGAAGACCATCTTGGATTGGATATTTCTGAAAATTGTTTGTTATCTGACATTTATGGTAGTTTCGTTGCATACAGATTTCCCGCACTTGCTTGCTATCCCAAGATCGACCTCCAAAGCTAGCATTAATTTACCACCTGAAAAAGAAATATAGAAGAAGAAGAAAAAACCACATCAGACATATACCCAATACTCCGCAGCATACTCGACAAGAATACTTTCTTGCTGACCCTGGCAAGTAGCAGGTGGCTGACCCCCAGCAGTGTTGACTCTGAACACTTCTTTCAGCTTTTGACTTCCTTCAACTCCAAACTTCTCTGTCAACTTTAGCCACGGTACAGCACCCATACCAGAGCCATCCACACCAATCACAGCACCCTCAGGCGCAGAAGTAGCGTTGAGTTTCTTGAAAGCACCAATGCCGTAGCTGTGGACTTCAGTGTCGAGATTGAAGAAAGGTGTAGTCGCGTCCAGGAAGTAATGATGACCTGAGAGTTCCATGTTTATCGGCGACAGAGCGGAAGAAGACGTGGGAAGAGGGAGGTTGATGGCGATACCAGGTATCAGAGAAAGGAGAGTTGGGTGGTTGGCGGCGATGCAAGAGACGTTGTAAAGAGCTGCCGTTGCACCCGCCGCGACCGGAATGGATGTGCTGTTCGACAGATCGCAAGTGTAATTCTGAGTCCCGCGACCAATGGAGACATGGCTGAGAGATAAGTTGTATGAAGGCGGCGGGAGAGGTGTTGGTGCTGAAGTTCTTGTTAGCTACGTGTACTGGAAAGGGGTAGACAGGGAAGGTTTCCTACCTTGAGGTAGTCTTGCTTTTGAGAGGTCGCAGAGAGAATAGTTGCAGCCGCGGCGTGTGGATGCAGAGTGTCCTGAGTGCGAAGTCCAGAATGATGGAGATGACCAGCGTTGTTCAAGTGTCGGTGCTGCCTTGACAGAGGCCGAGAACATTATAGCCAATGTGGCTGTCAGAGTTGAGATCTTCATGCTCGTAATTTGTCGGAGGCTTGTAGATCTAGGGTGAGGAAGGAGTAGAGGGTAGCACTGCTTGAGATATCCGGAAGATGTTGTCCAGTAGATGTTTGATGCACCAATACAAATTCGTGACTCGCTGTGTTGCTGCAGACCTTCCGACAGTACAAAAGACCGCCTCAAGGACCAAAAGTACGGAGGTAGCGGAAAAGAGGCACAGCACAAGAAAGAAGGATGCAATGCAGAATTAACTTCCTTTTTCCCACAACACCAAGAAGTACCAAGATTGATACGAAACAAAGAAAGCGAGTGTGGAAGCGCCGTAGGAAACCCTTATATCCAAAAGGACCTATCTTTGAGGCGCTTGCACCACAACTTGATTGTCCGGGTTTCAAGCATGGCTGGTGTAGAAGGAAGACGTACATACTGACAAACAGGCCTTCCCGCAATTCATGCATGAGTCCGGCAGAGACGTGATTGGGTCAACCTGTTCTGAAAATGCTCCGGCGGATGGGTGAGGCGCTTCTGTGGATAGCAAACTGCACACGACTCAAGATTATGCGGGTATGCATGGCTGGACGGTGCGGGAAGAGATGCAGGTATGCAGATGGCTGGTCTTTTCTTAGTAGCAAGTGTTCTTGGTATGCTTTCTTTCTGTTCGATATCAGCGTTTCGAATTCCTCGCGACTTAGACTATCGTTTGATAGTCTGGTCATCTATTTGTTCTTCAAGATGAGAGTTTTGACCACAATTTGATTGCCCAAGACTCGTAACAAAGGTGACAGATCTGTTTGCAAACCGCTGCACTATCCCCTGGTGTTGTGCGACGGTCAGCCTCCGATGTCCACCTATCCGCAGAACCCGTTCCGGAAAACACTATCAAGAGATCTTTCTAACCCCTTGATCAACTATTTCCGCCAATAGTAAAGTCCTGAGGAATTGTCTGCTAGGGATCATCGGTGCATATAGCGAGGCGGGGCAAGTGTGGGCGCTTAATTGCAGCCACCCCGGATGGGCGCTTACAGCTTCGAAGCCAGTCTTGTCCACGTCTTGATCACTGCAGTCTGACTTTCTCTAGCATTTCAAACCGGACCCTCGTGATGTCTTGAACAAGCTTCGATGATAGCGATCTCGAGGTTGACAGATTCATCAGACGAGAATCACGCACCGGGCGAACACGAATGTTTCGTAACAAAACTTGATCCATTGATTGGAAACCTCTGCTCGCCAAGAGAAAACTTTCGTAGTGAACTCGAGCCCGGCGCTTTCCAGCGCGTCCCGTAACATGTTCAGTCGATTTCGGCGCTCTGCTTTAAGAAGATCGTCGTCATTGTCGACAAAGTCTATCTCCAATAAACCTCGTGGAGAAGAGGTAGATATTGGGAAATGTCCTTGGGCAACTCCTCTGTTATGAAAAGCATAGTGCAGTCCTTCAAGGTAAGTTCCTGGATGTGACAAGGCAGAAACCCCCGAAGATGAATCCTGGAATCATCGCGGGGCTCATCATCTGCTTCAAAGCCGAGCAGGACGTCCTCGCGGAGTGGCACTTTCCTGAGAACAGGAGATTATCTTAGGGGTAGAATAGGTTCGAAGAGTAACTCCGAGTCGCCCGTGTTATCGAACTGGGGGTTAGTGTCGTATAATGATGGCTCATAATCCTCATCGTAGGATGAATGGATTGCCTTGAGGCTGAGCTGACTTCGCAAAGTCTTGCTAAGGGCTTGCCAGTTGAAGCCAGACATGTTCATGGTTTCCTCAATAGTTGTACAGATGAACGTCTCGAGCACAGAGTTATCAGGTAGTCCATGACGGTTGGTGAGAGACCACATCGAATCAGTGATAAGTGCCTACAGCATCAACAGCCAAGATACCAAATCATTTGGCAGGTCTCAAGTGTAAATATGATGCAACGTTGTCAAACCTAGGACGTTGACATGTTTGACATGTGAAAAGAGAAAGCTGGGGATTGGTTGCTTTCGGTCAGAGGCAGAGTGGACAAAAGTCTTGACCCGAGCAGAAGTCAGACACGGCAGCCACCCACTTTGCCCAGCATCCGCTGCATGTCGATAAGAGATATAGAGCTGCATACCAGAACATCAGCTCTTTCTGGCAGTCCAGTCAGATGATCTGCATACAGAGTCAAGAGTGGTTTAGAGGAAGACTCAGGAGGGTTGAGGCTCAAAGGTTGCTGACCAGGCAAAAAGTCGGGGATGTCATGGCGAACCGGAAGCGGAAAGCTCAGCCGCCATCAGAAACCTGAAATGTGGAGTGGATCAAGAAACTGCGATCCTGGATGAACGCAACTTCTGCTTTTCACATCCAACCTCGACAAAACAGTATCAAGTAGGAGTCGCTGGGCCATTTTCCGGCGATAATACTTAGACAAGCAACCCTTTTTCCAAATTGATTTTCCATTCATCTATGGGCTTCGATCCGCAGACCGATTCCGTCCGTCCCTGCTGCCTCTTCAGCAAGTCGTCCGTCGCTGTGCCCGACTCAGTCGCTGGTCTGTCGCGTACCGAGTCAAGTTTCGCTTCTTTGCTGTGGCCAGTTGTGCCAGGTCCGCCTTGACTGGAGGCGGACGTTTTTCTAGACAAGGGCTGAGCACCGTCTATCACATGCGCTTTTTCGCTTTCACCCAACCCTGCAACTCCTGAGACCTGCCGAGCCCACAGTCTCACTCCCTAACCAAGCGTAACTTGAGTCGAAGTCTTCTCCAAGAACTTCACCATCACCTTCTAACCACGTACGCGCGAGCCGCGACTACTTCCATACACCAACATGCCAGCCATGGATCTTGATCGCACAGAAGTCGCCGACATGGCCGACGACATCTCTCCTAGACGTACTTTCACCCAGCCAGGCACAGAGGCAGAACCTTTGTCGGCCGTTCTCAAGAGCGACTTGATGAAGAACAAGAGAAAGAAGAAGAGGAAGGGTGGCATGGCTCCTGCTGCTCCTGCCCAGAATGTTATCCGAGGTTTCGAGACACCCATCACGTCCGGCGGAGAAGAGTCGGACGCCTCGACATGCCCCTCACCACTCATGACTCCTCGTATGCGCGGCTTGAACGGGGCAGCCAACAGCCCAAGGCTCAGCGCCTCGAACGGCTCAGGCATCAGCGCTCTCAAGACGCAGCTCGACGCTCTGACTCTTGGCCGTGCATCTCCTGCTCCCTCCATGACACGCGAGAACAGCAACGCCTCGAACTTCGATAGTACCCCTACCATGTCCTCGGCCGCTAGCGACGTCGATGCAAAAGAGTTGGAAACATACCAGATCGATCTCGAGCATGACTTCATTAGCGCAGATGCTTGTGCTAAGCCCCAGGCTACATTTCCTGTTGAAGGCGGCCTCCGTACTGAGTCTGTCTTGCGCAAGATGACAGCCGAGGACTTTGAGCCGCTCAAGTGTTTGGGCAAGGGAGCCTTTGGCACAGTCCACCTGGTGAAGCAACGTGCTTCTGGACGCCTATTTGCTCAGAAGCAGTTCCGCAAAGCCTCTTTGACTGTTCATAAGCGCCTCATCGAACAGACTCGCACCGAACGCAGCATTCTCGAGAGTGTCAACCGCCACCCTTTTGTTGTTAAACTCTTCTACGCTTTCCAAGACCACGAGAGACTTTACCTGATCCTGGAGTATGCCCAAGGTGGTGAGCTTTTCACTCATTTGGCCATGGAGCGAATGTTCACCGAGGAAGTTGCTTCTTTCTACATGGCTGAAATGGTTCTCGCTCTTGAGCACTTGCATCGCAATGTTCGTGTCGTCTATCGCGACCTGAAGCCTGAGAACTGTTTGCTCGACTCGGACGGCCATCTGCTTCTCACTGACTTCGGTCTGTCCAAGGTCGCGCTCGAAGACGACTCGTGCAGCTCTTTCCTTGGCACTGTCGAATACATGGCTCCTGAAGTCGTCCAGGCCACTGCCTATGGCTTTGCTGTCGACTGGTGGTCTCTCGGTGCAATCGGATTCGACTTGCTCACAGGCTCACCTCCTTTCGGCTGCAACAACAACGCTAAGATCCAGCAGAACATTCTCAAGCAGAAACTGCAACTGCCTTACTTCCTTGGCCCGGACTCGAAGGACCTGCTCACTCGTCTCTTACGCAAAGAGCCCAACAAGCGTCTTGGGGCCAACATGCCAAAGGATCTCGACATCATCAAGAAGCACCGCTTCTTCCGAAAGATCGATTGGAAGAAGCTTGCAAAACGCGAATTGGAGCCTCCGATTCGCCCTCTCATCACCGATCCAGAGTTGGCTGAGAACTTCGCCAAGGAGTTCACCGATCTACCGATGTCCCCAGCGGATGATAGGGAATCCACTATCATGCAGGACTCTACTATGATCGACATCGGGTCTGGTACAAAGGAGCTTGAGTTTGGGTCCAATCCTTTTGGCGGATTCAGCTTCGTCGCAAGCCAGAGTCTGCTTGACAAGGTTGACTTCATGTGACTCTCACAAAAGAGCACAGGATACTTTAGACACAAAAGTGTTATTTACATTTGGAGGTATGGCGCAGGTTTCTCGAGTGGATGGCCCATGCTGATTGGCAAATATATAATACGCCTGTTGGGATTGTGCAAACGTACACTACCTTTCTTCAATACATCGATACACACAATCATGCCTATCACTTGTGTCACTGTGTCCCTTGTCACGAGGTACATGAGTCGCAGAGTCCACTTTGTATACCTTACAGTCCTTCTTTTATCATGACCCACCCTGTGCTATCAAACATCACGTTGAAGATTGATCAAGTGGTCATGATTGTCTAGTAGACCCGTGGTGAATCTAGCGCTTCCAATCGCCGTGTTCTTCGCCGCCCCCTCACAGGATAATGCGCAGCATGTGCGATGCACTGTGTAAATGACTGCAAGTCACAGAATCACCACAGAGAAGAATTACTGTCCACCCGAGAGTGTTGACTGCCAGTTCAATCTCAGATTGCAGAAACAAGATCCCGAACCTATGTATGGGCATCTATGAAACTTAACCCTGACCGCAGGAAGCAGATATATACGTCAGAGTCTCTAAGTTTTTACGAAGACCTCTTGCCCCACCTGCGAGTTTGGACTTTAGAACACAAGGCCATCGAGCATCAGTCCGACAACAGCGGGCAGTCACGATAGGACGGGCAGTTCCTCGGCTTGTACGAACTCAATATTACTTTAAGACCGCTTTGTGTCCCTTCAACAGCTGGGATAGATCACATGCAGTGTACAAGAGTCGTGCTATCTCGCAGAAATACGACCACTGGATCATCGTTCAAGACTGAGGTAACAGATCCAGGCAACTTATTCTCTCAGCCACACAGACCGAGTCATTCAAGATTGTTCATGGCAGCTCCTTCCCTCTTGGACAAAGCTGCTGTATCATCCACTCCGGCTTGCCTGAAACATCTTAAATTGTTTGACCTCATCCACTGCCCACGTTCTTCATCATCAGCCATCATTTGCTTCCATCCTGTCCCGCTCTTATCTCGAGCACTCATTGCGATCAATACCACTGTCTCGTCCCACGACTTCGACATGCGTCCACGCAATATTCTTAACGCAATTCTCATCGCCTGCATCCCCTCAGTAGACTCGCATCATCGCTCTCAACCTAACTTGCACCAACACACCTTGCATCGCGATAACAACATCGCCATCTCTGACTATAGAGCACAAGCAATCAAAGAAGCTTTCGAATTTGCTTGGAACGGTTACGAAACTCACGCCTTCCCCAACGATGAATTACGCCCAACCAACAACAAGTCTGCAAACACCAGAAATGGCTGGGGGGCAACCGCCGTCGACGCTTTGAGTACAGCCATCCTGATGGAGTCGGAGCATGTTGTTGCAAGTATTCTCGACTTCATTCCGACGATAGATTTCACCATCAGCAAAAGCGGAGAAGAGGTCAGCTTGTTCGAGACTACAATCCGCTACCTCGGAGGCATGCTCTCGGCCTGTGATCTTTTGAACGGCCCCTATCAGCATCTAGCTACTTCTGAAAACATCACCATCGCTCTTGTACAACAAGCTTTCAGGCTGGCAAACAGAATGAAATTCGCCTTCGACACACCCACAGGCATCCCTGCCAACCTCCTCGATTTCGATACCAACGGCTTCAACATGTCTGATCCGGTCGGTCCTGCTACTGCCGGCACTCTGGTCCTTGAGTGGACTCGTCTGTCAGACATGCTCAGTGATCTCTCCTTCGCAAACTTGACCCAACACGCTGAAGAGCAAATCATGCACGCCCGATATTCAGTCGACGTGGAAGAGCCTTACCCTGGTCTTCTGGGCTCAAAGATAGACATCCGTACAGGCAACTTCATCAACGCGCAGGGCAATTGGGGTAGCGGTTCTGACTCCTACTACGAATACCTCATCAAGATGTACGTCTATGATTCCACATCTTTTTCTACCTACAAGGACAAATGGGTCCAGGCTGTCAAGTCTTCAGCAAACAACGGTGTTGGATTACACCCTTCGTCTCGTCGTGACCTCACCTTTCTTTCCTCTTGGGTTGGAGAGTACATATCGCCCGTGTCCAGCCACCTTGCCTGCTTTGCTGGTGGCAACTGGATCTTGGGCGGCCTGGTGCTCCAAGACCAGACTTTTATCGAACTTGGCCTTGATCTGGTAGATAGTTGCTTCGAAACCTACAACGCCACTGTTACAGGCATAGGTCCTGAGGGCTGGACGTGGACAGAAGACGACTTCCTTGACGAGACAAACTTTTACAAAAGATATGGCTTTGATATTACGAGACCTGCATACAACCTGCGACCTGAGGTTTTGGAATCGCTCTACTATGCCTATCGCGCAACCGGAGACAGCAAGTATCAAGAGTGGAGCTGGAGAGCCTTCCAAGCTATCAACGCCACCTGTCGGATCGGATCAGGCTATTCAGCCATCACAAACGTCAATGTCGCTGATGGGGGTGCTTTCACCAACTTCCAGGAGAGTTTCATGTTTGCGGAGACATTCAAGTACGCTTGGCTGGCTCAGGCTGAAGACTCCAAGGTACACGTTGGACAGGGAGAGAAGCAAGAGTGGGTGTTCAGCACAGAGGGACATCCTTTCAAGGTTCGCACTTCGCAATAGCGAGAGTACATTCGTCTTGAACCCATGATGGGCAATGAGAATGTTGGCGTGGTGGTATGGAGAGCTCTTCAATTTCGGCTCTCAGTGATCAATTACATTATTCGAACAGTTCTCATTCCTTGGTGACGATGTCTGTGAACTCTTTCGCTCAACTCGTGATTCGAGAAATGGACTTGACAGCCGAACCCAAAATTCCCAAATATCGTTTGGGAAGCAGCGATACGTGTTGCATCATTGAACTGGATTAAATCACGGAATGAATGCGAGATGCAGCGATGTATACCAGTACAAGGGAGGCAGAAATCCACGCCAGGTTCATCAAAAGCAGATTCTTATTGTCACTGTACATAATTCCATTCGTGTCTTACAACCCTTTTCACCGTGCGACGAAGCAGCGGTTTCTACAAAATGTAGTTGTGGCTCAGATGTCCTTCTTTGCCTGCTTTTAGACCTCCAGATGAAACAGGATTGACCTCGGTGCTTTTAGCGATCTTTGAGACCCAGATTCGGTGGGTTACGCAAGCAGTTATGGCGTTTTATGTGGAAGTGATATCAGATGGGAGCGGCATTTGCTTGGTTTTAATACATCCACAGCGTTGGTACAAGTCTGAAAAGAAGATTGAAGGAAGCTTTGTCCTGGGGGGCCCTGTGTCACCCTTCCGCTCAGTCGGTCTCCGAGGACTAATGATGTCAGCCTCGGGAACTACAGCTGTTTCATATCATGCTGATGAAGACTCATGTCTACCTTAAAAGTCATATCGATGATCTGGAGAAGGCTCATCTTGCTGATCCAACGAAAGATGTCAGGTCGTGAACCAACTGCGTCCAAGTCGAGTTCCGAGACATGGTGGAAAGCATCGGCAGCCAGCGAAACGCATGATTGATCCAGCTTCATGGACACCATGGGCAAGATTTCTAAAAGCAATGCGGTCTTTGATGATTGACAACTGGCGGAAATCGCCCTCTCGAATATAGAGTAGGCTATTCTTGTCGGTACACATAAGAAGACCAATCTCGACGATTCGAAGGCATAAGTGGCAGCCGAGAATATCAATAAATTCCTTTTGACCAAACTCCACTCCAGCATTGTTGAGCACGATTTTTCTCAGACCAGGACAGTTGGTATTCACTTCCCGAAGAAAGTGCCGGATGACAGAACAAATGACAGGCGTTGGGAAAGAATAGTGTCGGGCTCCGTATCTTTGATGTATACGGAGTAGACCAAAAACACTTCACCTCTAATTACCCAACTCAGCACCTACCTTTGTAGCACTCTCTCATATGCAAAATGAGAGTACGGAGACTCTACTCTATATCGTTAACAAGGTTCAAAAAAGCAAAAGAAGACGACGCCTGTGTGATTCGAACACACGCTCCCGAAGGAAATGCCTTAGCAGGGCATCGCGTTAACCACTCCGCCAAAGCGCCTTGATGTGTATCCTGAGATTGGTTGGATCTCATTGGTGGATGAGGGAAACAGAGATAGATTGCGTTTATGTTGACGCAACAAACAGACGTGGTGTTGGTTGGCGGCGCGAGACGAGCGGCGCGTGTGTGGCTCTCGTCATGCGCATCGCCTTAGAGTCGAGATAGATCTCATCTATAGCAATTCGTGAGCGTAGCGGCGGGTCGATACATCGAGTGTGTCGAGGAAAAATAAAGTGGATGCGCAAAAAAAGAAGAAGAGATTTTGCCCAAGTCGAATTTTCCTTTCCTTACCAGCCACAACGGCATGGTTCTTGCAGAGTCTCACGTATTGCTCGCTCTCCCGCGAAGACATTTTTTGACAGATCGATTGCACGCAGAGAGAACAGCATGAGATGTTCGACCCAAGAGATGGTCATGTAGAGTATGGGTCTCCACAATTGGCGACCTCTACTCAAAGTATGCTGTCGCAGCGAAATTCTGTTCTAGCCGACTGGTCTGTCGTGTGACGATTCACGTCTGATGAGCAATAACCAAAACCACATCTTTGGATACTCATATTCCACAGGCACGAACTGCCAGATAGGTCATTGTGACACGATGTTGTCTAGGTGGTGAGGTCAAAAGATGCATGCTTTTTATCTATCAGTATTGCTTGTGGCAAAGCGGCTACATGGAACGCTCGTGACGAAAGCGAGATGGACAACATCTGTCGAGTTCCCTTGATCAGTTGCCCCCAGTCGTCCTTGCTCTTCTCTTCTAAAACAGAACATAATCGATGGGTATTCCTTGCGCTCATTAAGGATGTAAAGGTCGTTGATATCGTTGAGTTGCGTCAGTGTCATGGACCCCCTTCTCTTTGAGCGGAGTGTGCGGGAGCTGCGTCGTTGCTTCTAAAGAATCATCAAAGCTATGGAACTCTTTGTCGAGAGATGATACCATAACAGATGACTGACAAGCACAGCTAGACTCGAAGGCGAGGAGGAAATACCAGTCAAGGGAAACGTGGTGTCTCTTTTGTAGTGCCTGTGGCTCTTGTGAGCAGCCGTGCGCTTTATGGCTTGTCGGTGCGTCTTCGTGGGTTGACACCTTGAAATCGATCAGTTGGCCCCCTCTCTCTCTCTCTCCCATTCTCAGTGAGCAATGTGCACTTTGCTGACGGATCTTCCAGGTGTTCATGGAGATACTGATAGGTATGTAGGACTGATCTTTCCTGTGCTGTCCACACTTGAATGGGCGTTGCGGAAACGGACTCACGGGCCGCCCTCTTGGATCTGGGGTGCTGCTGATGTCGTCGACTTTCGGAAAGGGCTCCGGGCATGAATCTTTTTCGACTCCGCGTCACTGTTTAGTATGTTGAGGGTATAAAGCCACGACGTGGCCGGCCAGATAGCAATATCTATGTCGATAGTGTTTGTCGTTTTGGGTCAAGGCTCTTTGGGCGGAGAACAACCGGCGTGGCTGCGCTTCGATGGCCAATCAGAACCGCGGTGGTATGTATGCTCAAGTGTATGCTGATAGCTCTTTGACTTCCGTTCCTCCTCTCATCACATAGGTCCATACTTGATCTGGAGAACAGTACATGCGTCTGGAATATGTTTCCGGATGACAGGTCCGATGGTCCAGTTGCCCAAGTCTAGTATGTGCTTAACAAACGCCGGCGCCAGCCTCAGTTTTCTATTGCCATCATAGCACATGGCATCTTGGACGTTGCCCGGCCAATTGCAGTCGATGGTCGTGGCAGCTTCAGAGTACCAGTATGTTGGTTGACATTGTAGGTCGATGCGTTGGATGACGGCGTCTCGAAGTCTGGGCCAGACATGAAAGTCGGCGTAGATGGGATGCGGAACAAACATCTGGTAGGGCGTCGGCCTGTACCAGTCTGGAATGGCAAGATAGGTCTCTGGAGTCTGGAGGATGATCCACCGCATCAGGTACCACTGGATATACATGACAGCCATGCGACATACCAGCGACTGGATGCCGAAGCTGTTGGCTAGTCTCGCAGTCCACTGGGACAAGACAGGAGCTCCAACGAATTCGGCTTCGTTGACGAGTACCTCGACATCTGGTACTGTGCCAAACAAGCGTTCTGGAGGAATGCCGCTGGCAATCAGTCTCTTGCTCTCGAGGATGAAGTCGACGTAGACGACAGACATCAAGTCAGGGTCGTCATTGCGGTACATTGACATGATTGACCACGCTGGCGCAGTCACCTCTGGCATGCCGAGCAACTGCGGGTTCATGGGTGAGGACAGTGGTGGAAACGCCCCACCAGTGCTGAACAGATGAGACGTTATCATGACGCAGTCGCCGCCTGGACGAGCTTCGTTGAGCATCCGACGCCTAGCTCTGTACCTGTCGAGGATTTTGGTGTGTCTCTCCAACGCGGCTGAGCCTGGGCCTGAAGGCATGCCTGGCGTCGAGGCAGAGAGAGTAGGGTCGATCCAGAGTCTCTTGTGGTCGCCCATGAGGTAGACTGAGTTTGGGGCGTCGCCATCGAGGATAGGGAAAGATTCGTGAGCAGCGCCTTGCATCCCCGAGTACGGGTCGTCCTCGAACAACAGGTGCTGTGCATGGACTTGGGTGAACAACGAGCGAGCCCATGGGGACTCGATCTGTTCCTGTCGCGGCTGACTTGTCTCGGGTCCGAGCCCATCGACCACACCGGGACTGTTGGTCACGACGCTGGTGCTCCTTTCCGACCGCGTCGAGTCGTATAGAGGAATGCTGGTGAGCAGAGATGGACCTGTTGGGTTACGAGCAAGTCCAATGCCAAACGCCGACACACTTTTGAGTGTCGGTATCGCTCTGTTCAACAAGTCAGCCAAAACTTGCAACGACATGACACGACACCAACATACTGGTCTTTCCACTGGTCGACTTCACTCATTTCCGAGAGGCCCTCGACCATGTCGACGCCAAGGATTCCGTCGACAGTGTCTCCAAGCCTGAGCTGGGCGAGAATTGCGCTCGCTTCATTGTCAGTGCTGTACCTGAGTTTGTTGATGAACAACTCGAGGTTGCGCACTCTCGACGACAATGTCACGACCTTTTGTTTGAGGTCCTCTGTTCGTGTTGCACCCTCGACGACATCATACATGCATGATAACCCTCTGGTCTGGCATGCAGAACATGATGGTCGCTCTCCGTTACACTGAATTGAACACGCGTCAGTCTTGCAAAATTGGAGAAAATGTCGGGCTCGAACGACTAGATACCTTGCGTTTCCGCTTGCGACAGTCAACACAGGCGACGGCAGTCAGTTTCCTTGGGGCCGACGATTGACTGCCCGAGTGACCAGGAGTTTCCCCGTCGACAACGATGGCCTTACCACGTTGTTTGTCTCTGTCCTGAGGCATTGGACGATGGTTGTATAACATGGACTATCCAGAAGAAACCGACCGCTTGCTTTGAGACCCGGCTTTTTCCCACGGAGTTGGCCCCGCAACACGGAGCTATTATACTCAGTGGATATGTCAGAGCTTGGCTTTCGGAGCGTCAGTGACGCGACCAGATTGGTCGAGAGATTGGTCGAGAGGATACGTCTCGAGCTCGATCGTTACCAATTTAATCCTACTAAAATGATAATGGCGGAGTCGATGCCGTCTCGGTGAACGGGCCAAGGTAGGTCGCTTGGATGTGCGTACAACAGTATGTACTCTGGCCGGGAACGAGTGGAGGATGATGAAGAACGAAGGAAACGGAAGTTCAATTAAGGGCAGACAATGCATAAGGTGTGGACGGAGAAGACCAATCGAGAAAAGGCCGACAATTTTGCAGATAACGCGACTTCTAGAATGTCCACGGGTCATGGCGCTCCTGCACAGGGGTGAGCAACACCAATACATGGACCAAATGCGCGAGGAAAACAGGAGGAGACGTCCGGAGCGCATCGTGTTGATCATGATGGAAACATAATAGGCAGGCAAGATGATGAGTCGTCGGGAGAGACTCCGTATCTCATCGGATGCATTACCTCCTCCCCGACCGTAAAGATGCAAATCTGATCGCCTCTCCAGCTGCTGCTTCAAGCACAAATTTCGGACCGGAAATAACAATTTGCCATCGTTGTATCGTTCATCATACGACGCACGAATACCTCGAATGACGGATTCGCGGGTTGCGGCTGAGCAACTGTTCGATGTACGCCTTCCCTTTTCGTCGCGAAATGTATGGAAGAACGTTGAAACCACACTCTATGCTTTGATGAATACTGGGGGTTAGACAGCCGAACAGTGGGCTGGCATCAAAATAGTAGATGTTAGGGTGTGCTGACACTTGGAATGCTCCTCAATCAAGTGGGAAGGTTGCACCTAGATTGAGACAAGCTTCGGTAAAGTACCGCAGACGTGTCTGGATCTATATCGTGACACATTGGGATTTTCAGAATATCAGTAATCTTCAAAGTCTCAAAGTCTTTCCCGTTGAAAAGTAGAAACAAGTCGCTGTGATCGGAGAATAGTATCGCAATCAGGCATTGCGGTTTCACCCATCTCGATCGTTTGCTTCCTTTTGCGTGTGTGTTAACTCTACAAACACGAATATGTTGTTCTAGAAGTCATCTGAACGCATTCATGCACTTGGAATCAGGCCAACATGGCAGGTTTGCAGTTGGCATGGCATGAACCGATCAAATCGTAAATTCGGAGCGTGGGCCTTTCGCTCCGATAGGTCGGCGGACTTTCCTCTTCGCAACCTTAGCGCATCGATGAGCTCATCATCACGTGGCATCCATCATCTCACAACTTCCATCTGGAATTGATCTCTTCCATAATACACTTCATCTCCTTGACGATATGTCGGAAGCTAATTTCAAGGCCATGTTGCAGCAGTATGCTCATGAAAGCCCAGATGTCTCTCCAACTAAAGCCGGCCCAGCGCGAGTTTTGCGGTCACGAGCACGCCCAGCATCGGTGGCGGCAGATTCGCAGCAAGTAAAGAACAAGGAGCAAAATGCTGAGCAATCGAAGGATTCATCAACCATCAAACCGTCGAAGAAACGTAAGGCGCCAAGCAAGTACGCGCCTCCATCGAAGTATCAACACCTCAGTCCTCTTACCGATATTCTGGCTCCAAATTTGATCGCTGTATTTGTGGGAACAAATCCCGGTATACGCACCGCAGCTCAAGGCCATGCATATGCACATCCCTCGAACCAGTTTTGGAAGCTACTTCATTCTAGCGGCTGTACTGATGAACGGTTACGCCCCGAGCAAGATGTCGAACTGCCGGCCCGTTACTTGCTTGGGAATACTAATATCGTAGAGCGGCCCACCAAAGATGCTGCCGAACTCAGCAAGGCAGAGATGAGTGATGGTGCTCCTGTCTTGGATGAGAAATGCCGCAAATGGCGTCCTGAATGTGTTTGTATCGTCGGCAAAGGCATCTGGGAGGCTATATTCCGATATCGCCATGGCAAGAATCCAACCAAGGCCGAGTTTCACTGGGGCTGGCAGGACGAGACGGAGAACATGGGCCGTGTCGCCGCTGCTGGAGAGGATGGATATCAGGGCGCAAAGGTGTTTGTCACCACAAGTACGAGTGGTCTTGCCGCCAGTCTGAAGCCTGCCGAGAAAGAAGCCATCTGGCTGCCGTTTGGCGAGTGGTGTAAGGAAAGAAGAGTCGCTCGGAGTTGGCCGCCACCACCTCAGCGCGAAGACCAAAGGGCAGACGAGTCGAACGCATGACATTCTTGAAACACGATTCAATTTGGAGATTCCTGTTTCTACAATCAACACGTCGACAGCACGCATGTATGGTCTTTGATAGCTTGATAATCTGGCATGCTTGGGGTCCACCATGTTACTCGATGCAAGCCGTTCGTGTTACAAGCTGGCTGCTCAGCTCAATTTCACCTGCTTGAGTTCACAAGCACCGGAAAATTAACAGATCGCATTATAGAGCTATCTTGGGACCCTGCGTTCTCAGTCGTGTTCATCAGGCTCTTGCAGCATATAACTCATGCAGTCGTATCACCTAAGCCAATCGAAACGCCCAGGCCGATATGGCCTCCGGAATATCTCCCGTGTAGCGGTCGTGTTGGGTCGCGGAGACGGACTCGGTACCGAATGTGTTTGTTGGTCAACCCCCCACGCACGACGGAGATGGCAATGTTCGCCCCTCGTGTATTCCATTTGGCGTCATGGGAATTGGGGCTATGCAGGTGGCCTCGTCGCTGATTTGGATGCGGATCACTGCCACCCGGGTTCTTGAGGCGTGTTACCCTGCAGATGGCGGCAGTGCAGCGTGTTGTCAAAGATCACCAGCCATACGAGTACAGTCAAATAGACTTTGAGAAAGAGGCTCATCTGGCCCTTGCCTTTCACATTCTTGCGAAACGATCGCTCAGCAGCGTCAACAATACTCAAACGATCCTGTCCCGGCTTGCGATCTTCGCCTCGATGCGGCTGGTGACCATTCATCCTAAACTCACCTGCCAAACATTGTCACATCGTTCAAGCCGCAGTCATGTGCATCGGAACCCCATCAAAATGCACGATGCTATTGAGCAAGGTCGCATCGTCCCCAAGAGAGCAAAGGTCCGAAACTCTCGCTTTGGACCTGGCCCTACTTTCGGAAATCATTGTGCGTTCCTACACGATTGTCGGCGACAAACTTTGGCACACGGTGAGGCAGGAGTGAGCATTCTCGCTACGTCGATTTTAGATCCGGGAGCCCATCATTGGGTACGGCAGATATGCATCCATCGCATCCGCGTCGAGCTTGCGTAACGTATCGGTTCATTAGGGCAGCTTTTGTTACCAGCTGAGCATCCTCGCAAGCTGAATTCCCTTGGCAAGCTAAATCTCCTTCGCCCTGGACCTCCTAGATGGAATGATTATCAAATGCCTTGGAACTTGAGGTTGCAGTACGCATCTGCAACATCTTCTCGATGGCAGCGGTAGAAGTATTCAGAACACCACTACCGTCCTTCGTTGCAGGGACAGAAACAGTCCCGCTTGGACTTTCTCGCAAGTCATCACAAAAGCCGAGCGACTAGCAAGGAGCGCAATGGAACGTCCTTCCAGTCGTCTGACAAACAACGAAAGCTCATCACCATCTGCATTGGCACCCACTTCCTTCTCAACACACAAATCTACCAAGTTAACCTTTACCAATGTGCCAGTGATCTGTTACGTCCGTACACACCTCCGAACTTCGCCTGCACACATCTGCAAACTCCGTCCACGTTCACCCAAAGTACGGCACAGTCCCCCTCTCGAACGTAAGAACCAAATGAAGACTATCGCCCACGTCAAAACAACTAGTCGTACTCGAGCAACGAACCCGGGCACGACAACAAACATCCCGTACACTCGCTACTGCGATACAACAAAACAGCACACCTTTGTGCGTTACCTCCAACCACCGCTCCCCTAGCGACGCTATCAACAAGACAACAAGCAGTTCCGTAGTCAACGCCCAACCTCGTTCGTATGTCCGACTATGAGCAGGGCCTTGAAAAAGAAAGCGCACAGCAGCGACAATCCACATTGGAGTTAGAAGCAGAAGGTGGTGCACAGTCATTAGTTCGAATCGAGTTGTTTGGAAGAGAAGAACTAAGAAGAGGTAGGGGGGCTCTATACCACCGTTGCTGGCTATTCTTGCGTAGCGTTTGAGAATCGAGCCCGGGCACGACAACGAAGACCACGTACGCTCCATCACTCCGGCACAGCACAAATATCAACCACACACCTTCAAGAGGCGATGGAAAGTGATGCAAGAGGTTGAGCAAGTCGGCAAGCAAAGCCTGACATCTAGGTAATCTTTTCACGAACTTGATTTGGTTCGAGACATGAATGAATGGTTTCTTTTTGAACTGCTTCGTCCTCTACTAACAGTCTTTTGAAATAGTCTAGATCTTGACAAAATAAAAATAAAAACATTAGTTTAAACGTCCTCGAAAAACTCCAACGTATGCTATGTATGACTTCTCCTCACTTTCTATCGTCAACTTTCTTCTGCTTTCAGGCCACCTTCATGTCTATCCCTAACACTACTACGGCCGCTGCGGACAATCTATGCGCGGCGAGTGGAAGTGGCGTGCTTGGTCGACGACGACTTCTTAGTAGAGGAAGACTTCTTGGTGGAGGAAGACTTCTTGGTGGAGACAGCCTTCTTGGAGCTAGTACTCTTCTTGGTCGACTTTGCAGTGGTCTTCTTAGAGCTAGACTTGGGCTTGGTGGTAGTCTTGAGAGTAGACGCAGGCTTCTTGGTGGAAACAGAGACCTTCTTGGAGGAGACCTTGTGCGCGGTGGAAGAAGGCTTGTGAGTGCTTGAAGCAGCCTTCTTGGAGGAAGTACTCTTCTTGGTGGAAGTGACCTTCTTTGAGCTGGTGACGGGCTTCTTGACACTGCTGCTGGTGTGCTTGGTAGAAGTGCTCATCTTCTTGGTAGAGGTAGATGAGGGCTTGGGGCTGGGAAGAGTGTTAGATATGATCACATTGATTTGATGGCAAGGTTCAACACGTACATAGTGGCCGAGATAGGGTGTCCAGCGGAGTGGGCTGATGCGATGGCAGAAGCCTCACCAGCACCGGCACCGGGCATGCCGGCAAAGCCGGTGGAAACAGACTTCTTAGTGCTGCTGCTGCTGCTCTTCTTTGTGCTCGAGCTGGCCTTCTTGGTGGAAGAAGAAGCAGCAGGACTACGATGGAGTCAGAAGTCTGGGTAGAGTCACGAAGTTTTGATCAACTTACATTGTGGCCGCAACGGGGTGACCGGCGGAATGAGCAGAGGCAATGGCAGAAGCTTCACCAGCGCCAGCACCGGGCATACCAGCAAAGCCAGTTGAGGCGGCGTTGGCTGAGCTAGAGCTGGAGCTCTTCTTGGTTGAAGATGCCTTGATTGTTGTAGACTTTGCGGAAGAGCTGATGGTAGAGGAAGGAGAGGGGCTTGAGGAATGTTAACATGACTCTCAAAAAATTCGGATAGACACCAACTTACAAAGCAGCAGTACCGGTAGAACCAGCAGAAGATTTAGCTGCAGACTGCCCAGCACCAACACCAGGCATGTTAGAGTAGTCTGTGGCGGGACCAGAAGAAGTGGCCGAAGAGCTAATCATCGAGCTGATCATGGAGCTGGTCAAAGAAGCAGCCATGGAGGAGCTGAATGTGGATGATGCAGTCATGGTTGCATTTTGCATTGAGGTAGGGTAGATAGCAGAGCTTGAGGCGCTCATGGTGCTGTTGGAGCCAGCCCTAGGATTTACTTAGCACAAAGTCTCAATCTGGAATACTAAAAAACATACATTCCGGCATCAACAGGTTGACCGGCAGCCTTCATCTGAGCTCTGGCTTGAGCCTGGCCCTCACCAGCACCAGGCATAGAAGCATAGTCGTTGGTCTTGGGAGCAGACTGAGGAGATGCCTGTGCCAGAGCGGCAAGGATGGGGATAAGGAGAGTAGCAGTGTGCATGGTGATTAGTTATTAATGAGTGGATAATAGATGGATGAAAGAATGGAAATGGTCAGTGGAATAGTAGCACACAACGAGAGAATGACTTGCGGAGAATATGGCGTAGATGTGAGAGGAGAGGATGGAGTCTTATATCAGAAGTGCATACAGGAGTCAAGCAGACCAGAAGTGTTTCACCTGGGGACTAAACATCTATCGAAAGTTGAACGGTCAAAACAGGAGAGCATCTCGAAAACGGATGGCAAAAGAGCAGATTGGGGACGAGGCGCATTGCAGTTGCGGGCCGTGACGAGCTAGATGTGGTGCAGACTTGGTGCTTGACTCGACACATGGTGCAATTGCAGATCAGGACGAGGCTATCGAGGATAAGCACTGAGAAAAGTGAGCCTTGGGTAGGTCGACGGTAGGCAATAGCTAAACGGGCTGAAGGTTAGTACAGAGAGACCAACGGTCAGACTGATTCCCAGGACGGTTGTGGGGAGAGATTCCGCGGTGGAATACCGACGAAGAATTCCAGAATGTTGAGGAGCACATTTTCTGTCACTTCATGCCATTCTAGACATTTGACATGCAAGAGAAACACATGAACTGGAAGCCTTCGAATGGACATGATGATAAGTCAGAGTGGAGACCAGTCACAGCCTCTATGAGCAGCAGGCAGAAGAGAGTGAAAGGCGCATCCGAGTTGAAAGCCACATGGCAATATTGGGTTAGGTAAATGTTGTGGTGAAGTCCCGAAACAGAGGCCGTTGGAATTCGGGAAAGCAGAACGGGTTGGCCAGACTCAGACGAGGCTGTCGAAGGGCCAACGTAGTTATGCGGGTTGTCAGCATTGAGAAGTTGTGTATATGTGGATGATCGAGCATGAGCTTGTGTAGTGAAAGAGTGGTAGACGATGTGTGAAGCTGGTGATGAGATATCAATGATATCAGAGAGGATGTGTAAGTGAGCGGAGATGGCAGGGCTGATGGAGGCAGCGGAGCGGAAAGCGTGGGTGCCGATGATGCTGCCAAGACAAATTCACAAGCACAAGCACAAGTTTGGAGGGTGCAGCAGTTGAACAGAAGAGCTACCTACTCGAGTAAACATCTTCGCAACACGAATCATCATTTCGCAATGGCGCTTCAACCTACCCCAGATCAGAAGATCGATCGTCAGACGACTACCCCATTCCTCCTGCGACTGTACTACCGATCCAATGGCTTCCACTCACCGAACGAGTTCTCGACAGTGCCGCCGCCATCGTGGTTACAACAATCGAGCCTTCAAATCTACACCTGGCCTTCTTGCACTCTCGCCGAATTGACCACACTCCTCACCACCGCCCTGCCCAGCTTACTCCCATCACCTTCGGTCGGCACGCGCATTGGCTACCGTCTGGTCTTTCCGGATACGCGTAGTGTCCCTGCATCAGGCGGATCAGATGCTCCAGGACGATGGTTATCAAAAGAGCTGGGTAGTGTGATTCTGGGTCACGGCGACGACTACGATCAAGAGAACGATCCTGCCGCTCTCGGACGTATGGATGGTGATGCGCAAAAGACGCTCGCAGATGCGCGCTTCGTCATTGGCGACTACATTTCGTGCGCCGTCTTCCCACCCTTGGCCGATGGTTCCGTCGCTCCTCTACCACCTGCCACCCCTGCCATCAGAGGCACATCTGGTCGAGGCGGTCCACCACGCGGCGAGAACGGCCGTCCACCTAGATCAGGAAGAGGCGGAGACAGAGCTTTTGGTCCTATGGGCGTCCCTCACGGAGAATGGAGACGAGGCGAAAGAGTCCCGGAATACGCTCGCTCGGGTAGAGGCGGTAGCGGTGGTGAACGTGAGCGTGGAGGAGGAAGAAACAGACCCTATTGAAGGATGCGACAAGACAGCACTTGCTTCTACACAACCCTCTCCGCGACACACCTGACGCCTTGAGCAGACACAACCCCACTCTGCATGTCAACTGAGTATTAGGGATAACATCTGCCGGCGTGTAGCGCACATCGCGTCCAATAGGCCAGCAGTTGAGTCGTTCCCAAGGTCATTGTGCGCTTCGCCATGGAGCGCATCTCTGTCTTACCGAGTCCTGCTGGCGAGATGCGCCCATGCTACATATGAGACACGGTGTAGACGGCCACAGAGCCCCTCGTCTCTGCTGGTGAGTTTGCCGAAAGTTCTCGTCCGAAAAAATCTTATCGAAAGGCCATATGAATTGGCCGTCGATAACATGATACTGCAGCGTACTCTAATAACGCGGTAAAGACTGTTCGATAGAAACAATCAAAATTTGCTCACCTTCAATTCCAACCATGACCACTTCGATCATTCGCAGCCTTAGAGCTTCGAGAAACCGCAGCCGAAGTGCATGCTTGAGGCACTGGTGTTCTCTTCTGTGTCTGAGATACATTCAACAGCATTACCTCACAGTTTTAGGATGTCATCTGTGATCATCATCAACGCTTCTGATCACATTAATGCTTTTTACCACAGGCATTTTTAGAGAAGTGTTTGACATCACAAGATGGTCGCAAACTTACCTAAACAAATACACCTATTACAAGATAACACGACGAGCCTAGTAAGCACTTCCTATGCAGCCAGATCACGAAAATTGCCAGATGCTACGCAACAAAAGACGTGCAATTCCTCCACCAGGGTAACCCGCACAGCGAGCAAGATCTAAACTCCGGGACGCTATCGCCGAACCGCGGCTCATCTGTTCCAGCCACTTCGTCCTCGTCATCTCTTTTGCTTTTAGCTTTAAGGGCGTCATCCAGGGTTTCGACTGCATGCTTGTTACATATCGACAGGGATGAAGATATCCGGGATGAGCAACTGCAACCCATCTGCCGGACGTGACTGCCTGCATACCAAGGACGGAGATTGTTTCTTCCTCGAATGTGGTTCGGTTATGGTCAGCCATGCCGTGAGCCGAGTAATAACAAGGCTGTGGAAGTCAGTCAACGAATATGCAGGACGTCTCGTGGTGATTCGTGGTGATACAACAGGCTGATATCGATTCTCCGAGGATGTGAGAAGGTTTGGAAGTCATATGGAACAAGACGGCGTGGATGATCATCCAGATCTAGATTTATAACATCCAATAACCTCTCCACGAACACCCGCAAGGAAGGGATCGTCCCCGAGACTATATAATCATCAGATATCCCCAACTCTACCCCGTTCCTTCCCTCCCATATACCGTAAACATAAATCATACACAATGAAGACCTCTCAATATCTCCTCGGTGTCGCTGCTGCCGCTGGCGTGCAGTTGACCTCTGCAGCCACTCCAGCAGGCTCCTCCCCTCAGGTCCCCAACACCCTTGGCCTCGTCTTCGCCAACAACGTCGTCCAACCCGGCGAACTGATCGCTCAATCAGGTAAATATCCCTTTTCTTCCCCTTCGACCCTTGACAAAACATCACCCAACTAACACACCATTCAGTCGTCGATGCAGCCCAACCTTCCGTCTACGCCCCCAACCCCCGAAACCGCAACCGCGGTCTCAAGAAACACAAACCAAAGAAGGACCAAACCTACCTCTTCACCCTCGTCGACCTAAACCTCCCCTACTTCGCCCTCCCAAACACCACCGATTTCGCCTCTTTGGTCCCAGGTATCGGGCCCAACCGCACCACACGCCTCCATTGGTTCGAATACAACGTGCACGCCATCCCTCCCCACCAACAACTCCAAAACTTCTCTGCCCCAATTGCAGACTATCAAGGTCCCATGCCGCCACAGGGTGACGAGGCGCATAATTACGTCTTGTATTTGTTTGAGCAGCCCGAGGGGTGGAAGCCTGAAGTGGGGGCTATGCAGAGGTATAATAACGCCAGTGATTCGTTCGCGAGGATGAATTTCAGTGTGGAGGCGTTGAGTGAGCAGGTTGGAAAGCCGATTGCTGCTAATTACTTTTTGACCGAGAATGAGAATAACACAAAGACTGCTTAGAGTTTGGGGGGGGAGGGATGTAATGGGGTGCGGTTTGGAAAGAGATGTTAGGAGTCAAATACAAAAGCAGTGGTTGAAGAATAGCACGATGAAACTAGAGCTGGCTTGATTGCTGGCCGATGTATGTATGTATGAACATTTGCGTGCTATGCTAGTGGTCTCGTGTATTACCGTGATTGTTGATTGAGCATCGTGTGCCCCCTCAGAAGATGGACGCACCTTTTGAACGTCCGTATCAATGCACAATGTCCTGCTGATGAATGAGAATGTTCGCCAAGAGCAAAATGCCACAGACTCGCACTGAAAAAACAAGTGGATGTCTGTACATTCTGCGACCCTATGGCCTCAACAATCATCCCTGTCTGATGCAGAGATGGCTCTATCCATCAGCCGAGGGATTGTAGTCAAGAACTGATCATGTCCATGAGGAGGTTCGATGCTCTCGAGAAAGCTGCAATAAGCTGTAACATGATTGCCGTTGGAACACACCCAACAACGCTGAAAGTCATCGGAGGAAGATAAACCGAAGAACTCCAATGTGTCTCTGAATCCAGCTGTCGTCACGTCCAAGTTGAAATTTTCTCGATCAAGGGGCTCTTCGAAGATTACTAGCCATTTGAGAAACTTGTACTTTCTCGAGCCATTCCATATCATTTGCCTGCGCATGGTGAATTTTCTAGGACGGAAGGTGCGAGCAAGTGTGTTGATGATGTCGATGTCGAAGCTTGACGTTATCACTCCGGGCTTCGTGAACATGGCGAACATTTGAAATGACTGGCCGGGTGCGTACGTAAGCACAGGTATGCTGATATCGCGTAGAATGATCAATCTGCCGAGTGAAGTGCGCAGGTCTCTTATGTCTTTGAAGTGCAGCACCCACGAACCATCCTTTGAGGGACAAGGCGTTGTCTCCTGAGCAGGCACACCCTTGTAATCGCAAGCTTTCATGATTTCCAACTTTTGCTGCGCCTGACTATTCAGGGGCTCTTTAGGCATGATCCTAGCCTGGAACAGGGGCAGACTACGCGGGCGTGTCGGAGGCTGGAGATTGTGAGCAGAGCATCTGCGACTTTCTGACGAAGCAGAAGACGGTGTAGCGAACACCTGGATGAACATTGTCAATATGAGTTTTCTGGGCGAAATGCACTACTGGTTCAGAGTATATGAGCCTATGGTTCCCGATCAAGACGGGACTACACAGACACTGTACACTTAAAGACTTACATTTTTGTCGATAGTTTTGCGCGCAACTTCGACATCTAGTCCAAGATGGGGTCGTGGGCGTAACGGCGCAGAATTGGAGCCAGTAGCGAGTCTGAACTGGATAGGAAGTGCTGCGGTGGTTGCTGATTTTGGCGATGCCGAAGGGCTTGGTGGTCTTTGGTCGCGTAGAGGTTCAATGCCCACGGGTTTCACAGCTTCAGTGGCCCAGCGAGTAGGACGTTTCGGCTTTATGACCTGAGACGGCTCAGGACTTGGAGATCGCAAGTGCTGAGAGGACCCCTTGTGTAAAGATGGCCGCTTATGTGATGGATGTTGCACCGTTTGAGACGGCTCGGCGGGACTTGCCAAAACGAGGGTTGCGGCCGAAGACTTTCTTGAGGACAATTCGGTAAGGCTATCAGTTCGTGGCTTGCTAAGACTTGCAGCTCGAGGCTTTGAGTCGGAGTCTGAGGACGGTGCCCAACCTGGTCGTCTCGACATGAGGCGCGGATCTGTCGGCGGAGCTAAGTGAGCTTGTTGATGGCCGATTGAACTAGGCGGTGGAAGTGAGGCAGGAGCCGGTTCGTTGTTTCTGGCCATCTGTGCGACTGGCGCTTGGTATTGCCCGGATGCGGGATCTTTTTCAGGAACAACGCCATGTCCACTGAAAGAAGGCGCAGGTGCAGGTGCAGAGGGACCTGCAGGTGTAAACGATGGAGATTGAGCATTGAGAAGCACAGGTGGCGCGCGAGGAAAGACGCGATCAACGGCCTTCATCAATTGATCCTTGAGCTCCCTGTCGAGATATCGGCCGTTGTTCCTCTCACTCTCTTCGACCATGGAGCGTATCGAGTCTGCTAGAGCTCTAGGTGTCGCTATGGTAGTCGATACATGGCGCACCCGTGTTTGTGTCCAGAAAGGCTCACGCGCCTCGATCAGGTCGTTGACATCTTCTGACGTGGCTCCGAGAGACTGGTATGTTGCGATGACCGTCTTCCACTTCTTCACGCCAGATGCTTCATCTTGACAGAGGTTGACGATGCGCTTCATATGAAGAATCGACTCTTCGACTGGTTCGTCGGATCGAGTCCAGTCGAACATGGTCTTCACAGCCTTTGTGAGGTCGTCATTCTTAGAGCTTCTCCATACTGCCGAGGAAGAGAGTGAACTCGGACTAAGAGGATCACTGTGCCTTGACCAGGGTGGAAGAGCCTCATCTTCTGTCTTGAGTCGTTTGATCTCCTCGTAGTCTCGTGGTACGAAGTCGTCGGGTGGTGGTGAAGGAGAGGAAGAGAGCTCGCGCTTGCGCTTCTTGCCCCATGGAGGCGTCGTCTCGTGCCTTTGCGGCATGGAGAAAGCCTGTGGTTTGACTAAACAAAGCTCGTGGTGAGCAAAGAACAAAGATGTGGATAGTTTGTTTTCCTGTTGTCAGTCTTCATTGAAGTGTGTTTGTTGATCGAGTGGAAGCCAAACATGTGACGGTCGACTTGTTTACGACGCGAAATTTCAGTTTCGTCGCCGAGTGTTGGGATTTTGCTCGTTTGGTCTTAATCAATGTCGACTGCACTTTGCGGCAACGCGCAGTCTTGCTTGTTCGCGTTGCAGTGTTAGCTGCATACCGACACATCCTACCTGTCATTTTCTTCCTCTCATCACATCCAAGAATATCTCGCATGGTGCATCTATTGAGTGATCGGAACATGGATGTGCTGCGACGGTCGAGGGTGCCTTCATTCGATCTCATTGCATCTGAACCAGTTGCTCACCGCTCTGAACGACACATCGTCGACCTTGACAAAGTATCCACGACCAGGACGGGACTCGACCAGAGGATTGTCCTTTTCGAAGACTCCTCACTCTGGAGTCGGGACATTGTAACGCGTTTATTCGTGTTCAGACACGTCTCCTCGGTTTCGCATTCGAGCGAGAGATGAGTGTGAGAGACGCATGAAGGTCGCGTGCGGACCATGCGGGAGTGACGGCAAAACCTCGATCTGAAACACCGGAACGCCAAGCCATGGGAACGCCCTTCATCCACAATCCCGCGCCAGAGTCTTGTCGAGGATTGTGGACCAGTCGAGGTCCAAATGTCGGCGCTTGATCTTTTCTGGTCAATGGACCCTTGTCGGATACATCCATCCTCATGGGAAAGTGTCTTTCACGAGCTCACTACTCCGTAACTTCCGAGTATTGCAAAGGACTCTCGACCCATTGGGAGCGACAGGAGACTACCTACTATGAAAAACAGGAGTCTTGCTCTGATACTGCCCAGATGACCTCGTCCTCGAAACAACAGAGGACTGACCACTTTATGCCCTGTCGTCTTACATGAGTAAGTTTCACCTGGTTATCCCCACGCGTTCATATGCCGGCACCTCGCTCTACCACAAATCATCCTCTAGAGTCTAAAGGATGGACTTCATCATCGGGATCCATTGACCCGTTCTCACTGGCTTGTGTGCACAATGCGCCAGTGGGGCACAGACAGAATGTGCCGTAACCTGTGATGCGGACTCTTAGACCGATAGGCCTCGCTCTCGCTTATCAACTCATCTTTCCGTCCGTTCATCTATTCTAGGGCCCTGCCGCCGACGAGCTGAAAAAGCATTTGGAATAGGCTCAATAGGCAGGTGGTTCTTCGCATACCAATCTCTCTGGAAAGCCTGCAAGTGTAGTCGTCTGCTTTACGATTCTAGCGTCGCTTCCACGACTTCTATCAAACTCTGATTTAGCGAGCCGTTGAACATGCGAACGGCTGTCAGACAACAAGACATCTCGGACCTCAGGAACTATCAAACATTAAATCATATCTGGCTGATGAGTTGTTTTACTTTCTGACCTAAATGGTTTGACCTTTCGAGGTCTTCGTTACCAATTTGAGCCGCCATCCTTGTTGATGGTTCAGATCCGCTTCGGCACACGATCGATAGATTGCATCTCGTTGCCTTACGCACTGGAGACGGCTCATACTGTGACCCGAGCACCGGTGCGACTCATGCGAGTTCAGTATTCTCCATACGAAGGAAGAGAACCCCGGCGGCTGAATAAGTCTATTGCATGGTAGCGATATTCGTGATGCCACTCTAGACGCCGCCCGATCTCCACTAAGACAAGAACCCATGGTTTTATTCGGTCATGTCCGCCATTTTCTGCTAATGGCGCTCATATAACATTGCAAGTGGCAGCGGAAAGGCGGGCCCATGGATCTGGCATCTGGTAAGTATATACTGGACCTTGCCGCTGCAGGTCTTCCCAATTCTCTCCTTTGCGTCTGTTGTTCAAAGTAGACGGCGTCATGGCAGACTCTTTCGACATATCACTCCTTCCAAATGTGCTAGAGTTGCAACCAAAGGCACACCTTATGACTGGATTTGGTGTTGCATTCCTCATACTTGTCTGGACGTCAATCAGTTTACGAGTCTATGTTCGCATGTTCATGATCCGGGCGTTTGGATGGGATGATGCTATACTTCTCATGTCGGCAGTGAGTTTAAGGGTATACTGTCTCCGTACTTGCATAAAACTGACCAAGTCTAGGTCACATTCACCTCGTTCTGCGCATGTTTATTAGTAGAGGCCAAGTACTGCCGCGCTCCAGAAGTAGAATCTGCATACATGACAGCAAATCTCGAAGCCATCTGGATCGTCTTGACGAAAGCTCTTGAGGTGTGTCTAGATCAGCCTCTGACATGTGCCATACTTACTGATCTGCCATAGTTCGTCGTCGTGTACAACGCCCTCTACATCCTCACCACAATCCTGTTCAAGATCAGCTTGGCGATATTCTTTTTAAGGATTGTCGTCGTAAAATGGCAGCGCCGCCTGATCTACACCTCGACCGGAATCTACACTCTTTACAGCGTCATCTTCATCTTCCTCGTCACCTTCCGGTGTGGAAGCCCGCCCGACTTGCTCATCAACGCCTACAAGGGAAAATGTATATCGAACGGAGCGATTATGCCTCTGGTCTACATTTCCGGCGCACTCAACGCCGCCGCCGATATTGTCTTTGCGACCCTTCCAGGTATCATTCTCTGGAACAGCCATATGCCTCGGCAAGCAAAGATCTCAGCTGGTGTGCTTTTGAGCATGGGCTGTCTCGGCAGCATCGCCTCCATCATCCGTATCGCATATCTCGGTGGGCTGTCGGTTGACGCCAGATTCTTCAAGCATGCCATTGATGCTGGACTACTCTCCGTTGTGGAGCCGGGTTTGGCAATCACGGCTGCATCCCTCTCAGCCTTACGACCACTTTTCAAGAGCATGGTAGAGAAGACGTTGCCATCTTTTTTTCACACAGGCTACGGCAGGACCAAACACAGCAATGCGAGCAATAGTAGGAGGAGGACAGGAACACACCGTGCGACCAAGTCACATGTGAGTTTTGCCGACCAAAAGGGCTTCCAAGTCTTTGACAATGCGGGCTCGCGGACGCACACGATCATTGCCACGATACCCAGAAGTGAACATCAGACAGAGATGGACGAACTCAGCGTTGAAAATCATACGTTGCAACGAGAAGGGAGCCAAGGTTCGCTGGTCGAACAGCATGCGTATGAAACTGCGAGAACCTGGGTGCCGCCGTACTCTGGCAAAGGCGTGATGATGACTCGAGCGATCAACGTGTCTGGTAGCTAGAAATAGCCAACATCTATAATGCCCAATGAATGTCCTCTTTCGTCAGCCAGACTGTCAGCATCGGCGCCCGCGGTTACCGCCACGGTTTCGTTTATGAAGTGCATGAATGTCGTGATCGGCCAAAGAGGGACTTTTTGCGAATATACATGCCAGCGAAAGCCTACAAGATTAGCAAAAGCCCCTCACTCACTACTGACTGTGTTCTAGAATTCGTACAGCAGTGCATTGCAACCCGGCGTACGGGTTTTTGGGAGTCAAACAATCAAAAGTGGCTGAAGAATGCGCAAGGCGTCGTCAGTCAATACGAGCAGGATTCAACCCCCGAGGCAGCACTTTAACGACCTCTCTCGTACATATATCCAGACCTGCCTTTGATGTCGAAATCGATCTCGTGGTCCTGCTCCACGCCCAGGAAATGAAAATGAGGACTTCTCCAGGATGTTTTGAACCTGGCATTCTTGGCTGCTTCTGGAATCGATCCGCCTGTTTAGAAGGACCGCACCCCTAACGCACTGGCTTCTGGACCGACCACAACAAATGCACAATTCCCCCGGACATTTCCCAGGCCGATGCAGACTGTTGCGAGTACGCTCTGCACGAACGATGGAAAATATTGCAACAATTTCAGTAAGAACGGAAACTCCCTCCTGATCTCTCCTGTCGCACTTGGCAAAAAATCCGGTGAAAACGGACATCGGCGTGAGGAGTGACCGCTGACGGAGGTGGGACTTTGGAGGTGCCTCCACGATCAACACAAACGGGTCGGTTTCAACTTTCAACCAACCTTCACCTGCTTGAGATTTTTACACAGCCTCAATCTGCCAGCCCGCGCGCGTCATAGCGGACTTGCCCGAAGCGAGAAGTTTGCGAGTGACTGAGAAATGTTCCTCCCAATCGCAAGTGCTATGGCAGCCACAATGTACCAATAGCAATCCTTCGATGGTGCAATCGCATGAGGAAACATGTTCGATTGGTCGCATGTCACGTCGATTGAACCCTGGTGTGTGACTATCACTCTTGACTGGAAAGCCAAGTCGTCAAACTCCAGCTCCCCAGTGAGCTCAACGCGTGGAGATGGCCTTGGCAGAGGCGTGGCTTGGGGTAGCTTTTGCCGAGATTTCGATATCCACCCTTTTCGAGGAGCAAATGGGGCTGGTGGACCGTGGACCTGAGACAAGCTGCAGAGTCCCATGAGTGTCGCAGAAAGATGCTTGAAGAGATGAAGCATGGAAACAGGTGTCAGCGACGTCTCGGACAGCATTGCGAGAGTCGTGGTTGTCAAAGTCAAGGTTGCCGGCTAAAAACAAGCAGAGTCATGAACGAGGAAGCCACATGCGGACCACGAGTTTTGAGGCGATGGATGCCAAAGTCAAAAGTAACTGCCGCCAGCCAGGGAAATCCACAATTTCTGTGTAAGATCAACCGCTGGTAAACAGCCAGCCATGTCATCCGCAAGACATGCAATTGGACAAGTCGCAGCTTATCTCGGAATACGCTTCTGTACGCGGACTCTCATACGGTGACACGGCGCTCTATGGCCCTTTCTCCGCCCAGCCCTGAAGGGCGCCGCAAACTTGGCAGTCGCTACGTTACGAATCTATAAGATCTACTTTCCCCAATGTATCAGGGCTGTGCACGGGGTTGTTTGTTCGGGACATTGAGAGAAGCAAATAACCTCCTCCTTTCCCACGCCCTTTCTTTCAAAACTCCTTCAGCGGAGTCTTGTGGACTCCAGCAACGTCGCTCTCTTGGAAACATGTTACAACAACTCTGCAAGCACCTGCGTTTGGCCGGTCTGCTGATTGCCGCTGTGGCTGGTTTCCTCGCGGCATTACTCGCGGTCCACCAGCTCGTGCTTCCTGTCGTCGGCTGGATCTTTCCTTCCTTGGAATCCACATTCTTTGACCTTGCCGTCTACGGCGGTTACCCACAGCGGAATTATGTCTCCCACAACTTGACATCTCCAGACCTTCAACAAGTACGATGGGACGACAAATGCGACAATGGCTTCATCTTTATTTCCCCACAGGGCAAATCGGTCGAACACCCTGGCCCAATGATCCTGGATGCTAGGGGAAACCTGGTATGGCAGACAGATCAGTATGGCCAGGCCATGAACTTGAAGGTCCAGGAATACAAAGGTGAAAAATACCTTACCTTCTGGGCCGGTCACCGAGGATCCAGCTTTGGCTATGGAAACTACTATATGGTGAGCATCATCAACAATACACCATCATCGCGCTAGACTAACCCACCTCCAGCTCGACTCTTCCTACCAAGAGAGATACCAAGTATCAGCCGTCGGCGAAGGCCTCCAGGGCGATCTCCACGAGTTCACCATTACAAAAGATGGCTCGGCGCTTATCACGATCTATAATGTAACACAAACCGACATGACGGCCATGAGAAGGCCAGCGGATGGCTGGGTCAACAACAATCTGTTCCAGGAGGTTGACATCGAGACGGGCAAGCTGCTGTTCCAATGGAATGCCCTCGATCACTTCTCCATCATGGACTCATTCTACACACATCCGCTGGCCGGATACTGGGAGTCAATCCCCTTCGACTGGTTCCACATCAACAGCGTCGAAAAAGACGACCATGGCGATTACCTTATTTCATCTCGTCACCTAAACTCCCTAATCAAAGTCAACGGCACCACTGGCGACGTCGTGTGGACTCTTGGAGGAACAAGAAACAACTTCACAGACATCTCGTCCGGCGAAGCAACAAGCTTCAGCTGGCAGCACGATGGTCGCTGGCTGGATCAGGACCAAGGCACCCTCACCGTCTTCGATAACAGCGACGCCGGTCCTCTCCACCTCGACGCATCCTACTCTACCGCCCGCATGATCCAGATCAACACGACCGACTACACAGCACAACTCCTGCATAAATACATCTCGGACCGACACACTCGCGCTGCCTCTCAGGGCTCCGTTCAGGTCCTTCCCTCAACAAACACCGTCTTTGTCGGCTGGGGCCATTCGCCCGTCTTTTCGGAATTCGACATTGACGGCACATTGATCTGCGAAGCTCATTACGGCGCACAGTACATCTCGCACTACGGTCGTGTAACTTCCTACCGCTCTCTCAAGGCCGATTGGGTCGGCGCGCCCGTTGAGGCCCCGAGAGCCAAAATTCAGGCTGGACGGCTTTACGCATCATGGAGCGGCGCCACCGAAGTCGCAACCTGGACACTGCAATCTGCCGACTCCTATACCAATGCACCCTTTGCGGATGTCGATGTAGTCGACAAGATTGCTTTCGAGACGTCATTCGTCCTCCCCGATACAAATTCGAGAACGCAATATCGCGTTGCTGCTTCCGACGACGAAGGGAACATCCTTGCATACTCCGAAGTCGCAACCGAAGACCCAACAACAGCGAAGAGCGTCTGGAGCGTATTACTCCCACTCGGCGGCGTCTTTGGCGTCATCACCGGTTTCTGGGCCGTACGGCGCTTTAGAAAGGGCGAGCGCGTGCTCCCCAAATGGAGAAGGAGATCGAACAGCTATTCGCACAAGTACAGCCGCTTGTAGATCCGAATTTCCTGGGATCGCCATCATTGTTTATAACCTACTTACCATTCTTGTACATACCCCCTTTTTTATCGGTCGTCATATCCTTTGGTCCTTTGGATACGGGGCTTTATGATTGTAAATACAGTTGCCCCGGTTTACATACAACTTCTTCTTCCTCGTCTGAATTCTCGTATTTGTTTCTAATGTGATGCGATGAGATGCGATGACACTTTATAGATCTTCTGTTAGGGAGTGCACAAAGGGAAGAAAGACGGGTTAGTAGTGGAAAAAGTGGTGTCTGATTCGACAAGACCTCGAGTACTGTTCATAACTATAGAAAACCTTACTTCCTCTACTTAAAAGACTACCGCGACTCTAATATACCTATTATAAACCTTATATATTTTCTAGAGAATCTTCTTAGTTATAGGCTAGTAAGAGACCCTTAGAGAGCACTAAGTCTAGAGTTAAGAGGCATGTCTATGAATTTCATAAGCATAGACATCCAAAAGTCTTCCAGAGCGACAGTTGTTTCGTCGTCCATGACTCATTGCAACATCTGACTCGATTTTCGCTCTCAAGCCACGTTTCGGCGTGTCTTGTGTCCGCCTGATTTCCTCAAAGTCGAGGGGGTCCTCCAAATACCCACTACCACGAAAGGTCTTCTTCATCTGGCCACTTCTGATCTCTCTCCCTATCTCTCTCGTTATGCAACCCTGGACGAACTTTCTCATCGTCGTTGTCACCATTTTCGCAGCCTTTGCGTCCGCATCATCGGCGACAGCCATCTCAAGCGACAATGCCACTTACGTCGCCCCATTGATCGAGACTTGCCCAGTCGGGAGCTCAACCTGCGGCAAGATCAAAGACAAATATCTGGTCATGCTACGTGAAGGATACGAACCCGCCTCCCACCTTTCCTACATTTCGAGAACCCTCCACGTTGACGATCCAGTCAAGGAATGGCGGATGATGTGGCATGGCGATGGCGCCTATTCCGTCCATAAAGTCTCAGCAGATTCAATCGACATCCTTCGTCGAGATCCGGGAGTCGAGGAGATCGAAGAGGGGTACTGGTTTCAAATGGATGTAGTTGATCTATGCCAAGACCCAGCGTATTCGGAAGAGGAAAGAAGGCAGTGTTACGATGCGAGCCCGGTTGATCCACGCGAAACTGTTATGCACTTAGAGGACGAGAGGCGAGCTTCTGCTGGGACATCAGAAGACGACAAGTCTGAATCCTCGACTTTTAGAGGAGAGAAGAAAGAGCTCTGAATTATCCAAGATAGCTTCAGGATCACTGCGAGGACCGACATCTCTGAGTCTCACAATCTCATTCAAGTCACTCGAGACACAACTGGATGATCCGAGACGACGCTTGATTGGATCAAGTGGTACTTGGTGATACCCATCAACCAAAGAAGCAAGGGTAGCCTAGCGCCTCTGTTCAGAGCAACATCCAGCGACTGCAGACCGGACACATACATCGTCACTATTTGCAAGGACGTTGGCTACCGCGACCATTTCAAGACCATTGGGAGAAATCTGGAAGCCGATAAGTCGACTTCGTTTAAGTGGTTCGAATATGCCGATTCATACTATGCTAGCAACATCACAAGCGAATGAATACGTGTATCTTCGATCCTTTCCAGAGTCTATTGCTGACCTGTGTTGGTGCCACTAGCTATACAAGATCCGCAGCAATCCCAAGGTCGAAGCCATCGACGAACACGAGCCATGGGAAATGATCAAGCAGCTCGTCCCCTCTGAACGTCAGAACTCGACGATACAACAGCGAGACTCGCAACCCTGGTTCCCGGCAGAATGGCCAAAGGCACCATGGCACTTACAAGCCTTGTCCGCGGGCCAAAAACTGGATAACATCCGGGACTCGGGACCCGCAACTCAGGTCAAGTACAACAATACCGTTGGAGGTGGGCAAGGGCGTCAACATCTACATCATCGACAGCGGTGTAGATGTCGAACATCGTCTCTTCCAAGGACGAGCCAGAAATTTTCACAAGTGCTATGTCGATACAGATGGTGAGTGCTTCAAAGACAAGGTCGGCCACGGGACCGCCGTCGCAGGATGTGCCGGTGCAAGGTTTTACGGTACCGCCCAGGGCGCAAACATCATCAATGTCAAGACCTTCTTCAGCTTCAACAAATATATGTTCTTGATGTGATGCAATGCGATAGTACTTCATAGATCTTCTGTCAAGGGGTGCACAAAATGGGGAAAGATGGGTAGAAGTGGAAAAATGGTCTCTAATCCGTTAAGACGTCGAGTACTATCATATCGATAGAAAACCTTACTTCCTAGGCTTCTACGACTCCAATCTACCCATTGCAAACTCCTGACTTATCCTGCCACCACTAAGACTGATACTTGTATATTCTTCTCACACGCCTTATCGCCTAAAATCATGACTACGACGATGCTTATCATTCAACTCGCCCTGCTTCACCATCATCACTCATGGATGTCATTGCTGTGAAGATTAGCTCAGTCGTATCTACTCTATCCGACGACGTTGTATGATCACAAACCTGACCGTCAACCCCCAGAAGCCGCATCTATCTTGAGCACATGACTACACGGAATCAACCTCTTTGAGTTCTTGCGTCTTGTCTTTTAGCTGTGATTGAGGTAGCTGTTGCTCAAGCCGATTTAACGACGTCTTTTCGACGTCGTAATTGAAGTCGAGAGAATCAAGTCTACATGGATGTGGCTACAATTTGCCTGAGCGAGCAACTACATCTCATCGAGTCCGAAACAACGACCAACCGTATGTGTTTGGAAAGATCTAATGCTCAGGGTCGCTACTATGAAGAACTTGACGTCTTGGAAAGCAAACCCGTCATATTTTCGACATGAGGGATTTCTGCGTGGTGGCTTTGGGGTCTTCACGTAAATGCTATGGTTTTGGTGATTGTTATTCGGAACTTCGCTCGGCTAGTTGGATATACATGGTCGGATGTGTTTTCGGTAAGGATAGATATGACTGCGAAATATAGCGGCGAGGTGGGTCTGAGGGCTTGGGAATGACTGTGTCTGTTCTGAAGGAAAGCATATGATAGACCAGAAAATTGAAATGTGTTATTAAGTATCTTGGGCTACCAGAGTATATCCCTTCCCATGAAGTTTGGTCCCCGTTGTCGTTTCCTCTTCTCGTCGAGCAACATTTGTTTGCACACAGCACGCTTCTGTTCGTCGATACAAGCCTCCGCTGCCATCAGAGCATTCGGGTAAGACTTTGAGGACGTATCCATATCTGCGCCGTATTCGAGGAGAAGGCTTACGGTCTCTGGATACCCCATAAGCAAAGCAGCATGTAAAGGCTTACGTGGTGAATACAGGGGATTATCCACATCTGCACCATGATCTAGCAACAAACGGACGATGGTCTTATGGTTATGTCCAGCAGCAGCATAGAGCGCTGTGTTGTCGTCATATCCGCTTGGTGCGTTAACATCTGCGCCATGATCAAGCAATAAACGGAGGATGGCCTCATGACCATTTTCAGAAGCAGCATAAAGCGCTGTGTCGTTGTAATATCCACTTCGTGCGTTAATTTTCGCGCCACGATCGAGTAACATACGAACGACGTTCTCGTGGCGACTGACAGAAGCAGCCTGAAGCGCTGTGCCGTGAGATTCGCTCAGTGCGTTAACATCCGCGCCACCATCGAGTAACATACGGACGATGGTCTCGCGGCCATTTGTTGAAGCAGCCCGAAGTGCAGCGCCGTGGTCAAAACCAGATCCATTGACATCCACACCATGATCAATTAGCATGCGAACAACGTGCTCTTGGCCATTGACAGAAGCAGTCTGAAGCGCTGTGTCATAAGCTTTGCGGAATGTATTGACATCTCCACCACGATCGAGTAGCATACGAACGATGGTTTCATAACCATGATTAGAGGCAGCGCGAATTGCGGTGACCACGTATTCACAAGAGGCATCAGCGTTCACGATTCTATCAAGCAGCAGACGTACGATCTCCTTGTGACCATGATCAGCAGCAGATGGAAGTACATGGCTACATGCATCGGCATTTGCACCAGATTCGAGCAGCGCAAGCACAATGGAGTGTTTGCCGAGTCCTGAGGCTATTCTTAGTGCATCTTCATGATAATGTACATCTTGGAAAAAGCCGAGAAATGTTTCGACCATTTCCGCGTTTTCACTCTTGAAAACGTCTCGAACTAGATCCGATTGGCGAAGTATGAAATCTAGCCACAAGGGGTGGTTACTCAAAAGCAATCTGACTATTTGGATTCTAGACTTTCGTACGGCTTGTAAAAGCAGATTATGCCAGCGCGATCGTGATTGAAATTGGGCGGAGAGTCCAAGGTTCACCAGAGTGTCGACGACAGAAGTTTGGCCCTTTTCTATAGCCGCGCAGAGAGCATTACCATACTCTCTGCATTTAGTATTGACATCGGCGTCATTCTGAATGAGAAGCTCCAGGATTTGCTGATTGCCAGTAGCTGCAGCTGCTATGATAGGAAAAGCGTAGCGTCCGTCGCCCTCGGTGTTGATTGACTTTTGGCTTCTACAGATCTCAGTTTGGCATAGATGCAGTGTACTTTGCTCTACCAGAACGTAGAGTAAGCTCGTCTGAGGACCGTAGCGACGTATCTTGTGTTTCTCGACAATGTCATGAAGGATGATCCATGAATCGATAGCGAAATTTGTCAGGAACGTTTCTTGCGATACCATGTGACTGGCTGCAAGCTCAGCATGTTTGAAAATGTGCCGAATGGAATACTCGAGAAATGGAAACCTTGCTATATCCTCACTCTGAGATTCTTCGCTCTGGCCAATGGCGGCAATGTTTATGTAGTTTTGACAACATTGCTTGAGATGATCATGAGCAGATCCCGCTGAAGTGTTGTGGATATGGTCCTGGATCAGCGCAAGTCCATTCTCTTTGAGAAGGAAGTCTCGCACGGATTCATGGATGAATTGAACTGTTGGAACTTTGGTTTTCGTAGGTTCTGCAAGGCCTTTGGATGAGCTTAGAATGGACCTGCTGATATCTCCTAACGTGAGATCCACGGAGTCCCAAGGCGTCAACAACTCGGGGTTGGTCCCAGACAAGATGGCGAAGTGAAGCTCCTCAGGTTGCAGTGGCCGACCTGCATATAAGATCCATTTCAAGCAGAGCACTAATCCTTCCATGTCTTCTGTATCCCTGCACAAAATATCCTTGAACAGTTTGTTGAGATCTTCTGGGATGTCGTGCAGACACTGTTTGAGGGTTTCCACTTTGCCACGATTCCATGCCTTTTGAAGCATAGGCACAACCAGTACAACCCAAAGGAAGATACCTTGTGATTTCTCTTGAACTTCGATCTTGAGTTTCTCTACACGTTCGCTCTTTCCAGCTTTGAGATTTGACTGAATGTATTTTGTAATATCTTCTACATGACCCGGCTGGACTTCCAGTATCAATTCGACACTTTTGTTGATTGTGATATGGGGGTAATGCCGGCTGGAGAAGCACACCAGGAACCGGATCCTGTTTTCGACAGTATGCTCTCCTAGTTCCTCGAAGAAGTTGACCATCTCTCGCACTTGGTCCTCGCTGTTCTCGCACTCATCGAGCGCATCGACAAAGCAAGTCAAGTGCGTGTCATCGAGTCTTTCGACGGCTTGGCGAAATAGCGATTGTAGGCTTTCGACATTCAAGATTATATCCTTCAGGTTTGACTTGTTCGCGTCAAGCACCGTTTGGAGTCGTGGCACCTCGTTGAGCAGCTGAAACAACAAAGATCGGTACATCCCACACGTGGACTTTTCTAAATGTTCACCTCTGGCGTTGAAGAAGTATGAAATGACCGCAGAGTCTGTTGCTTTCGCTTTCGCCTCCGCGTCAGCATATGCAAATTTCATGATTGCAGATTTTCCGGCACCGGGTTTTCCTTTGATCCATAGAAAGCCGTGGTGCTCATCGAGCTTTTGTTCATCTTGCCAATCTAAATATTCAGATTTGCTGAACAGCCACTTGCATGTTCCAGTGTGTGTCTTCTTGATAGTGGCATGACGCGCATCCAGCTGCTCAAAGTTGAGGGCATCCAACTTGAGTTGTCGCATGTCAGAGACTGTGGTTGCCGAGTCTGATTGCGCTCCAACATCAGCTTGAGCTCCGTTGGAGGTCGACGCTAGATTCTGTCTGTCCAGTAACGGATCATAGCGAGCTCTTTTCGAGTTCTCATTGGCACCACTAGGCGAATATGACCGCTTCCCATGCGAGGTCCTTCCTAGTTCTATGAAACACTGTTTCGGACTCCAGTAGTCGAGGAATGATTTTGCTGCTGATGCGGCCGTTGCAGCGGCATACCCTTGCCACCGCTTGTTCTTGTGGCTATCTGCATAATCGCAGACGCCCTTGATGATGACACATGGTAGATTGTCCCAGACACCAGCGCCCTCCATCTCGAAGGCGATGATGTTGTCTCTCTGAGCAATGTGGTCGCGATGTTCACCAGACTTCATGACAGTATCTGCTGAACCAACGATGCCGATATGTACCAGAGGAGGAGGATTTTCCGCGTCAAGACGCTTGAGCCGAGCTGGATTGTCCATAATTGCAAGGCTGTTGCATCCAAGCGCATCGCAGCTGGATTCCGATGCCTGCTTACAAACAGGATCACTATGACAGTGAGCCTTTAGACAGAGGCAATCTCGCGAGGGAGATTCTTCGCGATGCATGTGACGGTGTGTGGCCGCAAATAGCCTGTCTTGATTCACGCCCGGGTAGCAGGCTGTGTCGTTCTTCTCACGTAGCTTGAACAGGTTTTGGAGAATCTTGTCTCCCAACTTCTCACGGACACGACGAACCTCCAGCTTGTTGAGAAGCGCCCTGATGTCTGTGTTCGGTCGGCCAAGGGTGTCTTTGACGGTACTCTTTCTTTCGAAATGGCCCGGATATTGACTGCCAAAGTCGGACTGGATGACTGAATTGCTGATGATAACATCACCAAGGATGATGGGCTCATCTGGCGACGAGACGGGCACACCGCCACAAACACCGACGATGAGTGCGATTTTGACTCCTGTGAAACTCGATCGAAGACCGGAGGCCACGCTGGCTGCGCTGGACTTGCCCATACCCGGCATATGCGCTAGAACAATGTCATGTTGACCAATTCGTCCAGTCGAGTATGCATTTGAGTCCCCCTCTTGTCTGCCATAGATATCGCCATCGTCATCGTAATGCTCATCGAAAAGATCCAGGACAGCACTGGCTTCCAGCGGCAAGGCACAGATGATTGCGACCTCGAATTCGGCTCGTGTCGCAGGGCACATTGTGGATTAACGCATCGGCTCGAGAGGAACGTGGTTCGTTTCGTTTTTGGACAACTTTAGTCTCTCGCGAAAATCATCATATCGGAGTGAACAAATGCAACGACCATCTGCATGGGTATCAGTGTCAGCCTCGCCAGGCAGTCACGCGTCGACCGGCCTGGCACTGGAGGCTTGCATGTTGCATGATGCCTGACGAATCACGTTCGAACATACCCGTACATCGGCTCGCATACATGTTGAGATGACAGCGATTCAAAGGGCTGTATGGATGATATATGATGAAGTGGTCAAGGCAGTTCATCGGTATCTGTACAACCACTCAGCAAGGACGACCCTTGACATGATGAGCACTGTTTGGATTGTGTCATTTGCTCCGCGGGATTGCGACCCATCAGTTTGGCCGAAGTTTTACCATGCATGAGATCTCCCATCGTTCCTGCCTCACTCAGACATTGCACTCGTCCACCGCACTCATCCGGTCGGTGCAACTATCAGTACGATATGTTTATTGTGAGAGTCTTGGTCAAGGACTGAGAACGTCACTGGTCGTAGCACCAAGTGGAGTCCTAATGTTGTTAGATAAAGGTTGAACAATTCCCATCCTTGTTCTTGTCCAAGACCGCGCGTTCCTGCTCTCAGCCTTGTTCGTATTCCTACCTCAGGTGTCGCATCTCGAGAAACAACTCGCAGGAAACGGATCAACGGCACTTCTGCGTAACAGGAACAATCTATCAACAGGTAGCCATCACATACAAACACTAGCCTGCGGACTCCGCGGCATCCTCACTATCGTAATTTGACTTTCCACATTTCAGGCGCAAACTTCCGACATTGAGTTATAACAATCTCAACCCAAAACACTCTTGGAAAGAAATAACATCAAAAGTCATGAAAACTGCTTTCTTTCTCGGTGGGGCACTCGCCATCGGAGCTCATTCTGCTGCCACTTCAGGGTGCGGGAAATCCTTGCCTGCACGGATAGACCGCGGAGGTGCCAACCAGACCAATTCTCTGAAATTCACAACCTCCGGTGGAACAGTCCGTGAATATGGCCTACACATCCCGACATCCTACGACAGTGATGAATCAACACCTCTGGCCTTCTCATTCCATGGCCGAACACGGATCTGGCAGGAGGAAGAGGAGATTTCTGGAATGTCCAATGAAACACTGAACCCAAATTTCATCGTGGTATATCCACAGGGAATAGACATGCAATGGCAAGGCGACCCGGAGGCTGTGGGATACGACGATGTCAGCTTCACTTTGCAACTCCTGGCCGATCTCTCCAGTACCTATTGCCTGGACACGAACAAGATCTATGCTGCAGGAAAATCAAATGGCGGTGCCTTCTCTGCGAATATCCTGGCTTGCCATCCTGAGGCTTCGCGCACCTTCGCGGCGTTCGGAGGCATATCGGGCGCCTACTATCAGGGAAACAGCGATGCCGACTGCAATGCTGCGACTGTACCCATTCCTTGCAATGCCAGTCGACCGATCCCTATCTTCACGACACACGGCGATGCTGATGAAACGATCCCTTACGACGGCGGACCTCGTCGCGATCGCTGTCTACCCAACCTTCCGTACTTCATGACACAATGGTCAGACCGCAACGGCTTTGGCACTTCCAACACGTCGACTTCACTCTATCACAAGAACGTGGTACAGTACGAGTACGGCAACGAAACATACCCAGGCTTCAACACTCATCTACGCGTGCACGGCCTCGGTCACTACTGGCCTTCTCTAGCTAATGGAAGCTCATTCGACGCGACACCGCTCCTCCTTGACTTCTTCAACAAATGGACGTTGGATGCCGTCAACACAACATCGACTGCCACAAGTTCGTCGTCAGGAACGCCGCCGGCATCTAGTACATCGTCGACCAGCTCGGCTGCTGCCTCGACATCTAGTGCTGGAGAGATCAATGCTGTCGGTCAACAACAATGGTTCCTTGGTGGCCTTCTTGGTGTTGTCGGTTGGTTGTTCATCTAGTCTAGAGCCAGCATTCAATAATCATCCGGCTTCAACACGTTCGTGTCAGAGGTCTTGTCCGAAAAAAGGGTATAGTTTGCTTCTTCTTACCTTAGCGCTATAGAACAAACCCAAATACATTTCTCCAAGCTCTGAGAACGCGTGACTCCGGACTTCCACAATGCCACTGATTGATCTTCACTCCCTGCTCGCGTGCTAAAGTACTCTTGGAAGCAAAAAGAGTATAGGTGCAAAACACGAAGACATGTGCGTTCTCCTCGACCAACCATCCCACGATAAAAGCTCCTCGACGAATATTTTCGAGCGCATTGACAGAGCACGAACTTGAGGCAGCTCTGCGACTGTTGGGTTTAATAGCTGTCTTCGCACATCGCTCCGACTAGATTACATTCTACGTCGCTCCACCAGGCAGTAGCAGTAGATTCACGAATACTCTACGAGATGCGGAATCAATCAAAGCGACAGGTAAACATGGAGGTCGGGAGTTCGACGAGTGGTCAACCTAATCTTTGTCATCCTTCACTCATCCCGTCTTTTTCGAGAAAGACCACCAAGCGATTGAGTCTTGCTTGCCCTCATCATAGTCGGCTTTTACTCCGAGGCTGCATCTCAAGTCACCCATCGGTAATAATCACGCCACTGGCTTTTCTATCTCCTTGCCCCATAGAGTAGAGTGAGAGCATAGCACAATGCCAGACTTCTAGCCGTCCGCATCTCCGCGCATGGAGATAAGCTACATGATGATAAACAACGTCGCTCTGCAAATCTGAAATCCCTCGAGAATGACTCTCATAGTGTCTGAGGCTTCGTTATTGATTGCCAATTCCTCATAAAAATCATCACTTGTTGCTTTGCTGGCGATACAAATGGATGGAATGGAGGCAAATGTCTACGGTGTTGCCTCCGACACCTGATAAGGTCTAGACCGATCGAATTTACCAACCCCCGAAAACTCAAACTCTAAAATGTGAATCGAACATGGATAACCAAACAGCTTGCAGTCCACTCACACTTCACTAGTTTCTTTGTGATCGGCCATCAGCATTTCCAAAGGTCGTCTGCCATAAAGAACACTCGATTTCCTGATTCACGCAGACTTTACTTCGACGCAAACAAAGAAATAATTTCCCCCGAATAGCGAATAATAACCAGTTTCCGGCGAACATCTCTCTCGATCCAACATCCATCCATAATACAACAAACGAAGACCACGCAAACACGAACTCCACAGCCGGCATGAACAACGCAGGCATGCAAGGTCAGAGAACCGGCGCCGCAGGCAAAGGCCCCGACATGATTTGCAAAAGTGCGTCAAACACCTATAACCCAATCCCCCAAAAAAAAATCCCAGCAACCAAACAACAAAGACTGACGGAATGTTTTCTCCAACCTCACAGTCCTTGATAAACTCGAGCACAAGTTTGGCGGTCAAAGATTCAACGATCCTAACAACGATGCCAAAAACCGAGCCATGAATCAGAAACTCGTAAAGCGTATCATGACTATTGCGCCCAAGGTGCTGTAAGTGCTTCTTTTGTTCTGGTGTGCTCTTGTGTGGGAGAAATGCTGATGTTGTTTTTAGCAAGAAGTTGCCCATGCTGTTGAAGAGAATGTAGATGGATTGTTGCCAGTATTGCCGGTGGGCTACTCTTATGGCTTTTCAATTCACCCTCTCACTCTTTTCAGAGTCGGTGAAAGGTTGGAAAAGATGATTTTCGGTTTCGTCTATGCGATGCATGTTTTTACCTTTTTTTCTCTAGATACCCTCTTTAGCATTCAAATCACTGTTACTTTTCTACGACTGGCTCAATTCAAATATGAAAAAAAAAAAGGCTTCGATGTCCTCATGTCCGAGGCGCTATACAACTGATGTGATAGAGGAGCAAAAAGAGCAAAACGTACAGCAGCAGGGATTCCCACGTGGTCACCCACCGTAGTACTAATCTGCCGTTCAACTGCTTATGTATGGCAGAGCGGACGGGATGCCCAGTTTTCAGCTGACTGTGGCCGTACGTGCTTGATTCTTGAAATTCATGGTATAACACTCATGCGCCGGTCGTTGACGTTGCTGACCACAATTGACTTTCGACATCTCAAATCCATCATCATAACGTTCAGGAAATGACGCCTGGGCGGAGTTTAACTCCTTCTAAACTATGCGTTGATATCATAACGATGATGAGGGGTAAGATACCGGATGATCCGGGGAGAGCTATATGAGAAGCAACCTCTTCTGCGTCGAGGGTGTCGCGTACCAAAAATCTCGATCTGCTCAAGATGCCTCTTCCTGAAGATAAACAGCTTCTCAAGCTCTCTGACGAGCTCGTCGAGACCATCCGTGCGACTTTCGACACGCCAAAGAATTACAGACCAGGTGATTCTAGTCGCTCGATTGAATGCGTGACCTGCGTTGCTGACGAAGAACCCAGTCCACGCCAAAGGCCAACTCGTCAAAGGATACTTCACACCTCACAAGGATGCCTCCAAACTCTCCAAAGCGCCAATATTCACCCAACCCTCCACTCCCCTAATCATGCGCTACAGCACCGACACGGGATTCAAGAACTTGCCCGACAATGGCGAAAATGGCTCTCGCGGTTTTGCCATCAGATTCGTGCTTTCGGAAGACGGTCACACCCACTACGACATTATAACCAACAACGCATACGGCTTCGTCGTCAGTACAGGCGAAGGCTTCCTGGACCAATTCAAAGCCATGCGTGATGACAAGATGGAGGAATTCCTAGACAAATACCCCCATGCGAGATATTTTATGGAAAACCAGTCGCCGGCGCATTCATACTCTTTTGCTACCGAGCAATGGCATTCCATCCACGCGTACAAGTTCGTCAATGATGAGGGGAAAGAGAGATATTTCCGTTGGAGAATCGTGCCGTGGCAGGGTGTGATGAAGCACAGTAAAGCTGATGCTGCGAAGCAAGGAAAGAATTACCAATTTGATGATTTGGAGTATAGGCTTTCGCACAACAAGCCCATCAAGTACAGACTTATGGCACAACTGGCCGAGGAAGGAGATGAAGTCAATGACTCGACCAAGGTATGGCCGGAGACGAATGAGTTTGCCGAAATGGGAGAGATTGTTATTGATCGTCTTTGGGAGATGGATGAAGGTGAACCTGCAGGACGTGAACAGAAGAGGATCATCTACGACCCCATCCCGAGATACATGGAAGGTGTCGGGGTCAGTGAAGATCCTTTGTTGGAGGTGAGGACGGCGGTCTACCTCATCAGTGGCAGGATCAGGAGAGAACATATCCAGGAGGAAGTCCAGCAGGCGGTTAAATAATTATCGGGATGGGCAGCTGGATAGCTCTCATACGATCGATGTTCATCAGAAAAAGAGAATGCTCCAAGGGTGACTTGAGCGGACTATTGCGCAGGACTTGGATAGATCTCGAAATTATACACTCTGTGAGGGCCCTAAAGTGAATAGAGACGTGGTCTAGAGATCCGTTCATCTTCTCGAAACCTTTTGAGCCCTGATGGAACAGTGCCATATCAGTATACAAACACCGAAGGTATCTTCATGGACTTGCGGTAGCGATCGGATGGCCGACTTCGGGGTTTATGGTCAACCAAAGGATGGAGGGAGATTTAGTAAGTGTCTATATTCCTAGGTTCGTTCAGATGACAATGCAATGCATTGTGTCCACTCGTTGTATCTTCTCTGCCAGGCGGCTTGTTGACTGCTGTGTTTCCTAACGGCTGTGGCTTTTCTTGCAATAGTTGCTTGTGTTTGATTCGGCAGGGTCGAAAAAGTGCCGTGACAGACAAGCCTTGTCTCTAATTGCATGGTGGACAGACGAGCTGACTGGTAATGATAACCTCTTGTCTATCATGTCAGAGTGTCTATAGTTAGGGCATGATAACAGGCACCAAAACCGGAAGTTTTGCGATCGTCAAGTGCTTAAGGTAATATCAACTGCCGTGTTCATGAATCGTTTGGAAGATATTCAGGGCTGGGTGAGACTTGTGAGGGTCCGCAAATTACCAGAATTGGCTGTCAGAAGCTGAGTTGTTCCTCGGGAGATGTAGAAACAAGAATCTGGTGTTGTCAGTCTTTGGGCTGAAACTCGGACGAGGGAGATGGTTGAGCAGATATTCGAGGGTAAAGATCTGCGCGGTCCGTCTCCACGATGCTGAATGCTTGTTGACCCATCGTTATGGTTAGTAGGGCTTGTGATGGCCCAAAGTATTGACTCATGAAGTCGTAGACATGATAAAGTTCACTGACTCCATCGCGAACGGCTTGTTCGCTACCGGTCGAACGTTTTAGTGGATGTGATTGACAAATGCTTGTTTTCAGGCTCAGCCTCATTGCTCGTTCACGAAGACCCACTCGAAGGGATATATCATGTTTTAGCTTCGAGACCTACTGCCAGGAGTTGACAATGAATCCGTAAGATACAGTCGCACGTGTCGGCACTTCCAAGAGACCCAGTCTCAGGATTTGACTGACCGTCCATTAATGCCTTAGACCAAAATTCCTGGTGTTGCTGTTGGGAAACTGTGGCAGCGGGATGTCTTGACGTGAGGTTACGCTTAAGCGGCACACATCTCACTGCTCCTGACTCGCTGCGTTCAACCATTATCTGGCGGAATTGGTGATTCTTTCCACTGATCGAAGAAGGTGCCGTGAATGCCGAGAGGATCTATATGGATCGTTAGCAGAAACGGCAGTCCTGTCTTTCGTAGACTGGAGTTATTGTTTCGGGGTCACTTCCGAGTCAAGACGGTTGCCACGAGGCTTGATGAATAGCCAACGTCTCCACTTAGAGGCATTTCATCAACTCATAAGACTTCCAGTGATGTTACCTATTTACAACCGTATAACACGTACCTGTCGTATCGCTCGAGATCCTAAGTAAATTCGGGTTGATACAACAGATCTTGCGATACAAGACCCCAAAGAGGTGGCTGACGAATGACATCGCCGAGAGTTTACCTAGCTCTTTGCGAACATTTAGACCCTGCTTGACTGAATCTAGAGTTAGGTTACGGGCGAACGTGGGAAACGGCCGCTCTCGTTTCATGTGCAGACTCAAAATTCTGCCACTCACGCCTCACAGCCACTTGTTCTACGAGTAGAGGATGGCGGAGAACCTCGGGCATGCGACATGCCGGAGCCCATGGGTACGATAGAAACGAGAATCTCCATAATCAACGAAAGACGGTCAACGTGCTGTCAGATAGGCGCACCATATATCGTTGGAAGAAAGACTCAAAACGATGCTGATAAGAAGCAAGTATGTGTTCCGCCCAGCCCTTTTGCAAGGAGCACAGCTTTGCCAAGCCTCAACCCCACGAGCCGAAATCGACCTTTGCTCAGCTTTGCTGTCGTCGTACGCACCTTCCTCAAAGGTCAAAAGCCCTGGTGTCTCATCTTGAAAGAGTCGTCGGGAGGTCAAATCGGCAGCTATGTTATGGTTCATGCCCGTCGAGATCAACCCTTCCACATGAGTAGGACAAGCGCTTGTGTAACGGCTTGCTGAACTTCAGTAACTCAAACTGGCCTTGTGAACTCCTCCGAGGTAAGCACGGCATTCGTATTCAAGGTCTCATCAAACTGGAGATCCACCTAGTGCACCCCGGATCTCTCTAGGCGAACCTTCCAAGTTATCGGAAAGCAGAGCCACGTGCAACGCTCACACCAGCTCTGCGACCAGGCTACCGCGATTAGGATTAGTGACTGCGCTCGCACAACTCTCGCTTTCCTACCGTCCGCCATCTTTCCTCTTGACCGGCGGTCAAAGCTCCAGTCGACAGTTGCCATACAAGCGGCAGACACTGGTGCACTTACGCCCTGCATCGAGCGGGACCCTCTTTGATGATGATGCTCTGACCAGTCTTGGAGAAGACCTAACAAACGGCAGAACTCCCCGAGTAAATGAATTTTCTTTATTAAGCTACCTCTGGACTCACGTACATAGACCTACAGGTGTGCCCTTACCACCTACCAGCCTGTTCCGATCTGGACCCTATATACCCATGTTCTTTTGTCCTGCGTAACCTTTTTGCCTTTCTGTCTTTTCCGTTGCATCCACGCTCTTTCAGGTGCCCCCCATGTCTACCTCATCGGGTGACTTGCAACTCGCTGCTGCGGCAGCAGGGTTCACTTTAGGGTAAGACTTATCTACTAGCCATGGCCAACACAGACTGACGGAGCTTCAGATTCGGAACTCTCACAGTATGGAGGGCCGTCAAGCAGACAAAGCAGAACAAGTCACCTCACCGTAGTGCTTTTATCTACATGATCTGGGGAGAAATTCTTGCCAACCTCTTGATCGGTATTCTGGGATGGCTTTTCTTGAACGGAGTACTCGAGGCAGAGTACGTGATATCTCGCGCTCCATCTTCCATCTCATGCTGACAACCTGGCAGGCCTGTTGTGCTGTTCTTCATTCTGTTCTGCTATGTCTTTGAAGTGCAGTTGTTGCTTCAGATCATCATCAACCGCATTGCCATCATCGTTGAGCGAAGAACGATGGCATCCAAGCTCAAGTGGGCTACCGCCATCTTCATTTCATTGGTCAACATCTTCGTCATGTGCATTGTAAGCCTGGGTTCATCACATAAGTCTTGCGCACATGTGCTAATTCAGAACTTCAGTGGATTCCAGCGCACATGACCAAACCACCAAGTCAGGTCTACGTCGACATCAATAAGTACTGGGATCGTGTCTCGAAGGTCATCATCTGCCTTGTCGATGCAGGCCTCAACTGGTACTTCATCCACGTCGTCGATGCTCGTCTGGTCAAGCACCATGGACTGCGCAAATACAAGCCCTTGATCGGCTACTATACTCGTCTCGGCATACTATCTATCTGCATGGATGTCATGCTGCTCGGTCTGATGGCATTACCAAACCAGGTAGTCTACATTCAGTTCCACCCTGTCGCATACATGGTCAAGCTATATATCGAGATGTCCATGGCCGATCTCATCGTCAAGGTCGCGACCACATCTGAGATCGATGTCCGTCAACACTCATCCTCCGGAACACCCTTCCCAGACAGCAGATCACACCCTCAACGCACCTTCAACGATCGCGAGACAGTCAATGGAGCGAAGAACACGGCACATATCGGTCATACGCAAAATGACAACATCAATAGAGAAGACATGAAGGGAATCCAGCGTCAAACAGAAGTTCAGATCTTCGTCGGAGACTCAGACAGCGAGAACCACAACGACGACTTGGACAAGACTTCTTCAAGGACATCTGCCGAGAACAATTACAACAACCACGGCGCACCTCAATACAGCTCAAACAACCCTTTCAACAAGATGCACAACCAGCATCGTCTCTCGGACGAGTCACAAATTCCCCTGAAGGACCTAAACAGGGCTGGTGAAGCCGTTTAAGATCACTGGACATTCACTTCTTTTCACTTCTTCCATACAAATTTACCCAACACAGAGTCTGAGCCAGACAGATTTTCTTATTATGTATTCATGAATATTATACCCTCCATTTGTCACTACCATATTTGCCCTCGGCAATGCCGGATAAAACTTGCTTCCGATTGATCATGTATCCACGTCGTTGAATTTGGCTGGCTGGCTGGCTCGCTCGCTTAATTCCAACGCGAAGGATCAGTAAAGACCTTCCACGTTGCGTACGTAGAGTGTCAAACGTCAGATAGAGTGCAAGATTTCATGAATCGACAACAAGGTTATCCAGTGACAAGAGTCAAATCCTGTTCTTACAAAGAACCGAGGTCGCGGTCCAACAAAATGGCGTTCCAGATTTCAGGGGTCGACGCTTGACTCGGTCGTCGCCTACGCACGTTGAAGCACGGTCGCGTATGAAGTTTAGCTGTCGATCGGTGGGTCGTTCGCGTTTTCCCGAAGTCGGAAGGGGCCGGTTGAGATCTACCTGACGCTTTGAAGACGGTGAGCGAATTTGGTTCCAGCGCAGTGACCTTCACGACACAACAAGTTGATACCAACTTTGGTAAGAGCTGCAAGTGTGACTCGCGAGTGAAGCCATACCGACTCTAAAAGAAGTGAGCCGTGAAAGTCAATAGTGAGCGGAGCTGTGAGGCGCAAGTAAGCTTAAGTCCAAGGTTCCATGTCGGGGTCATTTGCGAACCCTACTTTTCGCGTATCTCCCACATATCAATCATTATAAGCCCGTACATCAGAGACACCAAGACGTTCTTCATACCATTCCATCACACCATGAGTTCTACACACGGCGACCAAGCATCTACCAACAGAATCGGCTCCACGCCAGCACAGGTTAGTGAGGAGCATTATCTCGGCGGTTCTTCCATCGATCCTAACGATGTCACTCCTTCTGTAGCGCCATGTCATCTCCGCTGCTCAAGCACAGGGTGTGCTGAACGCCGCTGCAAAGTACGCCGAGACTGTCACCCCTCAGAACATTGCAATTGTTGATCCCTCCGGCCTCCTTGTTGCATTCTTGCGCATGGACAATGCCTACCCTGGAAGCATCGACCTGAGTATCAAGAAGGCCCGCACTACCGTCCTCTTCAACGGTTTGCCCAGCGGAGTTGTCTATGATCTTGCACAGCCTGGAGCTCCTTTCTACGGTAGGTTGATTGTTGATCTTGTATTGTCAATCACATGCTCACAATCCACCAGGCATTCAGGAGACTAACGGCGGCTTGGTCGTCTTTGGTGGCAGCCTGCCTCTTTACAAGGACGATTTCCTGCTTGGCTCGATCGGCGTTAGCGGAGGCAGTCCCGACGAGGATCTTCAAGTCGCACAGGCTGGCGTCGACTGGTTGACCAAGTCGTCGGAGTAGACTTTTGATCATGACCGCAAAGAGAAACAGCATGCTCTAGCATAGGCGTTATGGGAAAGCACTCGGATTGATCAGCAAATAATTTCCTTCTGGCCGAACAGCAGCCCAGAAATCAGGATGAGCCACAGCCACAGCACCTACAGGCTATAGGGATAGAAGCACAGACAACTATCGAATCATGAATACGAATCACCATCAACATGCGTCGTTCCTGTAATTCCCTCTTCTTCTCACTTGGTCGACGAACCAAGGCCAATCCTTGATATATCCAATTCGTCCCAAAGCCATGCTACCTTCCAGCTCTTGCTCGGTGAATTTCGTCAATCTCGCAGCACTTCCTTGATAGGCACTCAGCACATTCAGGGTCTCCGTGGCGATGTTTGCTGCATCCTGTGCAGACCAGGCTGTGAACACTGCTTGTTCTATGCTCACTGCTGCAGCCGAAAGTCCATGCGCCCTCTGCAATACCACAGGGTAGTCAGGGACCGAGTTCTTCTTGGTGGCGTTGTTCTCAGGAGTAGAAAAAGTGTCTGCCAATGCTGCACCTAGATGTGGAAGGTTGACCAGAAAGTCGTGTGTCTCGTTGGGACGATAATATTCTGCTATGTCGAAGACAGGGACCTGGTCGCCGAGCACACCGTCTAGATGTAACTGAGGCACTAAAGGGACACCAGTGTTTGCAAACGGCAAGACTGCTCTTGAGTGGCTGTGTACCACAGCGTTGATGCTCGGATATCTTTTATAGATGGCTTGATGGATCCACATCTCAGAATAGGGCGATATCGATGTAGAGTTGCTGGCAACAGGCGCTCCATTGTAGACGTTGAATTCGATGAAGTTGGAACTGGACGTGATGGTGCCTGGCGTATCGACTATGTTGTGAAAGAAGGTCGTGTTCGTAAGAGGATTACGAGCAGAAAAATGGCCATAACCGGTGACCAGCGAGAAGTAGTCGAGAACATGGTTCGCTGTGACAACAGAGCACCAGAACTGGGCAATATCAGTTGACGACATGTTTGAGCAGTGAAATGTTCAAATCTTATAGATGAGAGTATTCTCCAAACGGAAGTTGAGGACTGTACTTATACCCTCTCGTCTGGATTTGCTTCTTAGTTCCGCAGTGTTGTTGATCGGTTTATGCAGACATCGCAGCGACTGTTGGGAACTGTACTACAGTGATAGCAGTGGCCAAAATTAGCCACCTGATGCAGCACGAGTATGCAGCTGTATTCTTCCTTCATGTGACTCAGTCGTCGGCATATTCGCTATCCTCCGAGACACATAGTAAGCAGCCTTGGAAATCGCTTTCTACTCTCGACACATGCTTCCCCGAATTGGACTGTCTTTAGAAACTCGCATAATAACGAGAACAGAATCAATGAATGCGAATCCGAGAGTGGTCGCTCATCAGAATGTACTGGTTGGGATCGCTTTTGCTGTTTGAGGAGGTTGGTGAATAGCTCCGAGAAAAAGTGGGGTCATCTAACTTCACTGGACGAATGTCTTGGCAGCATGAGGATGAAGACTCCTGTACATTCATCCACCCATCAACCTATCAGTACATCGTACCTCTACATGATCATTCAGCAATATGGTAGTGAGCATCTCGTCATGCCCGACCGAGATAATTCAAATGATTGCCGTGGCTGCTGATCCTACCGACCTGGCAAACCTACGCCTCGTCAGCAAACAATGGTGCGCCGTGTCGAGCAGGCTTTTCGGGCTTGCGAACCTTCGCCATCCTCGTTTTATTATATCGCCCTACAGCTTGCAAGGTCTAGTGGATCTCACAGCTCATCCGATATTCGGTCCATGTGTTGAGTCCGTTAACATTGGCTCATATCGATTGAAGAAGCACTTGGTGAACACGCAACCTCACCTCGATATCAATCATGCAAATGCTGCAGCCCTCATACAATTTCGGTTCGAACAAACTGGCTCGCATCTCAATCTTCTGGCCCAGGCTTTTGCGAACTTGCGCGACCATGGCGTAATGCCCATGCTTGGAGCATTCGAAGACATCGTTCATCTTGCGCCCGACAATGAGGTCGTTCGTCGCGGTTATGGCTATGACGAACTATACGGCCCTATCGATGTCCTCAAGTGCGGGAATACGCAAGTAGCTCAGACTCTCGTAAGTCTGATTGAAGCAAGCCTGAATTCGGACCATGCACCCAGTGGAGTCTCAGTCGATGTCAAATGGGATCCGAATGATCGTGAAGCCGTCTCTCTACACTCTGGACTCTACTCATTACTCTACAATCTTTCCATCCAGAAGTGTGGTTGTTTGAAGTCCCCTAAAGACCTGACGGTGACGCTCACCAGCGGGAAAGACAAAATCAGAAACAAGCATCATCTTGAAATTCGTAACGAAAACAGTCATTTGCGCCTGATTCGTGTTTCCATAGAGGAATACGAAGACTCGATTTTCCCGCAATTGGAACCTGGTATCTTCGGTCCGCTTTTCGATGCCTGTTATCATGGACAGTTTCACCAAATAACACTTTCAGATTGCGAGATTGACAGATCAGTGTTCGGATTGTTGAAGACGCATGCCAGAAGCTTGCGACATCTGACATTACACCAAATCGTTTTCCACGACTATGAGCCCGACGATGCAGTCGATCTATTCCTTGTTCTCCGGGACGACCTCGCTTTGTACACGATCGATTTTGAAAGATTCGCATTTTCTAACAAGCATAGCGCCCTTGAGATGTTCCGTGAGGATCATGGCTATCAACCATTTTTCGGCTGTGGACAGGTTGTCGCTCTGCTCAGTGGTTTGATCAGGTGGGTCCAAATTCAGAATACAAAGCTGCGACGATTCGAGGATGACGAAGTTCACGAACATAACGGTCACGATGATGGGAACGACGACGGCGAACATCACGACTACGAATACGAGGGGGAGGATGAGTGGGAGGACGAGGGCGCGAGTGGAGATGATGACGGTGATCACCGCGACTACGAGCAATCGAACGATTGATTGTGATAAGATCCTAATGGGTGTGGAAAGTCTACGCTTCTTATGTCAAAACCAAAGGGACTGGCAGAACAGCGCTTTACCTCTAAAATCTCAGCTATTACAAGTCTTGCGCTTCTTGGAAGCCTTGACGTACTCAATTATGAGCGCAAGGCCCCTCGGCCGTTGCCTGATGTTCGAGGACGCCACGTTCGAGAGCGGGGACTTGACTTTGTGGAGTGTTGCAAGGCAGCTCAATTTCCTCATAACCTGTTTTGTACGCTGATCCGGGATCCTCTCGGCGTTCATTCGATGGTTATATGATGCCGCTCCTGTACTACATTTGGCAGAGCTCATGCTCACACCGCGCTCTGATTTCCCAGCCGTCTTCTTATACTTACGACTTATTCGATATTCACGTCGCCAGCATTGGAACAGCCACAGATGCCTACTGCTATATTGCTTCCGCCTGAAATATTGGATCTTTTTGCAGCAACAGCAAATTCGAATGATTTGGCAAATTTGCGTTTGACCAACAAGACCATGAACAATGCAGCCACACGACCATTTGGGCTCGCTCGCCTTACCAATCGTCGGTTCATTATTTCGCCTTTCAGCTTGAAGGGATTGGTCGAGCTTACTGCACATCCTGTCCTTGGACGATGCCTCAAATCCGTCAGCGTAGGCACATACCGCATCAATGCGGAATTTAAGGGCTGTCCCGAAGGATCTGAGGATACGCAATACGACGCTGCTCATCATGCTGCTGTGACACAATCTCGCTTTGAGAAGGCTGACTTGCACATACAACTCTTGATCGAAGCTCTCACAAACCTGAAAGCCCATGGGGGCAGGGTAGTACTGAGACTTTTCGACGATGTGGTTGAAGACCGCTTCCTGAGGTCTGAGAACCCTCCAAGAAGAAATGGCCGTCTCGATGGGCATCTGGTACGACACGTTCACCGCAGAGCATACGGGTTTGGCGAGCTCTATGGGGATTTGAATCTGTCGATAGTTGGATCCCGTCAGCCGAAGCTCACACTGGAAGCTTTAGGAATAGCCATGCACTCCTCTGGGTGCAGCGGGGATGGTCTGCTCTTCGATTTTGGAAGGGGCCATGGCGAGGCCACCCCAATAGCTTGGGACAGTGGCTTTAACCAGGTGGTCAGATTACTGGTCCACTCGGACCATACACTCATGCCAGCGATCGACCTCGTCGTAAAGCTCTGCTCAGATCCAGCAGAGTTACAGGGTCCTTGGCACGATTCGTTAATGGTACTTCGAAGTGATCGAAGCATGTTGCTCGTCAATCATTCGATTATGACCATAGGGATGGCATCTGGCTCAACCCCCAATATCTATCTGTTCCCATACGGCGATTTTACCAATACACCGCACAGTGGTTCTGAAAATATCGTCTTGAGAAGGTGTGACGTGGACATGGTGATACAGCAGCATTGGTTCCCAGCTCATGTAAGAGCACTGAGACGTTTGGAGCTGCTAGATGTCCATATCTTTGGTCATGATGGTACAGCGGAAGGTGGCATTGTTGATTTCTGGACAGCGCTGAGAGACACGCTGAAACTCGAAATCCTGGTGCTCGGCGGTCTCACATTCGAATACGCAGCGCGAAGCCTTCGAGTTGTTGGCGTTGTGACTTTGCGAGGGCCAGAAATCGATGCTCGCTTGAAAGACCTGATTGCAGTGACTGGAGTTTGGATGCGAGACTCAACTGCACACGCCGGGACACTTATGCTGGAGTAGTCTCGGAGTCTGCTCAATGGTACAGACTGCTGCAACACATCAATCCAATCCGCATCCGCTCTAGCGACACCCAGTCTCCTTGCTTGTGTTTTGTTAAATCTGTGTATGAACACAGATACAATCATGACAGGATGGTCCTGAACATCTCAGGATGTAGCAAGTTGCGCATCTATCCACAAGCGGGTCTGGTTTGTCATCATCGAAGGCCGAATGAGCATCACTTGGATTTGCGGATGTCAAACCATTCTTATTATTGGTCGTGGCTTTGAATTTGGCCACACGAAAAGCTCTACATGGTACCCACACGAGAATGATGCTGACGCGATAAGTCAGGTTTCAGGTTTACCAGGAGTTCACACACCCGTCACCTAATAGGTCTGATGTCAATGCATTCGAAGATTGCAGGTTGTACCATGGTCAAACCAGCAATCTGCAAGCGCACTTGAACCTTGCAGATAATCTGGCCAAGATCATCCTTCTCGAGCGCGTAATTTTACATCTCCATCAGCTATAAGAACCAAGAGACTGCTTTCATTTGCAGATCTTCACGTTCAACCCACTTTCTTTTCTACATCTACATTCTCAACTTCAGTCACTCGTTCTTCTTCTATACAAGATGTTCTTCTCTACTTCTTCCACTGCGCTGGCCGCTCTGGTGCTTGCACCTTTGGCACTTGCTGCCCCTGCCACCTCTCCCAACCCTGCCATTTTCGAGAGATCTTTGAACTCTGGCAAGGGTACCTGGTATGGCATGAGCTGTGGCGAGGAAGCTTGCTGGCAACAAGGCGCTTGCGCTTTCACCGACTACGTCCTTCCCTCCTCCATTGCCGGCTCTACTTGCGTTTCTGAGACTATCTGGAACAACGGTCAGAACTGTGGTGGCTGTGTCTCCATTACCTACAAGGGCGGTGCTAAGAAAATTGCCATGGTAAGACTTTCGACTGGACATTTATCGTGAGCATTTAACTGATCTTCTTCGTCAGGTTACCAACAAGACCGGTGGTGACAAGAACCACTTGGACATGTCGCCCAACATGTTCTCCAAGATCGCCAACAAGAACCTCGGCGAGATCCCCATTGAGTGGGAGTTCGTTCCTTGCCCCATCACCGATGGTCTTCAGATCAAGATGCACGGCGGAAGCTCTCAATATTGGTTTGCTGCCACCGTCATGAACGCTCGTCTGCGTACCTTCAAGCTCGAGGTCAGTGGCGACAGCGGTAAGACCTGGAAGTCCACCACCAGAAACGTCAACAACTTCTTCGAGATCACCGGCGGTACTGGCACCAAGACTGCTTGGGTCAGAGCCACTTCCGAGAAGGGTGACACTGTCATCGTCAAGGATGTCGACATGTCCTCTGGTAAGACCACCAAGAGCACTGTCAACTACAAGGCTTAGAATTCTTACTCGTTGGGTGAATTTATGGTGATTGGGAGCGAGAGGCTGGTTGGGTGACGTGAGAGAATGCTTCGTGCAACGGCGAGGCTTTGTTTTGTTTATTGTTAGCAAGCAAGGAAAGGCGGGTCTTGGGTATATCTCAAACTCTAGGCGCATTTGATATGAAGCCAATTCAAGATCGATGCCCAGGCCGGCAGCATTTGAACATCTCAACCTTTCTACCATATTTCGTCCGTTTCCACTGGTGGAAATTCTCGGCATGCCGTTGTTCGTTTTGATCTTAGCCTGAGGTGATGATTGATGTCGTTGCTCCTCTCTAACAGTCAGCTATCGAAAGCATGGCAAAAGTCGAAGCTCGATTTGCAGCGTGTCGTTATAAATGGAAAGAGCTCATTGGCGACTTCCACTCTAAACTCGGCCGAACTCATCCGGACTTTTGTTTCAACTTCAACCCAAGCGAACGACACCCCGCATCCCAAGGAGTCCTACTCGTACGTATTGCATATGTGCCATACTCTAATATGCACGGAGTGCGTTTTGAGGTGACAGTGGCGGCTTTTCTGCCTATAGTAATCTTAACCGACGCCTTGATCGATTGTTCGTTTCAGCAAGCTATCAGACGACCACCCCTCACCATTGTATTGATCCTGGAGGCGAGCTTGCATCTGGAACGGTCCGTTCATAAGCATCAGTGTATCAACTTCTTCCGCTTTGCCAATGGCTTAGGATATAAGCAATATAGCTGCAGCATGACATGAAGCCTAAATGCATCCGCCAAGTATATATGACCTTGAGAACTCCCATGGGCAGGTCTGTCCTTGTTTGTTCGTCCATCATCACTTTTTCTTCTTCTCGAGATGCATTTCTCTTCGCTCATTGCTCCCGTCTTTGCCCTTTTGGGTGCGGTGTCTGGTAACTCGCTCGCTGGTCGTGCGGCCCAGCTCACCCAGGTTCAAAACTTTGGCGACAACCCTTCCGGCACTGGAATGTACATCTATGTGCCTCAGAAGCTGGCCGCTAAGCCTGCTGTTATCGTAGCCATTCACTTTTGCACCGGTACCGCTCAGGCATACTATCAGCAATCTCCCTATTCCAAGTTGGCCGATCAAAAAGGATTCATTGTCATCTACCCTTCTTCTCCCCATGTAAGTTTACAACCACATGTACTATTGCAAGGTTGTATTCAGGTTCGGAGATTGTCCCTTGGGTTGTACGTCGGGCCAGACACATTCAAAAATGACTTTCCGTCGAAGAGGTCGCCCAAACTCGAATCTTGCTTGTGAGCACGACCTTACATGAATCATGCTGACCATTCTTCCATTCAAGGCAGGCACATGCTGGGACGTCTCGTCGCAGAAGTCTCTCAAGCATAATGGTGGCGGAGATAGCAATGCAATTGCCAACATGGTCACCTACACTTTGAGGAAGTACAACGCCGATCCTAAGCGTGTTTTCGTCACTGGCTCCAGCTCGGGTGCCATGATGACCGTAAGTTCTTCCCAGTATGATTCTGTGCACTTGAAGGAAGCTAACAGGTCGTAGAATGTCATGGCAAGTACTTACCCGGAGTTGTTCGCCGCGGCTACTGCCTACTCTGGCGTTCCCGCCGGTTGCTTCGTCTCCTCCTCCGGCCAAGTCGATGCCTGGAACTCCACTTGTGCCCAAGGAAACGTCGATCAGTCTGCCGCCTACTGGACTAACGTCGTCAAGAACATGTACCCTGGCTACTCCGGGGCTCGTCCTCGTTTCCAAATCTACCACGGTAGCATCGACACCACCCTTCGCCCCAACAACTACAGAGAATCTGTCAAGGAATGGACCGGCGTCTTCGGCTTTGATGCAAACAAGCCTCAGACTGTCAAGAAAAACTTCCCGGCCAACGGATACACCACTGATATCTGGGGTGTTGACTCGGCCAACCCGCTCGGCAAGGTTCAGGGCATCTACGCTCTTAACGTCGGACACACCGTTCCCATCAACGGGTAAGTACATCCAAGGTATTGGTAGTTCCATGATCGAATTGCTGACATTGTTTCACAGTGCTCAAGACATGGCTTGGTTCGGTCTCTAAACAGCTACCAAGGATCTCAAAGTTCTAGGTTCTAAGAGACAACAGCAGATGAGCAGAGAGTCGAAGTTTGGCACGGAGAGATGAGCTTGGAGAGTAGTAGTGATGATGATCGCTCTGGTAGCAATTTATCACTCAATCGAAAATCCACTTCTTGCAAAGCAGACGTGCTTTGAAGCAGGAGCTCTCGTGATGGCCCACTATTCTTCTAGATCAACAGTTTACTTCCTCGAGGCGAGTTGGGGTGGTGAGAACACTACTTTTGCAGGCGAATGGCGGCAGTAGACCCGTCAGTCCAAGTCATGCATTATCGGAGTCTCCAAGCTGAAGGCACATTTAGTTTGGAGAAATGTGGATGCAAGAATTGAGCAACGAACTCGATATTTCAGTTATTGTCCAGAATCCAACTGTGCATATTCCAAGTGCGTCTAATCGAATCAATGGATATCTCAGACCAAAGAGATTGTAGCCCACGTTAGGCTTGCGTAATAATTCTCCAATGTTCAAGAAGCAGTACCGTTAACAGTCTCACTCATAAACCCAGCACCAAGTTGCTTCTCCAGCGCCTCTTGGAAAGCGCCAATATTCTCAGTCAAAGCACCCAAAATCTTCGCACCGGCAGAACCATCGCACTCATCCGAATGAGTGATATCAGCAGCTAAGTCACGCTTCTTGAAGTTGACTCCAGGCTTGATGGTGACGCAATTGTATTGAGCTTCGGCAGCACGCAATTGACAGATACTGCTGGTTTTGCAGTCACCTGTACAGGATGAGACGTCATGACCACGAGACTTGCGAGCGTTGAATTGTTGGAAGACGGCGTCGTTTGTTTGGAAGAGAGCGGTGAGGTTGTGCCAGAAGGCAGGGGTGAGTTCGGCGGATGCGGCGGTCACAGGAGGGGTGAGTTGAGCGCCGTATGTTTCTTTGACTGAATAGTACTTTTGCCAAGTCGGGCCATTCTGGTATGTGGGTGAAGAGATGTTGGCAAAGTAAACGGTGTAGTCCAGAACACCGAAGGTGACAGGATCGATCGAGTAGACGCGGAAGGTCGGGTTGCCAGAGGTGGGAGTCAGAGCGGGAGCGATGTATGAGACATCGACGGCGTTGGCTGCTGTCTGTTTTGTGTAATCCGAATAGGTGATCTGGAACTCGTCCTTGTGGGTGTGGCCGTAGAATTGAGCAGCGATGGTAGCACTGTATCGCTTGACAATCTGGTTGAAGTAATTTGATCCGTCGTGGAAAGCATCGCCTGCGCCCATTGGCATGTGACCGAGAAGCCAGACTCTTTCACCAGCCTTCTCAGCAGCATCAAGTTCACCGACTAACCAAGCCAACTGGCCACTTGGGTCGGTCTCCATGGTCGTCTCGTACAGCCAGAAGTTCTGCTTGTAGTACAAGTTGGTGTTGAAGGAGACGACGCGGAGGTTGGTATTGGGGTTCTTCACCGAGTATGCACCGTACTTGTCGGCATTTGAGGCAGCTGCAGAGCCAATCCATTTGGTCCAGTCTGCTGACAAGGTATCGTAGACCCATTGGCTCGAGATGGTCGTGTCGACGGCAGCTGGAGGGAAGCTGTTGACGGGAGCGGCATCGTGGTTACCGACGACACCATAAACGGGCATGCCGAGGGTAGACATGAGCGAATAAGCATTATTCAAGTCGTTGGTGACCTCGGTCTGGTTGACGAGCCACACTGCACCCTCGACGATATCGCCAGTGAAGATGGAAAAGGCAGCGTCCGGGACGAGCGTCTTGATGGCGTTGTACATGCTTTGCTCGAGGCTGCGGGGACTGTCGCACTGCGTGTTGCCATATTGGCCGGCTGGGAATTGAGTCTTTCCGGGAGCATCGGCAGCGCTGTAGGGCCGACAGCAGATGTTCTTGGTGCAGTTGTAGTTGGCGCCAACTTGGTACGAGAGATCGACGTGGATATCGCTGTAATGGACAACCTTGAGCGGAGTCTTGCCACTGGAGGCTGGTCGAGAAGCACCGGCTGGCTTGGCTGAGGGGAATGTCACGGTATACGGCGTGACGGCTGGGTAGTCGCAAAGGCCAAAGATGGTACCACAGAAGAGCTGAGCTGTATGAGATCCGATTGTCATTTCACGAAGGTCGTGGGCTAGAATTGGCCCCTCGAGTCCAATGGCACCGGCGCAGACATCCGCGTCCTCTACCTGTTTCCGTGTCAGACATCTCAAAACCCGTCAGCTCCTCTTCCAAGCGACTCACACCAAGCGACTGGCAGACTGCAGTGATGACTCCGACAAAGGCATCGTTGCCAAGGTGGGCAACAGCCTGGAGGACTCCAAGCAAAGACTGGCAGGCTGTACAAGTAGCGGCATTCTTGATATCGTTCAAAACATCGCTGACGGTATCTCTCTTCTGAATCGAGCTTGCACTTGTCGATTGGGCAAAGAACAGGCCGACCGAGACAAGAGGCAGGAGCTTCATGTTTGCTTGCTGCCTTGGAAAAGCTTCATCTCGTCCATGCTTACCTTGGCTTTTATATCTTGCAAATACCCAGTCGCTGCCCCTACCTAGATCAGCGATAAACTCCAGGTATACGATGAATTTCTGTCCATGCGTGTTCGCGTAGATCGTCAGTCGATAGTCTCACGCGCGCGAGCGATGGCCGCGACATGTTATAGCACCACCGGCAAGACAATATTCGCATTGCTACACGTGTGTAGCATACAGTCGTTGACTTGACAGCCACACACGACTGAAGGCAGAAAACTTGCATGCGCGCAATGCACTCGAGTAGCGAAAAAGAAGAGATGTGCTCAAGCTTGCAGCGTCGCGAGGCGGGTGATTACTCCCAGCACTTTTGCAACCGAGCATCGCTTGCGATTGCCCCTCCTTCTTGACTTCTCTCGGATCGATTTGCACCTTCCACCTTTTCCTGAGGCCTCAATCAAACCAGCCAACCAGAGCCTCCGATACAGCACATGTATCGAATCTGTCAGGCCTCATATGCGCAAAGAATGGTAATCACGGCCGGCTAGATCATCTGAAATGAGAGCGTGTCGCGTATCGTCTTGTCGACGCCAGAAACTGCTTTGTCCAAGCACGTTTTCAATCAATTCTAGAAGCACATGTCGTGAAAGATGATCCTGTCATGCAACTTCTCGCTTGCTCGATCTTCTAGCTCCCGCTAATACGCCAGGAACCATAATCAGCATGCAAGTGATCACTTATAAAGGTGCAGCAGCGCAAGTGTTTCACCATGTCTGTCAGCAAGCCAAGTCACAAAGCTAATTGATCATGGTTGGTGTCGCAACAACTATCTTGGCCAATTGGCTATTGTTCAGCGCGACCTTCGCTCAAGCAACTACCTCCGACCCCACTCAACAGCTTGGTGGTAATAGTCCTTGGTTCCCTGGCCCGGATGTGAACGACATCACTTACGAGGTCCCTGATGGCTGCTCTGTGGACATGGCGGCTTTTGTGTCTCGACATGGTTCTAGATACCCGGACACAGGTGCATACAACCAATGGGTAGCTCTTGCTGCAAAGGTTCGAGTTCTTGTCTTACTTTAGGCTTCAATCTAGCTGATGCAACCAGATCCAAGCTGCTCAGTTCACTGCCACAGGAGACTACAGTTTCCTCCAAACATGGAAGCCAGTACTCAGCAATCCAGCTGTTCAAATCGCGGACATCTCTATTGGAGGCTACAAGGAGTTGTATGACATGGGTGTCTCTTATCGCTGGAGATATCCTGACTTCTATACTGAGAATACTGCTTTCTCGGTCTTCGCCAATCAGTATCCCAATGCACCCAGAGTGGTCAACTCCGCAAGGTAAGTTGTCCTTCCAATGTCTGTGACTAATCACAGAAGCTAAACAATCTGCAGACTTTTTGCTAGAGGATACTTGGGCCCCAACTCTACCTACGGAGATGTCTATGTGATAAAGTCTACTGATCCCAAGTCCATCGCCAACTCCCTGGCACCCTCTGACTCTTGCCCAACGTACAGCGACAATGGCGGTGGTGCTAACCTTACTGCATGGAACAATCTTTACCTGCCTGCTGTCACGAAGCGTGTCAACAGCCACATTCACGGCAACCTCAACTTCACTGACTCCGATGTCTCTATCTTCCCCTATCTCTGCGGCTTCGAGACTCAGATCACTGGTCGTGAATCACCATGGTGCAATATTTTCAACGAGGATGAACTCCGAAAGTACGAATATGCACAGGATCTTCGCTACTACTACGGTTCTGGTGAGCTATATTGCTAAACGATACTCGGCTTCTCTTCTAACATATTCTGCATGCCCTGGCTCCGGCAAGAACTATACATTGATGCAACCCGTGCTCAATGCCATTGTCCAGCGCCTTGTCGATGGGCCCAACAAGACATATGTCAACAGCAATGGTCAATCGTGGACACCTGGTCCTCTCATCCCTATGTTCACCAACGATGGTCAGATCAACCAGCTGGCTGCTGAAATCGGCGTGTTCGATCAGCAAAAGCCACTACCAAACAACAAGATCCCCAATGACCAGGTAAGGGAAGCTCCCATGTTCTCTGTGTTCCAGCTCACTGACGTGTCTATTTTATCTGTAGATCTTTGTCGCCAGCAACTATGTCACCATGCGTGGTACCATCGGGTTCGAGCGGCTGAGTTGTTCGAACAAGAAATACGTTCGTATCGTACTGAACGATGCTGTATACCGTATGTCAATCCAGCTACCCTTTCCGCCAGTTACTTCGACTGACATTAATAGCGGTACCATCTTGTCAGAATGGCCCTGGAAATTCTTGCCCACTTGGAAGCTATGCCGCGCTCGTCGCTCAGAAGAGCAAGTCTCAAGGCAGTCTTGTCCAGACTTGCGGTCTTACCAATTCGACTGGTGCAGCAAGTACCAACACTGCTACCTTTTTGGTAGACAATGCGCTGTCATGGGAGTATGTTGTCAAGCCTTAAGTGGCGCGCAACTACGAAACCCAAATCGAAATCTTGTGAGTTTTGATTGCCCGATATTGTTGGGGATGGTGACAAAGACTCGCTCTTTCTTCTTGTCCCTTGGAACCGAGTAGCAATCTTGCTCGCTGCAGTCAGTACCTTCCAGAAGTATCGCCATCCGGCAACGTATTGAATCAATCTACCAATTTCTGGCAGGAGCAAACCACGACTCTCTCATTGTCTGCGTCGCTCGTTCTCATAAAAGTTTCATCGCTATCTTCCTTCCACTCATACAAATCCCAATGCAATCTTGACATCTTCTGTCAAGGCCTCTCCATATCTTTGCATGGAGACGTCTTTCCATGGTTCACCTTCGAGGGTACCCTCAAACTCGGACAAATACTGGCGTCATTGCTACCATATGTTATCAGGCCTTAGTTGCGGTGCTCCGCACACCTTAGTTCGACTTGCCGTACTTAAACCGATCGTATATACAGTATATCGTATTGATTTCGTCTTCTACAATGTTCCTTTCAGCCGATAGATTTCGGTGCGGTTGTCCTCCCTAGCACAGAGCCTCATGACGTCTTGCAGTTTTCGGCCGAAGCCATGCTCGCTCATCGGCCGAAGTGTAGACCATGGACCATGTATACATATAACAACCACCTCAAGCATGAAAAGTTCTCCTGAAATATTGCTTTCAACTCTTACAACGATTTGACAAGATGTCTGGATACAAACATACCGGGCCCGTACCCTGTGATACCGACTTCGATGTTTCAACGGTAAACGGCAAGACGGCTATTGTGACTGGCGGTATGTAAGATATCAATATTGTATCTGGAAGCCTGGCTGACCCCCCGTAGGCGCCAACGGTCTTGGTGAAGCATACGTTCGTGCTCTCGTTCAAGCTGGGTATGTCATATTAATCTTCGACCACGACGACCATCCACTGATGAATTCATAAAGCATATCCGTCTGCTTTGGAGACCTCGATGTCGAAAGGGGAAACAAGCTCGAGAACGAGCTGAATGGGTAAGAGCATTCCGCTTATCTTCAGAAACCTAATTACTCACTTCCGAGTCAAGCAAAGCCAAATTCGTCAAATGCGATACCACAAACTGGGAAGACCAACTCAATCTCTTCGAAACAGCAAAAGCCTTATCCCCATCCAGCAAGATCCACTATGCCGTCGCCAACGCAGGCATCGCGGCCAAAGATGAAGTGTTCGAATATAACGGTGAGCCACTCTTCACCATGCCTTTTCCACCTAACCCTCTGACACAAGCAAACAGAATTCGGACCCACAAAGCCGAGTCTGAAAACCGTAGAGGTGAATCTGCACGGTGCATTGTACACCACAAAACTCTCCACGCATTACTTCATCAAGCAGAATGGCAAACAGCCTTCGCAGGAGCAAGAAGATACTTGTCTGATTCTCATTGGCTCGGGTGCCGCGTTCTTGGATGTGGCCAGGGGACCTACCTATCCGGCTACGAAGTGGGCTATCAGAGGCATCATGCATTCGTTGCGAAGGACTGCTCATTACTACGGCAGCCGCGTGAATGTCATCTCACCATGGTGAGTGCCTAGCCCCGGGCCTTTTTTCTTCAAGACTTGCTAACAGCAGCGTAGGTATGTCAAGACCAAGATCTTGGCTGAAGAAGCTTTTGAGCAGGTAAAGTCGAAAGGTGTGGAATTTGCAACCACAGAGGATGCTGGAAGTTGTCTGCTTAGAATCTTGAGTGACAAGAGTGTGAACGGACACTCCTTCTTCTTGTCTGCTAGGAAGTGGGCGAGTAGAGGCTATCTCGATTTGGACCTCGAGGATTACGAGGATGGGTTGTTGAAGGAGATCCAGAATGATCAACTCGCCAATGCTCCCCCAGAGGCTGGGTTGATGATTTGATGATTTGAAAGAAGTGTCGATATGTCCAGTAGGTCGAGTGTTGAACCAAGATACCATGTTCCTCTACTCATGTTCCTCTACTCGAAGCTCTCAATTTTCCTCGCCTGTTTCGAAGTGATACTTGGAGTATCGTGGATTCGTATAAGGCTCATCATCATCCCAACCATCTCTATGCCACGAGTCTTTGAACTCAATCCAAGACAATTTGGAAATGTCGAGATTGACTCCAGCACAATCTGCGTCGTCGACACTGCAACGACCGACCCCGACAACATATTCGTCTTCGTACTCGTCTTCATCCTTGTTGAGAGTTCTATCGGCTAGAAGATATACCACCAGCACACCACTCTCATTCCAATCCTCTTGATCAGCGACAATGAAGAAATGAGGATGTATAGTATTTTCGTCGTCTTTGGCGGCTTCTATGTGATAATCATAGACGTCCCTGAGTGTTTCGCCAGCAAAGTCTGGCGAGGGAGCGAGACAACATTGTCCATTTGCCATGTCGCCGTTATTCAGGTCGTCGAGGAGGGTTTCGCGACCGGCATCGTCCTGAGGGAGAAGGGAATACACTGCGAACTCGAAGTGATCGGGGTCGCGTGCTCCGTTTGTGCCTTCTGGAGGATAAAAAGGAAGGGTAGATTCGAGTTCTCTGGTTGATGACATTGTTGTGACTAAAGTTCGTAAATCTTGGACGTGTTGTTGTCTTGAAGCCAACCGTTGTCAACAACTAGGTCTTGGAAGTAGGGCGGCTTTGGTTCCAGCAACTCGAGCTACGCGGTGTTTTGTGCTTAGCCTCGAATCGAAGTTTCGCTAGATGTGTATTTTTGACTCTAAAAATCAGTTTTTGATATATATGTTAGTTGCTCCAAGGCAACAACTCGGTTTGCTGCCTGGTTGATGATATCATGGTTTTGGACTCTAAGAGCGTATTTTGAGAATCCTTCGGAAGCAGGAACGACCAACGACTTCGCGTTGTGCGTATATGCGTCAGAGTTACATTTCATTGACTGGCTTACAATTCACGAGCAATGCTATTGTTCGGACCTTTTGCATAGCGTGTGTCAGTCGCTGAGAGGACGTTGACCTTTCGATGTCGCACACAGATAAACGTTGGAAAGTCGCGAAGCTCCTGAGCTGAGAGGCAGGCACGACCAAGACCTTTGACACTGAGGCTGAGGCTGAAACAAGATTTCGCCCTGCAGAACTTCACAAACACTGCACATCCGACCATTTCCGTCTCTAGCAGTTGCAGAAGTCGCGTTTTCAGCTCTCTCGTCATCAATAGTCTCGATACATGTAGCGACAACAAATCTAGGACAATCTCCTTATACATGAAAAGGGAGGAAATGTCCCATGACTCGCCACAGGTGCTTCTTTCTGCCCTATCAGCCTGGCCACGCAATCACTTGTCTTGGACGAATGCCGTCTTCCCGATTCCGAAAGTGCAAAAAACCCACATCAAGATTCCAGAATGGCGCTTGCGACTTGGCCCGATGCTTTCTAACCAGCTTGGCTCCGTGGAAGATAGGATCTGAATCGATTGCCTTACAACGGCCGTACATTTTGGCGGCTTACGGCCCTGTCGATACATGGTAACATGATCATAGTATCGTTTGGTGTTGGGAGAGGATAGCCAACTGACTCGGCGGTACTTGGAGTAAGTCGTTTTTCATCTCAGACTGTACCTGACTATACCATTTCGGGGGTTATCCCCTCCTTGACATTGCCGGCGCCGCAGAGCCAAGAGCTGAGGCTTGCACCTAGATAGGGATGATAGTGATGGTTTTCTGATGCGGGCGAGAAGGATGACGGTAGGGTTCGGATTTGTTCAAGTACTCGGCTGGCCTTCTTGCCGCTTGATTCAAGTTTGTCTCTTGCAATCATCAACAACATGTGGCAGTACCAACGGAGCCGTGTGATGCTTGCGGCATTCTTGCTGCTTTCGTTCGTCACGGTATATCATCTCCTCCCTCGGACACCGGAGTCTTCGGATCTTTTCTCGAGCAAGGACAGTTCGAGTATCTCTACAGTCAAACGACCAAAGAACCCAAAGCTTCATCTGCTCCTTCCTACCACAAGTGGAGATGTCAATCTTTGCAAGACAATCCTTAGTGCAAAGGCTTTAGGATACCCTGAGCCAGTAATACTCGGATGGGGCGGCAAATTCGACACATGGTACCTTATCGCAGGTGGTTCTCACGTCGCGAAAATCTCGAGGGTGCTGGAGTATCTGGAGAGCCTCGGTCCTGAACAGGATGATGAGTTGGTATTAATGATGGATGCATTCGATATCTGGTTCCAACTTCCTCCGGAGACGTTGATTGAGAGATACTATTCCATCAACGAGAGAGCAAACGTGAGAATTCAAAAGCACATGGGCAAGGCTGCCGAGATTGAGGGGATCAAGCAGACCATCATCTTTGGTGCTGGTAAGCGTTGCGCTCCCAACCAGCCGCAAACAGTCGCATGTTATGCTGTACCAAATTCACCAGTGTCCGACGATATCTATGGAGGAAACACAGATACGATCATGGGTCGCAACAGATGGACAAGCCATCGTCAACGCTACATCAATTCTGGATACATCATTGGCCCGGCCAAGGACATGAGAGTGATGTTCAAGAAAGCTTGGGAAAAGGTACAGAGCTGGCCTCATGTTGATGAGTATGACAATGGAAGCGGTGAATCAGGTTTCATGCACCATGGATCAGATCAAGCTGCCTTTGCAAAAATGTTTGGAGAACAACAAATTCAGAGAGAAGTGTTGCGTCGCCGCCATGCATCGACCTGGACAACAAAGTTGACGCAAGAGCCGTCAGTCCTCAAGATCGAAGGCACAGAAGTAGGAGATATTCTAAACCCACCGTTCACCCACGAGCCAATGGAATACGTCGAAGGCGAAATTTACGAATTTGGCATCGGCATGGATTACTCCTCCGACCTCGGCCACCAGACAATGAACTCAGGCTGGGATGCAGCATGGCTACGCTACGACGACCCAGAAGATGTCTTCCTGAACAAGACACGCAAAGGACGCAACGACTTCGACTGTAAATATCGCGGCGACTTCAAAATCCCAGCCGACATGAGGCTCTACGATGAAAGAGACTTCTTACCCGAAGGGCGCAGATGGGAGCAGGTGAACCTTTACACGCATATCTGTATGGGCACTATTCCCGTCATGGCACATTACAACGGCGACAAGAAAGAGCGAGAGCGCCAGTGGCCGCAGTTCTGGGTTCAGCAGTATGGCAAGTGGATTGTGGAGAACACTGAACAATATGGAGGCGGAAGGATTGGGGCTTCGATATGGAAGAAGGACGAGCAAGCACAATTTATGGGTTGGGATACACTGTGTCCTGCTGAGTACTCGAAAGAGCTATACAGAGGCGATAATCTGGCTCTTGTTTCATAAGTGTTATTTGGTTGTTGGTTGATACCTTTTCTTACTGCATATATTCTCACGTCGTTTGCAGAGAGTGATGATTCAAGGTCCCCTCTTTGAGCTAGCTCTAATTCCAAAATCGTTGTGCATTCTTACAGCGACGTTAGTGACAACTTTTGACACGCTAAGAGGCATCAAATCGGTAGGTCAAGACCTGTATTTCAGTCATACTTTGCTGAATATTGGATATCTGCTTGGCCATGAAGGAAATCGCATTCAAGGTCCGGAAAAATGTCACCTTACGCCATCGTTCGGCAGGTGTTCCGCGGACGCGGCTCTCTCGGGAATAAGAAACGGTCATCACAACGTGGCCAAGCATCGATGCAGCACTGCATTACCGCCTTTCCTACTCCCAACGAGACTTCAATCGATTCGAGAAATTTGCGGTGCCTCTGTAAAACACTTCGGAGTTATGCAATCAAGAATAAGAATTTTTGGATTGAAGTACCCATTGCCAACTGCCAAGCACTATTGAGAGTGAGAAGGTTGACTAGCATAGTAAGACTTCTTGCCACTTACTCGAATGACATCCTCCGCGGTATTGTAACAGAAGAATCGGAAGTCTCGGTACCCACCTAGCAGTTGGCGATGGGGCAGAGCAAGACGACTCGATCGTTGGCGGGCGAAGAGGGGGCGCGGAGGCTAACTACTTATATGATATGCTCAGGATGCCCTGATTGAAGGGCTGTTTTATTTGGCCCTTCCATTCCTAGATATGTCGAAGATACTGAGTCCACTTCGAAGGTCGTTTGACCAGCTCCCGGAGTTTCCTTCGACTACGGCATCGGTCATCAGAAGCCGTATCCTTCGGATAAGTGTGCTGACAGCAATTCTTGTGCTACTACTGCATCTTTGTTCAAGCGTAAGTGTTGCCGTGTCGATAAATCGTGTCAGTAGAGCTGATCAGATGCAGCTATCATACTACGAAGATGGCCTTGAGGACGCAGAAACCGATGGCAAACCTGGCTACCTACACCTTTTAATTCCAGCATCAAAGCCGGACCAGAACTTATGCAAGACTGTACTCAGTGCTGGCATTCTAAACTACCCGGCTCCACGACTCGTAAATTGGAACCAAAAATTCGAAGATCCAAATTTGGTTGCAGGAGGATCGCATATCGGAAAGATCTCTGGCATTAAAACATATCTTGATGGCATGGACGTGGCCCGTGATTCGGATCTGGTGTTGATGGTCGATGGCTACGATGTTTGGTTCCAATTGCGACCTCAAACAATTCTCGACCGCTACTTCGACATCAATCGTCGCGCAAACAAGCGTGTCCAGAAAGAGCTTGGAGATGAGGTAGTGAGGCAACACAACATACACCAGCAGATCGTCTTCTCTTGTCAGAAACGATGCTGGCTTTTTTCCGAGGATGATCCTGAATGCTATGCTGTTCCTCAGTCGTCTCTCCCTCAGGACATATACGGACCGGAAACAGACACAGACATCGGGGATGAGAAGAATCCATACATCAAGTTCCGACAAAGGTTTCTCAATTCCGGTGTGGCCATTGGCACCGTAGGCGCGATGCGTAAGCTTTTCACTGAAGCTATGGTTCGTGCTGAACACGACCCAAATTTTGGCAGTGACCAGAAGATTTTCAGCCAGTTGTTTGCCGAGCAAGAAGTCGCACGCGAAGCCTTAAGACAACAATCGCTGTCTAACTCCTGGTGGAGTAGACTGACATCGAGCGCCTACTCAGACGAGCGCATTGGAAGGTTCAAAAAAGAACATCTTGATGCTGTCCAAGGAAAGGATCTCGAGTTTGGCTTGGGTGTGGACTACGAAAGCTCGATCGGACTAGCAACCGTGTTCGCTGAGGACGACACCGAATGGTTGACACCGAGCAACAAAGAAGAGCTCGACCAAGCCAATGCTGTCCGAGCAATTGATACCCAAAAAAGCAGACTTGGGAACGTCCTCAAGGATGTTGCTGGAACCGTCCCACCTTTCTGGACCTTTGAACGCAAGCCCTTACCGCGCGAACAAACATGGTCCGATGTGTCGCTCTTCACTGATGTGTGGACTGGGATCGTGCCGGCAGTAATCCATCATAATGCGCACCGAGATGGTATGAAGTCGCTAAGAGAAGAATGGTGGGACCGTGTTTGGTTCCAAGAGCACGCCCGGAGCCTGTATGACAGCCATATCGTTGCGCCTTTAGGTCCTGTTGCCATCTCGGGTGGGCGACAATGGTGGAGTCCAGAGGACTGGAAAGGCGGAGCTCGAGTCGACCTGCAACCTCTGACGAATGACACCTGGATCCGGTATGAAGAAATGTGTGATGGCACAGAAGACGAAGTGTTTCGAGATGGTGAAGGTCCATGGCGTCTTCCTGATGACCATTGAACTCACTTTTGCTCTACATGACTGGTTCTTTTGAGGCTTTGAGTTCCTCTTACTTCAGGCTGCAGGTGTTTTGGTTGTTCGACCTGCTAATATCCTTCCTGCGATGACTGCTACACTGGTTGAAGGTCCCCGTTTACACCGCATTTAGATGAACGAGTTCCATGGCTTTCCGCGCACGTATACATACTAGTACTTCCTCGCCATTCCAAGAGGCTCCGAACTTGAGCTTACAGCACTCTTTGATCAAGACCTGAACGCATGCGATAAAAGATAGGTAATCGATCAATGCTGTCGTTGTGGGAAATGAAGATGCTGATAGTTGTGACATCACCGGCTCGACAAACCTTCCCTCTTCGCACTTTCCCCGCGCGTGCTCTACCCCGAAATGTCCCCAGATCGACAGGCGGAGAGTAATCCTCGTCTTCGGCCTCGCCTTCTCTCTCGCTGCCATTCGTTGACAGACGCCGTTGACGCGTGCTTGTGCGCGCTTGAGGCTTCAACAAGCATGCCAATTTAGCCTGTGCAAGACTATTGTGGAGCTTGATACGCCTCAAAACAGCGGATCTGACGGCACATCTCATAAGAGTGGCCAATCTCATGGGGACCCCAGGAAAATGGTGTGGAGAAGGAGAGAGACGGTTTCATCGGATTGCCAGTTCGGTCAAGGTGGCATGGATCATCTGGTGTAGGTGAGAAGTCCGAGACGAATGTCACGTCGCGGCCGATGTCACGACCATGTGCTTTCCCGACGATCAATCATGCAAAGTACTACTGGCCGTGAATACTTTTCTCTTATACATAACCTTCTTCTTTGCTTTCGTCTTGCTCTCTCGTACACATCAGTCTGGTCGTTTATCAGTTCCTCCTTCCCGACCCAACATCGAAGTGTACCTCCGAATCGCCCTTGCTCCTTGCTCTCGCTCTTCGCCATGAGCCACAACGTCTTCCCTTCTCCGAATTACGGGGACCGTCGTTCGAACGAATCATACGACGAAAAGGCTACCGTCGACATGATTGACCGAGTCGAGACTGCGAACACTCAAGGACTACAACGAACGGAAGCGCCAGAACTCGTCCGAAACATGTCACCAGAGGAGCGTGCACATGCCGAGAAGGTGCTTGTTCGCAAAATCGACTTCAGACTCATGCCAATGCTTGTTCTTATGTACATTCTCAACTACCTCGACCGAAACAACATCGCATCGGCGAGACTGGCTGGACTGGAAACAGACTTGGCTTTAACATCTTCGCAGTACGAGACTAGTGTCTCGATTTTGTTCGTTGGTTACCTTTTGATGCAAAGTATGAGCGACTCCGAAGGTTTACAACAATACATTTTCTAACTTCACCAGTTCCTTCCAACCTTTTCTTGAATAAGATTGGCAAACCAGCCCTCTACCTCCCTGCAGTGATGTGCGTCTGGGGCGTCATTTCGACATGCACTGCCGCTGTGCAGAGTTTTGGAGGACTAGTCGCTGTCAGATTCGTACTAGGTTTTGTTGAAGCGGCTTACTTCGTGAGTCAAGGATTCCTCCTTCATAACATAGACCTCGAGACTGATGATTTCGTAGCCTGGCTGCTTGTTCTTCCTTTCGTCCTGGTACACTCGCAAAGAGCTTGCTTTCCGTTCTGCAGTTCTATACTCTGGCTCATTGATCTCTGGAGCCTTCTCCGGCCTGATCGCTGCAGGAATTTTGGACGGGCTAGAAGGTCACTTGGGCTTGTCAGCATGGCGCTGGCTTTGTAAGTCATTTGGCGTATTGTCTCTTTTCCAGAATACTGACCGTCATCAGTCATCATCGAAGGTGCCATCACCATCGGCGTCGCATTCGCCGCATTCTTCCTCCTCCCTAACTTCCCACGTACCACAAAATGGCTTAGCGAAGAGCAACGTCAACTGGCTGTTTGGAGGCTACAAGAGGATATTGGTATGGACGATTGGGTCAGCAGCGAAGGACAATCGTTCTGGCACGGCTTCAGACTCGCGTTCACCGATATCAAAACATACATTCTGATGGTTCTACTATTTGGCATTGTGGCTTCGGGCTCGGTTACCAACTTCTTCCCTACAGGTACGCCACATATATTTCTTAACCACGAACATATACTGACCACAGTGTAGTTGTGCAAACACTGGGATACAGCAAGATTGTCAGTTTGTGTCTGACAGCGCCACCTTACTGCCTTGCTGTTATCACTGCTTTCGCGAACGCCATTCACGCTGACCGTACTGGTGAACGCTTTTTCCACATCACGGTTCCGCTCTTATTTGCGGTAGCTGCATACATCATCGCTGCTACCACTACATCCACCGCACCTCGTTATGTAGCCATGATGCTCATGGTTCCTGGAGTCTACACTGGCTACGTCGTCGCCCTTGCATGGATCAGTAACACCATTCCTCGCCCACCAGCCAAGCGTGCCGCTGCTCTTGCCGGTATCAACGCCATCTCCAACGCCAGCAGTATCTACGCCTCATACATGTACCCCAGCTCTGCAGGACCGAGATATATCGTGGCGATGAGTGTGAATTGCGCGACTGCTGTCATGGCAATCTTGGCAGCTTTCACTTTGAGACAGATGCTGGTCAAGCTGAACAAGAAACTTGATAGAGGCGAGCATGTCGAGGGTGCTGTCTCGTCCGGACAAGGTGTTCCCGGCGAGGCAGCGAAGAAGGGCTTCCGTTTCTTGCTGTAGTGATGTCTTCTAAAGCCTTCTTTTCTCTTTTATGAAGTATCGACAAAAATGCAGTTTACAACTTCCAATCCCCAAATTACACTTCCCATACCCGACCTTTCGTTTGTATCTAAAAGACAGGCGACGTGATCAGAATTGTCTTATAAGCGCACAAGCTTATGAGACTGTCGATCTTTCAGCAAACATAACAATGTTGCTATCCGACTTCTATCTAGAAAAAGGGCTTCTTACTCTGCCACGAACATCTAGCCATGAGTATGCATGAAGTTGAACTCTCAACAGTATCCAATGAGAGATCGGATCTATTGAAGCCCCTAATGGACAGTCCCTGTGTTCTTCCTGTTATTGCACATTCTTACAGCTAGTCCTTTTGTAAAGGGACCTGTATCGCGAATGCGGATGCTTGAGCAAGTCAGCCTCCAAACTTGGCGTAGACTAGTTACTTGAGAAACCCGATCCTACAGCCTTCAGGATATCCTCCAAGCCAAGCCCGCAGATCCGGTCGAAGGATCTGCCAAGATGGAGATCATTCTTAGATCACCATGAACATATGCATGTTAGGTATGAGGTTGACCGTGGGCTGTCTTGAGCTAGTCACACAAGAAGAGCGAAGGAATACCTGCGATCGTGGGCTGAGCTCAACAGGCCCAAATATAAGAGTTGGCAGGCCGTCAAGACGTAGACTAATCTCACACAGTCACTCATCAGAGATTACAACACTATGTCAAACTCATACATCAACCCATATAACTCATCAGCCGCATGCCCTATCACCGACAATTTATATCCTCGAGTTCCAGAAAGCTGGAATCAGCGGAACTCTACAAACTTTACGCAAGCCGCCTGTGCTGTACCAGCTTGTAGCAATTATACATCTACTTTGGCTACCTGCTGTGGGCGTACGGACAGTGAGCTCCAATACTTCAACACCACGATCGGCCCGTATGCCTCTTGTGCCTTGTCCGATGGCAACGATCCCGAGGCTTACCAAGCCTTCCAGAGATGTATGTTGTTGGAGTACGTCACGCCATTCCAATGCAACAACCAGGACTCCTGGACTACAGATGGTACTTGCTTGGGCATTCAGGAAGTCCCGACAACCCTGGCGAACGTCACAAGCAAGCAGCAATCTTGCTCGATGATCACCTCGCCCAATGCGACCAGAGCCATGGCACAATGTTGCAACAACTACAATGGAGGTGAAGGGCTTTTCGCATTCTCTCAGGGGAGTTGCAACACAGGTTGTGTTTCCAACTCGACCGACAACGAATTTTATGATTGTTTGTTCGACTTTATACAGAAATCGCAATTTCCAGCGATCGAGTCTGGTGTTGTCTGTACTGAGAATAATAAGGACGATCGGGAAGGCGCTGGTGTTCAAACTTCGCCGTCGATTTCAGGTATCCTCACCATGTTGTTGGTAGGTTCGTCGATTTTGCTGCTATGATCGCGGATGGCTACGTTGAAGGGGGGAAAACGGTAGACAAGACATGACAGAAATCAAATTTTACCGATATCTCTTTGGACGTCTCTCTACTTCCACGAATCATTGTGCAGCCTGTGTATCAGCTACGGCTGTCAGACTTTCGCATTCAAGGTTGAGAATGTACGGAGTAAGTATGTGAAAGAAGGAAGCTGCCATCAAGGTCACACGAACACCGGGCCTCGGTGAATCTTTGCCCCGAAGCTATTTTTATGTTTTGGGCAAAGAGCAAAGAGGGGTCCAAGAGTTTTTTGCCCTGCACCCTGCACGGTTCCTGGATCAACAGATTTCGAAACAACAACTCCATCTTTCTCTCAATTGCCGTCCATACCTTGCTTCATCTTTTGTTTCTTGTCGAATTCAAGTTCTCTCAAATCATGGCAAGGTTTCGCAGATGAGGAAAACATCGCATCGGCCGGTTATGTCGGAAGGACGAGTCGATAGGGGCGCGGGCTGCCAGACCATTTTGGGTCTAGAGGCAGCTGTCCAAGAAACCCTAGGCTTGCTTGGCCACTGGCGTCGTGGCATGCGTACGACAACATTGGGGTGATTGTTGACATTTCCCTTTTTGTATGCGTCATTGCACAAAGTCCTCTCGACTTCCATATACCACGGCATTGTTTGATGATGAGGATGAATGAACGAGTGTGATGCCACGATCTCAGAACCTCCGTCTTGTGGGAGCTGGTCTCCTGATATTGTTGATCTATGTTTGTTGGGATAGCATTGCATCCGCTCTTGGGTATGTGTTGAGAGGATGATTTTTGCCTCCTGATGGTTTACTGACTCTTGGATCGTAGTCACCAGAAATTCATCACGGCTCAGGAGTTTACGAGTTTTGGCGATGTTATCATCAAGGCATTGAAGGAAAGTTCTCCTGGTGAAGTTGAGATACAACGAGCAGGCCAGGCAGCCGCTGTTGTCTTCTGGACGACCAATGCAGAAACCCCTAGGCCGGATCATCTCAACATCACATCCACTGACATTGCGACTATGCGATTCGCACATACAGCATACTTGAAATATGCGCGACAAATGTCTTTGCCTTTCCAGAAAGGGGCTTCTGGTATTGTCTCTGCGGCTGCTGGAAAATACCTTCCAGTCTTTGTTATATCATTGAGGATGCTACGACGAACCGGATCTCATCTACCAGTCGAGCTGTTTGTGGATACTGAGACAGAGATGACATCGCATACATGTCAAACGTTACTTCCTAGCATGAATGCTCGCTGCCTACGACTGGAAGACCGCCTTGGACGATGGGCAAAGTACCTTGCCAGCTTTCAAGTAAAGGTGTTTGCGATCCTGGCATCTTCTTTCGAAAACGTCCTTTTCCTGGATGCCGACGCCTTCATGGCCAAAGATCCTGCCCACGTTTTCACACAAGGCCCTTTCACATCGACAGGTCTTGTCACCTGGCCAGACTTTTGGGCATCGTCTGCTTCTCAACATCTCTACGAAATCACCGACCAACCTGTACCCGCAATGAATGCGCTCGCCTCAACAGAGTCTGGACAATTACTGGTCTCCAAAGCCACCCACGCATTGACTCTCCTACTAGCAGCCTACTACAACTACTACGGTCCCGACAGATACTACCCCCTCATGGCCCAAGGAGGTCCCGGAGAAGGCGACAAAGACTCCTTCATCCTAGCCGCCCGAGCGGCAAAAGCACCTTTCCACCAGGTCAAAAAATGCGTCGACACCATAGGATACTACGAGCATGGCAGTTACCACGGAGGCGCAATGCTCCAATACGACCCCACACAAGATTCCACAGAAACAGCGGCGAGCGTCAGCACAATGGAGAAAATGCCAGATGCGTTTTCCGTACACCACAACATCCCCAAATACGATCCAGTCCAGTTATTTGATATGGGTGTACTCATCGACTCGAAGACGGGTGTACCGCACAGATTGATAGGCACGAAACAAGAGACTGAGAAGAGATTTGGAAGAGATATCGAGAGCGAGCTTTGGGAGGAGATTGAGCATGTGACCTGTAAACTTGAAGATCAGATTGTGGGTTGGAAGACGATACCCACATCAGAAGATGAGAAGGGTACTTGTGACAAAGTGCGTTGGTATCGTAAAGAGGTATTTGGATGAAGACGAACAGTATTCGATAATTTCAAGATTGGTTTTACCCGTATGAGCTTGGATCCTCGTTCTCTTACAGCTCTGAATTTTGCGTTCTTTCTGTTCTTCCGATTTCCGTTCAATAAAAAGTGGCTGAACAATTAAATGTATGATTATCTATCAGGAAATATTCAGACGGTCATGATTTATATTGAGAGCTGCTCGAACAAGTAAAATTGTCTAGAAGTCTGCTAATAAGGCCCTCTCACGACTTCCACATGTCTAAACACAGCTTCTTCCAACATAACCACACCACTACCAGTCGCATACATACCCATTCTAGCGCCTTGCCAGGAGATACGACATTCATAGTGAGGAGCCATCCACGAAGCCGTATAAGCTGTAAGCCATGTAGTGGTATTGTCAGAAGGCATAGAATAGCCAAGTTGATAGGTCTCCGGCGTGGCGCGAATATGCAGACGTACACTCGCAGCGCTCTTAGATTGGGTAGTGTTGCTAAGTGCAGTGGGAAGTGGATAGTAGATAGTAGTCGTATTGCCATCGAATTCGCCACCTCTTTCTCCTACGTTCGTCAAGATCCTCAAACAAGTAGCGTTGGTTTGATCTTGGCATTGCACGAGGGAGATGGTGTTGTGGTAGAGATCATTGACCCAGGCGACAATGCCAGCTTCGTGAGTGGGCAATGTAGGGTTGAACGACATATCTACACTGAAGTCGTAGAACAGCGCATCTTGTTTTCTGAGGACTAGCGCCATTACGTCCAGTGCAGACAGTGTAGCAACAGTGCCTCGCAGGATCAGAGAGTCGTTTTCTATCCTCCACCAAGGTCTTGAAGGTGTAGCTCTAAACTCCCAGCCAAGCTGTAGTGACGGGGACGAAAAGTCGTCGACTAGAACCTTGCTGACATTCGACTGAGAAGGCAAGTTCGGGTCCCACATATCAAGGGTGATGAGTTTACCCTCGTTTGCGAGTGGCCAACCATCTACGCTCCAGGTGAACGGGCTCAAGAACGTCTCGCGGCCGAGCTGTTATGTGCCATTGATGTTTTGAGACGAATAGGTGCTGGCAAATAGGAGCGATAAATGAGCTTTGGTTGAGTTAACGAGTGACCTGTAGTCAGATTCAGCTTAGACTGCCAGATTGTACTGTTTCCGCCTTCAGGTCCGGATTCCGGACATCCAGTGTTCAAGTACACGGTTCCATCTGTGTCCCAGAAAAGGTCAGGATCAATGCCTGCTTGGTCAAGATACATTGGCTGAGTCCAGTTGTTAGAGAGGATGTCATCGGTGGTAGTTATGAAGCTGTTCTGCTCGAATGGAAGGAAGGCTAGTCGTAAACAAATGTTAGTCGTGTCTGACAATCAAGCCAATTCTACTCACTGTCTGTATAAGTCGTGACGATGTAGAAAGTGCCATTGTTGTAGCGGATGGTCGGTGCAAATATTCCACCGGTCGTGATTAGTTGGCCATCCTAGATCTTGTTGTTCTGATTTAAACCATGTCCGATCAGGAGGTTGATTTGTTTGTGGAGACGGCGGGCGACTGCGAAGAAGGCATGTGCAATATAGAAGCCGACCATACCAGAGTTGTAAATGAGAACTTCAACGTATATATACCATCTTGCCCTCAACAACTGTATGTATGAATAAAAGGCTTCGTGTGATTCGGTCCGAGGGTCGGAGGACTTGTATGAGTTTTGCTCGCCAATCCTGTGACTAGCGTTCAACTCTCTCGCCCGACGGTTTCATTGTTTTTTTCGCACTTTTTGTGTCGGTAGAAACAGCATAGAAGCCGACCATACCAGAGTTTTAAGTGAGAACTTCAACGTATATATACCACCTTACCCTTAACAACTGTATGTATGAATAAAAGGCTTCGTGTGATTCGGTCCGAGGGTTGGAGGACTTGTATGAGTTTTGCTCGCCAATCCTGTGACTAGCGTTCAAACCTCTCGCCCGACGGTTTCGTCATTCTTTTCGCACTTTTTGTCTCCGTAGAAACAGCATGGAACATGTTTAGGGTTGAAAAGCCTTGATGGTCTGAATTATCTTTTGTAGTAGCATCTAGTGAAGTTGTCCAGATTAGGTACCCGGTGTTGGCTGGAACAGCCTCTTGGCATTGTTAGCATACAATTTCGATCGAAAAATAATGAGCGGGTCACGAAAGTCGAAACAAACAACAAAGTAAGGTGGTGTCATTAATTGGGTATCTAGAGGTCGTGAATGTGATATGCAGGGTCGTGGTCATTGTCGTTAGGTAATCAATCGTATCATCCGAGTTTGTTTAGCCAACCACCAATTCTCTCGCGACCATTCTGATTGCTGATACTGCCCAGTCGCTCTCTCAAGCTCGGTCGTCTTGCAGGAGGTTGGACAGAGGCTGGAGGTGGTGCCAAACCGAGCATGCTCTCAGTGCCGAAAGCATTGAGTGCAAGTCCTGGATCGTTGTCGGAGAGAGAAGTTGATTGACGTCTCGACTTGCGGCCGCTTTCACGTTCGCCGCGACGAGCGAATGCAGCGTCGCCGATAACGCTGGCATTGATGCGAGACTTGCTCGAGACAAAATTGTCGTTCATAAAATGGTCGCCTCGATTGCCGAAGACTTCTTCAGTGACAGTGTCACGACGGCGAGGACGAGGAGGGAGCGGTCGATCAGCAATATTAGCCGTTGATAGACGGCGGGCCAAAGCTTCGTCTTCACGTTCCTGACGTCTTCGAGCATCGAGCTCTTGTTGGTATGTCAATACTGGGTTTCTAGGATCATTTCTTCGTCTTTCAGGTCGTTCATGTCGTTCATTCGGATCGTTACGTTGGTTCCTGGCGTTTCTATCATGACGGGGCTGATCGACAAGAGTTTCTGGGACACGCATGTGGTTCAAGCGATCTTGGTCGGGGACGGCAGCGTAGTTGAACCAAGGGCATTCGCAAGTCTTCCAGGGATTGGCGCAGAGCATGCAGAAGTCGGAGCCACAGCGGCAGGTCATGTGGTTACAGCCCTCCTTAAGTTCGACCATTGCTCTGCAATTGTAACAGCGCTGCCATCCCTTCTCTTTGGCCATGTCGACAAGCCTGTTGGTCTCCGGATCGTTGGGACACTCGCCGCTCGAGTGGAACTTGTTGTTGCACAAAGTGCACACCTTTGTCTTGCATCTCGGGCAGCGACCGTACTTGCGACCGTGTAGCCTGTGCATGTTGGCCGGCTTGATCCATTGGCCGCAGCCATTTGCAGGGCAGTAAAGGCGGTTCTTTGTCGTGTACTCTTGATATTTGGAGTTCCACAGAATCTTGAACCTATCATCGAAGAGGTGGTCGACATGCTTGAGCGGGATGTGGTCGGCGTTACAGCATTTGGGTGGCATGTGTTGCGGGTCCTTGATGGACATGGTGAAGATGCGGCGGAGGCATGAGTTACACATGCGGTGACCACATTGCAGTTTGGCAGAACGAGTTATGGGCACATGGTCGGAGCCGCATGTCAGGCACTCGGCGGTGCGAGGTTGCGGTCTGGTGTGTGTCGTCACGGCTGCTGTGGCTGCTGCTGATGCAGGAGCTGATCGGAAGAAGGAGCCCAGGAAGGACGAGCTGCGACGGCGGTGTTGTTTGTCGCCATTCTTTTCCTTCTCTTTCTCTTTCTGGTTGTCGTGGACGGGCTTGCCTTGAGTCGTCGAAGCACTTCGCTGAAGTTTGGGCCGTTTCTCGGCTACTGCGTGGCCGTCTTTGCTCTTGGCCATACTTGATACCGAGATAGACGCCTTTGATTTGGACTTGGTGGCCTCATAATAATAGCGGACCGTCTCTGGAGGCTTGCTCATACTGCTCCGTCTCGAAGACACTGCCATGACGGCGCGTGTGTTGACCAAGTCTCGTCGCGACTTGTGTCTGATAGCCATTCAATCTCTCCAGCCTCCCGCACAGACCACCGACAGACACTAAAACTCCGTCTGCTATGACACATTTCGACATATCGGTCTTGACCTTCCCTTCTCGATCCCACCTCTACCTTGCTTTGATATACCTTTGAATACTCGTCAAACATCAATTGATCTGGTATACCATTCAATTGATCTAGTAGACTCTGTACCACCTACCTCCGATACCGGCCAAAAGAATTTCAGACCACCAACTCCATCAACTGCTCTATTCTATATACCCACATACACCTCCATGTACGTCTACAGACCTCTTCCTCTGCTTCTCTGCATACTGATAAACGTTCAAAGTTTGATCTATATCTTCCAACATGGCTGACCCGAGACCCAACCCCACCTCGGATCTCAACTGGAGTGACTACAGAGGTGCAATCCACCAGATCTTCGCTGCAAATGCCGCCAAACACCCTGAGAGGACCTGTGTCGTAGAGACTGCTTCTTCTAACTCACCCAAGAGGGTATGTCTAATCATTCAATCTGCTAATTTGATATGTACTAATATTTACAGGAATTTACATACCAACACATCAACGAATCTAGTAATGTCCTCGCACACCACCTCGTTTCGAGCGGCGTGCAACGAGGCGAAGTTGTCATGGTTTACGCTCACCGTGGTGTTGACTTGGTTGTTGCTGTCATGGGTGTACTCAAGGCTGGTGCAACTTTCTCTGTCATTGACCCGCTATACCCTGCAGACCGTCAAATCATCTATCTTGATGTTGCCAAGCCTCGTGCTCTCGTTGTCATCGAGAAGGCTTCCCAAGAAGCTGGCAAGCTCTCCGACACCGTTCGCGAGTATATTCAAGATAATTTGAGACTGAGAACAGAGGTTCCAGGCTTGCAGCTGCAAGATGATGGTTCTGTTATTGGTGGCAAGGTCGACGGTCGTGATTGCCTGGAGTCTCAGCAACAGTCTCGTGCCGAGCTTCCCAACGTCGTTGTCGGTCCTGACTCTACTCCCACATTGTCCTTCACATCTGGATCAGAAGGTAGACCCAAGGGTGTCAAGGGTCGTCACTTCTCTCTGGCATACTACTTCCCCTGGATGCAAGAACGCTTTGGACTCTCTGAGAAGGACCATTTCTCCATGCTCAGTGGTATTGCTCACGATCCTATCCAGCGCGATATTTTCACTCCTCTGTTCTTGGGTGCCCGTCTTATCGTACCTCCTGCCGAGGACATCACATTCGACAGACTGGCCAAGTGGGCCAGCGATAACGAGATCAGCGTTACCCATCTTACACCAGCCATGGGTCAGATTCTTCTCGGCAGCTTGGAGCCCAAGGTCAACTCGTTGCACTCTGCTTTCTTTGTCGGTGACATACTTTTGAAGAGAGACTGCCGCAGATTGCAAGATCTTGCTCCCAACGTTCGCATCAAGAACATGTATGGTACCACCGAGACGCAGAGAGCTGTCAGTTTCTACGAGATCCCCAGCAAATCTGAAGACGCTTCATATCTTGACAAGATGGGCGATGTTATTCCTGCTGGTAAGGGCATGCTCGACGTTCAGCTTCTTGTTGTCGACCGCGCCAACAGAGACCGTATCTGTGAGGTCGGTGAAATTGGTGAGATTTACGTTAGAGCTGGCGGTCTGGCAGAAGGCTACCTTGGTCCTGAACTCAAGGAGCTCACAAACTCCAAGTTCGTCCAGAACTGGTTCGTTGACAACGAAAAGTGGGTTAAGGAAGACCAGGAGAAGGCTTCCAAGGCCGGAAAGGATGAACCTTGGAGAGAGTTCTACAAGGGCCCTAGAGACAGACTTTACCGCTCTGGTGATCTCGGAAGATACACTGCCGATGGTAACGTCGAGTGTACTGGAAGAGCAGACGACCAAGTCAAGATTCGTGGCTTCCGTATCGAGCTTGGAGAGATCGACACACATCTCTCGCAACACCCTCTCATCAGAGAGAATGTCACTCTCGTCAAGCGTGATCACGAGGAGGAGCAGATCCTTGTCAGCTACTACGTCCCCGACTTTAGCAAGTGGTCGGCCTGGAAGCAAGAGAAGGGTGAGGCTGAGACCAACGTCGCAGATGACTTGAGCATCCCGGAGAGACTGAAGATGTTCAACACTTTAACCAACGACGTGAGAGAGCACTTGAAGAAGAAGTTGGCTTCATATGCTGTGCCCACTCTTTTCATTCCTATGGTCAGACTACCCTTGACCCCCAACGGCAAGGTAGACAAGAGAGCTCTTCCCTTCCCGGAGAAGTCAGAGCTGCTTGCCGCATCTTCGAGCCAGCCTATTCCAGACGCTGCTACTCGTTCAGAGACCGAGAAGGCGCTTGCAGAGATCTGGGCTCTCTACCTCCGCAGCTATGCAGCTGACAGCATTCCTTCAAATGTTCCCTTCTTCGATCTTGGTGGTAACAGTATCGCCGCTGTTCAAATCCCCTCTCAGATCCGTAAGAAGTGGCCCGATGTCAATGTTCCTGTCAGCGCTATTTCCAAGAACCCTACTTTGTCACAACTGGCCGGAGACATCGACCGCTCGTTGAACCCTGTTGGTCTTCGTCTTGATGCACAAGCACCTGAGACAGACGACCAGGAAGAGTTCTACTCGAACACACTGCCTGAGCTCGTCAAAGAGATTCCTGCAAAGATCCAGTCCGCAAGCAGAGAATCTGCTAAGCAGCAGACAGTCTTCCTCACAGGAGCAACTGGTTTCCTCGGCTCTTACATCCTTCGTGACTTGCTCTCTTCCGGCAACAAGGTCATCGCACACGTTCGCGCCAAGTCGACGGAAGACGCCTCAAAGCGTGTCAAGTCAACATGCCAAGCTTACGGCATCTGGTCAGAGTCTTGGGCATCCAACCTTGAGTGTGTGACCGGTGATTTGCAGGAGCAGCCTCTGCTCGGTATGCAACAAGACGTGTACGACCGCGTCGCCAATGAGGCTGATGTAGTCATCCACAATGGCGCTATTGTTCACTGGCTTAAGCCTTTCTCGTCTCTCAAGTCTGCCAACGTCTTGAGTACTATTTCGGCAATCAAGCTGTGTGCTACTGGTAAGACCAAGAAGATGGCCTTTGTCAGTTCCACCAGCGCACTTGACTCTGATCACTACGTCGAGCTTTCCAAGAACCTCATCGCTTCCGGCGCCGCTGGTGTCAGCGAGTCTGACGATATGGAGGGAAGTAGACAGGGTCTGACCACTGGCTATGGACAAGGCAAGTGGGTGTCTGAGCGTCTGATGGAAGAGGCTGGAAGAAGAGGTCTTGTTGGTTCGATCATTCGTGCCGGCTACGTTTTGGGTGACCCCAAGACTGGCAGTGAGTTTAGCATCTTGCTTTTTGATATAACATGATACTGACATCTGCAGCTACCAACACTGATGACTTCCTCATCCGTATGCTCAAGGGTTGCGTACAGGTCGGCGCAAGACCTGACATCACCAACACCATCAACATGGTTCCCGTCGACCACGTCGCCAGACTTGTCATTGCCACAGCGCTCAACCAGCCCGTTGCTCCTATGGTTGTCTGCCACGTCACCGGTCACCCCAGACTGACTTTCAACCAATACCTCGCCGCTCTTGAAGCCTTCGGCTACGAAGCCCCCAAGGTCGACTTCCCCAAGTGGAGAGACGCCGTCGAGAGTTTCGTCGAGCAAGGCAAGGAAGAGCACGCCCTTCTCGGTCTGTACCACATGGTCACCGGTGACCTTCCCGGCAGCACCAAGGCACCCGAGCTTGACGACAGAAACTCTGCCGCTGCACTCAAGGCCGATGCCGCTAGATCTGGCCAGGACTTCTCGGCTGGCAGCGCCGTGACCGAGGACATTGTTGGACAGTATCTGTCTTTCCTCATTGCTAGAGGATTTATGCCCAAGCCCACTAAGAAGGGCAACAAGACTCTTCCTGAATCTAAGATCACTCAGGAGCAGATTGAGGCTCTGGATCGTGTCGGTGGACGTGGAGGTGCTGCGTAGAGTCACGAACAGGATAGCATTGGAATGTACAACAAAAGCAAATAGATGACATCTCAGTGATGAATATGAACGACATGCTCAACAATTTTGTTCATCTTACTCACTGTGTTTATCGGGACAGACGACGAACGCAGCAGATTGTTTTCCTCTAGTGACGGCGCAAGTGGTCCAAAACTCTCCTTCTGCATTCGTAGTCGTAATGTGCTTGCTAGTTTTCAGGTCGGCCCTTCCGATCCTGTTACCTCATCCAGTGTAATCGCATGTGTAAAGATCAACTTGCAGACAGCGTGTATTCACCTAGAAGTAGCACAAAGTATTGTTTTCGAACTTGATAGAAAATTCGTTTCGATCAATCACTGATCCCAAAAGTATGATATGTGTGTGTGTCTCTCTCTCTCTCTCTCTCTCCCCAAAATATTTCAATTGTTTCTGTCCCCTCCCAATAGTGGTATCCGAATTCCCCATTCTTGTCCGATGCTCTCAAAAAGCTTCCAAGTCCCAGAACGCCAGTCGACCTTTGTTTCCGTCGGTCATGCAGATAAGAATTATATTGTTATTGTTGTTGTTTGTCGTCGTGATAGGTGAAGTGTAATCATCGCAGGACATTTAAGCCTTTGTGGTGAAATCAATCTCATCAGGGTAAGATTGGGCAGAAGCACCACTCTCAGTACCATTGCAAGAGCAAGAATCTAACAACCCAAAAACGTCAGTACATTGCCTCATATCATCTTCTTCCACCCCAACGGGGTCTTCTCAAACACAACATCACTTACCCTTCGATCTCTTGCCACAAGCGCAAGTGCTGCCAGAGGGCTTGGTGTTTTCCTGCGACGAGCGCGAGCAAGTGCAGGCGCCGGCGGCGCGCTGGTTGCAGCTGCAGCGGGCACCGTCGACTTTGTTCTCGGTGGCGGATTTTTCGCAGTTGCAGGCGAGGGCGGGTTGTTTGCCGCAGGAGCAGGTGGCTTCTTTTGCGCAGACGCAGCCGCCTGAGCGGCCGCAGCAGGTGACGGGGACGGTCGAGGTGGGGGCGGACATTTTTGTGTGTGTGGTGTGGTGTGTGTTTGGTTTTGGTTGAAGAGGAAGGAGTTGAAGAGGTTGAAGTAGCGGAGTGGCGGTAGAAGGTGGAAGCTGGGTTGATGTGGTGTAGTGAGCAGTATTTTGTGCTTGGGTGCCTTGAGCTTTATATCAATTGTATGAGAGTGAGAGTATGTTTACTATGACATAGCTCGCACCAATCATGAGAGCTCTATTGTTCAGCTTCACTTAGTCGACCAATAGTAACGGACTCATTGATCAGCATCCCAGATTTAGACATGAGCTGCAGATTCAGATATGAGCTGTCGCCGGAGAAGAATCCGGCTGGCCAATCATACTTTGTGCAATTACCTGCTCACGCGACAGCCACTTCCAGAACTGTCGAGTCTTGTCTTGGCACCCGCTGAAGCACTCCATGTTTGCTGCTCGGTCGGCCCTACTATGACATGCTGACCTTCGATGTCTGCTATTGGTCTGCAATGGTCATTATCTACTCGTACAGGGTATTTTCACAGCCGTTGGATAGCGCGCACATCGATGCGCCTGCATATTCAAGGATTGCAGCGAATCGCCAGTGTCACCAAGCTCGAAATAAGCAGCATGCAAGCCTCACATTATCCGACGGCTGCATTCGCACCCTGTATTCTTGGAGAATCCCCACGTCGGGTCGAGCTCTCAGCTTGCCGATACGGCTTTTTAACTAGCCACCGAAAGGCACGAGGATTTTGGCATCTGGAGATATGTCCAAGGAGAGCATCATTTCGTAGCAGTCTCTTTGAACAGGAGCGACAAAGTCAAAACATCGTGCCTTTTGACAAATCCTTTCGATGTTTTGACGGAGTAGAGGTGATTAGCAGGTTAGATCAAGGCTTACTATGAGTATCATCTTTCAGTATCACTTTCCTCTTTCCTTCTGGTTGTGATATCTTTTCGACAACATGGTGTGCAATTTCAATGTCACTTGCATAAGAAGTACTCGATTAGCATTAGATTAACGTAGGGATGCTGGTGAAAATGAAGGGCAGCCTTGGCAGAGGCTGGTAAGACATCACGCACAGACCACTCGCAAAGCTGCCAACTTTAAAAAAGTTTCGACCTGCGACGCTGTTCAACCTTTCTCTTCTTTCTTTCTTGGACGCCACGGAAAATGGCGGACGTAATCTCATTCGCACCTCAACATGAGGAGGAGTTGAGTGATGAGCAGATGCAGGAGATGCTCGCTCAAGCGGCAAGGCGCCGCAAGGAGAATGCCAGCAGCGTAGCGCCTGTCGACAAGGACGATGGAGTTGTCAAGGCTGGCCAGTTCAACTTCCCCAAGCTCAACACTGGAGAGATGGTGCAGCCTTATGTCTCGGATGCTGGAGATGTTGCGACGGTGGACAGGTCACGCTTGTTGGGCGAGCAGGACCGCAAGTTGTCGAACCAAATCCGCAAGGTGGAAGATCCTGTGGCTGTCAAGAAGAAGATGCTTGAGGTATGTTGTCCACTCCCTTCTATTCTCCCCCCCTTCACACACTTTGCCTATGAGGAAAATTATCCCAACTTTTTCCTGACGCGGAATCAGGTCATCGTCTTGGTGGCCCTCTGCACAAACTGAAGTTCTTTTTATTCATAGTTACTCTGAGGCACATTCACATATCACACGTTTTGGATATCCACATCAGAGAAGATTTTTGCTAACTCGCTTTGCTTCTCTAGTCTAAGAAGGCCACTTCCGGTGAACAGTGGTACAACATGCCCCGCACCGACCTCACCCCGGAGTTGAAGAGAGATCTCCAGCTGCTCAAGATGCGTAACGTGCTTGATCCGCATAGACATTACAAGAAGGATGGTGGCAAGATGAGACCTCCGGAGTACTCCCAGGTCGGTACCATCGTCGAGGGTCCTACCGAGTACTTCTCCGGCAGACTCAACAACAAGGATCGCAAGAAGACCTTTGTCGACGAAGTCTTGTCCAGTGAGAAGGACACCGGACGCTTCAAGAGAAAGTATGGCGACATCCAGACCTCCAAGACGAGCGGAAAGAAGTCGTACTACAAGGCTTTGCAAGCCAAGCGCTCTTTCGACCCCAAGAAGAGATGAGGCTAGGTGTTTACAGATCCGAGACGATGCTGTACACCAGTGTCTGTATCCGGTCAGTCGACATACCCCATCACACAACATCATCACCACCATCATCAGTCATACGCACCTGCATGTCCTTGGCAGCTTCCCTTCCAGCTTCGATCACTTCCTCATGGTTCGCTTTGCCCTGGCCCAAGTGGTCTATGAGCTCTTGGGGCGACATGGAGCTCAAGGCTGCATCATCACCACGAGGCACAGATTGCAGCACAGCTTTGTTAGTCACCAGACTGAAGGCAAGGATCCTGATGCCGCTGTGTCTGGCAACAATAATCTCAGGCACTGTCGACATACCCACCACGTCTGCACCTAGTTGATGCAGCATACGACATTCTGCTCTTGTCTCGTATGTTGGGCCAGCAACGAAGGCATATACACCTTCGTGCAGCTTGCGCTTACCATCTGCTGGGCGCACCTTTTGCCATGTTTGATGAGCCTTCTGGCGCAGACCAAGGTCATATGCATCAGATAGCGGAGGGAAGCGGACACCGAAGTCGTCAGCGTTGGGTCCACGGAGAGGGTGGAAACCAACTAAGCCAGCCATATTCAAATGATCGTTGAGGCAGACAATGTCGCCTACGTTGTAGTCTGGGTTCAGTCCACCAGCTGCGTTGGTCACTGCAATACCATCAGTACTCTCCACCAGCTCTGAACTTCAGCACACATACCGATCATGGTCTCGATGCCGAGCACCTTGCAGACTCTCGTGGCAAAAGTCACTAGTTCCATGGTGTGGCCTTCATAGAAACTTGATAGAAGATACGAATGAGTAATCTCATACCTATCACACATGACACCCATTTCTTGACTTACTGTGCTCTGCCTACCAACAAGACAACTGGGACCTTGGTCTCGCCCATGGTTCCAACGACCAGCTTACCCGCATGACCTTGGACTGATACGCTTATCAACATGAGTCTCTCAGGGGTGATTGTAGCATTTACCAGTAGTCTTTGGGAAGTTGGGGATGTCATGGTAGTCGATCTCGAGCTTGGTGTCAGATGTGACAGTGTCTGCGATACCTCCGAGACCAGAACCGCAGACGATGGCTACACGGGGGTTCTGCAGGTGGGATGGTAGTTTGGAGCGAATGAAGTCGGCGGACCCCGATGCTCGCTGGTATGCCTCAGAAGAAGGCTTTGAGATTGATAGATGATCAGTGACTGCTGCCATGGTTAATATTCTCCAGGATAGAAAACAAATACTTCTCAAAGAAGAGTGTCTTCTAAAGGTGTGACATGTTTGCTTGGTCGTGTGAGTGATTAGATGCCAAGACCAGCTTCACTGCCGAGCGGTCAGAGCGGCCAGGAATCCCGAGACTGATTTCTAGATTGACATTCTGCGAGCGCGGGCGGCGGTATATACACAGGACACAATGGCTTCATATTTACGGTCGCCCTTTGGGCTGGCTAAGCGTCTAAGGGTGGGTTGTGACATGGTTCATGTGAGAAGCCTCGACTGACGAGATACCGCGACAAACAGATTGCGCCTCCGAAACCCATTCAAGCCCGCACAGTATACCAGTCTCGCCAACCGTGGCATGGCAATCAATCGGTTGCGCTCGAGCACCAGCGTGATGAATCCGTCGACTTTGACGACTTTATGAGAGAAACTGCACAAGAGTAAGCTATACACCTTGGGGTCCAAGACGACACGACCATGATATACTAAGACGCCATTTTCCACCAGAGCCCGCGGCGTCACACTCCCAGCACGCGAACCCTTCTTCTCTCCCGAGATCCAGCGTGAACTCGAAGGTCTCCGCCTCCCTCGCTCCATCCATCTCAACTACCTCAAGCCCCTCAAGCGCACACCCGTACACGGTGTTCCCGCTGCCGACCTCCAGCTCCGCTCCTACAGTGTGCGCAACCTCGAATTCTTCGCAGACTTTGCCCTGCGCGCTGCCTACTACCTCAATCTCCCTGCAAAGGGTCCCGTACCACTCCCGAAGATCACCGAGCGCTGGACAGTCCCCAGATCAAACTTCGTGCACAAGAAGAGTCAGGAGAACTTTGAGCGTATCACATTGAGAAGGTTGATTCAGATTCAAGATGGACACCCGGAGGTCGTACAGATCTGGCTGGGCTTCCTGCAAAAGTACGCTTACTATGGTGTTGGTATGAAGGCCAATGTGTGGGAATACTCAAGCCTGGACGTCAGCAAGGAAATGGATGAGCAGGCCGAAAAGGCAAAGGCGGAGATTGATGATAGGTTGAAGTTGTTTGGAAGAAGGAGCGATCGGGTTAATGACGCTGATGTTGATGGTATCATCCATGATGATATTTTCAAGGGTGCTTCAGGTTCGTTGGCACCCATGGGCAAGCTCTAGATTGAAAGAGTTGCTGCTTTTTTCTTCGCATCTTCATGGGCGCTCTTCTCAGGACTTTGTACAGTATCTCTTTGTATAAAATGGTAAAAGGAGGATTTATGGTTATCTGATGTTCGATACAAGGTACTACCACATAACGCCTTTCATCCCTTCTCTCAGGTTACACACATTCGCCTTGCTGACACTGCAGTGACTTCTGATACTCGTAGTACCAGCACAGCTCCTCAAGTAAATCAGGCTCGTGAGGTTGCATCATGCCAACGTGCACATCGCGTGGGATTTATGCAAGCATCCTTCGAGCAGTAACAAGAAACGAGTGGCTCACGACAAGATATGGAATGGTGGCTATCTAAAGCGATTGCCAGGTTGGGAAAGCGGCTCAGAAGCAAAGACAAAACAAGGCATAAAGGAACAAAAAGGCACACTCGGGCATGCACCGATTTGACAGCGAAGCATGCGTTCAAGATATAGAAAGAGACCATCACGTGCAAAAGTAAGGTAGAAGGACATGCCGTCTCTTTCTTCGCTTGGACCCGTATCCCAGTCTCGTAGCGAACAAGAAGCCTCCGTTTCCAATACAGATTGCTCTCGCATCTTGCATAAACAGCCGCATCGCAGCAGCTTCTTTCCCCTCCCCAATCAACGAGCAACTCTGTTTCTTTCCTGCGATATCAGTGGCTCTTGACAGTTTATCAAGTCAACCATCTACCTATCAAAGCAGGGATTCGCTGCGGAAGCGTGTCAAAGCTCCCGTTCCCTCTCGTCCAGTCACAAGATTCGGGTACTGGACCAGCGTGTAGCCAGACCATCCGATTCGCCAGAGCTTCAACAGGTTCCCAAAAGCAAATCATAGGTCAGTAAACCTCGATGGCTTCATCCCTCCATGTTTCGAATACCATGATACGGTCGCAATGTTGAAGTTTCGTTGATATTGCGACATGTCATTGAGGAAAGAGAGATCGGGCGCGAGTCCGGGCCGCGAGAGCTTTGGGAATTGGGAATACGCGACGCGAACCCATCTATCTCCGTTACATCTTCTTCGATACCACGTACTGACGTCGGTGTTTCTGTTGAACAGACGACCCGGCGCATAGCTCGAGTACATCACAACAGCTCGAGTAGTCATGTCGAATCCGAATTACAGCGCTATGCAGAGCAACCAGCCCGGCGTACCTCCGCCCAAGCGCTACGATGGTCGCGACGGAGGTCCGGTTTACGACCCAAGCCATGGAGGCCACTACGGTATTTAATCGTCGCGCATTGCTATAGAGAGCCTAAGCTGACTTTGCGACACAGGCGCCAGCTCCTACGTACGTTCAAAGCAATGCGCGACAATCAGTCCGACCGAGCTGACACCAGAACAGATAGCTTCCCAGGGCAACGCACCCCCTCCGGAAACATTCACGGGACAATGGTCGAACGTGAGTTGCAAGTAGCGCCGTCTCAATGACCATCGCGCTGACACACGCACTCTACAGGTGTCGCAAGGCCTGTCAGGAAACTACCGGGATATCTTAAACACGTACTGGCAGAACCAAGTCAGCAAGCTCGAGACGGACGAACATGACTACAAGATCCACCAACTGCCACTGGCGCGTATCAAGAAAGTCATGAAGGCAGATCCCGAAGTCAAGATGATCTCCGCCGAAGCGCCAATATTATTCGCGAAAGGCTGCGACATCTTCATCACCGAGCTTACCATGCGCGCCTGGATCCATGCCGAGGAGAACAAGAGACGCACCTTGCAACGCAGTGACATAGCAAGTGCACTGGCTAAAAGCGACATGTTCGATTTCCTCATTGACATTGTGCCTCGCGAAGACGCTACACCTCAGCACAAACGCAGATCAGACTTCCCTCCTGGCAGCTACCCAGTCTCTGATGCAAACATTGCTACCGCTGGCCCTTCAATGCAGGCCCCGCCCGCGGCCGCACAGCTTCAGAGCCAGGAACAGGGACAGCACATGCAACCGACAGACTATAGTGCCATGGGCCAGCACGTGGCACAAGAGCCGTACCAGACGCAGCAGGGCATGTACCCGCCTCCTGCACCCGCGCCCGGCTACCAACAGCCACATGCCTTTGATCCTAACATGTACACTGGCGGTTACAACATGTTGCAGCAACCCGTGAGTGCCATGAACAAGGCGGAGGGGGTGATGAAACGATAAGCTAACACAAACTCCACAGCAAATGTTCGCGCAACAAGGACAGAGGATGGCGGATCCCTCGATGGGCGGTAACGATGGACAGCATCATTATCGTGCACCCGAAGATGATGCCGAGGGCGAGAGGGACCAGTACGAAGTATGAACGGATGGATGCAGCGACATGACAAACACTTGATACCCCCCACTTACAACAAGCACTATTAAAACAGCAAAAGCAAACAAAAACATCATCACAAGACAAGAGACACATCGAGGCAAGGAAGACGAGAATGATCGGGGATATCGCAAGGCAATGAATGGGCAAGGAAGATTACGGAATGGACTGTATTTGGGTTCCTGGGACTACAACATTCTCTTTATGGCAGACACACGAATTCATACCGGAAGCCTTGAGTGATGGGGCAGAGGCAAGCCGTGTTATTCTCTTCTATATCCCTAGCCTTGGCTATTGTAAACGATCTGGCTGGCAAGGACAAGCACCTTGATGAGATCGGGAAGTTGGAGAGATATGATCCGAATTCAGACCCTGATTAGCCGAAGCCGACCTCGGATGGCGGGGTCCAGTCCATCGGGCTTTGAGATTGAGTAGAGCTCGACAGTGAGAGCATGAGGTGAGTGACTGGGTTGAATGGTGAGTATGCACGCAAGAAGAGCAGAGGAAGATGTTGAGTAGGAGTGCATGCGGGTCTGCGGAGGAGGAGGCATATTCGGTGGTTTATTAGTGCATACGCAAGTGATGAGTGATGACCATCGATAAACCCCCGCTCGTTCTAGCGTCCAAGCTTCCAGGATTGGCAAAGAGCTGAGAGTTTCCCAAAGTCCGAAACAACAACCCTCCCTCTTTCTCCCCCACCTTCCTCGAACTTGACTTCTTCTTGTTTAATCTGTTCTACCTTCTCTGAACAGCTACTCCTTCCAAACTCACACTTTCCTCAACCCCCACACAACACCGCAGATATGGTCAAAGTTGGTATGTAGAGGACATGTGGACGCGGGGCTGCTATGGTCAAAGAGTCAGGAGCTGACATGTTACACCCTTCACAGTCGTCGCAGGAGCCTCTGGTGGCATTGGCCAACCTCTGTCTCTCCTCATGAAGTCGAGCCCTCTGGTCAGCGAGCTCAACCTCTACGATGTTGTCAACACCCCCGGTGTCGCCGCCGACCTGTCCCACATCTCAACCCCCGCAAAGGTCAAGGGCTTCCTCCCCAAGGATGATGGCATGAAGAACGCCTTCACTGGTGCCGAGATGGTTGTCATCCCCGCTGGCATTCCCCGTAAGTGATTCGACTGTCAAAACACACAGCCTTCAACAGATTCTGACAGCGACCAACAGGCAAGCCTGGTATGACCCGTGACGACCTCTTCAAGATCAACGCTGGCATCGTTCGCGACCTCGTCAAGGGTATTGCCGAGTTCTGCCCCGACGCCTTCGTTCTCGTCATCTCCAACCCCGTCAACAGCACCGTCCCCATTGCCGCCGAGGTCCTCAAGGCCGCCGGCAAGTTCAACCCCAAGAAGCTCTTCGGTGTCACCACTCTTGATGTTGTCCGTGCCGAGACTTTCGTCGCTGAGATCACTGGCGAGACCGACCCCAGCAAGACCACCATCCCCGTTATTGGCGGTCACTCTGGCGAGACCATTGTTCCCCTGTGGAGCCAGGCTAAGCCTGCCGTCAACGTTCCCGAGGACAAGCTTGATGCCCTGACCAACCGTGAGTATTCTTCCTACTCCTCTTTAATTTACCACCCACTGACTCTTTCCCACAGGCGTCCAATTCGGTGGTGACGAGGTCGTCAAGGCCAAGGACGGCGCCGGTTCCGCAACCCTCTCCATGGCCTACGCCGGATTCCGTTTCGCCGAAAAGCTCCTCAAGGCAGTCAAGGGCGAGTCCAGCATCACCGAACCCACATTCGTCTACCTCCCCGGCGTCGACGGCGGTGACGCCATCCAAAAGGAAACCGGCTGCGATTTCTTCTCCGTCCCCGTCGAGCTCGGCCCCGAGGGAGCCAAGAAGGCCATCAATGTCGTTTCCGGCGCCAACGACTACGAGAAGAAACTTTTGGTCAAGTGTTATGAGGGTCTGGGCGGTAACATCAGCAAGGGTGTCGAGTTTATCCAGAACCCTCCTGCCAAGTGAGTTTTGCCGGCTCCTTTTTAAATTTTACATTTGCACCGTACTGACCACCTGCGTGGCAGATAGATTGTAACGAATTGACATGACCCCCTTTTCGGCGTTGATGATTATCTCCTTGATTGCATGAAGGGAGGATAAGGATAGGATAGGATCGGATCGGATCGGATCTGATAGCCAGACACGGCAGCCAACCTTTTTTTCCACGATTTGAAAAAATGATGAGAAACATATTTCAAACAGCACTTTGAGCTTCCTCCTGACCGTGATGGTGTCCAAGACCTATTCCCTGGCCAGACCTAGAACGAGATCGTACCTTCATTTCTATGACCAGTAACTAAAGAAAGCACCATGGGCAGTTGAGAAAACGAGGTAATTCCTGACATGCATCACTAAAAGCGGCACGTTTGCCTCCCCTTCTTTGACAGCCTCATCGAAAAGACATGACATGCAGCTTATAGAATAGATGTTTTGGTAAGTGCGATGGTTGTCATGTTTCTTTGTTTGTGTTGTGTATTATTTTTTACTTCTGGCATTGGTATCTCGTACAAGGATATGCATGATGATGATGATGATGATGTGTATGAGACCACCAGTCCGATTCTTGACTTTGAAAGGAAGGATCATTGAGAGGTTGGTATGCCCCCTGGTCTTATCCCATCGCTCCAATGACTCAGCAAGTATACCCGGATCTCTCGTCGTGAAGAATTAGTAAGCTGCAAAAAGCTCGAATGAATGTTCCCTTGAGAAGATCTCCACTCTTCTCGTCTTCCCAAAAGCATGGATGGGTATATGAACGTCAGCACCTCCTTTCTCATCCTCTCATTCTTTCCTCATCCTCTTTAAGCCCCATATACCGCGGTATAATGCATGGACATTTTTACGGTTTCGATCCCACCGTCCTGATCTGAAACGTAGCTTGTGGTAGTTCTGTGGATTCCGCATGTACTGTGACGTTCAACCCGAATCCAGAAAGGGCGCCCCTGATGATACCGCAAGGGAAATAGAGAAACTGTTTGACTCCCTGTCAGTATTTCCTATTCACAACCTCAATATTTCTCTGCTCTCTCATCTTCCCACATCCTCGACAAAGAAAAGCTTCGACAAAGCATACGAGAGATCGATGGACTCGAAGAATGGAAAACAAAGGCAATCACTCACCGGTTGCGCCTTCCCCAAAGCCTCATCAGCACCTCTAGGACCCCTCCTCGTATCCGCCGACATCCTCCCCAACGCCATGAATTTGTTATCCGTCAGCACAAAAGTTCCCCTGTGGTTGGTTTTTAGATTGTCGATTTGTTTGCGGAAGACCAGTTGCCAGAGATCTTTGCAGATGAATTTGATCATGTCCAGAGGGGTTGTTGGGCGGGGTGTGTTGGCGGAGAATCTGTTGGTTGGTGTGGGGATTAGTGAGGGGGAAGGTGGGTGGATGGGAGGTTTTTAGGGAATGTGGTGGTGAGGGTGAGGGTAGAGGGGATGGAGGATGGGGAAGCATACCTTTCAACAAGTCCTTGTCCAACGCGATAGCCCAAGGCATCTAACCTCCACATCACATCTTCACTCCTCCTCTCTTCATCTTCATCCTCATCTTCCACATCTTTATTCGTTCCTGCTCCTCCAGCGGTATTTGTTCCCATGCTCTTGACACTTTGTCTCTTTTCCGCTGCGGATGAGCTTGTAAGTCCCGAGCTTGTAAGTCCCAAAGCTCCTCCAGAAGTCGAAGTATTCAAAGCAAGATTCCTATCCATCGATGCGGCGAGAAGTGCCGTATCCCGTGCGTGAAGTTCAACAGCCATCCTCTGAGCCAAAGGCACGAGTTCTATGAGCAAGAAATCCAGAGTCGCGGCCGCGACTTTTGGGTCCGAGGGTGTGGGATCGGTGGGTGGATTTGTTGTTGTTGCCATTGTTGTTTTGAGTCTCTACTCTCTTGCTGGTTTTTGCTGTGCTTGTGGTTTGAGTTGGTTTGGTTTGGGTCGTAGGGGAGGAGAGGTTGATTGCGGTTTGGATGAGGTCGAAGCTGGGTGGATGTGATTGGATGTGGTGTGCGTGATGAGTGCTGGATTTCGGTATATTTCGATTGCTGTTGGTTGTGTGGCAGTCGCGAAGGTATTAGAAAGGTGTCGTTTGGAGAGAAAGGTCTATAGTCGAGTTGTGTTGGTTGTACCTGCCTTTGTTTGCGAGTGACATCGTTGCGGTCAAGTTGCGCCGGTGGCTTGGCAAGACGTCTTGGTCCGCGGGGTGACCCTGCTGAATTCAACGACCGTCAGTATTCCAAGCTCGTAGAGTAATATCTGGTAGTCGAAACATGATACCAACAAGTCAAAACATCAAGATGAAATGTAGAAGACTTGCGCTCCAAAAAATAATACATCTACTCCTAGTGTATATGCTCGCCCTATGCAAAAAAAGCACTATGTGTATCGCATGAGTCTCTGGCCATCTTCCTCTCTCCAAAAGACAGCCACCCTAAAAAACAACAACAATCGTCGAAGAAAAAGAAGAAAAAGAATTTGTTGCCCCAAAAAGTGCAGTTGCGCATGCGTGGTCCGTTGTATAAAACCTTCATCAATACATCCATGTCTTCCCATTCCTGCCTTCTGCTTTACAATGCCAGTGCGTCCATAGTAGTACACAGGGTAGGAGGCGTCTAATCTTCCGACTCCTGCTCAACAAGCCATTCCATCACACTCTCGTAGCAGAGTACAAATTGGCGCAAGCTCTGCACCATACTGAGTCTCTGCTTGCGGAACTCTTCGACTGTCTTTTCGATCAAGTCTTGGTCCTGGTCTTGTACCCATCGGCCATCGACTTCGTCCTGTTCTGATGATTGGCCGGGAGGGGGTGCGAAGAACGGGCTGTTGTCGTCTTTCATCTGTACAGAGCTTCTGCGTTCGTCGAGGTGCATGGGTGAGCTGTCGCGTGCGTATCGTTGTCGTCGTTGAGATGATCGTTGTCTTTTGAGCATGTCGATGACCGAAGCCACGGTACAGAAGGTTCCTGTACGTCCACAACCAGCACTGCAGTGTACGACGATCGGTGGTGCCTCTGGTGGATCCGGCTCTGACAGGTCTGAATGCGTCGTACTGTGTACAACGGCGTCGCATTGCTCGACCAGTCCCAATAGATGTGCTGGATGCGCTGGAGCGCCAAAGTCTGGCCAACTCGAGTATTGGAGCTGGGTAATCTCACGCATACGCTCGAATGGGTAACCTTCGTGACGGAGAGCGAGCTTGCGGACGATGACAAATGGCTGGTCGTCTTTTGCTGCGTTTTCGACTGCGGATGTCTCGATACGTGCGAGAGGGGCGCCATCAGTTGACTTTCTTGCACCTACTGAGGGACGTTGTTGGCGATGTCTCTTAATCTTTGCCGGGTCCAAGGAAGCGCGCTTTTCGGAAAGGAACTCGAGACGCATAGGACCGTATTGTTTGTCTGACCAGTAGTTGTGAGCCTTGACTTGACCACCCTCCTTTTCTGCTGTGAGCATAACAATGACTCTAGCATCTTGCTGCCAGATGACATTCCAGAAGTCCTATCGCAATGTCAGAAACTACTCAAATGAAGGCAGACACGGCAAACTTACAGTGAAGGTAGCAGGAATAGGTCCCTGGGTGGCAATATAACGCTTGTGCGAACGGGCCGAGGCGATGTAGTTGGCGTTGAAGTAGTCGCAACCATGAGAAGGGACGTCCTGCAGCTTGACACGAGAGTGCTCGTATGGCCAAATGTTGTTGTATCTGTTCTTTGAACCCTTCTCGATACCTGCGATTTGAATCGAAGATTTGGGCATAGAATGTGTTGGTGAGCCGTAAGAGACCTTGCCTGAGAGAGCTTCTTGCATACGCTTCTGTTCTCTCTTTTCGATCTGCAAGAACTTATCAGACACGCGAGCGCCCTTGTCCTTCTCTTCGGAGGCCGCTTGTAGCCATGACGGCAGATGCTCGCAAATCTCTCTTGTCAGATTTGTAGGACGCTTGACCTCCATCTGGCCAACACCACCAATGAGATCCATGTTCTGTCTGATGTTGCCGAAGAAGGGGTTGGCTGCATTCTTCTCCATAGGCATGGGGCAACCTCCAATGACGGGAGCAATCTCAGGTCCATCCAGCTTCATCGACATAGGACCGCCACCACGACTTGCTTGGCCTCCTGCTCTTTCCACATAGGCAGGGAACTTCCTGGCAAAGTCGGCAAAGCCACCCTTGAGGATGTAGGCAGTACCTTCCAGACCTTCGCTGTCAAACTTCTTGATAGTGTTAACACATGAAGTGGCGTCCTTGAGTTGAGATGAGGCCGAGTCGTAAACTATGATATATTTGCTACTTTTCCAGTTTTCGAACTTCTGACGTTGGTCGGGGTTATCCTTGAAAGTTTCGGCGAGTTTGTTGACATTGAATGATGGTCGCTTAAGAAGAGTAGTGGGGATGCACAAGTTGAGCGCACCTCTTAGATGAGCACCGCCGTATTGGGTCGAGACGCGCAGATCCAATATCAGCATCTCCTCGTCAGCGGACTCGAGAAGATTGCATAGATGTTGAGGAGTGATGAAAGAGTCCGAGTCGTTCATGGGGCCAGCCACAGGAACAGTCTCAGCTCTAGGCTTGGACTTTGGTTGAGGGGGTTGATTGAGGTTGAAGGGCATAGCTAGCCTGGGCTGAGATGAGGGGCGCTCAGGAGCGTGGCGAAGACCGTCTGGGAACGACGAATCATTAGAAAGATGTCTTTTGGGGGAGCGGCCTTGGTACGCAGACTCCGGATCTAGATGGAAGTCATTACCTGAACCTGATATGGAGCCCGAATGAGCACGTCCGGGGCCTGAGATGGAGCCTGAAGGAGCACGCCCTGTAGGAGGCATTGGACGTGCCTCTGTTGTAGCTTTGGGGCTGGCGGTGATGTTGATGTTGTTGAAGAAGCTGTTGCTATTCGAGTGATTGCTGTTGTTGAAGAAGCTGCTGTTGTTTGTGTTGTTATTGCCGACTCCCCCGGTCGGCAATGCAGGCTTCTTGAAGTCGAACTCATGCAGGGAGCCCAGGTTGAAGCCCACAGTCTCGGACTGACGGCGGAAGGCATCGAAGTCGGGGTTCTGGTCGGCGGGAATGACGGTGGGCGAGAAGGCGGCGGTTGACCTTACAGTCGACGAGGGCGGGCTCCAGTTCTTTCTTGCATGGCGTGTGGATTCCGAGTCGTATGAGTCGTCCTGAGCAGGGAAGCCAAAGTAGTTCGGACTGGGAGTACGCGCATTGCCATGGTGTGGTTGGGGCGATTGAAGCAAGGGCGCCATGTTGTTGGCGCTTGTAGATGGAGGATGGCGAGCACCGGGGGTTTGGGCAGGTCGAAACTTTGCCGCAGACATTCTGACGTTGTGGAGGAGGGTGAAATTTCACCCGGACAGGTTGCGCGTGATGTTCAGGATATGTATAACGGCGTTCGAAGTGGTATGGGGGTGAGATGTGGTCAGTCTAGGCGGCGACGGCGAGCAGTAGAATCCATATGGACACGGAAGAAGGGGAGTCGTTGGCGCTACAACTGAAAGGTGCGGTGGGTGGATCTTCTGGTTCTTCTAGACTCGATGACGTACATGCCGTCCTCACACGCTCTCAACCCTGTAATACCTCGTGCACAACCTCCAGTGCTCCCTCATAAACTGCCTCTTGTCATGTCCGAGCAGAGTGAGCTCGTTCTATTGCTTTCTGACCCAAACGTCTTTTCCTCGCAGCTGCCTCCGAGTATCCTTATCCTTAGTCTCAAAACCAAGAACTGCAGGGAAACCACGAAATCACTTGTTGACCCTGAACTTAGAGTCTGACTCGAAACAAAGGGAAGGAGGCACAACTGACGATGTGCACACGTGCCTCTGCACATCTCTCTTCTCGCCCCGACTAATCGACAAGACAGTTGCCATAAACACTCGACTTTGCCCCTACATGGCTCGGCACTTTTACTCTGCCTTATCTGATCGTCGCTCGCCCTTCGTGTTCTTGCAGCTCACCAACTTCTCTTCCCCTCACCAGCTCACCATCAACTTCTTTGTTGTCCTTGTTGCCCCGTTTTCCCTGACTGAGATCCGCAAACGCCCTTCTGGGCTTTTTCTTTGACCTGCACCATTTTGGTTCTAGACCTCGAATTCCTCGTAGAAATCACTCACTCACCCTGCCAAGCCCTTCGCTTCATTCCTACTGGTTCCGGTGGTGGTTCCGAACATTTCTCCCATACCAAGGCACATGACCATGTCTCGGATACGGTCACACATCTTTGCCGACGGAAGAAAAGTCATGACATCTGCTTCCATCCACGTGTCGTGAGGCTGTGATGTTTCTAATTGTTGTTGCTCGCCTTGGGAGAGGCAAACAAAGTATCCGTATGGTGGAAGCTTACGTGTGTTGTTGCAATGCATGACCAGCTCTCAGGTGGCCCAGCTGAAACGAAATGAGGCGGACTTCATGTCCGCGGAAAGTGGATGACAGATCTGTATGTAGGTGTGAGGGTCCGAGTTGGTCACTCAGCCTCACCTGGTGTGCGTGTCAACGGTCCACCAAATCCGATGTGACCGTTCTGGTAGAGCATGGTGATGGCGTGGGCGGCGCTGTTGCTGCCTTGACTCGCTTCGTCAGCTTCCAAGTTGTCTGGCATAATTGCCTTGTCATCCATCGTATCGTGTCATGGGCATATAGTTGTTGACATGTCACGGGGAAGCTCATCATCTTAAGGTAAACTGGTTCATGAAGTATGCTTGCAGCAGTTGCCGCTTGCTTTCTATGGTACAAATTCCACGCCATGCTTCTCTTTGAATTACTAGAGTAGATCCCCAAACTCCGTACTCCCTGCCGCGTTTTGGCCGCAGTTCCTTCATTGCATGCGTGTAACCCCGTCTACTTCCATAGCTTGGTGAGCGAAACCTGTTGGTCGTTGTGTCTGTTGAGAACCTTTGCCGTGGCAAGATCAAAGTCCTCCTGGGTGACGTGAACTCTTCTTTCTCTGAGAGCGAACATGCCGGCCTCTGTGCAAACACCCTTGAGCTCGGCTCCTGAGCATCCGTTCATCTTCTCGGCGACCTTTGTCAGGTTAATACCTCTAGTCAGGTTCATGGAGCGACTGTGAATGCGGAGAATGTCGGCACGAGCCTCGACAGTTGGTGGGGGGAACTCGATCTTTCTGTCGATGCGACCAGGTCTGAGGAGGGCAGGATCCAGGATGTCGAGACGGTTGGTGGCCATGATGATCTTGATGTTCTTGGTGGGCTCGAAACCATCAAGCTGGTTGAGCAGTTCCAGCATAGTGCGCTGGACTTCACTGTCTCCTCCGCTCGAACCCTCGACACGCGAGGAACCAATACTGTCAATCTCGTCCATGAAGATGATACTAGGAGCGTGCTCTCTGGCCATGATGAACAGCTCACGCACCATTCGCGAGCCCTCTCCAATGTACTTTTGCACCAACTCGGAACCAGAAACTCTGATGAACTTGCAGTCGGTGTGATGGGCAACAGCTCTTGCCAGCAATGTCTTTCCTGTTCCGGGAGGACCGTAGAGAAGGACGCCCTTGGGTTGTGCGATACCGAGCGATTCGAAGAGTTCGGGGTGCTTGAGACCAAGCTCGATGACTTCCTTGATTTGCTTGATCTGTTCATCGAGACCACCGATCATGTCGTAGGTACTGTCGGGCACCTTCTCGACCATCATGAGCGAGACGAGAGGGTCGACGGATGAGGGAAGCATGGATGAGAGCTTGTATGAATCGGAGAGGAGGGTGACACGCTTGCCGGCGGTGAGCTTGGACATGTCGATGTCATCGGCGACATCAACAACTGGCGCGAGAAGTCAGTATGATATAGATGGTGATAACGAGCTCGTTTGAACATACCGTATTTGCCTTCGGGATGCACCTTGACCAAGACCTTCTTTGTGCTCATGACCTTGACGACCTCACCAACGTAGGAGCCGGGCTGTTGGAGCAGGCCCAATTCTTCACGCAGCAGGCGCACTCTTGAGTTGTAGTCATTCCTTTGCGCTTCCAGTCTGCGGAGGACGGCTTGACGCTGGATGATCTCGAGCTTCATGCTCTCGATTTTGTTGTGGAAGAAAGTGTCGAGCGCCATGGCGGGCGGTATGGTGATGTGAGGCGCTGAATGGACGAGATGGACAGATGCAAATGTGTCGACCAGCGAGCGACGGCGTATTGTGATGATGGGTGATGGTCTTGTTGTAGAGTTGGAGATGGCGACTGCTGCTCATGACGACGGAAGCACGGAGGTCGGAGCTTGGAAGCATAATTTATGCACCTTTATGCCTTCTATAACACAACGCTTCTGTCTTTAGTTTGCCATCAATTCTCCTTTCACTATCACATCACTCATGGTGCTTTGAAGTCTGTTTGCATTACTTTTCCCTAGTCAATGAGCGGCTTCAACAAGACTTGTGTCTGGCATGGATTTCGAGGCTAAACAGAACCGCTTGTCCACAGATAACCAGTACCATTGACTGTATGCTGCTCTCTGGAGCGAAAAGAGAGGAGGACGTTAATTCTCAATATATGTCAGTATTAATTTGGTGAATATCTATGACCACCAAGACTAATCTACACACGCTTTTGTATCCTGATCTCCAAGTATCGCAGCGGCACATAAAGCAAGCCAGTGACCACAAAGGCCGACTCAAATCCAATGTCACCAGTCGTCTTCGCAATAGGTCCGGTATACCACACCTGCGCCATCGAAGGAACCACCAAGGCAAAAGACAATACACTAGCGCCCAAAGCAGCGAGGCCGCTCGGCAGCATATTACCCTTGTCCCATTTCTCATGATCATAAGCCGAGCAATCTGACTTTCTGAACCAAGCATGCTCGATAACGACGACAGCCACGAAAGCAGAAGCCCAGTAGCCAATCACGCCGATGAAGTTTTCGAGGTTGTCGAAGAAACTGGTGGCGGCGCGAATGGCGACAGGGATGACGATTGCTGTAATGACGATGGCGAATAAGAAGCGAGGGACTCTGACCATCCAGGGAAGCAGCAGCTGGAAGTTGAGCGTGATGCTGTACATGGTCGCAGCAATGTTTCCTAGCAAGGAGAAGGCGAGCAAGACCACGACAAATTTGCCAAAGCCACCTGCGGGTTCGAGCATGGCGGCTAACACACCTCCCACTGACGTCGACTCGTAGCCGGCTTGCCAGGAAGGAACATTGGGGCAGGCGCCTCCGATGGCAGCTCCAAGAACCATCAGTGGTACGGTAGGCAAGAATAATCCACCGTAAGTGTAGGCAAAGACCTTGGTACTCGAAGCCTCAGGGACCATGTAAACAGCAAAATCTCCAGCCAACGCCGCCCAGGGGATGAGGAATCCAGCAATTAGAGCAGAGAAAGAGAGAATAGTAGATGCTTCAGGAGTCTCAAAGGCAGCCTGGTTGCTGAGATGCTTGCCACCAGTGCCAGTAGCGATGACAATGGCAATTAAAGCAGGAATCCAGGCAAAACGTTCGTAGCGATGTAGGATCTTGAAGCCACAGAAGCAGACCAGCATAGCCAGAATAGCAATGACCACGATACCCACATCAGGTGTGAGGTGACCATGGGTGATCGCAGACAAAGATTGACCTCCAATAACACTGTCGATGACGCAGAAGCCAGTGAGAGTTGCAAGATTGAGAATGACCGGTACCGAAACGAGATAGTAGCTGGAAAATGTTGTCAGTGGAAAGCATTGCAGAGGTATCTAGTCGTGACTTACCCAAAGGAGAATCTTGCCTGAATCATCTGTCGCATACCAGTCTTAGGCCCCAACGTCGCTAGATATCCCACAGGTATTGTACACAAGATACTGAAGAAAAGGATGATCAAAGAACAATCTCTAAGACCCAATCCATAGCCCAGCGGTCCAGTCATACCAGTGACAATCCTATCATTCGTTAGTGTCGTGCTCTTGTTTTCGTGTTCTTGTCCAACACAAACTTACGGTAGAAGATTGACACTCATGGTAAGCCATAACGTAAAGATACCATGCACTCTTGTGTTCGTCCTTTCAGAAACTGGAATAGGAACAATACCTCCAGTTTCCACCCCCAAAGATGCGAATTTCTTCAACGACCATGATTGAGCAATCTCGACGTCTGCGTCTTTCCCGGGTCCAGGAAGACCTTTCTCCTCATCAGTAACATTGGCATGTGCTTCCTTGCGTGCCTGGTTGACCATCGTACAAAAACCGGCTCTGGGAATAAAAGCCGAAGACTGGTAGAGGTGGAGAAAACCAGAACGATGTGAGAAAGTGCAATCACTATGAGTTGAGAAGTTGGAAGAGAATTGAGATAATCATGTGTAAGCGATCTAGACCATATATGGGTATGACTCCTTCTCCAGCTTTTGACATCTCTGTTTCGTAAAGTCTTGCCACTTTTTGGCCCGAACTAGAATTTTTTTGCCGTTGGGCGTTTTGCGGCGTCGGGCTGTTCTTCCTTTGTTTGATTTGTTCTTCTTTGTGCACGACATCAATTAAAGAGCTAGAGTACCTGCAGATTTCACGGGAATGTTAGAAAAGTATTTGCAGTTCTGTTGTTAGCAACACATCAGCAATATAGAGTAGAAGTGAGTGCCTTAAGGACAAAGATTGACTGCAAAAGAACAGGTCAAGTAATAGTTGAAGACTGATTTTCATTCATAGCATAAAGTCGTCGACAGTGCACGATAATACGTGCTGGTATCAATTACCACCAAAAAGAGCAAGCAAGTAAACACCTGTGCCATCCAAGCCAATTTTTTTCTTCTGTAGCGAATCCATCATGACCTTAGCCTTTACGAGGCCTTGGCACAGCCATTGCAAGTGCACTGGCCGGCAGGGCAGGGGCAAGAGCCCTCAGCACCACCACAGTTGCACTTGGTCTTTCTGGGCTCCTCGGAGACGACCTTCATGTTGGCGGATTCGGCAGTAGCGCCAGTGGACTTGTCGGAGTTCTTGGCACATCCGGAGCAGGCACAATGACCAGGAGCGCAAGGGCAAGCACCGGCATCGCTAGCGCAAGAGCCTGTTTCTTGTAAGTGGACGGAAAGATTGTATCAGAAGCAGTATGACTTACACTGAGTCTTGTCGTTTCCGACAGAGTGGACGTCGTTCTTGCCAGTCTTCAGGTTGGCGAGGTGACGGGCCTCGTTGTGGACATCAAGAACCTGCTTGCTGCCCTGGTTGTAGAAGCCTCTGAGACGCTGACCGGTAGGGGTACCGAGAGCCTTCTCGAAGTATGAGTTCAGGCCGGACCAGGCAGCAGCGCCCTTGTCGGTGACACCAAGCTTCTGGTCGATACCCTGAGCCTTTGCGGTAGCCTGGTACTTGGCATCGAACTGCTGAAGAGTGGAGGTGAAGCGAGCGCTGACACCGTGCTGCTGGTCGAGAGCAAGAGCGCGCTCGATGGCCTTGTCGCTGATGGTGTAGCCGTGAGCAAGGTACTCTGCAACGATGCGAGAGCGGGGCTTGTCCTCTTGAGAGAGGTTGTCCTTGTCTGAAGTGTCGTTGTCGGCAGCAGAGAGCTTGCCGCCGGAAAGCTCGTCGAGAGAGGCAGTAGCGGCAACGTGAACCTGGTTAGCACCAAGCTGAGTGTTGTCGAGGAGGAGGGCAGTCTTAGCAGCGGACTCCTTCTCGAAGGTGACCGAAGCAGACTTGACGCTGTCGGCCTCGTTCGACTCGGGGGTGACGGAGATGTTGGAGATCTTGCCGCTGTAGATGGTACGTCAGTGGATGCGTCTGGTGAGCTGAAAGGCCACGACTCACCAGAAGGAGAAGAAGTCGCGGACCTCCTTCTCAGAGGTCTGAGCAGAGATGTTTTGGACGTGAACAGTCGACATGATTGATGAAGTATTTGATGTGATTGTATAGAATTGAGGTGATGTTGTGGATGGTAGAGGAAGACGTTTGGTGCAGACGGAGTGATTTAGTAGGAAGCGACAACCCCTCAGAGCGGCGAGAAGCTTCATGAAGCGTACGTCATGCGGCGCAGACCAACTTCCTCAGCTGGCATGTGAAACTCGACGTCGATGACCAACTCATTTTCTCTCTCATCAACCGTCTCCCAGGACAAAAATATGTGGCTACTCGCCAAAGACAATACCTGGTCTAGTATTCACAGAGTCTGGTCTCTCCGCTATAGTTTCAGCACTTGCGATGGCGCTGGAGAAAAGCAGACCTGCAGCATCATGGTTTCTGACTTCCTTAAGAAAGAGGCCTGCTTGTAAGATTCAGCAAAAGACTTACTGCTCCAGTCTCGATCATGGTGAGTTACCACTAACAACGATCTGTACACCAAGCTTCATGAGTACTATTTCCTTGTTATTCACCCTAGAGCGAGTCTTCAGACTGGCTAAAAACAACGGAGAAGTCGAAGACGAAGACCGGAAAACAATGTATTCGGTTGCAAGTCTACCATGCCGCTATTCAATTTCGCTCGGACCTCTTCTATCTGAACCGCTCCCTTTGTGATGTTTATTCGAAACTCTCAGTCAAAACCTGTATTTCTGCATCTTTCTCGAGTCATATATCAAACCTCACTCTCGGCAGACGACTCGCTGGACCCCCACAGCCCGGCTATTCTCAACAGACTTTTAACGGGTGAGACTCGTGTTTGTTGATACTATCAACAAACCACCAAACGGTACGGTACTTGGGCCTGCGCCAGGCTGGCTACCGGTGAGCGTGGTGGTGCGTAGAAGGCAGTTCGCACAGCTGAGAGCGGATTGGGTTTGATTGCTACTTTCCACGACAATGACAAGGCTAGACTTTGATGTCTCCTCATCACTGGACATACAGCACAATGTCGCCATCCAAAGCAAACATCGCGATCACAGTGGTGGAATATTCGAAGCACCTCTGTTCCAATAGTATCTCACCTTCTGTCTCAGTTGTATTGTGATGAGAAGCAGCGAAACACTCTCGGTGACCGTCTCAACCACTCACGCGACACGACCAACATTCACGTTCCCCCGCATGTACTCCGGCATAGCCGCGCCTGAAGCTATGCCGCGTCTGGAAGCATTCAGTCAATCACAAGACGAGTTCAACGCCCTTTCCCGGCAGAATCTAACGATGTGCGATCATCAATAATTCTCTCACGCCGAAGAAGAAGCTTGAAACCAGGATGTAGACTCTCACATTTGTACTACACACAAGCCCTAATATAAAGACTCAAGCCGATTTCTCTCATAGCAATCGAGAACTCTTGAATTCTCCCGATCGATGAAGCCGAACGGGCATGGAAATGAAGCATCAAGTAACAAAAACTCGCCTCCGCAAAATTATACCTTTTTAGAGGCGAAATCGGGGTGTTTCTTTAGCGCAAGCGCGGCTTCCGTCCGTTGTGCCCGAAAGATAGCGTCGCCTTGGACCAATCACAGGGGTTTTCTTCTGGTCGTCTCGAGCCGATCAGCGCTACAGTACAAAATATCTTTCTCCTTTGCCAACATCTCTCCCACGTCGCCTCTCTCCAACCACTCGACAGCGACAGCATCTTTATACCGTTTGCCTTCAGTTGAGGACTGATTGCCGAACGCTCGCCTTAGACCAGAGAACCGTCATCTTGAAAACCCTAGCCATCTTTTCGGAGCCTCCAGAAGACTGTAAGACATTTTTCCGGCCTCATGTCTCCTCCTCAGAGACAACGTCGGGACTTCAACAAATTTCCCACTACTCAGCTTTTCTTCTTGGGTGAGTGAGCTGCCATCTCAAGCTCTATGGTAGAGTTCTGACAATCTGTTAGCCCTCGTACGAGTTGCCGAGCCGATCGCTCTTACCTCCATCTTTCCGTATGCCTGGAAACTTGTGCTCGACTTCAATGTAACTGATCGCGCAAATGCATCTTTCTATGCCGGCTTGCTGATCTCAGCTTTTGCTCTTGCTGAATCTTTGACAGGATTGTGAGTAGCCTTGAGAACCTTGAGTTCTTCGCAAACTAACAACCTCGCAGATACTGGGGAGGTCTCTCGGACCGCATCGGGCGTAAGCCTGTTTTGCTTCTGGGAAGTGCCGGCACAATGCTCTCTCTGCTCTTAGTTGGTGTTTCCACTAATTTCTGGATGGCATTGGCTGGGCGCGCAATTGGAGGCTTCCTGAACGGCAACATTGGAGTTATTCAGGTGAGTAAACACACCTCGAACAGCATCTTGAAATGAGCTGCAAAGGCAACATAATCATGATGTTTTTACAAGAGCCGCACTAACTCGGACTCTAGACAATGGTTGGAGAGCTCACTGTCAACCCCAAGCACGAACCTCGTGCATACTCTGTTATGCCTTTCGTGTGGTCGATCGGTACAATCATTGGTCCTTCGATTGGTGGCATCTTCTCAGCACCTGCAGACAACTTCCCCGATGTGTTCTCACCCCATGGAGTGTTTGCGAAGTTTCCCTACCTGCTTCCTAACCTCATCTGTGCAGCCTTGATGCTGTTCTCAATTGTCTGCGGATTCTTTTTCCTTGAGGAGACTCACCCTGACATGCAGCCTTGGAGTACTGAAGACGATCTCCAGCACACTGAAGCCGAAACTCCACTTTTCGCTGCTCAGGCTGGTACCACCACGGCCGCGGTCGATTTGCGTAATGAATCTTACGGCACCTTCAACAAGGTCGTCCAAGATCAGGAGTGGAACGTTTTGCCCGACGGCACAGATGCGCCCAAGGAAGCCGAGCCCCAAAACCAAGTCGTCTTCACGAAGCGTGTAGTCATGCTGATCATCGCTCTCGGCATCTTTACTTATCACTCAATGTCCTACGACCACTTGTTGCCAATCTTTTTCCAGGACTCGCGCGTGGAAAGCAGAGCTCACGGAAACAAGATGAATTCAATGGCAGGAGGCCTTGGTCTGAGCATTCAAGATGTAGGCGTTGTGATGAGCGTGAATGGCTTAATTGCTCTGGGTGTCCAAGCAATCATCTTCCCTCTAGCTGCTGCATGGCTGGGTGTGTGGAAGCTGTTCATCGTCACCACTGTTTTGCACCCCATTGCCTACGTTGTGGTCCCTTACCTGGTCCTTCTTCCCGAAGAGTGGCTCTACCCAGGGATCTACGCTTGCTTGACTATCCGCAACATTTTTGCCATTCTCGTCTATCCTGTCATTTTGATTCTGCTCAAGGAAGCGGCGCCCGCACCCTCGTGCCTGGGTAAGATCAACGGATTGGCTGCTAGTACTGGTGCTGCGTGCCGTACTCTCGCATCCCCTATTGCAGGTATTCTTTACGGCATTGGTATCGAGATCGATTTTACCGCTCTTGCGTGGTGGGTCAGCGGTGCAGTCGCAATCCTCGGCGCCGTCCAAGTCTTCTTCATCAACCGCAAGAAGAGCAGTGAATGGCATCAAGTCCGCGCTCGCGCACCCTGCCGCTTCATGCCTCCCGAGGAACACAGACAGGAAATCGTGCACATTGTCGTGCAAGATGAGGAAGAGCAGGAACTCGAAGCCGACGAACAGCGCAGACTGTTGGCTTGAATGCCAGAATCATGAAATGATCTGAAAAGTGTACATGAAGTTGGGCGATATAATGGTGCGTATGAGGGATGTTGTATACCTTTTTTTTCCAGCATCGAGCATTTAGCATTTAGCATTCGGGATCTTGGTTATATATCTCTCTCTTTTATAGCGAGCGTGGCGTTTTGGGCCATTTTCAATAGGGCAAATATATTCTTCGGTTCACAGTCAGATAATCTTTTACTCTCTCTCTCGAAACCCGTCCTGTATCTCGACAAGTTAACAATCATCCCTAACATCCCTCGAGATAGACGCAACATAACCCTACTTCGCCGAAGTCGACCACAACGTCCTACATATAGCACTTCGATCTTATATTCGATCTCTCGTACTCTTTACTAATCCACTACACTGCTATCATGCAATGTTTCTGCCAGATCTCACCTGCTCTACAAAGCGAAGAAGTGTAGACTTTTTGTCGTCGATCTGGGACGACTACTCTGTGCCGTTCGGACACAGTGCATGAACCTCGGTTACTCAGATAGGCTCTGGGAGGTCTCGGAGTGTATAGCTGGGAATCGGATCAGGGAGTGGGGTTTTATAGGTAGGCGATGAAGAGGACATCTCATCCCTTACGTGTATCTCCATCTCAAGTGGGTGCATAGATTCACACGTCCAAAAATACACAGTCATTTTCAGAATCAAAGCGCATGTCCATTGAAACGTCTAATCTCAGAAAGTGATAAAGTAACATATACAGAAAAAGTAAACATCTTCTTCCCTCGAGCAACCCAACACCATTCTTTCCATCTTCCCAGCTATACCCATCAAACCATCCCCAAAGCCCCCAAAACATCAGAACTGAATCCATCTTCCGCCTCCCATTCTCCACCCGTACCAGGCAAAAACAACGAAAGAGGTCTTTCCGCCGTCTTCACCGGTTTCAATGTCAAACAAGAAGAATTAGATTTCTCATAATCATTACCACTGCTCTTGCTTCTGCGAGCTTGCACATTTTGCATGTACAACGGTGCAGCCCGCTGTGGCAAGAATGACAAGAAGTCGATTTGCTTTGCTTCTGCTTCCTCGTATTCGGAATCGATGTCGCTGAAATCGTCGTAGGTGGATGATGAGGGGGAAGTGTATAGGGCGGAAAGACGGTGGCTTAGATCTTCGAGACCAGTGTTGAAATTTGAAGTTGTGATTTCTGGATTTGCTGTGGAGGATAAGGTGGTGGGGTCGAGACTTAGACGGAAGCGGTCGGGTGTTGTGAGACCGGATGATGATTCGAGGGTGTCGGCTGTGAAGGTGGGGGAAGCCATGTCAAAGCTACCAGGGATGCTCTTGCTAGGACCGAAACCGGGATGATAGTCATCTTCTGATGTGAGTGATGAGGAGAATGCTGGTGATGTCAGGGGTTGTGAAAAGTGACTTCTGGTTTGCGACTGGTTGTTGAGGCTCAAGATCGGGATTGCAGAGGTTGGAGTTGAAGGGCCGTGAAGAGGTGTGTGAGATGAGGTGGGTCTGAAGGTGTTTGATGGTGGTAAAGGCCAGCTTTCTTCATCGGCGAGTTCGGACATGGGAGGGCTGAGAGGCCATTGAGAGATTTGAGGTTCGTCGAAGGTGCCATCGTATTGAGGGATTTGTCCTGGTGAGTTTTCGAACTCCATGGTGACATCCTCGCTGAGACGGTGTGTGTTCTTCTTCGGTTGTCTGAGCGAGCCGAAGAAAGAGAAGCCCAAACCTTTTGTGAAGTCGTTGAGTAGTCCTCCTCGGGTCACTGGACGCTCGTTAGGAGACGAGATGGGACAAGGAGTAAAAGGACGAAGTTCGGGCAAGTCGTTGATGTTCTGGTCCAGATCGGGAATGTTGGCAAGCATCGAGATGTCCTCGGGAGAAACATCAATCTGACAGGCACCAGGTCTCTGATATTCAGGCTCATCACGACGAACACGCTTGATTGAACGCAAGCCACGAGAAACGGGTCTGTCTCTTGATCTCAGGTCTCTTGGAAGTCTGCTGTCTGCCGCAAATCTTTCCCGCAATGCGTCACTAGAGCAGTAGAAGCGGGGAAGTTTGGTCGGCGGCTTGCTGTAAATCTTCTTGTATCTGTCTTCGGGGTTGGTGGTCATAGGAATTTCAATTGTGGTTGGTTGGTCGGCCGAGGCGCTGCAGACTCTTTGAGGGGCCTCGATGACTTCGATTGGAACATCCAGAATGTTGACCATTTGACCAGGTAATAATGGGCAAGCATATGTTGTCGATGTGGTAGGATCGCAGACTTCTTCGTCGTCGTCAAGCTTGTAGTAGTACCAGTATGTTCCGCCTTGTTTCAAGGCACCATTTCTAGTCCTCAGGGAGTTGATGCGTTCGCCATCGCAGATGATGTTGGCGAATGAGTGACATCCAGTCCAGACACCACGACCTCTGTGTCCATCGCATTGCATACGATACGGCGTTGAGAAGTTGTCCCAGGAGCCGAAGAGTTCGACTGAGCGAACATCCGGTCTTGATTTACTGAAGAGCAAACGGTCAGCTTGATGTTTCCTCGACTTTTCGGAATCGAGTCCGGTACTTACTAGAGAAAAGTAACGAGAGTAGTAGAGTCCATCGTTGTGGTTCAGGGTTTCAACGGGCCTAGTTAAAGGACGTTGACTCTCGTATAGGAGATTGGTTTGAGTTCTTCGAGAAAAGGTGAGACAAGTTTCGAGGACAATGAACGATTGTCATGCAAGGGTCCTTCGAGAAACAAAAAAAGATAATGGAGAGAAAGAGCAGCGGGCGGAGTGGTTGTTGTATGAGGCTGGCTGCTGACAAGGAAACAAGGCTCTTATGCCTGCAGTGTTCCCGCACTTAGTATAGTGCCTTTCTGCACAGGCGATCTCTCAAACTCGACGGCTCTGGGGCTGGCAGTGGATGCTTTCTCTCTTTAGCTAGCAACTACCCTGCCCTTTTCTTGGTGGACCCGAAGCGCCGTATGCTAGATTCGGCAAGAGGATGACCAGGGTTGCTTGCGTGAATCCTTGATGTGTCGTGGGTTTATGCAAGCGGGACGTTTTTCGCGATGCGATGGGACACGCACGGCAAGAGCGCAGAGGCGTAGATGCTTTGCTTTGCTCCACAAGGCTAATGCTGTATTCCCCAACGCCGGGTCGAATGGCTGCGCGGTCGTCTGTGTTGCTTGGTCGTAGCTGAATATTCTTTGATCTGTCGCAAATCACTCCGGATTGAGGGGCATGAGAGGAAGAAGAAAAAAAGATTAGATTACAGGTTCGTGTGCGACATTTTAATATGAGCTCTCCCATTTTCACACCGTTCTTGGTTAAAATCATCTCCTCCCCTTCTCCTAAATGAGCAATGGTCGGACTGCCTTGAAATGACATATTCGCCATCTTACTTCACGAGGGGGCTGGAGCCGAGAAGACCGAAGCATAAGGTTTCCCGGATGGCAGCAAATCGATGAGATCCACCCTGTTTCGGGTTTGGACTAGCCGCTGACCCTACGCAAGTACCATGGCTCAGCATGCGTTCGTGGACGACCTGTCGAACCGGTCCTCTCCTGCGAGACCTCATGACAGCTGCCACTTCTCTGCTATCAATGTTCCTCTATTGGTCGTAACCCTTGTACACTATCAAGGAAGGTTGGTATGCTTAGCGATTATCCAATATCCAATGATCCTCCGCCATACTGTACGATCCCCCATGATCGACCAGCAGACAAACTGAACGCCAAAAAGCGGAGCACGTTGCCGCGAAGCCAGCACTAAGCAAGGTCCGCTCACCTTCTCAGCTCATGCCATGCCGCAGCACAGCAGCAAAACCAGGGAAGCAACACTCTTGGAAGGATGCGCAAGCAATCTATTGTTTGACAAATGCCCATCTCGAAGGATTTCGATCGTGAAGCTAGCTATCGATTTTCACAATGGCTATCGAAAACGCAAAGCCATGGTCAAAGTGATTTTGGGCCTCTTTCCAAGGCACAGAGCACGCTTCTGTCGCGTTTTTGGGTGGCCTTGGAAAATACGCGCCTTCCTTGATTTTCTGCTTGTATCTTGCCCTTGGCTCTTGTCCGTACGCGTAGTCGCCGTACAGGGAAGGTGAACGATGCGGGATGCTTACACCTTTACTTGCCGTGCCTCTTTTTCTCAACTCCGCACAGCTTTCAGCCATCTCGTTCGTGTCTCAGATCAACATGCATGTCACCATCCTCCCAAGCTTCCACATCCAATCATCCAAAATTCACAAAGCAGGGAATCCCTACATCTACGATCGCATGGACGCATTGTTCTCACCCTAGCTATAACAGGATTTCGCTCCATTGATATGCGAGTTTTATGTCGGCATTTCAGACCTGTTGCTGCCACGAGGGTATATGCAAGTTGACCGTTTGTTTGTGCTTTGCTCACTAGCAATCACCATATTGTCCATCTTTCTTCATCAATCCTTGACCATTGATCAACTATTTGCATGAACCGAAAAGGGCATTATTCCTTGCGGAGGCAGCTTTGTTAACCAGACAACGCAGAGTGTACTCATCCGCATCTCATCCGTACAAGCCCTAAGACGGCGGCGGCACTGAAGATCATGTTTTATGCATACATATACCTTGCATCACTCACTGATCTTCGAGCACTTCGTCTCAGAACACAACCTAATCCAGCACGTATCACGTATCGGAGACACTGCCTTCGTCTCTGCTTTCTCAACACAGCCATACACGACTCGTACGAGGATGTTCATCATGTCCAAAAATAAGGCAACCCGTAAAAGCCTCATGGCTCAAGCTGTCAACCATGTCATTGGCCTCTGCTTTTTTGACAAGCCCAATATATCTCTCGCGATGACGAATAAACAAACCACGTCTTGGCTTTACGACTTTTCCCAGCCACCTGGTATAGCCGCTGTCCCGATTTTCTGGGATCGGAAGACATGCGTATGCCCAGCCAGCCATCAAGTCCTTACCTGAGGCACGCAGTCAACGGTCGGGCATGATGGAACCGTGTGCAAAGAGGCACAGAGACTTTGAGGTACTGTACTGAACAGCAACGGTCGGATGTGATGGCAAGAGGCACAGCTCAACGGTCGAGCATGATGAACAATCAACCTCAAGCACTGCCTGCAGGACACTCGTACGGACATCGTATTTCACATTCGGAATGGTATGCTGCCAGATGCCGTCGCCGTCCTAAACCATGCGGCTCTGATCTTTGTCTCACCTTCTGGATATTGCTCTTCATGTTTCGAACCTGGATAGCAGCCGCCCGACCCGATTCTGTGTAACCATATCACTCTCGACGTCCGAGACACGGCGACGCAAGGTAGATCTCGACCATTGAATTCCCAAGCCATAAACCTCTCTTCGTCAACTATACAAGAAAGTCTCACCCTGGGGTTGCTAACAGAATCCGCGCAGTTCGGTCTACTCATCAAACTACCAAGCTCTATCGTTCTAGAGCCTCTTTTCAACTTTCTCCATTGTCTCGCTTATGTAAATGTGTTTCTCTAATCTCCATATGCCGTGTTGTAAACCTCTGCATCTGCAGAATATCTACTAGCTAGCCCACAACCCTAGCCCTAAAGTTTTTCCCTATCTTTGTGTACTGTAACCATCTCCGTATCGCTGGAGCATGCAGGAAGCCTTGCATACATATATGCATACACGCATGCAATCCCAAGCCATTTCACTCAATGTGTTTCAAGTTTCATGTTTAATTGTTTCAAATTCCATCATTCTGCAAGGGCATAATGTGATATATCAGCATACCCACGTGCAGAAATAGCGAGGGAAAAAAAGAGTCTAGCCTCCTTTGCTTGACCGAGTTATTGCTCATTGGTAATATAGCCATGGCAACGGAAAGAAGAAGATGCAGAAGAAGAAGAAGAAGCTAAAATAATAGATACAAGAAAGAAAGAAAAAATTGCCGTGCCCTCTCGTAGCTATGAGCAGCCAAAAAAGAGTAAAATATGGGAAAATATGTTGTTATCCTCCCCACTTGCTTTCCTCCAGCCTATTCCATGTTGCAAGTCGGTATCGCAGCAACTTCGAGTATTGCAGCAATGTCGATGGAAGCCATTGAATACTTGCGAGTAGCAATCGAATGAAGTCTTGAGCTTCACAACCTCAGAGCCTCGAGGTGTTCTCTGTGTCTTTGTGCGCCTTGAACGCCTCCGCACGCCTCCCCATGCAAGACCCCTTCCTCCACATCGTCTCTCCCTTGTCTCCCTCCATCGTGCTCTTTAACAAATCACACAACCAAATCCACGTCCTCTTTGTTGAACCCTCCATTCCATTTCCTTTTTGTGGTAACTGCAAATCTATTGCGTCTTCTTGGGGAGACCGGCTTTTGCACGATCGGCGAGATCGCCCTGAGCGAGCCATTGACTGGCCTTGACGATTTGGATGATGTTAACCCATTGTTTGAAGAGCATGACGGGGGCGGAGACGACTACGAGGATCCAAGGAAGGGTGCTATCCATCTTGTTTGCTCTGTTGGGTCAAAAGTCAGCAATTGTCCAAAAGTAAGAGTGAAGAATTCGAGAAAAGAAAGCTTACCTGGCCATCTCCATGGCACCAGCGGACCAAGGGCTGGAAAAGATAGTCGAGGGCTTGGGAGGTGTAGCAGGCGAACCAGGCTGCAAAGAGGCACCCTCTCCAGCCGGTTGCAGCAGACTCGGGCTCAAGTAGGGGCTCGAGAAGGCCAACAGATACAAGGCGATGAAGAACAACTCGTTCAATGCGCAACACACAAACAGCACATTGCGGTTGGTGTAGTACAAGTGCATGATCTTGCTTCTTTTGGCGTCGATGTTCTTGTGGCTGCTTCCGCTTCCGCCCATGGCGAGGGTGGCGTACATGTGCATGTAGTGGGATGTGAAGTCGAGAGAGATGAGGAGTTGGAAGACCATGCTCCAGCGAGGCATGGCTGTCGAGAGGAAGACGAGCAGGCAGGTGGTGGTGCAGCGATCCGTCACCATGTCCAAGACGGCTCCAAACTTGGTGGATTGGTTGAAGCTACGGGCGGCATAGCCATCGAGAGCGTCGAGGAGGCAGGATATGCTGTACAGCAGAGCGCATGTACGTGGGTGGAGGGGCATGTAATTCAGTGATACGATTGCGAGGACGACGCGAGCGTATCCTTTGGGAAGATTGTCAGCTTTTTATGACGACCATCTCTGGTGTCAGTGAAGCATACCGATCAAGTTTGGCACGAACATGAAGATGTTCTCCTTTGGCGCATCTCCTGCTGTGCTTGTGGTGGGCACTTGGGCATCCTGGATAGGAGCCTGAGCAGCTGTTCTGGCTGACATTGTGACTGTGATGGTGTTGGGTACTGAAGGATCGAGTTCACAAAGACGGATTGGTCTGCAGCGCTCGAGCGCAGTGTGTCGTGTCTTGTCGAATAAGTCGTGCTCGTTTCAGGTGTTGGCTGCGTTGGTGGGCTGAAGCCTTGGTCGCTCCTGCTGCCGATAAGACGAATCAACCAGATTAATTGAGATTTCGAGGAAAGCTGCTAGTGAAGGTGTTTGGACACAGCTCCTGCCAAGTCGCGATTTGTCGAAATCACAAAGGCTGATGTTCAGGGGATGCTTCTCAAACTTTGGACCATCATCTTGAGAAAGCTCCTAGAAATCACTTGGCTTGGCAGCAATCGGACCCTTGCTCCTTCCGCCGTCCTCCGCGACAATTTCCTATCCGGTTATCACTGCCATCTATCTCCGTCAACGCGCCGTCGCAACCATTTCTACCTTTTTCAATATCACCGCTATCTTGTGCACCCAGTGGTTTACAGTACTCGCTACATTTTCATTAGGTCTCTATTCTGTTTTCGCCATTTTCTTCGTCTTCATACTTCATCCTGCCTGCCTGTTCCTGAGGCTGTTCTCTCAATCGTACGCCGTAAAACTCCTCTTTGCACATTTTCAGTATCAGCCTTCACTGTCGGCTTCGTTCCCTTCGTTCTTTTCGCCTTTCGACTCGCAGTGATGAGAAAAGCGTCCAAGAAACAAGAAACAAAAAAAAACAATTCATGGTAATCGTCAACAAAATCTCAGAAACCAACACCTGCCCAATGGTAACCTCATGAAAATCGTGAAGTTGCTCAAGCATGTCCGGCGGCATAAGCCTCTTGAATCGGTGTATCCTTGGTTACACCACCTGAGAAGCGACCAGTACCTCCGGCGAGGTAGCCGTCGTACTCGGCCTCTTCGGCGAGCTTTGCGTCATCCCAGCCCATGCGCATGCCCCATGCGTGGTGGAGAGCATCCGACTCATGCTCAGACATGTACTGTACAATCGTTCCAACAAGCTTGTCCGTGGTAGAGAGCATGGCTGATGAGAGGAGTGTCTGGCGGCGTGTGAAGTGGCGGCTCATGCGGTGTGGAATAGGTGCCTCGACATTGTTCTGGTCGAAGGTCGTCGAGCGAAGCTGTACGTAGCCGCAAGAATTGAACTCAAGCGACGCCAGGCCCTTCTTGCGTCTCTCGGGCTCCGGCTCAAACTCATCGCGAGGCTGGTACATCTCGAGTGTAGGTCCTGGGCTTATCTTATCGATCACCTTGACCCATGAGCCTGAGCGGTGTCCTTCATACCAGAGTGTGTTGGCAGGTGGTGGTGGGGCTTGGAGTCCGGGCTGAGGAGGCATAGGCCAACCAACAGGTGGTGGTGGTGCAGCAGGCACTGCCGGGATGGCCAGAGATTGCGCGGCGCCGCCTTGCTGCTGAGGCTGTTGATAAAGCGTTCCGGGCTGGGCCATGGGGTGTGTGCCTTGGCCATTTCCAGTAGAGAGTACAGTCAACATACCCATGATCTGCTGCATTGTCATTCCCATGGGATGGTTGATCATGACTTGGGGAATCTGCTGTAGTACAATTCCATGTTGTGTCAGCAAATTCATGTTCTGCAACATAGTCTGAGCCCATTGCTGAACGGGAGTACCGGTCGGCGGACCTTGCCATACTTGAGCACCGAACAGGGCGGCAACATTGCCACCGACTGGAGCCGGAGGTGCGGGAGCTTGGTTGTTTCCAGCGTTCGCAATCATGAAAGGGTTTCCGGGCCCGCCGGCTGCGTTGGTGTTTGGGCGTGGCATGGCAGTGAGTGAGACTGAGTCAAATTTGATCTTCCTGAGGGATTCCCTGCGCAATTTCTTGACCATGGCGACAATGGAGATGGGCGTGAACCAACAGTTGGAAAAGGTGAGGTCCTTGATGTGCGGCAAATTGATCAGGTGATCATCATTCTGCATGATGGTTGTAGAGCGAGCAACGCTTGTGATGGGAGCAGGCAAGATATGATGATTGCGGGCGAAGATACCCTCGGCGTGCTCGCCGCCAGCAGCCCAGGAGAAGCTCAGCTTGGTGATGTTGGGTCGAACACCGATGAAGTCCTGGAGTAAAGCGTAGGTCTTCTCAGCGGCGAGAGATGGGTCAACATCCTTTGTCTCAACGACACCAGCATCATCTCTCTCAACTGTGCGCCAGTCAGGAATGACAGCTAGCGTGACTTCCTGCAACTTGGGAAGAGAGGTCCAAAAGTCGTGACGAGAAAGCAAAGGTGCGAGGTGGCTAGAGATGCGGAAGTTGAGCACAGAGACATTATCGAAAACAGGACTATTGTCAACGACGCCGAGCATGTATGTCGTGAGGAAAGCTCTCTGAGCCCACTCGGCCTCCAAGAGCCACTCCTTTTGGTGGTTACCCAAGCCATTCGGGTTGAACTTGTCAATCTTTCTGACCATTTCCGATCTCTGGGCGTCAACTGAGCTAGACGAGTGATCATGAGCATCAGAAGCAGTGACGTAGAGAACTCCAGTCTCAGGGACTTCGTGATCGTCACCGTCGAGAATACCGGCGGCTGAGATGGCGACCGCGTCGGCAGGAGCAGTAGCCCACAAGGCGGGACTGGCATAAGGGGTGGTTGAGAAAGGGAGTCGGTGGAAGAAGTTGTCCTCCATGTTCACACGCTCGAGGTGGCCTTCCTTCAAGTCCTCTAAAGCGTCTAGTCTGTCATGGGCAGTTTCGAGGGACTCCCACAATCTGATGCGCTCCTGTTGTTGCGCGTCTACTATGCCGTGCGAACAACCGAAGAGAGGTGAAGGTCGCTGCAGGATCAGACTGCGCAGAGACTTGTCAGGACCAGTCATCCAACCGAGACCGCTGTCCATGGACAACGCGAGCTGCTGGACTTTTGACAAGTGTGAGAATGCCAACTTCATTTGAGACGTCTCATCTGCTGTACGTTCGAGCCCGGCAAGCTGTTCGTAGCGTGTGTATTCTTGTGATGGCCACTCGTACCAACCGAAGTAGCTCTCATGGCGGTCAAGTTGGTTCTTCTGAGGTGGGTTCTGAAGTGCTTCTTCCTTGATCTCGAAGCTCATACCAAAACGCCGAATATGACCGCCGAAGCCTTCGAAGACCTTGAGTCCGTGACCGCGATAGACCTTGTCTTCCGTGTCAGCCAAAGCGTTCTTCCAGAGCAGTGAGCCGGGCTCTAGATCAATGAAGTTGTTGACGGGATCATCAGCTCTGCGCTTGCCCTTGAGGTCGCGCTTGACGACCTTCTGCTCGATCATCTCGTACAGCTCTGTGTTGAATGGTACCACGACGGTGTCGAACAAAGAGTGAGATACGCCGAGCTCAAACTCCTTGTTGACCAGACGCATTGACTTGATGTCATCGCGAGAAAGGTGCTGAGTAACGAGTTCGAAGAGTTCGACAGGCAGCTTTCCAGGCACCCATTGGGCTCTTCTTGCTGTGAGCTGAGTAGCATCGATACGTTGCTTGTGTGAGGGCTGGATCATGAAACGCTTGTTCTTGTTCTTGCTGTTCTTCTTCTCTGACACTGGAATGAATGGCAAGAAACGCAAGGCGGGGTGAGGGGTGTTGCGATCCATTTGGTAGGGGAGAAGGATGGTAGGACTCTCGGGACATGCTGAGCGCTTTGCTGGTCGGTCAGTCTCCCCCTCTCTCTCCTCGCCCCACCCGTTGAAGGTCAGCTGCATGTTTCTGGGAGTGCTGTAGAAGATCTGTGGCCCAGAGCGGGAAGCATTGCGTGCGCTCGACGAGTGACCCAATGAGACCAAGGTAGAAGGATAGCCCTGGTATGAGTCTTCGGTGCTGTCGGATTGAACATCATCACTGTCAGCTATGGCGTACGGACTCGGTAGCTCGGCGCCTGCAGATACAGGTTGATCCTTGGAGACGATCTGATCGAGAGCCAAGAGGGGTCCATCACGGCGAGAGTTCAGTGAACGGCCATGATGAAGGATAGAGAGTGGCTGGTCATCGGGATCAACAACGGCTGATGGATGGTAGGTCGAAGACGGGCCAGCAGTCTGACCCTCCATCAACGTGTCTTGATCTTGCATGCTGAAAAGACTGTGACTCGCTGTTTGACCAATGCCTGAGTTCGAATTATGGAACTGATTGATGTTGTGCAGTAATGTCTGAAAACGAGGGAGTTGTGAAACAGAATTTGTTGTTTGCGCAGGCAGAGTCGGCCGAGTAAATTCTTGTTGATCAAGCCAAGAGAAAACAGGTCCAGTCGGACGTGTCTGGTCAGGTGTAGAATTTAATCGACGACGACGACGGTCTCGAGGGTTTGGTGGAGACTCTGCTCGACGTGCTTCGCGACGTGCCTCTCGGCGTGACTGGGACATGGCCTTCCAAATCTTATTTTTCAAGCTGAGAGATGGATTCAGACTTGACTGTGATCATACAAACAGAAAACTGGTAACCCGGCCTGGTTATATCTCCTTTTGATGACTCCAGAGCTACGCATGTGCGACCAGGTGTTTCGGACAAAACAAGTTGTTTTCGTTTGTAACAGCCAGCCTCGTGGCGGCGCGGGTCATACAGGTATGTTCTCACAGGATTCACAGCTTGTAGTATATTCAAACGATGTTGTATGTGCAATAGGGTGTATACAAGTAAGCAACGAGGTGTGCTCGAGCTGCTGGCAGTTGCAGGCATCGATGCGACGAAAAATAGCCGCGATCGGCAGCGGGGTGATGTCACCAACAGTGTTTCCACATGAAGGTGACGGATGGCAACACCCATGCATGTTTATGCTACGAGTAGAGATGCACATTAAAACTACTCTGCAAAGGACAAACAAACCGAATCACAGCTGATCCGATCTACAAGCGACTTAACAAAGATAAACTCGCTGACAATCATTGTCAAAGAATTCGTCAACTCTATTCATATTCTATCTAACCATGTCATTATGCCGGACATGTCTCTGCATCGATCCAGAGAAATCCAGCCAGTATAATCTATTTCCCGTTACAACGCCAAATAATCATCAAAAGGAAAGGGTATCATATCAGCGTAACAATCAAAAGCGATTCCAGCGGGCTGGACGATGATCTCGTTATCTCTACTCGTCCGTCGAGTAGATCCTGAAGCTTGCAAACTCCCAGTAAGCCTTCTCGAATGCCGTTGCGTTCTTTGCGACAAAGTCTTCGCACTTTCCAGGACATTTAAACTGCGAGGTGTAGACACTGTTGGCCCAGGAGCCGCAGAAGTCGATGTTCGCAATGATGGACTGGTTCTTGAAGTGAGAGCCAATGTCGCAGTCGGTGCTAGGGAAGTCGGCGATAGGAAGACCCCAAGTTGAAGGGTCGGGAGTGGTGTCGTTGTTGGCTCTAAGATCTCCAGGAGGAGAATCGCGGTTAAAGATCCACATGCGAATGCCTGCATCACGGAGCTCCATTGCATAGACCTGGTACATGTAAGCAAAGGGGAATTGTGTCAAGGATGGTACGGAAAAAACTTACTGCACCACCATCGTCGTTGGCTTCGGCGCCATATGAGCTAGAGGCTCCCATGACTGCACAGCCAGCATTGTCATTTGTGCCATTGTAGCAGTTGGTGCCGTGGACGGTGCCAGTTTGGGCACGTCTGCTCTTCATCTGGCAGTTTTTCGAAGTGTGCAGAGCCATTTGGTTGCCGGTGTTTCCTTGGTTGACTGTTTCAACGACATCGATCTCTCCGTTGCCGGGCCAGTCACTAGGATCGGCCATCCAGACAGCGGGCCAGGTTCCGCAACCATAAGGGGTGTGCTTGATATCGAAGACGAAGAGACCAGAGTGGAATTGCTTCTTGGAGGTGATGCGCACAGAGTTGCGGCCGTTCTTTGCATCGGTGTCCTTGGAATCTGCTCTGAGGAATGCCGACGAGTCGCCAGCATAGGTCAGGTTGGTGGATATGGCAGTGGCTTGGTCCACGTAGCTGCATTCATGTTAGTCAACGTCCTCGTAATTGCTTGTAGATGGGGTGCGAACTTGACAAAGCCGTTGGCAGGGTCTGGCGAGGAGTGGTAGTCGAAGTTGTCGAAGAAGTTTGTTCCTTGCCATCTATCTTCGAGCGTGTAGTTGAGAGCATGGTAATCAGGGTAGTCAGGCTTGGATTTGCTGTTCTTGCTGCCCTCTACTGCAGCAACGATGATAACAATGATGAGGATGACGGCGGCGATGACTGCAGTAATCTTCCACTTCTTTTGCCAGCCCTTAGGGTTCCATTTTGATGTAGTAGGCGACATATCCATATTGTCCATTGGTGCGCCTTGATAAGCGGTTTCTGGTGAAGTGCCGTCTGGCAGGAAAGCTTTGTTCTCTTGCATCGTTGCGAGACGTCGGACGAGCGAGTTTCGTATAGAAAGAGCGATGGGTACGAAAGTCAGGAAAGGTGACACAAAGACGAAGCGGCCAGGAACGAAAGTCAACAGCGGTCGCAAAAGCAGAGCAGGAGCGAAAGATACAACCACCACCAGGGCAGAGCGAGTAGATAAGTCACGACATGCTAACAGATCATCACACCTACTCGTAAAAGTCACCTCAGTGACAAGAACCAGACGATCATGTACAAGGGTCCCATTGGATGCTTGATGTGTTCTAAAACGAGGATCCGAGTCTGAATCGTGCCCACAGTTGACGCGTCGGTGGGAAGCACTGCAGACAGACGAGCCCGCAGAGATATTTGTGGGCCTTTCGTCTGGAGTAACAGCTATCCTACCCTGGTACTGCGGGCTGCGACAAGCAGATACGGAGTTTGGTCGAAGTTGTTGAGGATTCTGCAAAGCACATACAGTGTTGTGACGTTCGCGGGTCCTTGCGCCGTCTCGTATCAAGGAATTTTGTCCCGGGCAACCCCATGCACAGCACAAACACAACGACGATCCCTGCCAGGCACAGAGAGGTGGAGTTCTCCTCTCGCGTGCAGAGGTGGTCATTACTATTCTTGTGTACTGCATTTCGTATCTACAGTCCAACAGCGAGATACTTTGCGGCTTTCACGAGGTTGAGCGAGTCCTATGCGGCTACAAAACTTTGACTCGAGAACGATTAGGCCGACCAGCCGTCAATCTTGACATGTTGAAAAAAAGAACATCAGGCACAAGGTTCACACAGCCATCACGGTTTCAGAGTACAACCCGAGTCTCTTCCGGCGTGCACACGAGTAGTTGCATAAGATGTTGAAGAGACTGCCTGCTCCTGCATGAACGATTCAAGTCATGATGGCCGGCACCAAGGGATGGAGTAGTTCTTGTGGGTTGGTATTGACATGGTGGTATAATTGTTGTATCTTCCCCAACTTTAACGTCGCATTTGTTCATGACCTCGCATTCGTCATTGAGCTTAGAACTCCTTCATGGTGTCTCCTCTTCTCTTGCCGCGGAACTCGTACTTGCCCTATGATTGATGTGATTAGCGTCCGTCATTCGAGGTATAGACTGCGCCTTTGGAGCTAAGGTCTCAAGGTGTGATGATGGGCGCCTTGTGCTTGCGGATGTCTGCCAAACTGCATCTCAGGCACCAACCCTACGAGTCCGTCTTTTGCAGAGCCCTGTTGTGTCCGCCGTGTGCATGCGCCGTTCCGCAGCCTTCCATGTTCGATTCCATATGCCTGTCCCTCACGTCCCTCCTCTTGCATATTCTCCTTCATTCCAGCACTTGACATGCAATTTTCGCAGCTCCAGAAGGTGTTGAAAGTATGAGATTCGTAGACTTACATCGGTCTTGTTTGCGACGTAGTAAAGCGAGCTAGGGATAGCGACAGCGAAGATGATCGAGAGCCAGGCAGTACGGGGAGTCCACTTGAAGTGCTTGTAACGATCCACGGACATCTCTGGAATCGCAGTCAGAATTTGAGCAAGGTCGGCGTATCCTCTCAGGTTGATGGCGTACGGTTGTACTTGACCAGCGCCGGATCAAAGGCGAGACCTGTAGAGAGGTCAGTTCACTGCGCGTCGGTCATTCTCAGTTTTGTAGATTTGCGCACTGTTGTGACCACCGCCAGCCATCTTGGATTGATGTGTAGCTGTGATTTAAAGGTGGGTATTGGGAGAGTTGTATCGTTCACACCTTCAATGCCTGTCGCTGACGCTGTCGGTTCGGTGATGCCAAGAGCTTGAGAGAGCAAACTGTGCAAACTGTGCAGACTGCTTCGGCGATCATGATCTCTTTTTGCTTGTGATCGTGACGCCTCGGCTTGCTGAGGAAACAGGATGGCTTATCGCCTCGGTCTCATTAAACGAGCAACCCAATTTTCCTGTGAACATTTCGTCTTCTACAAGATGCCAATTTTCCCTGTGTAACATCGACAATATTTCAATCAATCACATACCTGGTAAGTTGAGCTCACCTGCATGACTGGACACACCAATTGTCTTGATGGAGGATCAGATCAGATGATTCCTCCCTCCACGAACTTCATGAACATGTCACCCCTCTTCTCATCGCATTTCTCGATTTCTTCTTATCGTAGAGGTTGTGAGAAGCCTCAGATCATAACATAGTCGCGCCCATACACCGTGCTAAAGTTGTCTGCATCTGTTATCGAGAAACTAATTGTACGAGTCATTTAGCACATCCATCATGGCAACCGAAGCTCCCAAGGTCACTTTGTACTGGTAGGTAGACATGCATATCTATAATTGCCAAATTCAAGATCCAACAAACTCCCAGGCTCGACAAGTCCAGAGCCCAGCGCTTCATCTGGCTTCTCGAGGAATGCAATGTCGACTACAAGATCGAAATCTTCAAGCGTACACCTGAAATGCTCGCACCTCCCGAGCTGAAGAAGGTGCATCCTCTGGGCAAATCTCCTGTCGTTGGCATCACTGCTCCTGGTAGAACAGACCCTTTGATCCTCGCCGAATCTGGTTTCATCACTGAATACCTGACCGAGCACTTTGCTCCTCACCTCGCACCCAAGAGATACGAGGATGGCAAGGAAGGACCTGGTCTCGAGACTGAAGAGTGGATCCGTTACCACTTTTTCTTGCATTACGCTGAGGGCTCTCTTATGGCACTGATGGTCACCAACCTCATTTTCAGCTGTGCGTTTCCACCCACACTTCTATTCCTCACAGCCAAACTAACCGCACATCATTACAGTCCTTAAAGGCGACAAAATTCCCTTCTTCATCCGCCCAATCACAAACCAGATCGTTGGCAGAGTGGACAACATGTACTTCAAACCAAACTTCAAAACCCACTTCGACTTCCTGGAATCCCAGCTCGCCTCCGCTCCCAATGGTGGTGGTTTCCTCTGCGGCAACACCCTCACCGCCGCTGATATCTTGATGTCTTTCCCTCTCCAAGCTGGTCAGAAAAGACTGAAGATTATTAACGCCACCGATTACCCCAAGTTGAATGATTTCGTCAACAAGTTGGATAACATGGAGGGGTACAAGAAGTCTATTGAGAGGATTGAGAAGGAGTCTGGTGAGTCTTTTACAACCATGATGGGAGCCGAGTAATAAGGAAGGGGAGATCCTTTGAGTTCTGTCTCGTCTGTTTTCGAAAGATACCAAGTCTAGAGCTTTAGAGATTCATTGCGAGTTTTTTTCTTTTCTTCCTTTTTCGTTTTCTTTCCTTTCCCTGCTTCATCTTGGACATTGTTTGATTTGTGTGACTTTGTGTTTCCTGATCATATTTCCCTTGGTGAATTTGGACAGTTTGGCAATGGTTTTGTCTACTGTAGAAGCAAGACTAGAGGCGTGTGCTGACTTGACTTGCAGGTGATGGCTACGACTTGATCTGAGCTGATCTTCTGGTTCTCACCGCAAAGCAATATTCGTACTTGATCGATCCGCCAACAGCGAAACCCCATATTCCTGACTCTACCTTAGCTATACCTTAATTCTCTATCGTAATCGACTTATCAATCTCTCTCTTACACAAATTTTCAATCACTCCCTCATCTCCAGAGATGATCACAATGCCATCGCCAGGGTTGGCTGTTTAGCAGCAAGTCAAAGCACAGATCACTATGGTTTTTAAGCCGCGATCGAACTCCACGATGGAGCTGCAAATCAAGTCAGTGCTTGCTTCCGATGATACAGATCTGCCCCGCTTTGAGGCTGAAAAGCACGACATGTGTTTACTTTTTATGGGCAAATCGTTCGCGATGATGAATAGAGAAAAGGCATTGTTACGATGACAGTGGAAAGCAGTGTGAGGTTTGGAAGGTGTATTTCACATTCCTCATGGCCATCAAGACCGAGTAGCCACATTCTGTGTGGATGCTAAACTAATTGTACATAATCGGAGGCATTGGTATCATTGATCGTTGAAACAGGTCTGTTCAAGGAAAAAAGGGGCAGAGAAAGCAACTCCGCATTTAAGCAGAGTCGGGGATTCTCTCCTCGGCGGAAGGGACGTTGCTGCGGGTGCCGCCCTGAGCCTCGTCGCTCTCGAGGTTGCGCTGGCCGGCGTGCTCGGGAAGGCGAGAGTCGACGGTCTTGCCCTGAGCGCCGGACTTGAGGCCGTCAAGACCAGTGCCGGGGTTCTTATTGTGGGACTGGCCGTCGTGTCTCAACTCGGAAGAGGTTTGGCCTTGGATGGGCTGACCGAGACCCTGGTGGACCTGAGCAGAGGTGGCACCGCCAATGGTGTCGGAGGCCTTGCCGCCTTGAGCGATGTTCTCAGCGTGGTAGTCAGGCTGGAAGGTGCTGTGAGAGGTTAGTATGAGGAGGCTTGAATTGATGTATCAGTTAAGGTGAACTTACTGCTCGGGAGGAGCGGTACCAGCGGGGAGGATCTCGGCGTGGAACTCAGGAGCGGCGTCGTTGCCGACCATCTTTCCAGGCTGGTGGCCAGAAGACATTAAAGGCTCATCTCTAGGAGCTGAGGCGTGGAAGCCATCAGGGTTGGAGTTGGAAGCAGCTTCAGCGTTGCGGGAGGCCATTGTGGTTGTTGGTATAAAGGTGATTGGTTTTGAGGAAGATTGAAATTGTCTGTGGAGATTGATTTGTAGATGAAGAAGAGAAGAAGGTGTTCCTGCATCGAGCTCTCAAGCTCTTTTGAACGAAGCTCTAGAGCTTCATGCTCAGTGACGTTGGAAGGCGTCATGCTCCTTCCAAAAAGTAAGTGATGACATTTCCCCACACCAGACCATCAGACCCCTTCACTGCACTTCTGATGCCTTCTACGATCGTGTTCTCTGTTCGATGCAGTGATCGAATAACGGAAATTATGCGATATACCATCAGATTCCGATTTCCAACTGAAATCTGTGCTGCTCCCCAGCGGCCTTGTTACGGAGCCTGAAAATGCCTCATCTGGATAACAGCGACGACGATAAATGGAAGCCAGCCATGGAGTGCTTTTGCGACACCTGGAACCACCTTGGACTTTTCGATCTATTGAATACTTCAAAGCGTTCTTTCACTCTCGGAGTCGACTTGTGACGGTCTGGTTGTAGAAACAAACACCTTTTCGCTCGAGTATTTGAGAGCAATGCATGACAATAACGAGTCCGGCACATGGATCCGGGCGATTGCCTACGCAAACTGGCCACATTTATGGATGTTTGAAAGAGCCATTCGGACATCAAACCCAAATGAACCTGTCATTGCTACGCCCTTAAGCAGAACTTTTGATGCAAGGGGCGTAGGACTTTTGATGCAAGGGGCGCAGGACATCACCTAAGGTCACTTCATGTGACATTTAGCGTAGTGTGGTTAACATACAACTGCTATGAGTTCCTTGTCCAGAAATGGATGCTTTCTCGTCAGACTTATCCATCGCTAAGCCGCATATCAACCCAGACGAAGCAGAAGTAGAATCACTGTAAGAACATTGACACAACGCATATGGTAAAGAAGTGTCATTAGAAGTTATGAGAGCAAACAAGAAACGGAAGTATGGCAAGAATGGAAAGACAAAGAGAGAACAAACGGACAATCGGGTAGCTGCGTGCTGTCGACTGTTACGTCGACTGCTCTATCGACTGCTCGAACATGGTCGAGACCTACATTTTCAGCTTAACTTTCATTCATCTAACCCTTCGTCGTCAGCTTTCGACATAGCCTTCCGTCGTCGATTTCTAGCTTTGGTTCGCTTACCCCTCCATTGACGGGCTTGAAGCCTTATACGTTCGACCTTCCGTCGTCGACTTTCGACTTACATTTACTTACTATACCATCGTCGACATCTTTAATACGGTCGACCTTTTCGTCGATAACCTCTCGCCGTCGATTAAGTCTTTACACGTTTGATCATCCTTTGTCGAATTCGTCTTTGTGTATCTATACATTCGACCCAACCTGTCGTCTGCTTTCGTGTTTATACACTCGACCTAACCCCTGTCGTCCGCTTTGACTTCTATACGCTCGACCTTCTAACGTCGACTTTTGACTCTAACACGATTGACCTTGCGTTGTTGACCTTCGACGTTCACACTAAAAACCTTCCGTCGACGTCCTTCGACTTTACTGTCCTTCGTCGACTCTCGACCATCGACATTCATTAGTTGCTGTCGTCGACTTCGTCTTTCGTACGTTCCAACAATTCGCTCATACGTTTGGACTGTCTTCGTCGAATTCGTCTTTCACACTTTCGACCTTCGTCAAATCCGCACTCCTACCCTCTGCGATCCTCTAACCCTTTTCTACTCCACTCTTTCCTCCACAACTCCAACCACTACTCAACTCATGTCATCAAAGACACCGCGCAATACATCCAAGATGTCTCACCAGGCCCTATCTCACGCCTCTTCCAAGACACCTATTGGCCTTTACCTCCCGCGTCAGGAGAGACTCGATCTGACGCGCATGTCTAAGAGTGATCTTGTTGGGGGTGCCACCTACCATTGTGCTCATCTAACCTTTCTCGAGTGCAACGGTGAGTCCGTCTTTCCAGATGCAATCTGCGTGAACCTACTCCTCAACGCCCTCCGCATCCATTGGAAAGTCTCTGGCAGAGTCTTGCGCACCCTGGCCGATCAGGGCAACGATCTTATGGAGTTTCTTACCCTGGAAGTTGACAACAAGCGCGTTATCGCCGACTTGTTCACGGAGGAGGCTAGACACTACCTTCTCGAACGCGATGGCTCGGATGCTCTGATCATCTTCACTACCGTCATCCACGACATCTATGCTGCTACCTGGTACCGCTGGAGCAAAGAGTTCAACAACAAGCACCTGCAAGCAGGCCAATTTGCACTCATCATCGCTCATGCTCAAGCAATCTCGAACCAGCTGAGCAACAATGTCCTTGCCTTCAAGGACAAGGCTGCTCCAGAACTCAAAAGATGGGCCGAGCAAACCGCCTCCCGCCATCTCATGGCAATTGTGACCCTTGGTCACTTGCCTTCTCGTCACGTTGCTCCCGCCTTCGTTTCTAGCAACGACAGCTCGGCCCCTGATTTGATGGGCGCAAAGTATAACGCCAACAACATCAACACTAAAGGCTACTACCCTACCCAATCGGGTCCCGTCGACCATCACTATCGGGCGGCTATCCCCAACCGCCCTTCTTTCTCAACCAAGCGCAAGGCTCCGGCCGAAGCCGCCTACTCGTGCTCTACTCCACCTTCCAAGAAGTTCAGGGGCAAGACTGAGAGCCCCGAGAAACGCAGAGTCTACGACACCTACCGACCTTCAGGTCCCCGACGCCCTACCCTCTATAACAACAACCACCCTTCGGCTCCTCGCAACCCGTACACTTCTCAAAGACATCACGACCGCTACAAGCAAGCTCTCGACCATGACGAGCTCCGCAAGGAACGACTCCGTGCACTCGATCAGAAGATCGCACAGCACCCTCCTGCTAGCAGGTTCTCTGACGAACCTGTTCGCCCTGAATCTAGCGGTTCTTCCGAGGGCAATGCTCCGGTTGTTGACGGGCTTTCTTATGTCGAGTATCTACGTAGCCGGGAGGGTGATAATGAGCCTGTAATGCCTCACATCAGTGTCGAGAAGGGCGAGGTTTTGGAGTAACAGTGATATAGGGCGAGTCGAGGGAAGATTACTGGCGATATAAATCTTCTTTGGGGTGGTCTATTTCATCGACATGGTGGAGCTTTTCTTCATCCTATCAAAAGGCACAAAGTCATCGACTTTTATGCGATCGTCCACTGAGACGGCTACAAAGGCGTCAATATCAATAGCAAGATACCCCTTTTGCTTTACACAAATATCCAAAGGAGGAGGCTCAAGAAAAAAAGGGGTATCTATTTCGTCATAATCATAAAATGTCATCTATCCCATCCCCGTCATATCATATCATATCCACAAATCATAATACCGCATACGATCATTTACAAGCAACAAACACAAGAAAAATGGAAGAACAGAATTATAATCATAATCATGATCTTCCTCTTCCACTCTTAACTCTGACTGTTTCCTTGCCACCCCTGCTACGGTGGAGAAACAGTACTTTATATTTCAAGCACCATTGCTCTAACTCGATATCTCTCCTCCAGTCTTGTATTGTGGGTACTTCTTTGCCATCGCGACGGAGGATCTCCAAGTGGCGGGAGATGTGTTCGGTGCGTTGGACCCACGCTTGTGGACCGGAGAAGGAGCAACAGCAAAACACACAGCTTGTGGACGACGGTGGAGAAGGAGGAGGTATGTGGCAGCGACGTGCTTGCTCGGCGAGAGCGGCAGGCGTGTTTGGTATGGATGCACAATGATATCTTTGTGCCCTGAGAGCGGTATGTGTTGGATTCGATACTGAAGATGCAGAATCGATTGTGGCATCGCAATGCATACGGCGCAGATGTTGTATGAACAGGTCTTTGCGATTGAAGTCGTTGGATTGCGTCGGCGATGAGGAAGAGGGAGACGACGGTCTAGGGATGCAAAGGTCGCAGCGGTATGTGCTAAGAGATAGGTGTTGAGTGTTGAGATGACGCTTCCACTCGTTCTTGGAAGAAAAGGTTGCTGGACAGCCGTATGGGAGGAAAGGACATGGATAAGCTGTTGTTGCTTTGGCGGTATGTTTCTTACTGATTGATGACTCCAGACAGGTATGATGATGGTGTTCTTCTGGCTCTTCTTGTTTGATCTGAGGATGGATGTTGCGTTCTGGAGAGTGGTGGCGAGAAATGACAATGGCAGCTGTCGTTGAGGAAGGGGCCGGTGACGACTCCAGGATCTGCTCGGATGATGAACGAGGGTACTCTACCGTCGTCCAATCACCAAGACCGGCGAAGCTAAGTGCTTGGGCATCAAGAATGTGAGTGTGAGGATATTGGTCTTGGTAGTACGGTAGACCAGCAGCTTCTCCCTGGGTGTATGTAGAAGCATCGACCTGGAATTGAACCTGGTTGAGGGATGTGAAAGGCTGGAGACTGTAATGAGTACCTTCTTGAGAGGACCAAGTGGGATAGATATTGCGGTAGTGTGTTGGTTTCGGTGATGGCGAATATGCAATACTCGGTGTTGGCGAAGACCATGTGCCGCTGCAGCTATCGCTGATACTCTCTGAAGACGGCCATGGCGGCGAAGGCCGAGGAGACGAGTACGCAGAGTCTTGTATGGAAGGAGTGCTTGAGTATTTGTTGACAACGAATGTAGAGTAGTATGCATCCTCGACCGGGACATCGATGAACTCGGCGTCCATGATGTTGTTCATTGTGTCGGACAATGTGCAGTGACGAGGAGTGACAACGGAAGTAACGATTCTTGTTGACTCTTCAAAGTATGCTTGCGGTGCTTCTTAGAACGAAATCTCCTGCCAACTGGAGTAGTACAAGGATTTGAGGGTCTGAAGTGTTGAGTCGAAAGCTCAATAAAGCAGCTGTTATGGTGTAGTCAATTGTGAAGCAGATCACCAAATAGAGTGTAGATACAAGAGAAGAAGATCGAAAGGAGATATTGACATGACTGGGAGGAGCATATATAGAATGGAGGTGGGTAGGGAAAGAGAAACCGGGGCAGTGAGAACCAATCAAACGGAACCAACCCACCTGCCCTCATTCCTCTGGCCAACAACGAGCTTTTTCGCAACAGAGAACGCCATCCGTTTCGGGGCTCTGGTTGAGTACAGTACCTTTACTGCCAGAAAATATCCGTGGAAACTGCAAATAGTCCACCAAGCAGGGTACCGTCGATCCTGCTGACCGGTCTACACAAAAAAGCCCCGCAGATTAGGAAGAGGGCAGAGTGGCAGGACAGTTGGTCTATCCAATAACCATGCATACACATGGTTATCGCGTATCTCGCTGAGCAAAGTCGAAAGTGCTGTTCCAAGGTATCGGAACGTTGCTGATGGCTTCCTCAGGTTGCAGCATGTGCATGCGCATGCACATCAGGGGGCCGTGCTGTTCTTGCATCGAAGGCTGAGCGAAGGATCACGGCGGTGCAATCGGGAACACCGCCCAATTTGCTCGTCATGGGTTCCAAGATCCAGGACAGGGTTAACAGGCCCGGAGGACATGGCTCAGAGATGCTGGAAGAGGAACGGTGTTGTTGTGTCGCACTGTGCATGTAATGTACAACTCCGGGGGCGGTGCGCATTGGATGCTTACCACTCCCGCGTCTATAAATTGCATCTCCCTCGAGGTACGTACTCTGGTGACATATTGAGGAGAAAGCATGAGAACAGCACAACTCGCAGTCGAGAAAGACAAGACCGAGTCCTGAGGAAGAGAGACCGGAAGTTGTTGCCGAGGAGGGTCGGCAGAGAGCTCTTCTCTTGGCACATCGGCGACCCTCATTCAAAACCACCAGCGCAAGCCATTTCGGCCCCCATTTCTTCGGTCGCATGACAGTCTTGAACAAGGGTGTCGTCGCAACCACCAAGCAAGGATATTGGCTTCTTTGGCATGAGTAGCTGCTTCCAAATATTAACGTTGGGCAGCAAAGAAGAGTAGAGTAAAATTGCATTGTCTACGCAAAGGCATACGTCCCGCATGCAAGACGCGCAACACAACGCCGCTTCAGTTGAAACCAAGGATGCGGTTCGCGCTTGCCATGACCTGCTTCTCTCCCGGTGTGCGGCCCGCACCTTCGTCGAACCTCTCCAATCCCATGGCGCGAAGTCCATCGACTCCCGAGACCGCGGCAATGTCTTCTTGAAACGCGCGACCGACATGCTGGCCTTCGCCGACGCCGCCAGGGAAGTCTGGTGAAGGAGTGCCTGTTTGTCTTCTGTTAGCATAATTGGCTCTGGTCACGGCTTGAGCTGTATCTTACCTCTCAAGAAGCAATCTCTCTGACGGACCAGGTACTCGGCGTTGCGCTCGGTAAGCGGGCAGGCAGGGATGTAGAGCACGCTTGAGTCGCTCTTGCCGGCGTGTGTTTTATCGACTGCATGGATACCGTCGCAGTGCCATACAACATAGTCGCCGGGTTGTACTTTAGGGATGTGGACCATAGTCTCAGGCAGGTTGAGGTGGGGATGAAGTAGTGCGTTGAGCTCCTGACCACGTCCGAGATTGGCTCCCTGCAACCACGAGCTTGGCTTGTCCTCAAGCTTCCAGTTTTCCGGCGAAAGGTACTCTTCGGTATTTGCTTGCTCAAGTGCTCCGTTGACGGAGACCTGAGTAGATGGGCCGGTTCTTGGAGTGAAAAACGGGCGTAGCAGGAAGTACGCCGTGGCAAGCTGAAGAAGTGGGTTGACAAGCAGAGTGCCTTCGAAAGCACTGGTGTGCGACATGCTCAACCAACCTTGAGCTGCTCTGAAGGCACTGCACGCCCCAGCTCCTTGATACAGATCTGACTCGACTGGCAGACGGCTGCTGGACTCCCAGGGGTCGTACTTCTCCCAGTCACCTTGCCAGATGTCCTTGTACACTTGACCCTTACCGTAGCCGGTCTCTTCCCATCTCTCACAGCTACCTCCGTCGACGTGGGGCTATCATCAGGTCAGCATGATTCCAATATCTTGACTCTGGTGTCTGATAACGTACGCCGAGGGCAAACTTCGCATCTCCAGGCTCACGCATGCGAAGCCTATCGCAGTATGAGATTGGTAGGTCAGAGAACAATGCATTCGGGTCCTTCGAGTGCCAGTAGCTCAGCAAGAACTGTTGTGCTTTGAGAAGATTGGGATGACCTCTTGCCCGAATCTGCGATTTTGACCAGTACAGCTCGTAGACTTGTGATGAGAAGCCTTGAAGAGGTGTCAGCTTGCTTATGTCTGCTGGAATTGACCAATAAAATCACTCACTCTTGGTTTGAGGATTTGCTTTGATGTACTCTTTCAGGTCTTCCTTCATCTGCAGGGCTTCGGCCTCGGGAATGGCTCCTTTGATGACTGCAACACCTCGCTTTCTGTATTCGCTGTTGAAACGTTCGGACGGGTTGTCGATGTCTTCGAAGTCGATTTGAGGCACGATGGATGAGCCCATTCGCTTGATCTCTTTGACCTCATTTTTCAAAGTCGAGAGCAATCTCTCCCAAGATGCTTTGACTGCTTGCTCATTACCTTTGATGAGGTCTTCCTTGACAGTAGCAAATCGAGGCTCCAATGCTTCAAATTGTTGACCAGATAGAGAAGCGAACGAGTCCGCGATGGTTCCCTCGGCCTTGCCGCTTGTAGTCGTTGCAGCTGTACGCAGTTGGTTTGACAATTTCAATAACCGGTGTGGTGCACGGAGGGTTTGAATGGTTCGCAGCATTTTAACCAAGTAATGTGCTTCCTTTCGGTTTTAATGTTTTCCTCGTGCAATGTCGTAAGATGATCTTACGAATATCGAATAAGCAATGGAACGATAAAAGGGCAGTGTAACAGGGTAATGTAACGATGAGGTTGTCAGCCGTGACTAGCGTCAGGTACAGGAAACTGTGCGAATGAAGAGTGTTTGAAGAATGGGAAATGGATGGATGTTCGTTATTCTCAAGCAGCACACGAGCTTATAAAAGCTGTCTGACTTGCCGACGAGGTTGTAGTTATGGTAAGATGGTCATCGCGTCGGCATGTCCCAAAACGTACTCTGCCGACAGGATCGGGCGGCATTCGACCAGATAGGCTCCTCTCCGCCAGCATCGGACCCGCTGCTCCGACAAAGGATTTTGTGCAAAATCAAAGCCTCGGGTAAAGTCCTTATACCGTATTGACGTTCGACGAGTATTCGAGTGTTACTCTGCTTGGTCGACAGGGGGAAAAAAGACGTAGACACGCGAAGATCCAAAAATATACGGCGTATCTTCACGGGACAAAAGCAATGCCGCTTCTGTGGATCGAACACAGTGCCTCCAGAAAACTCTTGCTGGTGCAAGAAGGACAGAAGTTGACTTCAGTCTGGCGCTCTCCCAGATGAGCTAAAGCGGCGTATAGATGTGAGTTTGAAAGATAGCATAATCTATTGCCCTCCATCTCAACTAATGGTGAGCACGCATCGATGTATAACATTCCGTGTGTTTGGAATAACTCGATTGATAATCCAGTTTCAGCCTCGACCAAGGGTAGAGCTCTTGGGGTAGCTCTCACGTCGACCACTTGTTGTCTTCCTCGACCGGTCTAGGCGTGTCTGCTTCCTTTGTGCTTTGTTATGTTTTTCAACCTTGACGCCCGGATAAACTGAAAGCTTGAGAAAGAAGATGAAATGGTGATCAAGCGGTGTCGTAGGGCTAATCGACATTGGTAACCACCTATGAGCATCAAATGAGGGCTCTTTAACCCCAAGAAGACAAGTTGTGTTGGGAGTACGCATGAAAATGCAGTTTTCAGTTTCGAAAATCGCGTCAAGAGCATCACCCTGGCGAAAGCACAGACGTGAGCGAGATGAAGCGAACCTCCCACTGTTGAAAGAGCAGAGCGCCTGCCTGCCTAGCGGTGAAATCGCGAAAGACTTTATTAGCATCTTACCTCATGTTCTCATCTGGGTCTCCACGTCGTCTTCAACATCGCTGAACTGAACGTCGTTGCTGTCGTGATGACTGTGATGAACGGAGCTTGGCACATGGGATCGCCGGCCTATCACCGCTTGAGGAAGGTGACCTTATCGGCAAGTGCAACCCGCCTTCCTCTTTTACAAACAATATGCAAGCAGACGAGGGGAACGTCAAATGACGCGACCGACTGAGATTCAATTGACCATTCGCTCAATCTCTTGACCTCTTCTTCTCATACACATCTTTCGACCATCAGCAGACAGTGACGCGTTACCATGAAGGTTCTACCATTCTTATACGCAATTCCATTGGTATCTGCCATTGGCAGCAGACAGCACAAGCGCGACGTGGAGACCTTGAGTTTGGAGAAGGTATGCTCATCTGGAGGACTTACCTACCAGAATAATCTAGGGGCAGAGGTGGCCATGGTGCTAATGAACCTCTCAGCGTGACATCAACCCTGAGCTCCTGTATCCTGAATACAACATCTCAGTGCCTGTAGACCACTTCCACAACTCTACTCTGTACGAACCTCACAGCAATGCCACTTTCGATTTGAGGTATTGGTTTGATGCTTCGCACTACCAACCAGGAGGTCCCGTCATTGTGCTACAGTCCGGTGAAACCGATGCTTCTGGTCGTCTGCCCTATCTACAGAAGGGTATTCTGGCACAACTGGCCCAAGCAACTCACGGTATTGGTGTTGTGCTCGAACATCGCTACTATGGAACATCATTCCCGACTCCTGATCTGTCCACCAAGAACCTTCGATTCTTGACCACCGAACAAGCACTTGCGGATGAGGCATATTTTGCAAGAAACATTGTCTTCCCTGGACTCGAGCATCTGGATCTGACGAGTAAATCTGCTGCATACCTCGGATATGGCGGATCGTATGCAGGTGCTTTCAACGCCTTCCTCCGTGTCGTCTATCCAGATGTCTTTTGGGGAACAATCTCGAGCTCTGGTGTGACCAAGGCCATCTACAACTATTACGATTATTTCACCCCAATCGCCGAGAACGGACCTCCGAAGTGTATCTCTACTCAAAAGACTCTTATCCACATTGTTGACACCATTCTTTTGAAGAACCAGTCCGAGCTCACACATCAACTCAAGACCGCATTTGGTCTCGGAAACCTTACTTACGACGATGACTTTGCCAGCACTTTGTCTAGCGGCATTGAAGGCTGGCAGAGCCGTAACTGGGATCCCAAGGTCGGTAGTCTCGGCTTCGACAGATACTGCAATAACATTTCATCTGATGCAATGCTTTACCCCGCTGCATCCTCGCTCCGGCCTGTTGTGGAGTCTCTGATCAAGAACACCAACTACACTGTCGAGGAGACCTTGGTCAACCGCATGCTCAACTTCATTGGCTACGTGAACCGTACTTCTGTGGCCTCTTGCTCTGGTGGGAGCACACAGGACGAGTGTTTCAGTAACCACAACTCATCCACTTACCAGCAGGACGACTTGGCTTCATACACCTGGCGCTCATGGGCTTACCAATATTGCTCCGAATGGGGATACCTCCAGACTGGATATGCACCTCCAGGCCAATTGCCCATCGTCTCGTCTCTCCTTGACTTAGAATACGAAAGTATTGTGTGCGTTGATGCCTTCAACATCACGACTCCGGCGAACGTTGATGCGGTGAACAAGTACGGTGGCTACGACATCAGTTACCCACGTCTTGCTTTTGTCGATGGATCTGCCGACCCCTGGCGTCCAGCTACTCCTCACGCATACGCCCAGGGTGCCAAGGAGCGCAACTCTACTTCCAGTGAGCCCTTCATCTTGATTGACGGAGCTGTTCACCACTGGGACGAGAATGGCTTGTTCCCCAACGAGACTACGGCCTCCCTACCTCCCTTGCCAGTCGCCGACACCCAGAGACAGGAGATACAGTTCGTGCAAGAATGGATGCAAGAGTGGCAGTTGGAGCAGCAGATCAAGGCAGCTTATCGTAAGCCAGCCACCCAGGGGCCCATCTGAGTATGAGGTGAAAGTGCTACATGCCATTGACAGATAATTCTTGTTCTTCAGCGGTGACACCATAACGAGATTTTGTTTCTGCTTTTGATCATACTTGTCTATAAGCCGTGCATATAAAGCTGTCTTGCAATGATTGCTCTAAGACCTCAATGTTCAGTTCGAGCGAGGTAGTCTCTGATGTGAAATTTGAAGGCGCAAGTATCGATATTTCGAGAGAAGATCTATCGGGACATTGGCTTTTGTCGGATGGCGGGTAACAAGCCATCCGCCTATAAATATGCGGACGGAACCGGTCGGCAGCAAACGTATTTCGTAACCCGTATTGTGTATACTGTACCATACTTTATCGACCAAACGTCCTGCTCGGTGTGACTGATGATATTCCCATCTTTTTACTGCTTGCGATGATGATGGAGAGTCATAAGGAAAGACCGAGGAGCCTCGGGAGGAAGCAGGGAATGACGTCGATGCTTGGATGCACGGTGGTTTGGGGGAGATCAATTTAAAAACAATCGCGATCGTGGGGCGAACAACAAGCAGCAGCAGAGTCAGTGTTGTCGATTGATGTGGCCACGAGGCCGGCCATCACTTTGCAAAGCAGGATTGCAATCAACGTGGCAAGTTACTGCAGGTTGAGCGAATGAAAATATAGGAAACGGAAATTACAAAAGGGTCGCCCAGAGTGTTTAGCAGTCGTTTTGGACCATGGACAAGAAGGGAAATGGCATGCGGAGAGGAGGCTGGAAATTGGAATCGATGGTTTCGTGGGTAGCCGCGTTAGAGCCGCGAAACTCCGGCTTTTGGCGCAGGACGAGCAGACAAGACAGCTTGTAGCTGCCACGAGCCAGCAGGAATGGCGGTGTCAATAGATAAGAATGACGGAGGGACTACGAATTTACAGGTTCTCACAATAAGATCAGCATCAGCCGGTAATAAGTACGTGTTAAAAGGGAATTGTTATGCAGGTCGAAGCAAATGCTTGTAAAAAGCCTTGAGCAGCAGGCTTGGGAGACGAAAGCTTGGCATACGTATGTTGATTAATGGGTGAGCGTGGGGGAAAGACGGTAATCTCTTCGCTGAACCCTCGACAGAGGCTCTTCTATTCATTCTGCATCTCCTTCTTTGGCTCCTGCAAAACCCTCTTCCCTCTCCCTAGACCCTCTATACCACTACAATCCGGCTGATCCGGCCCCGTGCTTTCAGTCATGAAGAAGGCATTGCACAAGCTCGTGCCCGGCCACCACCGCCGGAGCACCAGCGCCAGCGGCAACCACAGCAACTCGGACAGCGGCACTCCCACATCTGTCAGCAGAGCCAGCACAGATATCCCCGACAGATCTCGCCAGTCGTTGGACTCGTCTGCTCGTCCCGGCTCAAAGGCTCGCTTTGCCTCACCACGCAACTCGACCTCTATCGACACACGAAAATCCCTCGATGTCAGCCGCGCCTCAACTGACATGAGCCACCGCCGCCAGTCCCGCTCTACCTCGCATCACAGAGCTACACACAGCCCATTGGGCGCTTTCAGACACAAGCTTCGCCGTGGCTCTTCTTCGTCTTCATCCGACGATGGACGTCCCCTTAATGCCCTTGGCGAGCCCATGTCCAAGGCACAGCTCCGCAAGCGTACAAAGCTGCAACAGAAGGAGGAGAGACACAGAAAGGCCGAAGAGCATGCTGCAGCAGACCGCCAGCTGCAACAACAGACACAGGCACGTGCTGAGGCAGAAGAGACTGGTGACATGAAGAGCAAGTACGGTATCCTGCCCCTCAACTACTACGCCCCCCAGCAACCGCCAAACGAGAAGAGAGTCAACCTGCTCGAGCTGTCTGAGAGGGACGTCGGCTCGTGGGTTACTTTCCGCGCTCGTGTCCACATGATCCGCCAGATGAGTTCTCGCCGCGTCTTCATCCAGCTTCGCCAACAGACTGCCTCGATCCAGGGTGTCTTGCACGAGCACGCTGGTGTCTCGCTAGGCATGGTGTACTGGACCAAGCATCTCAAGCTCGAGTCGGTCGTTCGCGTTCGTGCCGTGGTCCAGGAGCCCAAGGCCAAGCAAGGCAAAATCACTGGCTGTTCCATCGAGAACCTCGAAGTCTCCATCCACGAGTTGCACGTCGAGGGTTCTAGAACCATGCCTCTTCCCTTCAACGTCGCCGAAGCCGAGGTCACTCGTGAAGAAGCTGAGCTGACCAAGAACGCCCGTCACCACATTTCCGACCGAACTCGTCTCGCCAACCGTATCGTTGATCTTCGTTCCAACACCTCCCAGAGCATTTTCCGCGTTCAATCCGGTGTCTCGTCCTTCTTCCGCGAGTACCTGCGTGGCCAAGGCTTTATTGAGATCCACACCCCCAAGCTACAAGGCGGTGCTACCGAATCCGGTGCCAGTGTCTTCAAGGTCGATTACTTCGGCAGACCTGCTTTCCTGGCTCAGTCACCTCAACTGGCCAAGCAGATGTGTATCTCGGCAGACTTTGGCAAGGTCTTCGAAATCGGTGCTGTCTTCCGTGCCGAGAACAGTAACACACATAGACATATGACCGAGTACACCGGTCTGGATCTGGAGATGGCCATCGACGAGCACTATCACGAAGTCCTCCGCACCCTTGACGGTCTCTTCAAATTCATGTTCAAGAAGGTCTACGAAAACTACCGTCACGAGATTGACACGTTGAAGAAGCACTTCCCTCACGAGGATCTTGTCTGGCTCGACAAGACGCCCATCATCCCCTTCTCCGAGGGCATTCGTCTGCTGAACGACTCTGGCTGGAGAGACGAACACGGCAACCCTCTTCCCGAAGACGAGGATCTGGGTACTCGTGACGAGATCCAACTCGGCAAGGTCATCAAGCAAGTATACGGTACGGATTACTACGTCCTCGACAAGTTCCCTGCTACCGCCAGACCCTTCTACGCCATGCCCGACCCCGAAAACTCAAAGGTCACAAACTCGTTCGATATCTTCCTCCGTGGTCAAGAAATTCTCTCTGGTGGTCAGCGTATCCACGACGAGAGGATGCTGATCAAGCAGATGGAGCGCCTGAAGATGGACCCAAGCACTTTGGACGAGTACATGCAAGGCTTCGCCTGGGGAGCTCCTCCTCATGGTGGCGGTGGTATTGGCTTGGAGCGTATGCTGATGTTGTTGCTGTCTCTCGGCGACATTCGTCACGCTACTCTCTTCCCCCGCGACCCCAAGTCCTTCCCCACCAAGCCCGTCGTCAAGCAGCTCAGACATCCCGAGGCCAGCACATTGCACCCTCCATGGGAGGGTCAAGATCGCCACGCCGCAGGCATGGAGCTTCCGCCCGTCGAGCAGCTCATCGCCAACTACGGAGATGCCTCCAACACCTCGTGGCTCGAGCCCCGTACCGAGATCTGGAGAGACGACGTCACCGGTGCTGCCGTCGGGTTCGTGCCCCACCAAGGATACGCCATCACTGTCGGTGACCCGCTTTGTCACAAGAGCCAATACGCCCGTACTATCCAAGGATACCTTCACTACATCAAGAAAGAGCGTGGAATCAAGCCATTGTGGCTCCTTTGTGGCGGCGATGTCGAAGAAGTCCTTTCTTCCCACAAGTTCGACTGGCGCACATTCTCTGTCGCTGCTGAGCAACGTTTAGATCCTGGCAACAACCCCGCTGTTCACGATCACGACATCCAGCGCAAGATCCGCCACGCCAGTAAGGAGGGTGTCAAGGTACACGACTACCCTCTCGGCACACCGGTGCCTGCCGAGATCAAGAAGAAGATTGATGGTCGCATCAAGGATTGGCTGGCCAACCGTAAGGGCAAGCAGGTTCATCTCACAGATATTCACCCTTGGCAGGACGAGGCCCATCGTCAGTACCACTACACCACCGACAAGGATGGTCAAATTTCTGGCTTCGTCATCATGGCTCAGCTGTCGCCCGATCACGGATGGCAAGTCAAGTTCTCGCTTGATTTCCCTGGCGCACCCTCAGGTGCTATCGAGTTGCTCGTTATGCACGCGCTCTCGCAGGTCGCCGCTGGCGGTGCCCAATCAGTTACCTTCGGTGGTGGTGCCAGCTCAAAGCTGACGCCTGGTCACAATCTGAAGGGTACTCGTATCAAGGTCCTTAGCAAGGCCTACCACGCTATCGCAACCGAACTCAAGCTCACAGCCAAGTCTGAGTTCAGAGAGAAGCTTGGTGCCCAAGACGACCCCATCTACGTGTGCTACCCACCACACGGTCTTGGACCCGGAGGTGTCAAGGCAATCTTGACTTTCTTCGAGGACACCGATGACGGCAACAATTAGAGACAAGGGAGTTGAACATACCCACTGCTCTTTCTTTGAACATTTGTACGATGGATGGACAATATATGGACATGACACGGCAGCAACAGCAGCGATACCACCTTTTCTTCTTGTTTTTCCTTTTACGTCTCGAACGCTCTATGTGTTTTTGTTGTCACCGTTACGAATTGATAGATGCATCGTACACTAATTAATGCTTTTTATGTATCCTTTCAGGCTTCCTCACTCAATTGTTTCTTCTAGTATTGTGTCTTGACTATATATTGCGTTTTGATCATGCTTGAAGACCAGAGATGTGAAATGGTCTTAGGGGAGAGACGGAGGGCAGGCCAAAATATATGTAAGTTTGCTACCACAATGAAACGAAAAGCCTCCCATCCTGTTGTCTTCAGTGACAGCGCTGACCATGCAAGAGAAACAGGATGTTCGGAGTAGTACTGCACTACTCACATACCGCTAACCTGCAACCCGACTGTCGCTTTTAGAACATGAACAATTCTAGGATTGCTGATTCGCATTGAGGAGCATCCCATTGTCTCATGTTCCAGACATTATCGTCTGCGAAAGTTGTCCAAGTTTCTGAGACATCAGTAGACCCTGACTGCTTGATGCTGGGCATTCGTCGAAAGTCTGACGTAAGTATCCTGCTGTTCAGCAGGAACGATACTCGCTGCTTCCTACAGGGGATCGAGACGCGAAGCCTCGAACATCTTCTTGGGCTGTCGTCCTCTCTCCATCAACATTACCATTCTATCCACCCCCATTATATCAAGCAGCATTTCATCCATACTTCTATTCGTCTGATCCCCCCTTTATCTTTCAAACCTCCACCCCTTAGCCGCCAAGATGGTTTGTCCAGGACTGGGAGTCACTCGCGCGTCGTTGGCTGTCATCCTCGTCCCGAGTCTCGTTGTTCCCATCGTCGTAGCCAACTTGATCGGTCTTGGAATCTGGAGAGTTCACAAACGTCACAAGCGTCAGCGCGCAGCAGCAAGAGAGATTGCAGCAGAGCCAGCAGCCGGTGGACTGATAGCTGGTGCTGGTGGAGCAGCCACCGGAGAAGCAGTCATCACAGCAATATCGCCATCTGGAGACAGCACGTCGACAGTTGTCTCGGCCGGGCAATCGGCAGCTGTGCCTGCAAACCCATCTGTCACGATCGTTGGCTCAACCAGAGCCGGCACCAAGACAGCGTTGAAGAAAATCCGCAAGTCGGACGGCAGCGACATGATGACGTCTGAAATCACTGGCCAACACATTACCATCAATGGGGCTGATCCAGAGTTCACTTACGTGGTGATTGTTTATGAAGAGCCGGCGCGTCTTTAGACGTTCAAGGGTGCGTTTGTCACATGCTTTTCCTTTCACTGATTCACTCTTGCATCTCGTCCATCCCACCTTCCTTCCCTTCCATACTTTGGATCAAACAATCATGTCAAACTTCAGTTGGCGCCCGCCCTCTGTTCCGTTCGAGGCGCAGACACGCGATGGCTCGCCTTTCACCGTGTGGCATGTCTGCATCATCTGCCAACAACCAAGATCTGCTCGTTATCATTCCGAGCATCCCATTGACGCCAACTTCGCAGCCTCACCACCTCAATCCATTTGTCGTCGCTGCGCATCCAAGTCAGTGTCATTGCACATACACTCTGCGCCATATGTTCTGACGACAAACACAGATCTTCTTCGTTGCCATTGCAATTGACCCTGCCTTCGCCCATTCCTGCGCCTTCGGTTTCAGTCCTCTCAGTTCCTGTACAACCCGTCTCAGCACCATCCAGCCCAACACCTGAACCTACTCCGCGCATCATCCCTTTCCGTCACGTCAAGCCTTTTGCCCCGGAGCTGCAGCACGTTGATCTTCCGCCTCCACCTACTTCGACTACTTCGACTGTTGAACCTAAGATTGCATCTATTCCCACCATCGAAATCATGCCTCCTCGTGGTCCATCCTACGAAGAGTACCTCTTTATCAAGAGGGAGAACGACCGCAGATGGTCGCAATCTTCCACCAGAGACTATCCTGCGCCTCTGAGAGACTACCACTCTGCCTCTCCCAATGACCATCAATCGTCCGTCAGAGACTACACTGCGTCTGCCAGAGAATACCTTCCGCCCACGACAGACTACCCTGCACCTTTCAGAGATTATCCTCCGCCCGTCAGAGATCGTCCCGCCCCTACAAGAGAGTACCAAGCACCAGCCAGAGACTATCCACTTCCAGCCAGAGACCGTCCTGCACCTCTCACCAATGTCAAACCTGCTAAACGCCGCGTCTCTTTCTCTCGTGATGACGAAGTGGCCACTCTTCCACCATCCTTGTCTTCCGACCAAGACGACCAATCCATGCAAGGTCTCTCTCGTATGCGTCTCAAGCCTCCCAACCTTTCCGGAATGTACAGACCTCAAGACGACTACGAATACGAGAAGCAGCGTACACGCACCTACATCGACCCCACCGACAAACCTTACGTCCCCGAACCCAAGTGGGCTCCCCTCAGCGAATCACCTGCACGCGAACTTCCGCTTGTTGAAGAGTCCCACGCCCATGGTCCTTACAGAGCTGAGAACTCCCCTACCCCTAGCATGGAAGTTCACGTTGACAATTACGACTTTGTTGTTGACAAGGAGTACGCAATGCGCAAACCTGCACCTCCTGGTCGTCACGATGTACCCCCTCCTCGTCATGAAGCACCGCCCACTCGCCAGAAGGCACCCGATCCAGCCAAACAAAATGACCGCGAATGGACCAGATATGTGACAGTCAAGGAGTACAGAGATGAGAAGGGCCCTTACGTTGAAGTCGAGGAGAAGTATGTTTTTGATGACGAGCGTTGATTTTCTTGATTTTGCACCGCACCCCAATTCCACTCTTCCACTTTGCCCAACGTTTGCTTAAGTTTAGTTTATGAATCGAAAGTCTTGCTTCTCCCCATTCTTGAATGTTCCTCGTGCCATGTTTCAGTGATATATGTCTTGATGGAAGGAGTGACGTCCATGCAGACTGAACATGTCTCGCAGGTGAACTTATCAAACAGGAATCCATGAGAAAACCCACACAAGAAACTTTCCACCTGTACAAAAGACGCCGCTTCCTTCTTATGACGCAAGTTCTTCGCTTTTTGCCAATATCTTCCACCTCGGAACAAGATACGAAAACACACAAGAAACTTTCCCGACCATACATTGCTATGCAACAAGCCATGTCAAGATGAGGTGGGGAGAGCAAAGTAGATATGAGCCCGAAACTATCACAAGCAGATGCAGTAGAACGCAGCCAACAAAATGGCAAAGGTGATGCATCAAATTCTTCACGTCCCCATCATTTCGGTCTGTCATAGGAAGAACGGTGGAATATCTGCTTGCGAATTGGTTTCTGATCTTTTTGCCAAAGCGACGTGATCTTGATAGACAACAAAGTGGGGTTGTGCTGTCGAAATATATAGGTATGGTGCTGTGGTGTCCTAGGAGGAGAATAATATCTTCAGGAGCCTTTTGATACCATGCTCAAGATTTGAATTAGGGAAATTCGAAGACCGGTGTATTCGTGTTGGATGGGGATTGATACATGTCATACAACTTTGAGAGGAATTGACTTCGTATATGAGTAGTAGATGTAAGTCATGATTACCGAGTAGTCGTGACTTTGATTTAGGTGGAGAGTAGCATATAGATATCGCAGAAAACATCGCTGTTGGGAGGTAACAAGTGCGGTCGTCGTGGAAAGAGAATTAACGAAACCTGGTATTGGCCTCTTGTGGTTTTATCATCAACATGAAGCTTTCACAGCGGTCACATCCATCGAACCCCTGAGATCAAGCTATATCAGCGAGAAAAAATGGTCCGGCCGGAAGCGCGTACCCACTTGTCATGAGTTGGGAGATCCGGTTCGGTGTACCGCGGTACAAATATGGTATTCCGAACGCTTGGTCGATGCTTGCTAGGTGGCCAGTTCGGCGGAGTAAGGTCCTTGCTATGTATAGCTCATGTGGGCGGGATACAGTTTGCAGACAGGAGCTGAGGATCTGCAAGATGCGGAAGGCTTGCGGGACGGACCGCGGAGTCGCCCCGTGGACCTCGTCTGCACGGCGACAGCAAGGTGTTTGGCGATGTTAGGCGATCGATGTTTAGAAGTCGGAAGGTAGTATCGACGACGGTCCGGTGACTATTCTCAAAAACAGGGTTGGAAAAGGAACTGGAAATATGAGAGGATGAGATATATGAAAAATATGAAAAATTGAGATTATAACACCAAACTCTTCTATAAATCGCACCTGGGTATATGAATAGAAAGAACGAGATAAAGAGGACGGTAGAAAGAAGAACACCACGCCGAAACAAAAACAACCACCATCTAAGTTTAGGCTCCACGCTGAATTTTGAAGAAAAAGGGAAATCTAAGCAGGGAATAGGAAGCAAGGAAATAAGAAAAGGAAAAGTCTCCACGCAAGATGTCGAGATCGAGCGATCAACACTCGAGAGGCAGCTTCTCGATGATGGCGACGGAAGAAGACTTGAGGAAGTAAGGTGCGAGCATCTCGTTTGATGCCCAGCCATTCTTCAGTGTCGACAAGGCCTCTTCTCTGGCGGTGTCAACACCCTTAAGAGTGCTGCTACGGAAGCCGCCAGCTCTGTACAAGGCCTTGTAAAGTGCAGTACCGAAAAGACGTCCGGGCACACCGGATGCGAGTTCGGAAACGATGCCAAGGATGAAGAGCCATAGGGCTCCAAGAGGGTTCTTCGAGATCAACTTGTAGCCGTCGTCGCCCCAGGTCTCGCCGAAAGAATCGGTCTCGCTGTCGTAAACTGGAGGCAAGGGCTCGGCGGCATGGACGGCAGTGCGCACTACCACGACCCAGAAAAGAGTTATCTTGCAAATGTCGATCGCGGCTACCGGCGAGTAACCATCCAAGGCCCACATGCCGAGAAGCGAGTAAGCAGCGTTGAAGATCGTGGTACCAAAGGCGAGTCTAAGGTCTCCGAATGAAAAGGCCTGCATGCCTAGGGCAATGTTGGTCAATGCCAGACCAGAGACACCGAATGTTATTCTGATGATGTATAGCCAGAGAAGCTGTTCACAGAACAGACACACCATGTGACCATATCTGTTGAGCTTGTTGGTGTGCCAGAGCTCGAAGACCACCAGTTGGAAGTCAAACGAGGACTTGCCAAGGTTGTTCTTCAAGTGGAAGGTGTAAGGGAATGATTGGTTGACAGCGATCCACTTCGTCTCCAGATAGCAAAGGATGAAGAAGCAGATCAAAATAGCAAAGAGAGCGTCGATCGCTAAGGAGTGTAGTGCGACCCAGTCAAGTGTCGATCCGGCAAGAACAGCAGCAAGGGTAGGTGATGTGAAGTAGACTACCGCAGAGCCCACTGCAGTGCCCAGGAGAGATGTAAGGAGGATAGGCATCTTTGCAGGAAGAACGAGTGGTGCTCAAACTCAAAAGTGATGATCTCTGTGATTGCTCTCCTGAGCACCAACCTCCCGGACAAGCTCATTATATACTGACCATGGCGACGACACCCTCCGGGAGTTCTCCTAGGTTCATGGCGAAGACCACAACCGAGCCAGATAGTGTACCGTCATTGCAGCATCGAGGGCGCGATAGAGCCGGACGATGCGGCAACCTAGATCTTCTTTGCATAGGGCAGTCTCTGCGGTGGCGCAGGGGTGATGGTATACCGAGAAGTTTTGATGAGATGGTGTACGAATAGCACTTGGCCAGGGCGTGACATGCATGAGTAGCTCCTTTGCTTGCATGAAAGGCGTGAAGTTTCAAGGTGAGGTTGCAGCCGTTTGGTTCGGGTTGCGGCTTAGCGTTCCCCCTCGTACGTAGTTGCTATGTTCCGGACCAATGAACAATTTGCTTCATCACCACATTTTGTTATGCTCCGAGGAATTTCCAGCGATCATACCGCATGACCAAGCGTTTGAAGGTTTCCGAGTATCCATACGATGATAAGATAGATGGATCAGGGCCAGAGATTGCTTGAAAGCATGTTCGATTGCGAGGAAAGTGTTGCCTGAGGACTCGTATATCCTGTGATAACGTCATCGTGCCTCTATCTCAAGATCCACCGGACGTGAAATCTTGGTCGCGTCGCGCGTCTTTGATGGCACCTACCAAGGAATACTTACGACCGAGGCCCAATGACTCAAGAGTCAGGAGGGAAGATGTGGATACAAGCTTATCCAGCCATGGGTGGGATACAACACCGGCCTTCACTAAGAGTCCGGATAGTTCTGGGGCGGTCCTGCACTCCCGGAGCCTTGAATCCACGAGCCTGGGAGAGCGGCCGGTTGCGAGAGAGGCTTGCAATCAACCGTCTGCAGGGACAGAGCACCGTGCGCTAGGCGCCATCGGGTGCTGGGTATTCATCAGGCTTGTGTCTGTCGTTCGTCTCAAGAGACAAGCGAGGATGAAGGAAAGACGGAGGCTTTTCGCAGAGAGGAACAAGCGACATGTCAAGGCTTGCTTATGCCAGCAGCAACTGAGACTTCAACAGGAATTTCTCTCAGTCCATTGTCACAGAGTGATTCACAATATTTGCGACGGGTTCGTTAGGTGTAAACGTTTGCCTCAGGAGCTTGGGCCTAGAAGCCACAATCGTGTAGCGACGCCTTCTTGGGAGGTCGGCTTGCTCAGGGAAACTGCTGCTCCTAAACGAACATCACGTTCTGGGTCCTCCTCGTGGAAAATCAGCAGGAGCCGACCGCGTGTGGCCGTTGAGAATGAAATCACAATGCCGGCCGAGACGCATCACCGGTCTTCCAATCTGGCGGATATCATCATGCATGCCTCTCACAAGACAGTCTCATTTTCCACGAGGACGAGCGATGACTCCAGCGGCGCTCTACGTTGTCGATAAAGATGCCATCAGTGATCATCAAAGAATATGCCTTGATTGACATGAGAAGACGTTGTCGATACGGACGTACTCTGGGCGCGCACGGACTACCCGGATCGGCTCCTGCCGCTTCTGTTGACATGAAGTCGCATCTGGAAGAGCGTGACTTGGCATTGAACTTCTTCGACCTGCCTGCACTTCGAGATTCAAGACATCGCATTGCCGTTGCACTCGAATTTTCTAGTCGACGCCTGAAGGATTTCTCCATCACTGGGAGACTACTCATGGCACAACGCCGCCGTATGCTATGCTTAACCAATCTGCTGGCAGTCTTCAGACTGCAAGTATACACGAGAAATGTGTTCACACTCTCTCAAGCCTCTTTCAAGCCTGAGGCCTCACACGAAGGCACTATTGTTTGAGATGACGGCAGTACGTGTCCTGCGAGACATTGATAAAGCAAGACCCACTGGTAGACACATTTGCACGGGGATGCCGTGCCCGTTTCCGCAAGCGACGAACTTGACAGAGGCTTCCTCCCACCACGAGTCCATTTACCTTTGGTGAGGGCGATCTATTTCTGCGCCTCGAGTATCGCATCTGCTAGTTCTTGTGGCCGTTTGATCTTGCCCTGGGCGCTTCATCACCGGACACGCAAAAGACGGCATCCCGCTCAATACAACCGTTGGACAGTTCGAAATGCCGAGCAAATCAACGTGATGGCGGCCCTGACGGGCAGCCTACAGGTTGCAACAGGCGTTCTGACCGAGACAGAACTGGCCCGAAGAGTCGTTATATCGCTGCAGAGCTGAGTGATGTGTCTGCTAAAAGAGGCATCGCAGCGACAATCCACGTTATAGCTACGCACTTTATCCTGGAGCCACGCTTCTAATACTGAGACAGCTGGAGGGATTCGATACACCTTAAACGTCAAGATCATTCAAGTATAATAAACTCCCTGCCTGCATTCCTCGTGCAGTAGCTTCCTCCTAGGTTTACGACGCGCGACGCGACTTTCGACACTACCTTCCGGCTACACCACCACCACCCAGCCTCCTTTGCAGTGCACAGACGCATCACATCGCTGGATATTCGACTTTACGGCCGTGTACCTGGTGGATCGGGTGCCTTCATCCTGTCATGGAGTCTGGCGGCCTATCAGATCGAGCCAAGGGCTACATTTACGGCAATGATCTCTTGATGGGCTTTGCGTTTGTGGTTGTCGCGACTCGCTTCTATTGCCGGATGCGAATGGGATCCAAGCGAGGCCTCTGGTGGGATGACTTGTTCATAATGCTTTCATTCGTACGTGGGTCATGCTCAATGCGTGAGACATGTTCATCTTTGGCTTACCAAGCTGGATAGATTTTCGCCGTGGGATTTGGAGCTACAGTCAACGTAGCGATGGGACACTATGGATGGGATCGACACATCTGGACTATTCCCGCCGCAGTACTATCGACGTCCGTCAAAGCATACACGGCCACTAAAATCCTGTTTGTCCTCAGCGGCACATGTGTGCGGATGGCATTGTTGCTGTTCTATCTATGGCTGATCAAAGATCTTGCCGAGAGAAGGCTCAGACAAATCATCTATGTAGTGATGGCGCTGAACTTCGCGCTATGCTTGGCAGGTGTGCTCGTCTCTATATTCCAATGCTGGTAAGTCAAGTCAGAGCTCATGTTACTTTCACAACCCTGACAGCTCTCAGGCCCATTCGTGCAGCTTGGACATGGGAGATCAAAGATGATGCCCGTTGCTTGAACGAGGGTGTCTCGATCACTACCATTGGCGCCTTGCTATCGGTCCTTGACTTCATTGTCAACATTCTTCCACTTCCAATTGTGGCTCGTTTGAATGTTGCTTTCAAGCAAAGAATCGCTGCCACTGTACTCCTTTCTCTGGGTACCATCGCAACCGCTGCTGGTGTCGTTCGAGAGGTTTATGTTTACCGAGCATTCATCGGTACCAAAGACTCGACCTGGGGTGCATTGCCTTTGTGGATCTGTGCGGACGTCGAAATCTACGTTGGTCTGGTATGTTCAACAACCCCTGACTACCCTTCAAAACCTACCAATACTGACATCGAACCAATAGCTTTGTGCTTGTGTTCCCTCCCTTCGTCCCCTGTGGCCTAAAGTGAGATCTTGGTTCTCATCCTGCAAGGCCTGTGTCCACTCCAACGACTCTTCACGCCACTCCGCTGGCGACCTTCACGTTCCAGCAACAATGTCATGGCACGACTTTGACAAGGATGTCATCTTCGATGGCACCTCATCATTCCACTCGGCCTCCCACCTCTGGGGCAGCAGGAAGAAATCATACACCACAACCATCGCTACACGCCTGGAAAAGCCAGTCTCTCAATCCGACTCTTTCTGCTTGACGAGCAACAACCGCGAGTGGGAAGAAGTCGCATTGAGGGACTTGGAAGCGAATTACCCAAAAGAAGTGCACGTAAGGACATCTGTGAGGTTACAGAACCACACGATATAGTCTTACCTTTTTGCATTCATTTTTAATCAGCGAGCGATCTATTCTTTTCTACTTCTTTTCTTGTTTCTCTGATACCCCCCATACTACGATCATAGACCTTTTTTATTCGGCCCTTGTTAGGCTCAATTGTATATACTAGGGCTGTATAGCCACACTCTCAAATCATGCCTGTCTTCAAGGCTTGTTTGTACATATCATGGCTTTACAGCCACAATCCTCAAAATCCACGCCTCTTCCTGGGCTCTCAGTTGCACATACATAACCACAACTTACATTTCCATTCTACCCTTCCAGTTTTTTTTTTTCCTGCGAACCTCACCGCACGCAACACGCGGCCTCCAAGATCCAGCCATTCTCACTCGGGATGTCTGACTCAAACCCTCCTCTCTACTTCAAAAACCTTGTATAACACACCAAAACAACCAAATGACCACCAAGTGACCACCTCTGCACAAGACAAAGCCCAGAACACCCTCAGTACGCAGCACTCTCAAGCCAAAAACGACGTGGCGAAGGAACCTAGATTGTCCGCGAGGCGTAAAAGGAGGGCGTACAAAAAAACATATCCTCATCGTACGATGGATGATTGACGGATTAAGCCCAAAACAGCCCCAAACAGCCCCCAAAAAACGGTTTCTTTCCAACTCTCGCTTGTAGCGAAGATTGTAGATTTTGCGGAGGGATTTAAGGAGGAAGGGATCTCGACTCTTGAAATAGAATTATAGGGTAACTTGTTATGGTGTGATTTTCTTGTTCTAGCTACCTTCTTGATGGAGTGTGATAGGGAGGCGTAGGTGAAGAGGATGGTATTTGCATATCGGTGCTGATTTAGTCAGAGGTGGCCGGGTCTAGAACTTATCGTGGCTAGATGTGAGGGACCTCAGTATGGAAAGCATACTATACTGCCTCTGCTACGCCAGAGGAAGAGGTAAGATTCACTACTTTCTTAATCCAAGCATTTCAGGTCAAATGTAGTTTGATAGGTCATCAAAAACGGCACAGCCATCTAGACATCAGAATCTTTCCAATGAGAAGGCGCGGTAGGTCAAGTTCTAGGCTCTCTCTGTTGCCCAGCCTGGATTTCTTGATAATGGTCGTTGATCTTGTAAAGGCTAGAACATCTATATTCGAATGTAGGGGGATTTGTTTGAATAGTATAAACCTCGACTCTCACATTTCTTGCAAGTGAAATAGAATAGAATACACAAAACTATCCATGTTGAGTTTGTACGATATACTTTACTCGGTTATTCCTATCTCCTTGTACTTGTCGTGAACTATACAGCCATTACGCACAGCGGAAACAGCAATCCTCGATGTCGACAATGCGTTATAAGAGTTGGGCTGATATAGTCAGAAACAGCATTCTTGTTCTCGAGTTGCACCCTTCTCGAGCCACAAGATACAGCACAAGTACCCTGATTTTTCGGGCTGCCTTGTAGTTCTACAGATATGGAAGTTCGCCGATGTCGATGTTGATGTTGATTTGCATGACGAAAGCCGGGCTGCTATACGTTGATCATACCTTAGATCTTAACTCGCTATTGTGTATGTGTATGAAACACATCTCAATATCCAACTTCTACCCTACGGCTCCGTAGAAGTATGAAGATACATGTCACCAAATCCGGCACTCGCTCGGCTCCGGCTATATGCTGCGACACAACCATGGCAGTGAAACGAAAGACAAGCTACTTTCGTATGACGATTTTAGTAGATGCACTATCCTTTATTTACCAAAAAGAAGAAAGTTCTAGTCGAGTCGAGTCAGACTTAGACACTCAAAGGGTAGCGAATAGATGTATGTGTCAACGATGGACTTTCATTGCTTATGCCCATGACAGCTCTCCAATTGAAGTGATAACCGAAGGCGTGAAATTTGCAGCTACGGGATTGGTACAAGGTGTTTTGGAGATCAAAGTTATTACCAAAGAGAGAAATATGGACGGCTATTCTCATGGACATATCCACTAGATCTCGAAAATAACTTGCATTTCAACAGCCCTTATTCGCAGACCAGCCTGTCAGTCGAGGATCTAGCTTTAGCACACCACTTACTTGTAAGCAGGAACCAAGCTGTAAGCAGAGGTGAGCTTGGCGTTAGAACCAGTAAAAGGCTCAGTACCAGCACCAACAGAAATAAGGTACTGGCTATCCTTGAATCCCTGACTCTTGATCAAGTATGCAAAGAAATCCATCAAATCGCCATTGAAGCTGCTGACATTGCTGCCGTTGGGGGTGAAGGAGTAAACCTCATTGACACCGTTGTTGCCATACCACAGCTTCCAAGAGTGGCCGGCGACGGTGACGGTGGCGATAGGGGAGCCGGTGGCGGAGATGGGGCCGGCGCCGCCGAGTGCGGCCAGCCAGACCATGATTTCGTATTCGTTTTTGCCGCCTGCGGTCGAGGAGGTGAAGATGTCGTACGCGACGTCGGCGACGACGTTGCTGCCGGTTTGGACCCACTTCCAGCTGGTAGCGAGGGACTTGATCTTGCTGATCTGGACGGCATTTGTCTTGGTGACGACGTTGGCGTAGGACTTGACTTGGCTTGAACCGCCGGCCCATGACCAGGTGCTGGAAAGTATGTCAGTGGGATTGTTCTGCTTGCTGTTGGGAGCAGAATCGTCGACTTACGTCCACCAGTTGAGAGTAGTGCCGCTGAGGGAGTTGATGTCGGAGCACTGGGAGCCAGTGTAGCCGGAGATGCCCCAGAGGTCCTGGTACAGGGTGTAGGCGCCAGTGACCTTGCTGTCCCACTGACCGCACTGTTGGGCGCGCTTCTCAATGGTGGCAGTAGGGGCAGCCGAAGCAACGCCCAGCATGACGGCAGCAGCAGTAAGGAACTTCATATTGTCGGAGGATGTAAAGATTGGGTGTGAAGGAGAGTTGGCTTGAAGTTGAAAGAGAGTATGTTATGCAAAGACAGCACCAGTCTGACTTTGGTTCGGAATAGCGAAGAAGATGAAGTTTGAAGTTGCAGATGCGAAGAAAAAGAGCCCCTCTCAGTAATACTTGGGCCCTGCTTATATATGAGCAGACTTACCTTGTCACCATGAACGGAGTTGACGGAAGACATGAACCCTGCTAGAAGCGAAAACGTGCTTTCCAGCCGACAGCCTACAGGGCATCGCGTTTCAAGACCACTTCCAGAGCCATACAATAGCAAAGCCCTATCTAGCCCTGCCCGTAAGTGTAGGATAAATTAATAGAGGACGAGGCAAAGTGGTTTCGTCAAAAAAGCTTTCGACCCGTGGCTTGTTTCATCTGCAGGGAGCTAAGCATGGGTTCCCCGCGATTTCTTCCGACGAATGACATCGGCTGTGGCTTGGACAAGCAACGACTTCCAAGCGAAGTGACATGGACTGGAAGATGCGATTTGTGGAAGTTCTTGTGGAAGAAAGGATAGTCATCTGGAAGGAAGATTCGAAGAGGGGTTGTTGAAGATCTTGAACGTTGTAGGTTCGAAGTGTTCGGCGTTCGGGTAAAAGTGATTTGTTAAAGTTTCTGGAAATGATCAACGCTTCAGCTTTGATCTCCCGCGATCTGTTAAAGGTTGTTGTTAAGCGATTATCGTCGTGTTGATTATTTATGGATCATGAAATTGCACTCGGTCGGATCGCAAGGAGTTCATCTTCGTCTGTCACGTCAGCCATGAATTCGATCATGAGTTCCTCCACTGCTTGTGAACCTAGCGAAGATGCTTGTCGATAGGATGTGTTCAGGGGTCTGACAGGTGTTCTAATCCTTGCAGATCTCTCGCGTCTGGCTTTCAAATTCAATGCAACTAGACGAATCCATAGGAATGCTAAAAGCTACGTACTTTGATGATGGCGATGCAATTTTCCGTCCAGACACAGCTCAGTCGAAGGTCGCTTCGTCTAGCCAGTTGACGGTGTCGCTAGCACCTTGACGGGCATCTGACCTTTGGTCTTGCCTAAATCCTCATCGTTGCGGCCGGATCACAAGCTTTCAATACAGCAATCGCGAGGCGAATGTTAGTAGTGAGAGGCGGACTATTTGCCAAGTGATTCCACTGCCCAAGGAGTGCCTTCTCTTGGAAAGTGTGCCTATGATGCGTTGACAGTCTGTCCATGGACCGATGTAGCGTTTGAATTCGGTGGTGCTCAAGCAGTAAAAATCTTGTGTATTTCGCTTTCGATAGAACAAGTGTCTCTTCCTTCGCCCAAGCTCTTTCTGTATAGCGTCCGCGGACGAATGTAATGTGGCCGAATATGCAGTCTATATCGGCCGTTGACGAGAAGTCCGCAGGCGAAACAGTTCCGATGGTAATGGAGGAAGATGCCGCGGAGCCTTCGGAGTGATGTGCTCGTTGTTGAACATTCGAGAGATAGTTAGTTCCTGCATGCAACTCTGCCAGACAGGCTGAATGGTCGTCAGGTCAGCTGCCGCAGTCTTGTCCGGTGGGTGCTGGCGGAGAAGGTGACGGTCGGGCGCGAGTCGATGATTACGGCCGTTGTTCGCCTGCAGCGCAGCATACCGAGGTCATCACGAACTCGCGATATCTGTATTCTCCAAGTACATCATGTGCGCATAATGACACTGCAGTCACACAATGATGCGCAAGTCATTGCTGTCTAATGGGTGAGCTGAGTTCGTCGCAAACCGGCAGCGGAAATGATTCCGTTGAGGGAAGGAATGCTTGGCTTCACTGTGAACGTCAACCCCTGCCGCCTTCCTCTTTTTCTTTTATAATCATCTGCGGTGTCGTCCGCTGAGGGCGATGTTGTGGATCTACCCTCACCGCACATCCGAGAGTAAGCAAAAGGCATCTTGCATTTTCACGAGTATATTCCAGTAAAAGGGTTGCAGCTAGGAGTCATGGCGCCAACCAGCTCTGTTCTCTAAACTGTCATAATCACACTTCGAATCTTCATCACCATTCTTCCCGCCACCTATGCAATTTGACACCCTACGAATTCCCTCATTGTCCCCTTTGTTTCGAAACCTTTAAATCAACCTTCATGATATCCCTCTTATACTCCCTCGCGACCTTCGAGCCACTTCTAGCTTTCTGCTCTACGACTCTCCTTGCAGATCTAGCTAGCCGTCATGAGCCTTGTGAAGCGATATACGCCTGGACACGCTCGAGTGTTGGGGGTAGCCATTCCGAACCATTAGACATACAAATCATATTCCTGTGACTTCGCGTACGATGTTTGAGGGCATCTGTTGAGGCTAATGAGAAGCACGAACATGGAAGGAACGAATCACAAATGCACAGAATACACAAGAGGAACAGATAACTTGGGGTCGTGAAAACTTTTTGGATGTTTTGGTTTCTCCATAATTTCAGAAGACGAGAGCTAAGCGTAATATATTGCAGACCAGGCGATAAAGCCGTTCTGCGCGACAGTGCCACATTTCGCCATGAACCATTGTCTTGCCTGAAACATCGAGAGCAGATAGCTGACAACAAGATGCGCCAACAATCTACAGACGACGACCACGGCGACCACCCTTTCTGCGGGTAGAGTCCGAGGGGGTGGGGGTGACGTCCTCGATACGGCCGATCTTCATGCCGGCACGGGCCAGAGCACGGAGAGCAGACTGGGCACCGGGGCCGGGGGTCTTGGTGCCGTTACCTGTGGATATTGGTTAGAGATGTGCGATGTTGAGACGTGAAGGAGAAGGGGAAACATACCACCGGTGGCGCGGATCTTGACGTGGAGGGCAGTGATGCCGAGCTCCTTGCAGCGGGCAGCGACGTCCTGGGCAGCCAACATGGCGGCGTAGGGGGAGGACTCGTCACGGTCGGCCTTGACCTTCATACCACCAGTAACACGGGAGATGGTCTCACGGCCGCTGGAAATCACCCAGAATTAGCCTTGTGTCCTCTCTCATGTCTTGTGTTTATTGCATCTGTTCCCACTTGCGCTACTCGTCCGGGTCTCTTGTGTTCTCTTCCTTTGCTCTTTCAATTCTTTCTTTCTCTTTTCTTGTCCGTATGGTGTCTTGCTCGTCGCATATATCGAGCATCTTCCAACGCGCATCGAGAAAGCCGGAATTGTGTCGCAACAAGAGAGAAGCACCAAGCAGTCCATCGGAGCAAGCGCACCAAGAACAGATGCAATTCAGGGAAAGCACCTACGAAAGATCGGTAACGTGGACGAAGGTGTCGTTGAAGGAAGCGAAGATGCGAGCAACGCCGAAAACGAGCTCACCCTCACGGGTTTGAGGGCCCAACTGGACGTTCTCCTGGACGCGGGCGGGCTTAGCCTTGGGTGCCATTTTTGCTGATGTTAGTTGGTGGTGGTCGAAATGTGTGCACTGAACGAACGAAGAGAGGAAATCTCGAATCGCGCGGCTTGCTTGAGAATTTGGCCGTGGGTCTGCCAAGCAATTTTCCGTGCTGAGACTGCGGCAGTTGCCGGTCAAAGCTCGCAGCCGGCGCAGCTTCCTCTATTTATTTTCTTGCGACGCTGCAGCTTCTGCTTCCTCTCCCATCATTCACCTTCTCGACATTTGCGACAACATCGATTGCATCTCCTGTGCGCGCATCAGAACGGCTTCAAATTCAAGAGCTGGACGGCATCTCGCAGTTGACGCAATTCGACAATCGCAAATATGGGTGAAGCAGTGGTGGGCTTGATTGGCATGGGCGACATGGGCAAGATGTACGCCCGTCGGCTCAGTGAAGCCGGTTGGAGGTATGTTCTTGCGCGCAACAACACCCAGTCCTTGTGACTTTTGACTATGGTACGTTCTCTCTCCTCCTCACTCCCCTCTTCACATCCATCCACCCCGCGTTAAATGATGACTTGAGTGCATTTGGCTCGAGTATGGCTGTTGGACACCCTATCACCGTTCCGGTGGTAGGATCCGGCAGTCGTCGATGATGTAAAATCTCAGCTACCTTATATTTTTTGTCTGAAACGCTTCACACATCCACTGTTCTTCACAAAAGGAATTCTCTCTTTCAAGACCTTGCCGCTGACTTTGGATCAACAGTTATCTCTTTCCGTAATCCGTGACCTTTTCGTCAGAACCAGACTGACGCATACACTCCCGCAGAGTGCACGCCTGTGATCTTCCAGACAAGTATGATCTGTTGGTTGAAGAATTCAAGGACAGCGTACGAAATACCTTCTTGCCTATACTGTATATAGTCCGTGTAATGCACAAACATCTTGCTGAGGCTTTCAGCAGGAAAACGTAACGGTTTTCAAGAACGGCCACCACGTCTCTCGTAGCAGTGACTATATCATCTACTCTGTTGAAGCAAAGAACATTGACGCCGTCGTCGCCGCCTATGGTCCATGTCTGTCCTACCTTTCTCACACCTTCGGGCCCTCTCATCATGTTGCACTCCGACTAACATGTCTGCCTGACAGCAACCAAGATGGGCGCCATCGTCGGCGGCCAGACCTCCTGCAAAGCCCCCGAGATGGCAGCATTTGAAAAGCACCTCCCCACCGACGTCGAAATCGTCTCCTGCCACTCCCTCCACGGCCCTGGCGTAAACCCAAAAGGCCAACCCCTAGTCCTCATCCAACACCGCGCCACCGACGCCAGCTACAATCTCGTCTCCAAAATCCTGTCCTGCTTCGAAAGCAAGCACGTCAAACTCACAGCCGAAGCTCACGACCGCATCACCGCAGATACACAGGCAGTCACCCATGCAGCTTTCCTCTCCATGGGCACGGCTTGGGCGGCCAACAACCAGTTCCCCTGGGAAATGCCTAGATATGTGGGTGGCATTGAGAATGTGAAGATCAACATCACTCTCCGCATCTATGCGAACAAATGGCACGTTTACGCCGGCCTGGCCATCCTGAACCCGGCTGCCAAACGCCAGATCAAGCAATATGCTGAATCCGTCACCGATCTGTTCAAGTTGATGTTGGGAGGTCATAAAGAAGAGTTGCGCCAACGCATCGAATCTGCACGTAAAGCCGTATTTGGAAATATGGACAAGACAAGCAACAATGGGCATGAGTTGCTCTTGCAGGATGATCTGCTTGATCAATTTTCCTTGGGAGAGAAACCTGCTGCCAGCGAGAGGGTGAAGAACAATCATTTGAGTCTACTGGCCATGGTGGATTGTTGGTGGAAGTTGGGAATCGTGCCTTATGATCATATGATTTGCTCCACACCGGTAAGTCCACCAGACAATTAGGTTGAAGGTACTGTCGGAACAGCAGTGTTGATATATGGTGATAACAGCTCTTCCGTCTCTGGCTCGGTATCACCGAATACCTCTTCCGCAACACAGAACTATTGGAGGAAGTCATCGACACCGCCATCAACGACAACACTTTCCGCCGTGACGATCTCGAATTCACATTCGCCGCCAGAGTAAGTATACACCCCCTGTTTTCTTTCTCCATTATTATCTCTCCAGAATCATGCTCATCATCTTTCTTTCACCAGGACTGGTCCGAACGCGTCTCCTTTGGCAACATGGACGGCTACCGCGAAAAGTTCGAAAAGATCCAGAGCTACTTTGCTCCTCGCTTCCCCGAAGCCACTCGTGTGGGTAATGAGATGATCAAGACCATTGAGGAAAGCTTGAGACAGAGGAAGATTGATCCCACAAAGTAAGAGATCCACGAGGAGGAGATGCAGGGCTTTATAGTGGACAGCAGAATGAAGGTTGGAGGGATGGAATATGGATGGTTGGGTGGGTGGAAGTGGGAGTGGGAGATTGAAGATGGCATGGAATGAGATTAACGATTTTCATTCAAGGTCAAGGGGATGGATGAGGTGGGTTGGGGTCAATTTTCTGCACTCTTTGCTGGATGCAGATATGGGTCTCAGGAGAAGCATTGCTGTACCTATCGGATGAGCATATCATGAGACCTTGAATTCTTCTTTCATGCTCTATTTTCAAGCAAGTCTTTTAGCCAAGGGTATCACCCTGGTCTTCGCGCAACATGATTATATCCCCAGGTAGAACGAGGCTATGGCTTCAATGAAGTACATATCAGTATTCAATCAGCAAAGTCTGTGTCTCTCCAATGAGCTGAGGGAGTTTCAAGTAATTTAGACCTCGCAGTCGTTGTAGTCGGAGTGTTGTCGATGTCGGATTGAACTCGCCAAATTCACCCGTCAACTTTGCTTCCCCGAATGGGATACCCAACAAAGACAGCATAGGATGGCTTAGGACGAGAGTTCCCAAGTGCAGTGTAGACTTGTAAACGTCGCGGTGAACGACATTTGATAGAGATATTATCTCGTGATCGATCAAAGTAAAGGGCGAAGGCGAAGTCGAGCACGGCGAACCACCCGAGCGAACCGTGAAGGGAGATACAACAACACGGAGATACAATGACACAGAAAAGGAAGCGAAAGCACAAACAGACGAAGATGTAGCAGGTATGATAGAATGAACCTCCAGATTGAGGCGTACTTTTGAGCCTTCATATATCATCATATATTACGTGAGTCAACCAGTTTACAGCTGAGTAGGGAATTTGGTCGTCTCGATCTTCTCAGGGTAGGTCATACCGTTCTGCTTGCGCACCTCATCCATGGTCTCCATGATGACAATACTCTCCTGCAGACCCTCGTACTTGCCCTCTTTTCTACCCTCCTTGAGAGCAAAAGCGCACTCATCGGCTTCCCAGAACATACCGTGACCCTCGCCCTCGGGGTTCTTGTCGTCGCCGAAGCCGTTGTAGAAGCCAGAGCCCTTGCCAGGTCCGGGTTGAGTGAAGGTCTTTTCCTCTACAGTGCCGTCGAAGAGAACGAGCTTGGTCTTGGAGGGGCGGAAAGCGGGGTGGAAGACTTGAATTTCACCCTTGTCACCTTGTACACGGATGGCGGGACCAGCGCTGCCCTTGCCGTCTGGGTCAGGAGTGGTGCGGAAAGCGGTGGTGGCGATACCGTGAGCGTCTCCACCAAGCTCTTCAGAACGAGGGAAGGTGAGAAGCATGGTGGTCATCTCGTCGGCGCCGGTGGGGTATTTCTTGAGGGATGAAACGACGGTAGGTGCTTTACGTGCAGATTCGGGCTGGGTGTGGTAGAGAGTCTGGAAGACCCAGGTCAAGGCGTAGATGCCCAGGTCGAGGAGAGCACCTCCAGCCAAGTCGGGGTTGACCATGCGGTGGGAGTTATCGAAGGCGTCTTCAGGCAGAGTGCCAATGGACAGGTCGGCGAAGGTACGGTGGACCTTTCCAATCTGTGCAGGTTAGCGATTGCAGTTCGAGGATGGCAGCGGATGTACTTACCTTACCGGAAGTGATGATGTCGCGGACGTAGATGGACAAGGGGAAGTATCTTGTCCAAACAGCCTCCATCAAGAACAAGTTCTTCTCCTTGGCCTTCTCTGCCAGCTTCTTTGCCTGCGCAGCGTTGACGGTGAAAGCCTTCTCGCAGAGGACATTCTTTCCACCCTCAAGACAGAGCATGGCATTCTGGTAGTGGTGCGAGTGAGGTGTAGCGACGTAGATTATGTCAACGTCCTTGTCGGCAACCAGCTCTTCATAAGATCCGTAGCCCTTCGCTGAAGAGGGTGCGCCGACCTTCTTCAAGAATTGACTAGCACGGTCGGCACTGCTTGAACTGGCAGCAGCAACAATCTCGTGCTTGATGTCGTTGACATTGCGAGTCTCGGGGTTGACAGTCAAGTCTCTCGAGAAGCTCTGTGATACTTGTCAGTCGACTCAATCGCAAGCTAGGCCTCAATCGTCTACCTCAGCGATGCCTCCAGTGGCGAGAATGCCCCAGCGTAGTGTGAATTTGGACATGTTGTGCTAATTGGTCTTGCAATATTTCTTGGGAGTACAAAAGAAGAACCGGTGAGCGAGCTCCAAAGTTGTTAAAGTCGGCATCTTGTTGGATGATGTAAGAGATGGCGGGGCAGAATGCCGTGCCGTGCCGTGCCCCACCCTCCGCATTTATCCATCACTTTCTTCGGCGAGAACTCCATCATCTTGAGCATGCATGTTTGGGGAATGGTTCTGTGGTAGAGTCACCCAGCGCCTGGTCAATGAAACTCCTCGAGATGGGAGTACCGATGTATTAGCCACGGAGACGCCTCACCCTGTCCATGAGGCCAGCTACTAGTCGGCGTTGATGGTAAGAGGACAGAGCGAGGAAGCCACACAAAGTGACTTGTTGTTAGTAACACCAATATTAACAAAGGATCGCAGTTGGCAGAGATAGTTACCCATGAGATTAATTATGGACGAGGGATAAACAAAGAACCGCATGTCGATTCTAGAAACACTGCGTTTCCCTTGTTCCTTCCAAGTCGGATCTGCATCTGCCATTTGTCTAGATCTGGAGGAAACATCCCCACGTGTTGAGCTACTTTGGCATGTCTTCCAACTGTTTCTTAGCGAAGGCCTTGTTTCAGTACAAAGGGACTTGTCAGCTTGGCAGTGGTGGCAGGGCAAAAGAGAGACAGAGGAGTGCCAACCTCGCCGAGTCTTCACCTTGCGGAGACCCCGGAAGAACTTCTTGTTACAGTAATGGATGCGGGGACGCGTGTGCATAGCATGATTGTCGCATGTCAAATGATTTCGTGATGTGTGAGACATTTCGAGTGCGACTCCAGATCTGAAGCTTGATTGAAATCGGCTCGCTTTCAACTGACCTGGTGCTCACTCTGATGTACTGCCTTGATTTGCATAGCCTCGAACGCACGAGGGCTTGGCAAGTTGGGAGATGGCGAGATTTTAATGCGGCTGGAGTCGGCAAATAGCAAGATAGGGTGCGGTGGGTTTGCGCAAAGCAGTTGCAAGGAGCTGAGATGCCGTTCGTATCTCGTTCCTACCGTATCAGTCCCCCCGCACGCTCGGCGATAAAAGGCCGACGGAATGGAAGAAGTGTCAATCGCCGGCTTAAACCGCGGCGTCAAACACTTGCTTCGATTCGCTCAAACTTGAGATGATATCAGTTGTATCATGGTCGATGACCGCGGACGTGGCGAAGGTAGCACACTTGATCTGAGAAAGAACCCCTAGTAGCGTCATCGAGTCTTGCAAGACATCTCGGCGGGCCATCCGGGCATCTGGGCGCACGCGCTGGGCATGCAGGATCGTCAAGTCAAGCTTAAAGGGAGTGAGTGTGGCGCTAAACCGGCCGCGGATATCTTCTCTGCCGTTTCTTGGTATCCTCCACAAACTCTCCGCCGTCTTCCATAACTGTCCCATTGTCCCTGCCAGCCTCAGCGAGTTTGCATCCATACCTTTTTGCAAGAGCATGACCTCGTCATTGTCTTTCATTGTCCTATAATCTTCTCTCCTTGGCTCTTCGATATCAAGCTCATCGTACCACGTGAATCACCATGCTTAGCCAGTGGCTATTACCGGCAGGCTTGTTGGCCAGCAGAGCAGCTGGTCTAACAATCCAACCAACGAATAACACACAAAATGGCACCGGCGTGGATCTTGCGCTGCCTTCAGGAAACACTATTGCGATATTTGGCACATTGGAACCCCTGACCCCGACTGCAGACCAGCTAGGAGTAAGAATTCCTTCGAGATAAGCTTATCGGTAGAGCTACGCTGACACGCGACACACAGATGGGTATTTCTGACACGTTGTACCATGTTACAACATCGAACCAGAACAATCTCACTGACCAGGACGTTGCTTATATCTCCTGCGATCCTGGAGATTATTCTGGCTTCCTCTCTTTGAATAATGTGTTCCAGACAGCCCTTGGAGTCAACGCCACAGCGATCATTCTGTACAGTCTGACGGCCGAGCAATGCAACATTACTGGCATGGAGTCAGCATTCTCAAAGTTATACTCCATGTCGAATCGAACGAGATCCAATGAATTACTCGAGCACATTGGCAATAACGATGCTTTGAAGGCAACTATCCTGCATTCTGACTCGACAGCACTGCACAACAACGGCAGCAGCAGCAACCCACAGACCACATCGCCATCCTATGGATCTTCGCCTACAACTGCAGTTGCCATGATCATTCTATACAGCGTTACTGGTATCATCACGGCATTGTTCCTCATTATTATCATCACTGGCGCTATTCGAGCACATCGTCACCCGGAACGTTATGGTCCAAGAAACGTTCTCGGAAGGCCGCGACAGACTAGAGCCAGAGGTATTGCACGTGCTATGCTGGACACCATTCCTGTCGTCAAGTTCGGCGAACAGCCTAAGCCAGAGGCCAAACCTACGGATGTTGAGTTGGCAGACACGGATACACCTGTAATTCGACGCTCAGTGGAGAATGACGGAACTCAGGAGACAAGACTCGACGAAGCCGCCCCCAGACAGTCCATGGCATCCGCTCGTTCAGGGATTGGAGCAGCAACGGGTCATACCAACCCCGACGTAATTTCCGGATCGGCCGCACCCGAATCAGCGGAAGCACTAGGATGCTCAATCTGTACTGATGACTTCGAGACTGGTCAAGACCTTCGCGTGCTACCTTGCGATCACAAGTTCCATCCTGCATGCATTGACCCATGGCTTCTGAATGTATCATCAACTTGCCCACTCTGCCGTATCGATCTTCGACCTGAGGGATCTGCTGAAGCAGAGGCGGCTACCACGGCAACAGGCGACAACACGGATTTGCCTCCTCCCATCAACGGCTACAACGGACAGCCTTACCGCGTGAGCATGCGTCGTAGCTTGCTCATTGGTCTGGGACTCGACCGAGGACACATTGACCAGGGGCAAAGAATGGCCGCTGCGCGCGAATTGCGTGAGATGCGTCCCAACAATGCAGAGGGTCCCGACCCGCAACAGCAGGAGCAGGGTGAAGAAGGTCGTCAACGCCGTAGACTACGAGAGCGCTTTGGTGTCCGCACGAGACGCAGAGGACAGTCGGATGTTCAAGCACCTACAGCTGCTGTTCCTGAGGAAGCTGCCGCAGAGACTTCAGCAGTCGTTGAGACTAATGATGTACAGCGTGATCAGCGTCCTACCAACCCATAGTAGTATCGTGCGGCTGGACTGATCTCAGCATAAGTTATGAGGCGTTCTGTTGGGTATTTTCCGGCGTTTGGATTTGCATTCTGCGAAAGAGCGGATGACTTTTTGGATGGGTTTGAGATAGGTTCTTGAGTGTTGGTTTCTGCATGACCAGGCTTGAAAAGACATTGGCGAGAAAGGCATTATGTACTACTACGATTAAATGAGCGAAACCATGAGATTCCCTTCCTTGATCGAACTCCAATATCAGTCTGGAATGTCTTGGACAACAGAAATGCAAAGCACCTTCCCTTAGTACGCTCAGCAGCCTCGTAGGCCCGTGCACGTTGCATGGTCGTCCAGTGACGAAGGGCTTCCAACAATTCCGCCGCGCTGAGCAACGACACAAGAACATTTCATTCCACCACAACCTCTTTTCCATCCCACAAATCACATACACAATGGCACCCAAGCGCGCACAGTCTCAAGGCGCTATCAGCCAGATGTACACCTCCCTGGCCTCGCCCGACAACCGCTCCGTCGTCACCGCCGTCGCCTTTTTCGCCGTAAGTTCTTTTCGCCTATCCGCTGTATAATCCGAGGAAGGACAACGCAAGAGTCAAGAGGAGGAGATAAATGGCCAGAGAAGATAAGCATGTGCTATGCGCTGTGTTCGACGAAGGAATTTCTGGACAATGAAGACTGACACATTTGAACAGGCCGGTGTCGCTTTCTTGCACAGCAGCTGGAGCGAGATCCTGCTCCCTCCGTAAGTGCTCACCTCTCTTCCGCGTCTTGAATCGATCGACCAACCACCCACGGCTCGGACTTGACACCATGCGCTTTCGACGTCTCACAAAGCTTACACATCCCCACCAGTCTTTAAACGTATCGCCATCAGTCATGAAGACGAACGCGCGATTGTAGGAATATCTGGGAAACGATAAAAGAGCAGAAAAAGGAAACACACTTGTACATTACACACAAACTTTTGCTGCTTTTTATGAATGGGCAAAGAAAAGGCGTTTTTGGCTCTTACACCATCTTCTCCAGAACGTGAACAGGGACGAGACGAATATGTTGGACATGACTGGCTCCCGCTTGCTCGATTCGGCCATCGTCCAGATTCCCACACAACTATTGCATCTATCTACCACTCCTTGCGATGTAACGACTATCAGTGTGGAAGCCCTCACGCTCATCATGAAACACCGACCTCCTGGCCACTCCATCTGTGCCTCATCAGCATGATGACGACACGCAACTGCAAAGTAGAAACGCCCAGCCGCCTTGCCACTTCCTGTTGCGACTGCCATGTTTCAAACAACTTTAAAATGCCAATGACGAGAATTGCATGCCTCCGAAAAACAAATGCACCCTTGCTATTCCACACTTCTCACGAGCACACAGGCGTAAACGTATGGAGTAGGTTATAGTGCTTCAGTTTTAGGACGGAAAAACAGGAAGACGAGACAGTAAGGCAACTATGTAGGTAGAGATTGCGATCTTTCGAGTCATAGTGTACACGGACTGACACCGCGTTCTAGGGAGGAGCGAATGTTATGCCTCCTGAGCAAGCATCGATTTTAGGTTGCATGAACGGTAAACGAGATCAATTGGTTCCTTCCATGCCAATGGCTCATTGCGAATTCCACAATCCACAATCTTTGCTTTTCTGCGGTTGATCTGCTCGCCGAGTCATCGAAACATCACTGATAGTCAACGGTTCGAATCCAGCGCTTGACCCAATTCTTCGTTTTGCACTTTTTGCAGCCATTCAGGATATGGCTCCAGCCATTTCACCACATTCTCGCCCTTAGCTGGTGGAATCAAGTCCACCTCTTCTCCATTCGCCAACCTGCAAGTCAACTCAACTTGCACTCTGCCATCAGGCCAAAGTTGCTTTTCCACTTCTTCTTCCGTGCCTTTATGACTCCTGCGAAAATGCCCGTATTCAAGTGTTTCACCGCGTATGTAGTACATCAATTTGCCGAGAATATTTATGTTGCAGAAGGCAGAGCCATCGATCAAGGTGCGGAAGTCTGTACTGTGTGCTTTTTCGTCTTTTGTGAGTTTGTTACCGCAGTAGCTGGAACATGAAACTTCGTTTGGAGGGCCGGATGATTTGTGCCGGTTGAAATGTACAGTAGTCGATACGTCTGGAGCAGTCCAACAAGAATCTTCACCGAAGTGCAGGCTCCCGAGATACGGGAGAAGTGTCGCTATCTCAGGCTTATCGCGGATTCCTTCCCAATAATACCAATGTGATTTGTCTTCTCTCCATTGTCGTGGAGGCTCTGTTCCCTGGGCTCTGAATGTAATGAACCACCAAGCGTCGTTTTTGTCTTCGTGGCCATCGATATACATCTGTAGCTTTGGAAAGAGGACAGGAACACATTCGTTCTTGACTTGTGTGGTCACCTCCAGCAGTGGGTGTGGATAGTGTTGTTCATCTTTGTCGGTGAAGAGGAAGTCATAGATCTCCAGACGAAGCTCTGTTGGCAGTGACTGGAAGCATACGGTAGGTGTCATAATGGCTTGTTTCAGCTGATGGAAAAGCTGATGATGCAATGGCTGAGAAATGTACCTGGAGTCTTGCTGAGAATGTCCAATCGTGCCCAGATGAATTTGAAAGTGAGTCATGACTTTGGAAAGCCTGCGAGCAAGATATGGAAGTAGTTTCCATCTTCCACGTGCGTCTGCAGCGTGCCCAGCTATTCGAATTTTCTACGGGAAGGTGTGACTCAACCCATTTTCTTCCAGTGATATTTGGGTCTCGGACGAAGCGACTTCTCCTGATTCCCACCACAAAGCCAATCCAAAAGCGATGGCTCAACACACAGAAATCATGGCAATAAAGCCCACATTCGCGACGCTTCCACCGGAACTCCATTTGATCATCTACGAGTATCTCTTTCTCGACCCCGAAGAACAGAAGTACCCACATGCCGTTCTGGAAGTATCTCGCAAGACGCTCTCACTGTCCGCTCCCATCCTTCTCTGTCACCTCAAACTCTACATCGAAGGCGATGATGAAGAATGGTACCTCTCGTTCGCCCGTCAAGATTACAATTCGTGGCACAGAACTCCCAACTCAGTGGCTTGGGAGGTCTTCCGCCAGGATCCAGAGATGCAACGACTCATACCTCATGTCAGAACAATACACTTTGAACCAGGCTCATGCTTGGACGTCGAGGGTATTGAAACTCGCATCACCTTTCACGGACCGAAGGCAACCTCCAAATTAAACACCATCACATATGCCCTTAATCGTGAATACTTTAGCCCTGATGTCAGGTGTCTGGATTCTCACAAAAGCAAGATGGCCAAAGAAGTCGGAGATGCAAAAACCTGTGCAATGAATCTAGTAGAACGCCTCATGGAAGCTTGCAGTGGGTACGCGGAAAACGATTATAACGACGTCGTGAGATTCTGCTTCTGACGCAGTAGAGTGGGCAAAACGAGAAAGGAAGCAGACGAAGAGGTGTACAAAGAGTGGGCAGCTTGGGAGAAGGAACATGGCGTACAACCCGGAGATTATGAAGACTACCTCTAGAGATTTGGGCATTGGTTGCTTAGAGATGTCTATCAAAACACATGCGGATCTTCATGCGCATCCTCTAGAATCTCCAATAACCTCTCCACCAATTCCTTCGAACATACTTTCTCCTCTCCAACCAAGTCATCTAACTCCTTCTCATACTCATTAATAACACAATTCCCATTCCAATCAAACCCACCGAACCAAGAAAAAAAATCAACCTCATTAGGCCTTCCAGCAGCATCTCTGCCCCCATGAAACTTGATCGTCGTAGATGCCTCGTGATCTTCCGCAAAACAACAAGTCACATGTGTGACATCCAGTGTCCTGACCAAAGGCAGTAGATCCAGTACTAACGGTAATTCACAGATTGTATCCCAAGTATACCCTTTTGTGACCCCCAAGGACCGGGTTGCATACCGTGATGACTGAAATCCAAAAAGCCAAGGGCCGCTGACGTCGACTTGGTCTTGGATTTCCAACTGTATAAGAGTGAAGAGGATGGGTATGCATTCATTTCTGATCGTCGATGATACGCGGAGGAGAGGGTGAGGGAAGTGTTGTTGTTGGACGTCGGCGAAGAAAAACTCGTAGATGATTAGGCGGATCTCGGGAGGTAGTGTGAGCGGCAGCGTCTTGGAGGCAGTCTTTGTCGCCATTTGATGATGAAGGTGTGTTTGATTTTGGAAATGGAGTGGAACGGAGAAGTTTGGGCGCTGTGGCTGTGGAAGTGGAAGAAGAAGAAGTCGTATTGATGACTCAGGGTACTTTTTGAGTTTGTTGCGCAGTGACGAGTCATTTTAGGAAAAAGTCGTGGCCTGTTAAGCGGTGGACATGGCGAAGACGAGTGCAAGATGATGTCTATAGTAGTTATTTGGATATCAACGTTGTAGTGATTGATGAATTGAAACGGCACGGTGATTAAGTTAGAAAGCAAATCTATTAATACGTATGTCGAAAAGGCTTCCTCCTTTTCCTTATTGGTCTTGTCCCTTGCTTGACTCGCTCACGTCAAGATGCGACGAAGACTACTCCTGATGTGCCTCCTCCATGAGAAACATACACGTCGCAATCATCTCTTTGGAGCACACCTTCTCTGCTCCAAGGACATCCTGAAATTGCTGAGATAATGGGATTTAGAAGTTGAGTAATAACCAAGAGGACGTAAAGTTGCGATCCACATTGCGGGCGAAAACCATGTCCACGACTCAATGTCTAGTTGGAAATGTTTGAGTAGCACAGGTATAGACTCGTGGCGTACGAGTCTCGAGACTTTGAGCAACGGATGCGGACATCGTCGCTCTTCCATGTCGACGAAGACGAACTCGTAGACCATAATACGAAGCTCTGGAGGTAGTCTTGTAAGGAAAGTCTTGATACTGGTCGTGTGGCTTCGATATGTGTTAACGAGCTCAGATGGTCGTGACACACGGCGGAGGAGGTCCTGAACCCTGGGAATGGAAAAGCGTGAAACGGTCATGTCGAATCGTGATGTTAGTTCTTTGCCTTTCTTTGAGGAAAGCAGTATCTGGGCGATGGATGGAATTGGGCAGTTGTAGTTGACTTGGAAGAAAAGAAGGATCATCTCTGAGACCTTTGGATCTCGTTGTCCTAAAAGCTCTCATGTGTGACTTAATCTCATAATTCTGAAGCCATCAGAGTGAGGCTGTACATGCCGCGCGACCAAAATCCCTAGCCTCCAGATTGCACGTGAGGCTGTCCAGAAGTTCCATCGAGCATGCGCTAGAGGCTCCGAGTATGTTTTTGATGTCTTCCAAGTATTCTTCCATCAAGTTGATCGCACTCGCATGAGGGTCAGCAATGTTGAGGCCTTTCAAATAGTGTTCCTTTATCTCTTTTACTCTCCGACGAGAGTCGATAAACTCGATCTCGTTCGGTGATGCCACAGAATGCTTTTTGTTGAATCGGACGAGAGTGCGAGGTATCCACCACCTGGTGCTGTGGGAGACAACGTAACTTATCTCAAGGGTTTTTATATGTGGCAACAACGCCTTCAGAGATTCCATGTCGCGTAAGCTTTCCAGAGGTTGAGAATCCAACACCTTTGAACAGGAATTATTTTCTAGAGAGTAAAGGGCTATCAGCCAGACTCCACAGACCAATCGACGCACGAGAGCCAGTTCGAGAGTTGAGAACAAGAAAGGCGCAGCCTCTGAGCGCATTTCTCGGGACGTGTTAAGTACAGAATGCGGAAAACGTTGCTCATCCTTGTCAGCGAAGAGAGCTAAGTAAACCATGCAACGGAGCTCAGGCGGGAGTGCCAGGAAGTCGAGCTTCATGGTAAGTCTTAAGAACAATAGGTTATAGATGTTGTGCGACGAGGTCGGTGATGGCGACGGATTTTCAGGATGGATGGTGAGAGAAGGAGATAGTGGTGTGTATATGAGTCTTGATGAAATTACTGCGAGCGAACATTCTCGCATGAGTACATAAGCCACGTGGCTCTCCTAGCTGAACATACGTGCCGCGCCGGCAGCAGCGAGTATCGGTTCTTAGAGATCGTTCTGAACTTGCGCAATATCTATAAGTCCCTGCAGTAGCTCCTTTGAACACACGTCGGATGGACTAATAAGCTTCTCAACGTCCTTCTTGTAACTCCCTTGTATATCGTCATCTGGTATATGGCCACAGAAGTAGAACTTATCAGCTCTAGATGCCTTGTTGCTGTTGATATAGAAATGATATGTTGCTGTGTATGTGCTTTCGCATTGACATACGCACGCATTGAATATGTAGCATGATGGCCGAGTCATGCATGCCTGGTGGCCTGAAACACGTGGTGACTGCCTTGAATAGACTGCTGCCTGAAGTTATTCGAGCCGCTTAGGTATGTTGACAAACAGTCTCGGATGGTAGAGTGGTATCGGCCTGAGGATGGATGGGAGGCCGATAGTTTCGTTCTCCTCAGAAAGCTCATCGATTCAAGTACCCGTATTCGCACACGACATCTTCTATCTCCTTCAGCAACTCCATAGTGCAGACGCTAGCCTCAGATGCGCGAGCCACTGCCCTCTCTCGACGTATCATCTGCTCATCATGCTCGGGGATATCCTGATCTTTCAGGATAGACTTGCAATGCTCAACTATCGCTTGTCCTGACGATTTGTTGCTTCTCAATTGGACTGTCGACCAGTACTCAGTATGGTAGCACGCAGATGTCCAGTCAGCCCAGCCCCCAATCAGGATAGTCCTCACACCAGACAGGAGCGCAATCAGCTCTGGCTTTTCGTGTAGTTTGTGACGTTCGTACTCTCGGGACCAAAAATCGCCCTCTGTCCATGGGTTGTTGAAGATAAATCTCAGCGTCATCCCCCAATTTTGTTCATCTTCGAAACCAGAATGAAAGGTTATGAGCAGTTGCAGTCGAGATAGCAGGATGGGCCTGCACATAGCGTAGATGTCTTTCGAAACCCTCAGTACTGGGTGATCCATGCGTTGCTCTTTCTTATCAGAAAATAGCTCCTCGTAGATGAGACGATGAATCTCAGTCGGTAAGCCCGGAAAAGTGGGTTTCGTAGCGACGGTGTCTTTCTCCGTTGCGATTCTCATGTTGGTTTGTCGGATGCTGGACGCATCGAGAAGATCTTTTGGTTTTGAAGCACATTGAGAGAGCCGCTGAGTCATATCCGAAATCCTGAAACTGGAAGGCGGTGTCATCGACCGCCGCCTAAACTTTCTGGAAGCATCGCATTGCATCGCTTACCGCCGAATCTGGACTGGAACGAGTAGTTACAATTCATAGCTGGGGGCGAAGTATTGTTCCTCGAGCTGTAAGTATGATCACTTCAAGAGATGACAGAAGTTGAAAAGTGATCAGGAAGGAAGAGCAGTTCGCAAAAGGCGGCCCAGACACTTGCGCCTGCCTCCTGTATGCGTGCGCCAGAACACCGTGAATACAGGCCAACTTTTCCGGACACAGGCCGACTACCTATCTGGCTATCCAAACGCAAGGTGTTTTGCTAGTTTGGGAGCGTGTCCACTGAGAGCATTTATCGCTCAATGATTGCCTTGGACAGCCATAGCAACCACGAAACCAGCATCATGCTCGCCAACTCTCAACACGAGAGATCAACTCCAATCTAGACCGATAGATAATCTGCAAATTCGCTCTCCTCTGCTCGTCTCCAATGTTGTGACCGGTGATGAGGATGAGCGTGAAGAAAGACTCGATAATGCTCGGCGGGACATTGCAGATAATCTGGCCTAGCTCGCTCCAATGCATCAAGCTAGCCGTGAGTATGAGAGCGATGATCACTACCACACCTGCCACTACGGTGTACTCGTGCGAGCAGAAGTTGCCCATGGCGATCGAGAATCGGACATCCAGACAAGTCGTCTGAGCGGTTTCCTCGTCGCCGCTGTCGCCTCCGATGATAGCCGCTAAGCCCTTGTCCTCGAGGATGCGTCGGTCGTACTGAGTATCTTCCTGTCGGTTGCAGATATTGCACAGGTTACGGAGGACAAAGCCGTCGTTCATTCCGATCAAACCGGCATAAGTGCCGATGAGAAGCCACCAGTTGGCGTCGAACAACATGATTGGACCAATGACAATCCAAGCGACCAAGACAACCGTTAGAAGACATATTCCAAGCAGAGTACCAACAAGGTCAGCGTAGAAGTCGATCGCACGCTGTACTTTGCCGACCTCGGGCGCCGAAATGGTCGCTACCTCGTTTTCGAGCGTATCGCCGGTGACTTCTCGAAGTAGGCGCTCGAGCGATGTATCAGCAGCCATGACAAGATTTGTGCACTCTTGAAGATATTTCTCATGTCGCTCGCGGTTGTTAGCCAAGACTGCAAGCATAAAGATCATGAGAGCAGAAGTGGCAGAATTGATGAAAAAGAACCAGGAGTCTGACCAGCCAAGGTGATGGCCAAAGGCGAGCCAAACGCCGATGCAAATCCAGTAACCGATGACTGTCAAAACATGACCCATGGATGCAGACACAGCGTTACAGATACGACCGAGTAGGTCTTCTTGTGGAAACTCTACGGCGGGTACTGCAATTCTCGACTGACTCTGTGCCGGCTTTTCCATCCTTGCAAGATTCTGCAGCATTCTCTTGTGACTTGTTGCGCGAGAGTCAAGATGACAAGCAACGACCATAGCTTGAGTATGTGCGTTCAACTGTTGACGGACGAGGAAAGAGTCAAACACCATGTTGATGATGGCTTGAGCATCCGAGATACCGACCTGCCAACCGGTATTGCTGGCGAATTCTATTCCAAGGAATGCCCAGGCCAACAAAACAATGATTGTCAGGAACAAGACAAAGTTTGAGCCCGAAAAAGCGACGACCTTGTCTAGCCATCTGTCAAGTCTTTTTGGTTTGGTCGTGTCGATCTTCAGAAGTGTAACGGTTGACTCATGCGATCTGTCCTTGTCAACAGCGGAGTAAGATGGTGCACCTTCGCTGATTGAAGGCCTAGCCCCAATTGAGTTGACAAAGTGGATGAAGCGGCGCATCGTGGAGGTGTACTGTTGAGGGTTCAAATGAAATCAAAACGTGCAATCTTTACAAGCTGTCAGGATATCTTCAAGGTCACGTTCAGGAAGATCTGGCTACCTTTCGATGTAGTGCGCATATGCTTATGGAGGAAGGCGTGCAACTGCGGCTTCGAATGCGTCCTGGTAGGATACTGTAACGATAGTGATCATACTCGGTGATGATAGGGCCTTGGTGAGTGCGAGGCGACTTGCTTGTTGGAAAAAGGACTACGCGAAAAGCTTCGTCTGAGAAAGGATCGAAATAGTGATATCTTAGGTAGTGGGCATGTGAGGCAGAGAACAACAAACTGCAACAACCAAAACTGGTGTGTCGTTGAATAAGCTTTATAAGAGAGTACGCAAGCAAATACGAGCCGGAGAGGCATATTTTTTCATTCGTATCCAGTGTCGGAGAGGCATTTAATTACAGCCTTCGAGGATTTATGATGTATGCAAGTTTTATTTCCAGAACAATGTTTCGAGATGCCAGGGAGAGTTTCGTTGTAAGCCGAAGAGTGACATTTTCGTGAAGTGACATCCCCACATTCGCCCATTCGTCCACCCCAGGCCGCGTCAGCGGAAAGCCGTTGCTGCATACATATAAGCAACGAAGGTTGGGGTAGGAACATAGTTCGTGGGATAGGCGGGATTGAGTGGTGTGAAAGGGTCTGTTCAATTCACCTGCCCGAAAGAGACGAGAGACAGATCATGAGGAGGTGACGCGTTGTAGTACCTCAGCGAATACGGAAGGGGTCGAGGAGTATATACCACTGCTTGCTTCGCGACTCCGTAGCTGGAGAACCTGCGGAACCTGGTGCTTTGCCATCATGACAGCACTGCCTCAATACAGATTGGACCAAATGGCTGATCTTCCACTTGATATCGAAAAGTCGGAAGACAGCGAGACAAGACGGTTTCTGGACACCTGTGACCTGGATGGAGATGTCCAGAACTCTACCATTGGCTCTACATCGCGTCGACGACTCGGACTCCCTCGTGGTGTTTATCGAAGAGTCCAACGACTGATCGTTTTCTCCACCACAATCTTGTTCATGATCATGTTAGTCACTCGTTCCAACTTCGTGCTCAGACATAGGTGAGCTGATCCCCCGTCAGGATTCTCATACAGAGTATACCTTCGACCGGTCCGATGTCGAAACCAAAAGACGATTTCGACAAAATCTTCTCAGACCCGTTCAATTCAATATCGACATCTTTTGATCCGCAGAGATATGCTTTCATGCGTAACGTGTTGCCTGTTCCATGCCACTCGCATAACGACTATTGGCGACGTACGCCACTGTATGCTGCTATAGCGTCCGGTTGCATCAGCGTCGAAGCGGATGTGTGGCTCCTCGAAGACGATCTTTTTGTCGGTCACGACGCCGGGAGCCTGACCAAGAATGCGACGCTCAAGTCCATGTACCTCGAACCATTGGAGAAAATGTTGCGTACTGCCAACACCAACTCACAAATCGGCAACGTGAGCACGGATGGTAACCAGGGTATCTTCAGCATGGAACCAGAGCAGACCCTTGTTTTACTTGTCGATTTGAAAACGTCCGGCGCCGAAACCTTTGTGAAGCTACGTGAGCAGCTGGAGACCCTGCGCAATGCCGGATGGCTTACGCATTGGAATGGCACACACCGCTCGGAAAGGCCGATTACAGTCGTAGTGTCCGGTAACGCGCCATTCGATATGATCACCGCCAACGATACCATTTTCTTCGATGCCCCTCTGACCGCGTTGGCGTCCGAAGAAGATCGTGTTGAGTTTGATGATGTATCCCCGACTCTGGCATTCGAGGGAGATGCCAGGCTGCTGCGCTACAAGTACAACCCGAGCAACTCATGGTACGCATCCAGCAACATTAAAGCCGCTGGTAGCATCTCGTCGTTCTTCTCGATCACTGATCCTCAGATTGAGAATTTAGCGAGGCATGTGAGATTGGCCGAGATGCGAGGATTGAAATCTAGGTACTGGGGGACCCCGCGATGGCCGCGTACTTTGCGAGATCAGATCTGGCAGGTTTTGCTGCAGCAGGGGACGAGTATCTTGAATGTCGACGATCTGAGAGCGGCAAGGAAAGGATCTTGGGGCCGATGGAAGAAGCTTGACCGAGGGTCATGATGTGCTCAATGCATTGCGATTTCTCGTCTAATCCAGATCAGGCACGGGCAAGCCCTGGTATAACTTCATTCTCCTCCCAAGCTTTTGCATGGCCTCCATAGCCTTCTCTTCTCGTAACTTGCGTGACTCGTCATCGCTAACAAGGACGAAGTCATATGTGATGAGCTTGTCGCCCTCTTTCACGCCGTACTCTTTGGCCTGTTCGCCTGACACGGTGCCTAGGTCGATGAGCAGGGATTCTTTGACACCAAAGACGGCATCTGATGTTTCATATGGGTCGCCTCGAAGATATAGAGCACTGTGTCATGGTCAGCAGTTGTGTGTAGAGCGATGAAGGCGAAAGACATACGTGATCAGGTTGTCGTAGCCAGGCTTCTCGAACATGAAATGCATGTGGCTGGGACGATACGGGTGACGCTTGAGCTTCTTGAGGAGCTGACCGACCGGTCCATCGTGAGGGATGGGGTATGGCACTGGCACAATGGCCTTGAACCAGAAGACACCCTCATTGTCACTCTTCATGACAGCTCTGCCATCAGGACCATCCCTTTCTGCATACTGGACATCGTAGAAGCCCTTGCTGTCTGTCTCCCAGATATCAATCTTGACGTTGTCGATTGGCTTTCCGGCAGTGTCTTTGACGGTACACAGAACAAGGCAAGGCTCGCCATCAGGATCGTGTGAAATGCTACCGCCGTTGCCTTCGAGTTGAGCTTCGTGGGTATGGAAGGGGCCGAGGACAGTGCCCTCAGTACTAGCAGCAGGTTTCGGATGATCGATACTGTCAACGAGCAGGGACAGACCAATGACATCGGAGAGTAGGATGAACTCCTGTCGTACGTCGCTGCTGATCTGGCCAACCTTTGTCAAGAATTGGATGGCAGCCATCCACTCGTTGGTGCTGAGCCTGGTCTCACGGGCAAAGTCGTGGACATGTGAGACGAGTCTCTCCAGCAGGTACTTCATTCTCGGGTCTTCGCATTGTGAGTTGATCAAGTTCACGTTCTCGGTGATGTTGTCGATGGTAAGATCCTTGAGCGGAGGGACGTCAACTTGTGAAGGGTCCATGGCTGTTGTGTGATGAGTGCGTAATGGTTCAGAGAATAGTACAGAGAGGAAGAAGCAAGAGAGATGACTTGACCAATAACGAGGTGGATGATTTGCAACAAGGACATCCCCGCAGTCCCCACAATCACACGGAGCTCTCGTTCGGCAGAGACAGGCCGTCTCAACTCCGCGTCATTTGCAGATATTGATTGTATATTGCATCGCTCTAGCGCTCAGTGAGCCCTCGGATTGAAAAGCGGTCGCTTCAAGCACATGTTGAATGATGAAGGATTCTGATAAAGAACCATCGTGATGTTGTCTCGGGCAGCAAGTCCTTCGTGAAGCCTAACCGAATCTCAAACCGCTGAGCGTCGGGCGAAATGTTCGAGCCTCCATCTAGGTGATCAGGTAGCTGATAATCTTCTCGATCACAAAAAGACGAGAGCAGTTGGTGGCTGGCGATTTGGTATGCTCGTTGATGTTGCTGCTGCTGCTGCTGCTGCTGCTGCTGCTGCTGGAAGGATGATTTTCGTGACGCGGGGAAAGCGTGGCCTATGCTTTTTGTTTTGTTTACCTGCACAGCATCTTTCTCTCATCTGAACAATCCATCGCAACTGACTGTCTACCATGGCAAGCCCTTTGTCGCCTCTCAATTCACAACAACTCAATTCTCGTACGCCAGCGACCGTGGTGCGCGAAGCCAAGATGAGCAACAACAGCATTGCCGGCACTCCTTGCAGAACATCAACACCAAACAACAAATCGCACGAAGACGATGTCATCAACTGGGACGACGAGGACACTGGAAGCTCTCCTTTTGTCGCAGAGGCTGAGAGTCGCGTCGCGAGCAACAACTTCGACCAAGTTCAAATCGACCCCGAAGTTGACGCTATCTTCGAAGACCCATCAGACCCATCGGAAACACAGTTCTTCGAGACTGACGACAAGAAGGCTTCCGTCTTCTCTATATCCTCCATTGGCGACAAGGAGAACACTGGTGCTGTCGAGTCAGGCATCAAGAGCCCACAGCCAGACCAAGAGGAGACACACAAGACGCCAGAGAAGGCTGCCACACCAGAAGCCACGAGGAAGTCGATGTCGCCTCTAAAAGCAAGATCGACCGTCAAGAAGAGACGCAGCAGCACTTTCGAAGAGGACACAACCGCCATGCCTCCACCTTCGACCAGAAAGACTTTGCGCTTCAACTCTCCTCTCAAGACTAAATCGCCTACCAAGCAGCTCGACTTTGCTTCCAAGACACCTCTCCCTCACAGCCGCGAAGCCTCTTTCGAGAAGTATGATGACAATGTGGACGACTCTATCATGATAAACGATGTCGACGAGACTGGTGTTGATGACACTTGCTTCAGCACTTTCTCTGCTGTCCCAGACATGACCATGTTTGCCAAACTGGGCGATCGCAGAAGCCCCCTCAAGCAATCTATCGTAAGCCTCTCTTCTTTCAACTTCCGAGACTCGGACTGATCACTCTTCTAGCAACAAACACCTCAAAGCGAGCAAGCCACACCCAGACCTCGAAGACGTCCCTCGGACGAGCGATCTCCTTCTCCCACACCGCGCAGACCCAGAACCCCTGGCACCGCCCAGTCGAACACAACCAACCTCATAGACTTCACTCAACAAATCGAACGCTTTGCGCATGCCTCCAACCGCCCCGATGTCCAGCAGACTCCGTCGCGCAGATCTCCTCAGAAGTCTGCTACAGAACCCAACCTCCTATCATACCTAAACCAGCAGCGTTCACCAAACAAGGGCGCCCGTATGAGCACTCCTGCCAAGTCTACCAGCCTGCTCAACCTGCTCGACTTCGAACTGCCTCCAGCTCCCACACCTAGATCGATCCCTACAATCACCGTGCGCGAGCTCGAATCGATGAAGTCGCAATACCAATCACAAATCTCGTCACTCAAGGCAACTCTCTCTGGCAGAGAAGCCGAAGTCGACTCTTTGAAGAAGGCAGTGGGAGATGCCGAAAGACGTGTCGGCGAGGCTCTTGAGAATCTGCGTGAAGAAAAGGGCCAACGCGAGCAGATCGAATTTGAGAAGAACCAATGGGAGCAGCGGGGTGTTGAGTTTGAACAACTCCTCAAGAACGTCAGAGAAGAGGTTATGCGCAGTGACGAAGAGAAGGAATCCCTGATCCGCCGCGCCGAAGAGAGCGACCGCCAAACCGAAAGGCAACAAACCCGTGCAGATGAGGCAGAGTCAAAAGTCCTCGATCTGGAAGCCCAACTCGCAACCGCTCGCGCTGCCATCCCTAAGAACGACGGCTCTGGTAACATGATCGACGAGGCACAAATCCAACACCTCGTCCAACAACAGATTGATGCAAAGGTCGAAGCAGTCTCGCGCGAACTCCATTCCGTCTACAAGAAGAAACATGAGACAAAGGTCGCAACCCTCAAGAAGTCATACGAAGCACGCGGCGAGAAGAAATGCGCCGAACTCCAAGCCCGCCTCGACCATCTCGCCAAACAAAACGAAGAACTCGCAGCCAATGCAGCAAACAACAACATCGAGAATTCCATGATGTTCACAGCAGACGACCGCAGGGTGATGGAAGAAGCAAACTCCACAATCGAAGAACAGCGCGCCGCTCTCGCAAACCTAGACCGACAACTTCAAGTCATGCAACACGAGCAAACCTCCCTGATCCAGGAACTTGAAAAAGAAAGAGTTGAAAAGGGTGAACTTGTTGCTGCTGTGGATGAAATGCTCATGTTGCAGACTTCGGCTCCAGAGGGAAACAGTGCTGCTGTTATCGAGGACTTCAGACGCAGTATTAGTAGGCCTGCTCCTCCGCCGCATGCTAGTATTCCTGCGTTCAGAGAGAGGGAGGAGAAGCCTGCCCCAGTACAAAGCAGAATCGGCAGGGGTGTGCCTAGGGCTTCAGGAATCGCTTCCAAGAGCAAGATGATGAGCAACATCGAGCGTATGGGTGGAGCTCCTAAGCATTGATTGGGCTCTTTGATCTCTTCTCTTATCATGCCCTTTGATGCCCTTTACTTTTGGTTCCCATGATTTTACAGTTACAGTTTCTTTTGGTTCGTTCTCTTAGGAGTTTAGGGAAGAGGATATTCCCAGATCATTGTGGTTTTTTTTCTAGCATAACTATCATGTCCCATGGACGCAAGCGGCATCGACCGCATTTCGTTTCTCTTCTTTCTCCGAATCACAAACTTTTTTGTACCTTTTACAAACTCTCTTTTTGGAGGATGTTGCGATGTGAAAAACATCTTGCATTTTGATAGATGGTTTGGAGACCACGAATTGTGGTTGAGATATCCATCCAAAGCACCACGGTGATCAGATATTCAAGGATGCAAAACACACGCTCCCCTGACAAGATTTCACGTCTCAGCGGACACAGAGTGTGCAGACAAAAAACATCTTGCATTTCGACAGCCATATCCACTTTCCGCATATTTGATCAAGGGATAACGCTTTACTTCTCTCCACTCCTGGCTAGCTATAGGGGGGTTTTTTTTTCTCCCACGGGCTCATAGCTCCAGATTATATCGCACTATCTTCGACTCCTTACTTTGACTCCCTGGATCAAGTCACAAATATACACAATACCTTGGTCCGCTCCTTGGAATCTTCAACACTAGAACGCACATACATCGACGCCATTGTCGTCCTTACCGTACCTTCCTTATACAAAAAGCAAAAAAGGTCTGCGGAACAGACATCTAGTCCTCCCGGATTCTTCTGCCACATGAAGTGGGAGACTCTGCGTTATCCGAAGAGTATGTTCTGCAGTGTAGAAAAGGTTGTTTATATAGCTGCTAGCATGGTAGGTAAGGAAGGTACTCAGTATCATCTCGCGAATTGCGGAAGGGATGCTCTCTCTTTAGACAATCATGTTGATCTGAAAGCGCTTTTTGCGTTTTGACAGATAGCTTTTGAAACACCTTTCTCACATCTGGGAGGTCGATGTAGTGATGACATGGATGAAAATGATCTCTTCGTCACCATACGTCAACAAAGAGCGAACAACCTACGTCCGTATATTTTTGTCTACCTCAGGAAACAAGACATATATCCTTACGGCCGTGATGTGTTCGAAATTGAAATCCAAAACACAAAGATCTGCAAGGCCTAGATGCAAAAGTAGTCATATGGTCGAGAAAAGTGGATGGAGATGTTGATACATGGTGAAACTCTGATGTAAAAGCATCATGACAAGCATTTACAAATCTCGGTATGAAGGAGAACAGAAGGTTGCCGGATCGTCATTGGGATTTTTTTCGGACAGCGGTGGTGTATTGGTCGTTGACAATTGGCGTTGGAATATCCGAGACATGGCTTTCTGGATGCGTAGATGGCTGGCGGTTTGGGGTCCAAAAGACGATAGATTGGCTTTGAAGATTCAAACGAGAATTGATTGAAGCGGACTCAGATATTACTCGGATGTTTTTGTTTGAAGTACAAGTTTTTATGTTGATCGAGTGAGCTGGTGATGAGAAGTCCGATAGTGATTGTGGAAAAAATACATTATATTTGATTCTATTATCCTGTGCCGTATGCTGTATTCTATGGCCATGATATGCATATTACATTACTTCGTTATTAGATGTCGAGAAATTCTCCGTTCAGCTGCTCGTACATTGAGCAGGGAACTGTCTGTCTGTAATCTTATTAGGACCAACAACACCTGCTTTGAACAGGTTGCCGAGGCCCCAAGCTCCAGGTCCGGTATAACTCCATAGGAACCAACCCATTGAGTACTCCTCGAATATGTCCAATTGGGCCTCCATAAACTTTCTTGTCGCTGCGACCAAGTAGCTGTTCCATTGGGAGGGATCGAGTTGAGCTGAGCACTGGCATCCGGCTGTTGAGCAGGAAGTACCAGCAGTGACATTGCCAGAAGCATCAACGCAAATGTTGGTTTGATCGCTGAACTCGCCAACTAGGACTGGCGTCTGATCAGAGTCGGGGAGGAATTGCGTAGAGGGGTACTGGCACACGGTGTTGATGTGTTGATCCTGGTTCATAGATGAAGTGTCACCACCTTGGTTCTGGTAAAGATGAACATCCAGGACAAAGTTTTCTGCCTCAGCATTGTAATATTGAGCGACGGGTACCCAAGCTTTCGCTCCCAAGAAGGCGTCGTGCATAACCAACTTCAAGTCAGGGTTGGTGATATGACTGCGCATAGCTTTTACTGTGTCGACGGCCCATGTTTGAGCTGATCTGGCGCTGGTTTCATCCCACACGATAGGTTCATTGACCAGTTCGAGGCCCCAGACCACGTCGCTGTAGGAAGAAGTACCGTACTTGGCAGCCATCATCTCGAGAACGGATGTGGAAGCAGCAAGGTTCTCCTGGTTCTCCGCCCAGTCGGCATTACCCCTGTGTCCAGAGTTGTCGAAACCGTTTTGCGAACCTGGCAAGCCGTGCATGCAGATCAACGCTTGAATGTTGTACTTGCGTGCCCATCCCAATGCTTGTTCGAGATATGCATCTGCACCGGAAATGTATGGACTGCCAGTATTGTTGAAGGCCCAGAATCCAATAGGTATGCGGATACTGTGTTTCAGAAACGTTAGCTAAAGATGTCATACAGTTTTTGCCTGGACGGTTAAGGCTGATAAGGGTCGATTGAGTCGAGCCACAACGGTTTCGGAACAAACGTACGTATTGAGTCCCCATGCGGCGATTTGTGCCATGTCTGCTTCGCTGAACCAAGATGCCCAGTGAGATTGCAGTTTGGCTGCTGCACCATCGGTTTGGTCGAATGACCATTGATCAACAGCATCAGTGCCTGCGGTGAGCTCCCAGTTCATCCAGGGTTCAAGGACGAGCCAGCCGCCAATGTTGACACCTCGGAGAGGATCCTCATCACCCTCGCATACGTCGCGTGATTCCAATGTGTTGTCGAATGAGGAGGTGGATGTTGTGATATCGCTGACGGGAAGACCTTGAACCAGCAAGGTTGACGTTGCGATAACAGATAGAAGAGGGAGAAGAGAAAACATTATGATGAGATGAAAGTCACTCTTACAATACTCTCGACAAAAGATGCAAGGCCGGCAAGCTTTCTTTTGTACAGGTACTGTGGAATGTGTGCCCAGCAAGACGTTCAATTGCGATGGCTGGTTGATCTTATACCTTCGTATACAATAGCTGAAGGCGAGTAATTACAGAGCCTACCTTCCACATGGTTTGCTGTTTCGATAGCATCGAGAAAATAAACGGCATACCGTTGGAGGATTTCCCGAAACAGAGGATGTCGTTGGAAATCCAGCCGCACACGTGCAGAAAGCTTGTCGAAACATGTGAATCAGAGCCTGGGGTTCGTCTAAACAGACCGCGCAGGAGAGTTAGTCCGACTCAGCCCTGTGAACATGGAACATGAGGGTGTTGTTGAGCAACGCTCGCATAGGAAGAACTCCAGTCATCCGAGACCTTTCTGCCGGCTGGTAGTGTGATGACGATGGCAATCTCGTGACAGAGAGAGTCGTCGTATGCATTTTGGAATAGCGGACATGTCCGTCGACAATCGTGCCTATCGTGATGGTGTATGCAGCAGACAGCGGTTCATGTATTATTGAGGAGCTGAAAGATCGCCCCGAAATTTGATGTTCGTGTTGTTGTGGTCACTTGTTGCCCACGGTTGTTGAGAATCTCTCTATTAAGGGCCAACTCCAGAAGTACGGAAGGGCCCCCCCTCTGCGCAACTGCCGGGCCGTGAATTCGATTCGGCCCGTGCACCAAATTTTCGACAAGACACCGCCCACAGCCAATCCCAGTCACGAGGCGAGTCCATACAGTATCAATTCACTTCCTGAATGGCTTCATTGTTCAGAGCCGCAAGACCCTTTGGAATAATCTCAAGGATAATCACACCTGTCCGCTTCGGAGTTGTATCATCATCATCAAATCAGACCGCATCCTTCTCTTCAACCATGGCAGCCAAGGCAAACGACCACTACCTGACTCTTTCCTGCCCGGACAAGCCTGGTATCGTGCACGCTGTTACTGGACTTCTGGCCAAGCATGAATTGAACATTCTTGACTTGCAACAATTCTCAGACCCTACTTCGGAGAAGTTCTTCATGCGTGTCCACTTCGGCCATGCCGACAACACCGAACACTTGAAGCCTTCTCTCACCGAGTTGGCTGAGCAAATGAAGATGGACTACAACATCCGTCCTGTTTCTGCTAAGCCTCGTGTTTTGATCATGGTCTCCAAGATTGGTCACTGCCTCAACGACTTGTTGTTCCGTCAAAAGAACAAGCAATTGCAAGTCGAGATCCCTCTGATCGTCTCTAACCACCCTGACTTTGCACCTCTGGCTAAGAACTATGACATTCCTTTCCACCATCTTCCCGTCAACAAGGAAACCAAGTTGGAGCAGGAGAAGCAGATTCTGGATCTTGTCAGGGAGAACAACATCGACCTCATTGTCCTGGCCCGCTACATGCAAGTTTTGACCCCCGGGCTTTGCGAAGCCATGTCTGGAAAAATCATCAACATCCACCACAGTTTCTTGCCTTCCTTCAAGGGTGCCAAGCCTTACCATCAGGCCTACGAGCGTGGTGTCAAGATCACCGGTGCTACCGCTCACTTCGTCACTGCCGACCTTGACGAGGGCCCGATCATTGAGCAGAGAATTGCTCGTGTCAACCACGCCATGTCTCCCAAGGACTTGGTCGAGGAGGGTGCCAACGTCGAAGCTCAGGTTCTGGCTGCTGCCGTCAAGTGGTGGTCAGAGGAGAAGGTCTTCCTTAACGGTACCAAGACTGTTGTTTTCAACTAGACAAGAAATTTTGTCCATGTATGACTAGTTGAATTTTGGATGATCAAGGCGTCTTCATGGTTATAGAGAAAACTGGGATGGCAATATAGGGATATGCTGGATGGTGATTTTCGCAATATACATGGCGGTATGATTTTCGAAAAGTACAGTAAAGTCCAACATTTTCCATGGCATATCACCTTTCAGCAGTCAAGTCGCGAGACGGCCAATCGCGACTTCCGACACCATGCTCATCATTGATGGATGCGGATGCAAACAGAAGGAAGGGGCTCCTTGGGTGGTCATAGCTCCTTCCTTCGCTCTGGTGGTGATGTCAAGGCAAACAGGCAACCCCGCGTTGGCTTCGTTTTTCCTCTTTCTCAAAAAAATCCATCGATCAGAACAACTCCACTGTCAATTCACTCAAACACAAATTCAATCCCAAATCTAATCACCTTCAACATGTCTGGCGCTATCCCCACCTCCACCTCGGTTACCGAGTCGGCCGTCATCAACGGTGTGTTATCGCTAACATGATTGCATTGTCGCAAGATGCAATGGCTGACATGCGATTGACCAGCCCCTCTCTCCCACGTCTGGCACTTCATCAAGCTCCAGGACTTCAACAAGTTCTGGTCCGCTCTTGACAAGGCCGAGTACTCCAAGGGTACCTCTGAGGAGACCGACATTGTCAAGTGGCAGTTCAAGGACGGCACCGTGATTGAGGTCAAGCAGGAGGAGCACTCTTCCCTCAACCACTACATCACCTACTCTGTCATCACCGCCAACCCCGCCCTCAGCTACACCTCTGTTGTCAGCACCATCCGCTGCTTCGCCGTCACCTCTGGCGAGAACGAGAACAGCACTTTCGTCCAGTGGACCGGCAACTTCTCCTCTGACGCTGATGCCGGTATGTCTTGTTTCCTCTAATCTATCAGATCAGCCACTAACATGACTCCCCAGGTGTCATCGAGGACGCCAAGTTCAAGCGCCGTGAGGCTCTCGCCGACCTCGCCAAGGCCGCCAAGAAGATGTAAAGGAAGAGAATAGAGTCTACAAGCTATTCGTTTGAGGAGAAGAAGAGAAGAAGAGAAGAAGACAATATGCATGAATTCCATGATTATCACGAGCATTGAGAGTGGCGGCTGAGTTTGCAAGACGCATCGGTTTCATACCCCCATTGCACGTAGAACAAGAAAGACAAGACAACTTTCACCCACCAACAACCTTTGGCCATACTATTGAACATCAACGATTTCTTAAGCTTAGTATCGACAGTCAGCCATACTGACTGTTTATTCATGACTATCGGGATTTGACCCGGGCTTTGCTCATGGTTCCGGCGGGACTTCCACCACCTGCCTCGGGCAAGCTTGCCCCGCTTGCTCATCATATTTCGAACCTTGTCTAACGTCTGGTCATATATTGACTCACAGTCCTTTCTGTCCCCCGGGAAACACCTGTATAAAAACTGCGATTACCATCACACATTAACCAGATCGTTCAAGATCCTAGGCTACAGCTTCATCGCCTCGAACAACCTTCAGACCACCTTCCAACATGCCCAAGAAACTCAAGCTCGCTGTTTCCCAAAGCAGGACCTTGGACACTCTACAGCAAACCTTGGATGCTCTAGCAGCTACAACTCGCAAAGCAGCAAGTCAAAATGTCGACCTCGTTCTCTTCCCTGAAGCCTATCTAGGCGGCTACCCACGCACCTGCGATTTTGGCGCCTCAGTTGGAGCTCGTGCCCCTCATGGCCGCGATCAGTTTCTCGAATACTTCCACGCCGCTGTTGACCTTGGCGATACACCTCTCGGTGCCGGCGATGACTGGGTCGACCGTAAACTCCCCACTGCCAAAGGACGTGAATACCGTGGCGATGGCACCAGAGAGTTTCTCGAACGCGTGGCTCGCGAGACTGGCGTGTTCATCGTGACTGGACTGGTCGAACGCTGTGGAGGAAGTCTCTACTGCGGTGTCGTTTATGTCTGTCCTCGATACGGATGTATCGGCAAGCGCAGAAAGCTCATGCCTACTGGATCTGAACGCCTGGTGTGGGCCCAAGGACAGGCTTCCTCATTACGTGCCGTCACCACTGAAATCAAAGGTGTACAACTCTGCCTCGCGGCGGCCATTTGCTGGGAGAACTATATGCCGTTGTTGAGATACAGCTTGTACTCACAGAACGTGAATTTGTATCTTGCGCCTACGGCTGACGCGAGAGATACTTGGGAACCATTGATGAGGACCGTGGCATCGGAGAGTAGGGCCTTCGTGCTCAGCGCCAACCAATGCGTTAGAAAGAGTCATTTGCCCGCCTGGATCTCGGTCGGCAAAAAAGTCGAAGAACCCAAAGCTTTGACTAGGACTTCTACATCCTCGACATCCCCTTCCAGACGTAGAAAATCAGTCGTCATGGAAGGAACCCACGAACTTGTTCTTCCCGACCCTTCCGACGACAAGGGTAGTGACAGCAGCGCTATTGCCGAAGACAACTCTGCAGACGAATTCGTCTGTCGTGGTGGTTCTTGCATCATTGGTCCTATGGGTAATGTCCTGGCAGGCAGTCTCTGGGAGGTCGAAGACGGATTCATGGCCGTCGAGGTTGACTTTGAGGACTGCGAGAGGGGAAGACTGGACATTGATGTTGCGGGCTCTTACTCAAGAAACGATGCTTTCCATCTTACTGTTGATGGATTGGATCTCAACCCACCTCCATTCTGAGGAAGAGCTAATATAAAACACAGAGAGATCAAAAGAAAAGCTATTGAAGAGAGTCACAAGTTTATGGAAAATTCAACCACAAATCAGCTGAAGAAGTATCACTCAGCACAATCTGAAATATTATCTCCACACCTAACCAAGCCTCTTCTTTTTTCTTCTCGATGAATCCGGCACGGCACGGCACCCTTTACTCATCCTAAGACCTCCCGAATCGGTATATCCCAAATACATCTCGGAACGCAATCCAACTCTCAAAACATGCCTTCAATCAATATCACCCCCGATTCTCGCGTGACCCAACATTACCATAAATCAAGCTAGGATTACAAGACCGACCACGCGACGAAGAGCGGGTACAAATATCACTTCTCCTATAGCTCCCCTCCTAATCCCTTACGCCAATTTTTCTCTCGAATTATTGCGTTATAGCACGACCGACGTCCAACCCCATCACACGAGAAACGAAGGAGGAGGTGTCGCGGGCGCCGATATCGACCTCGTTCGCCCTCGTACCTCACGGCAGTCTTAAGACAAATATATAATGACAAACAAACACGCCCACTTCCCAGAATAGAAGAGGGCGCTGAGGAACGAAAGTAAGATTGTGCAAAAAGATTGCCACTCGAGTAAAAGAAAAAGGGACGTTGTTTCACCGCCTTGTAAGATACATTGCGAGATGGAATGTGTGAAAGAAGATGTAAAGGAAAGGAAAGGGGTTTGTAGTGAGAGATGCGACTGTTTTTATGATGATGTGATATTATCGAGATCCAAGCTGTAAGAACGTATGTTGGTGTTGGATGTACTAGTTTGCTGGCTGGGTGAGACTCCTAGATGTGCAGACTAGTGGACTGAATGGCTGTGTCAATGCAAGATCGTTTTTTTGGTGTTGATGCGATTGTCCGCTGAGAGCAATCAAGAGTGAGCACTTTCAGTGAATAAACCTCTGATTCAAGAAACCACCTTAGCTTCCTCTAACCGCATTTGCAAACCACACCGATGATGGGAAACCTTCGAACCCAGAATAAAAGAACCGACAACGCTAATGCTTGTTTGCTATGCTATGCTTTTCACCACTACCGTACAAAATCATACACTGTACATATCTTAAGCTCACCTCATCAACCCATACCCACACCTTTCCTCCTCGCCGCCCCAACCGCCCTCAAACACCTCCCCACAGCCTCCAAATCCCCCAACAACGTCACATGCCCCCTCTCACTAGAAACCAACCCACCCCTAGCAACCGAATACCCATCAGGCAGCATGGCAGCTTTAGCAAGCACGACACCATCTCCAGACGCGAACGCCAGATTGTCATATGCAGAGGCATGTTTGATTGCTTCTCTGCTGACCACTTTGGCGCCGTAAACGGTGGGTGTGGTTTTGCCGTAGATGACCGCTGCGGGTGGGTATAAATTCGCTTCCGCGTGGGGTGGGTGGAAGAACAATTCCGTTTTGAATTTTTTGACCGAGGCGAGGATGCGGGTGAGATAGGCGATGGCTGCTTCTCTGGGGATGGTTACGGTGGTGGCGATGGAGGTGTTTGGATCGTTGCTTGCATCCCCTGATGCCATAGTCTTCGACCCAGTGGAGCCATCCATTTGAGGGGAAAGGTTGTCGGTCCCGTTGTAGTCGATATTGCCTTTTGCTTCAGCTTTTTCGCTACTGCCGGCGGCGGCGGAGCCGTCCATCTCGGGCGGATTGGCTAGACCGTCGATGGCGTGGGCGGCGGGGTGTTGGATGGCTTGTTTTACGCGATTGCTTACACTGTTCTTGCGACCGGGCACCATGCTGTTCATAACACCTGCCATGCTGTTCATAACACCAGCCAGGCCAGTAGGTTGAGGGGGTTCGTTGAGTGAAGGCAGAGGGCGAGCGATGCAAGGGGACAGACGCCAATCGATCCAGGTTTGTGGGTCGAAGAAATCGACGGGGTATTCCTCCTTGGTTTCTTTGTTGAAGAAACACCGACCATCGAGTGGTAAGAGGGCGAAACTCGTTCGGATCGTAAAGTTGACTTGGGCTGTCAAAACGCGACTACTCAGGAGTACATCGTCGCCGTTACGGAAAGGGCCGAGGATATTGACGCAGGTTCTAGGCACACCAGCATATACCACTCCTGCAAAGAGGTCTGGTCGTTTGTTCACAGCATGTCTTGTGATCAGGCCACCCAACGAATGTGCGATGACTGTGGCACCACGCTTGTCTTTCGGTGTACCGGGTTTGTTGCACTCCAGCTTTTCCAAGAACTGGATGAGTTGCTTGCTGAGGAAGTTTGGATCTAAACGCCAATCATAGCCATAATCATGGACTCGCAACTTGCCACTTTTGGCATTTTCACAGGCACGCATGCGTTTGAACAAACGTCTAGAAATGTCAACGGGGCCAATGTGAGTAAGCATGCCGCCAGGAATGATCTTCTCATGAGCTCTCTCATCGGCATCGGCATCGAGGCCGACTTCCAAATCTACCTTTCTCACGTTCAAGCCAACCTTGATGGGTGCCCATAGTTGCCTGTGGGGCGGCTCCGCAGACCTCAATATAGAGCCACGGTAGCCTCCAAGAATCACCACGTCACCGGTCAGCTCATCTAGTGCTCTCGAGAAGTGTGGATGCTGTTGGGCAGTTTTGCTTGCTTGTGGGCCAGCTGTTGATGCTCTGGGCAATTGACCGTTCGGTCTAGAAGTTGCAGATGGAAGAGCAGAAGAAGATACAGATGGATTTGACGTTTGATTCTTCTTGGAAAAAGAATTGGCGCGATTGAGAGACAGGTCAGACAGGGAGGAGAATGAGGGAAGAAGTGGCAGTCTAATGTTAGTATCCTGCCAGCTATCTCTGATTGCCTTCATTCTGCTGTTGACCTGTGCTTGAACGTGTTCGAAGCGACTATCATCCCCAAGAGACGGAACACGCGACAGAGTGCGGAAGGTGTGTAGGGAAGATTCTGAAGCAGAGCGGCGCAAACTCCTGTGGCTTCTGCCGCTATTGACTCTAGCCATAGGGCTGAGAGTGTTTTCTGGTTGGCCGTTCGCTGTTTTGGAGGTGGCTGGGCGGATGGGCATAAACTGGGGGTTGCCATTGCTCGTAGTGGATTCGTTGGATGGTGGATCCCTCGAGAGGGGCATAGTTTTAGGATGTTGTAACAGACGCTGAGGAGCGGGCTCTTTTGCGGTCGAGGCTGGAGCAGTCGAGGGAGGTTGAGGATTCGAATCAGCAAGGGTGTTACCAATGCTATTGGTTCTGCGAGGGCGCGGAGGCAGGATGTTGGTGGTCGAAGATGAGGACAGAGAAGCGAGCGAGGCAAAGAGAGAGCCACTACGTCTCTCTCGGTTGGTCGGACGGGTCTTGCGCTCGGATTCAGGGGCATGGGCAGTCGTGTGAGTGCTCGAGAAGGGAGAGGTGAAGTTGTGTATGCTAGTCTTGAGCGCATCCCGCCATCCTTCGACCATGCCCGCACCTGCTCCTGGTGGACTCCCCGAGGAGGCTCGTCGACGGAAACCGTCCTTCAGCACAGAACGACTCTCATCCGTCCTCTTGAACTTCTTAGGTCCAGCGCGCCATGGTGAAGGTAGACGCACCGTCGTCTCCCCTGTTGTTGTCGCCGGTGCTCTGTGTTCTGTTGTTGGTCTCTCCTGTATCACTTGCCTTTCCCGCGTGACTGGTCTGGGTAAACGTTCTTGCTCGAGAGCTGGTGGGGTGGGCGCTTTGTCGTCATCTTCGTCGAGGTCTACGTCGTCTTGGATCTGAGGACCGCCAAAGAAGCCTCCCTGCTCGTCAATGGCTGCGTGCTTCTCTGCTGCTGGTGTCTGCGGCAATATCAGGCGTGTTTGCGCTCGTCCAAGACTGACTCCGACAAGGGATTGTGCTTCGGCGGGTGCAATGGCTCGAATCTCGGGACCTTCATCTTCTGACGACGTCGCATTGTCATTGATGAGGTTGTTGTAGTGTATGTCGGCTAGTGCTCGTGGCCGGCGTTCGGGACTCTGTTGAATGCTCGACATGGTGCTTCATATATACATTGGTCGCTTCGGGCTGGTATAGGACAATGGAAGGACTGACGAATAGGATGACGGCAGCAATGGTAGGCAATGAATGGTAGGAAGGAGTGGATATCTAAGGATGGATTGAGAAAGAGAACGTGAGGCTCAGGTCAGCCTCTGCTCGCTTGGATCGGCCTTCTATTAGCTACAACAGTCAGCCTGATCAGCTCCATGGTGCGCCTCGATGACCTGTGAGAGAAGAGCCCCATCTGACCCATCGCTGAACTTCCGACCGAACCGGCCGGATGCCATCACAGAAACGTCCGAGAGCGTTGTGAAAGTCTGTTCGTCGTGGCGGAGTAGAAGCCTTGGCAATGGAATCACCGACTGATGAATATCATATTTGTAAATGTGCATACCAAACATGCTGATCAGGTGTCGTGTTAGCTTCAATAGGAGATTGTTCAATAATCATAGTCTGCATACCGCCTATCATACGACTCGTCAATGGCCGTTGCGCCCCATCTAAAGTCGTAAGGAATACGCCGTCGAGTTTCAAGATACGCCGACGCCAATACGATCCAAATACGCTCTTTCTTCGATCAAATTTTGCCCTTAGGCCATTACAAACTCATCAACAATGTCACTATACTATGAAGCCTCCGACATACTAGCCAATGCAGAGGCGAAAGGCGGATCATTGAAGAATCGGATCTTCGGCAAGAAAGACCTGAAAAGCTCACCTGGCGCTATTTTCGCTTTGGTAGCAGAAACCACGAAATGGAGTTCTGTATTGAAAGAGGTCATCGAGAAGAGTGATATTCTGAAACTCGAGAAAAAGGTAGGGTTGGCTTGCAACTCTTTGTGCCTTGCTCTGTGTCTGGACCGCTCCGCTTCTGACAGCAGACAAGAACAGAGAACTTCTTTCTTGTGATATACCTTGACAATCAGATGTTGACATCTTTCTAGTTGACACCGACTCTTGCATTGCTTCTAGCTCATGATCTCATTCTAGCTAAGAAGGGAGTCGCTGCTCCCAAATCGCACCCTCTAAATCTTGCCATCTCCCGTCACAAGGCAAGACTCGGTGCTGAATTCACCAAGTGTCGAATCAAGGGGAGATTTGCTACACTAGATGCATTCAGAACCCATATCAATGCCGCCGCTGCAGACGAGAGTGCCGAGGCTGCTGCCAATGGTACCAAAGCATTCCATCCGAGATGGGTTCGTGTCAATGCTGTGCGTACGTCCCTAGCAAAGGCAAAAAGCACTTTCTTCGCCGATTTCACGACAGTCTCATCACTCAAGGAACTTAGCACTACTCCTCGAGGTATTTACTTCGACGAGCATATCCCCGGTCTTGTCGCAATCCCCCCTGCGATCGATCTCTCCAAACATGCTGCTTACCATGCTGGTGAGATCATATTCCAGGACAAAGCATCATGCTTCCCTGCCTATCTACTGGATCCTCAGCCCAAAGACGGTCAGGTCATAGATGCTTGTGCGGCTCCAGGCAACAAGACCACTCATCTGGCTGCAATCCTATCGTCGCAAAAGTCATACGGCCTGAAGGCTTCAGTTACTGCTTGTGAGCGCAATCCAATCCGAGCGCAGACGCTGGAGAAAATGGTCAAACTGGCTGGTGCTGGAAAGATCATCTCCGTCAAGGCTTCGCAAGACTTCACCAAGTTGGATCCTCGCTCTCAAGAATTTGCCGATGTTGGTGCTCTTCTCCTTGATCCCAGTTGTTCGGGAAGTGGTATCATTGGTCGCGATGATACTGCGGTGTTGCATCTACCATCGCTACCTTCAACTGCTCCAGCAGCTCCGAGCAAGAAACGTAAGAGAAAGGCTACTGCAGTTGTCGAAGTGCCAGTCGTTGCTGAGACCAACGATGAACTCAGCGAAGAAACCCCACAAGCAGTCGAGGACGATGCGGAAAAGCTGAAGACGAGATTGAACAACCTTGCTGGATTCCAGCTCAAGATCGTGCTTCATGCTTTCGCCTTCCCAGCTGCGACCAAAGTCACCTACTCCACGTGTTCGATACACGCAGAGGAGAACGAGAACGTAGTTGTCAGGGCTCTGTCCTCAAAGATTGCCAGAGAGCGCGGCTGGAAGATTATGAGGCGCGAAGATCAGGTTGAGGGTATGAAGAAGTGGAGCAGAAGAGGCGACCCGGAAGCTTCAAGAGAGGCTCTCAAAGGTCATGCAGGCCTCGAGGACGCGACTGTTCTCGCGGACGCGTGTATCAGATGCGAAAGAGGCACTGATGAGGGTACCATGGGCTTCTTCGTTGCCGGGTTCGTCAGAGATCCTGACGCGGTCATCACAGAAGCAGCTACAGAGGCTGTCGGAGTCGAAGACGAAGACGAAGAAGAAGAGGATGAGGAATGGGGTGGTTTCGACGACTGAATCGTGAGTCGTTAGGTGGCGCATGCGACGTTTGCATCGTCTACTCTGCATCGAATACTGCAGACTGCTTCACAGCTCCCAACAGGCTTGTCGGGTTAGTAACACACACGCCACGCGACCCTCGACCGGATGCCACAAACGATCAACACGGTATGGAAATATATTCAATACACTCCTCACTCTCCGTTCAAGACTCTGGTCGAATAGTAGCAGAAGCATATCATGAGAGTCAAGGATAGAAGAAAAGGATCACCGCTACCATCGAGGATACAAAAGAAAAGAACAAAACTTCATCCAAAAGAGAAAAGAAAGGCAACACAAAAAGAAAAGCACCATGGGAAGGAATCGAACCCCCGACCTCCTCGAATCTAGACTGACACGGCGTTGAGTAACAACGAATGACTGCGCACGTGTTAAGACCACGGGTGTGTTAAACCACTACACTACCACGGCTATTTTGCTTATTAAAAGGATCCTAAGATATGTCGTATATAAAGGTTGCGTAGGGATGTCCGGAAAGAGAGGGAGAGCTGGTGGTTTGAGTTAGTTCTGACGCTTCAGCTTCATGTGACCAAGTATGACCAATAGCCGATGAGAGCATCTAAGCCTCGGACTCAGGAGTCCAGTGAACAGGCTAGCTGCGGACGACGACCATGTCGTCTTTCGTGTAGTGGGGCGGTGTGTCAGTTCACTGGAAGTCTGAGTCAGAGTTGTATGCAAATGCATTTCGATGATTAGAGGTTGGTCAGTATGTATCCCAATATGTAAGTGTATGTGTAAGTGTATGTGTACATCGAACGCCGACATGTTATGCTCGGTGGACGGGCCTAGAACTCAATACTCGCGGCTCTCGCCAATATTGCAGACGTCAAACACGCCAGTCTCGGGAAGGCTTTTCCAGGCCATTGCCTTTTTGAGTAGCTTCGGAGGCTCAAGGACTTCCTCTTCTGTCAATACCCATGTGCCTGGTATTCGTTAGTGAACACATCTTCGAAGGTCGATGTATAAGTCCTTACCCCAGTGGATTCCAAGCGCCTTCTTACATTGCGTATCAATAAAGATGTTAACACTGTCGAAAGGATTGGCGTGCATAGGAGACATGATGAAACGAGGGTCGTATGCGCCGATAGGGATCAACCCGAGATCGAATGGACCCCTGAGCTCACCAATCTCCTTGAAAGCAGGACATGTTGGGTAGTTGTGCTTCTCGTCGTAGTCGTTCTCCTCTTCGGGAAGGTCAGGGACAGAGCGGTAGCCAGTATCTCCTCCAAACCAGATCTTCTTGCCGCCGCTCTCAATGCTCCATGAGCCCCATAGGGTGTGTGACTTGTCGAATGGAGTACGAGCACTTGTATGTTGGCAAGGGAGGCAGCCGATGACAGCCTTGATGTCCTCGGCACCTCCAGCGTTCACAGTCGACCCGGTCTCGGTGTGTGTGGTTTCCGCATCTTGCTTCTTCGCAGACAGAGTGAAGTCCCTCGACTCCCACCAGTCCAACTCGGTCATGTTCTCGATGCCGCATTTCGAGAACCATGGCTTATTTCCCAACGGAGCCCAGAAGTGGGCATCCGGGTGCTTTTCTTTGATCTTGAGGATGGTAGGGTATGAAAGATGATCGTAATGACTGTGTGAAATGACGACGGCGTCTATTATGGGAATGTCGGCCACGTCGACAGGAGCGGGAGTATATCTCTTCGGGCCCATGAAGCTCAAGGGACTGCATCTCGGCTCAAAGACAGGATCGAAGAGAACTCTTAAGCCACTAGGGAACTCGACGTAGTAGCAGGCGTGTCCTAGCCATGTTGCTCGTAACGTCTTGGTCTCGCGTGTGGGTAGGAAGTCGGGTTTCTGAACTGGGACGGTGGGTGGGGTCGTATCGGGCGTGTTCTGCTTGCCCGAGAGCTTTCGCCTGAGTCGCAATGGTCAGCAATGGGATTTGCGATGGTGAATTGGACAACGGATGTGTGTACCAGATCAAAGCCGAGATAATTTGTGGAGCAGTTCTGTCGACATAAGAGTCCCAAGGGTTGATGAAGCCCTTTCCATTCTTGTTATGATGGCGCAATTCCTTGGTGTTCTTTGGCACGGCACCGGTTGCTCGCGAAGAGGACGAGACGGTTGCGTACAGAGCGGACGAGGTTGAAGCCGACGACATTGTGGTCGAGGTCGAGAAGTTTTGCTGATGCTTGACGACGTTGGTGGCTGTTGCAATTGAACGATTGCACAAACGCGAAGTGGAAAGCATCACGCCGTCAGCGAGGCCTGCCCCTGCCTCAATATATAATGGTCATTCAATAATTCCACTCGACCAAATGCGAGGAATTGCACCGGCGGTCGCTTCATGCTTCCGCGCCGTTGCGAAAGCATGCGGATTTTGTCCATCTTTCACTACTTATCTCCGATGTAGCTCGGGCCCTTTAGGCACCTCAATTGACTCTGATATGGCTGGTCGATACTACCTGGTGGCCTCGAAATGTAGATGTGAATGTTCGTAGGATCTGATCTTCAGAACAAGACATTGATCGGCCATCGACGACCTGATCAAAGGTCAGCAACTTGGCGGTCTTCCTCGAGACATGTGAAAAGCGGAGTGATCGTCGGGCGCGTGTAACCGCCGCGATGCAGCTCCGCGTCTATCAATCCGTCCTTCTTCCCTTCCTCCCCAACATCTCATGTCTTTGCTATAAGATATAGAATAGCGCCGCGTATTCTTTTGTTCCGTCTTGCTGGACTAGGGGAATATATCGTCGGCCAGCATGGCGCCACAGTGCCAGGCATTATACGTGTCGGATGAACGGCGATGCAGCGAGGAAGCTACCAACGTTAATGGCTTGTTCTGTTCTTTCCATGCTAGGCAAGTCTACAGTAAGCATCGAACGGACTTTGTACGTGACAACACACCAGTTGACATGTCCAGGTTTGTATAAGGGTTACAAGCGTAGAGGTGCCCAGTTGGACGCTTTGCAGAAGGACCCTCCGGACTACCTTGTCGACCGCCCTATACATAAAATCTCCTTTGACGACATAGATGATGAGGAAACTCTCAAGACGCTCCACGCCTTCCTGTTCAAACAAAACGGTCTTCTCGATCGCTGTATCCGTGCCAGAAAGCTCCACCACTCGCGCTTCTACGCTCTCGAGCTCGACTATGGCCACCAACACTATCTGGACCATCTGATTAGCGAGAAGCACAACACCAGTCGCGCTCTGGAGAAGCTTGAGAGACGAACCGCCGAGGTCTTGTACAGGCAGCAACAGTGGTTCGGCTGGGTCCGCAATCTTGAGGACGACGAAGAGAAGGAACGGGATGCCGAGAAGAAGAAGATCAAGCAAGAGGCCGCATTGTTCAAGCGTCACTGGAAAGACGTCTCTGCTCGTCTGGACAAGTTGAGACAGAAAGAGAACGAAAAGAGACAAGCCGAATACCTTGAGAAGGTTTGGGAAGAGAGAAACAGATTCGAGGAGGAACTCACCGCCGAAGGAGAAGGTGGCGAGGAATGGGACCCTATCGAGGACCTTGTCGAGGACGAACGCGAAAATTACGTCGATCTCATTCGTCGCTTCTTGTGGCTCGCAGAACCCATCACCCTAGCATCGGACGAGCCAAGGTCCCCGAAAGCCGCCGCGGCAGACGCGTCGACTCCGAAGAAGGAGAACGCGAACCCTGCCGACGTGCAGTCTCCGTCGAAGGAGGCGTCAAATTCTCAGGCACTCGTGGAGACCAACAAGTCCAAGAACGCAAAGAAGAAAGCACGACAAAAGGCAAAGGCTCTAGAAGTTCAAGAAGCTAGCAAGGCCAAGCCTGGTGAGGTCCACATCGAAACACCTGATGAAGTTCGCATCCGGCTGCGTGAAGGCTCAACCATGTGTGGTGTCTTGCAGACTTTCGATCCTGAGGATCCATCAAAGACCGAGATCGTCACGGACAAGACTTTTCCTCTTGCTGACGATGAGATCGAGTCTTTGATGCAGCAGATTCCTGACATCAAGCAGTTGTTGTTCTGTCGATTGCTGCTTGGCTATGCGACTTTGCTACCAGCAGCACTGCGAGCTGAGAACGTGGAAGAGTTCCTGGCTGATTCATCCGTGACCAACGCAGAGCTGAGAGACTTGTGTTTGAAGATGGAACAACCTGGACTGCAACAACTACGTGATGCATGTGCTGATCTTGGTCGTGAAGACAACGAGCCTGATGAAGACGAAAGTGTCCCTTCTGCCAGCGCGGAAGCACCCGCTGGACGTACCAAGTTCACATCGAGACCCATGTTCCCAGTCAAGAATGTGAAGACCAAGCGTGAGAAGGAAATCAAGGAGAAGAGAGAGAAAACTATGCAAGACAACCAAGACAGAACCACTTTTGTTGACTTCGGCGACGTTGATGATCAGCAACAATACCGTATCAAGAAGATTCGTGTCAAGGTTTGTGGCAGATTCATCTACAACTATCGTAAGTCCTGCAATATGCATATACATCTGCCATGCAACTCTGACACGATTTACAGCTAGCGAAAAGGCAATGTCCAGAGGTGGATGGCTGCAGTTTTCAGTCATCGCGAAAGACTGTTCGCTCTTCCAGGCAGTGAGCCTAGCCCGAAGTTGGGACGAGTTCTTCGAGCTCAACATTCTGACTTGTAATCACTACTTCCCGGCTGCGCAGTGGGCATCATGGATCAGGAGCATCACTCATGAGCAGCTTCTTCAAGTCGGGTTTATACCATACTTCCAGATGGACAAAGCAGCACACATGACTTCTCACCATCAGACTGGATCTCGTGCCCATGGACAGCGCCGCACTCATCATGCTGTCGAGACTCGAAATTTTGTATGCGCACATATGAAGCGTAACGATCCAGTCACCAGACGCTGGATTCAGTACGCTGTTATGGAGTCCTACAAGATGGCAATCATGGTTCGTGACGGTCGAACTGGTAATGTCATTGTCGAACCACCTCAAGAGCATAAGTGGCTCATTCGAACCAAGTCTGGTGTTGGAAGAGCAAGTCGATCTGAATGGCAAATTGTCAAGGAAATTGACGACAAGTTCTGGGATGAGATCGACCGCTTCCGCGAGTGGCACCTTGGCTTCAAGGATTACTACGACATCGTTGTGTGGGACATTGAGAGTGGCGAGCACTACTCTTCGCTCTACAACTCGATTCAGGAGCTTTTGATCAGAGCCCTCCGTTTCAGAGGTATGTTTGTCAATTTCACCATGCGCACACTGATTCTAACTCTTCTATAGATCCCAAGGACTTCTACAAGCCCGCCGAGCATGTTCTGCGTACTCTCACCCGTGACGAGCATCTTTCTCGTGCAAGAGACCTGCGTCCAGACGAAATGGGCAAGGGCAAAAGTATTTGGGACTGGATTCATAGTGACGGCACCAGAATGAGATACTTCTCCAGAGGCAGTGATGGAAGCCACAGAGAAGAAGCCCCTCCTCAGCTATTGTACAAGCAAGAGGATATGCTGGAAGATCAGGTTCTATTCCCTTGGGACCGTAGTCTATGGACTGACGAAGAGATCCCTGAAACCGCCAGCAAGATAATTGCAGTTGCAAAGAAAGCCGCAGATCTTGCCCCTGCCAATTCAGGCCACGAGTTGATGTTGGCCGATGCTGACGCTGAATCTAACGCTGGTGATGAAGGTGTGCTTGCAAGTCAAACTGGTAAGATGCATAATTTCGAGCACCACGGCTTGGACCTCAACCGCTGGATCAACGATCTCGACACTGACGAAGAGCTGAGCGATACCGAGTATCAGGAAGTCTCAGAAGGTGAGGACGATGGCAGTGACTGGGTATCTGATGAGGAATATGCTGAAGGTGTTATTGAAGAACTCTCTGAAGCTGCCGGCGTGACCATTCGAGGCCGCTGGGTCGACGATCACAACGAGAAGGAGCCGAGATGGCAAGATATGGTTATGGCACTGGAACTCTGGGAAGATCCATCGCTCTCCAACCTCCGCGAGAATAAGGCTGTTGGCTACCGTGCACCCAGACAACTGCCCACTATCATGACCTCTAGAGGAGAGATTGAAGACATGAAGGAAGAGTGGGAGCTCTTCATCGATCGAACCAGAGCTAGCAGTTTCAAAGAAGCGTGGCACAAAGCCGATCTCGAACCTGGAGCTCAAGAGAAATACGCCGAAACTCAAAAGATCATGAAGGCGTACGTCGACTTCTTCGCCAAAGGAACTAAGGGTCCTTGGGCACCAGGAATGCTCGAGCGTCAATTCATGCTTATGATGCTCCTTGAGGTTGATCCGGATGTGCACCGAAGAGTCAAACGCGACATGACCTTCGCCAACGCCATGATCACCTGTTTCTTCCAGAGAGATAGTCCCTTCTTCAGCTCTGAGGAGGGCATGCTATGGAAAGACTCTGCCCTCTTCGACCAGGCAGAACGTGCGAAGCATATCCCTGACGTCCGCTCCTCGCACTCTAACCGCACCCGATCTGCCTCCCAGTGGGAAGATTGGGACAAGATTCGTAATGATGTGATGAAGTCTGGCCATGGCGCGCTTCTCTGGGCATCCGACAAGTACCCTCAAGATTGGAAATACATAACACGACCTACCATCGCGCACCTGTACCGTCACGGACTACTAGCACCCCGCTACAAGCCAGAATACTCCGGCTGCGCCGTCGTCCTCGAAGAACCCGCTCGACCAGCAAAACCCGAGCTGTACTTCGACTTCCGCGAAGACGCACAAGAAATGAAACCGCGTCAACCCATGCAAGATCCCCTCAAAGTAGCCCCCCTCCTCGACTCAGCACGCGACTACGCAGCCAAAAACCCCGACGCCTATTTCTCCATCCTCCGCATCTGGTCCGCCCCCCACTTCTGGCCCCTGATGCTAGGCTACGACAACCGCGACGGCACCTCCTTCGCCGACGACATCGGCCGCACCTGGGAATGGAAATTCGTGCCCAAAGACATGCCCTTCAGCGAATGGAGCATCCACCACGCTCTGCGCCTCCGTCTAAACGAATACGAAAAGAAAATCGAAGGCAAGGTTTTTTTGAAGGGGGATAAAGTGCTCGTGGTGGGTAAGAATCGGGAAATGTGTAGGAATTATTCGACGATTGCGTATTTTGCGGTTACGACCAGGCCTTGGAGGTTGGAGGTTGATGTGTGGAAGAGTTTTTTCGGTGTCAAGTTGGACTTTTTGGAGGGGTTGGATGGGAGGTGGTGGGAGTAGTGTTTCTCATCTCTATATCCTCCCGGTACAACAGTCTTCTTCCTGTCATGTTTCTTGCACGCAATGGTGCTGTGAATGTGGTTGTCGAAAGGCAAGCGGTGTTAGTATGAGGATTCATCGGATGGCCTGTCAGGGGGAGAGTTATCTTGAATTCTTCGTCAAATGTCACGCTCGTTTGTGACAGTCATAGGACAAATGCTTGTTTTTGGGGGGGTTGCATAAATACAGGTAAAACGTCAATCGTAACTTCCTCATTCCTCGTTGCTGCTTTCTCCAACTCTCCTCTCTCGAACGTTCACCTTTTTTCCATCGTCACCAGGAATCCATCTACTGCATCTTCTTGACCTCCTGAGGCGGGGCGGCTCTGTCAATCAACCCCGCACCAATCTGAGCGGTCTCATGCCAATTCCTCTGGCGAGCCCAGAATCTGTCCTCCAACCTCGAGCTCCTCAAACTACTTTGTCTAGCCTCTTCCTCGAGACTCTCTCTAGTAATCTTTTCGCCAAACTTGCCGACTTGAGGAAGCTGCTTGCTCTTCTCCAAAGATTCGGAGAAATATTGTTGGCGGGTGAAGTAGCGATCACGGCGTTCCTTTTGACGTCCCGGAGAGTCGATCTTGGAAATGCCGATTTGGACGGCCCAGCGGACGAGGAGGAAGGCGTGTTCGGCGAAGAAGATTGTGAGGAGGAGGGCCCAGCCACGGATGTCTTTGGGAGTGCCGTCAGGGCCGAGACCATCGTTGCTGAAGAGGTAGACGAGGGCAGCAGTGGTGATACTGCCGAGCCAGGAGAGGAAAGATAGGGAGTCCAACCAAGGACCAATAGTGTCGGCGCGTTCGGGGGTGGGACGTTGCATCTCGATGCAGATCTTGACGGCGTCGGCGCGGAGTTCGAGCCAGTTGTTTGCGAGGAAGGAGACGGCAGTCAGAGGCCAGACTGTGCTGAAGAGTGCGAGGTAGCCGAATTGGATGACCATCTCGCGCAGATCGGAGGTGACATCGTAGACATCGAGCTCAGCTTCACGACGAACGCGGGTCAGGAAAGCGGCCTCATCGGGCTGGTCGCTCTCGGTGGGAGAAGGAGTAGCACCACCCTTCTTCGATGCACGCTCACTCTGCATCTCCTTGTACTTGCTGAAGCCTTGGCGCTTGAGGTAAGGTACAATGACCTCCATGCCGAGGTTGACGATTTGAGCAGTGACGGTGAAGTAGATGATTTGCTTGCGTAGACGATCAGGGTTGATGACAAAAGAGCCAACCTTGGGTGCCTGCAGCTGCTTCTCGTTTTCGGCAAATGGTCTCGCGGTCAGACTGAAGACATCAAGGTAAGGGACAACAACAGCGCCGAAAGGAACGTAGACGAAGGCAGTCAGGAAAACGGGCAGGTATGAGGTGATGAAGTTCAGGACGAAGATCTTCTGGGTCATGGCGTATTTGAAGGCATCATCAGTCTCGTAGTTCTCAAACTTGGTCAGGCGTTCGGCAAAAGTGGTGAGAATGCCGTTCAAGACAGGCATGACAGTGGTCAAGATGATAGTAGGGAGGAAGACCTGTATAGTTAGCACGATACTTGAAACTCCTGGCACGAATCACTCACCAGAACAGACTTAAGGGGGCCATTGTAGATCTCTGAGATGAAGATCTCGATACCAAAGCAAGTAGCGATCAAGCTACCGAGAACAGTGGCTGCAGCAATAGCAAAAGGGACCTGGAGAAGCTGACGTTGGAGACGCTTGGTGGCAGGGAAGACCAGCATCTTCTCTCCAGTAACAGGATCCGTGCCCTCCTTCTCGTGCTCAAAGTGTCTACGCTTGGTCTGAATCTTGGAGACTCCACGGACACCCCATCTCACACCAAGGTCGACTTCTTGATGCTTCCAGTATTCAACGAAGATGACACACCACAAACTGCTGACAATGGCATAAATGGGCGAGAATCTGCCTAGGAGAAGCCAGGCAGTCGCGCCGAAAGCGGCGGGGAAGACGAGGAAGGTGAAATAAGACTGGGTAAAGGCAAAGTAGAATGCGATCTTCTCGCCCAGTCTGTTCCTGATCTCGTCAAGATCCTCGGGCTCCAAAAGGTATTTCTTGGTCCATCTCGTAATCCACTCCTTGTTGTAGGTATGGTCGTGCAGGGCGAAGATGGACTCGACATTTTTCCACTCTCCATCCTTGGGAGTAATGCCAGCTCCACCTTCTTCTTCGGGGTTGGTGATCATGCGGTAGATGATACGGTAGCGTTCGGCCTCGTGAAGGGGTTCGTCTTCGATGGCCTTTTGGGTCTCCTTGGATGGTGCGGCTGCTCTGACCCCATGGATCCAGTCCTTGACTCTTGAGCGGTACACTTCGGCATTGACATGCTCCTCGCTGGCAACCTTGACGAAGATCAACAGAGAGTGGTTGTCACCATTGCGAACTTCGGTAGCCAGTCCGACTTTAGCGAGTCTTTCGACGAGTTCAGCAAACTTCTTTCCAGCTTCACCCTTGCCTATAACGCGGTGATCAGTACCAGTACCGACATTGAGGCCGTATTCACATACTCGTGGTTGCGAAGCGGAAGACAATGACATAGTCAGTCTCCATGTTTGTCGCGAGACCCTTCTTGTTGTCCTTGAACTCAGGAGACAACGGAGCGGACGGAGAGGACACCATGTTGATCAAGTGCTGTCTGTTACAGCAAGTGAGAGCAGGTTGTTGATTCAAAAGGAGAGATAAGGCAGGGAAGCTCTCGAAAGCAGTCTGTCGAGGAGCTGTGCTTTCGAAACTTGATCCAGAGCTCCCAGAAGTCGCGTCCTCATACGTCATCAAATCAGGGTTTCACATGCAAGCCTTGTGTATTGAAGCCCCCGCTTTGTTAGACGCCCACAGCGGGTGTCCCAATCACCTCGATGCATGCATGTCTCGATGCATGAACATCGAGAAGTTAGCAATTGGCCAGATGAGAGCGCATCTTAAGCCTATTCACGCGCTCTTTTGGCTCTCAGTTCTGACGGTGACTCTGCCGGGCCAAATGTAGCCTCGGTGAAAACAAGTCGATCAATCTAGGCTTCAGTACCGAGACCTTCACATGCACTCTCTCCAACCATCTCCAACTTGTCTATACATTTTCACCACCATCGAGAGAAACCCCGGAATTAGGACAACCTCCTCTTTACATGAATCGATAGTATACAGTAGCCATGTTCTCTCCCTTCGCGCCTCCTTCGCCATTCGAACCACCATCTCTCTTATACCTCTTCCTTCTCTCACCACCCAAATTCCTCCTACGGACATTACACCGCTTGATCTCAGTACTCCGCTCCTCAGCCTCTTTACCACCAAATCTCCTTCCCATCAGAGTGGTTTGCCTTTCAGACACACATTGCCAAGTCCCAGAAATTGTCCCCGATGGCGATCTCCTCATCCACGCAGGCGACCTCACTCAAGCCGGCACACCAACAGAACTCCAAGCCCAAATAGACTGGCTAAACTCCCTTCCACACGCGCATAAAGTGGTGATAGCAGGAAACCACGATACCTACCTTGATCCACGATCACGAACAACTCTTCCCCCAACAGATGTGGAAGGAGCATCTCTAGATTGGGGCAACATCCATTACCTCCAACATTCAGGCACCACACTCACATTTCCCTCCCATCGAAACCGGAAGTTGAGAATTCATGGAGCGCCGCAGATTCCAGCTTGTGGAGGACCGGAGTTTGCGTTCCAGTATCCTAGAGGTCAGGATGCGTGGAGGGATACTATTCCCTCTGGCGTGGACATACTCATAACCCACACGCCCCCAAAACACCACATGGATCTCTACGGTCTGGGCTGCGAACATCTACTCTCGGAGCTCTGGCGTGTAAAACCACGTCTCCATATTTTCGGCCACGTGCACGCTGGCAGAGGAAAAGAAACCATGTATTACGACGACGCGCAAAAGGCTTTCGAAGATGGATGCGGGAGAAAGGATGGCTTTATCAGAGGGTTTTTTGATCTGTGGCTTTGGGTTGATTTGGTCAAGGTGGTTTGGCATGGTGTGGGCAGTGTGGTTTGGGATCGTGTTTGGGGTGGTGAGGGAAGGGCTAGTAGGTTGATCAATGCTAGTGTTATGTATATTAACACTGGACAGTTGAGAAATATGCCTCAGGTGGTGGAGATATAATATGAAACATGGGCTGTCCCAGCGCTTTGTCGCCCCGATGTCCACATTAACGTTTCTCAAATGCCTGAAATACATGCTCAGTGCTCTGCTGTCGATTAGTGTAATCAAGACGTACGAAACAGTGAACTAAGTTGAGATCTAGGGAGCAGGAAACATGAACAGTTCGAAAGGGTATATATTCAAGGGTTGATCGAAATGCAAAACAGTCTACTCTCTCTTCTTACCACCGCCAGCCTTCCAAGCAGCAGCTCTGTTGCTGCTCCTAGTTCTCGGCTTACCCTTCTTCTTTCCAGATCCACCAAGCTTAAGACCACTCTTACCCGAGCCAGCCTTGGCTCTGTGGCCCTCAAAGATGAAGCTCTCAGGGGTCTTGAAACCTTGAGGTGTTCCTCCTATCGGCTTGCCCTTCTGGACCTGAGCGGCGGCGGCACGGCCGAGCAGTTTGCCTGCACGACCCATGTTGGATTGCATAACGGGGTCGGCTTTGGGGTTGTAGATGCCCTTGCTGGTGGAACCGGGGGCCTTGACTGCGTTGCTGCCGGGCTTGACGTTGCGCTTGATGGTCTTTGCTCGTGTTACGCGGAGCTTGCGAGGGAGCATAGGAGGGAACTTCTTCTCGTTGAGAAGGAGAGCGGCTTCGACAGCATTTTCTTCCTGTTTGGTTGTTAGCTACTGGAAGATGCAGGATTAATGTAAAGTAAACTTACAGTGAATTGCACGTATGCGAAACCTTTGCCAACTCTCGTCTTTGCATCGCGGGGCACGCGGACACTCTCGACCTTTCCGCAGGTAGAGAAGGTACGCCACAGACCTTCCTCGACATCACTGGGAGTCTTGTTGCCCTTGCGCGTACCCTTGCCCTCCACAGCATTGGCCTTGTCAATGTTGGTCTCATCGTCAACGAAACCAAGGTTTCCAACGAAGACACAGCGTCTGGGCTCAGTCTTTGCAGGATGAGCAACCTCATCAACACGAAGATGGCGGTCCAGCACGACTGTTCCATTCAGACGACGAGCGGCTTCACGAGCCAGAGCGTTCGATGAGTAGACGGCGTATGCGTTTGTGGATTTCGTCGTCTCGGTCATGATCTCTTTCTTTGCAAAGGCGGCCTTCTTGGGGATAGCACTGGCGTAGGCAGTCGATCGGAAACGGAGTGACTCTACGCTATGTGCGGGTTGTCCCTTCTCAGGGTCGGCGATGTCGTCGAAGAAAGACTCAAGATGGCGCATCAGAGTCTTCTTGGCTGTCTTTGAGGTGATTGCTTCGGAGGATACATTGCCCAGGAAGACAGTACGTTGTGACTTGACAAGATCCGAGTCGTTGTCGGGTGCTAGAGTCTCGTGCATCGGAGGTGGTGACATCTCCATGGCATCAGCACCTTCAACTGCGTCTGAGTCTTCCTCCTCGCTGTCGCTGTCGTCCTTCTTTGCGGTCTTCACACGCTTAGAAGAGCGGTCTTCCTTTGCTTTGGCGATGGCCCTCTCCTCTTCGCGACCGAGTTTGTCCATGTATACATCCTCCAGTTCGGGCTGCTTGTCCTTTCTCTTTCTCTTGCGGTTGTTGCTCTCGAGAGCGGCTTGGGCAGCAGCCTTGGCTTCCTCGACATCGTCTTCACTGTCTTCCTCTACTTCGGGCTCTGGATCATCCTCGTCTGCGTCAACAGCGTCCAGCTCGTCATCGTCAAGTTCCGAGAGTTCTTCGTCGTTGTCATCTCCTTCCTCTTCGTCGTCCGACTGTGCTTTCTTGGAGGATCTGGTGGATTGAGATGGGAGTTCGGTGTAGATGGGCTTAGCGGCACCAAACTGGAGAGATCAGTACATGGCGACTTGAACGGCGCGTTTTCGTGGTGACATACGCTATTAGAGAAGAGACTGGAGATCTTGGGATCCAAGGGAGCGGAGGGTGCGAGAGTCGATTTCTTCTCGGACTTCTCGACCTTGTCCTTCTTGTGTGACTTTTCCTTCTTGTCCTTTGAATGCGCCATTGTGATTATTGTGAATTGATATGTAAAACTGAGCAGGCGCGAACCTCGAACAGAAACTTTGACTTTCCTTCTTTGGTTTGCGAATCCTTATCGATAGTCGGCTTAAAGCCGGGACGATTGCTCCGTGACATCGATCATCTCGTCCTCGGTCTTTGCGTTGCAAGCCTCTTTGAAGGACCGAGTCTGCACATCTCTTTATTGCTCGTCGCTGTCTATTGCTCCTTTGCCCGCCCATCAGACCGAATCCTTGTACGCCTCTCGCCGACACGCATCGACACGAGCAGCTCCTTCGAAGTGACCGTCTTTGGCCTACTTCGAGCTCTCGCACTTCCTGACGCGCACACTCACTTTCACGCCTTCTACAGCTAGCATTGCTGTGCGCAATCGACACTCGAACAATATCTCCGCTGCCCGCGACGGGGCTCATGCAGAAAAATGGACGAAATCCACCACCCTGCCGCAACGACGACCCCTCCACGCTCGCCAGCCTTTGACATTAATCACACACCCTCAATAAGCCCGCTTAGTACCACCTCAAGAACTGCCATTCCTCCGATCATCAATCCGATACCTCTACAGCTCGAAACTACCGATCAGGTCGACCATGTTGATCAAAGCGACGGCTCTAGCAGTCTGAGCGACTATGACGCCGAGTTCGACGATCAGTCACCGAGAGACAACAACGACAGAGACTCAGAAGCAGAGACTGAGCGTCTTGAGCGCTCTCCCATAAAGTCGTGGATTCCTTCTCCGACAAAACTCAATCAAGCCTCAGTTCGCTCTGAGCCGGCCTCTTCGCCTGACCCCCAGCCTCAGTCGCCTTCACCCACGCAAGCTCGTCTAGGTACGCATATCGATGTTGATGGCCAACTCAACGCTGACGCTCCATTCGCAGCTTCTCCCTTGGCCATTGCAGGCAGAAAGCGCAAGCGACCGAGTCCCATCAGCGACGCCGACAGTCCCCTCTCTGAACACTCCGACTCCGAAGAAGCACTCGCCCTCAATCATAACAGACACATCGACCAAGCTCCCGAGAGCCGTCAAGAGACACCAGAACCAGCAGACGAAGTCGACGAAAACCCTTACATTTCGCCCATGAAGGCCGCTCGTTTGAAAAGAGCAAAACAAAAGAAGCAGACTCGCGATCCTTCGCCTGCTGTTCAAATAGCTGGCAATGAGCTCGAAGAAGAGGAAGCTGATGAGCAGAACGATGGGGACGAAGAGACGAAGAAGCGCGCGACGGAAGCCTTCACAGCAATTGTCGAGCAATTCCAGACATTCCGCACAAAGTAAGTCGCGCAGCTTCTATCAGGCGTGTACGTGCTAACATCTCATCAGGATGCACGACGAACGCTTGGCTTCAGCAGAGGCCGAACTCGAGCAGCTCAATCTACCGAACGCAACCCACCCTGATTTCCTCGCCATGTTACAGTGCATAACTGCTCGCCGCGACACGAAAATCCAACAAGAGTTCACACTTCACCGATACAAGCTAGGCACACTTCGAAACCAAGTCCTTGCGGAGCGCGCTCAGCTACACACCCAATACTTCCAGGAGGCTCGAGAACTGCGTGATTCGTTGTTGGAACAGCTGGGCAAGCAATGGTACGACATACAGAAAGAGCGACGTCAATTCCAGGCCGATCAGCAAGACAACTACTCGTACAAGTTCCCTACAAAACGCTCCGACCAAGTGCGCAACCAGGAAAAGTACAATCGCGAGGTCTCAATTCTGTCAGGCATGGCAAAGTACCGAGGCTTCCCTGCTGCACCAGACATTCACGGCGCACGGACAAACGAGTTGGACGACGACTTCAAGGCGATGCAGATCCCACGCAGGCAAGCATTACCTCAGCAGCAAGCCCCCGCTCAGCAAAACTCCGTGCATATGCACTCGGCACCTGCGTCAGTACGTACTGCCGAGGAGAGATTTATAGAGCAAACCCCTTGGGCCAATCCTCAGCATCCTCTACACCATCAATCACGAACTCCTGGTCCGTTCGGTACATATGGCATGCATCTCCAACCAAACCTGATGCGACAAGGTTCCGCTCAAGGCCAGCGTACCACTTCTCCTTTCAGCACACCTCTTCCAAACCCCGCAAAGCGTGCCGAATATCCACAGAATGGTCTTGGCTCTAATGACACCATTGGTATTCCGAGCGATCCTCCTTCAAGCGCAGTACCACAGACTGGTGACAGATTTGCGCAAGGTCCTGTTGGAGGCGACATTTCGCCGACAGACCAGCTTAAAGTACGCTCTGCCCTAGCCAATCCGCTAGCCAATCGCGCAGATAGACGCGACTTCTCTGGTTTGTCCAGTGCCTCAACAATTGAGACACCGAGCGACCCAGCCGACATGGACCGTCATGGCGTGCCTTCACATACGAGCGCTGCGCACAACGGCTTGCCCATACAGCTACCGGTCGAGCATTCAGCTCCTCAACAAGCCTTCGTAACAAGCGCGTTGCATACTCAAAACGGCAAGCCAGAAGACCGTAAGCCTGAGCTATACGAGAACATCAACTACAGGAGGCCACAATTGGGTGCATTTGGGACACCGATGCCCTTGTTCGGGACGAACTCTCCTGCGCATCCAGATGGTCAGAAAGCTTCCTAGACTGGAGCGTTCCGATACACCATCACACACGAATAACGATCAATCGTCAAGTCACGGCCAAGAACATGGGCATCTGAGATTTACATAAGGCGTAATAGACAAAGGCAGCACACACTTTTGCGAATCATGGTCCACCAAGATCTTCAAGAGCGTCTCTGATTCAGGTTGGCATAGTTGTATAAGGACAAGAGAGCGTCCCATGAGCAGATGTTTTATACCCAGTACCTTTTTCCCATTCTCACTTGTAGGAGTGTTTTTTGGCTGCACAATTAGCGTAGATATATGTCAAGAAACTGAATCGGGATCTTGCTCCTGTTTCCCAATGAACACTTGCACGCCACAAACCAATCTCTACATGATGCATGTAGTAGAAAGCCCTCCGGCATAAAAAGGGTCTCTAAGACCTGAATCTGAACTCAAGTGTCTGCTGTGCAAGCCGCGCCTCGGATTGATGCTCAAGCCGGGCAAAAGACAAAAAGAAATCTCCTCTCTCTGAGTCGAACAAAGGACCTTCTGATGACAATTAACAATTACAGTCAGACGCTCTAAACCAACTGAGCTAAGAAGAGATTGATGGAAACACGGCCAAAATTTGCGTTTATGACCTATGAACAATTCTTTGCACCATGTGACGTGAACCCCACCGGAGTCCGTCGCGTCTCCCAAGCTCGCTCGTGATCGCGGTCGCTCCTCAACCATACTTCTTCGCGTCGATGCAACCATGCTCGAGTAACGTCTTCTTCAAGTGGTCTTATACAGACAAGTTGTGTATTCCTCGAGCAAATGTGCAACGCTGCTCCTGAATCACGACCTTCGTGTCACGTATGACTGGTCCTTTAAACAACTTGCATTGCATCGAGTCCATCTGCGGGATGCAAGCAGCACCTCATTTGCATAGAGCCGGACTGTCCGACTCCCTGTACCGACGATCTTCGTCTTGTTCTGCATCTTTCTCCGCACCAACCTTGCTAACGGCTCGACTATGATGTGTTACCAGAAAGCACCGAGGGCAAGAGCGACCACAATGTCCTTCTCCGCACCCTTCTCGACCATATATTCACGTAGTCCGCTATCAATGGTTCACGCATCTCAACAATGCCTGTCCCATCATTCGCCATGATCACCATATTGCTATCCGCTTTGTTTCTTGCGACTGTCTGGGCACAAAACCCCTACACTGATACTTCTGACTTTAATGGGTAAACTTGATTTCCTTCAAGGCCGTAACCAGATTGCGAACGGATCTTACTCACATATGATAGGCACAGAACACCTTCCTACTCGCCTGTCCGTCCTCCAGCTCTACCTCTCGCCGTCCGTAGCCCCTACACCAACATCTGGACTTCTACCGTCAACAATGGCACTCTCAATACTAATGGAGCCATGTTCTGGCCTGGGAACAGCGCTGGCTGGGAAGGCATAATCGTTGTGGATGGAGCTGTCTACGAATACCTGGGCACTGGTCTGCAATCTCTCCCACCTCTCGATAATGTCAAGACTGCTTCGCCACTGGCTGTCGATTTCGACTCCCAGTACTCCAACTTTACCTTCCGTGCTGGCCCGGTTGATCTTGTTGCAAGCTTCTTCAGCCCTGTCATACCTCAAGATCTTTGTCGGACCAGTATTCCACTGAGTTATCTTCAAGTCACCTATCAAAGTACGGACGGTCAGCCTCACGAGGTCCAGCTATACAGTGATGTCAACGCCGGATGGATTTCTCCAGAGTCTAACACGACTGTGAAATGGAATCTATTCGAAGACGGCTCCGCAGTCAATGGCAGTGGCAATGCTACAGGCAGCCCTTCTACTGTTTACAGCTGGGTTCTTTCTCAACAAAATCAGTATGAATTTGGAGAACAGTAGGTGATCGCCACCCTTCACTCGGATACACATGCTGATTCTTGACAGGAAAGACTTTCCTCAATGGGGCAACTTCACGTAAGCGAAACTTCTGTCTCTCGAGTGCATCACTCAAATCTGACACCATCTACAGTTATTCCTCAAGCCCTGGTCAGTCTCAGACATTTGGTTTCCAGAGTGGCTATTCTCTAAACCTCCGGTACGACTTTGTCACAAACCTTCAGTTGTCCGATATCGTGGATTCCGAGTACCGGGGTGCTCAGAACAAAGAGCCAGTGTTTGCTTTCGAACATTACTTCAGCTCGTCAACTTCAGGAAGCGCTCTCTACACGATTGGAACGGTGCAGCAAAATGTCATTCGCTTCCTGACATCAGACGGACTTGTGCCTCTGCAGCCGTGGTGGACAGAATGTTATGGGCCGAGCTTGTCAAATCTCATCGACTTCCATTACAACGATCTCCCAAACAGCCAGGCAAAGGGAGCCAGTTTTGAGGCTCAGCTTAAGGCAGACGTCCACGCATACTACTTGACTACTCCTGGGCTACTTTACAGCAATAGTACTCCTTCTCCTCCGCCACCATACACCAACGTCTCTGATGGGGGATACGAAGCCACAGATCAGTTCGGGCAAGAGTACATCTTTGACTCGAGCAACGGCTATGGTTTTCTTAATCCCAACAACTTCAGTGGTATATCCATTCCTGATGTTTCGGAAGCTGAAAGCTACTACGCTATTGTCGCTTTAAGCGCACGTCAGATTATGGGAGCATACGTCTTGACTGTTCCACCCAACCTTCGCTACAGCAACTCGTCTTCCATTACCCAAAGCGAGCCGCTCATGTTCCAGAAAGAGATATCGAGCAACGGCAACATGAACACGGTCGATGTCATCTTCCCTGCGTTACCCTTCTACCTCTACGCCAACCCTGATATGCTCAAGTTCGTTCTCAATCCACTCTTCTATCATCAAGAGAACGGCTTCTATCCCAACGGCTACTCAATGCATGACCTTGGAACTCACTTCCCCAACGCTACCGGCCATGTCGAAGGCAATGATGAATACATGCCGGTCGAAGAATCTGGAAACATGCTTTTGATGGCTTATGCTTACTTCAAGTTCACTGGTGATGCAAGCTTCCTCACTCAGCACTATCCCAAATACCGTCAATGGGCAACCTACGTCATCGAGTACTCTCTCGTTCCTGAAGCTCAGTTGAGCACGGACGATTTTGCAGGCACGCTTGCCAACCAGACCAATCTGGCAATCAAAGGCATTGTAGGACTCAAAGCCATGTCATTTATCGCTGAGGCGGTTGGCGACCTTCGCGCTGCGGCTAACTACTCGGACATTGCATCTTCCTACTTTGCTCAGTGGGAACAGTTTGCAATCGACCCAAGCGGTACGCATACAATGCTTGCTTACCAAAGTCGTGGATCCTTCGGTCTGTTGTACAACACATATCCCGACAAGTTGCTAAATCTAGGCATTATTCCTCAGAGTCTGTATGACATGCAGAGTGACTGGTATCCAACCATATCTCAAGTCTTTGGTGTAAGATCGAGTATCATATTTCCGTAAGACACGTTTACTAAGCCTTTGTAGGTCCAACTTGACAGTCGTCATACGTATACCAAGAGCGATTGGGAGATGTGGACCGCAGCTACTTGTTCGCCCGAGACTCGACGACTCTTTGTGAATGCGCTTGCCTACTGGCTCAACAATACCAGCACGAATCTAGCTTTCGGAGATCTCTTCGAAACCGTTGGCACCGGCGGATATCCTGTAGGCGGCCCGACATTCGTGGCACGATCTGTTGTTGGCGGGCACTACAGTCTGCTAGCACTCCTCAAGACTGGTCAAAATAGCCAGACAGGCACTGCACCAGGTGGTTTCTCTCAAAACAGCACACAGACATTGAATGATGCAGGAGCAGAGTATCTCAATGTATCCGCAGTCGGTACTTCATTCTCGGGGACAACAACTGATACGATATCAATACCGACAGGAGGCCTCTTCAATCTGTCTGCCACTTCGCATGGTCAGTCCATGCTGATGACGAAGCGGGGAGCGTAGCTAGTTTGTGCGAAGGACCGACGATGACTGTCAAAATAACATATTGTCAATCAAGCAGATTTTCACCATCAATTGGGGTTGTGGTCTAGTGGTATGACATCTTCTTAGCATTGCTCTTTGAGCATTACTGAGTGGAGAAGGTTCTGGGTTCGATTCCCAGCTACTCCAAATTGCTTTTGCCTGGCATATCGCCTGCAGACATCGTTTTGCTGCGACTCAAATTGTTCGTGAATTTGAGTGTTTCTTTTTTGGTTCAGATTCCCTGGTTCCAAGTGCGGGTGTTTGGTAACAAAAACGTGGGTGAAAAACGTGGCAGCCCCGGAGATTTGCAAACGCCGATGCTCGATGACAACACATGGTGCTTCGATCAATTCAACATTCTGCCGACCAGACAACTTTTTTTTGGAATTCATCGATCGCAATCATGGAATTCGATACTAAGACCCGTAAGTGATTTGCCTATGCTTCCATGTGATCTATCGTGCTCACTGTGATATAGCTCTTTACCAGACCTCGGACAAGACGTCTTTCGCCTACATCTCGGCGCGCGACCGCTGGCCTGTGATTCTTGTGAGTATTTTGTGCAAGACGCGTCTGTTTGTTTTTCTGAGACCTTGACCAATGTTTGAGTTGCGCAATTGGTATATACAGCACTATCAAGGCTATCAGGGCTCTATTGCTGCTTGAAGATTGTAGACACCCCGCCTGCAAATACAACATTGAGCTTTCAGTACACGGTCAACGTTGTTGAGCTGAGCTGTGGTATTGTCGGAAATTTGAGCCTTCGGTCTTGAATTCTGACATATCTAGACGAAATATCGGATTTGAGGCAGGCTCCCAGAAGAGACACAAACTAATCAGATTCTAGACAGGTGCCATTGATGACTTGCACAAGGCCATTGGTAAGACCGAGGATTCTGAGAAGCTAGCCGAAGGCAAGAGTATTGTTTCCGAGCTCGCCAAGCTCAAGTATGAGTTGCAACACGATCGCCAGCTTACGTGAGTAACACGTCGTTCTCCTGGATTGCATAAGATTTCGGTGTACTGACATCTCCAAGACCTCTGGCCGATGACGGACAGGGTGATATTGAGGGCTACAACAAGGAGCTAGAGCAACTCGGCAACCCCAAGTGGTTCGAAGTGCCTTGGTTGTTCTCGGAATGCTACCTCTACCGGTAAGGCAAACATTAGCACCACGAGTGCTAAATCTTTTCTGACACCTAAACAGCCGCATGGCCACTCTCTTCAAGCTCTCTAAGCACTGGAAGAACTACGACGTCTTCAACAAGCAAAAAATGTCCACCTTCCGCTCCTCCCGTCCCGCAGTCCTCGAACTTGCCTCTCGCTACAACGAACTCACCAAGCAACTCTCTTCCAAGTCTTCGACTTCTCAGTCAGAAGAGGAGCGCATAGCAGCCGAAAAAGTCCTCTTCACTGAAATGTGCGAGATCTGTCTCTGGGGCAATGCCACCGATTTGTCTCTTCTCACCAACTTGACCTACGAGGACATTCAGAAGTTGCAAGGTTCCAAGGCCAGAAAGGCCGCAGAGAAGAACATCATCGCCAACGACTTTGACGCCGCGTTTGAAATTCTCAAGTCCGCGCAGCAATCTGGTGTCAAAGAACGCAGAGTCGATATCGTTCTTGACAATGCCGGTTTCGAACTTTTCGTCGATGTCATTCTTGCTGGATATCTGTTGCAGGCCGGTCTTGCTACCACCGTTGTGCTGCATCCCAAGAACATTCCTTGGTTCGTTTCAGACGTGGTGCCCAAGGATTTCTCTGACCTCCTGACCGTTCTCGTCAACGCAAAGCACTTTTACGAGTCCCCCTCTGAAGACGATGAAGCCAAGGGTGTCACTCCCGCCAAGCTCTCAGACCAAGAAAGCTCAGATATGCAAGAACTCTTCCAAAACTGGAGTTCGCTGTATGCAGAGGGAAAGATTGTATTGCGTCCCAACAAATTCTGGACCGAGGGAGGAAGTTATTGGAGACTTCCCGGCACTGCGGAGAGTTTGTTTGGAGATCTCAAGGAGAGTGAATTGGTCATCTTCAAGGGTGATTTGAATTACCGCAAGTTGACTGGTGATGTAAGTTTTGGCTTTTCTCTTCCTGCTCTCAAAGCAATGCTGATTGTATCGAATAGGCTGCTTGGGACCCTACCACTCCCTTCACCCAGGCTATTGGACCTTTGGGCCCTGGATCTGGCATGCGCACGTTGGCTCTGCGTACCTGCAAGGCTGATGTCGTCGTCGGCCTCAAGCAAGGCGAAGACGAGCGTCTCCGTGAGATGGAAGGCGGAGGTGGTGACAGCGGTGCTCGCAAGTGGGCCTGGAGCGGCAAGTGGGCTGTCGTACAGCTCTGTGATGGCAAGAAGTAAATGGGTCAAAAAGTGGCGATGTTGTAGATTATGGATAGGCTTGTTCGTTGGGTTTGGATGGCCAGGGTCATACCCTTGACAAGCATTTTCCAGACACAAACTTGTTTTCTGTCATCACTGCCGCTGGAAATCACTATAACTAGTTATCATCGCAAACAAAATATCAAATTCGATCACACTGTGATGGCTGGTTGACCAAAATCTATGTTGCGTTGCTGCAATATGCATTTTTGAATCTCCAGAAGCCGTAAATCCAGAAATGGTCACAGATCTTATGACTGCTACTCGTTCTTCGTCAATTGACCAAGATACAACATCCAACAAGCTTTGTAAACATGAGACAGAGTCACGAGTACTGATCGGAATGAGCATTGAAGTACTTGCAGGGTGGTTTAAAAGACAGGGCGTGATCCGAAGTCTTCCCAGCTGGGAGTTTAGAGACTGACTATCATTCGTAGAGTTGCAGAAAACCATGACATTCACCCTGTACGCTGAGACATGGCTTTAATTGTGATGTCAAAAACGTGGGCAGGATGGAGTTTGCTACCACAAGACAAGAAGTTCTCTTGACGAAAGCAGAACAACGAAATCGCATCACAGGGGCAATGCCAGGTCAACAACACCGACACGAGATGCTCAGAAGGCTCTCTAAGAAGCCAAGAAGTATTTACCGCACTGGTAATAATCCGAGTCAGCCATCATGCATTGCCTCAACTTGACAACAGAAAACCGACCTTCGCGAACCCGAGACTTCGAAAGATTTGACCCGCGACAACAAGTTCGAACTCGCACCCAAGACACCGGGCTTCCATGGACGACCAAGCAAGCCGAAACATCTCGGCACTCCAAACAAGACATACAAAGCCCATCCAAAACAAAAACAAAGCGAGACGAGACTTCTAGCATCCAGCTTCGCGCCAGTCAGCCACAACTCAGGTCCTCGACCCGCGACATATATCCCCTTGCTCCGTTGATATCAACAAGTAAGCCCTCAACATCACATCCATACAATGATCACCAGAAGCAAAAGCAACAGCTAACCCAGGCGTGTGAACAGAAACCAAGGATGCCTCCATTAACGAGTTGCTACGAGTGCCACATGCGCTGGTACTCCTGCGATAAGGGTACTCCATGTGCCAAATGTGTCAAGCATGGTCGAGTATGCACGTATGAAAAGACCATGGTGGATGGCACGGAAGTAAGTCGTGGAGATGATTGGAGGTGGAAGAGATGTGGTGTGTTGATAAGGAAACAGAAATATCTTACTCCCGCCAATCGCACTAGAAATGGCAAGCTCTTGGTTCCAGATGCGCCTGCTGCGGTGCCTCAGGTAGTGGTGCATCCTGTGGTAGCAACTCGAGCAACAGATCAAGCAGCACCCCCTGCGCCAGCACCTCGAGCAGCAGCCCCTCGATCAATACCACGAGCAAGAGCTTATATGGCAGCAAGCCAAGCAGAAATCGACCCGGGCCTTATAGCGTCTAGCCCGAGCCTGCAGAACCAGGAGCAAAACCAGGAGCAGATCCAGGAGTCGGAACCGAGGGGAAAGAAAAAGCCCATCGTACTCACGGGCTGCAGGGCTTGCCACCTACGCAGTATCAAGTGTAATGGCGACAGACCTTGCCTCCCCTGCTCGCACTCAAACGTGTCCTGTACCTACGACAAGACCATGGTGAACGGCGAACCTGTAAGTTTTGGGCACAGTAAAAGGCGAACAAGCAGTACTGACGGAGTGCAGATGTATCTCAGAGATGATGGCCACACAAGAAACGGTGAGCTCGTCGTCCCGGACTACGACCCGAGCCTGCCCACCGCCACACTGTATTCCTGGCGCTCAGCTTCTGGTGCTCGTGCAGCTGATTTCGATGTGTCGGTTGACCCGTTCCCTGTTGGCGATACCTATCAAGATGAGGAGGAAGAGATTCAGCAGAACGAGTGAGAGGAAGAAGACGAGGAGTGTAACGTCATTTGACGACCACCGGTCAATGGATGCAGACAAATTTGAGGACTGCTGGGACAATAAACAGCAGTGACGACTCCGGAAGTTGACGACGGGCGCAAGTCAATAGCTTTGTTGAAACAGAAGGAAGAAGAGAAAGCACAAAGTTACACTCACGAAATTCGCGGTCGAGAATCATAAGGAAAAATACCAGGAAATGACATTCTCGTATGCATGTATGTGATGATTTCCCCGACTCCAGTAACGCCAGAATGAAAGAAAGGAAGCCAAACGCCAGTGTTCCCATGACTTAGTATGACGGCTCGATGCAAAAGAAAAAAAGGGAAGAAAAAAGAAAAGAGATGCTATCTTAAGAAGTGGTTCATGTGGCCTGGCACACGGTTTCGGCACTTCTCGCAGTCTTCGCGGTATCCCATGGAGAACTTTTTGGATGTATCGGAGTCGCGCGGGGATGTAAAGGCTCCACTACGAGCTCTCTGCTTGCGGACATGTACTTCAGGTGTTTGCGGGGCTGGGCGAGGAGTAGTTTCAGCATCCATATCCATGTCGTTAACAGTCAACAAGGAGAACTGACTTCCAGTAGCCGTAGTAGGGGTATGAGGTTCGTCTTCAGAGATGGGTGATGGGAAGCGTTCTCTTGAGCCAGCCAAACGAGCACGCATAGAAGTTGAAGCGACATAGGTACTGCTGGCAGATGTGTTACCTTGCAGAGGGGTTGGTTTCGGACGAGTTGTAAGCAGTGCAATCGGTGTCGGTACCCGTGAGCCGCGATCATCCAGAGCCATCCTAGGGTTTCGGAGAGGGGTGTTTTCAAGTTTCCAGGAAGCCGGCAGCTCCGGAGATTGGGAGAATGCCATCTCGAAGTCGTCTCTCATGTCCATATCCATATCATCGGATGATTCGGTCTCGAAGGTGGTTTGATCTAACGAGTCGTCCATGGCACCGGGAATTGACTGTGATTCGAAAGAGGTTGCACCAAATGCATTATGCTCGTATCCAGCAGTGTGACGCAGTCTCTTTACAAAGGGATATATGAGCCTGACAAGCTCGTAGAATACATGAAGAATCCATCATACCTTGTCGTGATGCATGGACATAACATCATCGTCATCGTCGTGTCGACGTTTGTGGGACAGTGAAGAAAACATAACGGCGGGTCAGACGAGGCTGAAGAGCAAATGGCGGGTGGGTGCTGGTATGTGATGGATGCAAAGGAGCGACGGAAACATGAGCCAGCATGTGAATGTAGAAGATCAGAGAGCGTGGTGCATGGCCTAGAATCAGGCAGGCACTTGGCGGGTGCAAGTGTGTTTGTCCACAGAAACAAGGACGAGAGGTGGTTCGTGGTGGGGTATCGATTAAGGTGTGGCTTGTGCACTCGATCGACAAAGAAAGAGCGCCACGATTTTGAAATGTGAATTCTTCTGGCCCTTTGACTCACTTGTCCCAACCTCAATAAGATTCCACCACCCACTTCCATATCACGATACAGCAAACATGGCCGGTCCCGACTTTGACGCTCAGCAGCTCCGCGAGTCCCAGAACGACGACACCCGCGTTCTCGGCTACGACCCTCTGATCCCTCCCGTCCTTCTCTCCTCCGAGATCCCCGCTACCGAAGTCGCTCTTGAGGCCGTCAAGAAGGGTCGTCGCGAGGCTCAGGCTATCATTCACCAGCAGGATGACCGTCTTCTTGTCATGTGCGGTCCTTGCTCCCTGCACGACCCCGATGCCGCCATTGAGTACTGTGGCCGTCTGAAGAAGCTCGCCGATGAGCTCCAGGACGACCTCTGCATCATCATGCGCGCCTACCTCGAGAAGCCCCGTACCACTGTTGGCTGGAAGGGTCTGATCAACGACCCTGACCTCGATGAGAGTTACAAGATCAACAAGGGTCTGCGCGTTTCTCGTCAGCTCTTCTGCGACCTGACCAGCCAGGGTATGCCTATTGCCAGCGAAATGCTCGACACCATCTCTCCTCAGTTCCTTGCCGACCTCATCTCGCTCGGTGCCATTGGCGCCCGTACCACTGAGTCTCAGCTCCACAGAGAGCTTGCCTCCGGTCTGTCTTTCCCCATGGGCTTCAAGAACGGCACCGACGGCAGCTTGGGTGTCGCTGTTGATGCTATTGGCTCTGCTGCCGCCAAGCACTACTTCATGGGTGTCACAAAGCAAGGTCTCGCTGCCATCACAAAGACTGCCGGAAACCAGGACTGCTTCGTCATCCTGAGAGGTGGAACCAAGGGCACCAACTACGACGCCGAGAATGTCAAGAAGTGCAGAGAGGCTCTAGGCAAAAAGGGCCAGAAGGAGGTCATGATGATTGACTGCTCGCACGGTAAGTTTGAAGAGGCGCGCTCATCGCAAGCCCAAAGGCTGACAACGACTTCTAGGAAACTCCCTCAAGGACCACCGCAACCAGCCCAAGGTCGCCAAGGTCATCTCAGAACAGCTTCGCGCTGGCGAGGATGGCATCGTTGGTGTCATGATCGAGTCTCACCTCAACGAGGGTGCCCAGAAGGTTCCCGCCGAGGGTCCCTCCGGTCTGAAGAGAGGTGTCAGTATTACCGACGCCTGCATCAGCTGGGAGACAACTGTCGATGTCCTCAAGGATCTCGCCGAGGCCGTCAGAGTGAGAAGAGAGGCCAAGAAGTCGGCCAACAAGGGCCAATAAACGAGCATATGATGGAGTCATTGGTTTTAAAAGCGTATCTTTTGGAGATTTGTACACGGGATGATATCAAGCCTTCTTTCTCAGTCATGACCAAGCACAATGCCCTCAACGGGGCTGTGTTCCGAACTTGCGCTGTTTGCGCCCTGTCGTTCGTCGTGAATCGTTGATTTCGTATGTCTGTTCCGTGGCCTTCTTTCTCCGGTCATGACGGCCCGGTGCTGTCTCTTATGCAGTTCTTGTCTCCCGGGGTATAACAAGCGCAAGAGCATTCTTCTCTTAAACAGGCAGGTCTTTGTTCCTGTTCCCTTCTCCTGCTTTCTCGCCTGCCTTTTGGAGGCCTCTAGCAAGGTATGGTCCTACCACAGGAATGTTGTATGCGAAGCCGGCTATCGTCTTGAAGAATTCGCCGAACAGTATGAAGATGCCGTAAATCTCGACAAGGAAACCGATCAATGGCCAGCGAAGGAGGATGAGGATGATGCCTGCGACGAAGGCTGCTGTGCCCTTGATCTTCTGGCGACGAGCGAAGAAGAGGAAGGTTCGTTGGACTCCGAGGAGTAGCGTGATACCGGCCAGGAAGAGGATCTGCAAGGTCGTTTAGTGCTCAGTCAGGGAGATGTGTCAATGGTCGGAGAGCGTAGCGTACGTTTCCCATAGCCAACCTGTTCTTGAATTAGCTGTCTGCCTAGGATTGAATGAAGCGACCAAACATACATTGAGCGATCAAAGAACATAATAACACCTCCAATCAGGAAGAAGCCTCCTATACTTTACATCAGACCTGCTTATGCCTTGAACGCGACTTTGCGCAAAGCCATACCTACCACCGGAGCAGAAAGCGACCCCAATCTCTATACTACCATCAGCATCGAGTACCACAAGTATATGCACATCGCATGCTTACTCTGCGAGTCGGTAAGCCACATTGTAGGCATCCTGGCGTTTGGTTCGTTGGTAATTTGCGTAGACTTTTATGAAATGGTCAAGAAAAGTAGATGTGGCTTGCAGGAAGGGAAACAAGGAGACGTGCGTGTTGATCGGAAGCTCTCCACGCGGCAGCTGCGTGAGCGACGCGCGCTTGTTGCGACTTCCACAAATTTGCCAGCAAGACCACCTTCCTCTTTTGACTCGACGCATCCAATTCGATACTTCTCGGATGCTCTGAATCTTGCATTTGTCCGTCGCCGGCATGGGTATCCCGCACCTAACACACTCGCTATCACCTTATGGCGATAAAGTGGTACTGCCGCAAAATCCTGCCAACCACGAAAATGCGATCATCGATGGCCCGAGTCTGGCATACCATGTCTTCTATGTGTGTATAGCACGGAGGACTGGTACCCGAAACGCCTTGGAAGCAGCCCCGGCATATCAAGAACTAGGTCAAGCTGCCGTAGACTGGCTCGAACAAATTGAACAATACGGACTGAAGATGTATGTCGCCAACACTGGTCCGTTCAGAGTAAGTGGCTGATTTCTTTCTTTCTGCGCAGCAAAGCTGTGTTTTTCGATGGGTTGTTGCCATTGTCCAAGCAGAACACCAGATTGTCTAGGTTACAAAGCTATGCAAACCAGCTTGTAACTTTCAAAGCCTTGAACAAGGATGACTTGCCTTCTCGCATGGAGAATACATCGGCATCGAAGACCGACGTCTTGAGTGCGGTCATTTCATCCAACCGACTCAAAGCTCTCCCCGCTCCCCCATTTTTGGTTCCTGCTGTCATCGAGATGCTCCTCGAGAGCCGGTACAGTTCTCTCGTTGCAGTGATACCTGGCGAGGCAGATGCATATTGCGCAGAGGCTGCCAGACAACATGGTGGTGTCATTTTCACCAGCGACTCCGACCTTCTGGTGCACGATCTGGGGAAGTCCGGAAAGGTAATACTGTTCCGCGACCTTGACACTATTCACCTTCCAAGCAGAGGCAAATGCCTCAAAACTCAGGAGTACCATCCTGCTGGCATTGCAAAGAGATTTGAGCTTCCGAACTTGGTTAAATTGGCGTTCTTCATGTCCCAAGATCACCACAAAAGTCTCACCGAGAATATCCGACTTGCAGGGAAGGACACCCCGATGTCTGCTGGTTTCGCTGAGTTTGCTGAAGAATATGGCTCTTTGCCGAAGTTGTCTAGATTGGCAATGGTAGAGACTATCGACAAACCCAACGTATCAAAGATACTTGCTCGATTGGATCCCAGGATATCCGAAATCGTCCATCTGGTTCGTGTGAAGGAGAATCAAGAAGCGCCTTCAGATCTCCAAGATTCTGACAATCTCAACATGTATCTCCCGTACCTTATCGACGATCCGACAAGGACATCAGCTTGGCGATCTGGAGTCTCCATCCGTGCTCAAGCATACTCACTATTGCGTCTGCTCAACTCAAGCATCACGCAAGTCACTGAGTTTGAGCGCAAGGGCACACGAGTAGCGGGAACAACTGTAGAACTCGATTCGACATCCAGTGCTGTTGCGATGCTAGAAGACTGCGTCAAGTCTTTGAAGGACGACCTTGGGCAGCATTCGTCGCTGTCCAAAGCAGCGAGATGGCGTGCTGTGGCTACCAGACACGTCTGCCAATCAAACCTTGACAATGAGAAACCTCCTCCACTCAGCAGTGATATCAACAGACTCGTCACAGGCTCGCGAGAAGGGGTGCTATCTTGGTCGTTCATTCATGCAAGCGCCCAGATGCAGGCATCTCTATACTCACTACGAATGCTCTCCCAAATCTCGACCGTTGTACAAAGCTTCCTTGAAGGAGCCGACAACGCGATTCTTACGCCATTGCAGACTCTCGTCAACCTGCTGAATGACTTGCCCAGTCTGCGCGAGCTGCTCGACGAGAAGACATCTAGAGACAACAGCGAAATAGAAGCCGCAAGAGCGGCAGTCTTGAGCACGCTGCAGAGTCTAGGGATAACTCAGGACGCTGAGCCCTTAAGCAAAAAGAAAAAGAAAAGAAAGAAGAAGGGCGAGCACACAGGTGAACGGACACCGCCTGGTGTGGCATGGAGAAACAACAATATGTTCAGCAATCTTTCATAGAAGCACTGATATAATTCATGAGGTCACCCATGCGCTACGATCCAACGGACAAGCGTCTGTGCAAGCTATCACAAGACTCGGATGCAAACGTCTGTTCAGCAACTGCCCACTAACTGCTCAGACCACAGCTCGAAGCACAGCTCAGATGTTGAGGCTCTCGATAGTCCGGACCTTTGGCAACTGTCTTGCAGCAAAGATAAGGCCTAAGCGGTTGATATTCAGGAGCTTTCCTCCTGTACATCAACATCATACCCAACCGTCGACCTCTAGAGCCCCCACATTCTCTATACTAAACGTTTGTCTTATACCCAATCTCGAAATACGATGCATGGAAGGATTTGAATGTACCGGTAGATCGACGCAGACAGCGACTGGGCCTTTTCGAACGATATGGTGAGCTGGCGTGCTGTCATCAGCGATCACCTCGTATCTAGCTGTCAGCCAAAAGCAAGCGGCGTGCGGTCGCGTAAATCATCCCCATGCACCGGGATTGGGGGAATTGACTAGACTCGTGCTATCAAAGGAGCCGTCGAACGATCCTCCGGCTAGTGAGTTTCTTGCGCAACATGTAAATCTCTGAACAGGCCACAGCATGTTATATGAGTTTTTGAGGTCTATCTTGCGTGGGTAATTTTGGGGGAGGCTCGATTGTCTCAGCTATCAACATGAGATGAACGGTGGGAAGTGGGCGGTTTGACGCAGCGGAGATAAAATTTTGAATTTAACGTCCCGCTGTTGATTTGAACCGTTGGAGAACCCTGCACGATGAAGCCATCGCGGTTGTTTTGTATGTTTACTCTTGAATCACGCCAACCCTTGGGCTTCAATCAAGGGTATGGTTGCGTGAATTGAGATGGGAGGTCTCAGGGCATGTTGTAACCGCAGGATGAAGCAACGGCAAGGTGCTACTTGACACATGGTCGACAAGGCTTGTCGGAGCTGTCAGAATACAGGTGAATATGGTTTAGCTAGGCATGCGGCCCGCTAAGGAAGGCTTCCCCTTGCCAAAGTGAATATCTGCTCGAGCCAATCATGTGGCACGACCTGCATATCCCGGGAACGTGGTTCACAGTTTCTACCCCTGAGCCAAGCACGAGTCTGATGAATGTGTGCCATGCGATGACCCGGGATGTGGGAGTGCCTCGTCGTTTGAACTTGTCCCACGACGGCAAAGAGAGATGTGTAGCGTAGACCGATGGTGGTTAGAGATAGATACAAAATGACGAGGTGGAGGAGATGACAACTAGGCGGGTAGTCGAGGATGTGAAGAAAGCTACCTAAGATTGCGTGGTTCTTTCGCACGTCACGGGCAAGCTGAAACACAGCTGGTCGGCTCTCTTGCAGGACAGTGGCAGGCTAATGTGCAAAGGGATTTTGCAAGTAGGAGGGGGCCAGCAAGACTGGGTGTATTAAGGAGTGCCTCTTCTCTTGCCCAACGACGGTTGAAAGACGTTTTCGAATTCCCAAATACACAATTCCGATCATCAATCGTTTGCCCGCAGCGGTCGAGGAAACGAACGAGAGCAATCTGCGCTTCTGCTGTGAAACGCCGCTCACTATTCGATTCTCCCGACTTGACTCGACGCACATTTTCTAGAAAGCCTTCGTTCACTTCGTCGCCGCCCGACAGCCACTCATTTTTCTCTCCCTCGACCACTCGACACTTTGACAGCTCGCCCGCCAGCAATTTCCAGACGCATTCCTTGAGCCGCCTGTCCACCACACGTCCCCACCACCACACGACACACGCACTCTGCACTCTGCCCCTCGACGGCCACCTGCATTGCAATCATTGCGCAATCTGCGCGTTTGGATCTGCAGCTCCGTCTGCATTCGGAAGCCCTTGGTCTATACTTTCAATCGCCCTCCGTTTGTCTTTGTATGCGCCGCACCACTCCCGCGCCTAGCTCCTGGTCCGGCTGCCTCATGGTGTGAGAGTAACATTTGATTCATTCGAAGAGCCAATCCCTGCCTTTTTTGCCAGTCGTCCTCACGTCGTCACCTTGACTGGAAACGCCCACGATGAACCGATTCCTCACCAAAAAGAAGAACGTAGACGCGGCTTCGAGCCCGCTGTCACCGCCAACAAGTAGCAGTAAGATATGGAAGAAGAACAAGAAAGAGGTCGTAGAGGAGAAGCCTCAACTCGACCTGGGAAGTGCTCTGCCGTCAATTGACGACTTCCGCACCAGTCTCATCATGCCGAACCTCTCGACCAGATTCAGCATGCTCAGAGAGCAAGACGACCCGCACTCGTTGCTCGGAAAGGCTTCGGATGATAGTGTTCTCCAGCCTCAACGCAACTCTCGCCTGCTCGACTTCGGCTTCTCAAACAACAACAACCTCAATGATATTGCCGAGGTTGCCTCGATCAACAGCTCTATCCGTCCACCATTTGCTCTGGACCGAACTGGCTCTTTTGCGTCCGAGGAGGGGTACGGCACCGATAACAACTCCAATCCAGATGGCGGTGTCATGAGCCGTGCCCGACCAGGAGAAGGAAACGTGCTGTTTGGAGGTCGACAGAAGGTTTACAAGATTGCCACAGGCTCCGCAAAGAGCATAGGAGGCCAAAGCGAGCGTGGCATGGGAGGAAAGATGGTTTACGACGATGATCTGAACATGTCAGCTTTCCAGAAATACAGACAGCAAGAAAGAGAGAGGCTGCTTGCCATGGGTGCCGATTGGGACAGCGACAGTGCTCTGATGTCCCCTGACACTGAACCTGAACATCGTGGCTCAGAAGATCTCCCAAAGGGTCTTGGTCTGTCCGGAACCGAAACTGGCTTCTCCTTTCTTAAGCGCAACAGCGATTCAACGACGAACTCGATTCCTTCTCAGGATCCTTCCTCGTCCACTGCAACCTCGGTCGCCTCGCAATCCATCGGAACTGCCATCTCCACTCCGGCAACCCTTCCAAAGACATCACCAAACCCTACAGGTCCTGGACTGGAGCGCTCTATGACCAAACGTCGTTTATACGAGCAAGGCCTTAACCAACACATTCAAGACCAACAGGCCTCGACCATGTCACGTCTTAATTCTATCAACCAGCGACAACGTGCTCCGACGCTACCATCTGCTCTCAACCACTCCAGAAGTATTGGAAACCTACAGGATCGTCGTGCATACAAGCCATATGCCCTGCATAACACTACGAGCCCGCCACTCAGAAATGGTGTGCCTCCCCTCAACACACTGGTGAGCAGAGTGGCCTCCAGCACATCCAGTCCGACTGTTTCTAGTTACCCGCAATCTCCTATCAGTCCTGTCATTCCCGAGACGGAGGAGTACCAAGTCTTACACTCGGCCCTCGAGCAAGCCGATCACGGAAAGGCAACTGCCTTGGGCATGTTCAACAAGCCAGCGCAGAAGTTTGATGAACATCAGTATCTCAAGCGACAGATGCAGATGGGTCAGCCCAAAGATGAGTCTCCCAAAGATACGCCCGTCAAACTGTCACCCGTCAGCCAGAACGAGACGCCTAGACAAGTCTCACCGGAACAGCCTCCTGTCAGCAAGTTCATGTCGAGGGAGGGTGCTACCTCGAGACAAGCATCTACGGAGCACACTCCTCAAAACGCAAGGTTGGCTCGCTTTGACTCCGCCAGACAGGAGAGTGCGTCGCGTGCGTCTCAGAGATCGCGCTCTCGCTCTGTGTCTCGAGCACAGCCTGCTGTTGAGCAACCGCCAATTAATCCTGCACTCGCGGTTTTCCAGAGAGCTGCTATGCAAAACCGTGTGGCCCATGGAGACTCACCAGAGCAGGCTGCAGTTGCCACATTCGACAACAGTAACCGAACCTTCTTCGGTGATAGCGACGATGAGGACGAGCTCGAGGAACCGACCAGTCCCCCAGCCTCGGCTCCGTTCGCTGGTCGCTTTGGATCTAACAACCAACCGCCCGCTTCTCAACATCCAGCTCTGCGTGACGATTATATCCCTGAAGTAGACGAGGAGGAAGAGGAAGAGGAAGAGCGTACTGGCTTCCCATTCCCCGAGCCATCTATTCACATCGCACATACCGAGGCTGGTGCCGAAGAGCGCGCAGAGATTGATTCACCAACTATTGGTCCTATACATGAAGGCATTGGCGGAATGATCAGCCAGCATTTACGAAACACGAGTGATGTTTCTTCCATTTACCCACCTAATCCATCTTACGCCGATGGTGCATCAACGATCAGTCGAAACACGTATCTCTCAGATCGTCGCCTCTCAGGCAATTCTAGCGCCTGGAATCTTGACGAGCTCGACAATTACTATGGAGATATCCCTTCCCGAATCTCGACAAACTCAGCAAGCGCTGCTCCTCAAGGACTCACACCTCTTCCTCTGAAGACCAACGGCACATCATCGCGACCTTCGACTTCGGATGAGAATGTTGACAATGCTCCATGGCAGAACGATTACAAGCCTCAGCATACCCGTGACGCTAGTACTGCTACTCAAGCAGAGCGGGAGGCTTTTGCTAATGAGCTTGCGGCCCGTCAAAAGGCCATTCAGGAAAAGATGAGGAGTATTGTTGAGAGCGACAGCCGTGGACCTAGCCCAGGCCCCAGCGCAAGTGGTGCACTCAAGGCATTCGGTATGCTCAAGGCTAGACCCAGTCAGGAGACTATGAACCTCAAGCAAGGTAACGGCTCAACAAGAATGCTCGGTCTTGGTCTTTCAGGCGCTCATCCCATTGAACGTAACCCAAGCTACGAAGACAAGTTGCCCCAGCCTCCAAACGTCGGTGCGCAATGGCCTCTCGGTCCTGGGCCTGTCGTTCCCAGCCCCAGACCTCAGGCAGACAGCGAAATCGGCCGCACACCTCCACAGCAGGCTAGGGAGAGGTCGCGCAACCGATCAGGCTCAGATGCTTCCCGTGCACGATCACGCAGTCGCGGTCGTGGTGAGATTGGCATGGCAGTCAGCGCTGCTAGCGACACGCCTCCTGCAATGCCTGTGCAGAGACCTTCTCCTGAAATCAACCAATATCGGTCAACGTCAACTGAAGGTAGGGGCCGCTTGAGAAGCAACAGCAGAGCCGCGGGGTTGCACCCTAGCGCACGACCACCTATGGGTCCATCGCCATCTCAGTCACCAGCAAGTTTCAACTCGGTCATGTCTCCACCTCTAGGCACAGCCTCAACAGCATCAAGGACACCGTTCCAAAAGTCAAGTCCTGCACCGATGCCGTCTGTACCACTCGGCAAACCTAGAGGAGAAATGCTACGCAAGAAGACCATCAACAAGTTTGACATTTCTGAGCCAACGCTTGTGTCATCGACATCCAATATCGATACTGTCGACTTGCCTGCCGGGGCATCTCTCAAGAATGGCATGGATGAAATCTACGCGATCGAGCAAGCAGCAGTGGTTTCACGCCGACGCAAGCTGTTTGGCTTCGGTAGAGATGGATCATCCGAGACCTTGAGAGAGAAGGCCAACGATGGTGTCACATCGCCACCATTGAACGGTTTCACTTCACCACCCATGCGCTCCATTGTGCCATCATTTGGGTCGCAGGAGCACATGGGTTCGCGCAAGCCTTCTGCCGAGGCTGCTAGCACTCACCACCAACCACTTCGCACAAAGCAAAGCTTCGAAACTAGCCACACAACTCATACTACACAAACAGCGGCAGGTAGCGCTCGCTTTGACGCTGTTGGCTCACCAGTCCTCAACGAGGCAGGCATGTTCTAAGCTCACACCACTCGACACTTCCAGGAGTGATTCCAACCCCGTCCACTCATTCTCGCAATTTCTCATTAATCTTTGTTTTCCGAGAAAGGAGGTTCAATTCTGTTCATAAGTTAGGGTTCAAAAAACAAAGATACCATTTTCCGGGAGTTTCGGGCGCAAAAGAGAAGGGCAAAATTGGTGGAGCAAGACATGTTTCCATGTCGATTTCAGTTTTCTTTTGTTGTTTTCACTCATGCACGATACCTTTTTACGCAGTTACAAGTAGTTCTCAACCCACCGTTCTTCAAATTCATGTTCGTGTTTCAGATGTGGTGAGTGTTTCGGTTTAGGTAGCTTTGACGTTTGTGTGAAATTGTCATCCTGTCACGATGTCCATAGGTAACATATGGAATCGTAAAGAAGAGCGATTCGAGTTGCAGAAACGTGGAGAGTGTCATGGTTTCAGGAGTTGGAGCAGGGTGACAGCGAATTGTAGAGGAGATCGGACCCTTTCGGAATTAAGCTTTACCTGCTCTCTTGCATCTGCCCGTCAATGTCAACAACGAGACTTTGTTTACTGACAACAAGTTTGCAGTCTCTTTTTCCAACATGGACAGACAAGGCTTCTCGAATATGGACTTCGAGTACACGAACGGTGTAGGGCCAGTAGATGAACGGTCACCGTTTGCGCAGATTGGCAGAAACTCGCAGCGCAATAACAGCAACAACAACGACAAGAAGCGTACGTCCCCATGAGTCGCGTGTGGTTCAGTCCAAGGATCGCCCTTCACAAGATAACTAATGGTATTAACAGGTAGCTTTGCAGTATTCGGATCGCCAAACAAGACGACGTTTCCCAGCCTTCGCGAACCCGCTTCTCAGCCACACTTTTTCTCGTCGCCCAAACCACTGCCTGCACTGCCGCCGAATAGGTGGAGCAACAACCCCTTGTTCAACACCCCGAGAAAGCTGGACGTTGACGACTTTGCTTCTTCTGGCGGCGAGACTCCAAAATCACCCGAGCGCAACGACGTCGACAGTGACGCTACGCCAGACATGAGCCTCCGCTCAAAGTTCTCGAATCTGGATACTATGACCAAGCCATCACTGGTATCTACAAAGTCCGCCCCTGTATTTACTGCTGGAGGGAAGAAAGAGAAGGATAGAGAGTCACCCTCACGCCGTCAGAGTTGGTGGAAGTCAACAAAGGAGCTCATGGGTGCATCACCACGCTCAAAAGACGACTATGCCCACGGTGCCGAACGCAAGATCATGAAGCGAAGGAGCAAGGAACAGAAGGCTTTGATACCCAGAAGAGACAGTGTCTCAGACTCTGAACCAGAGCAAAAGCCTCGTCAGGTATCAAGGTCACGCAAGGTGAGCGGAAATCAGGATAAGAGCCTGGCTCAACCCGCAGAACCGCTGCAAGTACCACCACCACCACCACCACCCATGTCGCAGGACACGAACAAGAAACACTGGACCTTGACCTTCTTCGAGTTCATCACCGCACACCCTACATTACCTCACGTCCTCTCCTTCTACGCCCAATTATTCCTCAACCTCTTCCTCATCGGCAGCATCATGTATATCTTGTACAGTTTTTGGGCCACCATCCGTGGCGACGTGGACAAAAAGACCAGCATCGCCGTGGCAGAGGTGCTTTCCCAAATGGCTGCCTGCGCGAGAGATTACAATGCAAACCGCTGCGATCCTGCTACCCGCGCACCTGTCCTCGAGAACGCTTGCAACAATTGGGAGTTGTGCATGAACCAGAACCCCCACGCTATCGGCCGTGCCAGAATCAGCGCTCACGCATTTGCCGAGATCTTCAACAGCTTCATCGAGCCCATTTCGTACAAAGCTATGGTAAGTCTTGTCCTCCTTTCTCCATATTGTCTAAATACTGACTTGTCATAGCTGTTCACCGTCTTGTTGATCTTCGGCACCATCGCCTTTTCCAACCTGGCCTTCAGCATCTTCCGCGACAAGGCTGCCGAGCGTGCCAGTGCCCAGCATCATCACTATTACGCTGGTGTACCTCCTACTCCTCAACCTCAACACTCGTATAACGCTGCGTTGGATTGGGGTAACAACAACAACAACCCTTACCAGCAAGGTCAACAGTTGGGGCTGGAGCCGGCACCCAGCCAGTATGCTGGTGGAGACAGAGAGACTTCTCCGGTCAGGAGATTACAGTTCCGTTGAAGCTTGTTGATTGAAAGACACACGCACGGGGTTTGCATTTAACGGAGTTTCATGATTTGAAATTTTCTTTTGTCACTTCTTCTTGACTTTCCTTGTTTACGAAAAATTGATGGAGGCGATGATGGCAGTACAGCACAGGCGCTTCTTCAGGTAGCGAAGGTCATCGGGGCATTTGCTTTTGAGAAGGACGGTTTCGGGAAATAGGGTTCATAATGGCATTACTGCAAACTTCTCTCGAGTACTTTCTTGACACTAGTAATTCTCATTTTGCAATCAATTTGACTCATCAGCGAAAGACCTCTGGTCCTTCCCACCCATTGCTTCATCTACAAGACCAGTTTCTGAACCACCGCAAACCCCATCCTAAGTATCCCCAATACAATCAAAGCTTCTACACATCCCTTAACCGCCAACCCTGCAAACTCCCAGAATCCCAGTGGTCGCATGGCTCCCCCCAGCAGCGACGTCTGCTCATATATTAAGCAAATGAAGCATATGAGCAGTAACAAAATACCAGCAAGTATTTTACCCAAGTGTTGAATATGCTCCTGTAGTGGTTGTGTGTTGTAGATTTTGAGAAACTTGGTTGAGAGGAGCAAACCGAATGGGAGGGCGATTTTGATGCCGATCAGGTAGACGGAAGATAGGAAGGCTGTTATGGCTATGATGGAAGTGGCGATCAGGATGCTGGTCTGGAGGGTTGAGGTAAGGATGTTGTTCATCTTTGTGTAATTGTGGTGAGTTGGAAGTGTTGAGGCGTTGTTGTTGGGTTTGAAGGGAGGTGTGGGACGTCCGATGGAACAGAATATATCTAGTTCCAGAGGGTTTGGTTACTGGATTCTAGAAGTGATTGATTAGTCGATTGATTGATGAGAGTTTTTGAGGTGTTGTGGTTATTGACGTTGTTGAACCTCCGCGGACGATCGTGGTACGGCCGTGAATCCTTCGCGTATAGCGGCATCTCTGATGTTGGTATCAAAGGTGAGGTTATGTACGGTGTTGTCCTACAAAATACTAGCATGTGCATACCGCTGATCCTCTTAAGTTCACAAGAGAAGGCATTAAGGTGTAGTGCATCTAAAAACAGTCCCATTTTCAGTGCACTGAAGGCTGACACATCATACTTGTCTGTCTCGACGTGATTCTTCGATAGGCCATTAACATCATTCTCATCACTCCAAGCATGAGTAATCCTCCCATACATCTCTTCCCTACCACCCAATAACCCTTCACATCTTCCAATTCACTTTCCTCTCCCTATCTAGCTACCCCTCTTTCATACTTGACACCATCCACCATCAACCCCACTGCCACCAGCCCTCCAATCAATTTCGGCAATCTGTGTTCTATATCAATATACCACTGTGGTGGGTGCTTCCTAATTGAAAGGAGAGGTGCGACGATATCGCCGTAGAGGAGAATCCCAAATGGTGCGCCGAGATACATGCCTGTCATCCAGCAGGCCCAGAAGGAGACCACAGCGTAGACGGATAGACTGGTGAGGACAGCTTGTAAGATTCCCAAGGTCGTGGACCACGTTTCGAGACGTTTGGTAGTTTGGTGATGGACGAGCGTGAGATTTGCCTATGGTGCAGGGATCTTGGTGGGAATGTTTTTGTGTTGATGATAAAGCTTGAATTTGGTTACGTGGCAAAGGGAAGTCCGATAGTCTTGTGATCACTGTTCATGTACGAGTAGTGGTGGCTCGCGGGCTGTCTGCATCGCTCTTGTTGGTTGGTCAGTGGATGATCCTTTCAAGCCCCAGAAGAATCTAGTCTTGGTATACATACCCATCCTTGGCCTTGTCATCTCGATATCGCTTTTCTATACACCACCATCACAAACCTCAACATCCCCAGCACAATCAAGCCCTCTATACACTCCTTCACAACAAACTCACAAAACCCGCTAAACCCCTCCCTTATCCCTGCAACTGCATGTTCGTAAAACATAATACGTATGATCATCAAGACCACTCCAACCAACCCAGAGATGATCTTCTCTACATTCCGTGTCATCTGGAGATATCGTGGTGTAGGGTTGGTGACAGGTTTCTCGAGAGGTTGGATGCATTATTGCATAACCCAGACGCCAAAAGGATCGCCTATCTTGACGCTAAGAAACCAGATGATGTTCATGAAGGCTAGAGTTGCTAGAATCGAGATGGCGACAACTGTGCTGGTCTGAAGCGCTGACAGGAGGGGCTGCAGAAGATCTGAACTCGAATGGACAGGCTGTGCTGGTTGTAGCATGCTTGCTTCTTGATCTTGGGACGGCCGAGTTGTTGATGTTCTGTTGTGATGGGGATGGAGATGGAGATAGAAAAAGAGAAGCTGCGTACAGACCTACCGTCAAGAATATGTAGAGCTTAGAGGATTGGTGTGATGATCCTCTGTTCGGGTGATGTCTACTCCACGGCTTTCTGTTGATTAAACAAGGCCGTGAATCCTTCACCTGGTCATCAAAACTTCACTTTGATAGTACGAGTGATTTTAATCGTCGAGAGAATGAGTAAATAATGTTTTCTTACTTAGGACATATGACTAGCGGAAGAGGGTGAGGGCACGGGGACATCCGTGTCGATGTTGTTTGCGCAGGTCTTACTTTTTCGCAAAAGACTTCTTCACCCGCCGTCGTGCTCCTCAACTTTCCGTCTCATTTACTCAGCACCGTGCGACTGTTTCAGATGCACAGATGTACAAGTACTTTGCTGTCGTGTTGGTCACATCAATAAATCTGACAACTCCGATTCGCGGGCAACGAAAATGTTGCGACGAGGGTGGCGCACTGACATCGAGCAACATATTCGCAGAAATTTAAAATCGAGCATAATTGCCCGTTTGGCCAAGTAAGTTTCACTGTACCGAAAGCTGTTCAGAACAGTCCACTAACCCCAATCCAGGTGGTACGGCGTGTCACTCGTAAGCCTTCTAAAGGTGATATGACAAGATCCATGGTTCGATTCCGTGAATGGGCATATCTTTTTGGCCTTTCGCCTTCACTTTACACGTGAAAGGCTTAAAACATCTTTGCTTCAGCTTCACTATGACGGTGATTTTTAGTTTTGTAATCAATCTTCACATGCAACTTAATTCTGAGCTTTTCATTGTGAGCTCGCTGAAGTGAAGCCTGCGCGAGCTTGGAGCACACGGGCACGAGCTTCCTAACCATTACATCATGCCCATGCAGGTGGTTGGTGCAACGACAAGTGACGAGTCTCGTGTTCCTAAGCTTCCAAGGAGTAGACATCACCTTCTGAATCTAGCCCTCACTTCTTTATTACCAATAATTCCGAATCAAAACACTACAACATGGCCGAAGCAGCAGGCGTCTTGTATGCGGCCGAGCATCTGGTCGAAGGTGGCATAGCGCTAGCAAAAGGCATCTACGACCCTACGCTACCTCTCAAAGCAACAATCACACCAATCACCGATATAAATTTGCCACGAGTACATCATAGCGTCTCCGAGGTCAAAGGCAGAGCATATGTGTTCGGTGGCAAGACCGATGGTGATGAAGTGAGTGCCTTTATCGAGTAGTGGAGGATGAGCAACTGATGACCCAATAGTTGGCTGATAATGCCATGCACATCATCATTCTTCCATCTTCTGGTATTGAAAGCACAGATTACCGACGTTTGGAACCGACTGCTTCTTCACCACCGGCAAGATACGGTCACTGCTCTGCAATCATCGATGACCAGATTTACGTCTTCGGCGGTTCTGATGTGAATGGACCTCTAGAGGAGAAAGGCAGAGTTTGGGTCTTCGATACGGACACCAATTCATGGTCGAGTATTGATGCTGCTGTTGGAGACGTGCCAAAGGCTAGGGTGTGGGCAGCTGCTACTGCAAGTGCACAGCCACAACCTGAGCATCGCAGAACAGACGAGAATGTGGCACCTCAACTACCTCCAGACCCAGCGAAGATGGTTCCGGAGCCTTTGAAGCCGAGCACTTATGGTACCTTCGTCGTATATGGAGGGGTCACTGAGAAAGGCCAAAGGTATGTTTTCAGCTGCTTATCCGCTTTCGCTTCTCTCGAAGCATGAAAGGTCTCGATATTTCTCGACTAACAAATCAGCAGTCCAAACTCGGAACTCTGGACTTTTGATGTCACTTCAAGGACCTGGTCTCAGCTGCCTTCGCCTCCAGCACCTAGCGACTCAACCTCCATGCCCTCCATAACCTTTCACTCTAACCGTCTTTACGCCGTCTCAGGAAGCGAGACTCACTACCTCGATCTGTCCTTCGATAGCACAACTTACACGGACAAACCAACCCAAGGTCCCACAACATTGAGCCCCTGGTCCTCCCTCCATCCCACCACCACCTCGAAAACAGCAAAATACCCAGCTTCATCCTCTTCATCCACAGCTCTCATTCCCATAACCACAGGCCAAGGGCGCAACTACCTACTCCATCTAACCTCCTCAACCCTCAGCACCCTCCAACTCACCTCTTCGAAAACCACAGCAGCGAGCCTCAAAGACCGCGCCAGAAAAGCGATTTCGAAAAAGACGGCAGAGGGTGAGTGGGCAGAGGTGCGATACTTCAATGCCGAAAACGTCATGATTCAAGAAGGTCAAGCGGGCAGAGGAGTAGGTGATAGAAAAGGATTTGCAACGACAAAGGTCAAAGAGATTGACGGGGGTATGGTGTTAGTGTGGGGAGGTGTGGATGGAAGGGGAAGAGTCAGGAGTGATGGATTGATGATCGAGGTGGAAAAGTAAAGGCAGTACTGTATCAACAATTTTGCGGTTCATGAATGGAAGAGTGGTTGAACCAGAAATATATTCGCTGCTGGAGATGGAAGCTTCATCATTCAATGATCACAGTCGCAGTGGTTTAGTGGTAAAATTCGTGCTTGCCATGCACGAGCCCCGTGTTCGATTCACGGCTGCGACATTCATTTTGTCTGTCGATGGGCCAACTGCTTGCCAATGGGCATTCTTCTTGCATATTTGCTCATGTCCGCTTCTCTGCTTTTGCTCGCATTTGGATTTCGCCGTGTTGTATTTGTAGTCAGTGCAGATACGCTGCCTCTGAGATGCCATTGATCAGCATGCCAGAATCCTGAAACATGGAGAAGATAATTATTTATTCGTGCAAGGAAAAAAATGACCAACATGATCGGGCTTCTTCCTCTATTCTATCGAAGAAAGCCATAGATCTATCACGCAATCAATGCGTTTCCGCTTCTATCAAAAAATGAATATCTATACGAAAGATGCCCAATTGGATCAGGCGGGGGTAATCTCTCACTCCTCATTAAGCACTTCATCATGCACACTAGCCCTCCTGCCAAAGTTCCTAGGCTGTCGCTTCAAGAATGCTCCCACAGCGCCTAGATAACCTTCATGACGCAAGAAATAAGCTTGTTTGTTTCCTTTACTCCAGAATTTGATCGCGAAGGAGAGGGTGTGGATGGTTTGACGGTGGCCGCGGATGAAGCTGCCGCCAAAGTAGATGTGTTTGAGATTGTGTTTTTCGGATTGGAGGTAGGCAATTTGACCGATGTTGTTACTGTGAGGTTGAGAGTTAGTGTGATGGATCTTCGAAGGGGTTTGGGAGGAGAAGTGCTTACCTGACTGCGTAGAGCAGACTTCGAGATATGTCTTGGGGTGCAAACATGCGGCCCTCGCCAATGTCGAATTTGCGGTCTGATTGTTGTTTTGCTGCACCTTCTGGTGTCGCTGTGTCGTATCTTTCTGGACGGTCCTCGTGTTGTGGTTGTCCGTCCTCTGCATTTTGCTCTGCCTCTCTTTTGCGCTTGAAGACTTTGCCGAAGGAACTGGCGATTGTACGTTCGCTGAGGCCGATTTTGTCGTAGCCCATTCCTTGGCCGTAGATATCGCCGACTAGCAAGTCTACGGTTGAGTTGTCGCCGGCGTCGGCCATTGCTAGCATATCGTCGAATGTGCGTGCTCCGGTGAGCAGGGAAAGTAGACCCCAGAGAGTACCACCGCCTAGTGATGTTCCGCCGATGCGCTGGAATTTCGAGGGTCCTTCGACTTTGATCATGCTCACACCGCTGCCAATGTTGACAAGCAGGTATGGGTACACATCAGCGCGAGCGTCGGTATAGTGTATAAGGTTCTCCTGATCCTCGTCATGGTAGGTAAAGACCTCATTCGGGATCTCAGTGATGAAGAAGTCCAATCCTTGAATTAAACACTCCATCTCATCTTCTCTCATGACATCGACACCCAATCTCTCCTTTATGCGATCGTAGTACTTGAAGGCACCACCACCTGTGGCCATGACGCATAGCTCTGATTGTTTCCCGCCATTGGCTCTCTTTTGCTTCTTTGTCAATTCGCGCATGAACTCGATACACGTGTCGATCTTCTCCGTCTCGAAGCGCAAAAAGTGTAGACGGCCTCCAGGCTCTTTCGCTCCGGGCTCGCGCGAGAAGTAAACGACCTTGGCAAGTGAGCCGCCAATGTCCGCAGCTACATGGCTGACAACGGAAGTGTGGTTTGGTAGGCGGATGTCGCGGCGATCATGCTCGTAGCCTTGGTCTTCGGTTCCGCTTTCGCTGGATGGTGATTGGGCCTCGCCATTGTCGATTATGTAGGCTCCGCTGACGTTGATTTTGATGGTGCCTGGGTCGACGATACTGTGTTGCATGTCTTCGGCCGAGCTCGAAACTCGCCGGCGCTTGAGCGGCGGTTGTCGGTCTGCCATCTTGTGAGGAAGGAGCGTTCGAGGAGGGGCACACGACAGCGCAACAAAATGTTGAGTCGATGAGGGAAGCTGCGATTAGAAGCTTTGTTTCGGATGTTTCGGTATTTTTGGGCAAGTGTGGAAGCTGAACAATGTGTAGAAGAACAAGAAGAGTCTCTAAAAGGGGCAGAAGGAAAGACTTGGGACAATAATGGTTCGATTGTCTTGCTCACATAATATTAGACAGCAGTCCGTGTCCCCACTACCAAACTGCCTGCGGGGCCGAACAAGTCGACCGGACCCTGTTGTCCGGGGCCGAGTTGGCCGAGGCTTCAGTTCAATTTCCACAAAAATCTCCCATCTTCAGTCGTCCAATTCGGCAACATCTCGTGTGCTGCCGAATGGGAGGAGGGTGCTGAGTACGATGCTTTGCTCCTGAGTATTATGTTCCGATAAGAGATGATGTTCATTAAGTACTATTGTGTATCACTTTTCCCCTTACACGAGACCTCTGTCTGTCCGTATCCTTTTTATGCTATGCAGACCAGAAAATGATTCCAACACTGCCCCCTTGCGAACTGCTGTCGACTGGTATACATGTCATCTAGTCGTACAAAGCCTCGAAGAAGTAAATGACACCGAAAACAAGGAAAGCGATTGCTCCGCCAAGAGTGACTGTCCTGTGTTAGCTTTGAATCAATATACCTCGTAGCAGAAGGGTTGTACTTACCAACTCTCAAGCTGACTTTGCCGGCCAGAGCACGTCCACCAATGACCGCGATACCAGTGCAAATACAGTGGCCTGCAATGGCACCACCTGTCACCCACCAGTAATCTTGTCCAGCAGCCATGGCAATGGTAGCAATCTGAGATCTGTCACCCCATTCACCGAGGAAAGTCATCACAAATGTTTGCACCCATGCAGGAGAAAGAAGGAGACCGAGAAGATTATTGAGTCCGCCAAGTGCGTTGCTGACAGATGCCTTTGCTCCACGGCCAGAAGGAGAGGGTGACCTGGAAGAGTCGGATGAAGGCGACTGTGCTCGTGCAGGCAGCTTGTGAGCACTGCGCGAGCCAGATCTTCTGCCACGACCAGCCTCGAGCACGTATGGCGAGACTGATGAGCGTCTACGGCCCTCCTTGCGTGCAAGGTGCTCCTTCTCTTCGAGTTCGGCTTCAACCTCTTGCATTTCTTCGCCAACACCAGCGTCCTTGTCCATCTCAAGACCTTCACGCAGCAGCTTACCGCCGAAGATGAGGAACAAACCTGCTGCGAGCCATGCGGTCAGGTGCTTGGGAAGAAGAGTTGGTACGGCGTGACCGAGGACTGCAGAGAGCACTGTCATGGCGATGAGAGCGGAGAATGCGCCAGAGAAGACGACAAGCTGAGGATGACGCATGGCCATGAGTGCAGCGACCAAGAAAGTCTTGTCGCCAATTTCTGAGAAAATGATCATGGTGAATGCGAGAACGAACGAGTGGAAAGGCTGAATAATGCCCTCAGATCCATCTGCAAGACCAGGTGTCACCTGCTTGCCTTCGGTGTAAGGGAGTGTTTCTTTGAGGGTGGAGCCCACGGTGTGACTTAATGATCCTGAGGATCCAGCGGCTTCCAAAGCTGCTGCGTGTGCCAAAGCGTCCTTCTCTTTTGTGTCCAAATCTGCGGCTTTTTTGGGCGCAGGGGCTGGGATCTCGTGAGGCTTATCGGGCAGGTCGGCGGGTTTCTGTCAAGTCTCGTCAGTCGTGCACGCAAAGCACGATTAGGACCATATCATACCTCAAGTCCTTGAGCTCCCTTGGGCTTTCCAACAGGGTTGATCGCATCCTTGACTTTCTCTGGTGAATCCTTGTCCATGCGCTCCTGCTCGCTGTGAGGAAGCGGAGGGGCTTCCTTGGGTGTTTCGGGCTTCTTCTCAGCCTTCTCCCCGGTTTGACCTTGCACTGCCTTATCTTTCTTGTTTCTCTCAGTAACGCCTCCCTCAGTGCCAGTAGTGCCTTCCTTCGGGGCCAGGCGGTTCACGTCATCCATGACTCCGTCGTTCTTCTCCGGAATAGCATCGAATTGTTTGGCGTCGGCTCCCTTCAACTTCGATAGAGATGTGGGTAGAGGCTTCACAAGATCCTCAGCGACCGCTACAGGCTTCTTCTTGTCCTCGGGGGTGATGTCGACAAAAGGTCCAGCATGGGGCTTTCCGTCCAGACCGTCAACGGGCGCATCCTTGGTACCAACAACAGGTTTTTGAGTGGGTGCACGTGAGCTCGAGGTGGTGATAGCGGTATAGTCCTTGACTGCGCCGGCGACAGGTGCTTTGGCTACGAGCACACCATCTTGCGCTTTGGGCTCAAGAGCTGCCGAAGAAACGAGGGCGGGTAGAAGCAGGAGCAAGACAGTCGAAGGGGGCGATCGTATTCTCATATTGGCGAATGTCCGTCAGAAAGTCCGGATCGTGTTTGTATGCGCCGTAGATATCGGTGGGCTGCTGACGAAAACAGCTTTAGCCTAAGTTTACTCCCGTTCTTGCAGTACTCGAGGCTGCAACGTTGATGAAGTCCAATGTGGAAAATGTAGAAGATAGATAATATAGAAGACGGTAAAGTAAAAGAACAGAAAGGACACAGAAGAAAAGGGAGACTCGAGGCGCACGACTGTTTTTTCAGGGATGAACAACTCAATGCTTCAGGACGGATATATCTGGAGCGGTCCACGCCTCCTTTCTACCAACTAGTATTGCCAAGCTTCGTAAGTCTCTCTTGGGAACTTGTGACAGCTCATCAGACATACGCGTCACAAACTTGTTTCGTTCAATTGCGGGCCTTGTATGATTGTCTATCTAAGAAACCCCGATTGCTTGATGCAAAGGTGACAGCTACTGAGCGCCTTCAATATTTATGCTTTCCAGTGCTTGGTCGACTTCGTATCCCAACAATATAACAACGAAACATCTTGGACCGACAAGCTCACAAAGACTAACATCGCTTGAGTCCTTGATAAACAAGTCTCGCGGCAAAGCTGGCGGTTTAGAGCTGCTAGCAAACACAGCCATCTCAAGCAAAGCCACATTGCGTTGGTGGTGGCATGCACTTTGTTTGAACAACGCGTTGGACGGAATCTTGACCTTGATCTTGGCCCTAACCCTAACCCTAACCCTAACGCCCACCTCCCTTGTTTTTGCGGAGGTGCATCACTACTATTTGTTGATATAATGATATTGAGTGTACTCTCAAACCTCAGTTTATACCTCAACTTAGCATGCGAATTTGACTCGAATTCATGGGTAGAGTTGGAGTGAAATACCGTAGGTCACGTGTTGCGCGAGCTGGAGAAAACCCAAAACGCGACGCGTCGTTGTTGCCTGTAGCCGTCTTTCTTGCACCAGAACACATCTACCACAACCCACTAAATCGCTATTTTCTGAGCTTTTGAGATGGCGCGAACGAGAAGTCAAAGTCGCGAACCTGACCCGCAAGCGTCACGTCGTGCTCCCAATGCCCGTAAACCTCAGCAACGTAAGTCAAGCTTGTGCACTCAGAACGCGGCATTCACTGGATATTGGAAACCCTGACATTCTTGACCCATGTGAGCTGTCGACTGATATGAGGTTTTAGAGCTCCGGCCTCTGCCTGAAGACGATAGTGAGGTTGAGGATAACGTTGACGGCGATGATGATGTCGATGTGGACCAACAATCAACTGGCGGACTATCTCAATCCACTGGACCGCGTTACGACACTTTTTCGCAGACTGAACTTCAGCTCCTCGACCCCGAAAATATGGAATCAAACCTCGAGGACCTCAACTCCCAAGCCAGAAAACTCCTTGCCCAATTCAGAAACCCTTCCGGACGAGCAGACGAACTGAAATCGCTCATTCGTCAGTTCCAAAATCCCGACTCAAGAGAAAGACAAAAGGTAAAGAATTGCTGGGCTGACCTTCAAGTTCTCCAATCAGTCTTCACAAGTAGTGGGGAGTATTTGAAGCCCGAAACTATTCTCCGAAGCTTGCTGAGAAAGAAACACACCCAGCCATTACCAAAAGCATCCAAGCCCTGGAGACCGGACGATGTGATCTACAAAGCGAATCTAGCCATCCTCGTACACACTGTCATGACTGGGTCTGCTGACCATGACACTATCGACGCTCTGATGGGTGCAGAGCAAATCTTTTCCTCGCCCTTCGCACTTAAGTTCGTTACTCCTGGAGGCAGAACCATGCCTGGTCACAGCAATCTCATCCCGGATACTTTCGAATTCGCTCTTGAGCTCAGAACTCAGGTGCTTGTCGGTAATCTTCAGGCCAACATGACCCAGTCTGATGCCGCATTCATGATCCGCAACGCTATGCTTGATTTTGACGACAACGACGATGACTATGGCGACGATGCGAGTGAGCATCAAATGCTCAATCATGCTCTATCCCATAATCGCTACGCCAAAGGGTGGGAGCTCCTCGACCCACATACTCTTGGGACTGAAGAGTACGCCGGAATGATTATCAGACGCGCTGGCGAGATCACAACAGCACTCTTCAGCGATATCAAAGATCCCTTCGTTGATTCATCCGCAAGCTTAGAATCCGGTTTGGCCAAGTTAAGAAAAATGTTTCCTTGGGAGCAATTCCAGAAACATCTCTTACGTTGGGCCAACTTGCGCCTCTCAGAGATTGACAACAGCATCAAACAACTGGGCGGCATTGACGAGATCGTTACTGCTTTGGAGCAAGAGATTAGAAATCGTCTTGACAACCCACATGCATACGACAATGAAGATGTGTCAGATGAGCAAGCACTTCCAAGCGTCGAGAGAAATACTCAACTTACAAGTAGTCGTGCCACACCAGCATCGGTAGCGAGGTGAATGTCATCCACGTTGAAGTAAATACAGAGACTGATGAACTGCTAGCACAAAGCGACGCGCTAAATTGTCTACACTGCTTGGAGGTCGCCCTAAACCATCCACCAGTGCACACATTTCGAGCGCCGCACATCCAGAGCGGACTCGAACGACTACACAACTTGATGCCAATGCCGAGGTCATTGACAATGTTGAGTCAACAGCTGCCCCAAGACTGGATCCAGCGGGAAAGCTGGCAAGGGCAAACGCACTTGACGAGCAAGCAAGACAGAAGAGAAGATTTATTGACCCTCAACCTGATGGGGTACGGATAGTCGACGACATCACGGACTCCCAACCTGCCACACAGACTAGGTTCCGACTGCCTGGCACCTCACGACAGCCATCAAGCAACCAGAACCTTCTTGATCCCGCTTTGCAGAACGAAGAGGAAACCGAGAGGCTGAGTGATGACGAGAACTTTTTCCAGACCCAGGACGATGCCCCTGTTGCCAGACCTCGACCAAGGCCTTCGGCTGCAGCCGTTGTAAATTCTACACAAGAAGAGCCCACACAATCAACACGCAGACGCAGGAGCTCCGAGGTGGAGACTCCAAACAAGCGAAGAAACCCAGGTCCGACCATCGAACCTTTCCGCTCAACTGGTGATGACGAAGCGGATGCCGTACAGATAGCATCTTTGAATACCAGATTGGCGGTTAGAAGAGCTCAACCAAGGGCACAAAGAGCACGCAAACCATGGGAGGACGCAGAGGTCGGAGCTTTACTCAGGTACATTCGAGACTACGGTATTTCCTACGCCATCCTCAAGAAGATCGATGAGGAGGGAAACAACGTACTCGGAGATCGTACTCCTGAGGACCTCCGCCTCAAAGCCAGAGAGATGAAGGTCAAATTCCTGATGTAAGTGTCACCAAAACCAAGAGAAATCCAACACATGTGAACATGACTGATGGGATCACAGCACGGAACAACCTCTTCCTGCAAATCTGCATCTCGTCCCATTGGGCAAGAAGGAAATTGAGAGGGTGAATAGATTTGTGCTCTATGAGCAGGAACCTCAGCGTGCGCGTAGTGATCTTCCTGCCATATCGCCATAGCAGAGTAGTAGTAATCTGTATGCAGAGGCGTGATGAGATGAGGAGCTTTGGTGTTTCTGATTTTGCACATTCTATTATCACTATTCAATTCGTTAATCTCAACAACGCTATATGTCAAGCCGATCCAATCAGTGACAGGTGATTCTGCCTTCATGACTGAAGATAACCTTATGACACAACACGTTTCTGGTAGCCATGCAGAGGAGAGTCTGTTCACTCTGCTTTCAAGTCAAGCTCGCAAGCCACAAAGTATACGCATGCAATGGTCAGGTAGTGAGTGTATGTAGGTCTTTTCATATCATTTCTACAATCTTCGAGTAACTAAGATCAAAACACCTTCCCTGCGCCTTGGATATTTCCCTGTGGTATATTTACAACAACATGCTTATAGTATTTTCTTTCTTCACATTTCTTCCTCCTGCCTGAAGAGGTAAAGCTGAGCTTACAGCTTCTGTCTCTCCATACCCTTCCAGCCGTGAGCCTCGGCGATCATCTCAGCTGCGCGCTCACCGATGGCGAGAACGGTCAACATGGGGTTGATAGTAGGCATCTCAGGGAAAACACCAGCGTCAGCAATTCTGACACCCTTGAGTCCCTTGACCTTGAGCTGATGATCCACAACGGCGAATTCATCCTTGCTCACATCACCCATCTTGGTGGTACCGGCAGGGTGGTAGACAGTGTGTGCGGCTCTTCTGCCGTATTCGGACAACTCTTCATCGGTGGTGCACTTGGGGCCGGGGGCGACTTCGCGCTTGATCCAGTCTTTGAAGGGGGCTTGTTGGGCGATCTTGCGGGCGGCCTTGAAGCCAGCGACGATGGTGTCGGCGTCGTAGCCTTCGGGGTCGGTGAAGTAGCGGAAGTCGAGGGCGGGCTTGACAGTGGGGTCGGCCGAGGTGAGGAAAAGGCGGCCGCGGGAGCGTGGGCGGGGGATGTTGGGGGTCATGCAGAATGCATCGATGGGGGTGTCGTAGCCGAGACTAGAAAACTGTTAGTTGCTTGAAAAGTCAAGGAGGCTTCAAAACTTACCGAGATGTGTTCAGGCAGAAGGGGATTTGGTAGCAGTGCATCATGATGTCTGCGGCATCGCCATCTCCGTTGTGCTTGTCGGTCTTCTCGCGACGGAGGAAGATACCGGCGTCAGAGTCCATGGTGGTCTGGTTGGCAGGAACGGGCTTGTTCAACTCCCACATGATGATGGTCTCGGGGTGGTCGAGCAAGTTCTCGCCGACACCGGGGATGTCCTTGACGACGGGAATCTTGAGCTCGTCGAGCTGCTGCTTGGGTCCAAGACCGGACAAGAGCATGAGACGGGGAGTGTCGACGGCACCAGCGCAGAGAATGGTCTCGCCCTTGGGGTTGAGGGTGTACTTGGAGCCATCTTGGAGAGTAACGTCGACACCGGTGACCTTGTCACCCTTGACGTTGATCTTGCTGACCCAGGCGTTGGTCAGAACGGTCAAGTTGGGTCTCTTCTCGTCACCACGGAGGATGGGGTGAATGTAAGCAACGGAAGCACTGCTTCTGTGACCGTTGTCGGGGTTGTATGAGACGGAGAAGAAACCGACACCTTGTGTGAGTTGACCCTTGGTCTTGATCTCCTTGTTGAAGTCGTGGATGACGGGGATGTCCATGGCAGTGGAGCAAGAGTCAATCCAGTCCAGGCAGAGCTGGTTGCGGTGTCTCTCGTGGACGGGCTGGACCGAGTTTCTGATGTTGTCCAAAAGACGGGTGAAGGTCTTGAAGCTCCATCCCTTGCAGCCCTGGGCCTCCCAACGCTCGCAGTCGTACTTGAAGGGGCGGAAAGAGATGAGGGTGTTGTGGGAAGAGCATCCACCCAGAACCTTTGCACGAGAGTGGCGGATGTGGGAGTTGCCCATGGGCTGCTCGGTGGTGCCGTAGTCGTAGTCGAGCTCACCACCAAGGAGGTTCAACCAGTCCTTGAGCAGAAGGACTCTGTTGTCCATGAAATCCGAAGGACCGGCCTCAATCAAGAGGACCTTCTTGTCAGGAAGGTAGTCGGAGAGACGGCTGGCAATAACACATCCTGCAGTTCCGCCGCCGACAATGACAAAGTCAAATTCTGGGTTTGAAGGAAGGTGTACAGTAGTCATGATGGGCTAACTATGTCCTCTAATGAATGTCGGACAAGACGAGGAAAAGAAGATGTGTAGAGAAAGAAAGAGCGAAAAGTCAGCGGCTGTCAGCGGGTGAACCGTATATAAAGCAAAGCTTCAGAAGGAGCTCGCTCTGCGACCCTCGACGATTCGACAAATGTAACTCCGATCTGTACTCGAAAGTCTAACGACCCACCACTCACGCGATTGCGGGATCTCTTAGCCGTCACTTGAACGCCTCAATCTTAACGGCATCCTAGAGTGATCCTCGACTCATGTCGTTGAGTGAAGTTTCACCTGGCGGTGCCAGGGCCTCTTTCGCTGGCCCATACAAAAATTCTCCAAAAGACGCGCGCCCAGACCAAGCACCTCACAGAAAGAGGGCTTTGGCAGGGCAGCCCTAACGACCGTAGTGGACAAAAGGTGGCTTTAGCGTCGATTGCTAGACCATATCAGTTGCTACACGTAAGGAACTCGATACCAGAAAAAGCTCGAGCTTCCTATCAAATCATCTGTCCTACGCGATGAATCTTCTTGGCCTATCGGCTACTTACTCATGTGTAAAGGTGGTTGCTGGCAAGAGTTACGTTTCGCAGTGTAGCATTTTTCGACGTGGCTTGTAAACGCTGCGACGCCCGCCTTTCCCGAAAACCGAAAACCTCAAACCCTCCACAAGTTCCTCCCTCTGCCGTCATCCTCGTTCTGGAAGCTCACACGTGAATCCTCCCACACATTTGCTCGACTATAAACTTTTCCAAGCTCGGTTTTACTTGTTCGCCTTATCAGCAGGGTCTCTCACAACCGTATTGCCAATAATCCTGTCGCCTCACCTCAAGACCAGGACTCTTCCTGTCCGCTGTTTACGACCATCATTGGAGATAAAGAGGACTTATTCTTCACAAATCAACATGACCACTTATCCCCTCCGCCAGCTTTACTACGATGGCAAGCGTCAGAACGCTACTTCGCATTCCACTTTTCAGACGGTAGACCCGGCTACGGCAAAGCCTGTGGGAGAAGTCCAGGCCGCTTCCCATGCCGACATTGATAGGGCTATTGCCTCTGCACAATCTGCTTTCCAGGCATGGTCTACCACTCCTGCAATTGAGAGATCTCGTATTCTCTTGAAGGCCGTTGCTCTCCTGAGAGAACGCAATGATGAAATTGCCAAAGTCGAAACTCACGATACTGGAAAGCCTTTCTCAGAGACCAGCACTGTTGATGTTGTCACCGGCGCCGATGTGCTGGAATACTATGCCAACATGGTCGCCTCTGGCGGTCTGAACGGCGAGACCACCCAGCTCCGCCCTGATGCCTGGGTCTATACTACCAAGAACGCTCTGGGTGTCTGCGCAGGCATTGGAGCCTGGAACTACCCTATCCAAATCGCCCTCTGGAAATCAGCACCTTGTCTCGCAGCAGGAAACTGCATGGTCTACAAGCCATCAGAATTCACTCCTCTGCACGCCCAAATTCTTGCTGAAATCTACACCGAGGCCGGTGTTCCAGCAGGCGTTTTCAATGTCGTTCAGGGAGCTGGAGACGTGGGTGCCTACCTTACTGCCCACCCCAAGATTGCCAAAGTCAGCTTTACAGGCCAAGTCAGCACCGGCATGAAGGTCGCCGGCTCAGCAGCCGGAAACATGAAATACGTGACCATGGAACTCGGCGGCAAGTCCCCTTTGATCATCCTCCCCGACTGCCCAGTCGAAAACGCAGTCGACGGAGCAATGATGGCAAACTTCTTCTCCACCGGTCAAGTCTGCACAAACGGCACCCGCGTCTTCGTCCCCAAAGCCATGGTCCCCGCCTTTGAAAAACGCCTTCTCGAGAAAATGGAATACGTTCGCGCAGGAGATGTCATGGACTTGAACACGAACTTCGGGCCTTTGGTGAGCAAGACCCACTACCAAAAAGTCCTCGATTACATCCGCTACGGCGTAAACACCGACAAGGCCAAACTCATCTACGGCGGCTTCGACAAGCCTTCTTCCACCACAGAGGCCCAGGCAGATGGTTTCTGGGTCAAGCCCACAATCTTCACAAACTGCACTGATGACATGCGCATCGTAAAGGAAGAAATCTTCGGTCCCGTAATGTCCATTTTGCCCTACGATACCGTTGACGAGGTGGTCAAGCGCGCAAACGACACCCCTATGGGTTTGGCTGCTGGTGTCTTTTCGCAGGATATCAACGCCGCTCATAAGATTGTCGCGCAATTGCAGGCGGGCATCACTTGGGTGAACACTTGGGGAGAGTCACCTGCTGAGATGCCCGTGGGAGGTTGGAAATTGAGTGGTGTAGGAGTGGAGAATGGACGCAAGGGATTGGAGGCGTGGGTCAAGAATAAGAGTACGCTTGTCGAGATGGGAGGCATCGTTGGTACTGTGTTTGCTAAGCTCTAGATGCATTCCCTGCACATGTTGTGTTTTATTCATGCGGTTCTAGTTGTAAATATCCAAATCTGAAAACGATTCATATATGCAACTGATACACGCTGAGTGGAAATTTGAATGGTGAAGATACGTGGGGCCGAAAGCGGCAGTGTAAGATATTGATGCCATGATTCGTGATATAGTGATATATGATCTGACACGCCACTTGAATATGCAGCAAGCTGACTGTCTAAAGTGCTATGTAAGGGTCCTTGTGATAAAGTCCCAGCCGGCTGAAGGTCGCACTTTTCGATAGAGTGATAAAGAGTCTCGAATAACCGAAGGCTCATCAGGATGCATTTTCCCCATTACGGCATATTCGAGCTCGTGGATGCTTATCTGTCTGATACCTGTGACATGGCATAACCCGCAACCCATGGGGTAAGCGCAGGAGATGGCGTAATTCGGCCGAAGCTGCCGACTTACAAAGTATTGTACAGCAGACGACGCAATGCAACCCAGATTGTGGCGTTTTTTGGTATAGATTAGGGCTTATCCTTGCCTTGACACAAGGGAAGCTTTCACCTCTTTGCGCCGGCCGGGATATCATAACCTCTTGTCATGAAGTCGGCACTCTTGCCTATCGGCTTGCTCTGATCTCTTGAGGAGAACAGGGTCTTCAGGTTATCGTTGTGCATCTTCCTTTTCTTTATTTCTTGCTCTTGAAGGACCTTTGCTGTCAAGGCGGCGGTGGAGGAGTTGTTGATGTTGTTGGCCTCTTTCTTGTCGACGGAGATCAGAGGAGGAGCTTCATCTGCTTCTTCACGCTTCTTGCGCTTCTTTGATTCCTTTGCAGCTTTCTTGAGAGAGTGTGCAAGGCCCTTCTCTTTCAACGTCTTGACGCGCAGAGCTAGGCGAGCGATATCTGTTGAGGCAGTAGGCAGGATCGGGATGATATCGTTGGCGGCATATTCTTGGTCGCAAGTGACGCAGCGCTCTCCAGAGACTTCCTTGATAGCAGTGGCGGAGAAGGCGTGGCCGCAGGGCACGAGGTAGACGGCCTTTTCTCCAGGACCGAGACGGTCGCCGGTGACGGGGCACTTCCAAGGGTTCTTGACGTCCTTTGCGGCGTTGGTGTCGACTTCGAACTTGATCTCGACAACGTCTTTCAAACTCTTGACAGCGCCTTGGAGGACGGCCTCAGCGTCGGCCTTGGTGGTGGTCGCATCGTCCGAAGGCAGCAAGTATTCGATAATAGACTCTTTGTTGTACAATTTTCCATTCGAGTCAGAGACGATGGGCGGAGAGAGAGGTTTGCGCGTGATGGGGTCGGTTGTCCAGCCATATTCCTGTTGTTCGTGCTGTGACTGCTTGATTTCGGTCGTGGTCGGGTTGCGCGCGGCTTCCTTGACCAATTCGCGTCGCGTGGGAATACTTCCACCGTCGTTACCCATCTCGTCTGCCGATAGCCTGAGTGTGAAATGTTGAAGAATTGTTAATGTCGCGTTGGAAGACGAGTGCCGAGATTGACTGGCTGGACGGGTATTCAGCACAGGCGCTCGGATGGATTGCATGTGATAGGCCATGACGTTGACATGGCGGGTGTGCGGTTCGACATTGTCGGCGGCAGCGACTCGATGCTCATCCACTTGACATAGACTCGACTATACACGATAAAGGACATGGCTACTACGACACTACGATAGCTGCGACATAGACTAATCATGAGCACGCCCCTGCTCTTTGGCCGCACTTGTGCGAAACACGCCTGGCAGCGACAGTCCACCGCTCTTCCCTTCTTCAAGTCGCAGGCTACTCGCTCCTTCACCTTTACCGCAAGAACATACAACCGTCCGCGATTCTTTCAAAATGCTCGCCAATTCTTCCGACACCCGCCTCCGCCCGTAAAGGGTGGTACCGCTTGTCTCGCCGCCCTCTCCCCCGCCGCCTTCGTAACCCTGAGCGAGAATGACGAGTCCGAGGATGGCTTGACAGGAGAGCAGCAGATGCTCGAGGCTTCTAGGAAAGAGCTGGCTGAGCAGGTCCCTGGCTGGGTTGGAGGCTCCAAATCTCTCCGCAAGGGCATCTGGAAGTTCCTCGACACTTGGATCATCGAGCCTATCGCGACCGGCTTCCGTTTACTACATTTGATCTTCATCTTCGTTCCTGTCATTGTCACCGTACCTGTCATCTGGTTTGGCCAGAGACAGCCTGAGAAAGACAACGAGCGATCTGGCACTCTCTGGTGGTATGCATTCTTGGTCAATGGCATGGAGAGGGCCGGTGCTGCTTTCATCAAGGTGCGTTGAGACACGGTCGACACACAGCTCAGCAACAACTTCACAGGTACTAACATACACCTAGCTCGGCCAATGGGCTGCCTCGCGAACTGATATTTTCCCTACTCAGATGTGCGCCGTCATGTCTGCCCTCCACTCCAATGCTCCCGCCCACACACTCCATCACACTAAGAAGACGATCGAACGAGCCTTTGGCATGCGTTTCGAAGACATCTTTGATGAATTCGACGAGAAGCCATTGGGTGTTGGCGCCATAGCACAGGTTTACAAGGCAAGGTTAAAGCCTGATATCGCTGTCAGCGAAGACCTCGATCCTCACGGCTCCGACACTTATCGCCAGAAATTCAAGAGAGGTGTTGACATCACTCTGAAGAGCACGCCACAGAGGACACCTTCTCAATACGTCGCCATCAAGGTCCTTCATCCCAAAATTGAGCGCATTGTTCGCAGAGATTTGAAGATCATGGGCTTCATGGCTTCTATGATCAACTTGATCCCCACCATGGAGTGGCTCTCGTTCCCTGACGAAGTCGAACAGTTTGGTGAAATGATGCGTCTACAGCTGGATCTTCGTATCGAGGCCGCCAATCTGACCATTTTCCGCAAGAACTTCCGCGACCGAACAACCGCCTGGTTCCCTTACCCATATACTCAATACACATCTCGTCAAGTCCTTGTAGAAGAATTTGCCCAAGGTATTCCGCTCGAGGACTTTTTGCAGAACGGTGGTGGTGTCTTCCAAAAGGAGATTGCGGACGAAGGTTTGGATGCCTTCCTCCACATGCTCTTGATCGACAACTTCATTCATGCCGATTTACATCCCGGAAATATCATGGTTCGCTTCTACAAGCCAGCCCAGATTGATGTCAAGGGCAGCTTCTTTAGCCGACCCAAGCCTGACCCCAAGCTCTCTACTGATGTAACAGAAGAAGTTTTGGAACGTCTACGACCGCACAGAAAGTCCAAGGAAGATTGGGGCAAGACGCTGGATCAGATCGACCATGAAGGCTACCGACCCCAACTCATCTTCATCGACACAGGTCTCGTCACCGAACTCAACGGCCTAAATCGTCGCAATTTCCTTGACCTCTTCAAATCCGTCGCTGAGTTCGACGGCTACAAAGCAGGACACTTGATGGTCGAACGCTGTCGTCAACCAAGCGCCGTCATCGACAAGGAAGTATTCGCCCTCCGTATGCAACATCTTGTGCTCGGCGTCAAGAGCCGCACCTTTGCCCTCGGCAATATCAAGATTGGCGACATCCTTAATGAGGTACTCAGCATGGTCCGCGGCCACCACGTCCGCCTCGAAGGCGACTTCGTCAACGTAGTCCTCAGTATTCTCTTGCTCGAGGGTATCGGCCGAAGCCTAAATCCCGAGCTAGACTTATTCTCCGGGTTCGTAGATATGGGCTCCACCATGTATTTTGAAGGCTTGTTGTGAGCTAATTTGTTTTCTTGTATCTAGGGCTCTTCCGATATTGAGACAATTGGGCACTTCTGGTGGTGCGGGTAACATGCTCAAGGGGGGTGATCTTTCGATGATTAAGGTATGGGCTGGACTTGAGGCGAGGAAGTTCATGCAGGCCAGTGTCGAGAGTGTGGAGAGTTTGGTTGCTCATGATCAGTTGTCTCCTAACATCTAGAGTGAGTTATCTTCGATCATGGAGATCTTTTTATGTTCAGTTGGACAACTGGGCTTTGTATTATACTTTTTTCACATCTCAACGCGGTCTGGACGTGGACAATGTGATCTGTTCTCTTCATCTTAAAAACACTACGGGTTTACACTTAGGTCGGTAGATTTGATCGCTGTGTTCTTTCGTCTCATCCTGCCATGTTGTGTCGAGTACCACTCATTCAAGATAAGAACAGGGTTGCACCATTTACCAACATTTTTTGAACAACAAATCAGTTTAATCTTTGGTTGAAAGGATTTGTCGCAATGTCTGAGTGTCTAAATGAAGTGGGAAGTATTTCTCTAGAGAGTTCTGGCAGTTATGCTAGGATTGGGTTGACATGTCGCCGTTGTTGGTGCAGATTGTAAATCACGAGCTCAGGTTTCCAAACACTTCATCAACGTGGGACATAAGCATCATGCAAACTAGGTTGACAGATCAAGAACAAAACATTAAGGAGAATCTGCTCATGGGTATACAAACTCCGGCCCCGAGGAGCACCTCTAAAGCACAATGTCCCCTAGACTAACAAAGCTGTATGTAGTAAGACCGTCCAAGATCCTCTTCAATCGAGTCAATAATCCAACCTATCACGGTGGTCTGATGTTAGTCTCACTAAGCATTTCGTATGATACTATATAGATGATAATACACATGAGGAGACCGAGCAAAAAAAAGAAGAAGACTGCCTGAGCAAAAGGGTAGAGTACGCACCACAAGGGCAAAAGAAGATTCCGACACGGGGAATTGAACCCCGGCCTCCTCGGACCTGGTTGTTCTTTCGAACGGTTTGAGAGCGAGAAATCCTAGCCACTAGACCATATCGGATGCTGTTGAAGTGATCTCCGGCAAGACAATTTATAATGCTCGTCACGTTTCGCACGTGCATGGTGCACGTCGCGTGGTCGACACGCATGTCATCCGAAAGCCGAACCACACCGCGCTACATCTAATCAGATGTCTACTTCTACAGCCACCGTCTAACTACATCGAGACACGGAACTCAAACCGATAAACCGTCTTCATCATGGACAGCTCTCTGCTAAGTTCAGACGCAAACAGTATGTCCACTTTTCACAACCTGAGATGTAGTATCATGATCATGAAGCTCACCAACCCACAGGAGTCAATGCAGCCGAACTCAACGCCAAAGTAAACGCAGCAGTACTCAAATCCGGCTCCGACTGGGATGACCTCCCCGAAGGCCATGTTCTCTTGAGATTCTCAGCCGAGCTCGGCGACATCATCAAGGAAGCTGGGTATAGCGAGATGTATGGCATTGAGCTATCAGCACCTACTGCAGAGTAAAAACTATCCCCCCTCTATACCAGAACCGTCGGTATACATAACCAAAACACGGCTAACATGTAACCGCCAAAACAGAGGACAACCAGCCCCCTTCCACACCCTCCTCATCCTCCAAAAATTCCTCCGCGCAAATGCAGGACAGGTCAATGCAGCAAGCTCCCAACTCCTCGGTGCTCTGAAATGGCGTAAAGAGTTCAAGCCCCTAGAAGTCAAGAAACAAGTCTTTGACAAGACCAAATTTCAAGGCTTGGGATATGTCACCAGATTGAAGGGTGTTCCCGAGAGCGTCAACGAGGAAGATGTCGCTACATTTAACATCTACGGCGCTGTAAAGGATACAAAAAAGACCTTTGGGTCGCTGGATGAGTGAGTGCGATCGGTGCTGGCCAGCAATACCAGACCCGGACATATGCAAAGGGGAGGGCAATCACTGACTTTTGGCTCTCGCAACACAGATTCATTCGCTGGCGCGTCGCCCTCATGGAACTAACCCTGGAATATCTGCAACTCTCTTCTGCCACACAACCCATCCCAGATTACGGAAAGGGATCCGACCCCTACCAAGCTCTGGTAAGCAGCAACACACGAAGCATTCAGAAACTTATGCATCCTTGCCTAACTTCCCCCATTCGCAGCAAATCCACGACTACCTACGCGTCTCCTTCCTCCGCCAACCCCCCGAAGTGAAAGCCGCTTCCCAAAAAGCCATCCAGTTGTTCTCCGCCCAATACCCGGAAACCCTGTCCAAAAAGTATTTTGTCAATGTGCCCTTGGTCATGCAGTGGATGTTTGGGGCCATGCAGGTTTTCATGGCAAAGGAGACGGTGAGGAAAATGCAGTGGATGAGTTATGGGGAGGAGTTGCATAAGTATCTTGGTGCTTCCGTGGGGAAGGAATATGGTGGGCAGGGACCGGAGCTTGAGGAAAATAGTGTTACGCCTAAATATGAGGGGGAGAGTGTGGATGTGGATATGGATGTGAACAAGGCTGCTAGGGAGAAGGAGATGGGTGTTTGAACAGCTGGACTTGTGACGGCCTTTATGATTGTTTTCCGTTGTTTTGATTTTATTGTTTAGTGCCAGATACCTATGACTGTTGTTTTGTCATCCGCAAGTAATGATAATATTTTCTTTTTTTCATCTATCAACCAATTTGAAGCGTTGGCAGCCATCAGGGGACAAGGACTCAAATTGGTTCCTCAGACATGAGTAGCACGGGAGAGCTATTGCTCTTCCCATCCCTCTTCCGTCGTGAACTCCGAACGCTCTACGAAAACCTCAAATCTTGTGACATTATTTCGTCAGGTATGCTTTCGGGGTAGAGGCACAGTTGGTCTCGAGAGGACCAACCATGTTGCAGAAACAGCATGCATACTCGACGGCCGCCCATGATGTCAGAGAAATCGGCATCAACAGAACAATTCCAACATGATGATTGGAATGTCACAGCAATGAAGCATGTAGAGAGTCATAGGATTCATTCGTACTTCGATGATACTCTAGGAAAGACGTGACAACTCATCAATGACGACTGGCACTCAAAAGACTAAGGATATTCAATCTCTCACCAGTACCAAGTTTTGTCTTCCTTGCAAAGTGGATACAATGCAAATGCATCGCTCTCGAATATTTCCTCACTCAGGCTCTTGTCTCCTTCCCAGAAGAAAGCAGGAATGCAAAAGTCAGACTCTGTTTCCCAAGCCGACTTGGAGACTCTGCGCATGTTGTTACCATCTCCGAAAATGCTCTGAACAGGCTCTCCGTATGCGGTTGGATCGTCCAAGAATGAATCTCTCAATGGAAGCGGAAGAAATTCCATACTCGAAGATGCCGAGCTGAGCATCGAGACACAGTTGCTTGGAACTTCGTCTTCAGGTGACAGGAAAGTCCAATCGTACGTCTCTGCATCGTGCTCAATCATGACAACCTCTTCCGACCAACCGACAGCGGAGTCCTCGATCCATTCGGCAGCTGGTTTGCCATCCCAGTCAAGAACAGGCTCGTTGTTCCAATTGCCAAGAGCGTCGTAAGGCCAGTCCATGACAGGCTGATTTGACCAATCCACCTCAGAACTGTTCGCCTTGCCACCAGTCGAGTCATTTTGTGACACTGCAGGCGCTCTTCCTTCCTCGCATTTACGTAGCGACCGAGAGAATTCCAGGATTTGTTCAATGAGATCATCTTCGATCTCCTCGTGCTACAAGGTACATCTTGTTGATTGCGGCTTGTGGTTTTGATGCTCAGACTCGGTCGGTTTAGGCTCGAAAGCCAAGTCGGCGGTCAGGTCGAAAGGGTCGACCTCACGAAATTGTGGTAGCTTTGCCGCTACAAATGGCGAAGAGGACAGGTCGTCATCATATTCCAGAGTATCCAAGCGGATAGTGTTCAAGTCGATACGCGAAGCAACTGGAGGCTTCGAGGTCCACGAAGCCACAACAGGGCCTTCGACGGAAGGAATAGCAAGGCGGCAATTGTTGGTGAGTTCTGGCAAGCGTACTTTCGGTGGGGATTGAATGGAGAGACCGAGCTCGGTTGCGGTCAACAGAGATATGGATGGCGTAGGCAGAGGTGCCAAGACAGTCTTCTTGGGAGGGCGTGAGAACAAGATCTCGAGGTTCGACCAGTCTGTATCGGATAAGGGCTGGAGACGAGAGGTAGGTGTGTGCACAGGGGAAAGTGCTGGAGGTTCCCACTTGACCATTTGCATAGGCTTGGTGTGAAGCTCGGGTAGCTGTACGTTCGAGGTATGCTTGTTTGCCCGGATCACGTCGTCAACACGACTAGACAGCTCGGCATCCAGAGTAGCAAGCTGGAACCCAAGGAGTTCCTTTCTCTTGTGATCTCTCGCTCTTCTGCGTCTTGCAAACCATCGAGATTTGCGGTCGTGGATATGCGTCAATGGCTCGAAATGGTTTCCTTGACCGTGTCAGTATACCTTTATAAGACGAGACATTTGATACACACTGTTCGGATGCTAGCCGGAGGCAACAGCAAGAGGAGGTTCCATTGACCAGTCAGGGGTGTAGGTCGAAGCAGCTCCAGCATTTGCACGAAGTCGATGCAACTTCTCTCTGCGAGTCAGACGTCTTGAATCCGGAGCCATGTTTCGCTTTTGAACAGAGCCGCGTGAACGAGCCATGATGATAGGTATTCTAGGCGAAAGATAGGAATAAGTTTGGAGATCAGGGTTGATGGTGATGCAAGAAGTCCAAAAGGTTGAAAGTTGCAGAGCCCGAGAGGTTGACTAACGATGTGTCGCGCCTTCCCTACCTTGCACACTGAGTTCAAGAGAACATGGCTGAATCGAGAGGCACGTGGTCTTCAGTACCTGCCTCTGCAACGTGTAGAATCATAGCCACTTATCCATGCATTACAAACCTGTCAGCAGGTAGCTACACTCTGCGAAGAAATGTCTGTTTGACAAACAATGTATTGTGATGTTGCTTCCATGGCTGCGAAACGACAAGGATGATTACAAACATTCATAGAAGGAATACAACGATGGATTGGATGCTTTGACGCGACTGCCGACAAGATACGACGATACGAAGGCTTGATGGCTTGGTCTGCACTCTCAGATGAGGTGGGCATGACTTGAAGTCGATTCTGTCTCCTTGGACAAGCAATACGGATGATTGACTGATCGCCATAGCGTAATGGTGCTTTTTTGCGAACCTCGGGACACGCGATGGTCCATGAGGTGGCAGTTTCTCGGATCAGGCGGAGGATGCTTGACACGATAAAGGAAATGCGATGCGGGGTGCCAAAACACAACGTCACAGGCGGAAGCTAAACAAATGTATTTTTGGCACAACGGCGAGCATAGCAGTGCATGTACTCGCGAGCATGGAGGACAGAAAGTCGCAAAAGAGCAACGAGTTTGGTACGAGATCAAACGGGCAGTTCTATGTATCAAGATCGGCATAACAGACTGAATGTGGCTTGTGGAATTTTCAAACTGGACCTGCTTTGAAACGCGTCAGTTCCTGCAGATGGACCGTGCCCTCAAGAAAACCAGGGTCCTGGTTGGACGTGTGCAGTCGTCACCTTTTTTCCTTCTGGTTGAATCATTCTCGCGTCTTCCCTCGGCTGTCTTGTTCATCTACTCAACATCATTTCTGAGACTGCCACGTATCACTATCTCGAAGATTGCGACTCTTGAGCCTCTGCGACGGCGAACAATCGACAAGCGTTCTGTGTCGAATCTCTTTGGTATCCATCTACCATCCCCAGGTCCCACATTCATTTCACCTCTGTAGATCCGACAGATCGCCAAGGCACACGACTCGCTGCTAGTCCGCAGAGTCACCGTTTCAGCAAGAGCTTGGTACGAGAGGCGAGGGTTGGTATAAAAGCAACACATCTCACACTAGGCCAGAGGCTCATTCCGAATTTGACATGTCCTTGAGGGGCAGTAATTCACACCGTCTGTCTCGTCAAGGCTTCTCACCAATTCCACACGAGAACATGAACAACGGTGACGCGACTATCGACATTCCTCTGCAAGAGGTCCATTCGACCCAGCACAGGAGTGACAGCTCAACACCCTTCGCCAACCAGGGCGACAACCTCTCAAAAACAACATCACGTCAGCCACCACGCACAATTGGCGGACGAAGAGCAAGAAGGGCAGGGAACAACGAATCTGTCGGCTATGATGGAGAAGAGGACACTCTGAACCGTATGGGCAGAATCTACAACAAGATCCTCAACTTCAGCATCATCACCCGCTACTTTGTCTACGTCTCGCCATTGGCTCTCTGCATTGCCATCCCTATCATTGTTGGAGCTACAGCTGCTCCCCATGCAAAGATTGGCGGCGTGCCCATTGTCTGGTTCTTTACCTGGATCGAGATTGGTAAGTGGTTGGATTTATGCCTTTGGACCGACCTTGACTAACACGCGACTAGTCTGGCTCAGCTTGTGGGGCTCCAAGATTGTCGCCCACTTCCTTCCCTTCGTCTTCCAATTCGTGGCCGGTGTAGTCAGCTCTGGCACTCGCAAGTATGCTCTTATCATCAAGGCGCTCGAAATTCCTCTGTCTCTGGCAGGATGGGCCATCACTTCTTTGGCAACATTCATTCCCGTGAGTTTGGACACGTTGGCAATTATGCTTTCCGCAAGACTGACATCTGCATAGCTCATGACACGCAATCCCTACGGCCGCGCCCACAATCAAGCCATGACCCACTGGATGAAGATCATGAACCAAATTCTCGCTGCATGTTTGATAGGAACTCTCGTGCTGCTCGTTGAGAAGTTCTTCATCCAGCTCATCAGTATCAACTACCACCGCAAGCAATTCAATGCTAGAATCAAGGACTCCAAGCGCAACGTCTTCCTCCTCGGTCTGCTCTACGACGCCTCCAGAGCTCTCTTCCCAGCATACGAGGTCTTTGCTGAGGAAGACTACATGATCGCCGATCAACTCAATCTTAGCATGTTGGGTGGAAAGAACGCAAACCACAAACGCTCCGGTTCAGTCACGCCTTTCCGCCTGTTGCAGAACGTTGGAAGATTCGGTGACCAGGTCACTTCCGCTTTCGGAAACGTCGCCCAGGAGATTACTGGAAAGCAGGTCTTCAACCCCAACAGCGCACACTCGATCGTTACTGGCGCCCTCGAGAAGAGACGTACCTCCGAAGCTCTGGCCAGACGTTTGTGGATGTCCTTTGTCATGGAGGGCAAGGAAGCCCTGTTCGAGGACGACATTATCGAGGTTCTTGGTGACAACCGTAGAGAAGAAGCCGAGGAGGCCTTCATCATGCTGGATAAGGACTGCAACGGTGACATCTCTCTCGACGAGGCTGTCCAGCAGGTCATTCAGATCAGCCGTGACCGCAAAGCTCTCGGAACCAGCATGCACGATGTCGACCAAGCTATCAACGTCCTCGACAGACTGCTCATGGTCATCGTCTTCATCATCATTATCTTTACCTTCATCGCATTCCTCAACGCCAGCTTCACCACCACTCTGGCCACTGCTGGTACCACCCTTCTTTCCCTGTCCTTCGTCTTCTCCGTCACCGCCCAGGAAGTCTTGGGATCTTGCATTTTCTTGTTTGTCAAGCACCCTTACGACATAGGAGATCGTGTTGACATTGGTTCCGATCACTTGGCCGTCGACCACATCTCTCTCCTGTTCACCGTCTTCCGCCGAATCAGCGGCACGGAAGTTGGCAAATGTGTCCAGATCCCGAACAACGTGCTTAACGGACTTTGGATTGAGAACGTCTCTCGTTCTAAGCTCATGAAGGAACAGCTCACTCTTGACGTCAGTTTCGATACCACGTTTGAGGATATTCAACTTCTCAAGAACGAACTCATCAACTTCGTCTCCGACAAGGACAACAGCCGCGACTTCCTTCCTGAAATTGACGTTGAGGTTTTGGGAACTTCTGACATGTCCAAGTTGCAACTCAGAGTCGAGGTCAGACACAAGGGTAACTTTGCCAACGAGACACAACGTGCAGCTAGACGCTCCAAGTTCATGTGTGCTCTTGTCCAATCTATTCGCAGAGTTCCCATCAACGGTCCTGGTGGCGGTGGTGACGCACTTGGAGGCCCTGCAAACCCGACTTACTCGGTCTCTGTTTCGGATGGATATGCCACCGAAGCTCGTGAAGCCTCTGCTGATACCAAGGATAAAGCTAGACTCGTGCCTAACAAGAAGGTCGAAGAAGCTTTGAGCCCCAGCCAGACACGTTCCAAGAGCACGGGTACAGGCCCTCTTGGCCTCTCAGCAAAGGAAGCCGCAATCGTCGATCATCTTCACTCTCAAGCACCTGGTCTGGACACCACTCGCGACGAACCGTGGATGGAGAACGGCAGTAGCACTTTAGACGAGCGTTCAAACTCGGATCGTGCCCAAGATATCGAAGAAGTCAGAGGTTTGTTGCAAAGAGAAAACACCAAGGGCAAACGTCGTCCTTCCCAGGCAACAAGATCTCAACAGCCTGGAGTGCCGACAATCATCGAGTCAATGCCCCCTCCCGTCGCATATACCGGTTACGCTCAAACGGCCGAAGCCAGTCTTGATGTCGACGACTACGAACAATACCGCACCCAAGCTCAGGGTGGCCAAGGTCAAGGATTGAACCTCACCATCCCCAACACTGGCCCTGCTCTTCCCACAAGCCCCTCAGCTTACGTGCAAGGTTCCAACTACGTGGACATCAATCGAACGACATCCGGACGTCAGCCATCTGGCCAGAATGTTGAGATGAGACAGATGGGACGCAGTCCCAGCAACCCTTATCGCCAGCAATCCACCAGAAGAACCTCTAACCCTTACGACAGTGATTGAATCTCTTCCACGACCTAGATGAGGAAATAAAAGTTCGAATTGCTGGTCGACTCGGATCTCAGCGTTGCTCTGAGCACATTTTTTCACTTTTCGGCATCAGCATCAGCATGTTTTCTTTTCTTTTTTTTGCATTGCTTGCTCGTTTGGCAATTGCTTTTGTTTATTTGTACATTCTTTGTGCATCGCACTTGCATGAAAAAGCACGGCACTGGAGTTTTCTGATTCGCATTTCTCGAAAGAAGGGCCATCGGTGTTGTACATAGCCCCATCACTTGTTTTATAGATCGACAGTAGAAACAGTTCATTTCCAACATCAAGACAATGATTCGAAAAGAAACAAGCGCTCTCATCAATTCATCTGAAATCTGTACAAAAGTCTGCGTGTTTGATCAGAAGCTAGTTCTGAAGGTCCGTACACCTCCCATCGCTGCTGACAAGTTTCTTCGTCTCAAAGATATCCAAAATCCGATGTCCTGAAAACCGGATCTTCGAACGGCAAGAAGGAATTCGACAGCCCGAAATCAGGTATCATGAAGCCATCATTACCACCTCCATAATCATTGTGCTGTCCTGCTCCTGTTCCACCAGCACCTCCACCAATCATATCCATCTGCGCCACCGCCGCCGGATCCCTATAATGCTGTTCATTCATATACTGAAACCCGCCATTGAACAACTGAGCAGCAGGTTGCGTAGGCGTCCTCATGGACGCCTCCACCATCTTCTCCAACCCCTCGGCCATAAACCTGACCAAATGGAACTTCCCCGTCGGCATTTGGCGCAACTGTGCCACGAGGCGGTTTATCAAATCATGAACGTGTTGGCGCTGGACCAGATCGCCGTCGTATTTTGTAGTCATTTGGAGGAGGAAGCCGCAGGCGAAGGCGATCATGGTGTGTAGGTAGTGGGGCATGCCTACGAGTCCGGAACGCATGTCTGGGTCGGATAGGAGGACTTCGACGATTGTGTTTGCGGCGGAGACGGCAGAGGAGGCAGAAGGGCGAAAGTAGGGCGGGATTGGGGCGGTGGAGAGGCCGCGGAATATGTGGCTGTGGAGGTGGAGGCGGGCTAGGTTGGAGTGGAGAAGGACGCCTTTGGATGGCCAGTCTCCGATATCATCACGTCGTTCTGTGGTGCACTGGATCAGTTTCGTAGAAGGTAAAGGTAGGGTTGTCTTGCTTACTGAGGTGTTGATACCAAGTTTCTACCCAGCGGTCGATTTGGCGGTCGAAGGAATTGATATGTTCGGTGAGATTTTGAGGTAAGGTTTGAGTGTCTCTGCTGTGGCGGTCGAAGAATTCACGGATGGTGCCCATGACTACCATCAGGGCTACCTGACTTGCTGTTCGTCGATCTTGCTCGACTGCAACTCGAACTTCCAAATATCGTTCCCAGCCTTGGAGACTTGGATCATCTATTCGTATTGTTGTTGGTCGACCATAGAGAATGCTCAAGTGTTGGTCGCAGATGTATAGCATATACCAGAGTCGAAGACAGTCTGCTGCATCTTCTGAGCCGTCATTTAGAACTCGATAATAGTTTGAGCTCAAGTTGATCCCCATGGCTCGTCGTATGGCGTGTCCGGAGAGTGTGTAAGACATATCGCTTAGCCAGTAAGATCCAATACACATGGCTCGTAGATCTTCACGATCAATACGACGAACGAACATTGATTCTGCAAGTACACGCTTGAACTCTCGACAACATGGCCCGAAGAGCTGGTTGCTATTCGGATCATGTAGTGCTGCGACAGTCAAGATTGCATTGGTGAGAGCAACCGAGCGTCTTCGTATGGATTGTAGATCCTTGAATTTGTTCGCGATGCTGTAGGCGTAGTGATCCAGTCGTTGAAGATAGAGTGTTGTTAGTCGTTGCGCATCTTCGAGAGAGACGATACCCTTGGAAACCACATCCGATCCTTCATCCGCTTTGCTTTCGTCTCCAGAGTTCTCTGCTCGTAACGAACGCAATCGTGTGATCTGATAGAGCGATTCAATAGGGACGTTCTGCAGGGACTCGGTCTGAGGTGGTAGTTTTGGTGAATTGTCGCAAGAAGGGCCAACATCTTCGACTTTCTCGACTACGGTGTCGTCGTATGGCGATGTTTCTTGAGGGTCTTCAGCTGCTGACGGTGCTTTGAGAGGCTGCAGCGCAGGCATTGAAAGTCTTTTTAGGATATCCTGTACAGCTCCGTGCATGTTCGATATATCACGGTGCATATCATCCTTCCATTGCGATCTCTCGCTGATCAAGGTTTGAAGACTCTTGTTCAAAACACACGAGAGTCCTCTCTCTATACAACGTCGACATGGCGGCTCTCCGTTGTTGTCCATAAGACATTTGATCTGTACCAACATAAGTGACCCGGTGCGGAAAGTCGTCAAAAAGATCGGCACACCTTTTGCTTGCGACAGGCAGCACATGCTTTCACTTTTCGTGATATTTGAGGCCCATTAGGAGAATCCTGCTGCAAGTGGATCTGTGGTGGAGACATGGACGTAGCGTTTGTAGCACTTCGGGAGCCCTATACGCATCTGATAAGCTTCTTTGTATGAAAATCAAGATCCGATACCAATTACCGAGTTCATGTCGAGTAAGCCTTGAGCGGCGTTCGCGACGGACCAGGAGCGTTTTGACATGAGGAAAAAGCAGTAAGAAGTAGGTGTTTCAAGCCGACAACAGAGTAGCTCTCGATGTCACGCGTCTCATGTCTTCCGTTATCCGAGAGACGATAATAATAAAATTGCGGTTTGACAAGTAGAAAGGTATGTAGCTCTTGTGTCCAGCAACTGAGAACCCCAGGCCTTCGAGATCTCCTCGTGTCTCCGCGAGCGGAGTTGCAGCGCGGGGAAGGAACGTGTCTTGGCGCGATCGGATGGCATTGCCGACACGGCTTGTTTTCACTTCTCGACCTTCCAAGGAACTCTTTCTTGCTTTGTCCCGGAATATTATCTTGCAATCATATTGTTGGCGGCTAAACATCTTGCATGAACAGTTCAAAGCTGAGCAAATGTTGATGCAGCCACTTCTCACACAGCGCGAGCAGGTAACTACATGCTGACATCAGAGCTTCCGTATCCGCATGTGACTGAACATATGGACGCGTCTGGAGTGCATGACCGGCTATGATGGGACAGCAGTAGTCATAGGCATGCGATACTTCTCAGCAAACAACGTCGATGGTTTCTCGAGACTAGCTGAGAGCAGTCCAACACCTTGGTGCAGTTCACAAATTCAACCACGAGGGCACTTAGACATTGAACTACTTTCTCATTCCATGCCAATGTCACTACACTACTTTACACCCCGGTTGCTTCGATCTCGTATTGCATACTCGGATCCACTCGACTAACTCTTCTCTCACTGAGAAGCGACTATACTCACGGACAATATGCCTGATCTGACATGAGAGTGCTACGTGACGGCGGGAGTACGACTGACGAGGTTGCCTCTAGTGTTGGTCTCGTCAGCACACCAACGACATCTAGTAGTATCACTTCGAGTTCTGCATACTGACTTCTCTATAAAAGGCAAGTGTCTTGCTTGCCAACTATGCTCACGCCAACAGCCTTCATCAAAACATACATACAAAGCTTCTACATTCTCCATCAAGTTCTCATCATCATCTACCTCAATATGTTCTGCAACTCAATTTTTGCCCTTGCTATGGCCGCATCAGCTCTCGCTACGCCCGTCATGACCAAACGCGCCCTCTTCGACTGCAATGTAGCATACACAGGCTGCATTGCCAACCCATACTTGGACGAAAGCTATTGCAACGACACCCGCAACAGCTGCGAAGCATGCTGGCAGACCGAGCAATCCTGCAGAGTCACTGCAGACTACACCAAGGGCACCCAATGCACTGTAGATGCTCAGCTTTGCTTCCACTCAACCGAGAACCCAAGCTCCGTCTATGGTGCTTACAGCTGTGATGCCGCTTACAGCACCTGCATCTATGCTCCCAATACCAACTCCGCTTTCTGCTCGGTTCAACTTGATGTCTGCAGGACTTGCGAGACTCAGGAAAATCAGTGCCGCAGTGCTCCTGGTGCAGACCAAGCATTCTGCTCCTCGCAGTCAGCTGGCTGCTTTAGAGACGTTGTCACTTCCAACGGCACTTATCCCAGTTAGATGGTCGTCTGTTACGTATGTCTGGAGGGTTGAGAGGAAAGACTGAAGGAGATGCCGTGAACAACTATGGATGCATGCAATTTGCTTTCCTGTCGTCTTTTATTTTCCGTTGATTGCTGGTGCTGTATTACGAATCATGTTTTAGCAGTCTATCCTGGTTTTACAATATCAAAACTGATTCGCCTCCAGAAGTCGACTTCGACATGATCTTCATGCCCATACAACTCCATCACGCACACAAAGACTTCACCAGCTCTGCAAAAAGGTACACAAGATGTCTTTGTTAACGTTGACCCGCAACAATTTTCTTTTTTTGTGTTTCTACTTCTACAAAAAAATAAAACTCAAACAGGCAAGCAATTTAACAATATCGCTCACAAGATCCAAACAATTTTTAAAAATGACAAAAAGAAAAAAGAAAAAGAGAAAAGACCTCTACTCCTTCTTGGCCGAGCGTCTGATAGCGGCCCCCTTCTCCATCAAACAAGTTCTCAACACATGCATCTGCTTCTCCGCCTCCACGTATTCAGCGAGAAGTCTTTCAGCATTATCCTTAGAGTCAGCAGCGGCGATAGTCTCGGGCGTGACCTTGTGGAAGAAGTTGTTGTGCAATCTTTCGCAAGTGTCATGTTGGAGCTCGTGGAAAGCTGCCATGCAGGGCGATGGGGGAAGAGGTAGGTCGGGCATGTTGAGAACGGTGGATTCGAGATGGGAGAGATGTTGACCAGGAATCTCATTGTAGGCGGTGGCGAGGGCTGGGTGGATGCCGTAGAAACCCTCGGAATCGTATTCGGACTCGGTCTCGACGGATTCGTCCTGAGCTTCTTGGGCTTCGGAAGACTCCTCCTTGATAGGAGAGGTGGCAGCGGACTCGAACTTGTCATTTTGATCGTCCTCGTACTCGACGAATTCGGGAGCTTCCTCGGCCTCGGAAGACTGTTCCTTGATGGGAGAGCCAGCAGCCTCAGAAGGTTCAGGCTTGGAAGCCTCAGACTCGGTAGAATCAGAATCAGCCTCAAACTCGGGAGCTACAGGAGACCTGGATTCGGGAACTTCAGGGGACTTGGACTCAGGGAAATCAAAAGAGTCAGGCTTGGAAGCCTCAGACTCGGCAGCTTCAGACTCGACATTTTCAGTTTCGGGAGCTTCAGGAGACTCGGCTTCGGGAGCGGTAGGAGCCTTGGGAGGGGAGTTCTCAGGCGTTTGAGGCTCATACTCAGGAGCTTCAGGAGCCTTGGGAGGAGGACCACTGGGCGTCTTGGACTCGGCTTCATCGTCCTTGTCGCCGTTGCTCGAGGCCCATTCAATTGGTGATCCGCGGGACTCTTCAGTGGCACCTCCATGCACGGAAGCGTCGTCTTCACTGACCTCGGCATCGTCTTTGGGCTTCTCTTCACCCTCTGGCTTGGCTTCAACCTCAGGCTTCTCATCATCTTCAGGCTCGGGTGCCCACTTGTCCCACTCGGGCTTCTCTGTCTCTTCGGGCTTAGAGTTGGACGGAGGGCTGTTCTCGCGAAGAGTCACTTTGAGCCCGCACTCTTTCTCATAGTAATCCTGCATGAACTTAACCCAGCCATTCTCAGTGTCCTCGTTGAGATGCAAGAACTTAGCTTCGGGTCTCATGAGATCCCTGTTGTTGGGCTGGGCCTCAAGGAAGCTGGTGGGCATTTGTCCGTATCTACCAGACTCAAGCTTCCAGCGAATCTTTTCGTCCACAGCGAGGCGACCAGAGACCGCAAGACGGTTCCGTTCGACGATGACGGTGACAGCGTTCAACTTGTCTGCAGGATTGTGGACGAGGCTTGTGTGCTTGTCGAAGCGGTCTTGAGCATAAAGGTTTCGTACCCAAGGATGCGTGCTCAACATGTAGGAAAAATGATCGATTGTCGACCCACTGGCGTTGACCTTGTGTGCTAGATCACAGATAGTATAGGCTGGATCTCTCCATGATTGTACAAGGTAGTCAAACAGCTCGTCCTTGTCAGTCTGTTCTGTCCAAAGAGTGAGGTTGCCCAAAAAGTCGACCCAGGCACTGATCTCTGTGTAATCAAGAGTTCCTGCTCCAAGACGGCACTCAGCTGTTGGTGTGTTGTCTGTGGCAAATCCGCCTAGGCCTCTACAATTCAAGGCAACATTCTTCGCGTGAGTTCCAGTCAGGTTCTTGACCTCATCGACTGTCGGCTTACTCTTGATGTACTCCAGCCAGGCGGGAACGTTGAAACTCGACAGATAGCCTTCAATCGACGTGACTTCGTCGGTGGTGACAGAGTAAGAAGCGTCAACTGGTGTTGCTGAGCTGGTTCTAAAGCCTTTGGCAGTGTTCTCAATTTCCCAGCGAATGTGATCGAACATTGCGCAAGAGAGTGCCCTGCAGTAGCCGATGTTAAAGTCGTGATGTGCTATGACCTCTCCAGGTTTGTAAAGAGCATGGAAGCCATCGATTTCGAGGCCAGGAAGAGGATCGGAGGACTGGTTGTCATCGCCGCTGATGCGGTTAGTGGGAAGAACGCTGTCAAAGCAACGTTCGAGAGCAAGCATGGTCCCCGTAAGACCACGGACAACAGGTAGTGGGAGACCTTTAGGACCTTGACCGATGTGGACGTGAAAGCCTGTCCGCCCATTCACGAGGGCACGGTATCCGTCCTTGTTGAATGCTCTTCCAAGAACGTCAGTGAAGGCCTTGATTTCTTCGCGCCAAGTCCACTCGAGAACTCTTGTGTTATCACAAGGATAGGTCTGGCCTTTGGGACACAGTGATGATCCTTCAAACTTCTGTACGCGAGAGATCAGCTCCATACTACCGCTGGTCGAGATACTATGGTCGTAGTCATCCTCCGCATTCTCCAGATGCACGGAACCGTCGACATCCACGTTCCAGAGGTCGTACGAACATATTCCTTGGATATTTCCCTGGACGGGTAAGAAGAATTTGTGCTCTTTCTTCTTGCATTTAGGATTATCGCAAGGACGAGCCACTCGTGCTTTGGAAAGAAGGTTTCGCACGTAGTTTGGCACATTTTCATGCTTTTCGGCAGTCTTCTTGGGGATCAGGGCGACGAACTCGAGTTCAATACCGAAAGTGAGTCCCTCGGAAGGAGTGTTGTCACGCTGACCAGCAGCGGAGGCGTTGTCAATATCAATGTTGGATGACATGGTGTGTTTGAAAAACGAATGTGTTGGAATGATAAAAATCGCCTGGATATGATGGATGAATTTCTTCGTATTCCAAACAGTGGGATCAACATGGTCGAAACAGCTTATATATGTCGGTATACATTGAGGGAGGGTTGGGTACAAAGCGCTTTGTAGGTGACGGACAAGGGAAGCACGATGCTAATCTTAACAGACAACGACACTCGCATGGTGGATAAAATCCGTGGCGTTGGAAGAAAGAAAAAGTGGATGGAAAGTGTCAAAGAATTTGAGATGAAGCGCGATAGCATGTGTAGATGGCAGAGATGCAGGAACAAAGGTTGTGCTTGCCGGTGAAGAATTGGTGGTGGTCGGCTGTGCCCTTTGTGCTTTCCTCGAGATGGCACTGTATTTCCAAAGCCAGCTCTGAGTCAAAATGCACAACAGTTTTGATATCATACTCCTGTCTAGCGAGCGTATGGTGTATAAGAGATAGTGATAGAAGCATTTGCTTGACTGGAGTGGATAAAACTGTGTCTCTATGCGCCGAGTTCATCACATTTGCAACTGTCACAATGCACGATGATTTTCAAGACAGAATCGTGTCGAGTGAGAGAACAAAAAACAATCGCTTTCGACGAAAACTTCTATGAGCCACAAAACCATCATGCCTTTTGACATGCCCTTCGCAATGATCTCGCTGTGATGAGATGCCGACCCCTGATCATGCATGCTCCAGTACCAAAATGCCAAAACCAAGTCCCTCTCCTTATTCTCGGTGCAGCTCCTTCTACATACCCTCATAGCTCAAGTGTATCGTCTCTGTGCGCCTAGATACCCATTTCACCCCTTAATCTCTACCTTTGCAAGTTTTGACGAGACCCACTCCCACCAAGTAGCCTTGGGTATAGAAGGATGATTGGGAAATCTCTCCCCATGAAACTTCCATGCCTTTGCCAGATGAGCCTCCTGACATGCCTCAATGTCCAGCCCTCCGGCGATGTGTTTGTGGAGAGACGCTTCTGGGATGTAGTGGCGTAAGAAGGCTAGGGGAAATTGACCGTAGAGTCCTGATGCGAGCTTTTGAGTCATACAATCGAGAACGGCGTGTGTGGAGGAGAGGACAAGACGGTTTGCTTCGATGCAGTGGGTCAGGGTGTTAAGACTGTCAGGAGGGTTATGAGCACCGGAAGTGTAGCGGGCACAGCGGCGCTCTGCATAGTCAGGGGTCAGGAGAACATCGGTGTAGTGGTGGACAGTATCTTCCGTAGCGTTGATGCGATGGCACAGATCGACCAGAGTATACTTTGGCTGTGCCCAGATTGTGTTGAGATATTGAAACCACTCATCCGAGGGAGTACTCTCAATATGATGGGCCAGTGACCCTAGCAAATCGATCCAGGAGGTTATTTCCACGGCATCAAGGCTGCCGGCGTGCACGCGTATCTCGACGGTGTTCTTGGTGACATTTGGATCAGGCTCATGCAGGTTCTCGAGGTTGACAGAGCTGCGATGGAGATCTCCTAGTGCTTTGATCTCTTGTAGTGTCTCCATGTCCTTGATCATCTGAAGCCAGGCAGGTATGTTATAGCTGAGTAGGAGGTTTTTGATGTTCTGACTTGCTTTTGCGGGATCAACAGGGCAAGTAGGTATTGTGCCGTCCCATTCATGTACGAATACTTTTTGAGGGGCGTCGAGCCAGGAACCTTTGGCAGCGGTACCTTGGGTTGCGTCTAGCCAGTCAGGAGTGATTACGTTCTCCCATCCGGAGTCAGTGCCCCAAATTGACTTGCTATCCATGTCTTGGGAGGCCAAGGTCTGCGCCTGGACAGCGCTATCAAGGCCCCACCCAGCAGGTGCACTCTCCTTAAATTGAGCATCGATCAAGGTGTTGACGTGTCTACACATAGCGTCTGACATTGCCTGTAGATTTTGATGTGAGAAGTCATGTGTTAGAGCCTCTGTGGACAGATCATCTGAATACACACCGTACAGCAGTTTTGAGTCCATGTGGCCCAAGATGCGGTTGACAGGCATAATGCTGTCAAGACAACGCTCAAAAGCCACGAAACCGCCAACAATCCCCTTGACGGTATCAAGCCTGAAGCCCTGAGGGCCATGGCCAAGGTGGACGTGCAGTCCAGTGGAACCGTTGACTATGATGCGATAGCCAGGCTTGCTAAACCCCTTCTGAAGTGCTTCGAGGATGGCTATGATCTCCTCTCTCCACTGCCACTCAAAAGGCTCCTTGGTACAGGGGTAAACCTGACCTCTAGGACAAGGGGTAGGTTGGTCGAAACTCAGCACTCGCGAGACCAGCTCGATGTCCTCGAATTCTGAGTCTGGTTCGCTGTAGGCAGCCCCGTTATTGTATGCTGTGCGATCGACAGCCTCCTGCTCCTGGTCGTTGAGCCTGATGCTCGTATCCCTCTGGATCTCCCAAGCCAAGAAGGATGATGTTGAGATCGACTTCTCGGCTACGACCTCCTCGCGGACTGGCAAATGCCACTCGTGTACGCCTCTCTCACACTTATACTTGCAAGGTAGCAAGACCTTCTGTTGTAGGATCTCACTGCAAAGTTGCGTCGCACTTTTGGGACTGCTAGAAGGGGTGAACCCGATGCACTCGAGCTCAACACCGAAGGTGAGGTCAACATGCTCGATATTAGTGCGCAGACTAGTAGCCTTGTCGTTGATGTTGATGGAAGTCATGTTGATGCTGATATTTGACGTTGAGATAGTCGTTAACTGGAAGAGGAGAAAAGTACAGAAGAAAGCGAACAACAAAACATATAGAGCGGAAGATCGGTCGACGCGAACGACATTAATAGGCTCGGCAACCCATACTCGGATGACTCTAGTAGGCTCGATGAGTAAGACTCGAATGTGAGTCTCGACAGCTTGATGAGCCAAACCCGAATGAGTCAAAGAGGCTCGATGAGCAGAATATGAAAACGCCGAGATGTTGAAACGAGACGTAGATATTGTGACGCTGCTTATTAGGGGTATGATTTTTTTGTGCAGAGAAAAAGAAAGAGAGAGAGAGAGAGAGAAGATTGAAAGATGGTTGGGTTCTGTGTATAGTACATGTCTTCATCAACCTACACTATTGAACAAAACGCTTCGATGCGGCGATTACCAACGACCTCGACTATGTACAACTACAGTCGGGTAAGAGTCACCAAGCTTGTTTGCTTGGTGAGAGTCGTATACCGAGCAGCAGTGTACGACGAGGATAGAGACGCTCAAGACGTGCAAGCTTACCGCTTACATAAACCCTCTCAGTCATGCTCTGTTCCCGCCACTGACCTTCCTGTCGCCTTGAGCAGCCTTCAAACTTTAAGTATTAGATATTTCTAGGCCCTTACAAGTATTCAGCCGTGGTAGTGTAGTGGTCCAACACACCCGTGGTCTTAACACGTGCGCAGTCATTCGTTGCTACTCAACGCCGTGTCAGTCTAGATCCGAGGAGGTCGGGGGTTCGATTCCTTCCTATGGTGCTTTCCTTTTTTTTTTTCATCCCTCGTCGTCGACTCTTTCCTTCAATAGCCTTTCTGGACTTTTCTTGTTTTCGTGCTTGGTGAGTGTTCTCGTCGCTTAGAAGCTGCAGAGCTCTTTTCACCATTTGGCTCACAGCAGTCGCTCTCTTCGGCGGTTCATTATGTCTTGCATTCTGGCAGTTATCAAACAAAACTGAAGCACACGAATTTAGATGTTTTGGGCAAAGACACTTCCCAGCATGCCAACAAGTAGTTCTACCATAACCCCTACACCAGGAAAACATTCCACAGCCACATCTCAGATGCTCTGCGAAGAGCTGCCGCCCACTCTTCTCAAGTTCTTTCATTGCTAGGTGTAAACCTGCTACTTACTACTCCGCTGCTTTTCACGGAGGCAAAAAACTACAGACGACAATAGGGTCTCTGAGCTTGTATAAGTCGTCACCAATCTCTACGGTCGAGTCCGTGATATAACTAATGGCTTGAACTATAGCATATTCACGACAAGCGTACTTAGGTAACCTCGAACGAGTAAAAAGCGTCACAGAACCGACTGGATAGGGACCGGCGCAGTCGACCAATAAGCTCGGTCACTACAGCAAACACCCCTGATACATTTGCCGCTGCCATGCAACAAAAAGCCTGCACTGTTATGCGTCGACGCAAATCTCACGCTACGAGTCTTCGAGGGTACGACGAGAGCAAACGATATCCATAACTGCGTTCGGAGCCTCGTTCGCGTATCGGGATCTCGTAAGCAATGGCAGAAACTCGCCACTCTCGAACACACACTTCTGAGTAGAGTTGCTCAAAGTTTGTCTAGTATAAAAGAAGAACGTTGGCAAACCAAGACGACGCTTTTATTAAGGAAAAGAGGTGAGCAGGTGTGAAGGAAATGAAGTTATAGCCCGTTCAGAAGTTCATTTCGGTTCTCTCGGGGAGGGTCCTTGTGCTCACGCACTGTAATCAGAATTTGGCCTTGTTGATGAGCACTCAATTATGGTAAGCTTTGAATTATAGAAGGGCATATGCTTATGAGTAAACCATAGCTAAAGCTCCCCCTTCCAATCTCTATATCAATTCCAACACCATCTCCTTCCGAAACAAATGAAATATCAAAAGAGAGACTATATCGAAGATCATGGAAACTCCTGACCTCGGATTACACATTACACATCAAATTTTGCTCCCACCAACACTACACTCTGAAACCATTCAAAGACCGACGAAAAACATACCCAAAGCACCAATTCCCATGACCATACTTCCCAGAGCGAAACTCTGAGCAGCACCGCCAGTACTGGGAGTCACAGTCGGCGTAGCAGGGGGAGTGTACTCGCCGGTAGTAGCAGTGTAGTTGATACTAGCAGTTCCAGTTCCAGTACCCATAGAAGCAGTGGTGATGGGGCTTCCAGAATCAGTGATGATGCCAGTGGTAGCGGCGGCAGCGACCGAAGAGATAGATGCTGCTTCTGAGGCGGCAGAGGTAGCTGCTGAGGAGGCGGAGGATGCGGCGTCTGCTGCTGCTCCACTTGCTGCGCTGGGGCAGATCTTGCCTGTGACTTCAAGGGCCTCTGTGGGTATGGTTGTTAGTATTGTGTCTTGATGGGGGGAGGGTAAGCGAGGACTTACTGGCTAGATCTGCTTCATTACAATCGGCCTTGACGGCTGTCTGAAGGTCGGCGATGAGCTTTTGGTTACCGCAGATGCAAGCTGCGTCTGTGACCTGACAGCCAGAGCCACTGATACCTGCGATCAAAGGGCCAGTTGCGCAAGCAGGGATCTGAGAGATAATACTGGCGTCAATCTGAGCGTGTGCTACGGCAGCAAGGCCGGCGAAGATGATGGCCGATGAACGCATGGTTGTTCTGTGATATCTCGATGGTAAGAAAAGACTGTATATGTGGTTTACAAGGTTGTAAGCAAACAATGTGTCTTGGGTACAGCTTAAGGAGTGGTATGAAGAAAGCTAAGTTCATTCTCTGCTCGCCCCTTCCCTTTTCTATTTACTCTACTTCTATTGTTGTTTCGACCCAGAAATTCGGTATTTCTCTGCATACCTCATCTCTTGTTTGTTTTCATCGACTGCTAATCTTAGCTTTTTTGCTGCTGTAGCTTCTCTATGCTCTTTCGTTGGCTAAGATGTTTTGCTGAAACGTGAGGAATGCAAAAGATCCCAGCCTCCTATGGGCATACGTAAGAAGTTGCTACTGCAACCGGCATGGAGGCGAGAGCACACAAAGGAATGTTGTCAAGGGCGCTACCCCCACAAGTAGACGACTACACGAACAACGTCAGTGGTGATGAGTGTAGAGCAGTTTCTTTGTTCACATCTCCGCTTTCGTAGAATTCACGGCATGAAGAGTGTCTCGGTACCATACACTCGGCCCGGATAACCAAAGGAGAGCAAAGAACTGATAAGCCGTGTGGTATCGCGCTCGGCAAGCACTTATGATGAAATCTCTCAAGGTGTGGACGTGAGCGTAAGTAAAGGCCAAGAAGCAGTTCGACTTTCAGTCGCTCCTTCCTCCTTCCCTCTTGCTTCCTCCATATACCACCAAAGTGAAAACCGCAATCATGGTTCCTTTCCTCTACCCACGCAAAAACCAAGTCAAACCTCGTCTCCCACACTCCCAAGCCTTCGAGCACTCTACAAAACACACCCGCCACTCCTCTTCAGACAGCGAAACCTCAACAACCACAACCACATCCACAGACGCCCACCCAGGCGCCGCAGATCTGGACACCTACACCCACTCCCTCCACCACTGGACACTATACCAACTCCGCGCCTCCGTGCCCCATACAACCCGGTCCTTGTCCCACGAAACCTCCCACACCACTGCCTCAGCCACACCCACTATCGTATCTCCTCTGTACCCTACAAACTCCTCACTGTACAATATGCCTAGACTGAGCTCGGCATCTGGATCTCGATCTAGCAGAGAAGGTGATACAGGATATGGAGAAGAGGCATTGGGGGATGTGGGAGAGACACCATGTAATACGCCTAGGAGTAGGGGGTTGAGAAGGAGGAGTACGGTTGTGGCTGCGAATAAGGGGAGGACGAGGGTGAAGGAAGAGGTCTGCGATGAAGGGGAGGGGCAGGCGAGATTGAGACCTGTGGAGTTGGTTAGGAGTTTGAGTTGTGGAGGATGATGTAATTTTAGGCTGTTTTGATGATGAGATGGTCGATCAGTTGGGTTGTTGATAATGTCAGTGAGCTGGTGCTTGATTTACAAGGGGCGATCGTCGTCGGTCAATGTATGTGCTGCGAGGCAAGTGAAAGTCAAAAGCTTGCTGTTTGTTCGAGAATTCTGCACATTTTTGGAAGGGAAATTGAAGTGTGATGAAGAACAATAAACACTTGTTTTCTTTGCGTGTCCTGCCTTCTCGTTTATGGTGAAAAACTAATTTCAATCTCATCGCTTCGCAATCGCATTCGAATCGTCAGAGTGAAAAGGGAAATATTGACATGGCTCCGTCATGATCCACACTACCATCTGCTCTCGTGATTTAAGCACTGCCGTTAGCAGTAGCTTGTGCGGGAGCCGTCAGAATGCTGAATTGACCACCACCGGCTGCGTAGTTGAGCATCTTGCCGCGGGTGGCAGTGTTGTCAATCTTGGTAGCAACCATGACATCGTCATCAGTACCTTGACCGGTCTGGTAGTTGGAGGAGAAACCCCATGAGTAAGCATGACCTTCCTCAGTGATGGCGAAAGATTGGTCTGATGCGGCTGTTGCGAAAGCGACCTTGCCTTGGATGCTCTTGACCACAGTGGGGTTCTTGAGAATACGAGGGTTGCCTTTCTCGTCCTTGATCAGAGAGTCTGCTGGTAGATCTTCAGTGGCGATACCACATTGTCCACCATCGAGACGACCCCAGACTAGACACTCGCCAGCGCCAGTCACAGCGATACTGTGATGACCACCTCCCTTGATGCAGCTTACTTGCTTTCCAGAAAGAGTCTCGATAATTTCAGGCTTGAGAACGACGGCATCATCCTCGCCAGCGTTGTCGGGTACACCAGTCTCTCCGAAGTTGTTGAGGCCCCAAGCCCAGACGCGATCCTTGTTGTCGATAGCGAAACTGTGGTAGTCACCGCATTGGATGTACTTGATGGACTTCTTAGGAAGACCGAACTCTCTGGGAACGAGACCTTGAGTCTTTGTGCGCTCGACGACACGACGACCGAGCTGGTTTTGTTGGCCTGAGCCCCAAGCAAAAACGGCACCGTTGGCATCAAGGGCGAGGACGTGGTTGGCGCCGCAGCTGACGTGCTTGATCTTCTTCAGGCCGGAAATGAGCATCGGTGTGCGTTGTACGAGGACGTCTGTGGTGAAGCCGAAGATGCCCTCGTTACTTCTGAAGGTACCCCAACCCCAGACCTGACCATCGTCGGTGAGAGCAAATGACGTCGAATCACCAGCAGCAACTTGAACGAAGACAGTGTCCTCAGGGAAGATGTCGGATGAAATGGCAGTGGGCGTGGCCTCCTTGGGGTTCATGCCTGAGTCGGCGTCCTCATCGTCCGAGTCGGAGTCCTCCTCATCTTCAACGTCGCGAAGGCCACCATCCCACGTAGTGTCTCTTCCGAGTGCGCCTTGATCATTGACACCCCAGGTGAGGATCTTGTTGTCGTGAGTCAGGGCCAAAGCGTGCATGCCTCCAGCAACGATTTGTACAACACCGACCGAGGCGGCAGCCAAGTTGGGGTTCAGACGCGGGCGCTTGACATCGATAGCCTTCTTTGATGTACCAAGACCCAATTCGCCGGATGAGCCTTCGCCGCAGACGAAGACATCAAGGCGCTGGGTAGGGGCCTCGTTGATGACCGGGCCCTTGGGGGCAACCTTGGCCTTCTTTGCGACGGCCGGCTCGGGGGTAGCTGTGGCCTTGCGCTTTCTGGTTGCCAGAGTTGTTTTTGCTGGGGCATCTTCTGTGGTGGTCTTCTTTGGGCGACCAGGCTTTCTCTTGGGTGCTTCTGACATTGTTTTAGCCTGTCGATCGACCGAGATTTGTCGTACGTGGTGCAACGCACCCTCTTCTGTTTTGGCAGCTGCCTTCGGTCTGCCGCGTCCTCTGCCTGTCGTTGTGGTGGTCTCGGTCTCGGGCTTGGTGGTGACCTTTGCCTTTGTGTTGGCAGCTGCGCGTGTTCCTGCCTTCTTGACAGGCGCGTCACCTTCGGCGTCCTTGGTCTTCTTGATGTATTTGACGCCAGCCACTAGATAAGGTCAGGATAACGCGTCTTGGTCGAAGCGCAACGGAATGGAAAGATGATAGGTGCAGGAATGGAGAATGGGGAATGGTTTGCTGCATTTCTGGGGCATGAGACTGACTTTCTTCACTGTCTTGTCGGGATATCTGGTTCTAGAGTATTCGCGACCGTGATTGATCGGGTTGGAAGATGGAGAGATGAGATTCGTTGGAGAGGAGAGAAAAGGTTGGTGATTCTGCTTGTCTTTCGCGTTCTCGAAAAAGCGTCAAGACACCAAAGCTTGGCTGACTTGCATCGCGCCAACTCCCGAATCCCGAGTCTCGTTCGTTTCCTTGACTCACTTGACATCACTACCTCACGTGTTTCATCTATGTTCTCCTTGTCTTGCCGGTCACTTCTGTTATCGCTCCAGCTCCACCACCATCTATTGAGTCCATATTTTTATTCATCACAGTCTCTAGACCTCACGTCACCAGAGAGCGCGCAGCTTAGGCTTCAGCTGCATTCTGAACGTGCTCGAGCTACATTGCGTCAGAACATGCCGTCACACCTGCAGGGCTGATCTCGAATTCAAGAAAGAGTCTGAAGGATGCTTACGTCCATTTGCCGCTCCATCGCATCCCTCGGACGCGTCTATTCATGTCCAATAGAGTCAACTCCATCAGGTTTTCAACAATGCCTACTTGGTGCTATTGTCATGTTTGTTGCACGAGCAAACATTTGCTTTCCCCGCAATTTGGTCGGCTCCTCGGGCTATTGCTCACCTTATTGCCGATCTGGTCGTCCTCGAAAGACCATCTACAAGTAGGTCTGCCAATTCGAGTATCCTTACAGCATCTCTTTTTTCACATCTATCTCATATCTCTCATACATCTAAGCCTCTTCCGATTTTCCATTCTGTTCAAAATGTCCTTCAAGCCTTTGCCTACCTTCGATGAGTTACCAGTGGACAAGAAAGGACCATTCTTGAATGCTTGGGGACTGTGAGCATCATTACTGTTCGACTATGCTCCATGAGACTAAGACAGTTAGGTATGGAGACAACGACCAGCTGGGCTTCTTGAACCGTTTGACAGATGATGTCGTCAAAGAAGCAGCCAGAGAGATTCAGTCTGGTACAAGGTGATTATACATAAGCATTTGCAAGCGTGGTATAGTCTTCTACTATCAGCATCTAACCTACTGGTAGAACTTCTCTCAACTGGCCCATGGATGCTCAAAAGGACATACCTTTCTTCGGCCGTCAAGTCTTTCACAAGCACGTCTACCAAAAGCCACCTCGAGTTGTCAACGACGATGTGTGGACCTTCAACACCCAAAGCAGCAGTCAATGTACGACTCTCTTTCCTTCGAAATAAATACTTACTAATTCAACTTAGGGGATGGTCTTCGTCATTTTGCCTACCAGAAGGAAGCAAAGTTCTACAATGGTGTCACTCTCGACGACATCCACAGCGACGACTCCACAGTCAACGGCATCGGAGCTTGGAGTGAGAAAGGCATCGTCGGTCGAGGCATTCTGCTTGACTATGAGGCCTGGCGTGAAACTCATAGCCACCCTCAAAAAGACGCCCTCAAATCTGGAACCATAACACTCTCCGAGCTCAAAGCTGTCGCCGAATGGGAAGGTGTAGAGATCAAATTCGGCGATATCCTGATCGTACGATCTGGGTACATGGTTCAGTACAACAAGCGCTCGAGAGACGAACTTGAAGCTCTTAGTAAGATTCTACCACCTACGTTCTTGGGTGTTGAGCAGAGTACGGAAGTGCTGAATTGGATTTGGGATAACTTCTCTGCGGTTGCTGGCGACCAACCGTCCTTTGAATGCTGGCGTATGTTGTTGACCTCACTTATCCACTTGTTACGACTGACATTTCCACAGCATCAACTCAATCATACATGCTTCATGAAGTCCTCCTAGCAGGTTGGGGATGTCCTATTGGCGAACTTTTCGATCTCGAGGCTTTGTCTCGTCAATGCGAAAAGACTGGACGCTACAGCTTCTTCGTCGCCAGTGAGCCTTGCAATGTAAAAACATCTGCTTTCGGAAGTACGAGCTCCACTGACGATCGACACAGGTACCCGGAGGTGTGGCCAGTCCACCGAATATCATTGCAATCCAGTAGTATGTCCCATAATGAAACATTATTTCTCTGCACCAAATATGAGACAAAGCTCGTGTAACTAAACCCAATATTGATGTCAACACCAAATGCGTGTCTCGCCGCACAGGTACTACTGTTACAATCTACTCAGCAACAGTATTAGAAGAAACACATGTGACAGGCTCGTGCTTCCAGAAATCACTCGAAGACTTCTTCCCTCTGTTCTTCTATAAAACATCTTCCCCTGCACCAATTCAACAAGACAAAGCTCGTGTGGCCACACCTAACATTGAGGTTGCGACTCGACACCAAACATGTCTGTATGACATATATCGTCCTACGGATCGTTGCGAACGGTAGCAAACGAACGGCTCTAACACGGAGCTGTGTGCGGAATTGCATGACTCCCTTCCAGCTGAGTCGAGTCCACTAAAATCGTTGTAAAGATACTTACCCTAGACGGAGAAGCTAAATCTACGGTCCTCTAAGACATCGTAGACGACGCGATGACAAGAAAGGTTACTCCTCGAAACTGCCAGGGTCATCCGAACAACATCCATCACGGAAAATCCTATGACGTAGCCTGCGGATCCTCGATCTTGAATAACCGGTCATCCTTTTTCCTGTCCCATTCTTGACTACGCTGGTGTTCCTTGTTCAGTCTCCCACAGGCACACAAAATATGGAACGCAACATAGTACGGCATGCGATCTGCCTCGTACAACCATCACGCCCAACCTCGCTTCCCCGATCACTCTACAATCGAAGTCTCAAACCATCCACCCAACACCTTCGCTTCCGCAGCAATGACAACAAAAGCAATGACAACAAAAGCAATGACCAAGCCTACCCATTAACAGGCTACTACGCCGACATCCTCGGCCCCCAATCCACCACCAAAGACCTGAAAGACGACCTCTCAGCCACACCCAAAGAAGAAGTCCAACCACAAACACGCACGGCACCCGAACCGCCCTCCCCCGAATCTCTCCCCAAAACCGACAAAGAAGAAACGATAGAAAAAGCTCGAATAGTGTTTGGATCCCGTCTGGCCGGGCCCGGCGAACGCAAAGAAGAAATCGACGCCGCGAGTCAGAATGTCGCTGGTGTGTTGGTACCGCCGAAGCCCACGGAGCCGGATAATTGCTGCATGAGTGGGTGTGTGAATTGCGTTTGGGATATCTACCGTGAAGAGTTTGAAGAGTGGGTTGGCAAGAGAGATGCGGCGAGGGAAAAGATACAGATGCAGAGGAAGAGTCAAGGTATGGAGGGAGAGGGTGTGAATATGCCTGCGCATGTGGCATCGAGTATGGATGATGATGGGGGTGGTAGTGAGGCTTTGTGGACTGAGGGAAGTGAGGAGAAGGAAAAGGATCCTTTTGCCGATGTGCCTGTGGGCATCAGGGAGTTTATGCGTACGGAGAAGATGTTGAAGCAGAAACATGCTGCACAAGGGTCGAAAGGTGGATAAGCCATTCTTCAAGACGGATCCAAATCTCATTGGTTCACTGGCAGAGGCAGAGTTGCAGGATACTCGGCCACTATATCTGCCACGCCAGCTGCATCTCCAACTATGTCATCAGTTTCTCGAAGGACGGTTCCAACCGGAGTCAACAGCAACCGTGACAAAAACAAGAACAGGCTTGTTCTTCACCCGACCCGATCTTCTGGAAGCGAAAAGCCACAGTCTTCGCAAGACAGATATCGAAACCAGCGACCTACCCAAAGGTCCACAAAGCCCCTGGCCACCTGGCTCTAGACGATCATGTCAAACCGCACGAGAACATGACCTTCTTCGGACCGAGACAAAGCAACGAGATACACACGAAAACAGTTCGGCGACCTGGAGCGGTACTTTCCATTGGAACTCTGGTCCATGGAACAGATACGTTGCGTTGTTTCACAGCTTAAATCGCTTGTACACGAAGATGCAAAGTCAACCTAGAAGCGGAAAAACGAAGGAACGACTATGCATATGCACAGCAGCTTGTCTTAGGAGGCATCTCGGCAGTCTGCTACGCTTTTGTACATGGCCATAGAAATGCAGGATGGTTTTCGATATGGAAGCAATGACCAGAGAAAGAGCATGGAGGACTACTTTTTCTCAGCAGACTCGTACGGAATTTTGATGATTAGATTGATGCACAGTATGTGTCTACGGGATAGAAAAGTGACGAGAAGATTGTAAAGAAGTAAAACATGAATTGTTAGACTGCACGAAGGCACATGCTCTTGCGTGCTAGGGGCAGCCAACGAGATGTTGTTGAAGGTGTGTTGGTGCCCTTTGAATCAGCTTGCCCATCCATGTTATCTTCACCACACCATGGGGATCTCCTGAACACCAAAACCATGACCAGCCTCTTCCTGCTCCTTGGCTTGCTTCTCACTGGCATCAGCCCAAGACTCACCACCGCCCATCTCGGACAGTTCATCAAAAGCAGAGTCCTTGGGACTGAGACCGTCTCCACCGTTGGTGAAAGTAGCAGTAGCGGGCGGTGTAGCAGTCCAATCACCACCGGCCTCAATGGTAACATCACCCACAGTCTCAGTAGGAGCATCACCCCAATCAACTCCAGCAGCACCAGCACCAGCATCAGCAGCATGCTCATCCCAGCCACCGCCAAATCCACCCACCACAGCACCTGGCTCCTTCCACGGCAAAGCCGAATCAGTAGTCTGCTTGATCCGACCCACATCCTCGACCAGCTTGGCCAGCTTGGGGTTGGGCACTTCAAACACGATACTGGTTCCGGAGGAAGATTCTTGGAGGTGGCCGTTGGGGGCGATGAAAGTGCGGTTGAGGGTGCATTGAGGACAGAAGGTTGGGATGTCGTAGGGAGGTTGGCCGAACTGGCCTTCGCCGAGGGGGCAGAGGGTGGAGGGCAAGGTTTGGAGGGCTGTGGAGCAGAGTTTGATGTGGGCGATGGAGTCCTGGTGGCCGCAGCGGGCGAAGGTAGAGAGGAGTCTGAAGCACATATCTCGTTGGAGTGTTGGTGGCAAGATTGGGTCTTGGGTGTTGTTGCGTGAAGCTTTGATTTTCTTTCTTGAATGATGATTTTAAAGATGACATGTATGGTGATGGAGGATGGGGTGGTCTATGTACCGTAGTGTTGCTTTGTTGAAGGAGCTGTTTGTCTACAGGTGTTGTCACTGATTCCGTTTGACTGTGTTACCTTTCCTCGTCTCATGTCATTTTCACGGCGTTGGACTCGTTTGTCTTGCAGCCTTCGTAGCACAGCTCATATTGATGGCTTCCTTGTGAATACCAGCACGCTTTTTAGCAGCAGTTACTAGAGCCGAAGACAGCGTGTTCATGCTGCAGACTTGGAGTGATGAGATGGAATTCGCTTGATCGGTTTCGGTAGAGAGAGAAACAGCCAATGCCAAGCATCTGGTTGATCCAGCACATGCAAGTCTCCGATGTGCAGGTTGGTAGCACCCACGTTGAGTTGGATCAGTCTGTACTCAAGTGTCGTTGCAGAGCAGGCTCGCCAAAAATCCCAATCTTGGTGATATAGAAGCCGTGTCCATGAAAGGCACTTTCGTACTCCGAAGAATCGTAAATGGCAGGTACGTGACGAACGTCCATAAAACTCTCTGGACATCATGCACTTCGTCCTTTGGAGATATGCAGCATCGGCACCAGTTGAAACACTGTCTGATGAATGTAGTGCTTGGATGGAGGTTGCTAGGATTTGTGGATTTCATCAGCGCATCTTCATGCATATGCGTCAAACAAAAGCATTGCAAAGTCGCGACAAGCACCCGTAGATATGTTCTTGGGTCGTAGAAAGCTGGTCTAGGATTTCTTGGATTCTTGGAAACGAGTGTTCTGTGCTTCCAGCGGTGAAACAAACAGACTTTCTAGCGACTGCTCGAAGCTCGGGAGACAGCCCTCACGGCTATGCGGCGGTGAATGACAAGATTTGGACCTGGCTGGTGGGCTTTGTTGGCGTTCCGATCGGAAGCGGGCCGACAGTTGAGTATGCAGAATGAGCCTAGATAAGACATGACCTAACGCACAACAGACGGCAGACGTTTGTGGCAACTCGCAAGTATTCGTACGTGTGTTGATGGTCAAAGGAAAAGGAGAAGAGGTCAGGGCAGAACAGGTCCGCAGGGCTGTGGAGGAGCATGTTGTGGGGAAGCGTCATTTCTCAAGATCTTCACGAGCCGTTCGGATGAGCTAGAAGAACATCAGAATATTCTGGGATGATTTGGCGAGGACGGCAGTAAGCAAAATGCAAGGTTTGGATGAGTAGACAGGCGGTCGGAGTGGTACGGTGACGATGCTCGATGGGAGGCCGAGTTTCAACTTGGATCGCATTGACGGCCGACATTACTCAAGGACCGAAGTAGCCGTTGGGTTTGTTGTGAGAAACGGTAAATCAGGGATGGCGTGTCATGGACCTTGGACCATGGTAAATAGTTAGTAGATGGTCGCCTCTGCATGTCTGGCAGATAAAAACGAGTGACCGACCTGCTTGGAGCTTTCTGTCGCGTGATTGTTATTCACAGCGAAGAAAGACCATTTTATCGGAGGTCATCTGCATCGATTCACCAATCTCCTATACAGCTAGCGTGCTTTGTCCCGTAATCAGCAATCCGGACAATCAAGGTCGTATTTGCATGCGCAACTGAGCGACTTTACGCAGCAGCGCTCGACGCGCCATATCGAAGAATATCCGACAGAAAACCATGGCACCCAGGGACGAGCAAAACTCGTCGCAGGAGTCAAATTGGGGAGAGACATCCCAAAGCTCCCTCACCGCCCTGCACGCATCAACACAGAGCCTACGAGATAACGACCGCGATGCTTCTCACCGCCCGCCCTCGCGCGCAGAGTCGGTCGTTGCACCAGACGACACTCGCTCTGCTAGCTACTCAAATCCCTCCAGAGCAGATGTACACAAGAAGAGGCCCGGCCCTCTGGGCTATGGTGAGGATATACAAGACCCTGAATCCAGCCGATGAGCATTACCAAGACTGACGCCAGCAGGATCCATGGCCTCATCCACAACAAGACCTTCGCTAGGCTCGCCCCAAGTCTCATCAACGCGCGTCACCCCCAAGAAACCCTCGCTCGGAAAACGTACCTTATCAGCCGGTCCCAAACGCGGCCAGGAGTTCTCGGTCGACGATGCTCAAGAGGAGGTTCAACAAGACAAGGCTTCATCATCTTCCAGCCACGTTCTAAATCGTAAGGCTTCAACACTTCGCAGACGGCCAACCGCCCAACCGCCGCAATTAGCAAGAGTTGAATCCGACGAAAGAGAGGATAGCCCATCTTCAAGGCCTCAGACGGCCGACTTTAACAAACAAGCCGATTCTGACGATACCGAGATTACGCTACGCCCCGACGACGAAGACGATGCGAATGCTGGAGAGGACCAAGACGAGGAGAGCGACAATGACGACGACGACGAAGATGACGCTGATCTGAGCGACGCTGAGAGTTTCACCCTTAAGGACAGACAAGAGGCCATCAACGAGACACATCCTTTCGGTATCCGTATCTGGAAGCCTGCTCTTTACAAGAAGAGTCGTTCAGTCCAAGTCACGGCTGAAGGAGATATCCATCAAGCCCCTGGCCACCACGTCAGCCTGGGCTTGTTGATATTCAACGTCCTTTGGACACTCATATTTGGTTGGTGGCTCGCATTACTCTGCGCTGTTGGAGCTCTGGTCTGCTTTGCTCTGCGTTTCACCCCCGGATGTCAAGAATATGGCTACGTATTATGGCAACTCGCTGGCTACATCTTCTACCCCTTCGGCAAATATGTCATGCTCGAACATGACGAAGCATACATGGAGGAAGACTCCGGCGAAGGTCGCAGCATCTCCGAGTACGAAAGATGGCAGACTGGTGATCTTGAGGAAGGTCGCCTGTTCTTTGGTCCCACCGACATCAACCGTTCCTTGATTGGCCGTAGAAGAGACAGCGTCGATACAACTCCCGATGAGACTGATAGCTTGCTCGGTCGTCCTGGTAGGCGCTCCAGTGGTGACAAGCAGGAAGCCAAGTCAAGACTATTCGGCCGTGGAAAGTGGACTGTCGGAAGAATCATCTTCTTTGCAGTCTTCTGGGGTTTCATCACTCCTTCGCTCTTCTTCATCTCGGGTCTCTGTTGGTTCCTCGTCTTCACCATCCCCATGGGCAAGGTCACGCTTCTCTTGCACCATCACTTGAGAAGACATCCTTTGGCCCTGTCCTTCCACTCAGACACCCATGACGCCAATCGCGGATCAAGCGAAACATCTTCGAGTGTTCTTCTCTGCACATACCGAGCTGTGGGTAGCAGATACTGGAAGTACACCATTGATGGTACCAACATCTTCCTCATCAACTTGCTCAGCATGGTCGCCTTTGCCATCTTTGACTTCTACGTTCTGAGGGAAGCTCTGGAGATCGAGAGTGTCATCACCTCATCTGGCTTCATCTTCATCCTTGGACTGTTCTCCATCATCCCCTTGGCTTACTTCATCGGTCAGGCCGTTGCCTCCATCTCTGCTCAATCGTCTATGGGTGTCGGTGCTACCATCAACGCCTTCTTCTCAACCATCGTTGAGGTCTTTTTGTATTGCGTTGCTCTCAACCAGGGCAAGGCCCAGCTGGTCGAAGGAAGTGTCATTGGTAGTATCTTTGCTGGTATCCTCTTCCTTCCGGGCATTTCGATGTGCTTTGGTGCCATCAAGCGCAAGACTCAACGCTTCAACGTTAGATCCGCAGGTGTCACATCAACCATGTTGCTATTCGCAGTCATTGGCTCTTTCAGTCCCACCTTGTTCTACCAAAACTATGGTAGCCACGAGCTCGTCTGTCACCAGTGCTTTGGCTCGGATCTGTCAAACGGAGATAGAGATTGCAGACGCTGCTACTTCAACCAAGTACCTGCTCTCAACGATCGCTTTTTCCTCGAAGCAGTCCGTCCCTATATCTGGTTCGCCGCTTTCTTCCTGTTCCTCTCATACCTGATTGGACTCCTCTTCACTCTCCGTACTCATGCAGCAGTGATCTGGAACAACGAATTGGACGAGAAGAAGTTGGAGAAAATGGAACAAGCCGCTCTGCACATTGAAGCCAGACACGGCAGTATCCCTGATGGTACCATTACCAGCCACCACCATCACCCCCATGCGCACATGAGTCGCAACAGCACCATGGGTACGATTGGTACTCTTTCGCGAGAGAACATTCGCGAGTCGCAACTGTACAAGCGTATCCTTGGTCAATCTTTGAAACAAGCCGGTTTCGGCAGCACTGCACCGAGCGAGCAACACTCCCCTGATAAGGCTCATGCACCTTCTCTTGGCGGCCCGACACACCTTGTGCCTCCCAAGTCTACCGAAGAGACCGGGGATAAGATCCAACAGCGCAAGCTACGCATTCCTGGTCTCTCGGCAGAAGACAACACCGCTTTGGTACGTCAAGTTGCCGAGATGGCAGCGACTGCAGCAACTGTCGCTGCTCGTGATGCTACTCGTGCTCCTCGCAAGGCTTCCTACATGGCAACTACTGGCACTGGTAGTGTCAAGCACCACGGTTCCGTCTCATCATCTGTTGCCCCCACAGGTCCAGCTACTAAGGCCGGAGGCACTCCTGAAGAGCCTGAGGAAGTACACGGAGAAGTTCATGAAGCTCCAGCCCATGAGTCTGGCGGCCATGATGCACCCAACTGGAGTCGAACCAAGAGTGCTGTGATTCTGATGACTGCCACGGTTGCCTATGCTGTTATTGCTGAGATTTTGGTCGACACTGTCGACAGTGTTCTCGAACACATTGACATCGACGAGAAGTTCCTTGGTATTACTCTTTTCGCGCTCGTGCCGAACACCACCGAGTTCTTGAACGCTATCTCTTTCGCCATGAACGGAAACATTGCGCTGTCCATGGAGATTGGTTCAGCATACGCGCTACAAGTCATGCTTTTGCAGGTGCCAGCTCTCGTTCTCTACTCTGGTGTATGGGCACAGTGGATGGAGCCTGCTCATGTTGCTGATCACACCTTTAACTTGATCTTTCCTCAATGGGATATGGTTACCATCATCCTCAGCGTCTTCCTGATGGGCTGGGTCGTCGGCGAAGGCAAGAGTAACTATTTCAAGGGTTCCATCCTGATCCTCGCCTACGTCACCATCCTTATCGGCTTCTGGTTCTCGAGCTGGTCTAGCGACGATGTAAGTATCTTAACCTATCTCTCTCCAAAACACTTTGCTAACATGATCACAGGGAGTCATGGGCGTCAACCGCTTCGACACTCTCGCCTTGCCAACCACACTCGAGACCTTCAAGACAATCGGAAAGTCAACCAGAGGACAAGCTTATGCTTAAACGCCATCTCCATCACCTCAGCATCTCTCGCCCCCAAACACTCCTGACCTCTCTCTCTGTAATAATGTTTGAAGACACACACACACACACGGCATGCATCGGTACATTGGCGTTTTCGTTTAACCTATATTTTTTGGATACCAAATCAGACTGTCTGTTTTTCAGTGGGAGTTGTGTTTTACACGTATCGGGGCATAGTTGATTAAAGTAAAACGTAGTAATGATACATACATTTTCGAATGCCAATGTCGTAGGGTTCTCGTCGCTTCACGGTGCCATCGGAGCTTGAATTTGAGCTTCATAATGTATGTCCGAGTTTTAGAGTCGATGGTATGCGATCCTAGTGCCATTCGTACCGAGATCATTAGAGTCGGCGAAGGGGGAGCGACCGATTATTTGTTCTTTCTTACTTACTTCGTAATTCGTTCCTTTTCTTTCTCGACTCGTCCTTTGCGTTTTTTGGGTTCTGAAGGTCGTTCTTTCTGTTCATGTTTATCATCCTGGCTCTAATTGCACTTGATTTTTTCGATTACAGCTTCTGTTTTTTTTTTTGTATCTACTACATTGCTTCTTTCGGTCTTCATGGCAGGTATATAGCTCCATCCACTTCCAGAGTTAGGTCGCTTCTTTTCCTTCTTTGACAACGAATTGCTTCATTTCGAGTATTAGGATTACTGCTTTATTAGTTGTATTTACGTGTAAGGATTAGTGTGTTGATCTTTACCTTTTAAGGAGATCGATTATTGGTTTCGAGCGAGAATGTAGATGAGATTGAGACGGTACAAGTGATAAGGATAGACAAGTCACAAATGAGGAAGGGGATAGTTGATATAAAGTCATCATAAACATAGACTCTTAATACACATCTTCTTTTTGACATCATCATCTGTACGTGTTCTTAGACCATTGCTTCTTACTGTCTCATCCGCCTCTAACCCTCTCCTTCCCTTCTTGTCTTTAGCTATTTGTGCCATCTTGTCTTTCTCTTGGTCCGTTCTTCTTTGCCACATTACATGCTTTGCCATGTCTAGATTTCGCAATTCCTCTGTCATCAGAGATCTCTCTTCCTCGTTCAATCCAGGCCCCGATGTAGAAATGTACCACCTGATTGTACCGTTATCTTGCTTGAGGGAACGGTATTTGACACCCTTCAAGTCTCCAATAACACTCTCCACGAATTCTCGTGTGCAGCATGTCGCAGTCAACGTCTTAACTTTATCCGCCATATTCGCTTGCAACTTGTTGACGGTGAGACCGTTTAACTGTCTTATTTCCATCTTTGATGAATGAATGCGCCAGGGCCTGGAGGGGATTAGGCCTCTATTGAAGGAGGGTAAAGGTCCGCAAAAGCGGTCGGGGTCTGCATCCAAGCGTACGTTGACCTTCGACTCGAGTCCACGAAACCGGATGGTGACTTCGAGGAGGATTCTACTGCCGAATACGACACTGAAGGTTATGCAATTGAAACATCGTATCAAGCGACTTTTATGCTGCTCGTTGATATTGCTAGGCCAAGTGATTATTGGCTCCTCGTACGTTTTGCAAGGGGAAGAACTTTCGTAGGGCGTGAAACCATCTCCGAGATCCTTGATTATGATCTCCTCGTAGGCCGTACATCGCGAGGTGATGCGGATGCAGAGTTTGAGGTCATGGATGATGGTTGGGAGTAGTTCGGCACGCACTTGACGACATGATTGGAGTAAGGAGATGACCGTGGAAATCCGCCGATGATCGCTTGTGAGGTCTTTCCAGATATCGAGTACATCGTCGTCTCTGAAAGTGTACTTATAGATCGCTATACGGAGTTCGGATGGGAGGGTTAAGAACGAGGTTGATGTTTTGGTGGTCATTGTTGATGCGATGTTATTGGATATATAGTGTTCAGGATACAGAGTACAGTGGACAGAGAGGTGCGATAAAGAGGAAGCACAGAAGTTCCAAGATTGCCTTGCCGGCTCACGTGTCCAAACCAAGTCTTCGAAGAGGAAGGCATGCAAACTAACTCATGATGACGAAGACGTCACCTTTTTGCGCTGTGTATCAATGTGCTTTTCACTCACATACACAAGACTTGGAAGATATTGAACTTGGCTTGCTCCTTCCTTTGATATCTAGTTCTACCTCTCTTATCGATGTTTTGTATGGTCCATACATTTTTCTTGTACATCATTATTCCATTGCTTCTCTTCTTCCCACGCTTCGATATGCTGTCTAGATTTCTGAGGCGAGTAGTAATTTTCTCCTTGCCTACATTTCCACCAAGCACTATTTTTTGCCTTGTGTTTGGCCGTCATTGTAGACACAGGCTGTTCAACCGTCATTGTAGACACGAGCTGTTCGACCTTTGTTATAAGCACGAGCTGTTTGGCCGCTACTGTAGTCAGAGACTGTAAAACCATTGTCCTAGTCACAGACATAATGTACGGAGGCGTAATGTACCAGGGAGCTACTGGATGAATGGGCTCCCGATGAACACCCAGTCCACGTAAGAGCTTCGTGATGCCTGAAATCAACTCTTCATTCCACTCTTCAGAGAGTCGTATCTTTTCTTCCACTTTTACTTTGAGCATGTCTACGCCAAGCTGTTGCTTCTCAGTGGGCTCCAAGATCGGAGTGGCGGCTCTAGGATTTTGAAGTGCCTATTTTTGACGTAGAGAATCTCTCAATTGTACCTTGACTTCTGCCGGTCGCGGCGGAGGTGGTAATGTCGTTTCTTCTGGTGTTGTTGTTTTCTTCTCGAAAGTGATGATTACCTCGACGATACAGAGATTTCTCAGATGTACAGAGAAGACCGTTGAGGTCAAGTTTTGGATCAAGGCCTTGTTATCGACTTCCAAGAAGCCAATCCATGGAGTCGCCTCGACGCAAGCAGAAGATTGAGTCGTCCGCACGTACCTGTCCAGAACTCTCAACTTCTTGTGATGACATGGTGTGATATCCAGATCCGTTTATTTGATGGCCAGGGCATTCCAATCGTCTCTTCCTCGAACGGTGTGCACGCAAAGCTTCATGCCCCCCAGGATCATTGGCAGCATTTCCAACCTGGTCTGATGCGATGCGGCAGAGAGTGGTGGAAGTTCTTCAAAGGGACGCCGAGTGCGCTTCCATTCGATACGCAAACCTTTTTTTTTGAAGCGCTGTGTTCGCGTATGACGTGTTTGTAGATGATGATACGGAGCTCCGATGGCAGAGCCAAAGTTGAGCTTGCCATTGTAGTCATGTATGTATGTATGTAAGTGTGTTGCTGCAGTAAGATTTGTGGATGAAGGAAAGATGGAAAGGACGATAACGCCTCGCTTTTTCTTTTGTAGTAACCGCGAAGTGTGACTCCGAGGACTCTAGAGTCCGGTTAGCAGTTCGCCGCGCCCTCAAACCAACTCACCATCCAGAAAAGGAGATTTTCATAAATGTGACGAAGTGACTTGGGTTGTGTTGACACTTCTTCGCGTTGATCTTACTCCCATAATGGTGCTGAATTTCCAGATGCTTACAATTACTTCAGCCCTCTGACTTGAAATTGGAGAAAGGGTAATGAAGTCCCCTTTGCCAGTGTGTACATGCGATTAGTCGTGACCTCGTGCCAACCTTGGAGACTGGACCAGGGGCCGGCTGCTTCCCAGTGAATGAACATTCCATGGAAACCTTAGGTCGGTTCAGGCGATTGCAGCTTGAAGGCGTCACCGTGTATGAACTGAAGACCGACTGTCAAGCGTGTCAGGGATATCACACTACGCCAAGAGTTGTGCTTTGCCAGGCTTTATATTTACTGCTGGAATGGCACTTTCAAGCCGCAAATGAATCAACTGACGTAAGGCGGGAATTGAACACAAGCATGACTTCTGAGAGCGGGAACAGGGGCAAACGCTCACAGACCTTGCTCTCCAGCCTCTAGGTCAAGAAAGATCTTTGCATGTCGGCCAAGAAGACTTGCTCTGATCTGCCGCGCAGTGTGTAAGGCCAGGATCCTCGAACAAGAAGATTGCGGTGAGGCCAACTGCCTAATTCCTGGTCGTACACGTGAGAAAGGACCTACAACCCGGTACGGTCAAAATTAAGGGGTTTCAACGCTCCCAGCCATGCAGTCAGGCTCTGGGAAACCTCCTGCTGCAACTCAATAGCCTTTCCTCCCTCCGCGAGAGTACCACAACCCTGGCGTGTACACACCGAATTGTGTGTTGACTTCAAGTGAGCGCTACGTTAATGGCGGTTTGTAGAGCTGTGCCTCGTCTTTGATCCATTCTTGTTTGTGCTGATTTTCTGTCATGGTCTCCCGAAAGTGATATCGGTGGAAGAATTGAGCATCGTGAGCTGCGGCTAGGGTGGCATGTTTGGTGCGTAAGCTCTCTCTTTAATGCTTGCTTGGAACAATCGAGTTGCCGCGGAGTGTTATCCTGCTTCCCTGTACAGGGAGAGTAAGACATGGTACCTGACCACACCATGCTACCCTCCTCGCTCGGGATAGGTACGTTAAGCTGCGCTACGCTAAGCTACGCACAGCTATACTTATCCGCGAGACAGCACAACACGCTCATCAACTCGAGCTTTTCTGCTCGCTGGGATCGGAAGAAGCAGAGCAGCGGTTGGTGCATGATGAGGGAGCAGAGACAATGCTATCATATGCACATGTCTTCACACACTTGGTTGAAGACGTGTAAGGAAGTCTCTCCGAGGTGTGTACTCTTCCCTTAGCATGCACTGTTAAGAGACAGGTTGTAGAACGCATGGTATCTTCTCAATGTCAAACCACGTCCCGGAAGAAGTCATCAGCAAGAGGCCTTCGCGATGGCCTATCATACACGCCTGACGTTGGACCACTCTCCATGTTTGAGTGAGAGTGCTTGTGATCTCGTCTTGGTGTATCGGAGCGATTCGGTTGTCATGAATTCCTCGAACAAAAATGTAGGTACGGTGTCGAAGAAACTCGGGTCTCGGAACTAAGGTGCGTGTGAGACCAGAGTCATCCGCAAGGTACAGATGTACACAAAGTTCTGCTTACTGATGGCGCCATCCACACAACGACAGATTAGAAATCCAATGACTGAGCTTGTGGTGATGACACAGACACGCGCACGCCATGTATTGTGAATCACCAACATGCTTTTTCTTGCTGTATCTTTTGCTCTTGCAAGTGGGTACAAGATAAGGCATGTTGCACTTCTTCTCCTTCTGACCGCAGTCTAAGGCCGTAAGTCATAGAGAGGCTGAGAGCTCCAGCTGATCTGCACAGCAATATGCAGGAACCTGAATCGTGGGGAAAGAAGGGTGTCGTTCACCGCTCACCCAACCTGGCGGGTACATTGGAGTACAGCATTCCAGACCGACGGGTACCTGTTCTGCATACACACAGGTAGCACAGTTCATGAAGCAAACGGGCAATAATCGGGTTGCTTGACTGAGGCCCAAAGACTTGTCAATAAAGTCGCCGAGAAACCGGTGACCATGTGGGATCGAACATGTGTCGGCCGATCGGTATACTTTTGCTCCGCCAAACGATACGACTCACGCGAAATCCTCCGACGCGGGGTCTGCAGGTCTGCTGTCCGGTTTCGCTGCAAGCTGCATGTGCATGCGCTCCGCCAGGCACCAGCGGACAGTGCGGACTCAGCGGAAGGAACAGGAGGTCATGGGACTTGTGCTATCAGTCGCGGGTTTCGGCGAACCGGTCAGAGTAACAACACATGCTGTGAAGGGGATCGCAGTCTGGTTCATCGTGAATTGCCAATGTTGGGTTGTCACGTAACAGAGAACCACATTATGTTCACACCGCGAAGTAAAAGTGCAAAGAGAGACGACAGGACGGTGAGAAAGCTGGTTGACTGACCCGGCAACCCGAATGCTCTTCGGCTTGCCGAAATTTGTTGCATGCCCAAGCACAAGCTCTTGGCGGTTTCATACCAGACCCTTGTCCAACAATCAAACGAGGTAAAAGCCAAGATCAAAGCCAGATACGCATAGATACGACGGGTCCGAACTAAGAGTTCGGCAAGGCTGGTCGGAAATACCGACAACCTCGCACCGAATGTCAACTTTTGAGAAGGAAAGGCCAAGGCGGTCAAGACCTTGGAGGGACTCGGAGCAAGCACCGTATTAAGCAAGAAGTCGCGAACATCGCACGAACACAACCCAAGCGCATGGAGAGAGAAACCGTCTATCTCGCTTCTAACGCGTCTCGGCGGCTTCTTTGCGGGGATATTGGATAATCGTGGCATGCCTGATATGTCAGCCAAGTGAAAATCTTCGACAGAAACAAAGATTCTTTGCAAAGTCTTCCTCGGCGGTGGGTCGGTCAGAAAAAAAAAGATTCGATAGAAGAAGAAGATCTGTGATGTGGAGGATGTTTGATGACGCCAGGCGATCTAGGAAAAAGTTTACCTTAAGCTCGGCAACCTGCATCGCCGGGTAGCCGGCAGCGGTTACAAGCGAGGTTGTTAAGGCGGACAGCTCGGAATCCACTTTGCAGAGCCTGATCAGATCATCAATGGATGTTTGTAGTCACTTAGGCGAGGTGTGGAGGGACAGGATTGACAGGCACATGGAACACATGGAAGAGGAAGTGGTTTGAAGATGTGAAGATGTTTTGATTAGAAAAAAGGCAACTGAGGCCTGTAGATGGATAGTAAGAAGAGGAGCTCATAGCTCGACCCTTTAGATGATGAGATAAAGAAGAGATGTTTCCGGTGCCCCCAAATGATCATGAAACGCCGTGGCCCAAGGCCGGGATATCCTAGTCGTGATGCCATACAGAAAAGAGAAATTGAGAATGAGAATCGCTGAAACGCTGGACAAGATGGACAGTGAAGAGAGAAGAGCGTCTAGTAGGCGCTGATCATTGGTGATTGCCGTTGTGAAATGACAATGTTGTCACCGAGGTAGTCATGTTGGTCCATCTTGTTCAAATAGGGTGTTGTCTTGATAGGTTGAGCGTGTTGTGATTCTTGGAGGTCCATTGCCTCTTGTGTGGGCGAAGGAGGCATTGACTCGTCCTCTGAATCCGAATCTCCATGGACAAGTTCTGGTGGGTGCGAATCAACTCGGGTGAGCGCGTGCTCGGCATCGAACTCGAAATCTTCGAACTCGTCGTCGTCAACCTCGACAGTCGAGACAGAGTATGTTGATGGTGTGGCGCGGACGAAGTCGTCATCCTCGTCGTAGAATGACTCGTCGTCACTCTCCTCGTCTGATGAGTCCTCCTCAAGCTCCTCAGCGATAGAGTCGATCCATTGGATGTGGCGGGTGGCAGGCTCAGGCTTGCTGGCCTTGATTGACTCGTTGAACCAAGCCTCTTGTTCTCTCTCTGCGTCTTGGAGTTCGATCATGAGTGTGTCGAGGAGGTTGGCGTGACCAACAAGGAGTCTGAGGTCATGGTCGGCGCGAGAAGCCTCACGACCAAGCTTGCTCCTTGCGGTGGAGGCGATGTAGTATGTTTGTGTGAGAGACATTCTTTGCTTCTTTGCTGGCGATGCAGTAGATCCAGGGAAGTATGATTGTGTCGACTGTTGGTCGAGGTTGTATCTGGGTGAAGACATTGTAGTATATAAACAGCGATCTGAAGAGTGAGTCAGTATTGTGATTACCAAATCTGGCGCAATAGTACTTACAGCCAATGAGAGTTGAGTGGCTGTCGGATGTCAAAAGGCAATCGAGATGGTGTTGTTATCCAGTGAAGATCAAAGCCGGGGAAGGTTGGTTGGTTGTTATATGGTTGTTGTCCTGATGTCCGCTGGTTGTGATTGTGATGAAACAGAAAGCACCTGTCAGCTGGATGGTCCAAGGGTGTTATAATACCAGTGCTCAGGCACCCATGATCGGGTCTCAGAGGGCTTTGTCATGCCGAGCGGGTGTTGGACGTTTTCCTTCCGTTCCTGATCTGAACTCTAACGTGCCCACCACCGGGCGCAAGAAAAAAGACACCGCCCGCTCCGCTCGGATTTTAGAAACCTCCTGCAGGATCAGCCGGTGAAGCCGTGTACAGTCGTGGCATGAGTAATCCGAACCAGCCAATCGCATCTTTTCCAGGCACATGCTGTGAGTAATGCTGAGCAAGCATCTCATACACTGGCATTCTTTGTTCTGCCTCTGATGAGGAATCAATTGTCAGCGATATTGTAAACATTATTGTTAATCCATCGCGACATCGACCGCAACGAGTGGATGCCTCACTGTTCTGGACCTCGTCAAAATTGATCAAAAGCGTTTATCAGGCATGAAGCAATTACTCCTCCCATCGCGCGAGTATCGCATCGGAGCCACGCTTTTCCATTCGGAAGGATAGCGAACATCCGGGCTAGACCAGATCAAAACCCTGTAAATTAACAATTTCGCTGAACGCATCCGGCGACGTCGCAACGGTCACTTGGACTTTGCGATCGTTGGCGCCTTTCTTCTGACCGTGGTGGACCTCTTCGCAGCAACGCGCCGCACTCGGACCTTTGTGTCGCCGTATCTGGGCGTACCGGTCTGCAGGGAAGTCGGTGAGATTTTCGACCGCATCCTTTTGACTTTCGTGGAGAAAGGAGCAAGGAGCTCTTGTTTCACGGAGCATTCTGCCTCCGTATGCAGGTGAAGATCACATCAGCGTCATTGCCGCAACACCCGGAAGCTGTCAAATCCGAGATATGCTCGAACATACGTCTACGACTCTCCTTGACGCGAGTATTGGTTTTGTCGTTCGCGTTCTCCGGAGACTTGATCAAAGCCCGTTGCTTTCTCCTCTCTTATCCGGGCCCAGTCTGAACCCTTAGCAAGCTAATACCTCGTGGACTGCTTTGCGAACTGACTTGACTCAACAGACTCAAACTTCTCAGAACCTAGGGGTCTACGCGGCTGCGGCTTGGCTTAAATCCAGTTACAGTAAATTGACTCCAAGATTGGCATGGTGGCTGACTGTTTACCTACTTGGGCTCTTCCCCACAGACAAAAGCGTACACCACCTTGCAGGATCAAGACAGGGCGGAGTCTGGCCGTCATACCCTGGGATAGATTGACAACGCAATAGACACCCATACGATGATACGAGCACTATGAGCAGGTTCTACAGTATGCACTTGATCCGCGCTAGGCCTCGCGCGAGCAGCTAGCCAAGCGCATGGTAGCTGCTCTGAATCTATACCTTCGCCAAGGCTCCAATCGACTCGATACGTGTACTCTCTCTACTGGCAGAATATAGGCAGCTTAGATCGCCGGTCTTCGCATCGCAACGAGGCCGAGCGAAGGATCCCGTCGCTGGTTTAGATGAACCCAGCCGTCCGTACGCCCTCTCCAGCCGTACGAGAATATCAAGACACTATTACTTGACCTCTCCATCGCAGATTCTAGTATCTTGGAACTCCTCTGTCGTAGAGACGAAGCTCAACAGTACTTTCAGAGATTTCCTCTACACGACCACATCACCATGACGGCGAAGCACGTTGACGCCGCCTGGCGCAATTGACGTTTACGGTTATCAACGGTCACGCAACCAGATTGCAGCGTGCTCCTTTGGGAACTTGCATACTTGAGACAGGCATAGATTGCTGTCAAGACAACTCACTGAGACAGGGATCCCGAAATACTCATCATCATCATATGGTCGAAAAGTCCATCTGACAGATGTGTTGACTCTTGGTCGGCTGGATTACCTACGCCATCTCTCGAAGGACTCGCAACTTTACTTCAGTTTGATATAGGACTCCTTCTCGACAAACAATAGATCAATCATCGTTGTTTTGTCAGATATCGACAATTACGATTGTTCAGATCTCTTACCCATGAGCTCAAGTTGGCATTCGACGTTGCCCGTCACCGGTTTACGATAAAGGGCCGTTGCACCAAGGCTGAACTTCATCGTTGACATCAGCATTCGGAACCGTAGTGAATTCGCTGCCTAACCACAGAAAGGCCTAAGCTGATGGCACAAAACGTGCAGCCTGTCTACTTTGAGAGTTCCTCCAGGGCATGAGACAGGAGGCGGCCGGCATATACTCCGATTAACACAGCAGATATGGCCGGAGGCCTTGGCTCTCTTCTACTTTGAGCAGAGTACTGTGAAGTGTTTCCCATCTTCCTCTGGCAGGCCGTTTTTGCAATCCCTGACAAGAAAATATCGCATCGATCACCAACAATGATCTTCATGCATCAATCTGCTCAGATCCTATGGATGTCCACAGCTTTGCACGGGTATAGATCCTCTTTTGGCCAACGTGAGGCACTTCGCTGTGTCAGACATTCAGACATCGGAGATGCTGCTTAGATGTCGTCTCATCCGATAATACCACATTCACTTCCACGTTACCCAGGCATCATACAACAGCTCACAACTATCGGTTACTCAATGGCAATTTCCTTTGATGTTTTTATCGCTGCTGGTCCAGAATGCTGTTGCCAAATTGAGATACCAACAATCTGGGGTTTTCTGAGACACAACGTGGGCTGGATCATCAGACAACGACCTTCGGAACGTCAGAAACATGTCTACCTCCTCTTTTTCTCAGGCAGTGTTGGATGTGCTCTATTGGACGCCACTGACAGTGACATGAACTACGAATCTAAGACTTCAGATCTCGAGGTGTCGACATCGGCCAGCGGTTCAGCATGTTGAACCGCGCCGATATCAGTCCCAACTACTTGGACATGGGATGGGCAAGACAGCAAAGCTTCTTTTACGAGATACCAGAGCGGCTTGTCCGTGTCCCAAGCAAAGCGCATACTGGACACTCTAGACATACACACACGCAACGTCACTGCATCGGGCAACGACATCTCACGATCTTCTTCGCTGTCGTCTGGAGCCATTCATCGCATTCTAAGCCACGACCAGCATACTCCGAGTGCGTCCTCTGTCACTTTGGAGGATTGGGTATGATCCATTCAGACTCATATGGTAAGCAAGGTATCAGCCGTTGGGTATAAACGGTCGGTGCAATATTGCCCGGACCCGTCCAGGCTTGTGCGTGGAAAACAATGCAGACACAACCACATGGAGCTATTCGGGGCTGCCTCCGAGTTTCGCCTTCGCCGAAGCTGTTGTATCTCTGCTATCGTCGGCTAATGTTAGCAAGATGCTGAGAGTATTTGAAAATCGATACATGCATTTCTATGAGCCGATCCCGACAACACACGGTTATCCTAGTTTTGGACTCAACACAGATTGAACAATTCCGAGCTTCTGGGCTGCTTGAAACTATGGATCGCATCTCAAATGTACAAGCTATTCTGATGAAAATAGAATAGCATGGGTTATCTACCCAGATAAACCAGCTCACAACTCAACTAGCCAGCGTCCATTGCCAGTTCGATTTGGGTCATTCTGAGTATTCTTGCGCCACTCACTGCACGAGATTAAGAGCACCGTCTATTCGAGAAGCAACCGAACTGCAAAATTAATTCAGGGCTGAATCTCTTTACATATGGTGACAGAATCCAATCTGCAGCCAAGTGATGAAGACCCTGAATACCGTCCATGAGATGTTCATGCTGCTGCAATATCGCCGTCATCTCGAAGCTGGAATGTGCAGCCAACTCAGATCAGGGATATCATCGTCACTGATACAGTATGTCATCTCGGGAGCAGCATGTCAAGCTAAAGTCAATGGAGTTTTTTCTGCATATCGAATCTGGATCTCCGGATGCTATGGGAATTTTCTTGCCACACGATATCGTCGTCACCTGTAGGGCGATCAACCACCCGGCTGCCCTTCGTAACATACTCGGACTTTTCTCCTGTCCCGTCTGATCTACTGGTTAAAGTCTAGTTGATATAGCTGTTCCGTCCATCCATAAGGTTAGGATACCTACGACGGCCGAGGTTCGGGCGTGACTCGGCCGGTCTTGCTACTCTAGTGACCCTGTTCATGAGGCACTGCTGCGGACGTCGGATCACAAACGATGCTTTGGAGCAGAGCAATACACTGGCGAACCCAAGCGTTGTAAAAGCCGCTTGACAGATATTCGGTGGTTCTCTGAATTCAAGACTATGCTTAATTGTTTGGTTTGTTATTCAATGTACTGGTAATTTCATCTGTTTTCCCTCCTTTACCTAACTTTATCGACAGCATGACCGGACACTCTACTAGCGGCACCTAAATCTCCCCTATCTATAGCACTCCTACTACCTTCGTTCGCGTGAGTTTATCTCTACCTACTTTCCGTAAATAATAATGCCCTCCTCGTCCCCCTTACGGATAGGCCGTCTCGGAGAGTTTATACGTTAACCTATATCGCGAAGTCCCCGTACCTCTCGCTATAGCCTATAGTCGATAGACCGCACTAGTATCTTCTTGTTTTAATATACTCGGCTCTAGTCCACTAACGGGACTAGATGTGTTGTAATGGGAGTTTCTTGACGCTACGAGAGCTTCATTTATATAGCTTAAGTACGTAAGAAGTTGGAAGGTAGGGGTTTAATAACTAGACTCTATATTACTACGCCATCTCATCTCTACCATTCATTTTAGACCTCACAGCTCACTCATCGCCCTATCTATATCTCTGATCCCCTTTTTTCAAACCTCCCACAAACGTTTCTCCATTAGCACCTTAGAATTTCCCTTGTAACTACCACCGTCATCACCATCATCTCCAAAAGTCCGATCCATCCTTTTCTGCAAATCCCCGTCGGCTTAATTTCCACGCCCACTGCTCGATAACACCTTACTAGCTCCCCTCAATCCCTCCTTGACATCTTCGACTTTTCTATCAACATTTATCCCAAAAGCATCTAATTCTGCATCTGTAGGGCTTATGAGTGCTGCTTTTAGTGCTTTTTTGGAGGGATACATTATTATGCAGTCGTGGGCGGTAGTGGCGAGGGAGTTTATGAGGGTGATTTGGGCGATGGTGGGGGTGGATGGGTTTGCAGTGCTGGTGTTATTGTTGGCAGCGGAGTTATTGTTCGAAGATGCGGTCGCCATGTTTGGAGATGGGTCCAATGTGATAGAATCCGAATTCGAGATATGTGAAGACGGGCTAGACATAATGTGTAGCTTTCAGTGTCGTCGCTGTTAGAAGATTGCTCGATTCGATTAATGCTTGGGATTTTCTGACAGTGAGATATATTTGAGTAGAAAGAGGATATCGCGCTCAGGAATTGTACTTTGATGAGTTCGTGGTTGTCTTTGTGTGAGTCAAGCTTCAAATGACTGCTTTAATGAGGGAGTTTTCGATTCATGACAGCAAAGCTTGTAGAGGCAGTGATGTCACCTGGTTCGTCGCTTTTGAGTGAGAACTCGACATATGCGCTTTGATCACGGGTTCGAAGATACGTGGTGCAAATCATCGCATGTAGTATATCTGATACTTGATAGCATATAGCCCAAGAGGTCCCCTCAAGGCGTCTCTTTACAAGGTTTCCATTCCATGCTGATCTCCTCTCAGATGCGCTTAACAATATCTTTCTTGAACTTCTCAAGCATGAGCATACAACTCTTCTCCATAGCCAACCCAGCCACCTTTGAAGTCAAGATAGTTTGAGTCGAATCAAGAACTTTGAATACATCCTCCGACATCTGCTCTGATTCATCCATATCTTGGGCCATTTTCCGTAGCTTTTCGCGCATAATTCGCAGCTCGGCGGCTTGGAGTTGAGATAAAGTTATGACATCTGTGAATTGACGTTCAAGTGCGGCGAAGGGCTTGCGAGAGGAGAGGCGCTTGGAAGTGTTGGCTCGGTTGGCTGAGGTGGTCTTTCTGATGGTGGAGGGTGACATGTTGGGTGCTTGTAGTTGTGTGTAGGGTATATCGTTGGACAGGCTTTTTGTTGAAAGTGAAATTTGCTTGGAGTGAAAAGCACGTATTCTGGTATTGGTACTTTTATGCGTGATGGACGTCTATTCGTGAGTCAAGGGTCGGGTGAGCAAATTCCAGCGATAGAACGACGAAGCTTGTAGGAGTGAAATGGCAAATCTGGCCCCCCTGCCTCCAGGCCACCTCCACTGTCGGACATGGCAGGAGAACACGTGTCACATCTGTACAGGTTGGTTGTCATAGACGTCAGGAGAGAGTCCTTGAGGATTTGTAGCGGTCGGATCTTCTTTCTTGCAGTGCTCGCAGTCTCGACTCTTTCCATCAAGCGTTGAGCTCTGCGACATCAAGCTCATCCGGCAAGATTTATTCGTCCGAGACGTCCGAGGTCCCCTCGAACATTTCTTCTTCTTCTTCTTCTTCCTCTTCCCCCTCTTCCCCATCGCCGTTTTCCTCTTCTTCCCCCTCGTCATCATTCACCATCTCAACCTCCCACCTTCCATCATTGACCCTATCCTCTTCCTCTCTCTCCCTTCTCTCGCCATCTCCTTCCTTCCTGACTTTTAACCTGCAGCGTCCCATGCTTCCCTTGCCCTCATGCCCAGCGAAGTCCAAAGTCCAGTCCAAAAGTAGTCTCGCTTTCGCATCATCACCTCTGAAAGGCACTTCCTCTGCATCCTCAGAAACCCACGACCACCCCTTCTTCAAATCCACGCTAACGGTGATGGTGAAGTAGCCCCAGCCTTTCCGTCTGACCTCGTAGGGTGCAGATTTGCAGTAGATGGTCGGAGGGCGGAAAGTCGGATGAAGTTGTATTTCCACGCCGGATATGATGTCGCGGCGGGAAGGTCGCACGAAAAATGTCCATTCGTGCATGTTATGCGAATCCGGGCCTGGTGAAACTAACTTGTGAGAATTGCCGATGCAGAGGGTAAGTGTCTCTATCGTGCCACTGTTTGGGTCATCCTCGGTAGTTTCCTCAGCTGCTCGTGCTGGATATGCGATTGGATATTTTTGTTGTAGTTGAGCGGCCAAGTCTGGATTCTGCGTCGCGTTGGTTGGTGTGCGACACATCGGACATCTGGCTTCCGTGTCGGCGCCTGAAAACATCGATGGCGAGGATGAAGGAGCCAAGATTGTCATTTGAGAAGTCATGGATACGTCGGCCCAGTGCGCCATACAGGTCGCGCAAAGTGTGTGGTTGCATCTCGTCGTTACTGGGTTGTATAGCAACAAGTGGCATACTGGACAGAGGTCATCGTCGCTCACGATTTCGTCCTTGGGCTTGGCATCCATGTCTCCATCCTTTGGTGATTCGGTTGACCGGTCTCGATTTTTGCGCATGTGTCGTGAGTCTGCTCTGGTCGTGTCCCGTGATCCCGATGTGTTCAAACTCTCGCGTCGTGGAGACATTGACCTTGAATGCCGCTGACGCATGTTGTTGATACGGGCTCCGAAGGGATATCCAGCGTCCGGAAGAAAAAGATTAAATGAGTGCTAATAATGCCTGGATAAATCGAGATCACACGGCCGAATAATTGATAGCAGTACAGTGAACGGTGGGTAAAAACGTGATGAAGTGAAGATATTCGTGGCTGATTGAACTTTGATGAACATTTGATGGAGTTGATTCCTGGAAAAGGTCTGTTGCCAACTGTTGCTAACAAATCCTGCAAGGACACTCAAGAAATCTCCTACCTTCCGCGACATATGTAAAACCCCACCACCCCCACCAAACAGGCAAGGTAAATTTGACATCGAGAGAATTGTCCAAAGAGAGTGCGTATGTCTACGCCCTTCTCTTCGACCGTACATCTAGATATGACTTCGATCTTGCATTTTGACAGCCATACTAAAAGGCCTGGTAGGCGCGTGAATTTCAAACCAAACTCGATTCCGTCACAACTAAACCTACACAATCTACACCACTCATCCTCTCTACTCAACAGCATCACTCTCCGGCGGACCCTGATAAACTTTCCTCCCATACACCGCATAAAACACACCGGCCAATCCCAAGAATCCAACCAACACCACACTAGCATAATTCATAGATACCTCCGTAACAGGCAGAGCCCCCGGCATACTGAACAAAATCAACTCAAATGCAATCCACACAACCGCGATGATGTTAACAGCATAACCCACCGCATTGCCCATTTTCCAATTCGCAGTGTTGACCTCAAGCCTTCCTTGGAGAAGCGATAGGATGATAGGGATGGCGTATGAGATGGCGAGAGCGATGACGCCCACGGACACGAAAGCGGTAAAAGCGGAGGAGGAACCCAGGTTGATGAGACCAAGAAGAAGTTGGATGAAAGTGACAAGGGCGATGGCATTGAGTGGAACACCAAGTTTATCGTTGACCTTGCTAAATGTTCCAGCAAAGGGAAGAGCGTGATCCCTAGCCACAGCCCACGTGCACCTACTCGCAGCAGTGGTGATGGAAATACTGCAGAAAAGCGTAATGAGCAAGACGAGGAAGGTCAAGCCCAGCCCTCCACCAGGACTTCCCATGACTTTGTGGAAAATAAAGGGAAGAGCTTGTGCGGCAGGCGCTTCCACGATCTCCGCAAGATCGGGGAGTAACACGCAGATAGGTATCACGAAGAACAACCCAGCGATACCGCCGACAGGAACGCACAACGCGATTGCCTTGGGCACTCTCACGGAAGGGTTTTCACATTCTTCGGCCATCGAGGCAATCATACCCAGAGCGGAGAAACAGTATGCTGCTGGAAGCAAGCCGATGAAAAAGGTAAAGTTTCCATAGCCGGAGAAGGATTTGTCGTAGTGGGAGAGGGCGTAGGAGGCAGAGTGGCGTCCTACATCTGCTTTACTGGCAAGTGCAACCAGCATGATGAAAATACTGATGGCAGTGAAGGCAGCACAGATTGTGTCGACCATGGGTAGAAACTTGTTTCCCAGTGCGCAGATGATCAAGGTTGCGATACACAAGCCGTAGAATATCAGGAGTAACTCCCAATTCGTCATTGCGTAGTCTGGGTGGAACATGCCAACTGCGCCGGCAATGAGAGAAGCAAAGCCAAAGTTGACGGAGAGTGTTATGGTCCAGTTTCCTATGAGCCAGGTCCAGGCGTTTATGAAGGAAAGAACCTTACGGGTGGCAGGGGAGGAAAGTTGGAAGGTCCAGTAGTAAGGTCCGGCGGAAGTTGGATAGCGGGAGGCTAGTTCACCGAGCGAGAGGGCGATGCATCTGCGGAGGGTTGTCAGTGTTGTTTACGGGAAAAGTTGGAGGGAAACAGAACTCACTCATCAAGCAGACAGACTACTATCCAACCAACAAAGATGGACAGTTGGCCGCCGCCGTAGATGGCACTCATGAGTGGACTACCTTCTCCATACGCTGAGAGTCTTCGTCAGCCAATGGCATCACTATTGCGGTGGTCGTTGACATACGGATGGCCGCGATAGCGAGCGATTGAAACAATAACGTGAGCATAGATCTATTCCTCGTCATCTCAGGCTTGTAGCCGAGTTGAGTAATGTCGTTGACCTCTCCCACGCCATTGTCTGGTCCAGTGTGTGTCCTTGCGAGGCCTTTTTCATCTGCCATACTGGGCGATGAAACCTTGATGGAGTCGTCGGACATGATGTGGCTGCCCAGTCAATGGGATGTGTGTAGAGTATTGGACAGCAAAGTCGGTCAATGCTTCGCAGCAGGTCTAGGGACGAGATAGTATGTACCGACGCGACAAAGGGTAAGAACAGTATAAACAGGAACAAGAGAAGATGCAATTCGAACAAAAAAGAGTACCAGCCAACCAACCTTTGTATATCACCTCTACCCCTCCTCCTCCTTCCACCAACTCACCTCTCAGCTGGTCAAGCTAATCAACACACACATGTGTAACAACGCCCATGTATGGTTCCAAGATGTGCTTATCAGTAGATGAGATTCAGGCAAAGGCCCTGTAGGCCGGGAAGATACACCGTTTCGGGTTTAGTCCTCGACATCGGAGGATTATCGGGGGTCGAGATATTGTCCTCTTCCGGTTGGTATCTTGACCATTGGACCACCACAAGAATCACGCCTCTGGGGGGAAAAGGTTACAGCCAGGTTTGGTGTATATGCTTATCTTTGCATTGTATACAAGTAGATAAGGTCGGTGGTCCATGTGAGCGCTGTGGAGGTGACATGGCGGGGTAAGTAAAAAGACATGCATGTCCTCATGGTTGACCGCATTGGCTATTTGGATAGACCTAACCGACACGTGTGGGCATATGGTTGTCTATTTTGAGTGAATTCCTTTCTTTCTTGTGATGTTGTGACTGTTCGAGTGACGAAAACTCTGATATGCGTGGTACGAGGATTGTGTCAAGGATGGAGGGTGTGGCTGTTGCTGATGCCCAAAAGCCTGATAAGAGCCACGTATCACCGATCTCCCTCGAAAGATAGGCACGTCAACAACTAGCGACAGACAGTAGACTGACCTTTACCAGTGTCGCCGTAGTTGTTGTCCAGAACTGAAAGGCGAACTCTCACATTGATAGATATCGGGCCAGAGGTCGGCAGACAAGGTCCGAAATCTCTACCGTAGCTTAGCAACTAAAGGCCTCGCACCTAAAAGTCAAGCTCACGCGTTAACATTCTTGCTTGCACGTTCAGCTCTGTCAACTGTCACTTCGGTCTGGAGTTAAAAGAACTGGGAACAGTGGTCAAGAAAAATTCCATCGTTTCATACTTCTTCCTCTCGTCTGGAGAAGAAAGGGATCGCTGCCCGACCTATGCAAATGTACATGTGTATCCCCTCGACCTTCTCTTCCTGCCACATACTTCTCAGTATGTGTACAACCAAGGAATAGAACAAATGAAAAAAATGAAAAAGGGTTATTGCTAAAACTCGTGTCTCTTTTCTCATACGTGATGTCGAGGGAACTCCCTCTCTTTTCGTTTCTTTTCAACAGAAATGTATGCATGTTGTGTGGTTGTGTTTCGACCTGGGTGTTGGTCCTTCTTCTTTCGTTGCATCTCCAGCTCTTATACTGCCACTGCACCCTTGTTTGATTTGGTACTCGAGGTAGCATCAAGTGGTGCGGCGTGTAGTGCAGGCTTGGCCTTCTTGCCCAATGTGCCGTTTCTCTTCTTCTCGATCTGTCCGCGGACCCATTCACCAACCTCACGGTCGACCCACTTCTCCGAGTCACCGTATTGCTGTGCTTTGGATGCGGCGTCGACGTCGCTCTCGGGTGCAGCAATACCTTCGCCTTGTGCGGGGTCGGCGTCGGCGGCTTCTGCAGCCTCTTCATCCTCTTCGGAAATGATGTCGGGTTTCATGAGCGGGGCGAGCCATGCGTGTTGAAGCAGCATGGCGTATGTGGGTCGGAGTTTGGGGATCTTGTTCAAACAGCCTGCAACAAAGTTGCGTGCTGCGTCGCTGAACTCGCCGGTGGGAAGATCTGGGGGCTCTCCATCGACAATGGCCTGAATGTACAGTCAGTGATTGCTGCAGAAAAGTCGTACATTGGATACTTACACTCAATTGACTGAAGATGTTGTCATATGTCTCGGGTGGGTAGGGGTATCTGCCCATGGCGCACTCGATGATGGTCAAACCCAGACTCCAGATATCACTCTGGACACTGTAGGTACCGCCACCAGGGTTGGCACCGGCTTGAGCGACACCTCCAGAGCTGATACGTTCAGGGGCCATGTAAGACTGGCAACCAATATTTGTCTTTGCGATCGAGGCGACCAGGTTTCCACTGACACCAAAATCGCAAATCTTGATGGCACCAGCGGTGTTGATCAGAATATTCGTCGGCTTGACGTCGCGGTGAATGATGTTGTGTTCGTCCTTGAGAGATTTGAGGCCGCGTGTTGTTGCGAGAGTGACCTTGCGGAGGACATTCTCAGGTACACCGTCACCATACAGCTTGTCCATTGAACCTCCGTCCATGAACTCCATACAGATGTAGACAGCTCCTTCTTGGAAGAAGGCACCGTAGAAGTCGACAATGAATGGAGAGGCGCAGCGGTGAAGAACATCAAGCTCCATGATGATGGTCGCAAACTTGGAGTCTTCAAGTTCAAGACGCATCTCCTTCATGGCCATGACGATGCCTGTCGTGTTTCCGCGAGGGGCGGCCGTCTCATCTCTTGTCTCGCCAGGTCCAATCTTGTTACCGGCTAGACCTTGACCGACCTTGCGCATTTGCGGTCTTGAATGACGGACCTTGTAGACTGTGCCGTAGTTTCCTTTGCCCAGTTCATCGATTGTGTCGACTTCGTCCAGCGAAATCTGGAATGATTGACCGGATGAGAATTGAACTCCTTTGCTGTTGAGAATGGCCTTGCCCTTGAACTTCAGACTGCCGGTTTCCTTGTCGATGTATTCGGCGTATCTGTCCATTGCGGACTCTTGCTTTGGTGGGGCAGAGTCACCGTTAGCACCACCACCCATGCCCGACAAAGTCATCCTAGGTTTTTGTCTGCCGCCGGCAGCTGGTGCACCTGCTGGAGGAGCAGCACCAGGGAGACCTCCAGGCATCTTCATACCACGCTTCTCGGCGAGCGAAGGACCTCTGCCACCCACGTTAGGAGAGGAAGCGAAACTTGGCGGGCCAGGACGACCGCCGGGAACACCGGGTGGTAGACGGAAGTTAGCGGGAAGACCACCGGGCATCTGAGGACCTGTAGGAGATGGGCCTCCAGCGCCAGGAGTTGTGGCGCCGGGGGTGACAGGACCACGGCCTGGAGCGGGAGCACCTTGTCTGTTCAAATGGAAAGCCTTCATTCTTGCTATAATGTCGGGGTTCACAGCACCTCCACGGCCCAATGTGCTGACGGTAGGAGCAGGTCTTCGTGCAGCATTGACATTGCCGAGGGGAGTCGACGACGAGGTCATGTTTGCTGCAGTGGGAGCGGCTGGTGTCGAGAAGGAGTGAGGCGACATCGGGGGACGGTCGACCTCTGGTGATTCTGGAGGAGAGGCTACCGACGATGGCGAGGGAAGCGGACTGCCCGAATCTTCTGAGGGAGTTGACGCCATGGTTGGACTTGTGTGCAGTGCGTATCGGTGTGCAGGTATCGATGTGCAGGTGCAGCAATGCAGTGTGCCAGGCTGTGTCTGACTTGGGTGGCTATCGCAGACTGGGGACGAGACGAGTTGGGGCTTGTGGAGCGAGCAAAGTCGTCAAGTGTGGATTGTCATCAGATGAAACACGAGGCTTCAAAGTGTGGATGGGAAAAGAAAGACAAGACACAACAAGACAGCGACACGCTTGCAGCGATGATGTATGATTGTCAGAGCGAAAAGCACAAGGCAGTTGCAGGACGCTTGCTCAGTGCTGGCTCCGTAATGCAGAAGATCAGTCCGCCGTCTGTGGCGCTTGGGAAAGCCACAAATCCTCCCAAAATGACATCCTGATCCATCAGCTTCGCAACCAGCTGCGCCTTGCCCTTTCCTGCTTCTGTCACCATCTTTTTACTTCTACGTCTGGAACAATCATCCATGCACATTATTCGTCTTTGAATATCGACTACGCAACCTCAATAAACACATCGATCCAGTCATGTTTGAATACATCTGCCTTGCTACCTTCTAGTCATCGACACCTTCCTAGGAAACATGATCCCTGCTTTCTTGCGTGTACGTCATGGGTCCAAAAAGATGGCAGTCGTCAAACACTTTCGCGGAAACCACTCACGTCGCACTTGCAGAGCCACAATTCTTCACATAGGGCATACAATTGGTGCATCATAGTCGCTTCGTATCAACACATGTCACCGACTTTCAACTTTCTCCTCCGTTCCGGTGCTGGAGCCCGTCACGTCAACAACATGATGCCTTCTCTCCTATCATCATGCTCCGCACTCTCTGACAGCCTCATCCCACTTCCTCCCGCTTTACATCATATTCGGAGGCAGGCCCGACTGCACAATCGCACAAGCCCCATACCACTGCACTGATACCTGTTTCTTTGCATGCTGTTGTCCGCTTCTCCATTCCATCCCCTGCACGGCTTGACTCTCCATGCCTTTTCACGTCAAAGTCGACCTTCTGGTCAAAAGTCGTTCAAAATGACCGGCTAGGCCCGGGTCTTCTCATCCTGTCAAGCCACACTTGCGGCTCCAGCGACTGTCCCCCCATAATTCTTGGCCTTGGCAACGATGGTTGTGGTTTTTGCGTGCTCAACTCGACATGGAGATCGAGCGATCCGCTTCGAGTCCATGATCTCGACCTTCTTTTCGACCACGGCTGGGAGAATTCAAAAGAGTCATGAGTCTCCTATTTCTTTTCCTCCCAAGACACCAATCTCCTTTTTCTTCCTATCAATTCCTTCTTGGTGAAACTCTGTCCTTGCCGTCAACCCGGTTGTTGCTAGATGGTCAGCGCTTCGGCCTGAGGCTCTCTCATCGGCCGAGGGCTTCTTTCACAATAGGATCTTAGAGCCGACGCCGGAACTTTGTGGATACAAACATGAGGGCCGCTACCGAAGTGCATGGTCCGACACGTCCGACACTGATCCGCGGCTTCCAAGGGCAGAATCATCGCTTCAGCATCGAGCACATTCGCGTGTCACTTGACAACCGTCTCTTGCGAAGCGAAAAACTCGGCAAGCAGCCCGTAGCGTTGTACACCGCTTTCCTTGACGAATGAGACGCAACTCTTCAGAGGAGACTGACGAGATTCCCCACGTCTGATCGATCTGAATGCATACGATTGCGATGGATCGCTTCATTGTCCTCGTAAGTACCTTGGAATGATACTCGACATCATTCGCGCCAAGCAAGCGTTGCAGTATAAATCATCAATCATCCGGCTTGGAGAATAAATCCAACCGAGACGTCGACGGCCACGAAAGATACGTGGAGCCATCCAAGTCAAGCAACATCGCGCTCTCCACTGCTCCGTCCCCTGAAATTAGACCCAGGTCAATAAGGGAACCAAGGAGGTCAGCGAAATCGTCTGGACATCCCTGACGCAAATGCTCTACTCGAGCTACAAAGGTAAGAACTTGCTGCAAAGTACCGTGCTAGAGATGAACAGGAAAGACACAGTATCACTGACCTGATAATCTGTTCTCGGTGCGTGTGTTAGCGCGACGACGATTTTCAAATTCAGTTGGGAGTCAGAAGGGAACACCCATGATCTTTGAGGGATGTCGAGCAATGCCGTGGACTGCGGTTTGTCGCTCGATGCTTGTTTCATGACGCAAAGGACCTTTTTTCATACGCATAGTCGATGACATCCTGTGTCGGAGATTGGGCCAAGCGTGGAAGATGTATAAGTTGCCTTGATTTAGGCAGATGGACTACGCTGGAACAACGTAGGTTAGTACAAGCAGGTACATTTCCTTTCTCATTTGAGCAGCTTTCCCGCAGATGGAAGCGCGTGCAAAGTCGCTAAGAAGTGCACCGTACACAAGTCAAGGACCAAGTTTGCCTTCTGTTTTAGACCAGAAGGTATGAAGTGTTCCAACCGGACGGCAACAGATTCACTGGCCAGTTGCCTTCTACCTTCCCCTTCTTTCATCGTTGACGGCGAGTTCCAACTCGTCCAGATCTAAAGCGCGGCATTTTCACTCCGATTTGGTTTCTTGCTGACGATCTTAGCAATCAGCGACCCCGATGTTGTGGCCAGATGCAGAAGTTGGTCTCTGCGAGAACATGTTCGAGAACAGAACGGTTGATCTTCTGCGTCAGTCGTGCCACCAGGTGAGCTCAAGCTGGTCAGCAGAGTCGTGACGGGTCACGAGTTCATCTATGTCCCCAGATGGAGCTCATCAACAGCTTACTGTCAGACATCAAGTGTTGTCGAAGAGGGGCTGCGAATATGGCGGAAAGCTAAGACAGTGCAAAGATCGCCTATCATTACGGAATTGATTCCATCCTGGAAAAAAAGGATACTGATATCATTCTTCTTCGAAGGTAAAGAGGTCATGCTGATGGCTGGCATCCGTTTAGTCAGACAAGATCGTCAGATGGAGACTGAAAGTCCAATTCCCGCGTCAATCGTGCCACCAGGTATTCCTGCGGAAACCCAAGACTCCTGATGAATAGAGACTTCCAGTGGGGTCATGATCCTGAATGCAACCCTGTGGCGGGGAAGGGTGCAATTATGGTCGTTGTTTCTGAGAGCAGGTCAGTAAACCGAGTGGGGACGAAGAAAGAGAAAGACAGTGCAAAAGGGAGGATCGACCCTTGTACCAGCGCATCAGAAGATATCTTTCTGTCTTGTGTGCCTGAAACAACTAACGAGCACACGATTTGGTGTAACTGGAAGCGATCTTCGGCATCAAGAGAACTATGACAACTTTTGAGTACATTCAAGTTGGACATGAGTATTGGATACGGAAGGTGCAAGGCGCGGCATGAATACTAGATCTCTGTCGATCTTTCGGACAGCCTCCCGCTTCTTCTTCATGAATGGATGTGTTTCATGTCTAAAGCGTTTCCAGACTTGACTTTGATCTTCAGAGGGGAAACAAGCATTTGAACTAACATTTCCTCATCCCCAGCATCTACTCTAACCACGCTTTGCGTTCTCCTTGAATGACCGCGAAGCTTTATCCACAAAGTCAATTCGAACGTCCCCTCTCATTTCATTAGGACCAAAGTAATGATTATGGTGTTTCACTGTTTCATCACTAGAACGTAAGTGTTCGATGCATATGTATATAGTTCTTGCACTTCCTTCTCCTCTTCTCCCTCCCATCCACTACTGTTTTCTAAGTCATTCAACGGACCAACTCGATCGCGACATATACAACCCAACTTTTCTACCACTTCTTTACTTAAACAACCAAACAACTTAATCATGGTCTGGTGGCTGTGGCAAGCTCTTATTGGCGCCCTCATCTCCTAGTGCGTCAAATCTACTGCTTGTCGAACCCATGCTAACCATGTCTTCTTTTTAGCACTGTGATGGAGGGGCTCCCACACAATATTTTGAATGATGATGATATGGCAGGCACCGGCATCAACCCCAACAACACTCAGTACATCCTTGCCGTCGTTGGAGATCCCAATCCTGCCTACAATGCCAAAGCTCCACAAGCCGGTGTAGAGCCTTACGTTGGCACCAAGACCGTCACGATCAGAGTCCAAGCTACCGGCGAAGGAAGACTTCCCACTGAGGCTGAGATCGGCGAGCTGCTGCAGAAGGGAAAGCTCAGCCCCAATGAGGAGCAGATCAAAGGATTCATGGCTAAAATGGGGGTCGACTTGTCTGGGAAACAGGATGATGGAGAGGGCTGGAAGGGGGCATATGCTTCTGCTGCTGCTGCTGCTGCTGCCAATACTCATGCCGAACCCACTGGTATGGTCACTGTCTTCGTTCCTTCCGGCGAGGCTCAGCAGACCGGAAGTGCTTGAGTGGCTCAGGTATGTTCATCGTTGAATTGCAATTGATCACTTCTGCTTTTACCAACACCATCTACACATAGATCCACGCTGCAACTCTAGCAGGTTCGTCCCTCGTCACGAACCATTGCACTTCTCTCTCGGCAAGCTCCCACACCATCAAAAAGAAACCCCTCGAGACAATCGCTGCCATATGTGGTCCACACCCACCGTCCTTTTTTCCATCATCGCTTTCAAAGACGTTTGAAACACGACCTATTACCGCCATACCGACCATATTCACACTCCTTCTTTGCTTCTCCTTCTCCTTCTCCTTCCCTTCCATACTATCAAAAAAACAATAATGTATCATGTATAATTTTCTGAAATAACGAATGAAAACTTGGCTACTAAATTCACCATCTCATCTAGTCATGTAAACGTTGGTTTTTGGCTGTCGAGATTAAGGCATGTCCTTTTATTACCCTTTTCCGGTGGGTTTGGGTACTTTTGAAGCACTTCGCGAGTTACGGTCGCTCTTTCTGCAAAGGTTTGAAGTAAAGAGGTTACGTTACCGTACACGCACACACTTCCCTCGGCATGCAAAAAAAAAAAAAGTTGAAGATTGCAGATTGCGTGATTCTTGTGATTATCAAAAACAGAAAATAGAAGCCAAAAACAGGTCACTTTGAGACACAACATGTGATTTAAGCCTTTCTCCAAGACCCTCCCTAGTATTCATCTATATGTTTTGAAGTAGACAGCGCTGTTGTCTTTGATTCAGAAGAGAATAAGATGGACGAGTAATTCACTGAACTGGCTGATCTGTGAGCGGGTAAGGAGGGAAAGCGGAGAGAGAGAGAAGGGAGGTTATCGGGCCCCCTGAAGTAATGTGTGTCATTGCCATCTTTCATGTCCTTGCTCTTTGGATGCGGGAATAGTGAGATCGGGATAAGATTTACTGGGGGTTCTGTGGAGGAGAATGGGTAGTATGATTCACTGATCTAGCGGTTCTCATATACTGTTTGTACATTTGACGTGACTAGGACACGCAGGTCTTTCGATATCGCGCTTTCTGTGGGCACACTGTGTTGAGTGTAGCAAAAACTGAACTTCAACATGGCTCTCATAGACTTCTATATCTCTCATTATCATTCATACATCTTCGATCTGCATTATACAATCCGAACCACATCTACGCCATCTTCTCGACCTCGTCGACACTGTTCTGTCTGTCCCTCTTTCTTTGCCTTCCCTTTTCACTCCAAGGGAAATGTGCCACGGGAACCAAGAAGAAGCTATTTCCTCTGTCCGCAATACCAGCCAACATGTTCCACCATGCGATAAACGCCGCTACGATTCCAAAGCCACCGCCTGCCTTGACGAGAGTTGCGTGGGGAGAGGTGACTCCAGCCGTGGTGGTAGTGTACATATAACCAGTCGCCAGCATGAGAAAGGTGAGCCAGACGGTGAAGAAGAGAGAGGAGAATGCGAGAGTGGAGCGGAGGGTGAGAAGCCAGAGGATGAAAGTGAAGATGAACCAGCCCTGTTTTGCTGTGTCAGTTGTGCTGTGCGAAAGGAAATGAGCAAGGAGGGATGACACACGTAAAGGTAGAATCCCACAGCGGCGTAAAACTCGGGCGTGGCGCCTCCGTAAGCGGCGGCGATGTTGAAACCACCGGGAGTGAATATGATGCCCAGTCCAATCCTAAAGACAATTAACATGAGTCCATCAAAACCTTGCACATTGATTCAAACATACCAGAAACCACCATAAGACGATAATGCAGTAGCACCGAATGTGTTGCCGACAGCCATTTCCCTGGATATTGTATCAGTAAGGCACATTTTGATATCGGATTCCGAGACAATCACTCACCACATGCCAGCCAACAACTGAATCAACCCGCCATAAGCCAAAGCAGGCCCGACAATGATATTTGGCTCCAAGCTCCCCCTCGTTCCCAAATTGAGCAGACTCAAAATAAAAGTCGTCAGTGCGAATCCAGACAACCCCAAGGGTGCAGGGTTGGCGAGTTTTCTGTCCGGAGGCTTGTAGAGACCAGGCTGGAAAGCACCACCAAAGGCAGGGAGGTAGGATTCATTGCTGGGGATTTGGGAGAGAGGGCCATAGCCAGGTGTCCAACGCGGGTTTATAGCAGCGTTTTCGAGATGGTTGGTCGTTGCTTTTTGGATAGCATCTGGATCCGCAATGGAACTAGAAGCCGTGCGAGAGGAAGGTGTTGGAGGTGAATCTCGTTGCGTAGACGCCATAATTACAACTCGACGACTCTTGCTGGAAAAACGAAAAGAAGAAAAGAGATCAAAGATACAAAGAAACACAGGAGACGAAAAGCAAACTTATGAGGAAACAGCGATTGTGATGTGCACCTACTAGTCCCAAACCTTTTACATGTGGTATGCCAAATATCCATGCTGCTCAAGCTGCTCAAGCCAGATCATTTCCCCAGAAGGTCTTGCATCCCCCCTCAATTGAACCACTGTTTATCAGCAACGGCCGCACGCGGGAATAAAGCAAAAAAGGGAGTTTTGATGTCACGATGGGCGGCTCTTGGAGTTTGATGTGTAGATCACTGCCTGATACTGCAAAGGGAGATCCCCCAGATGACGGCACTCCGGAATTGCGGAGTTGTGGAGAGCGCGCGCGGACTGGGGGATGTGACTCCTGTTCCGGAGGTTTCGGAAGTAAGGCATGCATAAGAGTCACGGCTGCTTGTTGTTCCGTACTGTGCAAATGAAAGAGAATCACAAATTTATGAGGAGGTGAGAGAGCAGTCGGTAGAGTGTGTCGATTTATGTTCGAATCCATCCAGCAATTCGCGACAAGCTGGCTGCTCTTGTACGGCTTTTCTTGCAGTTTAGCCGAAATCAGCCCGTTTGGCCAAGTCAGTGAACACCAAATCGACAGCTGTATAAAACATTCACGCTAACCCCAACATAGGTGGTACGGCGTGTCACTCGTAAGCCTTCTTGAAGGTGATATGACAAGATCCATGGTTCGATTCCGTGAATGGGCATATCCTTTTTGTATTCCTCGCAATGCTTTAGGTGTTCTTCAACATCAATTATTCGGCATGATGGTTTGACGACAGCTGTCCGAGCTAGGGGAAAGAACCATTGTCCAGAATCTTTTGCCAAGTCCACTTCTACACCAATATCAAAACCATTGACCCAACTTGATGTGATGTTGGCAAGGCGGTTGTCGCCCTGGGAACAAAGTACTGTAAATGGGACAAGGTGTAGAAGCTCCGGTTTTAAAGAATTCTCATCCATTGGAATTCTAGCAATTGCAACTCTGGCAGCTAGAACTCTCCTTTGGATGTGGGGGTATAAGATGTTTTTAGGACTTGAAGTTATATACGAAGTGGAAATTATACAATGCTTCTCACACACACACACACACACACACACACACCTTCATCACCGTTCCCAAGAAAACCTAGGTCTTTCTTCCTCTCTTTCCCTCTGGTGCCCTTGTCCTTCCCTTCCCCTCTGCTGCTGCTGCTGTGGTAACACAGGCTCACTCCCCTCCAATTCATACACCATCCTTCCCCCACCAGCACCCTTCACACCCCTCCCATCCAACTCCGGCGGCTCCCAACCCCCTCTCATCTCCACCCTCCTCTCAACCAAACTCCCCTGTACCTCCTGCGGTCCCACCCACCCATATTTCTCTCCTCCGGTGGGAAGTTCATTCAACGCGGCTTCTGAATCAGAAGGGAGTTCCAATTTCGGCCTCGCGTCTACTTCTGCAGGCGGTGAGAAGTTTGGCGGTTGAGGAGAGGAGGTCTCTGAGGATGGAAGCAAAGGTAAAGCGGCGGTGATGCGTTGACGTCGTCTGCGGCGGATGTAGAAGGCTGTGGCGAAGATGAAGAGGACTAGGGCGGCACCGGCGACTACACCCACCGCGATACCGATGATCACGTTTCTGCTGAGAACCGCATCCGGTCTCGTAACCACACCGCCCCCGCCCGTGCTATTCGTAGCTTTGACTCCAGGAGGTAAGATCGATACGAGTTTTTCGGCAGGCATGGGGTTTGCAAAAGCAGCTTGCGCGATTGTGAAATTGGCGCGTTCGTAATCGGCGATCAGATATGCTTCTTGGAGAAATGTACGGCCGAGGATATATTGCGAGTCGTTTGCAGCCCTACGGATGGGGAAATAGCGCGTGCTGTTTTGATAATAAGGATAGGAGGCTTGAAGGGCGAATGCTGCGTATGGGAGTACAATGTTTACACTTTCTCCTCCGTCGGTGGTTTGAGGGGAGAGTTTGAATATGATCTCGGGATTGAGGTTGGTTAGTTTGGAGTGCATGGTGTCGTTTATTAGGTAGAGGTCGGTTTGATTATCGTAGTTGAGACCAAAATTCGTTGCGAAATTGTCGCAGGCTGCAACAGGCATCCAGATATGTGGGATTGTACTGTCTATGAGGGAGAAATAGCCTGTGGAGTATAGGGTGGCGCTGCCGAGGAGAGTGTTGCGGGCGGTGATTTGGGTTACTCCAACCTGGAGTGGTTTAGAATCGTCAGAAGCAAAAGGGAAGATTGTGCCATTGGCGGAGAGGCGTGATGAATCGTAGCCGCCTAGGGTGAGGCTGCCTAGTACTTTGCTGTATCCTGGACTTGCGTTAGTGGAGTCTGAATACAAAGAGTGGGCTGCGTACGGTAAGAAGCGCCTGCAGTGTAGGCATATGATTTCGAAGGTATGGTGTTGTTATTCCGCAACGATGTCAAGAATGACGGTTGCGGATCTGACAGGACTGAGAAGTTTGACGGCCGTGGGCCCAGCCCCATGATGCCGTACATGAAGCTCTTATCGGCAATACCAGCAACCACCTGATGTGTCTGCTCAATACCGCCCGAGTTTTCCACTTGTAGACCAACTGTATCGAAGCCGTACATGCCATTCGCATTGATCCCAATTTGTGTTTCAAGATCTGTCGTGTAGATGCCAATATCGCTCCAGGTCGTCGAAGCATTGGTTTGGAAGCCAGTACTGACATCGCCTTGGAATGGCATTACACCTCGCAGGCTACCACAGTTCGCAGGGTCGTCCTCGGTACATCCTTCAGGAACGGGTATGAGTGTCTCTTGTCCAAAGGTAGAGGGAAAGACTCGGAAGTCTTGTGGTGGGGTTCCTACGCGGACCATGAATGAAGACCAGCTATGCGATGGTCAGTCCCAGATTGAGGGCAAAGTGTGTGGTGGCCATACCTGCCATCATTACCATCCCAGTATTGCGAAGGCGCGAAGTAAAATGGACTCGGTATCGCAGTGGCCGAAGAGGAAGCAGTCGAGGAAGACATGTTCTCGAAGACCAGTCGCACGGTCAGAAGCGTGTGTATCGCAAAGTCATACAAAGACGAAAACGAGTCACACAAGGGTCAAGGCAGCGGTTAAAGACAGCAGGAGGAAGCGACGGTGAGTATTTGCGTGTACGCGTATAATGGACAGTATGGGAATAGAAGAAGAAACTAGGAAGGGGAAAAGAGGAGAAATGTGAGCGGCTGCTCGAAGCGCAAGCGCTGGTGAGCGGGACATTTCCATGTTCAAGGCACTGGACGCTGCATGAGGCTGTATATGCTGCAGGACAGAGAGCGCAAAAGTATCAAAAATAGATGAAGTGGTGTAGGGTGGGACCAATCAGCGGATGAAGGATGCGCATGGATAGATTGAAGTTATGCAAGTCGAGTGCGGCGGTGAAATGTTTCTGAAACAGTAGAGCGTGAGATGGATTGGAAGCGATGGAATAGGTACTTGGCCGATGTATATGGATACTATGTACGGACAATCTTGGCTACTCTGTCTTGATTGAGAAGCATGGCATGTGTTGAAGGAAATCGAAGAAGTCGAACAAGGAGTTGGACTTCGGATCAAGGGGGCCGAAGATTCGGCTTCACACCAACGTCAGATGCGGCGTCAAGCAGGCCGAGATGGGCCCAAGTGGTAGAGTACCTAGAGCCCAACAACAAACATGACAAGAACATAACAGTCCTGCCCATTACCATCCAGACACTGAACCGCCGTCGAAGCATAATAGAAAGAGTCTAGAAAGAGCAGGAAGCAATACAAACATGGCCGATCCATACCAATGGCGCGAATCCGTCCTGTCCACGCGCAGTCTTTCATATGTCAGCAACATGGATGCCGCCGAAGCAATGCTCAGGCCCTCGACCCTACGCAAGAACACCCTCAGCTCAATAACCTCTTCCTACGCCGATGAAGACTTCCAGGATGCCCTGACTCAAGTCCCCTCAGCCGATGCCCTCCCACCTTCCGTATCCTCATCCCCTCTGTTCCGACTCCCACGCGACCTACGTCTACAAGTCTACTCCCATCTCCTCACCAGTCCTCAACCCATCCACTGGCCCATAGAACACCAATCCCACTCTCTCACACCACAACTCCTCCGCACATGCCGCCCCATCTACGAAGAAGCCGCCCGCGTGCTCTACCAAACAAACACTCCCACCTTCGCCCACCCTAGCGACGCGAACATGTTCGCTCACGCTTTGAGTAATCGCTCCTTCGCATGTCTGATCCCACACATCACCCTCCGCATCCGCAGCAACGATACACGTCTCTGGACTGGTTGGTTCAACACAAACGCTGCAGAAAGAAGTCTAGTCCGCGACTTGCCAGGATTGCGACGCTTGACCATTCGCTATAGAGGTCCTAGATGGCAGCCGAGTTTGAATGAAAAGGCGAATGCGGATTTGTGGTTGAAGGATCCGAAGTTGCAGGAGATTATTCTGTCCGTGAGGAAGTGTGTTGCCGAGGTTAGGTTGTTGCTGTGTGTGAGGTTGCCTGAGGAGGTAATCGAGGTCATTACGAGGGGTGTGGCTGCACAGAGTGACAGGGCAGAGGAAGGCGAAGAGAGGATGCCGCATGTCATGTTCAGGAGGTGGGTTTGGCTGAATGGTTGTCATATCCGTGTCGAACCTCTCGGCAAAGATGATGATATCTGAGGTGGCGCATGGCTCGGCTGTGGCATACTCATGGCTACACAAGATACGGATCATTCTTTGACCTCGCACGCCTGGGGATGTCTCGAGAAGATGATCGTAGACATTATTGCATCCTACGCTCTGCTTGCTTAGGTTCAGAAAGATGGTGGACCTTATTAGTATGGCCGTCGACGACATTCACGAAAGAAATCGGCCGTGCTTATGGCTGTTCAGGCAGATCGGGTTCAAAAGGACCTGATGATTGACATGGCATAATTCCAGCTTCGGAAACGGATGCTCACTGCTTGTGCTAATGAAGCTGAGCTTGCTTGGGGCTGAGAGCTGTCACGACACGAGATAATGGTTCACGTTCACGATGACGATGAGCACGAAAATGACGATGTGAAGAAGAATAAGAAAATGTTGCATTTCACGCTCTTTAAGCCCGTAAAACTCCCAGGATGATGTTTGCACCTCAGAACGCCACTTCCCATAAGCCATAAGAGAAGAAAGCCGTCTCCTCTGACACCCATTTTGTAATCAAAAGATCGTACACATATGACACAGTTTTGGACAACAAAAAACAGAAACAAGACCGATTTAGTCTTGAGTTGTTTATGCTGCGCGCTGGTAGATACCAGCAACCATGGCGTGATCTCTCTCGAAGGGCTCAAGGGTAAGCTGCTCCTTGGGCTTGATGCGCTCCTCTCTCATCTTTTGCACCTCACGGGCGAAGACGGCCTCGGGGGCAGCGGTCGAGTCGATACAGTTGGCCTTGATGGAAACAAGGACACCACCGCCGACCTTCAGGAACAAGTGGGCGTTAAGACCGACGATACGGGCCTGATCGGGCTGAGCAACATCGGCGAAGATGCAGTCGACCATGCCGACGAGCATGCGGTACTTGAGGGGGTGACGGGCGTCCTCGACAATGGGGATAACGTTGGTGCGGTGAGTAGCCATGTTGATCAAGTCACGGCCGGAACGGTGAGAGAACTCGACGGCGTAGACGGTACCGGTGGGACCGACGATATCAGCGACGTGAGAAACGGAGGTACCGGAGGCGGAACCGAGGTAGAGGACCTTGGAGCCGGGCTTCATGTAGATGTCCTGGAGACCACCGAGGATGCCGGCGGCAATCTTCGAACGGAAGGGGTTCCAGACACGGTACTCGACCTTTGTGGTAGCGGCAGTCTCGCCGTTTTCGACAACGGGTGCAGGAGAGTCGACAGTAATGCGCTTCTCACCATAGACGGCGACACCAGGGGCCATGCTCTTTGTGCACAACATGTCCTCCTTGCCGCGAGCGATAAAGACACCGGCGTGTCTGTGGGGCTCCTATGATGCTTGTCAGTATTGGGAACACATGAGAGCTTCCTGTCGATTGTACGAACCACGATGGCCTTCTGTCCGCCCTTGGCGCCCATGGCTCCTCCACGACCGCCGCCTCTAGGTGCGCCGCGTCCGCGACCACCGCCACGGCCTCCTCTGTCGCCAAAGCCGCCTGTTGTAGAGAGTCAGATGCTGCTTGATCTGATGAAGCTGTTGAAAGTGGGCGCATACCTCTACCACCGCCACGGCCACCACGGTCTCCGCCAAATCCACCTCTGCCGCCGCCACGGCCACCACGGTCGCCGAATCCACCTGTTGTATAGAGTCAGCAGCTGCTCGATGTGAGGGAGCTGTTGAAAGTGAGCGCATACCTCTGCCACCACCGCGACCACCACGATCTCCGCCAAAGCCGCCTATTATGTTGTCAGGGTTCTGTAGTTCGAAGCTGTGAAAGAAGTGGATTTACCTCTGCCGCGAGGAGCACCACCACGAGGAGTGAAAGCCATTGTTGATAAGAAGGGATTGATGTGAAAAGGTCGGTATAGATGGGACCTTTCAAGCTCTGTCGACGAGTGAGAGTGAGAACTTGGATTTTTTTCAGATTGGCGCTAATGGTCCGGGGTCCAAATTCTCGCCGACTCGCCGCTGATTGGTTGAGGCGACTAAGCGAGAATTCGAAAGCCCACGGCTTCTTGGCACTGCGAAATCGACCTGTGTCTGTTTTTCAGCTTTTGACGCCGACGATTCTTCTCTTCGCACGCCCAACGAGACAATACCGACAAGATGGTGAGTATCCATACAGCTCCATCGCCGCTTCATCGATCGCACCATATCACCGACACGCACACCCGCTCGCTCCTCTACTCCCGACCGGCCACCTGCTCGTTTCGACCGCCCTGCAAGATCGATTGCGCATTCTCGCTCCAGACTCTGTCGCTCCTGCCCAGTCTCGCCATCATGCGCAATTGCCATTCTCTGCGTCCGGGACAGCATCTGGCCGATCGTTATCCAATCCACGTCCATCTCCACACTCTGCGCATTCATCTGCCAATCTGCGCATCACAACACCCACTTCACAACAAACGCCATGCGACACCCGACTAACACATCTCCCTCCTTCAGGTCCGCTACGCCGCTACCGAAATCGAGAACGCCAAGAGCGCCCGCGCTCGCGGCTCTTACCTCCGTGTCTCTTTCAAGAACACCCGTGAGACCGCTCAGGCCATCAACGGCTGGAAGGTCACCCGTGCCCTCCAGTACCTCGAGAACGTCAAGAACCACGCCGAGGCCGTCCCCATGAGACGTTATGCCGGGAGCACTGGCCGCACCGCCCAGGGTAAGTCTGCCAGCTGCGAGGATGCATATGGGGATTGAGATATCCACCTGGGAATAAGAACACACATATTGATTCATTACAAAGGCAAGCAGTTCGGTGTCTCCAAGGCCCGCTGGCCCGTCAAGTCGGCCGAGTTCATCCTCTCGCTCCTCAAGAACGCCGAGGCCAACGCCGACACCAAGGGTCTTGACACCTCCAACTTGATCGTCAAGCACATCCAGGTCAACCAGGCCCCCAAGCAGCGCCGCCGCACATACCGTGCTCACGGTCGTGTATGTCCACTTCGCCCCGACACCTTCACCTCCTCCAGTCCACTGACACTCTCCAGATCAACCCTTACATGTCCAACCCCTGCCACATTGAGATGATCCTCACTGAGGGCGAGGAGGTCGTTCAGAAGGCCCCCGAAGCTGTTGCCCGTGAGGGTGCCCGCCTCAACACCCGCCAGCGCGCTCAGCGCAACCGCCGCGCCATCACCGCCGCATAAATGCACTAATCCTGTATTTTGACGGCGTTCAATGATGAGAGATCGGTCTGGGAAAGCGGTTATGAACGGACTATCTACCAGCGATAACAAAAAGACAAAAAGCGGTGTTGCCTACTCATTTCCCTTTGCATGGTATTTCCTCAATGGTGCTTTTACGGAAAAAGGAATTATGGTGTTTTTATGATCAAGGCACTTTTTCTAAGAATGATATCCCCCGTGGCTCATTGTGATGGTGGCACCCATGCAAATCTTCTTCTCTCCCTCTTCTCATCTCATGATCTGTGTTGGGTTGCCCTCATCTCCCTTCGTGTTTGAACATTGCCGTCCTTGCTAACATCTGTCCACACATGTGTTGCCACCTCGCTGGTCTCGACTCGTCTACACATGAACTTCCACCAGCCCTACTCACTGCCATAGCAACTGTCTCAACATGTCAAGCGTCAAGCGCTATACACTCCAATACTCAATCTTCTCGTCTTCTCGACAACCAATTCGTCGAGTACAGGACACGTACACGTGCACGTTCATACCAAAGAGCCATCATTCCAGATGCGCCAATGCAACACGTCGAACCGCAAGTGTTGAACATGTCCTCATCGATATCCATCAATAGACTGCTCTCAGGTCTCGTCGCAACACTTCAGAGTCTCAACGACTTGAGAATACAGTCAATGGACTCATGTGTCTCCTGTACTTTCAAACTATCTATCTGACCACATCACACGATTGACCCCTCGCTCTCTGAATTGACAATCAGCATCATAACAAGATAAAAGTGGTACGGGAGGCAAAGGTGTCAAGTCATTCGAACATACCATTTAAACCTTGAACAGTTTAGTGGAGAAAACGGAGCTGTAGGTTTTGAAGATGAAGTATTATTGTCTGTTTTTCTACTTTTCCACCTCGTATGTCAAATTGTATAGATGGATGGTCTGAGACGGCCAACCTCACATTTGAACCACATCAACCACATCAACCTCATCAACCCTATACCTCCATCTTCCCCCTCCCCCTAAAACCCATACACCTATCAAACCGCCCCCGTAGCCCGTGCACTCTCCTGCACAGTAATAATATCAATCTCCTGCCCGCCCAAAAAGCTCCTAATCTCCTCCTTGCCAGGAACAAACCCATCCTTCAAAAACTCCTTCAGCTCCTCTTCGCTGGGATACATGACTCCCTCTGTAGCTTGCAGACGCACGGTGACCGTACTCGCGGGCAAGAATTCCTGCGCCTTTGCCATTTCGTTTTCGCTGTTGGAAAGAGCGGGGTTGTAGTTGGGGTTCGGGTGGAGGATTTTGGCGATGAATTGGTGGGGGGTGGAGGATGGGTCGGAGGGGTCGATGGCGGCGTTTTGGGTTATCATGAAGAGGGGCCAGATCCAGTCGGAGATTATGGCTGATCCTACGATGCCCATGGTTTTGTCTTGTGGTATGTGGTGGTGGTGATGTTTTGGAAAGGTAAGGAAGGATGGAAGGAAAGATCGATGTCTGGGGTGAATGGTCTGCTATATAACTCTTGAGCAATGGGGTAGATCTGACCAGGACGAGAGAGGAAAGTGAGGGGTTGTTGTTTGTGTTGAATTAGCGATGGAACTTACGTGGATCTTGAGAGAGTTTTCTGAAAAGCTTCATCTTGTATAGTAGTGGTGGTGCTACTTGTGTTGCGCGATCATGTCGAGAAAACTAGATGTGAGGAGAACAAAACCTAGTGCTCCAAATTCTTGGATGGATATCATGAACAGCAGATCACATGTATCCCAACAGATCGAGCATTTTGATCAGGCAAGAACGACCTCTTCTTCTTTTCTCTCATTCATTTGAGACAATTTGTGTCGCGTGGAGGTCGGCCGTGTGGAGTGAAAAGAATAGGAATCTGTTGATGTTGTATCTAGGATGAAATAAAGTTTCAAGTCAAATCATATCGGTGTAACACGCTTGGGCGAACACATCTTCTTGCCATCTTGAAGGTCATTACAAGATACAAATGTTGTGAGGAATGGCGGACAGGCATGAGCTGCAACGGCCAGTCTCAGAAGACTGTCAAAGAAAAAGATGAAAATGTTGAAAAGAAAGGGAAACTCCAGCCGTGATTCATGCATCATCTCACCTCACATCTGCTCCATAATCATTGATCCCGGTGACACCATACCATCAATAGCAGCACCGTCATCCAAACCCAAATGCGACCACAACATTTTACAATCATCTCCAAACACATTCTCACTGAATGGGAATTTTCTCAACGTCCTCTCAAAGGTTGCAAGACCGTGAATTTGCAATCTCACTGCAACTTGTCTGGTCGTCGTCAAGAAAGAATCCAACATGTAACTAGGCATCCAAGTTTCTCCAGACGAGCACACGTTGATTGCCGCTGTGGAAGCTTGGAATAGGATCCAGAGGAGAGAGTCTAGTTTTGCGGTGGCTTCCCATTGGAGGATGAGGTCTGGTTTAAGACCGTTCCAGAGGCGGTAGACTAGTTTTGATTGGATGGTGTTGATGACGGTGTTGAAGAGTGCGCGCATGTTCACGAGACTGGGCATGCACATCCAGGTGCTGAGTTGTGCGCCTAGGATCAACATGTCTGTGTCGCTGCATTCGGTATGTGTCTGGCTATCGGCGATGGAGTTGCAAAGGTTGTACACGATGGAGTAGAAGGCGTTCTCGACGGCGAGGAAGTGTGCTTCTTCCGTCAGTGTGGTATCGAAGGAGAGGCAGAGTTGATGTTGGCGGTTGAAGAGGTCGTATGCCATTTCAGAGGTCAGGGTTTCTGATGTTGGGATCATGCGAACGGTTTCTAGCGACAGACGATGGGCTTCACTGTTTACCTCTGGTGGGAAGGTGGCGTGGGCTGATTCGAGACGCAGACCATATTCCAGCATTGGCCGCTCCAAGAGTGCAGATGCAAGCTTCAGGTCATTCCATATCGTGTGACGCCATTGTGTGTAGCCGAATGATTGGAGCCCACCAGCTTTGTTCACCAAGTCGGTAACGCATCGCATGTGTGTTTTCGCTGCATCGTATTCCTTGTCGCCCAAGGCCAAGTTGACCTGGATGGCTACCAACATGACAAAGGTGTCTGTTGATGTTTCCGCCAATCCTGAGGTGTCGTCCGCTACGAGAAATCAGTATAGTTTCTGCACTTTTCAACTTCCAAAACTTACTTGGCAGAGCCATGCCGTTCGTGCCTGTGAATTGAGGTAGACTAGACAGCCTGGATACACCTTGAGAAACTGCACGCATGGCAGCGATTTTGTGTTCGAAATAGCTGATCTGATTCCGGTCTCCAGTAAGCACGCTACGTTTCATCTCTGCAATGCAAAGAAGGACATGAAATAGCGGTGTACTCGTAAGTGCGATACTCCAAAGACCACGTCGGAAATGGCTGTCAACCTTATCGAGCCAAAGAACTTTGCTCTCCCAGATGTTGTTTCGGTTGATGGGCCGGTGAAAGTGCCAAGTTGCCAGTTGATCTACAGCAAGGCCGTTCAAGGGCAAGGTGTTAAATGGGTCCCAACGGTGAACCGCAGGGCTGCGTAAGAATGGGTTTGGCGCTTGGAGCAAAGCGGACTGATCGGACTGGAAGAAGGCGGGTGATGCTTGTGCGTTGATCTGCACAAGAGCAGTGGACTGTGGTGAGGGCTCGTCAAACACGCCTGGGGATGGATTAGATTGTGTAACGGAAAACAAAGGCGATGATGAGTCCGTATAGCCAAGCGTGTCGGTGAAGCCAAGGGGAGATGAATCAGTATCGTCAAGAGATGGAGTCCTGCCGGATGATATCGAACTTCCTTCGGGATACTCTTGAAGAAATACCAACTCGGTCGACGAGGACGATGACTGGCGGTGCAGTTGAGGATTATCCTTGCGTGCTCGTGATGCTCTTTTTACGGAAGAGCGCTTGGGGCGCGGCTGAGACGCAGCCTGACGAGTGTTGGTATTTCGCCGCCGGGACTCTTTGGTCTTTGCAGCTGAAACCTCTGGCGCAGGAACTTCTTCAGTAGAAGCGCCGTTATCTGCCTCCCTTTGCCGCCGGAAAAAGTCATGCATAACATGCTGTCTTACGGTTGGCAAAGATTGCTTGGCTTCGACGTCTGGTTCGCCAGTATAGTTGACAAACACGAATTTGCCCACAGCCGCCATGTTCTCGGTCTTTCTCTGTTTTCGTTCTCACACACACTGAACCACGATCAGAACGATGATCGGATGCTGCTTTGATGCTTTTGCCTCTTCGTTGCTCCACTTCGCAGAGCGACTCGAACTTGGACCAGCAGAGAAAAGGCCGTAAAGGGGAAAAGAGTAGACTTGTAGACTCGAAAGGGAAAAAGGCAGGTGAACCTGATCTCCGGCGAGTCCGTGGGTATAAGAACACGAACAAGGGCAAGCTTTCGGTTCAAACGTGTGCGCTATTGACCTTTTGCTCAAGACGGTTAGGGTCGGTAGGTGTGAGATACAGGCTTCCCCGCAGCTGTCCTGGAGTCGTACTGAATGCGATGATTGGGCGGCACACTTTCCTTCAAGAAATGAATGCGCCTGGTATTGTATGCGGTGTGAGATAGTCAATCCCAATAAATCAAGAGGCCGCAATCCTGGCTTTTGGCAATTGATTGGATCTCTTTGCAGCAAGGCCTTTTGCGATGTTGAGGTAGACCGGTCAAGCAAGACGGCAGACACAAGGTTTTTCGTCGTCAGCTGTCGCGACCGAGCTGACCTCCACGGGATGCTTATCTCGGTTATGATAGGCTTTTGTCCAGACCCAGGACCTCGGGGGTGCAGCAAAAATATTCCGACGACAACAGAGCTCAGAAAGATGAGTGGTGCCTGTCAAAAACTACTTCTACTCGACACACGAACATGTCAACACCAATCCATGCATTGCGATCGTCCGCTACTGACCTTGTTAGGCGGGCAGTGGCAGCTATCCAAGATAATGTCGCATCCGCTCCTGACTCCTGAGTGACCACGGCACGGTGTCACCGAAGTGTAATATGCAACACAGATTCTGCCACTTTGGAGGCCTGCCGCGAGACAAAGGCGATTGATTTCAGATGAGTAGTACAGAGATGGGACGTTAATGGCCTTTTCTTCACCTCAGTATTCAGGCAGTGCCTGCTAAATTGGAAGGCTGAGCGTCATATCTCATCTTTTGATATATCCAGAGAAGGTTCACAGCCCCTAACTGTCATGCTTGCGCGTGTCGCAGAGAGGAACTGGCATGTGGCTGTCGACCTCCGGCATGAGATAGCCGGCGGTGTCTCCGACCGCCTCGAGGTTCTCAGCAACACCTGCCGCAATTGATCCATGTTCATGGCATTTGACCCAGCAAACCATCTACAGATCACAGCTGAGCATAGTCTGGACTCGCTTTGGTGCATAGCAAAGGATTGTGTGTGCAGAACACGGCTCAACAAACGACGAGAAGGATGCTTTCATTGTTCAACCGAGGTATCATTTGATTTGAGTATCTAATTCTATATGGCGCGCGAACTGCCGTGCGACCCGGCGACGTGCGGTAGTCAAGATCTGTAAATCCCGGTCAGCGTTCAAGTCTTACTTGCAGCAGTTCATGACGAATTGGGATATTGGTGATAGATCAGAAGGTCTCCAAGCATGGTCTCGACACGAGTTATTCCGAACAGGTCTGTGAATTTTGCGCAGGAATTTCATCACTTCGATGGGCAGGGGGGAGATAAGAAGATGCATACCTGGTAGTTGGCAAGGGCTGTTTGACCGGTCCGTGGTCCTCGCTATCAGCTCTCGCATTGCAGATCCAATACTGCTACGGCACGCAACGCGACTGTGAGAGCTTGAGATATATCTCTCAGCGGCGCATGCGATGGCGCGGCAGTGATGGCGAAGCAAGCGCAGAGCTTGATGATGAGGAAAGAACTTTGGCAGCTGCGAAGCTGAGAAGAAATTTCTATCAAATGTTGACCTGGCCTGTGCACGATATCTCTTGGCAAATATCGACTATGTTCAACTTTACCTACTCGTGCCGTGAAGAATCTGGAGGTAATGATGTACGATGATGGTAAGAACTGTGTGGTATTGATGAGTGATAGTACGAGGGCCCAACATACCATATGTATGTGGTCGCATTGATTGCGTTGATAGACACTTGTCACCTTTGCTTGTCTGGCCGAAGTCATGCCAACTTCGAGCAAGTTGCGGTTTCCTTTTCGAGACATCAGTCGCATACGTTGCAAGATTTCACAAGCATAGCTAGCACGAGTAGGGCATAAGTTACTTCTATGTGCAAATGGAACTCGATAGATTTGGTAAAGGGAGAGCTCTGATGAAGTCCATGCCATGAACCAGTGCGATAGGGATGACCCGGGCTTCTTGGCACAAACGCGTCGTTGTCAAGCGCGTCTCACTTCCTCGGTTTATTCACTCTCCATCAACAACAACTCAATTGTCATCAAAGTGCGCTGAGGACTCTGGCAATTGAGACCAAAGATCGAACGCCCACTTCTTCTCTGATTCCTGGTCAGTTTTGGTAGGTTGAACATTCCAGCGAAACGACACCCACGTCAAACACCTCAGGATCATCACCCCAAACACTTTGGTCTTTCCAACAAAAACCATTGCTTTCTCTCTGCGATCTCTGTTTCATCATGGAAGGATCCGGACTGCCACCTGATCATGGTAAAAAGCGCACCAGAGACCATGATGATGATGCCGAGTTGGGTTTCTTCGCAAGTCGAAAGCGTACTGATCACGGCCAAGCTCAACCCCGTTCTGACCTAAATGCCTCCTTGGCAGAGTCGGGTCTTGTACAGACGACGTGGGGACCAGTCTTACCTATCGGCGCCACTAGTCTCCCTGAAGAGGCTGTGGCCAAATTTGGTGTCTATCGCAATCTTGAGCCTAGCGGTGCGCACAACTCCAGTGATGATGATTCCGACGACGGCCGCCCGTTTGGAGGAAGAACGAGCACACATTGGCAAGCAATCAAAGCACACTATCAATCTAACACGCACACGCAACCTCATACTCTTCATCCCTCTGACTCCGATTCTGTACGCAAGAACCATATTCAGATGTATGCTCCACCTCAAACCCGTATTCGAACCTTACCCGTCTTCAAATACATCGGAGATAGACGGGTGGCTAGATCTAGTGCATCGACTCTTGTTCATCAATCGTTCCAAGAGCTGCAATCTGCACGTCTGAATACAGGAATGGGCAGCGGAGAAACCACAACGGACAATGCCAATATGAGTGGCCGTGGTGGTCCTCATCAGATGGCTGACTTCCCTTACCGGCGCTCTCAGGCTCCTTCTCCCTCTCCAACTCTCGAAGTTGACGCCCTCAACTCCGCTCCCCCTGCCCAGCAGAAGCAAATGCTTGGCGAGGTCCTCTACCACAAAATCCGCAAGCAGCAGCCCGAGCTTGCTCCTAAGATCACTGGTATGCTCCTTGAAATGGACAATACTTACATTCTTGACCTGATCGCCGACGACGTTGCTCTCTACAACAAGATTGTCGAGGCCACACGTGTCTACAAGGACTACCTCAAGTCCGAGCAGAAGCAAAAGGAGATGCTTGGTGAACTACTCTACCCGAAGATTCGCGAGCAGCAGCCCGAGCTTGCCGGCACGATTACTGGTATGCTCCTTGAAATGGACACTGCTGAGCTCCTTGATCTGACCACCAATGACGCCGCTCTCCGCAGCAAGGTTGCTGAAGCTATTGCCATTTACAACAAATACCTCGAGATCCAGGGCAGCGAAGGCGCTACTCATGCTCACAACAACTATGTCAACGAGTTTATATCTCTTCCTGCTAGTTATGAGCCCGTGCCCAAGTACCGTAAACCTCGTCACAAAAGTCTTCGCAACAAAAAGGCGCCTATCATCGATGAGCCGCCTCTCAACGAGCCGTCTCCCCCAGGACCCCATGTCTCAACACTGCCTGTTGTTGATTACAGCAGAATCGTTACTGTGTTCCAACCCGGCTCGTCAACACCGATTGTTCGGCCCCACCAAGGACTGCAGCTGGGAGAGAGTCTGGAGCAGGTAGAAATGTGCCCCAGGATTGACAACATGGATGTCGAAGGCGGCAAGCTGTACCTCGCGCAGACACTGCACTTCCACTACCGTCTGTGGATCGGCTGCCCTCTTCATGAAACCGAAGAGGGAAAAGTCGGCCACGCTCGCCATGTATCAGGCAAAAAATCTGATGCAAAGCCGCAGTCTCGCATGTGGCGTTGCGCTTTGCAGTCTGACCATCACATCACCAACACAGAATACATCGAACTCGCCAAAGCACAACTACCTCACAAGATTTTTGCTAACGTTGCTGAAGAACTCATCCGCCAGCTCCGCTCCAAACAATGCCAACCTCGAAGACCTAAAGATCCGGCTCAATTTGACGATTTCGACTTCCACAGCATCGTTCCTTACGTTGTCGTTCAGTGAGAAAGAAGGTGGGGGCGGGAGAGTCGACAGTGATGCGCTTCTCACCGTACACCGAGACAGAGGGAGCCATGCTCTTCGTGCACAGCAGACACTTGGTACAGAGCATATCCTCCTTGCCGCGAGCGATAGAGACACCGGCGTGTCTGTGGGGCTCCTGTTGCTTGTCAGTTTTAGGAACATATGACAGCTTCCTGTCTATCGTACGAACCACGATAACCTTCTGTCCACCCTTCGGCTGTACTGTATACAAGGAAGAAGGTGGGGTCTCAAGGTCGAAAACACCATACACGTGTTTGCTGCTCCGATTATACTGCCTACGCTGACGAAGAAAGCATGTGTCTGATAAGTATATCTGACGATAGGCAGAGAGGGTAGAGAAAGTCTATTCAGAGGATACAAAGAGGATTGTCTGAATGAGTCTGAAGTGACACTACATCGGTTGTCCCATTCACAGACAACCAAAGGATTGCAAGAGTATGTTGTCTCTTGCCGGTCAAATGTTGTGGTGTTGCACAGTACTTCAAAAGGTTATGGAAAGGAACTCAAACCAATGAACAGAACATACATAGACATTAAAGAGTGTCCAAATCACACGGGCTATAGCTCGACTACGCTGAATAACAGCTGCAGATTCTTTCACAACGTGACGATGTCTTTGTTGAAACATGTGAAGCTCGGGAGCGACCCTGCTTCTTGCAGTCTGTGTTGTGCTTGGCGAGCCATGCACGCCTTCTGTATCCGCAGCTTTGCTTCTCGTGAGACACAATCCTCTTGATCACCACAACATCCGTCCGGATTATGCTTGTGATTCTACAGCTTTTAGCAAGATTTAGACTTCTTGTCGTATCAGTCTAGCCAACAATCTTCACATGCAAAAGCCGAACGGGCAAGACAAGTCGCGTTCCAAACACGACAACGCGTCACCCTCCACGGATGATTTCTTGTGCGGCTAGGAAGATGCATCGCTGCCTGCCGCTACGACGACAACATTGAGCACGCGAATCCAGGTCCAAGCAAAAATGAGCTGGCGGTCATGGCGACTCGGAAGCTCCGCGAGACAGATTGGCACACCAGACCAGGGTGGCCTGCTGCAAGCCAGCCAAGTGCCGATGTTGGAACTTGGCATAATACCAGACTAGGGTATTAGGGTAAAACTATAAAGGTTCGACGAACCGCATGCTTGCGATCTGGAGTATATGTGCGCATACTGCCTCAATGTGGTTTGCGGACTACGAGTACTGACTGACTGATCCTCATGTCAAGATGATCAAGTCGCATGAAAACCAGGCGAGGGTCGCTCGAGAAACATGCCATCCTTCTTCTCATCGACCGTAGTAGCTTCTGTATACGATCGAGGATGAACGACATTCACGACAAGACTTCGCCCAGCAGCCAAAGCTCTAGTCATCGCTATGACTCTGGAGTCGGCTTCGCGACTAATGATATCGAAAGCGAACAGTCAGACGTCCTCAAGGAACTGATTGAATCTCGCTTGTCCAAAGTTGGGTCCAATCAACATGCTCCGAGCATCAATAAGGTGTCCACCCTCGACAAACCTCGAGTCTTGCCATCACCTCGAGATGTCGCCAATCAGCTTGAGCTTCTACGAACTGGTGATTGGATAGAACGGGATCTACACAGATGCCTCGACCGTAGCGGACGAGAGACTTCGCCAGCTTTCTGGACAAGCAGTCCTCCTTGCCTTGCATCCAGCCACTCAAAACTTCTCGACTTTCACTGTATACTGTCAGAGCACGGTCTCGAGGGGCTCATTCGCCTGTCAGAGGATGTCGAACTTGCCAAATGCATTGGGAGTATCAGCTTTGGGTCATATCGATTGACAAAGCAGGCGTGGGTTGACTTCAAAAAGTGGCATGAGGAGCTCTGTCCCACGAAGTTTCCACCATCAGTACTCAAGAAGCAGTACTATTTTGCTCACAGTTTGGCTCTTCTTCACCTTCTATCTGAGGCTCTTGCCAACTTCAAAAGGCACAACGAGCATATCACAGTCCGTATCTTCGATGAGCGGCCGTTGCTTACTGATGCTGAGTCACGACGCAAATGCTATGGCCTTCACTTGTATGACGAAACCCTTCTTGAACTCTTGCCAGTGGATTCAGGATTCACTTTGGAAGTCATAGCCGTCGCTGTCTGGGATTCCGAATATCCCCTGCGAAGATTGAGCCTCCAATACGGCTTGACTACTCAACGAGGGGGAACAAGAATGACAGATATTCAAGAAGTGCTTAGGTTGAACTGCTTTGAGAACAAAGGCTCAATCTTCTTTGGATGAAAGTTGTGGATCGGAACAAAGGCAGGCCGGTAGGCAATCGATGCAGGCTCTATGAGATGATTCAAACACTGTCTCGACCGAAGCCTGCATGAAAAAATCAGGGCAATATCGGGTTTTCGATGGACACAGCTTGTACAACCATCAACTTGTTTCGCAACTACTGCAACACATCCAACATGCTTGTCGACTCCTATCAAGACCTTCTATCGCCGTGCTATCATATGCAACCACTTGATATGCGTGTAATGTCACGGTGCAGCGAACGCGTCTTCCTTAACGCATGTGAAGAAAAGCGATCGGTCTTGTCAACGTGTGCACTTTCATTAGGATACGTCAATCGACTCGATACGTTTGACTATTATAACGCGGTCGAAAGAGTGGACTCTTGGCTCGACGAACAATGTGTATATACGGTATCCGCGGTTGCAAAGCCAGCCGTAGAAATAGTATCATGTTAGACGAAGTCACCGCGAATTCAACAAATATCGAATCTCCACTCGTGGCCCAAGGAAGGATATGATCAAGTGTATGGAGACAGCAGAAGAAGAAGGAGCTGACATCACAATGGCATGAGGATGGGTGATTTGTAGGGCAGATGGACGAATCCACGCTGAAGACCGCGAAATATTAGCATTCATGTTGACCTGGCTTCCTCATTATATCTCAAGAGACTGACGTTGATATTGAGGCTGTTCAAAAATTCGCAGATCGGTATGCCTTGAGAAGACACAGAAAGACTGCGCATATATTCTCATCTGTCTGAGTGGAATTGACAGGGTCGTCCCCCCAGCGAGCATTTTATGACTTGATTCTCTTAATTTTGGCCAGCAGATTGGCTTGATGTTCTCTGGATGTCTTCTAGAGATTTTCACGACGCCTTTAACTCTGCGTACTGGGTCATGAGTTGGTATGTTTGCCGGAAAACCGGGTGTCGCTCATTTGGTGATGAGTGACTCCACCGATGATCGGAATAGAATACGCTGGCATGGGAGCCGAAGAAGCACAACAAAAAAGAAAAGATGAAACAGTCCATACGACCAGAGAGAAAGTACAATGCTAATCGTGTTATGATAGAGCAGAGCAAAAAGCAGTCCATCTCTCAGTCAGAGGTGAAGTCCTTGCAAAAGGATTAAAAATAAATCTCCTCTCTCTGAGTCGAACAAAGGACCTTCTGATGACAATTAACAATTACAGTCAGACGCTCTAAACCAACTGAGCTAAGAAGAGATTGATGGATAGCATGTCAAATTCTGCATATATGTTTCATCAATTGCTCTCCGGATTGAGCATTCCAACTGGTGGCATCTTATCGCTTGCCCACACCAAAGTCAATGGCTCTTGCACCTAAGTGCATATGGGAACGTCCAGATGCCTCTGTTCTGGAGTTGAGACAAACTTGTTGAACTTTGGCCTTTCCACACTGGCAGCCGAGAACAGCAATCGCAATTGCCGTCTACCCATGCTTTCCGCAGACCCTGAGAAATGTCGCTTGTCACTGCCACATCTCCATCTTCAAGACTTCAACAGTGCGTTTTCGCACACCCACCACCGGGTTTAACGCCAATATGGGACATGCTTGCGGGTTGAGTTTCTTCGGAAGATGCTCGGTGTGTCTTCGTCCATTGCTTCTTTTCCCCATCTACCGTCCTTGTATTGATCTACAAAACCCGACCCTTCTCACTTTATGGGACTCGCAAACGAGAAACAACCCGAAGAGAAGAAGAAACAAGGGCTCGGAAAAGCTTCCAACGGCAAACACTCGAAAATAAACTTTGGGTCGTCATTGCGTCTCAAATGTCCAGGGAATTGACACTCCAGCGTGACACGAGAAAACCGTACGCAGCAGCGGGCAGGGTGGTCTTAGGGCTTTTTACCTTGTGTCTAACCAGAAAATCATTCCTCGTGCATGCCAGCATTTGCAAACAAGAGTTTCGGGCTGTGGTCAGCAAAGAGTGTCTCTCGGTCCGTGTGTGCTGGCTTGTGTCGAATGGGAAGAGTCGGGGACAAATTCTGCTCGTGCGCGAGGATGGGAGAGAAGTTCGGACTGGCCACCGTTTTCCGGGCGGGAGAGGCTTGGGTGGGAAACCACGTTTTTGCAAGGTCAAGATTTGGTATGGTGTCGCGTGGCCAAGTTACTTCCAAGCCGCCCAAGCCTCTCTTCCGTCTGCGGCTCTGTAGAAATGGCAAGTCAGATCCGAGAGCTTTGTCATCTAGAAGCTTTGGTGTTTGGATTGATGAATTCATGTAGATGATAATCTATCTTGCAATTTGTTGAATCTCGTATGGGATCAGTAGAGACTAACAATCTATTGTGCTTGGGTCAGTGGAGAATATCTGGGACAGCTAGGGGAGGAGCAGCGGTGGACTCTGTGGACATCGATTGAACATCTCCATGACTATCATCTCATCACCTGCGCGGTGAAGCGTCGTGTACACTCTGCAGACCTTCTCTCCTAGTCAGGTAAAGATAGTTGCAAGTCTAGATGCACTGCGCAGCACCATCGTACGAGTCTTGCATTCAATGCATTGCGCACGCATGGTCAACCACTTCGCGTACATGATACTATTCTACTCGAGTAATTTCCGTGCATGGAGGTCGTCCCGCGGCGTGGTTTCAAACTTCGAAGCGGCGGAACGGAAGGCGCAATACCACATCCCAGTCTCCCACGTTGACCTTCTGGAACAACGGCGAGATAGAAGACCGAGGCGAAGAGCAAGATGATGGCGTTTGTTGGTTGCTCCAGCTATGCATACCACAAAGTTTAAATTATTCGGCAAGCACATTGGATCTTTGTTGTTATGTAATAGTTCCCGCCCCGTTCCCGTTTTAAGCTTAATGACTCGCATGGGATGCGAGGCAGCTCGAGCAGAGCAAATCCGCACACCCAACCACTTTGCCGGGCTGCTTTGTTCACAGCTTCGACTTGGGTGCTTCTTGTGTTGGAGGGAGGCCCAAATCTTCTACGATACTTCGAGCAATACCTCTTGCAACTGCCATGCCTGTGATCATAGGATTCACACCGCTTGCTGCAGGTAGAACAGAAGTGTCGGCGACGTAAAGTCCTCTTGTGTTCCACACCGCACCCCGCGAGTTCACTACACTGTTCGTGGGTGAGGAACCCATCCTTGCTGTACCCATTTGATGTGCTGAGCACTGGGAAGCGTCTGCGGGCAGCCCGTTGACAGTAAACAGCTCTAGACGGGAGAGCCACTGTAAAAATGAGGGATCGTTTATGCCTGCCGCGACTCCATTGTTTTCCCCAGTCTGGCTGGCATCGATCGCCGATGTGTACGTTTTGACAGATTGGCGGCGAATGAAGGGAGGTACGCCCGCAACACCGACGTGAATCTCGCGTGCACCTTCGACAAAGGCGATCTTTGCGAGTGCGACAAGGCCGACTGCAATGTTCTTCTGGTCCGACTTTGCTGTGTCGTATTTGACTCTGACTCGATATTTGTCGGTTGGGTCAGCGTAGACTTCGCCTTCACCTTTGTCTCTAGCGAGAGAAATCCAACCAGCCATGCGCTTGAATTTTGCAGCATGTACCTTCCACTCTAAACCAGATTTCCATTGCATCAAAGGAAGTGCCATGCCAGGGAGCATACTGACACCTTCCAGCTTGCAGCCATAGCCTGTTGAGTTGATGTTTTCGTATTCGTCGACAACCGATGTGAGGATACCACCTTCCCAAGGCATGATATCCTTATCGAAGACACCGAATAGTGTATTCACGGGGTGTAATTTCAAGTGTTTGCCGAGATGAGGATTCTGAATGCCGCTTCGCTGAAGAAGCAACGCAGTACCTCCCAGCGCTCCGGCGGCCGTGACCACGGCACGCCTGGCATAAACTGTTATAGGACGCCTGTAAACCTGTCCAGAAACACCGCTGTTTTCATCTCTGGAGGTCCAAATGCCTTGGGCGCCGATGGCAATCTTATTGCCCTTTGTTGTCTTATCGTCGGCGAAGATTATCTTCTCACATTGGAAGCCTTCAACAAATTTGGCACCGTGCCGAGCAGCATCAGGAAGCCAACTCTCCGTCGGTCCTTTCTTACCGCAGCTTCCACATCCAAGTGTACAATAACCGCACGCGTGGGCCTCGCCAGCTGTGTTCTGTGGCACGGGCTTCGCTTTCATGCTTAACTTCTTAGCACCGTCCAGAAGTATTTGATTTCCGGGGTTGTGCTTGATGCCTGATGTCCCGACACCCATTGTTTCGCAGACGGCATCCATGTCATGCTGGAATGCCGAGCTCTCGAAATAAGGTAAGTCATACTTTCTTGCGAATTCTTGTCGGACGAATGGTTGTAGCTGCAGTGATGCAGACCAGTTGACAGTGCCACCACCCCCAAAGCATGACCCAGCAAGGATAGCCATTTTACCAGTGTCCGACAACGTGACACCTCCATTTGCAAAGAGATGAGCCATCCCCTCCTTCTCTGTCATCGGCAGATGATTTGGCTTCCAATGATAACCTTTCTCAGCCACTAAGACCTCGAGTCCAGAACGTGCCAAAACGGAAGCAGCCACCGAGCCGGTGCATCCACTTCCGATGATAAGAACATCAGTCTCGAAGGTTGCTGGGACAAGAGTAGATCCATATGGAAGTGGAGGAAAAACAATGAAAGGAAAGTCAAAGCCCGGTCCGTAATTGTGGTTGATAGGGGTGTAGGGGTAGGACAAGACACGACCAAGCGTAGGAGATGTCCGTGTCCAGTATGCTTTCGCCATGTCGGTGAAACTCCTGAAGAGCACACGGAATACTTGCAAACGTGCTGTAGCCCATGATTGAATTACTCTTTCTCGCTGGCGTAGAGTGAGCTGTGCGAAAGGTGTCAGATGACCGGTCAAGAGCCATGAAGTACGAGAATTGCTGATAAGAGGTCAGCGATGGAGCTGCTGATCGAGGCGGGAATGTCACTACGTCAAAGCATCAAGGACACCCAAAAGCTCCTTCTTTCCACCACTATCAACCTGTTCTACAAGGAATCTGTGGATCGCTTCCCTGAACCCGGGACACGAAGTTGCCGATTCTGCGAGATATTCGGATAAGAGTGCTTCGTCTTCAACGGCCGTATGGTGCTTGATAGCATCAACGGCAGATTTAAATTGAGCCTCCTTGGTGATCTCCCCAATACAGTGTGTCTCTGGGGATATTATAGTATCAACGATAGAAGCCAACGTAATCCACTGGTCCTCGGTCAAGACATTGTTGTCCTGGAAAGGAGACAGGGGACTCGGACTTTGTTGGGTCGTACGACGTTGGTTTGACATGTCGAATGGCGGCAACGTGGAAACCGTTGGTGGTGCCGAGATTCGTTCTGAGACTGAGGGATATACAGAAAACCGTTCAATACTGCGAAACCAAAACAATCAATACTGTAGGTAGCAGAAGAACGATGTCTGTCGTCGCTGTATGAACGAGCACCTGGAGTCCTTTTGAGAGGCGGAAGTCGAGTTCGACCCCTCAAAAAACCGTTAGAGTTCTTCACCACGTCCTCAACAGCCTCGGCTTTGTGTATGTTACGTAGTTTTGAGGACAATTGACCATCACACGTGTTGAGGAAAGGCAGTACATGTCTATCTTCATTGTACATCTTACCTCTAGTCTGTGAGTCTCATATTAACGGCGAGAACATTGGTGCAGTCTACTAGCTATTCGCTAAACATGAAGAATTATATCAAGCTTACATGAGAATCCGGAGAATAGATTCTCGCCAGAATTGAGCATACAATCCTTTCGAGGTTCAGCTTCGGTAGCCCCCTCATTTTCCACTTGAAAAGCAGCCATTCGCCAACTTCCAACAGGCTACCGCTGGGCATGACACTTAGCTGTAAATGGGATAATTCCCGCTACACGTGATGTATCTAGCTATCTTAAGCTGAACCCAAACCTCTTCGAGGTTGGTGCTATGCCCAGCCGGCAGTGCCGCAGAAGGACGAATCGCTGTTTTCTAATTCAAAAATGAGGGGGCTACCGAAGCTGAACCTCGAAAGGATTGTAGTGCCACGAGCCGCTTGAGCAACATTTAATGAAGCAGCGCCGTGTGTAGAACAGCAGGTGTGTCACCCAGGGTGTAATCCCCAGGCTTCGAAGTTGAACAGCGAGCAACGTATGCTCATAGAAACCCCTGTGTTTGTTGTGAAGACACTTCAGTCGCCAGGGAGTCGGCCTATCTCGCTATCGACATCAGAACCATCTTGTTTAAGAATGGGACGGTTTAAGGATGACCAAAGTCTAACCGTGTTCTGCTAAAAGCATTGTACGATGGAGTCGGGAGGTGAGGTCGATTCTGACTTTACGCTTCCTTGCGCACATACAAGAGCCAATCAGAGGCTAAATGCCATCCAGTAAAAGTCATGCAGAAGGGGTCGAGATGCAGTCTGGAATTCACGATCATCAATAGACCGTTTCATCAACCAGAATAGTAGTACAAGATCAACATGACTTGTCGTGCTCAGGTGAAGATTGGCAGTCAGTCAGCCGACTCTAACACTGAGTCGTTGTAACAGGTGCTCAATAGCGAGAGCGAGATGGACAGATGGCCTCGGCTGAATTCATTTGGATCCAATGTCTCAAGCCCAGCCTCGTGGCATCCCTGGAGGCGATGTGCAACGATGCTTGGCGAAGCCGGCCAAATAAAGGTGAGCCGAGCACTGTCCTTTCGTTCCTGTGTTTGTTGAAGTCGCAAAAGGCGGAGGGCTCTCTCAAGAAGGTGGAATCGATGTGTCAGAATCCAAACCTTCCTCGTGGCTTTGAGCAGCCAGAATTATGGGCTGGTATGGGCGTTTGTCGGTGCTTTGATTTGACGAATTGCGGATGACTGCGGTCTGCGCGCATGCCTAGGTGTCCCGTAATCTTTGGGGATGCATGCCCAGACCCTGGAGGTCAGACAGGTCGCCGAATCCCCGTGTCCGGAAGAGGGAAGAGGATTGAGGCAGTTTCGAGGGGCAAACATGTGAATCAGACCTGTTACACGCATCAGCGCGACTGATAGAATCGCATGAAACCCGGTTGGAAGGAGTTGTTGATGGAGATGCAAAGACGATTCAGGTCCCGTGGCTGCAAGAGAGTGCATCCGCGCCAGAAGGAAGAACCCATGGCTGAAGAACACAGCGAAGACTGGGGGCACGTTGCAAGTTGCGAGTCGGAAGCTGGTGCAGCCAACCACGAAGAGCAGATATACGCGGTTGTCGGGTGGCTTGCAGCGCTTGCTTGGTTTGCGCGCGTCCTGCCGGACCGTAAGTTCACACGAGAGGCGGCGGCCGCCACTAGGAATGCTAAAGGTGTAGCGGCTACGAGGTCGTTGAGGAAATAAGGTCGAGCATGCGACAGTGGAAACGAGCCAATGAGAGCAGACTGGCTTATCTCTGCGACTGAGTCGAGAAAGCCCAAAACGGAATGGGGCGGCGGTCACTTATGCAGGATGATGCTGACCCGCCAGAAGCAAAGATATCTCGTGGAGCTTGTGGCTCTCTATCGCGAGATGTGTGTGAATTAAGATTTGATTGAATTGCTTTGCTGCAGCGATGTGAAAAAGTGTGTTGCCCATTGTTTGTTCTTGCCTCGAAGAATGAAGCAGGAGCAATGGCAACCAGGTCAAAGAGAAGGCGGGGAGCGTCATGTTGCCTGTCATTTTGGGTGGTCAGCAGGGCGGCGCTCTCTATCTCGCGGTCGCGGACTCGCGGTTGACAGCGTTGAATCTCGGTCGGCCGTTGGCTCTGCGCTCAGCGCTTTGAGTCGCTTTTGATCCCTTCGCCAAGGGTCCTCGATTATCCACCTTCCACCCATAGCGCCGGACGTAATGTAAACCTTGTTGCGCTCGCTACTATTCGCCAGGCTAGGCGTGCCGTGTCAGCCCTCTGCCCCAAGTTACTGTTGCGCTGCACGAGAGTGGCCTCATATACATAGCCCATCGCCCACCCGACTTGTGAGGAAGGTCATCGTGTGCTACATACATACCACAGCCACCCAACTCCTATTTACCTCTTATCTCCTCCATCCTTCTATTCTCACGCGACATACCTGAAACCGGGTAGCCTTGCACCTTGCAGTAGACTGTCCACGTACCTGGTTGGCCAGCATCTCTCTTATCTCGCAGCCCTCGTGCATCTCCGTACCATCTCCATCTTTGGATCAACCCCTAGGCAGACCGACATTTCGCATCTCGTCTCCTTGCATCTCCCCACAACCTACGACTTCCTACTACCGCATACTTAACGACCACCCTCCACACCTTTTTATGTTCTAGATCGACTCATCACACGACCAATATTCAACATGGCCACCACTTTTGCCCAGCACCCTCAACCTCTGCAGTCGCCCACCTACATCCACAGCCAGCCTCAGTATGGCAACTCGACCACTCCTCCCTCAAACAATGTCTCTCCTTCAAACCGCGCTGCCTACATGCACGCCAAGCAAGTCCGCCAGCCAAAGCAGCCTCTCTACATCCCTGCCGTCCTGCGCCCCACAGAGTTGCCCGGCTCAAGACAAGCTTCTTTGACACCTCCCCGCAGCGCACACAGCAGCATGGACATGTCTAGAGATGGCTTCAAGTTCACCACCGGCCCCGCCAGTCTCGCTTCTCCTCCTCTTAGCCCCGACGAGGATGACTCCAGATCATACGGCCCTTGGGGTCCTGGCAGCATCTCCAGAGTCGTCTCAGACGAGTGGAATGAGAACAACATGGGTGCCGTCACTGGTGCACCCACAAGAAACCACTGGAAGCCCGACAACAGCGCCTCGCTGTGCAAGTCTTCCACATGTGCCCGTCCCTTCTCCATCCTCAACCGTCGTCACCATTGCCGTCGTTGTGGAGACATCTTCTGCGCAAGCCACAGCCCTCACGCTATTCCTCTTGACCAGGAGGCTCGCTTCCACCCTGAGGGCACTCTTCAGCGTGCTTGCGACAACTGCTGGACCGACTACCGTGCATGGCGTGCTGCCCGTCCTTCGCGCAACAACAGCGTCACCAGCAGAGATAGCAATGACACTGTCTTCACTCAACCCGTCGGTGTCCCCAGCCAGAACAAAGGCTCCGAGGAACATCAGCCTGTTGGCAGTGTCGCTCAATCCGTTGGCGGCAACTGGAACTGGAGCACCTTTTAATTTACGACCTTTACCGACTCTACGACACGCCAGCTATAAGCACATCTCAGCTTGAGCGTCCACGTTTTCACAATCTTTGTCCTGCGTTTAAGCGCTTCCTTTCTCGCTCCTCTGTCTCCGCTTGGTCGCAGCAGAGACTGTTCTTCCTTTCATTGACGCTTTGAGCGAATGATACCACTTATTGGATTGGGTATTAGCCCATTAATTCTTTCGTTTTTGTTTATTGTATGGCGCTCTGGTTATTGGTTCATCACAACTACACGGCATTGGTGCCTGGTTTGATATGGAGTCTTGGTTTGCTTTTCCGGTTGATACCATGGATGAGGAGTTTTTCTAGACATGCAATTATACGATCATCTTTACCTCCCAATCATCCCGGTATCCTCTTCCTTGTCGAACAAGTGTTGTTTGCATCGTATATCTTGCTTGTCCTTCTTCATTAATTTACGTCTACCAGATTGTTTCTTTTTCCACCGCTTCTTTGACATGTGCTGATAATGATGATGCTAGGAATTGCTGAGGGCGGGTACCGACGCTGCAGACGGGACATCTGGAAAACCAATTCCCAACACGAAGAGGGTCGGCAAGTGACGGTCGCAAACCCGGAACCTGCAGGATGATCGACCGCTGGCATGACATGGCTGTCTCAAGAAAAGCAGCGCCAAGTCCAGATGATGAAGATCGCCTCGACCATTTTAAAACACTTTTTACCCTTTCTACCGGAATTCGGAACTGGCTCCATGGTCCGGGTGGGACAAGCAAAGTGGTAGAGAAACCTTAGACAGATCCATCCTTCGCTTAATGGTTGGATGGTCTGTCAGCAACAAATCATATGGCCTCTATTATTGTTCGAGTGTTTTATTTGATGCTCCACAGATGTATTGGAATGTTCAATTCTTGAATAACAAGAACGCATCTATGTGGAGTCGTTGTGGGAAAGGACCGAACAGCACGTTGGAGGTGGGAAGGGAAACGGCCGAGGTGAGGGAGGGCAACAGTTGAGGGCAGGTTTTGGAGGCAGGAAGCTGCTCGCACGAGCACTTGCTTTCGAGAGATGTTTAAAATGCATTTTAGCTGGGAGCCCCACAAACGCAATAGCCACGAGACAGTAAAAGCCACGAGGAGAAAACAGGACCGAGCCGGAAGGTCAGACACAAACGAGAGGAGAGAAGGATGGGATGTTGACTCGTAGGAGGTTGGTTTGGTCAGCGGCCTTTCTTCGACACGAGCTTTGGTCCTTTCTTGTTGGTTGTTGCACTTGAGTTCCTTTTCTTCGACTCGGTTCGTACGACAACATCTCATCTGGATAACAAGAGATAATCTCCCATCTCACCGACATGGATTCATTGCTTTGTATTGATTAAATCGTGGAGACCATCTCGCACTGTTGTCTTGCTTGCTCAAGCAGACTGTTGCGCGACAGATGATTGCTTGCCTGTAAGTCTGCTAATCTCAGCGTTGGTCTGTTGCTATGGGTCCGCGAATTCATCTCATCTGCCCATCTATTCATCATAACAATTTCTATCTCTTGGCTTTGTATTCATTGTTCTCATGATTGACCAGAAGGTTGGTGTTGTCTATCTCTGACTCGAGTCTACATCATCGAGACGCAGGTACCTGGAAAAAGTAACTTGACATGGCTCGCCTGCTTGAGCCTCATACCTCATAATAGGGCGATGCTTGTTGGCGCGCACATGGCTCGACAACTGAAGGACTATCACCGTCTATCATGACGATGCAAGAAGCCTATGCAGAATCGCGATTTAGTTGATGCCCCTAAATTCACCTTCTTTCGGGCGCATGGAGATCGATTTGGACGTTCTGATCCTCAGCAGCATCGTCTCGTCTTTGCCGATTCCATCGAAGCCTTTGACATCATTCTACCAAATCTGGAGCGCACTCCGACGGCCCTTCTGCTTTCTCTCGCGTCTTTCTCAACTTCCAAGGCCTCGCCCTTCTTGCCTGCTTGGTCGCACTATTCGCCGTCGCGGAGTTCCAACCTTGAGGTTAAAGTCATGAATCGAGGATTTTGAGAATCGCGATTCGCATCTTCACACCTTCACGTGAAGATTTTTTGACAGGTGCAGGTACAAAGTACATCTCCATGCAGCTACGGCCGGTTGTGCCTATGACGCTGGACAAGGGAAGAACGCCGACACCCCGAACTGGGGCGGATGCGATACGGTCCGACAGAGAAATGTACGCTTCCGAACGTCTTATTATTAACTTCTGATTCAAGTCGCCAAGAGGTTTTTGATCAAGACCTCGGCCGATAACATCTCCGTCTCCGACGACATCTCCTTCTTAGTTACACGCCTTCTGCATCTCTGACTCACCTCTACGGACAAGAATCGATTACAAGCAGCGAATGGTACAACAATCTCTCCGTTTATGTGGCCAAGTACGCGGACGCCACAGCGGTTGCTCGGCCGAGAGCCCTACTTGTGGCGAATACTTCGAACGCGTGGCTCAGAGATGCCTATTCCCCCGCCTTCTGGAGTACACTTGCCTCTTCCAGGCTCTTCCATGCTGGTGATTGGAAATGTCCATGGGCGAATAGGCTTCTGGATGCAGCTGTTGTGGCTGAAGAGGTGACGACCTTGTTGTACACGTCTACGATGCTGTTGCCTGAAGCTGTTCAAGGTATGTTTGCATATAAGGTAGGTCCATTACATCGATTCATCTCTTCTCTTTCTTCATCAATACAATTACAATCATGTCGAACACCAACAACATGAATCAAGCCAACAATTTCTGGGACTTTGTCGCCAGCCTGCAAAACAACTCAGGCGCTTTCCCCTTCGCCGAAGGCAGAGGTCCTTCAGCCGAGTTTGATCCCTTCGAGGGTCAGCAGTTCTGGGGCCCTTGGGCTCAGCGCGGAAGAGGACGTGGTCCTCATGGTCATGGTCCTCATGGACATGGTCGTAGGGGACCTCCTCCACCCGCTGGGGAAGGGCATGAGTCTCATGGACCTTCGGGCAACGAGAGCGATGGCCCCGCACCACCTCGCGGACCAGGACCTCATGCTCACCACCATCACGGTCCCCGTGGCCCCCACGCCCATCCCCATGGTCCACCTCACCACCATGGCAGAGGCGGACACAGAGGACCCCCTCCTCCCGAGCACGATGGAGCCATGCCTCCTCCACCTCCACCATTTGACGAGCCTCTATCTCGCTCGCCCACTCCTCCCACGCCTCCAGAGACACCCGCAGAGCCTCATCATCATCCCCGCTCGCAATCTCCTCGTCACCACAGAGGACCCTCTCCTCACCACCATGGACCTCGCCACCACAGAGGGCCTTCTCCTCATGGCAGACGCGGAAGAGGTTTCCACGGACGCGGTGGCCACCACAATCACCCCCGCGGCGGCAACAATGGCCCTGCCTTCCCCTTCGATCTCAGCGCTCTAGCCGAAGCCTTTGCCCCCGGTCTCTTCGGCGGTCACGCATTCGGCGAAGCTTCTGCAAACACGAGAGAACAGAACACAAACATCAGCACCAACAACAACAGTGACGGCACATTCACCCCTTCCGTCGATCTGTTCAGCACACCCACAGCATATATCCTCCACACTTCTCTGCCTGGTGCCAAGAAGCCAGAGATCGATGTCACCTACTCTGCTGCTCGCAATAGCATCACCATCTCCGGCGTCGTGACCCGCCCTGACGTCTCAGAAACCATGATGAACTGCCTCGTCACCGATGAGCGCAGAGAAGTCGGCATGTTCGAGCGCGAAGTCAGACTCGAAGAGGGCGTCAAGGTGGCCGACGAAAACATCAGCGCAAAGCTCGAGGACGGCATCTTGAGAGTCGTTATCCCCAAAGTCATCCAAGAAGAAGAGGAAGGATGGGAGAGTGTCAGAAAGGTTGAATTGGAGTAGAGCATATCCTCCCAACAACGAATTGACGATGGAAGCATGAGAAACTAGGAGATAAAATATTGCTTTTCGCAAGCAGAAAGAGGAGGAAGGGTAATCTAGAGGAGCATCTTTTTTAATGAATTCATGTCTTTGCTTTTGATCAAATCATCGTTCCAGTATCTCAGTGCGACATGTGACTTGTGAAATGTCCGTACATGTGAGACCGACTTTTCTACCATTAATCAAATATCAACCCAACCCCAATGGCCACCACACAAGTCCAATGTCCAAATGCATCCTCCAAAACCCACCGACCAACCATCCCAACCCATCCCTACCAATCCCCACGAATCCTTATAACCCACTTTCCACTCCCTGCTCCCCCCTCACTAACCCAAGCCTTCTAAAAACCCTACTACTTGACCACCCTCTTCATCTCCTCGTTCCCACTTCCCTTGGCAACCATATGTGCACGACAATAATGCCCCGATTTCTCCAACCCTTTGTCTTCCACGGGATGGCATTTGACATTTGTGCCGCTGCGTTTTCCGCACTGGCGGAATTCTTCTTTGATGGAGCAGCCGCAGGAGTATTTTCGTGAGTATTGGATGCACATTTTTTTCTTTCTTTTGGTATAGGGAGGAGGTTGAGAGAAGGGGAAAGGGTGGGTTGGTGGCGGATGGATAGGTTTGATTGGGATGAGGACTTTTTGGTTCTTTGGGGTGTGAGTTGATAAGAATATTATGTGTGCTTGTTTGTGGATTTGGTGGTTGAATTTGTTGGCTGGTGGGTACGGTAATGGTGTGCGATGGTGGGTAGTAGGGTGGGAAGACTTGAGAAGAAGAAGAATAATCTCGGAGAAAGGTTAGGGTGCAAACGGAACTATGTATTTCTGATTACGTGGTTGGGTTTGTTGATTAGCTGAGATGCAGTTGGTGGAAGAAGTGGCTGCAAGGCTGAGGCATGGTTTGCCTGAACCGCAAGCATAGCATGTGACCATGACAAGGCTACGAGGTATGCCAGCGCATACTACATAGTAGTAAGCAAGGCCGACTGAAGCTTGATTGATTCTCAAGAAAGGCAGAAGCAACTCTCCCAAGGATGTCATGCATATTTGCATGGATTGATGGGCTAGAATAGACTATGGCATTCAAGTCCATTTCCCAACTGGAAGGCACTATGAGGATGCATATCTTATGCACTGCGATCGCATACTAATGCTTGTGTTCAGTGAAGCCCCAAAGAATTGTCAGTACGATGCATTTCAGTATTGGTGGTCGAGATGAAAAGCGATGATGCCTTCAATACACCTTGATGGAAAAATTCCCCAACGCCAACGCGCGACGCGTCTCCTCTCTCTTTCAACCCAGAGTCTGCCTTGGCCAAAAAAAAGATGCCACCACCCTACCGTCAACCCTCCCAAGTCGGCGCCACAGCAGCGACGAAACGCCCGTTCAAACCTCCAGCCATCGCAAAAGGCGGTCCCTCGTCTTCTTCGAGTGGCAATCCTCCTGCCCATCGCCCCGCAGCCGCAGCACAAGCTTCAAAACCAGTCGCGACAAGTTCAAAAGCCGTGGGTTCAAGACCACAAGCATGGGGTGCGAATACGACATCTGGGTTTCAATCTGCAGGCGCACAGATAGATAAGGGAGATCTGGAAGCCTTGCTCATCTCGGATGAAGACGATTACGGCTCTTTGAGTGATGACGATGACGATTCTGTTGTCCCTACCACAAGAAAACAAATCGCACCCACCACCATCGAACCCGCAGCAAAAAGACAAAAAGCAGGACCTGCAATACCGCCACGATTACCATCTTTGTCCCCATTATCCTCAGCAATACAACCCGATCCCGCACCCGCACTTCTACCCCAAGCACCCACCCACACCGCGGCCACAATAGCCACAACAGACGACAACATCCCCCTCCTCCCATCCCCCCTCCTGACACGCCTCCTCCACGAATCCTTCGACGACAAAACCGTAAAAATAGGAAAAGACGCCAATGCCCTGACGGCGAGATATCTAGACTTGTTCGTGAGGGAAGCGGTGGCCAGAGCCGCCGAAGTCGCCAGAGAAAGAAAGGAAATCAAAGAGGCTGGGGGCCAGGGGGATGGTGATGATGTGTGGCTGGATGTGCAGGATTTGGAAGAGGTGGCGCCGGGCTTGGTGATGGATTTTTGATGTTCGAGAGTGAAAATGGGTGGTGATATATTTGGGATCATGCTCGGACTCGCCGTGGGTCGAGGATGGACGATGATTCGGGTGGAAAGGGAACATACTACTGTATCTTGGGAAGAAGTCGAAGCTTTCCTGCTGCTTTGGAAGAGCACACCTCGTCATGTCGAGAAAATGCCTTCGGTTCTACGGGACATACATACATACCTATTTCTCGATACATCTCAACGCTGCTTGCTTTCCCTTCCTTTGGGTAACAAATCTAAGCATAGGTTTCAGCACAGTAGATATAAAAAGCACATGCACAAGTAAACGTTTCACCCCTATGAATAGACAAAGCAAATTGCACCAATCAAAAACACAGCACGCAGAATAGGTAAGAAGAATCATCCATTCTTTGATGTCAAAGTATAAAAAAAAAGAGAGAAAGTTTCATAAAAACACACACGCTCAACGCAGCACAAGAAAGGACAAGTCCACGATTAAAGATATACAAAAAAAAGCTTCCATTGCTTTCCCATTCCCGTTAATCTCACTTTATGCAGCCCACTCGACAACCTCCAATGCAAGCATGACCAGAACAAGCGTACTGGGTAGAATCCAGACGACATAGCTCTGCACGAGCAATTTAGACATGACACCCATAAACACACCGTTAAGCTGACAGATCTGAGCGAGTTGGAGTGCCGAAGGTGCGCCGGTGAGCAAGAAACACACAATGACGAAGATAGGATCGTCGAGGATGGAGACGGGGACGTATTTGGCGAAGATGGCGAGGAAGGGTGCCATGACTAGAGTAGGCAGGAGCATGCGGCTGACGAGAGCGGCGATGAGGAGATTGCGCTCTTCCTTTTTGCCTTCGGCTGTGGTGACCAATTCTTCTTGGGGTAGGGTGTTGCGGGCGAGGTTGGCGCCTAGGACGACTAGGATAAGGGGAACGGCGACACCACCGCTTTGCTGAATGGCGCGGGTGACGGAGTTGGAGACGAAGGTGTGGGGGGCGAAGAAGGTGTGTTGGAGTGCAGGGACCGAGGCGACGATGAGAGCGGCAACCATGGCCCAAAGGGGAGGGTTCATGAATGCCCAGACGCCCTTGACGAAGCGGGTTGTGTAGTGGGTGACGGAGCTCAGGAACTTTTGCATGCCTGGAGGGAGTTTGGCAAATAGGTTGTTGAAGAACTGTGCGATTGAAGCATTGATGCGGGCGAAGAATTGGGAGATTTTGGCCTTGATGCCTGTAGGAGCTTCGGATTGGGCGGTCGAGGCGGACGAGTAGTTGGGGAACTGGGTCATATGGCCGGTAGAGCGTTGACGAGGACCAAGGTTACCAGCAAGGTTACCAGGGCCGGATCCGACAATGTTTCCATTTGCAGGAGTAGCCATGACCTCGCCGTCGACAGGTTGGACCGTGTGATCGTTGGAGGATGAAGATCCAATGGAAACAGTGCGAGGAGACTCGTCGCCAGAGGCAGAGCCGCTAATCTTCTTGGTCGAGGAGGAGCCCTGCTCCAAGTCGTCTTCGTCAACATCGTCGCGGTATCTACCCTCTTCGATCAAGTGTTCCCTCTCTTCTTCTACGATCTTGGTATCCTCAACAGCAGGAGCGAGCAAGACGTTGTAGCCCCAAGTCCAGCGAACCAATTGACCGAGTTGTTGGAAGATGAGCAGGTACAGAATACCTCTTGCAGCAACTTCGTTGTCGTTGTCGTGCGGGATGCGGTCCCAGTGCAGACCTTTGAGAGTCTTGGATAGCGAAATGACGAGCGAAATGGGCAGCGAGTTGGAGTTGCCAAAGACACCCATGGCAATGACGAAGTTTGTCTGTCTCTTGCCAAAGCCAAAGGCCTTGGACATGAGACGAGCGCAAATCCATGAGACGAGAGTCTGGGCGCAGAAGATGACGGGAATGACGGCGAGATCGGCGAGTTTGTCTGCGTTGAGTTGCGAGGCGAGCTTGGTAAAGACTAGACACGGCGTGAAGAGTTGCACGTTCAGGTTGGCCACCATCTTCTGTGCTTCGGCGTCGAACATGCCTCGCCTGGCGACGATGTAACCCGGTAGACTGACGCATACCACTTCCAAGACTGCTTCAAAGACCAGCAATACCAAGTGGGCAAAGTCGGGATGTGATGTGTGCTCGTTCAAGGCCATCATGGGTAGTTCCATGGCTGCCGACGCGTATCTCCTCTCCTTCAAGCCTCCTACTCCTGCTGACAAGGCATTTGCGACGTTGAGGCGGTATGATGTAGGAGCTGTAAACCAGCTCATGACGACTTTTTGGTTGAGATAGCTACGATAAGCCTCGAGTTGCGCTTTCGAGCTTCTGTGCCGTGTGTCGCGCGGATTATTTGATCGGTCGGAGAGTTTTCACAAGCAAAACAGGAGTGAAGCGGAGAAAAGAAAGGAATGGCCTAGCGATAACTATTTGGTGCTTTCTGCGTCAGGAAAAAGAAGGCTTGTATCCAAGGTTCAAGCGCCCGATTGCCAGAGCATGAACCGATTCCACGCCAGATGCGTCACTTCTTGGCTCAAGCATCTCCAAGGAACTCTTTCTCCACCACAGCATCATCATCAGATTCATCACTATTACCCAGAATGTCACTGCTTGAACCATCTGCTCCTTGATTCTGCGTCGAATAGCTCAGCCTCTTTGCCTACGTGCTTTGGTACAATTGAATTGCGCCATCTACAATAGCCAAGCGCCCGCCTCTACGCAGCCTGACAGCCTATCGCTACTCAGCCCGCAGCGACTCTTTGCTTTGTCCGAAAGCCGCCCGCCAATCATGCCGTTGAAGCCAATACACGTTTCGCTGCCACCACCCCCAGCCTCTTAAACCGCACCGCCCATAGATAACTAACCTGGATACGCTGTGAGACCTGCTAATCTTTCTGCAACACGACAAGCGCCTCGAGAAGAGACATGGACTTGTACATGCCGTGTTCTCCAACATCGGAAATGGATAAGAACATGCCTATCCTCGATGCAAGATAGGCCATCTCTTGTCACTTCAGACAATGACCGTCTAGCTCCAGGATACTCTTACAGCTAAGCTGCCATTACCTGATTAAAAGCATGCCAGAAAGCTTGGGTGGCCTCAGCTACTTGGTCAAGAAATTACAAGACTCGCTCCTTCCATCACCACCTGAACGTCTATTTCTACAATTTTCCTGCTCCGTCACTTTCAACAAGCGATGGACTGCCAACAAATTTATCTATTACCAACTTTCTATTTATTCTTCGTCGTCCTTTTCACCGGAGAGGTTTTCGTACTTGTCTCAGCCTCTAAGCTCTTCCAACATCTCCCCCACATACTAGCATCCTTCGCGGCTTCGCCTATTTCAACACATCAATTTATTCTACACACTACACTCTAATTTTGATGCAGGGCAATAGCTCTGCCGGAGTGCGGTCAGCAAACACTTATCATGATAGGTTGGACTGAGCAGAAGGATGCACGTCAATAAAGCATTTCAGAAAATCTGTTGAAAATTCATATGGCTATATAAACACCCAAGAAGAATTGCCCCACTAATCGTCGTGTTTGCCAGAGAGGGTTTGAAGCAATATGATGTGGATTATATAGAGGCCTGGCCAGCGCCAGCTGCTCGCGTGTTGGCTGTCTTGCTGGTTTCTTTCACGACAGCAGAGCAAGACGATCGTATCTTCTGGACATTGCAACAATGGCACTTCTCGACAGCGTCCCGAGCATCGCGATTCTCGCCATTTCGGCAGTAGTGCTATACTTCGCAACTCATGCCATCTACAATTTGTACTTCCACCCTCTGTGTCAACACCCGGGACCTATTCCCAATGCCATCTCTCCTTTCCCTCGACTTTACTGGAACATCGAAGGTCGTGAGCCTCAGACCGTACTCAAGCTTCATCTCAAATATGGCAACATTGTGCGCGTTGCTCCCAATGAACTTTCTTTCATCACACAGGCCTGGAAGGATATTTACGGGTTCAAGAGACCAGAGCTGAGCAAAGATTGGACCATGTATGCGTTGTCTGAGAACACAAAACGATCCATCATCTTGTCTGGTGCCGATCACGGTAGACAGAGGAAAATGCTGGCACCTGCTTTCAGTGAGAGAGCATTGAAGTTGCAGCAGGGTATGCTGACGACATATACTGGTATGATGGTTGAAAAACTGGAAGAGAGAATGAAAGAGAACAAGAGTGTGGATATGGCCAAAGTTTTCAACTGCGTTACGTGAGTACTCAGGGGAATTGGGGACAAGACAAGGAGAAGATACTGACGACATCCACAGCTTCGACACGATAGCTGATCTCATGTTCGGTGAACCTTTGGGTCTCTGCGAAAACATGGAATACTCGGACTGGCTATCTCAACTTTTCGTCTCCATCTGGTTGGCTGGTGCATCTCGTGCTCTGCAATACTTCCCTCTGCTCTTCCGCCTCGCTACCATGATGATTCCCAAGCATATTCAAGAAACCATCGACTCTTCTTACCAGAACACCGTCGACAAGGTTAACAAACGTCTTGCCATGAAGACTGAACGTCCTGATATGCTGGGTCTCATGCTCAAGCACAAGGAAGAGGGTGCAGAGATGACCATGGACGAGCTGTATGCCAATGCTGATCTATTGATGATCGCTGGTACCGAGACCACTGCAACCAGTTTATCTGGACTGACATGGTATCTGCTAAACAACAAGCCCGTACTTGAGCGTTTGACCAAAGAGGTCAGAGAAGCATTCAACAGTATCGACGACATCACCATGGATTCGCTACCAAGACTACCTGTAAGTCATCTCGACACTTTATTTAGAGTCAGCAGCTGACCCAAAATGCCGTAGTACCTCTCCGCCTGTCTAGAAGAAGGCATGCGAATGTTCCCTGCCGTAGCCGAAGGCATCCGCCGCGTCACCCCCTCCACCGGCGCAACAATCAGCGGTCATTTCATCCCACCAAATGCAAGTCTCGTCCTACCTGACCACTTCCCAACCGTCCTCCCTAACAACCCTCACAGGTCAAAGTCAGCATCCCCCACTACGCAGCCTACCACCACCCCACCAACTTCCACTCCCCCACCACCTTCGCCCCCGAACGCTGGCTCCTCTCTTCCCACCCCCTCTACAACCCCATCTTCGCCTCCGACAAGAAGGAAATCTTGCAACCCTTTTCCGTGGGTCCGAGAAATTGTATAGGCTTGACGTTGGCGTATCATGAGATGAGATTGATCATGGCGAATTTGCTGTGGCATTTCGATGTCGAGTTGAGTGGGGAGTGTGATGAGGGGTGGTTGGATCAGAGTAGTCATTTGGTTTGGGATAAGAAGCCGTTGATGGTTAAGATTTTGGCTAGAGGTAGTGTTGCGTAGAGGTGTGGGTTTGGGTGGTAGGTATAGAATTGGTGGTACAATGTGTATAGTCAGAGGTTGATATGACGAAGACGTCGACGATCAAGTCTTCAGTACTTGGTTTCTCTTCTCTTGGTGTTACACTACTCCTGCTCAAAAGACTTGGCATCCAGAGATTGATAAACAGAAACAACAATCACGGACAACAGCACCCAAAAGCTTTCAAACCGACAACCATCAAACGAACGAGAAAAAGAAAACCCACTCCCAGCATCAGCCCTCCACAACAACCAAACTCCAAGTGTCTCTCTTTCCCCCCTCCTAATACTCAAAACTCCCCACCGTGCCAGCCGTACTCTTGCCTCTAAACGTATCCCCCAACCCCTCTTCCCCCTCCGAATCCACCGGCAACTCTTCTCCGTCCACCTCCCCCTCCACATCATCAGAAATCCTCAATTTAGGCAACGGTGTTCTTCCAGAGAGAATATCATACAAAGAATCCTCACCAACATCTTCTGTTCCCACTTGCCCAACATCTTCAACCCCGATCATACCAGCAGAAAACTGCGGTTTTGCTGGCGAAGAAGAAGAAGCAGGGGCGGAGCCGAAAGGGTAGAGTAAGCACCAACCTCTTTTACGTGTTGTGTGTAGTAAAGTTGTAGGGGTGGTCCAGTGGATATTTGTGATTTCGTTGATGGAGGGTGATGAAGATGTGGAAGAGGACGCCGCAGAGGAAAACGGGTGGGTTATTTGGAGAGGGGCGTTTGTGTCCGGGTTATTGGAGAAAAGGTAGATTTGATTATCTTCTGTGTGTGTGAGGAGGAGACCGGGGGTTGTAGGATGCCAGTGGAGTTTTCTGATTGCGGTGTGGTGGTGGAGGATTGAGAGGGTGTTTTGTTGTTCGTTGGTTTCTGATTGGTCCTCATTGATTGCCTCGTCTTGTGTGGGAGAAGCAAATACGGGGTTAGAAGAAGGTATCTTCCAGATAATCACGGTTTCTGGGAAAGCCTCTAATCTGAAAGCGAGATGTTTTCCGGAGACGTCGAATTTGATGTCCAGAGCTGGAGAGTAGGAGGTTAGGAGTTGAAATGTGCTGTCGTCGCCATTGCCTAGATAGGCCCAGCTACGATCGCCTTTGCCGCTCACTTGTTCGCGGTAAACTGCTGTGATGTCGTCTTCTGCTATCGTCCACGGGTCCAACACGCAGACTGGAGAGAAAGTCGTGGTGGAGAGGAGAGTTATGCTACCATCTGCATTTGCGAGAGCGAGATTGCTTGGTCCCCATGCTTGACGGAGAGGGCCCAATGTATATGTCTCTTCAGCTGGTATAGAGGTCTGAGGTGGATAACTGCGGTAGAAATTGCCATCTGCAGTATAGATGTGTACTGCGGAGTTTGGGGCACTGAGTGATGTGTCCAGTATACTGATCCATTTACCAGAAGGACTCCAAGCCAAATATTGAGCATCTATGGTCGGCAAGGTTATTGTAGTCAGAGGTGTAGTCGAAGAAGGCAAAAGCAAAGACAGTATATCTGTTGCAGAAGTGCGGCACAGCAGGGCAAGTACTGTCTTTGTCAGCCACGCCTTTCCATCAAAACAGAACGAGGAAAGTGAGAAACGTACCTTCGGCCTTTCCTTTGACTCTTCTGATACCCCACGCAGACCTCAGGCTACCGATACCAGTCTTCAACTCGCCGATTTCAGTAACTCGTCCCCTGCCCACCTCGAAAATTCCAACTCTGCCGAACTCCCACACCACAACAACATCCTCACCAAACACATCCACACTAGCGATTCTACCTAGACTGGCGCTTCCGTTTGCGATCTTCACTCTACTAGATGTATTCGCTAGACTGTGCAGTGAAACATAACTGCTGGTCTGGAGGATGATGGATAGCGAACATGGTGTCCAATGGAGTGTAGGAGCTTCGACAGACCGCGTAGTAGGTGTGTTCAAGTGGTCGAGAGGGAATGAACACGCGATGGTCAGACTTGACGTGTAATAGACATAGAGATGATTGGGTGTCAAGCCAGCAATGTAATGGCCATCAGGTGACGGAGATGCATGTGTGGTTGCTACGGTAATATGTTAGTATATATGAGTCCAAAATCTCATTTGCAGCTGTATCCTAAATATCTCGAGAGCGCCAATGCTTTATTCCTCATTTACGCGGATGAGCATCAGGGGTTGAGAGAGTATTCGTCCGCATCTACGACGATGACACCAATCTCCAACCCCCGGCCCTCAACTCGCTTCGGCCTTGCTCATATGGTCATTGTCTCTTGAACAGTGAACACATAACGCCGTGCGGAAAACTTTCGTTCATCTCAATTGTCTTGTTGTTTTCTTTCTCTTGTGGAGGACGTGCGTAGCAGACCATTGTGATGAGAAGAAAATGAACACTCACATTCTATTACTTCGGAGGCATTCATGCTGATTTGTTTGTCTGAGGAGTACACAATTATTATGTTGTCTCTTCGATGAAAAGTTATCGTCACGCAAAGTGTTTGTTGATGGAGAGAGAGATCGAAAGCCCGACTGCGAGAAAGCCTTGCCGAGAAAAGCAGCTCTTGCCGATTTGACAGGGTTACTCTTCGACTTGTTTGAAATGGTTCGATTTGCTCAGAGAAAACATTTGCTCAATACTACATCACGTTCCAAAAATGTACATGTGTAGAAGAAAAATGCATGCTTAGGTAAAACTCAGTATCTAGGGTATAATAACGCCGGCTGCCACAAAACAAATATATAGGTATGCAATGCAATGAATTCCAATTCTCAGCTTTCAGCTCTCAATTCTTGCTGCGTCGCGCGAGCAATGTTGGACTTTGAGAATCTCGTCTTTCCATATCTTGTGAGGTTTTGCCCTCATCTGATTCGTGAATCATGCTAACGAAACCGATCATCGGCTTTCTGCCGCCAAGACCAAGAGTCCTTGGTTTTGAGAGAGTGGGTGATGCCAAAGGAGCAGGTCCCAGTCTAAAGGCTGCCGCTCTTTTCGCTGCGTGCTCTTGCAAAGCCCCTGCAAAGAATGGATCAATGGCTGCACCAGCAGCAGAAGCGGCATCAAGTACAGGGGCGTAGTTGATTACATCAGGTCGTATTGTGTTGATCTTGCCCAGCCCTGTTTGAGAGTCCAAGGCACCAGAAAAGAATGGATTGTCGTCAGGAGTTGCGCTAGAGAAGAAGGGATTATCATCGGGATTTGCTGGTGTGTCTTGTTTGGGTGGAGATTCCACAACTTCCGGGTGAATGTATAATGTGCTGGGTTTTCTTCGTGGAGTGGGTTTCTTGATGGTCGGTGTAGTCTCAGCACTGTTAGGTTTATCTAATATTGACACCTCATCGTGTGTGGAGCAGGAGCCAGGATTTGGTGTGCCGAAGCGTAGGCCGTGGCGCAGGTAGTTGCGGGTTTTGCGGATATCTTTTCGATTGCGTTTATATTCGCGGTAGTCATCAATCTCCTCAGCCGTCGGGTGTTCCAAAACGGGGCCAATCGGTGGCTCTGAAGGTAGACGGTCGAATCTGATGTGGTAGTGGACTGCCTTGGTCTTCGGGTCCTGAATGATTCGCCAGCCGGATACCTTGTACATTCCGTCGTATCTCACACCCGCCCGTGGAGCAAAGAAACTTCGCAGGGTGTGGCTTCTCAATACACGAACAGGTTGTCTCGAGGCAAGCGTTCCAGCGCATAGGCGATATCTTCTAGCATCTCCGGATGTTGATCGGTAAGTAAAGTGAGCCGGATCATCACATTCAAGCTCGTCGCCATCTGCCAGAAGTAGAGCATACGCTTGTTGAAAGCATGTAGTGACGCAACTGTCTGATGAGACGTTGGCGATGATGCCATCATGAAACGCAAACATGGTGTTGATCCACCAGCTGGAAGATGTCAGAACACGAGACGCGCCGTCAACGAGGCATTATACTTACTCTCCTGGCTTGAAACCAAGGGCTCCATTCCGTCGAGCAAAGGTTGGGTTGACCCATGCTGTCTCTTTGCGTGCCCACTTGATAAGAAGTACTTCTCTCTGTAAATCCTCGGGAGTGCTGATTCCATGTAGCCTTCCACCAACGTCGTATAGATTGACCTTGATACTTGATAATGAACCCCACTCCTTCTCCAATTTGAGAATGATTTCCTCGGCCTCATCGATGAGTTTGACCGGCCATCGAGTAGCGCGGCCCGCGATGTCGATAAGCGCTAGGTGGATCCGCGAGTCGCGAATATATTCGAGAGTCAAGTATGATGTGCGTAGCTGTTCGAAGAATTTGAAGAGAACAACAACAGTATCCGGCCGTAGGGTATCCGGACCTTCACGAGCGACAACGGGATCCAGCTCGTCTCTGATCCATGAGGCACGGCCTCTGAGATATTCGAGGTCGAGTAGCGGAGCTTGTTCGATGTGAGGTTGAAGCTTCCAGACAGAAAATTCCGAACGGTTGGTCATTGCATAAAGATGAGAGTGGCATCAGAGAGACAAAACTGGTTCATCGGGTTGTTATGGATGCATGAACAGATGATCGGACGTTGGGAAAGCGCAAGCCGGATGCACTTGACCTGGACGGAGAAACAGCAATGTTGGAACAACAGAAGGCGCCAGGGCATGTATATAGCGAGTGCCTAAAAACTACTGGATTAATCTCGCAAAAAGGACGGCATCGCTTGGATCGGCACAGGTATGATTAAATGATCGGATGATGCAAGCCTGTACTGGGATACACTTTACAACTGTCTCGTAGTTGAATCTGGACGTCAGTCGGCGCGAGATTGAGTTAAACGGCAGTAACAGTTTTGTAAGCAGAGACATAGCAAAAGCTGTTATAAGGAGCATATATAGCAAGCAACATGCATGATCAAGGAGACAGATCGGCTAAAGAAGAAACATCATAAACGAGGGCAGTGGGAGAGCACTGACATGTAAAGTGTCATGGTCGGCGATGTGAGGCTCCGACGGGTTCGCGCTCTCCCGTGTGACTGTGTAAATAGACAATTCCTGCGACATTGAAGGCTGTGTCCGATAAGAGCGTGATGACTGTCAGCGCCCCCTACGAGCCAATGTGTTCCACTCTCGAAAACACTGTGGATTGCTTGGTCCGGACGGCCGTACTCACTGAAGATGCTAAATGTGACAAATTTTGGCCAAGGGGGGCTCTCTTGCCAAGGCTCGCGACGCCCGGAAGAAGCCGTCTTCGCTAGCGCCCACCCAGCGAGTGAGAATTGAGAATTTGCACCGCGCGAAAACTGCTAACCGAGCGACGACTTCTCGACAACCACGCCAACCTCGCCCATTTCCGCCGTTCAACCCTCCCCCTTCACATCGCCAAAATGTCTGACGCCGGAGAGATCGAAGTCGAGCAGCCCCAGGGCTACCCCGTCCTGCCCAAGGAGGTTGCATCCGAGATTGGCAGCGTCAAGCTGTTCAACAAGTGGAGCTACGAGGATGTCGAGATCAGAGATATCTCTTTGACGTGAGTCTGCGCACTCCTCTGCGACAACGGGATGGTCATTGTCAGTCTGGAATGGGAATGGAAAAGGAAGAGCCGGACATTGAAAGAGATGGACATTGGCGCAATCTCGAAAGAGGGTTGGCGCGCAAGAAGCACTCAAGATACCATACCATACCATACAGACTGGCAACAGACGCACCTTCGAGGCAGAGGAAGTATCGGCACGCGCAAGCACTTAGCTGACCCTCATACCTCAGCGACTACATCCAGATCCGTCAGCCCGTCTACCTCCCCCACTCTGCTGGTCGTTACGCCCAGAAGAGATTCCGCAAGGCCCAGTGCCCCATCATTGAGCGTCTCACCAACGCCCTCATGATGAACGGCCGCAACAACGGAAAGAAGATCATGGCCGTCCGCATCGTCGCCCACGCCTTCGAGATCGTGCGTCACTTCTTCCTAGACTCTACACCTTGTCTGGGCCGACTTGTGTCCGCCAGGTCGCTAACAACTACACACAGGTTCACATCATGACCGACCAGAACCCCATCCAGATCGCCGTCGACGCCATCGTCAACTGCGGTCCCCGTGAGGACTCCACCCGTATTGGTTCCGCCGGTACCGTCCGTCGCCAGGCCGTCGATGTCTCTCCCCTCCGCCGTGTCAACCAGGCCATTGCCCTCTTGACCATCGGTGCCCGTGAGGCCGCTTTCCGCAACATCAAGTCTGTTGCCGAGTGCCTTGCTGAGGAGCTCATCAACGCCGCCAAGGGTTCTTCCAACTCCTACGCCATCAAGAAGAAGGACGAGCTCGAGCGTGTCGCCAAGTCCAACCGATAAACGTATCGCCTGGGCAGGCATGCAAGGGAGGGAGAGGACGTGTTGGGTTTTCGAAAAGAACATACAAAGAATGGCAAGCCTTGTCTCTTTTTGCTTCAATGCTGGCTTTGTCACGTTTCTGCTTTCTTCAAAAGGACCAACATTTTTCTCTCTTGAACGTGAGATGAAAAAAACCAACCACCATTCCCCCGGAAAGAGGTGTATCGTTCCCGTGTGATCTAACAGGGCTGGAAAACATGGGCGTTCTTCTTTTTCTTCCTTCTAATGATCTGGTGCTATGCGACAGGGCTAGCTTCATGTCGAGAATGCAAAAGCAAAATCATCAACTTTTTTCTTCATCTCCAAACCAAATCTTGAATCCACGTCGTACATGTCTCATCAATGTAGCCAGCTGACAACCATCCGAACAACTGGTTGCATCCTTTGCACCAAACAAGCATACCAAGCCACGTCGAAGGTCTACTTCCAAATACCACACTAGCTGCGGCGTCTTGTCTCAGCCTCAGGATATGTCGGCTTCCAACAACACTTGACCACAATAGCCTCAGCGTCGCCATTCTCATCGACACAATACAACGTACCATCAGACCTAGCTCTCTTCGCCGCCGACATCTGCTTGTTCCTTTCCAACATCCTTGTCCTTTCCACCGCCTTGACTATACAGTCGAGTTTTGCAACCTCACTCTCATCGGCAAGAACCTCAACATCACCACCATAAGTACAATGGTCCGGTCTTCAATCCCGTTTACGATGATCATCATACTCACTCCATCATTATTGTTGCTGTCATCTCAATCCACCGACAATCTCGCACAGGTTCAGCTGCTGCTACTGACCATTCATGGTAAGTTGACATTAGTACTACACAGTTCTGCAAGAATTCGGGCTGGTCTACCCTCTTACGTGAGATATTGCTGGGTCAGTCTTACTTGGAAAGGTTGGCAAAGGGCATGGTATAGTGATTCATAAGTGCTACCTAGTCTGTCTTTTATTTTCCTTGCTCGATCCATGCCTCGGAGGCCTGATTTGTTGCTTGTTGTAATCGTCGTCTGACCTTTTCTATAGTGTTTCTGATATCTGTGATACTCTTCTGACCCTCACCGCAGTCGTTGTTCGAGACGCATCGAAGAGGCAAAAGCCTACTGTAGCTCGTGAGAAGGTAATTTGAAAAAAAGTCATTACTAGCATTTCGAAGAAAGAAAGAGAGAGAAGCAAAAAAAAAAAGAGTAAAGTAGAAGGAGAACAAAAACACACCAACCCCCCAAAGCCGTTTTCCTATGCCCTCGCAAAAGACCAAAGAAGACCAAGGAAACACAAACGCCATGCTGTAAAAGGACACCAAGCCCAAAAACCATCCCAAACTCAAGAGTCAAGGAGAGAAAGTCATGTACAGGAAAAATGTTCCCTTTCTCAATCAAGGACCACGACTCTTAGATCTCGGGCCCACACTAGCACTCAACCCACCGGCAGGAGGGGCAGACGCATCTCTCCCCAATCTTCTCGGTGTGGCCATACCAGCAGCACCATTACTCCTTGCTCTGCCTCTTCTCTCTCTGATGGCCGCAAGAGCGGCTTCTCTATCAATAGGCGTATTCAAAAAAGCCGGGATATTAGGGTGTAGTGCAGGCGTCGAGCAGGAAATAGTCATTGGTGTTTTTAGAGAGTGGTGAGGGGGTGCGCTGACGGTGCGGGAAGAAGGTAGAGGTGTGCGTGGGGGTTGAAGGAGGGAAGGTTGGGAGTTTTCTTTGTCGCTGGTGGAGGAGGCGTCTTCGGTGTCGTCGTCGTTGAAGTTTATGGGGACGCGGAGGGTTTGTTTCGTGCTTGTTGTTTGAGGTGTTGCGGTGACGGTGTTTTGGGGCGAGTCGTGAGCGATGGGAGTGCTTGTGTGGCTGCGGACTGGTGTTTGGGTTCTGGAGGCTTGGATGTGCTCGGGCTCGGGAGTGTCTTCGACGGCGTAGTCGTTGTGAGTGGACTCGGGTTCTGCTTCGGCCATGGGCTCGTCTTGTTTCTTTTGCGGCGTGTCGATCTCGATCTCGAAGTCATCGAGTAGGTCCTGAGGAGGCTCTTGGGCCCTTGGTGCAGCTTGCTGCTTTGCGAGTAGCTCGACGTGCTTGTCCTTTTGGGCTTGAAGGGCGACAATATGGTCAATCTCCAAGAAAGCAACTAAGTCGTTCGCATCGGCGCGCAGCTTCTTCTCCCAGTCGACTTCTTCTTGTAGCTGCTGTTGCTGTCTCCAGTGTAGCTTCTCGCGCTCCATGTATTCCTTTTGCATCTTGCGCAGTTGATCTTCGTGCTTAACTTTTTGCTGCTTGAAGCGCTCCTTGGCCTTTTCGTACTTTTTCTGTCGAGCTTGGTCAGCCATACGTCGGGCAGAAGGGAAGTGCATTGTACATACCTCGTACTCATCCAGTCGTTGGCGCAAGTCAGTCTTTTCGCGCAGACGCTCTTCAGCCATGTCTCTTTGCTCCCTGAGCTCGTCGCGCAAGCTTGCTGCCTCAGTCTCTGCCTCCTCACGCGCCATCTCGGCTCTCCTCAAAGCAGCTTCCAGTCGTCGTACTGCGCGCTTTGCGCTATCTTCATCCTTGTCCTTGACTTCAAGAGTGGTGAAGCGGTCGACCAGGGCATTAACCGACATGTCGGGGGCACTGTGTGATGAGCCCATGAGGAATTTGAAGGGCGATGTGACTGCGACGTGCATTGTGCCGCCTGATCGTGAAGGCGACGCCATGAGTTTGTGTGGATATTGATGCTGATAGCTAGGTTGGTAGAAAGTGATGTGATGCAGCTAGGCAGTCGAGTATGTACGGTTGCTGTATAGCTCCCAGCGTCACGCTTGTGAGAAATATTGTCCCGCACCCAAGGCCGAATAAACAAAGCCTCCCGCCGTTGCACAGCAACAACAGTGCACAGACCACTCTCCAACATCGTCACCACTCAATTCGATAATCAATCCAATCCAGACTCCGATTATCATACCGTCTTCCCTCCTGGTTTCCTACCGTAGACAGTGTACCTGTTCTCGACATCAGTCATGGTCACGAAAGCTCACGCATCGACGTACGCCTGGTCTTGAATCTGCCATTTTGGATCCTTCATCTCTCGACGCAGTCCAGCAAGAAATACTTCGACCTCTGGTACTGACCATCCAGCCCGAGTCAGAGATGCCATTGTGATGCCCTGTAGTCCCATCTTGAGTTGTTCTGCCTTCCAGTCAGTAGCTTCACATCACCATTGACACATACACTCACCAACATGCCAAAATCCAATGGCTTTGTGTCGCTTCTCTGATGGCCATGTTCCCCATGGCACTGGCCTCACGACTTCTACCGCGTCTTCGAATCCCGCAGCTACAAGCATCTGCCTGAACTTTGATGCGACACGCATATCGAACCCCATCTTCGCTAGAATCTTACCTTGTATGTCAAACCATTCACTGACAAGGGGTGGACCTGGATTGCCCTCAATTGCTGGCATAGGATGTAGGTCAAGTTCTGCTAGTTCGATGTAACCACCGGGTTTGAGCGTTCGATAGGCTTGTTCGAGCATAGACGGCCAGTCTGACACTGACATGAACATGAATCGACAATGCACTAGATCGAATGAGCATGATTGCCATAGCCATTCCTGTTCGAGGTCGTCAACTTCGAATATCAAGTTCGGCGGTACCCAACTCGGCTGGACAGGCGAAATGTCGAACCCGATGACTTCGGCTGATGGATATCTGTCCGCTGCTTGCATGGCCCATATACCCGATCCCGTGCCGACGTCGAGTATCTTATGTGGATGGTCGTCTCCAAAAGGAGCGAGGTGCAGCTCGCCTTCAAGGACCAGCGTCCACATGTGGTGTTTCATGTCTTCACGATCAAGTTCTGTATCGTCATTCGGGAGGAGATACCGGCCGCCTCCCATTGCATGATAGCGTCGTCCATTTTCCCAGTAGTAGTCTTCGGCATTGCTGCGGATAGTACTGCAATAACTCTCAGATACCGAGCTGCCATAATCGCTGGTCGAATTCTATCATCAAGCTTCAGCAGGGCTATCTCGAAACGATGGACCGATGATGAACTCACATCATCCCCGTCTATATCTTGGCCATCTCCTTCTACATCATTAAAACCAGCATCGTGATTGTGCAGTCCATTCGTAGTGTGGTTGCTTGGATCTGTCGAAGGTCCGTTGTCATGTGCATTGCTATCGGCCATATCTTGATTCTTTTTCGCTACCCGACTCCTACTACTTCCTCTATAAAGCCACGGTTATTCTTGGTCTTTTGATGGATCCACTGCTTGAATAGTGTGTTTCGTTGGCTGACTTTGTTTCGAGAGAGGGCTGTGCTGTCATGCAATGATCGCCCGGCTTCTGAATGCCGCGGCAAATTCGGGATGCGTCGCGTTTGACTGAAGAGTGTCGCGTTTCGGTTTTGCCGCGCTGAGGTGTTGAAACACTTTCGTTCTTTCTATTTGAAAGTCAATTGCAAGCAGTTGGCCAAAACCTACGGGTCCGCCGGACTTACAGCCGTCTTTATACCCTCCATATTTTTGGGGCCATCACCCTGGGACACGGCACACAGACGGGTGAGTATGGACAAATGTCCCAAGGAACTGGCCGTACTACGAAGCGCGCTTAGTTGATCGATCAATATCAAGGAGGAGGGGTGATGCAGGGTGCCAACCAAGCATCCAGTGTGCATGAAGAAGCATAACATGATTGGCATTGGCTGTTATGACGGTCGGCTTCTCGCTTGTCTGACATGTGTCACTGCATCGTGCCTTCCGCTCAAGCATGGATTATGCCACCAATCTTCGACGAAACTAGGATTTGTAACCATTCTCCATCAAGGCAAGTGCGAATTATGGAGCTCTCCGCTTCTCTATTGGCTCTTTCTCTGTCAAAGTAACCCACTTGATCTCCAGACCGCCAGTTGTCTCTTAGCACCCATTTTCTTTGCCTTGTTCTTGTCATTCCTTCCTGACTTGCTTCCGCTCCTGTGGGATTGTAACTCTTCTGTCTATCTGCTTCATCACGCGGACACACGTCGTTTAAAGGGAATTGGATACCAACGTTATGGCACCTAATACAGAAATCAAGGATGTCGCACCTGTGCTAATCATTGGGGCTGGTATCGTGCCCCGATCTCGAGACATGGAGCATCCCTGAAAATTTGCTAACCGACGCATGACGGCAGGTGTAACTGGCCTTGCGATTGCACATGGACTTCAGAAAGTAAGTCTCACTCTTACCTTCGCACTACCTCAATACCAGCCATCTCGACTTTTCTATCTCCGACAGACGTGGTCCAAAAGAGGATCTTCTACTCCAAAATCCAGTCATGACATGTCTTCTCCATGAAACTTACACCAAGTCGTAGGCAGGCATCCCATTCAAGATCTTCGACCACGAGCCCAATGCCTCTGCTCGCCCTCGAGAATGGACCATGGGTCTACATTGGGCATTACCCCTCCTCAAATCGCTACTCCCTGACAAGTTGGCTTCGAGGCTATCGGAAGCATATGTCGACTCATCTTTAGATTGGACACAGTCTCCACTTGATCGCATGCGTATGTACAATGGACTGACCGGAGATATCATGAAGGACATCCCGATCAAAGGGCAAATAGTTCGTGTATCGAGGAGAAAGTTGCGAACCTTTTTGACAGAGGGTACTGATGTCAAGGTAATTTCTACTCCGTCTTCTCCTCGTTGAATGGAGACGAAATGATATGCTGACACGGTTTAGTACGGCCACTCACTGACAGACATTCACTACAACGCCGACAACACAATCACCGCCATCTTTGCCAACGGAGCCACAGAGACAGGATCGTTGGTTGTTGGAGCCGATGGCCCTCGCTCAGCGGTTCGTGGTCTTCTTCTCAGTGAGGAAGAAGCTTCCGTCAAGCCTTTGGAAAATGTGATTCACACCAACATCACTTTCTGTCCTCAGGAAAAAGAGAAGGCACTATTCTTGAGGTCTGCTCATCCCGGTAATTTATATGACGACAAGCTGTTGGGATTCAATGCTGATGTCACGTAGCTTGGAGTATATGTTTACATCCAGACTTGTTCTGTATGCTTTCTGGTACGTTTTGCTTCAGTTCTACTAGCGAGACATCATGTTAATTATTCAAACAGTACAAGATACGCCAGCTGAAGACCCCACCACTTGGTCTTTCCAACTCGTCTCCGGGTGGTTGGGCTCATGCTCCTCCTTCCCAACTTCCTCATCTCGCATCACAGAGCTCAAAAGAAGAGGCAACCTCCTCTGCGAACCCTTCAAGTCAGCTTTTGACTGCCTGGATGGAAATCTGGATTGCAGATATGAAGAATTGAGTTGTTGGGAAACCAAAGAATGGGATTGCCAGAACGGAAGAGTCGCTCTAGCCGGTGATGCAGCGCATGCCATGCCACCTCGTAAGTGGTTGATTGCTCCTCACATCGACAACACTAATCGATAACCAGATCGCGGACAAGGACTAAACCATGCAATTCAAGATGCTTATAATCTCGTGGACATCTTGACGAAACACTACGCGCCTGGCTCTACCAGCTCTGATCTATCATCGGAGCTTCAGTCATATGCCAACGAAGTCAGCATACGTGGAGCAGAAGAGGTCAGATTGACCAAGCAAAACGCATACATGGTTTTGGATTGGAAGTTGTTAGAGCAAAGTCCCGTCTTCAAACACGCGTTGGACAGAAGTCCCGTCGTCGACAAGAAAGAAGAGAAGGAGGTCGAGACTGCACAAAATGAAGTCACAGCTATGGCCGGAGCTTGATCGATGCGTAAACAAATGTAAACATCTACTGCTTCACCTTCCCACCGTCGCCATCCTTCCCAACCACCTCAACCACAACTTCCTCCCCCTCAACAACCTCCACCCCCTTCATCTCAACATCAACATCAACATCCAAATCAACATGTCCCACACCATCAAACACCACATCAACCTCCTCCAACGTCATCCCTTTCGTCTCCGGGAAATAAACCCACATAACCCCCACCTCCACAAAACACCACCCGGCCGTGATCAAATAAAACCCCCAACTCGACCACCCCATCGCATAAGGTATTATATACGTATTGAAGAATGCAGCCGTATAGCACAATCCATTATAACTAGCCATTCCGGACGCGCGGAGGGAAAACGACAGCACTTCTAGAGGGTAGAGGTAGGCTAGTGGTGTCCAGACGAGTGAATATGCGCCGTAGAAGAGGAAGATCAGGGCTACTTGGGCGGAAGAGGAGGCGGTGGTGGGGGTGGTGGAGAATTGTTTTGTCAATGCACTGACGATTATAAGCAGTAATGCCATTATTGAGGTTGAGATTACTGTTTTGTTTTGGATATTAGTGTTTGAGTGTTCAGCGTTGGCATACCGATCGGAAGAGGAGGAAGGAGGAGGAGGAGGAGGAGGAGGAGGAGGAGGGAGGGAGGGTAAGGCAGAAGAAAGGGAAAGGAAGGACTTACGGAAAGAAGGACGACGTCCTATCTTTTCACAGACGGAGCTGCCGGCTATGGCGCAGAGGAGATTGAACACACTCAAGCCCAGATTTATAGCTAATTGTGTTTGTACGCCTGTTATACCGATGGTGGTGAGAACGGTGCCTAGATAATAAGTAATGATATTGTTTCCTGAGATCTGACAAAAAGACTAGAAAACAATAAATCAGCATCGACACAAATCCATCTCTCTCTGTTTCGAAGATTTTCAAAAAAAGGAAGATTGTCACTTACTAGACACGGCAGCCACGATACCAAATCTCCATCGATTCGGCCTGGTGGCAATCAAAGCTTTGAACCCGGCTTTTTGCACACTCTTCTCGTACTCCAACGTCTGCACGATTTCATTCAACTCCACTCTTAGCACCTCCGCCCCGACATCTCCATTAGCATGATATTTCACCAACACCTGCTTCGCCTCCTCAAGTCTATCGTTGTAAACCAACCATCTGGGGCTTTCTGGGATAAATGGAAGCACAACCAGACACAGCATAGAGGGTAAAAATTGGAGAAGGGATGGCGCGCGCCAACTCCACGTTGTGGACAGACAACCTCGTCAATGGAACTCATATGGATATGCACAAATATCTCATCTCTGATGTGCTCCGCGACCAGTGGGGCTTCAAAGGTCTATGTATGAGCGATTGGGGAGGCACCAATTCGACAGTTGAGAGTGTATTGGCTGGCTGCGACCTGGAGATGCCTGGCCCAACGCTGCGAAGGGGAGAAAACCTCCTCGGTGCGCTTGAACACAAGGATACTGACGTACTGAAGACGGCGATTAATGCTTCTTGTGCTAGGTTACTGAGTCTAGCAGAAAGGCTAGGCAAACTGGGCCTTTCTGAAACCGACGTTAAGGCCAGCAGACATGCACCTGAATGTTCAACTACTAGTCCGGAGGATGTGGCAACATTAAGAAGGATTGCTGCGAATGGCATAGTTCTGCTTAAAAACGACAGCAATGTACTTCCACTAGATCCTCAAAAGCTCAGTGGCAAGAAAATTGCCTTCGTCGGTCCAAATGCTCTGGTTGGCGCTTCAAATGGTGGTGGAAGTGCAGCCATGAATCCGGGATATCTCACTCATCCGTTCAATTCACTCAAGGTAGCATTGAAGAAATTGGGTATAGAGGCTGAGGTGCACGCTGCACAAGGTTGTCGTACCCACAAATGGCTGCCTCTCCTTTCAACAACTCAGTGGCAGGCGGACGACTCTGAGACCTCGATGCTACGCATTGATTTCTTCGCCTCTCATAACTGCACAGGTGACGTCCTAGAGACGCAGTACCGCAACAACTCAAGTATCGATCTTTTCGACTCTGGACCAGAGAGCCTCAGAGATGGTGGAGAACCATACTCTTTCCGAATGACCTCGATCCTGACTCCAGCGACAGACGGGAATCACACCTTTAGCGTCTCTAGCGTGGGCGGAGCCCGTCTATTTGTGGGAGACGATTTGGTCTTGGACAACAGTGACTGGAACGGCATCGGAGAGACGTTCTATTCGTTCGGAAGTCCAGAGTTACTTTCGAGCATGTCTATGTCGGTAGGACGTAGCTACAAGGTCGTACTTGAAGCATGGTCCAAGACCAACAACGCGGTCAAGACTGATTCGAAAGATGTCGAGCCGATGCACGTTTATGGTGCACAGCCATCGACCAGGCTTGGTTTCCTAGAGGAAGATACATCGACCATCGCAGAAGCTATCACACTCGCAGACAATAGTGACGTTTGCATTGTGGTTCTCGGCCTCAACGATGAGTGGGAGAGCGAAGGCTATGACCGACCATCGATGGGACTTCCGGGCGATCAGGACAAGCTCGTTGAGGACATTCTAGCCTCCACTCGCCATCCAGAGCGTATCATCATTGTCAACCAGTCAGGCTCGCCATTGGAAATGCCATGGGCAGATCGCGCGCATACAATTCTGCAAGCTTGGTATGGAGGACAAGAAGCGGGCAATGCATTGGCAGACGTCTTACTCGGCATCGCAAGACCAAAAGGACGTCTACCCATGACTTGGCCCAAGGCGTACTCAGATCTCCCATTCGCTACCGACAGAGAGAGTTGGCCTGGAGTTGATGACAAAGTCGTTTACAAGGAGGGTAACAAGATAGGATATCGGTGGCACCTCGACGCTGGCGTCGCACCACAATGGTGGTTCGGATTCGGCCTGGACTATACCACGTTCGACTCAACCGTCGTAAGCGTTGTTACTGAGCATGATCGTTGGGACATCTGCGTCCGTATACTGAACATAGGTCTGATGATTGGGGAGGACGTCGTTCAGGTGTACGTGTGGCCGTCGCAGCAGCCAAGAGCAAAGCGTCTTATCGCTTTCGAGCGGACGGAGTCGATCGAGCCACGAGACAGTATCACAGTCAAGCTGCCTGTTCAACTACGCGACGTCGCCGAATGGTCGGAGCAAAAATGGCTGTTGCAGCGCGGTTCGTACGCGATTGGTGTTGGGAAACACGCTGGAGATTCTGAGATGGCCACCAAGTTCATCGATGTGCGGAAGGCTTTATCCTGGGATCCTTGATCGATCTCTCACAATCAGAAAATCGTAAACATCATTCAAGAAAATGCAGGCAATAACGCCTAAAGAACGCGTCCATGGAAAGAGCACCGGAGAAGCCTTGTCTCGCAGACGCGCCGGAATACCGTAAAATCTCGTTTATTACGGCATGCCCTTAAAGCGTCTTTGTCGATCTAAGACTAATTAGCCCCTACTCTTGTAGCCGAGGGCCCTTGTAATAAGAGGCCCTCGCTCAATAGGGCCGTGCTGTTATAGAGGGTAATATAGATAGCTATAGGGTCGACCCTAGTACGTAATATCGGTCTCTTAGTCGACTAAGCGAGGGCGACAAGGAGGTGTTTTAGAAGGTTATTTTAGTGCGCGAATTGGAGGAGGAGGTAGCTCTATATAAGAGGCTTAAATTGCGAGTGTTCCTATTCAAAAATCAGCTTAATTGCCTTCTTAATTTGTTATTATTATTATTTACTATAGTTCTCGCCAAATCCTCCTAAATTGCTGCGCGCGCACTAACTTAGTAGTTAATTCTTTAATACTAATTAAACACGCCTATCTTAGAGCAACCGGTTAGTTTCGTTAGCGGTCTAAGAGCTATAATTAAGCGCCCTCGCGCTAGTCCTAAGAATAAAGCTCTTAAAGAGCGTACTAGCGCATTCTAGAGCCCTATCGTTAATTCGTAGATATCGACCGTAGGTAGAAGCTCTTAAGGCTCTAATGTTAATAGATCTAAAGGCG